CACCCCCCCACCCACCCCCCCCCCCCCCCCCCCCCCCCCGCCGCCCCCCCCCCCCCCCCCCCCCCCCCCCCCCAGGTTAATCCAGACGGAAAAGTGTCCTCATATCCGTGAAACACTAGGAACTTTTCTTCCTTCTTAGCCGATGCTATTTTCTACTACACCCTCTCCTTCCTCCCTCCGCCCCCTCTTTTTTTTTTTTTTTTTTTTTTTTTTTTTTAAATATTAAGAATAGAAAAGGAACCAAGGTACCAAAAAAAGAATGTAACAATATAAAAAATGTAAGGTTATTAATAGCCAGCCTCGTAAGCAAAAAGGTGCCCGAGGACAAAACGGCACTAAGGTACTTCTTAATATAGGTAGTCAGTCTGCGTCGCTGTGCCTGAGCAATATATATCTAAAGTAAGATTAGATCCGTATAGGCGAGAAACGCACCCCCCCTCCCGATGAACGCGTAAGAGCATGAGGCGCAAGGTGGAAGGTCATCACAGGTCACCATATAACACGAGGAGCCTATGAAGACATGATGGAAGATAGATCGTTTACACCAAGGAGAATACCATGAATTGATTTCACGTAGCTAGGTATTGCAGGAAATAAAAGAAAAACCACTAGGTTAGGTAAAGGTCAGGTTAGGTACTCATAAGCAAAGCCTAAACGCCAGCCGACTGAAAAACCCTCTCTCTGTGTTTGGCTGCCTATTCCGCGTGATCCTCGTCTGAAGCTCCTTCTTATTAACCTAGTAGATGGGTCTCGGTTCTTCCCACCTCTGGTGTCGTGCATTCGTACCCTTCTCTCCTGCTCCGTTACTTGGCGAATCCGCACCCACGTCCGTTCCCAAAGACGTGCGTCCGCCCTTCCGTCGCCTGGCGCTATGGTCTCCGGTCATCGGGCCGATCCACTCCCACGCCCTACCGACTTCGCCGCTACGTCCCTCCCGCTGGCTTGTGCGGACGTTGCTGTTCTGCTCGACGACTTTCTTGACTCTCCGCCACATCTGCTCACGGCGCGAGAGTGAATGAATAGACCTCAACACGTCGTCTCGCAAGTTCGGGAGGAAGAGCCACGGGTCGTCAATATCCTCGTCTCCTAGTTGCTTCTGGTGCGCCAACCTCTCCAACACTAAATCGACTAGGGCCGGTACCTGAGCAGCAGCTGCACGGTTGGCCTTGAGTCGAGACTGCGCGTAAATTGCGGTTGCGATGAGGGCAATTACGAAGCTAATATGGAATCGATATCTTGCCAAGCCGAGTCTGATCGACCTGCGGACGGCGCAGGTGATGGGAATTCGAGCGAGAGAGGTGGACGTGAAGTAGGTGTTTGAAACACCTCCGGAATCGGGTATTCTATTGTGGCCGGAGGGACTCTGGTTAGTCAAATGGTCAGAGAGTTCGAACTTATTTATACTAACATCTTCCCATGTGACATGTGAAGAGAGTACGGAATATGACCACTAAGGAATAGTTGACTTACTCCTTAACTTCGACCTCGACTTCTTCTCGAGCTTTAATCTCCCCGAGCGCAGATCCCCAAAGATCCTCGAATTCTTGGTTATTCAGCTTCTTGCTCCTCTTCCTGTTGATAATCTCCTTCAGCTCCTGCTCTTCAATCGCTGGCGTCTCGAGCTTTGCGCCTTCTTCGTTGATGGGTTCTCCGCATTCGTACTTGGCGGTTCGTTCGCGAAGCTCTTCAATAGCCTTATCCGCTACTGCTTGCACCCGTTGGACCTTGTCACCATCAGGTGCGCAAGTTGGAGGAAGAGGAACAACACCGCCTAGTGATAGGGGGTGAGGTTTGAGGACGTAGTCCTGCTCGCATCGCACAGAATAGTCTGCGTAGCAATAAGCGTGTGGTGGGCACGGTTCGCACTGGGGTTCCAGGGTGTCTATGACAGATTGCGGAATGGTAATTTGAGGTGGTAGTACCGACTGAGCCCATTCTGGCGTTTCGATCTCCTTAGGAATTGAACTTTCAGCTTGGCCAACGCCGCAGTAACCGACCGCAATCTTTTCCTGTCGATACCAACCAGCATAGATGCTTAAGAGCGTGACAACAAATATGGACAAGACCGTGCCACCACCAGTCCTATTGGGCTGACGTCGAGATTCTCGAGCAGCAACGGCATTGCGCCCATTGACAGCTTCGTCTGATATGAGATCAAGTTGCTCTTCTGGAGTGAATTCTTCTCCGGCCTCAACAACTGGCGTCTCTGGTGCTTGAATGTACCTGTTTTGAGGTAAGGAACGGTTAAAATTCATAGGTAGGCCGGGGGACTCTTCTTTAGGAACAGTGTGCCCATCCGTTCGTCTTCGCGCGCCCCTACTAACGCTGCGCGATCTATCAACTCCAGCCGTTTTTCGACGCACGCTGGGAGTGCTATCCATAACTGATGGAGAACTACCGCTTTGGAACGGATTGTCATTGGTGAAAACATCCGAAGTTCGGCGGAACAAGCCTTCGTTGGATTCCTCAGTCTTAATTCGAGGCGCGAGAACAAACCTTCCAACTCTGCTGAGCGTTCTACCATGATCAGGCTCCGGTCCGGTGTCCGTATCCGAAGCCTGAGCCGGACGGCTTGTAGCCCTAGGCTTTCGTCTAGTAGGACTTGGGTTCGGCGGCGGCATGGGCTCATCCTCCGGCTCTTCCGCCTTGATTCTGGTGGTAGGTGCTTTCCTAGGCGATCTTGACCGGCGTGTGCTACGCGGGGGCGGCGGTGCAAGCTCTTCCTGCTCCTCGAAGGGATTGCTGCTGCTTTGTGACTCTGCATCAACAATACCTTTGCTTGAGCGTTTTGCTCGTGCACGTGCGGCTAGGATCTGCTTCGATTGCGGCACAACTTGCTCATTAAAGAGTTCTATCAGCTGTGCCTTTTTTGCGCTCGAAGTATACGGAATATTGTGGGCAACCAGGATCGATCGAAGCCGGGGAACCGTGAGGGTCTTCGCGTCGAAGCCCGGCTGGAGATAATCGAGGCTCTCCGAGTCGGACATTGCGAATAAACTTGGAAAAAGTCCCGAGTTTTAATATCAGCTATTATAAGCTCGAAAGATGTATAGAATTATTGAGAAAATTTGTTCTCTAAGATTTCGCACAATTTTAACACCCTAGACCGATATTGAGGGGACCACCCGTCACCTAGGCACACCAAGACACGTTTTTTTCTTCCTTTTTTTGTCTTGGCGACGTGGAATAAGACAGCGACTCAGTTACAGGGTAATGGGTACCCTTGAGAATTCTAACACGGTACGTCGCCGAAGCTGTTAGACTGCCACCAGCAGATCTAGCGATGGCTGACGGAATTGCGAACGAGCGAGGTGGTGAAAAATATAGCGGGGGGGATTGATTGTGTTGATAAAAAAAAGTTGAAGAAAGTGGAAATTCGGTTGTAGTGGCAACAGAAAGCTATCTGGATCGTACCTAGGTAGGTAATCGCAATCTGTACTAAGCAGGCAGGCAGGTCATTGTGTTACATTCAAGCCCCATAAATTTGCCTGAGGCAGGTACCACCTAGGGCTAGGAGCTTCGATGCCAGGATGCTCGCCTCGTCCAATCATACCTCCTAATTTCCAGGCTGCATCATCTTTTCATGTATTCCGTAAGCCTTGCTAGGATTAGGTAGGGACCTATCATTGTACCGGAGAGAAATTGATTGGCCCAACGACTCTGTAATTTATAGTGTTGATTGCCTAGACGAAAAAAAGTAAACAAAACTCCATCGGAGTATTTCTCTCTGCACATATCATAATATATCATACATCATACATGAAATAGTACATACAAAATAGTACATACATCAATAAACAAGTACAAGAAGCTTTCAGTTCCCTCCGTAACGTGTCCTGCATGATCGTCGTGATGCTCATGCTCTCTACTACTACAACTGCTACTACTACAACAATACCCATCTCCCTTCCTTTAATTCTATATAAATGCGCCGCTATCCCTCAAAGTATACCTCATATGTAGGTACCCGGTATATATATGACAGTACATTTTAGCTTCATTAGGTGATAGAACTAACTAGGGATCTTCATATAATATTCTTCCTATAGAAGAATATCGCCTCCCAACTTGCCCTCTATTCATATAATATAGCAAGCTGGTGCGACAACGGTATAACAAGTAAACGCAAACCAACATATATGTTAACCTTTTAGTGAACAGAGGTTCTGCCTCTCGGTTCTCGTCTTTCGGCTACCCGTCAACTCGCCGTCGTTTTCTCCTCGAGCTTTTTCTCGGCTTCGTCTGCTCTCTTGTTCGCTTCGGCTATCTCTTGTTGCAATTGTTTGATATATACGATTGCCAGCTCTACTGTGCTAGCCTTACTATTCGGGGTATTGGATAGCTTGCCGTCCTTCTTATCCCCACTCCCAGCCTCGCCGTCGCCTTCACTTAAGTCTTTGGCGACATTCTTCGGCAGCAAAGTTGCAATCTCTTGGAGGGCAGAGTTGATACGATTTCGACGGCCTTGTTCTGCAATTTTGTGTGAAGTCCGTTTCGAAGTTAGATTTGTGGATAGCTCGCTTGGATACGAAACTCCTGGGACGGTATTCCCTTCCAGTATGTTCTGATAATTCGATTTAGTTGCCAGCAATCTTGACGCGGAATCTTCTGCAGATAAGCCAGGCGTCCCGGGGAGTAGTGGTTTGATATTTGGTGAGATTTTTGGTCTTAGAGCCGGCGACACAGAACTAATGCTAGGCCTCTTCTTGGGACCTCTCGGAGCTATCAACGGAGTCTTTCTAGGATTAGGGGTAGTGGATTTAGGAGTAAGCTGGGGACTCTGCGTCGCCGAAGCTGTTGCCGAGTGCGTCGGCTTGGGAAGAACTGGAGACGGAAGAGAGTGAAACGTGGACGTCTTTGCCTTCTCTACTTCAGTAGACGGTTCCACCTGTAGTTGAGTATCGATTAAAGGCAAGTCTGGTTTGGAAAAGTTAACCGACTCGGGAAGTTCGAAGCTTTCTATGTTTTCAGAACTGCTGTGTTCGGGGTTATTCGAATCAGCCGACTTGCTCTTCGGTGATATTCTAAAAAGCGAAGCCGGAGTCGCCGGCGACGGCTTTCCACCTAAAGAAGTAGGTAATGACGAAGGCGCCGCGCTCCCGTTAGTTTGCGGCTGAATATACGGGGATTGCCTAGCGGAACGCGGCGGAGGAAGCGGCGGAGGCGGCATTTCAAGAGCTTCTGGGGATACTGAAGCATTCTCCGACTCTTCCGTCGACGCTGCGGAAACTGACTTGGGCTGCGGAGGATGTTCTGAGCCCTCGGCTGCAGATTCGGTTAATTCACTGAGAATCTGAGCGTTCATTATGGGAGTTGAAGCCGTCTTGCGCCTCTGAGGTTTGGTAATCGGAGACTGTCGAACATTCAACTTCCTGGCCTTAGTAGCATTGGTCTTTCGTACTTTCTTCGATAAGTTTGCTGTGCTGCCTTGGGCTGGAGTCGGCTCAATTTCCATCTCGATGGGAGAATTTGTAGTGTGACCCGAATGCGTATGATCGAATGTGGACGTAGACTCGTTTTGCGCATGTAGCGCAGGAGAGGTCAAGGGGCTAAAGTAGGGTCCTGACTGAGAAAATCCAGGATCAACTGGAAAATGAGGCTCAAGTGGCGTCACCGCAGGAGACACCAGCGGGGTGAAAGCCATCTGTTGAACGGTCAGCCGACGATACATAAGGCTGGGGAAGGGTGACGTGCATCTTGTGGCTCTTTTAGATGTTGGTGATACGCATCGAACATGCCTGAGGAGTGCGCTTGGTCTTGCGAGGCAAAAAATTGGTTTGCTGCCTGTATCTCAAGGCTCTGCGGCGTCGGCGGTACCATGCTCCTCTGCTGCTGAGCGTAGAAGGCGGCTTGCTGTTCTCGGAACTGCCTCTGTTGTTCCTCTAACTGTCTCCTTTGCTGCTGTAGCCTCTGCTGTTGTAGAAATTGTATCTGCGCATCTATCTCGGAGATAGCGTCAGAGGATGTGTGGTGCGGAGGCATCATTTGGGTTGGAATTCCCGCGTGATTCGGAGCAGTCGTCATCGGAGATATCTGGCTCTGCGGCCCCATGTCATTTCTCGCGATGATGGTTGGTATATTCGTGTTGCTCATTGGAGTATCAATAGAATCGCCGTGGGGTTGATGCATTATGGAGGCGCCATTGACGCCGCTGAAGTCGTGGAAATCAAATTGTAGGCTATCTCCTAAATTGGACATGCCTCCCATCTCGAGGAATTGTTGGAAGTCATCTTCACCACCTGAGGACATGGGCTGGTCTTGTCCATTCCAAGCGCTCGGGTCCATCATGGCCATACCCAACGACGGCGGTCGTCAAACCGTCGAGAGGGGAATTACAGTCGTCGCTGCGATTAGGTTCGCAGGTTCACCGTCTTTCGCTGCGAGGGTATAACGTCCTACAAATTTGTGCCGGCCAAAACCTGTTCCCGAATAAATCCAAGTCGCTGCGACAAATTTTGGTCGATACTGCGTTCGCGCAGCGTGAAGCGTATCGGAAGTATTGATTAACGCATCTCTGAGGAAAATTGAACAAAAACCCGCGCGGAATATTCGTTGATTTCTCGTCGACGGCCTAACTACAAGGTCTCTCAAGCGAGCTTTGTAGTCGCAAGCAATACTAAACTGAGGCTAATAGCTAAACGTGTGAGGAAAGATGTAGGATAGTCAGTATAGAGATTCATTCAACCCAACATAGTTTCTGTCGAACAGGAATCAGCCCGGATTCGACGCCAGGGAACGATTTGATTCCCGACGGCGAACTCCAGGAAAAAAAAAGAGAGGACTTAGTTAGGTTAGGTAGACGAGGAGATGGTGGGGGATGGATTTAAGGTATTTCATTGGTCAGCTATGATGGCAGGGGGTCCCAGAGGTGGGTTCCAGAGGTGGGTTTACGCATTTTTACGCATTAAAGCGGTTAGTGAAAGATAATAACGTTCGCCATGAGCAGGTGACAGTCTCAACGCTAGGCCGGGGTTACACATGCAGCTAACGCGACATCCGGCCTAAGGCCGCTGTAGGGTCCAGAACAACCCCCCGCTTTCCTTGCTGCAAAGACCTGGTGAACCTCTTTGTAGATAAAACTGGAACGGTAGTACAAATCCAATATGTAACAGGATGAAGTAAAAGATGCATGTAGGTATCTATAATTCATATTATGTAGTACCTATCTTCCGAGACACAAAGGTTACACTTCTTTTTGGGGGGAAGTCTGCAACCTCTTCGAGCTGTCTCTCTCTCACCTTCATCTATTTTTACTTTACCTTTACCATATTTCACGATATGTTAGATGTCACGAGCAATAAATACGTGAGGACTGTCTCACACGCATTAGTACCTAGGTAGTTTACCTTGGGTAGGGTGGATGGTGGTTAGTAGAATTTAACGGGCTGTCGTCGTCATGTCAATATCTCTTCTCTTATACCGTAGGATGTCTTGACAAAGTCGGCTTGACTCGGTAGCCTTTAGATTGGTCCCTGGTTGAAATTCGGGCTAATTAACAGGTACATAGTAGTATTACAAGGGCGGTTGTAAGTTTTCGTAAATTTTCATAAATGTTCGATTCGACTCTGATGAATCCTCAAACTCCACTACCCGATTGCTTAGCCAGAACCCCCCAAAAGAACGTACGTAAAAGAAACGACTTTTCCCAGCCGGTCCCATTCTCCGTGGAGTTACGTATCTAAAATGTCGGGGGGGATAAAAAAGGGCCCCGTGGCTTCGTAATCCCATGGTATGCAGCGGATATTTATTTAGATGAAATGGTAAGTATAAGGTACCTATATAGGTATATATACGAGTCACTGGAACTCTGCTTCTCTACCTTCTTTCATCCGGTAGAGTTCAGCTGACGATGTCTTAGAAAAGAGGCTCATAAACGTCTGCAGGACACCCAATTCATTTCAAGGTGGGGGTTAGTACCTAGCGGTTAACCATCCCTAACGGGTAGGATCCCGAGATGTAATTGGTGGAGCGGGTGAGGTGATGGATGATGTGGTATTGGCTGACGAATCCTTGACCAGCTTAAAATCGACCAGATCCGGGTGTTCTACTATGTATCTCGCAGACATTCGAAGCATGCCAATGATGCTACCTGTTGAATGTACAAGCCCTAGCATTGATCAACATGCAAGTGATTAAGTGATTAAGTGATTAAAATGCTAGAGTAAATAATATCCGAGTACGTAGAATGAAAAGGTCTATGATGAGAGGTAGTTGATCTGATGCTAGTCTAAAAGAGCCACATGTAAGTGAACATAAGCTCAAGACCCGAGATCCTGGGACTTGATCGTCCACATGATTGTCCTAAACGTTGTCCTAAACGTGCTGACCGAGATTCCTATTTAGCAGGTTGATTGGAATTGGGCCTATCACAAGCCAGAAGTTTGGCAAGTTTATACTCGAGTGGTAAATACAAGGTCAAGGTTCCTGTTTGCATGCATTTTAGGGCCTCCCTTTGAATGTATGAATGTACAATACGACTTATGTGACAACTTTATTCGTCTATTGCAGTTTAGGTAAGATTTAAGCCAGCCGGCCAAATAGAGGTATTCGGCCCGAGTGGGGTTTGTAAACCTTTTAATCGCATTACTAGGTACAGTCATGTCTGTTTAGGTACATTAGGTACCTACCTAAGGTAGATGGACGTTAGGTCGCATTGCGGTGCTGCAAGTGCGCATATAGCCGCATACATTTTTTTATGTATTGTACAATACGGGACCGGGGATCTGCACACAGCACCGGGTTGGCATATACACACAAGCTACATCTGTTGTTGACCCCATGGATTCCATAACAGATAAAGCACAGCAACTCCGCCATAAAATATCTCAGGCGGAGAAAGAGCTTCAAGATTTGCGAAGACAACTAGAAGAAATAGAGGAGTCAAACTCCCAGAGTCAAGATACGAATCAGCAGTTCGGTTCGACTTCGGAATCAGAGAATACTAAACATGAACTCCCGGAGTGGAAGTGGCCCTTAAGCGAAGAAGAATATTCTCGCTATGGCCGCCAGCTTATATTGCCTACTGTCGGCATCAAAGGCCAGCTGCGCCTCAAGTCTGCCGCCGTACTGATAGTTGGCGCCGGGGGGCTGGGCTGCCCAGCCGCTGCATATCTAGCCGGTGCAGGAGTAGGTACTCTTGGAATCGTCGATGGTGATACCGTAGAAGTATCGAATCTACATCGCCAGATCGCACATAACACTCCAAGGGTCGGCATGATGAAGGTAGACAGCTTGGTCGAATATTGTCGAGGACTTAACCCGAACGTGTCGTATGTAGCACATAGAGAACATCTCACCCCCCAGAATTCCGAGGATATCGTTTCTAAGTATGATCTGGTCCTCGATTGTACGGATCATCCGACGTCTCGGTATCTAATCTCTGATATCTGCGTTTTGTTACAGAAGCCACTCGTCTCCGCATCCGCCTTACGGACAGACGGGCAGTTGATCGTCCTAAATAACCCACCCGCAGCTCAAGGTTCTACGGAAGGTGGTCCATGCTACCGCTGCATCTTTCCCAAGCCACCCCCGGCCGAGAGTGTAGTCAGTTGTGGCGAGGGTGGAATTTTGGGACCGGTGGTTGGGGTTATGGGCGTGCTACAAGCACTTGAAGCTATTAAATTGGTCGTTGCTGGAGTCGGGAAAGATTCAAACTCAACTTCCAAGGATCCCGTCACGCCGAGTCTACTCTTGTTCTCTGCTACCTCGACTACGCCATTTCGCTCGATAAGAATGCGGAGTCGACGACCTAACTGCTTCGCCTGCTCCTCTGAATCAACATTGACTCTAAAAGAATTAAGAGCTGGTTCCTTGGACTATGTCCAGTTCTGTGGGGTAACCAAGCCGGTCGATGTCTTAAAGCCCGAAGAAAGGGTGTCTGCTACGGAGTATAATGCTATTTTGACCAAACAGTCCGATATGGATCACTTGTTACTAGACGTCCGCGAGAAGGAACATTTTGAAATTGCCAGTATACCAGGCGCGATCAACGTGCCCTTCTCAACCTTACAGGCACGCAGTAAAAATTCCAGTTTAGCACCAGAATATATCCCGAAATCACTGTCGGCTAATGCACCGATATACGTCATCTGCAGAGTGGGCAACGACTCCCAGTTAGCAACGAGAAGGTTGAAAGAGATGGGCCTAGATGCGAATGGAGAACGATTTGTGGGCGATATTGAAGGAGGTATGCTGGCCTGGAAACGCCACGTCGACCAAACGATGCCTTTCACATAACCGCTCAAGTCTCGACAGCGCATATAGTTCAACGACACGAAATATAGAGGTAGGAATGGGGGGTTCCATTTCAAAAATCATACCAATTCCTTCTGTTAATACATTAGAGGGAGAGCCACCGAACGCCAACCCCGTCGAGTTTTCAAGCTTTTGCTTTTTTTGCCTGAATGTTGAGATATATATTCACTTGTTAACGTGATAAGAAACTCGTAAGACCGTCGGGAGTTATGTGGATCACGCATTTCTTCTTCCCTTGCATGATGCCGATCCCCTCGGATATCTTCCTATCAGACGAAGCTTGTTCGCTTCTTGTTGAATGCTCTTTGGTCTTTCAACCATTGCCTGTAGCCTGCCACGCTCGAGATCTTCTCGCCGTAGAAATCGGGGACTAGCAAGAACCGTCAGTGACTTCAATTTCCCCCTTTTTCGTACTTTTTTTTTTTTTTTATAAACTTACCAGCATTACCGCTCAACGAGCTATTGCTAGGATCCACTCGGTTCTTCTTGATGCGCGAGAAGAACTCGGATTCCTTAAGTTCCATCGGCTTCCTGACGCCTTTCTTGAACGTGTAGAAAAGCGCTGAGCCTACACTCGGCCCTGCCAGCCAGCCTAGCCCCGCGAAGCTCAGAGTCACTATACCCAGCGCGAGGAAAGGGTCCATTGGGACCTTGGTCAACAGCCAGTCCAGATCCATATTCAAAAGTAAGATGGCACCTACTGTGCCACCTATCGCCATCGTCAAGATGCCGCTGACGATCTGGAAGCGGCGCCGCGTCTTGCGCAGGGTGAAAAAGGTGTTCCAGTCGAGAGGTTGAGTAGAGGAGCCCGAGGCACCGGAAGCCGTAGTAGAAGCATAGCCGCGGGCGAAAACTTGGCACGATTGGTTGCACGCAGGCTTTCTGGCAATTAATCTGGTTACGATGGAAGGAACCGACTTGGCGCTACGAATGGTGGACTGTCGGGATGCTAACGAGGAGTATTGGCAGGCTGCTGCCCCTCTCAAGAATGCGACCTGCAGCTTGAGGCCGCGGGTGGCCAGGACGCCGAGGCGCGTTGCTGTCGTCGCGGGAGTCAACATTTCAGCGGGTGGTGATTGTGATGGTGGTATTAGTGAAGCTTTTCTGTTCTACAACGCTGCATGCATCAAATGCGTCTTGAGTGGAGAGATTTCCGTCGTCACTTCGGGAAAGCTGTTGAAGCTAAGCGTTGAAACTTGACGTCGGTTACGTCCAAAAACTTAGTTGAATTTCTCTAAAGCTCGAGCCACAATTGAGGGGCGCTACCTTAGGAGGTAGTAATCTTGGTCGATCATCTGGTATGATGCATATCGGATAAATGCAAATGTAAATCATTATGTATCTACTGCTAACATATCCGTTAAAGTTACACCATTTACAACTTGATATCTCTAAGATAGATTAGGTAAATACGTGATATGACCCAGTTAGAATAAAACAGGAAAATCAAAGAATATTCGAGATTCCATAGTGAGTATCTACCTAGGTAGGTACCTGTCGTATAAAAAGTCTTTTAAAGTGGTCTTAATATTTAAAGCTCAGCCAGCCCGGTAGGTATCACTTTCAACCTTTAGCCAAGCGCTCTGCCTATGAATGTCAGTCTAGGGTTTTGAAAATATGAAATGAAATTAAGAATCTATTTAATATTATGGATTATTGCTATTTTCTATATGCTTACAAGTACTTAATGTATGCTGAGCGCTGGTTGAATTATAAAAAAAAAAAAAAGAAAGTTGGTGGTCAAGCACGATACACTGTAGAGAAAGGCTTGAAGTTTTAGGGGAAACAAAGTATCATACCTTCACGTAGTAAAAACCATATTATATAAACCCTTTCAGAAGAGGAGCTAGTTGATGTTGTGGTAAGTAAACGTGTACATTTCGGCGTTTTTGGTTGCGTATCGCCTCATAAAGCATACCCCTATCTATTACACCCTACTGTCCCAACGAAATTTGATCAACATGGATAGAAGACTACTCTGAAATAAATATGAACAAGTAAATTTAAGTTCATGAAATCATTTGTATGAAGACATTACTAAATACTGTGAAATTTGATGCTTAGTGTACAAAGGGGGTGAAAGGAGATGCTGTGCGGTTATGGACCAGACCAGTTGCAAAACACAAGACAAGGAAAACCTAGGAGCAGAGATTCGAAAATATCTTCTCATATTACTTTACTACACACTGAAAGGTAGGGCACCGGAAGTACGGATAGAGTGTGTTGTTAGTCTTTAGGTGCTGACAGAAAGTCACAATAGATCGCCCTGGCGATTTCACTCAGCCCGTTTTGTCGAAAGGCGTTGGATTTGATCGTGAACTTTTCGAATCGTAGGTTACCAGGCAATAGAAAGGTAAACTCAAGGTACATCCAGTCGAACTGTTAATATTGTAGCCTTGGGAGTGAGTTTTCAGTCAACCTTTCTTTCTACAACTTCTTTCTGCAACAGGCACTGCAACCACAACACAAGTGCAAACTCTTCTCGCTCCCTCTCACCTCCAAATCCCACACAATATCAAAGTACTATATTAATTACTTTACCTACTCTCTTCGCAAACATGCCTTCTCTTAGCATGCCCTCTCTTACCAACCTTTTTACCCCCAAGCTGGCCGTTGCCAAGCCCTTCCTCAAGCTCGCTTCGAAGGTCACCATCTACGGCCTCATCGCCCTGGGCACCATCGAAGTCCTGCGAGGAGGCCCTTCAGTTCGAATGATGAAGATCCTCATTGGCAATAAGAAAGCCTGGGACCCTCGCTCGCCCGACAATCTCGGCATCGTCAAGTACACCCAGCTGTGGTGCGCCAGCTGGTGGCACTGCACTATCCGCGCTCCGTCCAAGTACGTGGTTAGGAAGTTCAAGGCCCTGGCCAACAATATCCGACGCTCTTACATCGGCAACTGGATTTCCCGCAAGGGAAAGAAGGACGGCACCAACGATTCTGACGGTGTTGACTCTGAGAGGTAAGCTTGCTATTTTAATTATCCAGATACCTAACCTACCTAGATAACCTATGTTTATGTCCTAGAAGCTGATACATAATTTGCAGAGTCTCCGCCTTTCAGGAGATGTTTGACCGAGCGGTCGCCGAGGCCGCCGCTGAGTCGGCTCGCGCCTGCTTTCCTAGGGGCCCCCCCGCCGCCGCCGAAGAAGAAGAAGTAGAGATTCGATACTGGTGAAGTGATTCGTAGGAACGGGAGGAAACTTGCCTTTTACTGTTATGACGATGGCTCTTCCATCGTCACCGCAAACAGGGTCTAAGGGGAGGGACCGTTATCAAAGTTTCGATTATGGAAAAGAAAAACTTGAAATGGAGAAGAAAATTGATTCTTTCTCTACGCATGAGGCCATGGTCTAGTTAGCATACTCATTCTCATGCTAGATAGGATACCCTCGAGGGTTCTAGTTTAGCATAGGTTGCATGTATTTCTAAAAGATCAACATTTATTGATCCTCACAAACACTCTTCCAGTAACAGAACGTGAGACCGAACAGCAAAAGACACACGAGGTAAATATATATTAGAAAGTATTTAAGCAAGTATCCTTTAGTTATTATTATTTTTCTTCAAGGTATAGTTATAAGGATATAATTCTTTATGGGTCTGATAACCGTTACACCACCGGCTTAGTCCATATGTTAGGATATATAGTAGATTACACGAACATTAGTTTGATCTATAGGTGTAACAAAAGGGGACCGGTAATCTAAGGCACAGTATATAGGAGATATCTAACGTATCAAGAACCTAACTGAAATGCTCGAGGGAAAAGCGACACAACAATCCAAATGGATTCAAACGATCGTTCTAATAAAATAATTCTTTTTTATTTGAAGATTAGTAGGTATCGCAATTTCAACGGCGGGATTTCAGTAGCAGGTGTATGTCGAATCTTGGAAATATATTAATTCTACCTAGGTACCTTAAACGAACCCGGTCCATCTCCAGTCGTCATGATGACACCCGAGTCGCTCGTAACTTTCACTTAACCAAACAGTGCTATAAACATTAAAGTGTGAACTGGACTGTGAATACAACGGGCATTATTATTTCATGAATAGAAGCGCAAGAAGATTCGGTTGAAAATACTCTATTTCATTACTTTGTGCTAGCTTAATAACTTCCCAGCTTTTCTAATATATTATTTTGTTTGTCTTTCTAGGTTAGGCAGATATCCTAAACCTTGAGGTTTTTTTTTGGCTTTTTTTTTTAAAAAAAAAAAACCAGCCTTTTCCCTTCCGAAAAAAGCCGTGGCAAGAAAAATTAGGTACAAGAAGAGAACGTGAAAAAAGTGATATGAGCTCGCTGAGATATACCTAACACTCACAAGCCGTTGTCCTGCAAGAACTTAACCATGTGCTTGAAGCTATCCGGGCCGCTCTTGTGGGCGGCGATCGAATGGCCGGCCCCCGCAGCGATATACGACTGGCTGCCTTTGCCCGCGGCCGAGTAGAACAGGGACAGGGCGGCCTGGTTCTGGTCGACGGGCTCGACGCAGTTGCCGCCGCAGAAGACGAGGTCGTGCTCGCCGTTGACGAGGTCGACGGGCCCCGTGAACTCGGGCGAGGGCGCGACGATGCTGCCGAGCGTGAGGAGGACGCCCAGCGTGTTCGTCGACTTGTGCGCGACCTGCCGGCGGAACACGTCGTCGTCGAAGTTCGGGAACCGGTAGAACGCGAACTGGATGCCGACCGACGTCTGCTGCGTCAGGTACCCCGGGGCTAGGCTCCGGAACTGGTTCGACGGGTCCGTGTTCGCGTTGATGAGGTTGAACGCCGCCACCGTCAGCGCCACCGTGTCCGCGCTCGCCGTCGTCCCCGACAGGATCACGGCGTCGAAGTCCTTCGGGTACTGCGTCGTGATGGCCTGCGTCAGCGTGCTGCCCGCGCTGTGCCCCACGCCCACGACCTTGTCGAACTTGTACCCGCCCAGCTTCGAGCTCCGGAGCAGCCCGGCCAGCGCGTGCGTGACGGCGACCTGGGAGGTGGCCTGCACGACCTGGATGGGATCCGGGTGGTCTGACCTGCCGACGCCCAGCTGGTCGTAGGAGAGCGTGGCGTAGCCTGCTGCCGAGGCAACGTCGACGTAGCTGTAGCCCGGGGCAATATCCCAGTAGGTGTGGTCGAGAGTAGCTCCGTGAGACAACAGCTGCACTGTCTTGACATTGGCTAAGACATCAGGGTCGGTAGGTAGGCACAACTTGACGAAGATCTTGTAAGTGCCAGAGATGGTGCTGGGCCCGGAGATGATGTCGGCGGCGAAGGATGAGCCCACCTGGAACATCTCGACGAATGCTCCCGTTACGGCCTTCTGGTCTTGAGGTGCCTGGTAAGAAATCTTGACACCGGGTGTATTGATAGACAGCGCGACGGTGCCAGAAATGCAGTTTGAGCCACCCCCGGCGGATGGGCCGCTAATAGGATTGGAGATGCCATTGAGGCCTAAGGCTGAGGCCAAGCTGGCAAAAGGGTTGGTTAGGAAAGCTAGCGGAAGGAAGGCAGAGCTGTTCATGACGGGGGGGAAATAGTTTTGGGAACACCACAGCTGAGTTTTGGTGCGATGATTTGACTACGAAATATTTCTTTGTCTTACCCGCCTTGCCTTTCCCTGTTTATAACTTTTAATGAGGCACAGCTGCTCTTACGTCCGCCCTTGTTGGGACTCGTGCATCAGAATTATCAGTAGAATAGTAGTACTGGCACTACTGCATCTGCAGTCTGGAGCAACCACCAACAACGGAATATGCAGGGATCGCCCCTCTCTATGGCGGATTAAAAATGTGATTAACAAATACCCCTGTGCAAAAAAACGTTGGCTTTTAGATCTGGCCAACATCTTCTTGGATTTATTACCTACCTGTACCTAAGGTTACTAAACAACCAAGATAACTCATACCTAATTCCGTGCTTACGTCCGTTTTCTCTTCTCAATTTCAAATTCCCCTATACTCTTTCGACACAAAGCCCACGAAGCCTTGATCCTCTACCTCTTGGACACAACCTTTTCTCAGCATGACCGAAACATCGTTGGATGGGAGCCCTTATATCTTCGGTCACGATTACAGGTCAAGTATACGGTACATCTACCTAGCCTATCGAGTTTTGCTTAGGAGTCGAATTAGGTACCTCCTATGCAGTTGGTGCTAATTAGCTTGTCAAAATTTCAGCCTGAATTATCAGCACATGCTTATCAAAAAGCTCTGCGACGAGCAACTTCTGTCTCCAAATGTACATCAAAGCATAGCTTCGCGTTCATCTATCAGAATAGCTGATATCGCTACCGGGACAGCGTAGGCAGACGCCTCCAATCTGCCGTCACAGTAAATGCTGATGAAACGTGATCAGACTCTGGCTGACCGAACTGTCTGATGTGTTTCCTGCGCATGCTGAACTGCACGGCTTTGACATATCCAGTAATCAGTATCCGCCTCAAGAATGGTTACCCAAGAATGTGTTTCTACACGAGCACGATGCATTTAAGCCCTTCGCCCCGGAGTATCTCGGCTCGTTTGACGTGGTGAACTTGCGCTTCTTCATCACACTGCTCAATAAAGAAAACATCCAGCCACTTCTTAGCAATCTGATAACTCTACTCAGTATTTTATTATGTTTTCCCTTCTTCATTTCTCTCTTCCTGTTTCGATCAGTCACTAAGACATTCTGGATAGAACCTGGTGGTTTCCTCCAATGGCTTGACTTCGACCCACGTTCCGCTGGGGCTATTGCCATAGACCCTAACCTGCCTATGCCGCGCACTCAGAGTGTTGTGACTATGATACGCAAGGCACAACCAGATGTTAATTTGTAGGCACTCCTATCGTCATTCATCTTTTTCCTCTCTTTTTTATTAAGTGGTAACAGATGGATTCTCCACGACGCCGAACCTTTTGAGGCTGCCGGCCTAGATACCACTGCCTACAAGTCCATTCATCTTCGTAATTATCTGCGGCCAGTGTGGAATCACTGCCACATCATGGGCATGAAGGAATTGGCTCGTCGGCTGAGCCGAGATACGACTGGTGGGAGTGACAAGTTATCGCCACTATTGCAGCAGATCAAGGAATTAGAGGCGGAGTTTGCGCAGGGCGCAAGTATTGATGCGCAATGGTTTATGATGATTGGACGGATGCCAGGCGCACCGCGTTAGCGCCCGAGTCGAATATCTAACTACAATGAAGCTGATCTCGGGCCTGGACGGAACCTTTACTCTTTTGTTACGTTACGGTGAAAGATGAAAAAGGGTAATTAAGAGCTATCTAACTTGGGTAAATTACGAGCTGGAAATGGCTACACGTGTTCCTCAGCAACGCGACAACTTGATTGAGGTTTTCTTGGAACGAATCTGATAGGTACAACGTCCACAACCCGCAAGCTCGTGCCAAACTTGGTTCCCTCGGAGAGCGTGAGCGCAGCACATTGCCGTGCTTCCAACCACGCTTCTTCCTCCCCAACCGAGCCATTTCGGGTGTCTGCCACTAGCTCAACCGAGTGCGTCTTGAACAGCGTCGCGACCACAGCACAGACTTCCACTAGTGCAAATCGCCGCCCGAGGCATCCGCGACTGCCCTCGGAGAAGGGGATGAAAGTCCCAGCTCGAGGCTTTAGGAAATTCGCCGAATTTGCCTGGGCACCTGTTTCATCCGTGCTTCCGGGGTCCAGCCACCTTGATGGATCGAAATCCACCACAGCGTAGGGACGTTGACGGGGGTCGCTCCTGATATCCCTCCAAGAAGACCGCTTGTCTGCCTTTTTTGTTGCTGGCTTATTAAGCCAGTATTCTGGATGCCGATGAGTTGCGCTCGTGTTGATGAGGGCAATTGTGTTCGGCGGCAGTGGATGACATTGGTCCTTGACGGTGATAGAGAGCCAGCGACCCTCGGGTGGGACATGTTTTGGCAGGACGGGTATAACGGTAAAGAGGCGGAGAGTCTCGTTGATTATCGCACCAACGGTCGAGTGCATGAGCGCACTATAGTGTTCGTCATACGACCATGTGTCTGGGGATGTATCGCCAAGAATACTGTCGAGGTCGCGCTGTAGCGCCTTCTGGACTTCGGGATGACATGCCAAAAGAAGGACGATAGAAACAAGGATGTTGGCGTTGGCTTCGTGTCCCGCGAACATGAAAAGAAAGATCTGGCCGATGATTTGAGCATTGCTCAACCTGGGGCTTTCTTTGGCTTGAGAAGATGTACCCGCTTGCACGAGGAGATCGAGGAGGTCCTCGTGCGAAGAATACCCAGGAACGGATTTCTCGGAGAACTCGTCCTCTCTAGTCCGCTTGAGCTGGTTCATGTATGATCCAAGCTCTGAGTAGCATGCGACAGCACGACGGTGGGACCGAAACGGGGACAAACGTAAAAGCCAGTGAGGAGCAATGAATACCGTGACTAAGGAATCCACAAACCCGTGTAAAGCCTGACTGAAACTCAGCGTCTTACCATCTGGTATATCATCTTGGAAGGCCAGGGCCTGGGTCAGGTCGACGTCGGTTTGGAAGCTGAAAGCCATTCGAGTTAGTGTATGAAGACAAAGTCTTGCGGACATTGCTCGTAGTTGGCGATAGGCACCTGGGCGAACCAGGGCAGCAAGAAGAATCTTAGCTCCAGATACCGAGTGAACAAAGACGCGGCACATGGTATTTTCGGAGAAGAAAGGTCCTGTGACCTTGCGATAGAGACGCGACTCAGGACCATCTGTTCCGGTGATGGTTGGTCCTTAAATGTTCAAAATTTGCATGAACTCGGCTGGTTTGCCAAAATCTCCATCGCGAAATAATTGGACGTTGACATCTGGATCACACGTGTAAAGGATGAGCCCGCCTGGTGAGACGGCTAAGAAAGTTTCGGTCTTGAGTCGTTCAAACGGCTCGTAGCCATTGTGCCAAAACTCATTGAACAAAAGGAGACACAGCCAGTTTCGGGTCATTCTCTCAGGAAGGGCCTTCAAGATCGGGACCACGATGGATTGGGCCAGCGGCCATGGTGCGCCGAGCAACGAAAACGGTAAAACCACGAAGGGTAGACCCGTGGTTCGCGCAAGACGAACATTTTGAACAATACTGACGACAGACCAGAATCCCAAAGTCAAAAAGCTAGTGCAAAGTATCCATAGGCAGAACACCAAAGGGTGGCTCATAATAGCGATGTTGTATAACGTCAGCACTGCCTATCATGTTAATTGTTATGGCTGCTTTATGCTTCGCGATGCCTTCGCAGATTAATTAGAGGGACCCAGAATGGATCTTGACGCCGAAGGTACGGTAAGGGTCAAGGTAAGATAACGTAGGTGTGTAGTATTGCAAACGCATGTTGGTAACGCAATGAGACGACTTCCATCATGGAGTCAAGTCGATGTAATCTTGATTTCGATCTAGATTCTCACCTAGATTCTGCACCAACATAAATCCTGGTCAATTTTCGGTGGTTTTACTCTTTCTGCCTTTTATTTATCGGCGAGCCAAACGTACAAAATATGCTTGCGGCCATTTTGGAGGGGAGGATGGGCGTCATGTCAGCATTTGAATCGGGGAGCGTTAGAGCCAGGGTGGTTTTGGTCGGATGGCATTGTATACTACAATACAATACAATATGTGAGAACCCAACTGCATATGCTATTAGGTACATACTTACCTCTATTTTAGGTACGCTATCGTTTAGCTTGCCTTGTCCCATCTTCTCAGAGGGCAGAGTAAGTACCGGTACTCCCTTTCTGAGGAGTATCAGCACTTACTCTACCATCCTCCAAACAAACCTAAAGCTTACCTTATACCTCCCTCTACCCGATGCAGGAAGATATCTAGAATGGTTGTCTCTGTGCCGCAACCCCATTGTTTCATTGCAAAATATGGTATACCGGCTACCAAGGTGCGTTAGGTACCTAGGTAAATGGTGATGATGCTTTGGGCGGCTACAGACAGGATGGCATACGCTCTTATGAGCCTATCTTCAAAAGTTCTTCATCTCTGCTAGACGTCGAGCGGTAGTTGAGTCTAGCTTCTAGGTTTTTCCGGCGGTTATATATTTGTAGCCAATCCCTGCTCACCACCTTTGAGAGTAGGTAGTTTATGAGCCACGAATTGCTTGCTCTACTGCCGACTATTTTCCCTCTGTACTAGACTTCTACACGACAGGAAAATGGAGGCGTCGGAAACTACTTCTCAGCCGTCCTTTGTGACGTCTACTCTTCTCGCCGTTGCTATTGTTTTCCCGCCTCTGGGCACGTTCGCCGTAGGATTGCAATTTTACACCAAATCGCTCAAGAAGCAGAAGTTGTCCAGTGATGACTGGGTTTGTGCGTTGGCCCAGCTTGCTGCGTGGGGAATCTCGGTCGATATTTTCGTGGCAGCAGGACTAGCAGGTGTTGACCATACGTACCAAACTCTAGATCCCATTTCTTCTGCTATTATCTTTCTTCGTGTAAGTCCTTCTTTATATGGACTATAAGTCCTGTAGCGACTAACAGCGATATCAGCTTCTGTGGATTGAGGGGTTCCCCCTTGTAATCAGTCTTACCCTTGTGAAGATTTCTATTCTTCTGTTTTACACACGAATCTTCGCCACTCGGAAGTTCAGATTGGCCGTGCACATTTTTGTTGGGATTTTGATAGCGTGGTGTATTGCTGTTTGCATAGTTCGTCTCCTGACCCCCCTTTTCAACCGCCCTTCGGGCTTCTACGTCCGCATTCATCAAAATGCCTAGGTGCTTACTGATTTCACGTGTAGTGTCAACTCCTTGCGGCTAATCCCATCCAAGATGCTTGGAATCCGCTAGCCATCAACCCCCTGCGATTTAACTATAACGACTTTTCGCTTGCCTTCGCAGGTATGAGTGTTGTCTTCGACGTCCTCGTACTTTGCTTCCCTATCCCCCTCATTCGCAAGTTGCAGATGACCACGGCACGTAAGGCACAGGTCCTTGCTATCTTCTGGCTCGGCATCTTTTGTTGCGTCGCGTCCGCCATACGATTCTACTACCTCGAGGAAGAGATCAGCGCGACGGTCGTCAGCACCGGCCAGGACCGCTACCTGAGGTCGGTGACGGCCTTTATCTGGGGTACCGTTGAGCCTAACACCAGCGTTATAGCTGCGTGTCTGCCGTGCTACGCTCCGCTCTTCGCGAAGCATCGCGGGCTCCCGACGCTGTTCGCGAGCTTCGGATCCCTGTTCAGCAGTTTCAGGAGTCGCGACAGCAGAGCGAGGGCGAAGAAAGGCAGTGCTTTGCTGGAAACCGACGACAGCTATCAACTCCAGAAACCAACTGCCAGCGCGTCTAGGCAGTGGGACGATTACGACGGGGCTCAACCGTCCTATAATATTGATACAGAGCGAGGATACAGGTTTCAGAGCGGACAAAAGCCGCACGGATATATCCATCCTTCTCAAATCGAGGTTACACGAGAGTTCATAAGAACAGACTAGGAATCCGGGCTACTAAACCTCTTTGGGGCTCATGAAAAAGTGTTCCGAATGTATTATATCATATCCTTTGTACAAATGTAGTGTTATTTCTATACTTTCCTACAACCCTATAACTTCTTCATGTTAAAGAACGTTCGTCACGCAGAACACGTAGTCCAATATCCTCAAGTATATTATACCCCAGCTGTTTTTACTAGTAAAATAGATCTATTTTTCCTATTCTCTTGCTACGGTAGAGCGTTCCGATTCTCTCTTGTTGCGATACTGTCTGTGTAAGTGTCACATGGCCACGCTGCCAAGAAGTGCTGAAGCATTAAGACAACCAACAGGGCGGTGGGGGTGAGGCTCTTGGTTATGATGAACCCTGAAGACATGCACGTCTCAGGCACCTGCACCAACATCAAATATATACCTAGTTTTGAGACTCCCGCCTCGAAGAATGAGGCCAAGGACCTAGAGACTCTTAGAGAGTTATTGTTTAATTTGAATACTCAGTTCCAACCCCTCATTTCAAGCCCTTGTCACAATAAGGTCCTTGTAGGTGGCGATAGCAACGTCAACCCCTCGAATCGATATCGTTCTACTTGTTGGTGGTGTGGTAGTTTCATAGTCACGCAATAGCCTAACTAGAGGGATATGGATCCTCTATAGCGACTGGACACGGACTAGCTAACGCGATCCAGCGTCAGGCACAGATAGACAGCCCTAACACCCTTATGTATGAAATAGATTCTAGACCCCTCTAGTTAATAATGACCACATTGCAACATGGATATCAATTGAGATTTCTAGCTTACAGAACTGTTGGTAAGACAAGGATTACGATATCGCAAGAAATAGTAGTATGAGGAAAGGTTGTTTATTGATTGATTGGTCAATCCCCATTAAACATAAGGATCCCCCCCTATTTACAATATCTATGCGCGTACCATGTTAGCCTGATGACTGATTCGTATTTCGGCTGGAATATCTCTTTAAAGTGTTTCTATTACTGAATTCACGTTGCAATGGTTTTCGTAATTATAATTATTAGTGCTTGAACTTGTTTTTTTTCCTTTTTTTCGGGATTCGTTCGGGATATTCTATCGACCCAACCTCGTCAGGATTAGGAAGGCCATCTATGCGTAATACTCTAAGCGTTTCTATTAGGTGCATTACTGAGGAAGAAATGCTTCATTGGAGGCATCCGTAACGTTATGGATCTAAGAGATCTTCCCCAGTTCAGGATCATGGAGCCGCAAGCCTAGCGCTCAAGAAGCCGTACATTAGGTACATGTAAAAACACTATCACTTGAAGTTGCGGCTTCCGAAGAGGGGGGCAGGGAGTAATTACAAACCCCATGAACCACGATAAGCGTTGTAGCCTCAGTGGGCGAGTAAATTTACCACCTTAGATTACATGGTCTTGTATAAGCGTCTACCTAAGGTACCTATGTTTAGCTGCTCTTAACCTTTCTCGCTTAGAACGCTGAGAACCTTTTTGACGCTGTCGCGGCCCAGACAAGCGTTCTGCCACCTGGTGAAATTCGGGAATTCGTCCGGGTTCCATGCGTGTTCTCCGGTCCGGCTGCTCATGATGAAAGCCACCTGCGAGTTCCACATGGTGAACGCCAAATCGGCATACGTGCACTTATCACCTACAAGCCAGGTCGACTTGGCCAGCACACCGTCGAGAACACCTGCTACGCGCTTGATCTCCTTGCCGTAGCGAATCTTGGCCGACTCGGGGGATTCGCCGTACGCCCCTTCATGGAAGAGGTTGAACCTATACGGGATTAACTGCGATGAGCAACGAATGTTGATGAGGATGCGCAGGCACTGAGCCCCAAGAAAATTGGCCCATGGTCCGAAAAGGAGAAAATATAAAAAGACTTACCAGGCGGCTTGGCCAAAGTAGGGACCTTGACCAGAGGCTTGGAAGTACGACCACTGCTGCGTCAAATACTTCTCAGGAAAGGTGCTGTACGAGATCTTGTTGGCCTTGTCGTAAGTTTCAACCAAGTACTGGCAGGCAGTTAAGAGGGTCAGCTTGACAAGAAACGGGAAAGCGCAGGATGGCTAAGCTATGGGGCTTACCTGGACGATCGCGCCAGACTCCCAAAGTGTAATGTTGTGGTTTGGATCCTCAATAGCCGGAACGCGGCCGTTGGGGTTGACATCAGTGTAGGGTTTCTGCTTGAGGCCTTGGAGCTCGACCCATGATGTCTCATAAGGTAGGTTGAGCTCCTCAAGGATGATAAGAACCTTGGAGGGGTTAGGAACGTGGTCTATAGGGGTGAAAATGTTAGTAAAGTCCAAGTAAAAACATGTCATTACTTACTCCTCCAGTAGAGCTTGATTGGCTTGAGGCCCATTGTGATAGGTATTTCTAGGTAGCTTGTGAGAGTAGTAGTAGTAAGGAAAAAGTGACGAAGACTTCGAAAAGAATTGTCAAATAATTGGGAAATGAACGACAAATTAAGATCACAATATTAAGCGTGATAGCCAAACTCTTTGAGAGGCAAGGTTCCGGGAACTCGGGGGAATGGGTCAGTTGTAAGATCTAACTAACACCGACTTACAGATTACACCCAATTGCGCCGCGCATATGCGTCCAATGGGAAGTAAGGACGCGATATAAAGTACCAGTACATGCCTATAGGTCTTAGTTTGTATCATAAATACTACCTTGGTATCAAACCAAGGGTTGGGGACAGGAAGCTAAGTATGTCCTGAAGCGCGAGAAGGTAACAATTACTATATTATAGGAATAGTAGTAGAATAAAGTGAACCAATGTCAAGGTGCAATATGGCCTGTGCCTTACTGTTCCTTTCTTACACTTCAGGGCATAAGCGACCAGATAACATGTGAGTCTGACTACCTGCAGTCAATACCTGGTATAGGCCTTCTAACGAAGGATGACTTAGTAGAAAGACACCCAGGTGAACTGTAAGAAATTTATACAATTGGCGCCAACGCATCGGTATATCGAGGTTATCCAACTACTTAAATATTAAGGTAGCTACCACGGCATGAAGCTCAGTTTCCGTTTCAGTTTCAGTTTCTAGGCTAGACTTTGTAATAGCACGAAGGAGTTGCTACTTATATTGTCTACTGCTGATATTGTCTGTGCCTTTCTGATCTGTGTGCTGAAGCAGAACAATTGCATGGTGCCTCTATCAGTATGGCAAACACAACGTTTCCTTCTTCGAGCACCCTCGACGATGCTTTCATTCAGTTCTTCTCTGAGGGATTGTCTTTGACACGGGTGCTCGCAACCGTGGTAGGAGGATACATACTCTTCTCTACCCTCTCGCAGATATTCGGCTACAAGTATCCTCTCTTCGGCGTGTTTTTCCAGCTTGAGCCAATCATGATTTCCAACTATCGTTTCTTCACCCGCGCCGATGAAATCTTGAATGAAGGCTACTCGGTAGTGAGTTGACCTGGCATCTGGGAGTACACGATGTAGTTATCCACTGGCTGACCTTTACACCAGTGCAAAGACAGGATCTTCCAATTTAGAAGAGCCGACACAGACATGCTCGTACTTCCGTACAAGTATGTAGAGGACATCCACAGGCTCCCAAACACCGTGGCGAGCCCCACGGTTGCTCACGTTCACAATCTTATGGGCTCTGCGACGAACATGCACGTTATTCTCCGGAATAACTTGCATTTCCGCACTCTCCAGGTCAAGCTCACGCCCAACCTCAACTCACTCACAAAGCCTATGCAAGAGGAGGTGAACTTTGCTGTTGAAAAAGAGCTTTCGGATTCTGAAGGTATTTATACAATTAAGATATCCTATTAACGATCGTAATATCTAATATTTGTAAACTAGACGAATGGGTGACGATAGAACCGTACCATACCGTTCTCGACTTAGTCGCCCGTGTGAGCGCTCGGATTTTCCTTGGCAAGCCGATGTGCCGGAATTCGGAGTGGCTCGAGATATCCACACAGTTCACCGAGAACGTGTTTGTGTCCCTAGTCTTCTTGCGGCTCTTCCCGATGTGGATCCATGGAATCCTCTCCTGGTTCATGCCCTCATCGTACAAAGGAACCGCATATATCAGGAAGGCCAAGAACCTACTTGTTCCGGAGATCAACCGCCGACGCAACGCAGAAGCCAATGGAGAAGGCATTCCAGAAAGGACAAGCACAACCTCCTGTCATGGATGATGGAGATTGCCACTCCTGAAGAGGGCGAGGCGTCGGATCTTGCCCATCTCGAGGTCGTCTTGTCGCTCGCGTCGATTCACACCTCGCAGATGAACGCGGTACATTGTCTCTACGACCTCCTAGCTCATCCTGAATACCTCGAGCCGATTCGAGATGAAATCCGAGCTGTAGTGGCCGAAGCAGGCCCCTGGATGAACTAGAAAAAGCCTCAATACTCCAAGCTGCGTAGGCTCGACTCGTTCATGCGAGAATCTCAGCGCATGAACCCACCAACTCTGCTATCCATGCATCGCGTCCTGCTCCAGAAGGTCAAACTATCAGACGGCACTGTCCTACCAAAGGGCTCCCACATCAGCATGGCGGTCAACTCCATCCAAAACGACCCCGAGGTGACACCCGAGCCCAAGAAGTTCGACGGCTTCCGGTACTACAACCTCCGCCAGCGCGAGGGCGAGGGCCATCTGCACCAGCTTTCGACGACGCAAAGCCGGATCCTTAACTTTGGGCACGGCCCCAATGCTTGCCTGGGGCGCTTCTTCGCCAGCCTCGAAATCAAAATTATCCTCGTACGTCTACTCATGGATTACGAATTCAAGTTTAAGCATGGCAGCGAGCGCCCGGCGAATTTGCGTGCGCACGAGTTCATTTTCCCGAACCCTCATGCGGAAATCCTTATGCGCCGCCGGCCTGCTTCGGAGCGGCTACCAATCTATTGAGTGGCCCCCGCGCCCCAAAAGCTATTATCCCAGTTAAAGTTACTCGCGGAACAACGAAGTTATTTTCTTTACCTAATGCTCTACGACGTAGTAGCTTCGAAAATGTTATCAGCTGCATAGATGAATATAGACCCCAAGATGTATAAGGTGCCTAGTTACCTATCTAGGCGACAGCCAGTATGGCCTGACCGTCAAGACTAAAAGGTGCAGAAGTATTCTGTTATTTTGCACAAGTAAACCATATCTCACTTTGGGAGAAAACCAGGGGGCCCCTGAAAACTCGCGAGGCACCCATGAACACACCTGAGACCCAACTGGAATCTAGCACCGAGACGCTCGGTAATACGTAGGCAGTACCCGCCCTCTTTATGGTATAATTGAATAAAATAGCGTGATAGAATTCATGGTGTATAACGCCGGGGTGAATCTAGATAGGCAGTTGGCAGCTCGGGAGTTTTAACAATAGGTAACTGAATGTTATCCTCTCGGGTGCTGTGTTTTTAGCAAAATAGGCAGTGAATATCATGTGTTAGTTACATTGATTTAAAAGGACTAACACACCCTGTATAACATCGTGGCATCGTAATATCTTTACTCTTAGCCACTTCTGACCAACATGTACCGGTACTCGGGGAGCTAATGGCTAGGTATTCTATTAATCAATACCTATCTAGGTAGTATATAATGAAGGATACAGCGAGATATTGATATAATTGTTCTCTTAAGCTTAAGTTACCTACCTCCTATTCATAATCAATTACTCTATTCTTCGGACTTAACTTTCAGTCCCCCAGATCCCATTATCGCCGTTTTATTTTCATGTCGCCATCACCTATCACCATGACCGCATCACCAGATCGTGAGAGAGTTGGATCTTCCCGTGACATCGTTCAAGATGCAAGAAGTGCTATTGGACGTCTTGCAGAGCGTTGTTCACAACCGAATGGCTTTGGGTCTTTTAGTATATCCATCTATGACACAGCATGGCTAGCCATGATTCACAACCCTGGAGTCTCAGGTCGTTGGCTCTTTCCGCAATCGCATTCCTACCTCTTACGCCACCAAGCCGAGAATGGAATGTGGCCGACCTATGCCTCACCCATTGATGGCATTCTCAACACGCTGGCCGGGCTCTTGGCTCTTGTCAAGCATCACAAGTCTGACGCCATCAGCGCTGACAGTCCGCATCCAGCTGAGAGTTGGGACGTGCCGAAAAGAATCGAGAAGGCGTGTGGAGCCCTTCAGCTAGCACTGGACGACTGGGATGTGAAGCAGACTCTGCACGTCGGCTTTGAGGTGCTTGTGCCGGGTCTGTTGAGGCAACTCGGCGAGGAAGGAGTTACCTTTGAATTCAACGGCCAACCGGCGCTTATGGCTTTATACCAGAAGAAGCTTGCCAAATTCCGCCCAGAGATGCTTGCATCGGAACACCCGACTACGTTGCTGCACTCTTTAGAAGCCTTGGTTGGCTCGTTCGATTTTAGCCTTGTACGGCATCATTGTAGCGCCTACGGAGGCATGCTAGGATCTCCATCATCAACAGCTGCTTATCTCATGCATTCGAAAGAGTGGGATATCCGAGCGCAAAAATATCTAGAAAACGTCGTCAAGAGTTATGGGTCTTGCGGTGGTGTACCAAGCGGCTTCCCTACTCCTATATTCGAGATCTCGTGGGTCGTCTCGACACTATTTTCGAGTGGTTTAAGCGTCGAAGACTTCCACGATAGCGATCTTCACGTTATCGCCGAATACCTACAAAAGGCCTTCGATAATCAAAAAGGTATCTTGGGCTTTGCCCCCACTTTCCTTCCTGACGCGGACGACACAGCAAAATCGCTACTTTCGTTGACGGCTCTTGGTGTGCAAATCGACCGCGCGCCTCTCATTCGGAATTTCGAAGGCAGCGGTCACTTCAAAACATACCAACTAGATGGGACACCAAGCCTGAGCGCGAACTGCAATGTTCTCCTCGCGCTTCTTACGGCTCCAGACGTTGACCAATACGCCCCACAGATCGAGAAAGCAACTAGGTTCCTGTGTAGCCGTTGGAGCGCAAATAGACTACAAGACAAGTGGAATTTAGCCGTGGAGTACACATATATGCTGCTGGCTTCCGCGCTTCTCAGCTGTTAAGCGTCTATGCCAATGGCTCGCTGAGACGTCTAGCTGCGGAACTCATTAGAATCACCGTGCCTGTCATCCTCGTTCAACTCCTCGGTCGTGCCCTGTTCAAACAGCAAGCCAATGGGTCGTGGGAGGACTCGGTTGAAAGAACGTCGTACGGGGCTTTGCTTATTTCTTATGCCCTCAAACTGCCCTGGCCCACTCCCGTGAGACAGCAGGCCGAAGCCGCCTTGCTCAAAGCCAAGACATATTTAGAGGCTCACTCGGACGAGTGGGCGACCGGCGACTATGCTTGGATCGAAAAGGTGACTTACAAGCTACCAACGCTTTCCGAGACGTATTGCCTGGCAGCCATGCGATCGTCCGCGAAGGCGCAATCGTGGACGCCGGAGATCGAGCAAATCTTCGAGGCTAATGTCGGTAAGATGAAGATGATGGCCAAGTTCTAGAGCCGCCTCCCGCTTCTTCGAGGGCTCTCGGAAGCAACCATGGCCTTCGCGATCTACGAAGCAGCCATGTACTTCAAGCGTCTGAAGCAAGTACGCCTGGACGTGTTTCCCCGCGACGACATAGCCATGTCGGCAGACAAGTACCTCGAGTACATTTCGGTCGCGTGGACAACCACCAACGCCGTGAACGGGTTCGCGCTGTCCGGCGACGAGATGTGGGAGATGATGGTCATCTCGATGCTCAACTACCAGGCGGACGAATACATGGAGTCCGTCGTCACGCGTCTGGCCGAGCCGAGCAGCCAGGTCTTGGGCGTTATTGGCGCGGAGATCCGCCACGGCGAGCAAGGCCTTCCCGCCCATCTGTCGCTCCAGTCAGCGGCCGCTTTCCAACCGACGGTTTCCGGCGCCGACCGCGGCACGCCTCCCGGGTCCCCCGCCTTTGCGGATGTCGCTGAAGTACTATTCAAGTACATCAGACACGTGAAGCAGCATCCGGCTCTGGTGAAGAGCCCGGAGACAGCCCAGTTGCGCGTGCTGCAGGAGCTCGAGAAGTTCCTGCTAGGACACATCGCGCACAACGCCGACAATGTGAAGCTGAGAGAGCGCCGGAATGGCGGGGGTCGCGGTCGGCACGATCAAGTGCCATACTATGATTGGGTCCGTACGACGGGTGCTAACGACACGAGTTGTCCGTATTCGTTTTCCTTTCTCTGCTGCCTCATCAGCGCCGACGGCTCGCACTGCCTGGCCTCCACGGAGCAAAAGTACCTCGCCCGGGAGATGTGTCTTCATCTAGCCACGCTTTGCCGCCAGTGGAACGACTATGGCTCCGCGATGCGAGATGACGCTGAAGGCAACCTCAATAGCCTTCACTTCCCCGAATTTGCAGATAAAGATGGGGAATCCATGTCCTCTTTAACGGCCGTCGAAGACGGCGGAAGAGATCGTTCGCTCGAGAGGGCGAAGGAATTGTTGATGCAGGTGGCTAATATAGAGAGGACCTTGATGCAGGTTTCTTGGGACGCGCTCTCGCCGAGCCTTGAGGAAGATGTAAGAGCGAAGATGAAGGCGTTCATCGATGTCACGGATTTATTTGGCCAGATATATGTGGCTCGAGACATTCCTAGCAAGGTGCTAGTATAGTGTGCTGTAGAATATAGTTTGATATTTGACTACCTAAGATACTACTTGCGAAACTACAGAGAGACCCTTTCAGGATCATGTTTCGTGGCAGCGTCAATGTTGAAACAAATTGACTTATATTAAGATAGATACAATATATCCCCCAGATTCGACATAGGTATTCTATCAAAAACCTAGCAGGAAAGGTTCGAAAAACTTCCGCTGGGTACCTACCTAGATACATTGTAGAGCGGTTGAAATTTGTACTAAAAATTCACTTACACATAGATACCTTTAGTTTAATAGAGAGGTACATATGCTGATCTCTCTCTTAGTGCTCTTGAAGACCGTTCATTGGCTGCGCAACCGGTGCGATTGGTGGCGTCTTACCCTATGGCCTATCTGAGATGGATGGTCTTGCCAGCCTGCGCGGCCGGAGGTGGATCTTCATCATCTAGGACATCATCTCTTGTTTGGCTACCCTACTCTCGTAAATTTCCTTGTGGGATCCCCCGAAAAAGCGGATTGGTCGTGGAGAGCCTTAGTCAAGGAGGAACGTGACTTCATCATTCTCTACTATGGTGAGTCTCGAACCCGAAGAGACATAGAAGCATTGGCATGACTAACAGCCGCAATCAAGAGTTCCGGCACCGCAAGATTGGCGTTTAACCGAATCGAATCAATGACAACCTGCAGACTGACAACCAAGATGCAGAGGCAATTTTCTGCAAGGGCCTCCAATGGTCAACATAGTTGCCGCAGGACGGAATAGAAATCATGGCTTAGGTTGCTGCGCTTTTCGCTAGGCGTATTATAAATTAATGCTACAGTCAAAGCTATGAAATACCACGCCACTGCGCCAAGTACGAAATATCTTTATGGCGACAGCTGAGAGGTATGCGAGACTGCGGGGAAATACCGAAATGAGGGTCGCGCAGAGCCTGAACTGCCTTATTAGGCTTTGAGATTTGGGAGATGCCGCTTTGCATACATGCATATATCAGGCAGGCAGGGCAGGGTTGGCATCGTATGCACTCCTCGGATAGGTAAGTCCCATATTATCTAGATGTAACCCTTCCCCGAGATTTATATACCCTCTTGAAATCCACGACTTCGAGATGTTGGGTGATTCCACAACCTTTTGGTAGGCATTATTACCCACAATGCACTTGCGCGAGTCGCTGTTGGGGCTTTGCCTCGGCATCAACCCGTTCGCCGCCGCCAGTAGTGCATTGCTTTCAGAACCCGGCGAGGTTGCCATCATACCCTCGTGGGATATACAATCGTCGGAACGAGTTGGCACGGATCTCGCAGCATTGTCCCGACCGGGCTTAGACACGAAAACATGGCACGAGATCGACAGTCCCCGCTGTACTCTCATGGGCTGTCTAATACAAGCTGGCGTATATCGGGAGAGCGGGCTGTTCTTCTCGGACGCGCTGAAGAGCTTCAATTCTAGTCAATTTAAAGTCCCTTGGATATATCGGAAAGAATTTACTCTTGACCCTAGCCCGGGCAAACACTATTTCCATCTACAGACTCACGGGATTACCTCGAGCGCCGATATTTTCGTTAACGGCCAAGAGATTGCAACCAAGAAATTGCAGGCGGGGGCGTACGTCGGGAATACCTACGATATTACCAAAATAGCGAACAAGACGAACGCGCTTGTGATTAAAGTCTATCCGACCGATTACAATTATGACTTTGGCGTATTTAGCCCCTGAAACTCGTAGTCGCGATAAGCAATTACTGACTCTACCTTTTAGCTAGGATTTGTGGACTGGAACCCTTATCCTCCGGATAATGGCACTGTATGTGAAACCTGGGTTTATCATAATTAGATTGATAGTGATTGGTACTGACATTCCTCATAGGGTATATGGCGAAACGTGGAAATCAAGCAGACGGGTCTCGTCACATTGGATCCCCTACGAGTAACGACACAAGCCAGCTTGCCAATTGGTCATTCTAGCGCACTCATAAATTTGAAGACGACCGCTACGAACTTGGAAGATCGTGAAGTTACCGTTGAGTTAGCTGGTACTATTTCCTTAGAAGGCGCCAACGAGAGCTATGAACTGAACCAGACCATCACACTCCCCGCATTAGGATCTGCGGAGGTGGCCTTGCAAACAGCAATAAACGAGCCGGCGATTTGGTGGCCAAAACAGTGGGGAAGCCAACCGCTGTATATAGGACAGCTAACTGCCTCCGTGGACGGATCCATCTCTGACAAGATAGGGCGGACCTTTGGTATTCGCCAAGTAACGGCGGAGCTCAACGCGGGCAACGACACGATCTTCTTCGTTAACGGCTATCCTTTTCAGGTCGTGGGCGCTGGCTATTCTCCGGATCTCTTCCTCCGCTGGGATAGCGCCAAGTTTACAGCGCAAGCCAAGCTGATGCTCGACTTGGGCCACAACACGGTCAGATTGGAGGGCAAGAACGAGCAGCCGGAGCTGTACGAGATTACGGATCGCCTAGGCTTGATGGTTCTGCCAGGCTGGGAATGTTGCGATAAGTGGGAGGCTTGGACGTACAACGACAATTTGGCTGTCAAGTCGGACTGGACGGAAGCGGACTACTCGATAGCGAACAAGAGCATGTACCACGAGGCAATCATGCAGCAGAGCCATCCGAGCGTATTGGGATATCTAGTAGGAAGCGACTTTTGGCCGGACGACAAGGCAGCGGAAGCATACTATAAGTCGCTTAAAGCGGCGGATTGGCAGACGCCTATTATTGCTTCGGCTTCGGAAAGGGGCTACCCCAAAATCTTGGGGCCGTCAGGATTGAAAATGGCCGGCCCTTACGACTGTAAGTGAGATTTCGATACTACCGGTTTAGCCTTACTCTGAAACTATTCTACCTAAGCCGTCGTCCTTCCGGAATTGTAGAGCTGATCTCTAGTATTTGAAATATTATAGGGGTACCGCCAAATTACTGGTATGATGTAGAGCCATCGGAAGACCGTCTAGGAGCCGCTTTTGGCTTCGGGTCTGAACTGGGCAGCGGTGTTGGAACACCGGAAATCAGCAGCCTCAAGAAGTTTCTTTCGGAAGCAGACCTGAACGACTTGTGGAAGAAACCTAATAAGGGGCTGTATCACATGTCTACGAGCATCTCATCATTCTACGACCGAAAGATATATAACAATGCTCTCTGGAAACGCTACGGGGCACCTACGTCGCTAGAAGATTATCTGTTGAAAGCCCAGATGCAAGACTACGAGGCGACAAAGTCCCAGTTCGAGGGCTTTGCATCTCTATGGAGTGCTGACAGGCCAGCGACAGGATTGATCTACTGGATGCTGAACAATGCATGGCCAAGTTTGCATTGGAACCTGTTCGACTACTACCTGCACCCTGCCGGATCGTACTTTGGAGCAAAGGCTGGGGCTAGGATAGAGCACGTCGCATATGATTACAACGGAAAGCTTGTGTACTTGATCAACCGCTCCCTAGATCGGAAGGGGTCAAGGACGGTGACGGTCGACATCATTGACAAGAACGGTAAAGCGATTCATAATAGTCGGGAAAGTTTCGATACCGTACCCAATAACAGCGTAGATATCATAGACCTCACTCAGGTTCTCAAGCCGGTCACGGATATTGTATTTTTGCGGCTGGTTCTTTCGGATGATAAGAATGTTACGCTTAGTCGGAATGTCTACTGGCTGTCGAAGACCATCGACACCTTGGACTGGGAGAACTCCGACTGGTTTTACACACCCGTGACCAAATATGCCAATTACACAGCCCTGAACAGCTTGCGGCCTGCCGAAGTTACCGTCAAGACCACAGCGACATCAAAGCGGGACTCGGAAGCGAAAGCGGCTGAGGTGGTGCTCGAGAATCACTCTTCTGTTCCTGCTTTTTTCATTAGGTTGAACCTTGTTAAGGAAGACGGGGAGGACGTTTTGCCGGTGATCTGGTCTGATAACTATGTCACGCTATGGCCTTACGAGAAACTTGAGCTTCAGGTCCAAGGCGAGGGCGCTGCTTATGTACAGGTTACCGGGAAGAACATCCGGAAGGCTCAGATATTTTTACATTAGGTACCTCCTAAGCTGGGATGATTTTGGAATACCTAGTGAGAATAATGAATTATTTTATTGCTGAGTTTTAATACACTTGGTTGGTGTTGGTAAGATCGATAAAATCATAAGCAGAAAAAAAAAAAAAAAAAAAAAAAAACTCTTTTAACGCTGTATCCCAACAGACCATAAGCTGAGTTAAGGAGGTAGGTAATTGCGCGCATATCAGGTACGAACTCATTCATATCCTATCAATTCCGACTTCGCTCATCCACCTTTCGACTATTATTTCAGGTCATCCCAGCCCCAGAAATCGGAACAAGTCCATATCGTCCTCTCGATGACATCCCGGCGCGGGTTGTACCAGACGCCCGGGTCGTCGGGCTGGCCCTCGTCGCGGAAGGCGAGCACGTACCCGGCCTTCTTGACGAGCTGCCGCGACTCGAAGCACACGTGCGCCAGCGGCATGCGCAGGCGGCTCCTCTCCAGCAGCTGCATCTTGAGCCCGGTCGAGGCGTAGACGAGCGCGTTGAACACCCGCGTCTCGGGGAGGGCGTGCTCCCATATGAGGGCACGTAGTTCGGGGGGCAGGTCCGCAAACGTTTTTGCGGGCTTGTGGCTCATTTTCATCGTTGCCTCGTGGATGGTATCGTCACCGGGGCCGGGGCCGGGCTCGGGCTGTGGTTGGTCGCTTAGACGAGGGGTCTGGGGGTTGTCTCTTGGCTCGCTGCCGATGCTGCTAGGATCAGAGCTAGAGCTGGAGCTAGAGCTGGAACGAGAGCTAGGGCAGGGACTTTTGTTGCGGGGAGTGGAGCAAGTCGATCTTAAGGCTGACGGGTCGTGCATGGCGTGGTTTGCTTTTCTCTTAAATGTTTCTATTTCTGGATAATTTTCTAAGGGGAAAGAATAGAAGAATGAAAGAAAAAGATCAATAATGCAAGAGTGAAGCACCGGCGGCACCTACGAGATTATATACTTCTCTAGGTGTTTGAACATTACATTAGGTACCTCACATGTGAGCTACGTTAGGTAAATAGACCTAGGCTGCTAGGCTAGAAGTGTTACACACACTTATTGTGTAGCACCAAACACCCCCACCTTCTCAAAAATAACCTTGGAAGTCAATGCAGTTGCCTGCAGTTGTTATGCAGTTGCTACGAAAAGGGGATTGTGTAACGTGTGTTGGCTGTGTTTCTTCGCAATGGTATGATTAGATAAGAGGTAGGAAAGAAGAAGTAACTAACACAATTATAAAAGGTGAGGTTTGGAGTTTTTTTTGGAGTTTTTTTTTTGAAAAAAAAAAAAAAAAAAAACCCGCAAAAGAATCCTACTAGGTACCTGTACCTAACCTAAACCAACAATGTCTCTTCCTACTGAGCCCATTATCCTTACTGCTCTCTCATCCTACCGTACACACATCGGTACCCAGAACTATCGCGCCTCTTCGGCCATCATTCCAGATATTAAGGCAGCCGATCCTGAAGACCCGGAACTTTTTGACTCGGAAGAGGAGGTAGAAGAGCTTCGCCTGGAATTTACTCTGAACATTGTTGGAGCCAGCCATGATACACGCCCGCCGATCACTCATCCCTCGGATCTACTGACGCATTGGGACGCACTGGCGCCCCAGCTCGCCCTCGATGGAGCCGCGGTAGATCCCGACGCCTCCTGGCGCGACAAGATGAGAGATGTTTACAAGCAGGGAGTGCTACGAGGCCTCAACGAGCGGTGCACTGGTACCGTGACTACCTGGGAGTTCCCTAGCGATTTAGCTGTCGTTCTGCAGCATGTAGACAGCCTCGAAGGTCCTGGCTGGTATAAATATCGCGACAACCACAAGACTTTAATTTTCTTCGAGGGCTGGGTTCGCAATCGCGGAATGGGTGACTTGACGGAAGAGATCGTTCTAGAACAGGTTAGGACGGCTGGCGAGATCATCGAGCGGACGGTTGGACTCGAGGACGAGTATGAAATTGCTGGAGGCTGGGTCTGCAGTGAGAAGGGAAACGAGGCGACTTGCTACGTCGTGTACAGCCGACCGCAAGACGCAGATAGAGAGCAGCGTTGGTCGTGGCGCTACGTCGCTTCCCTGGGACAGTTCGGTACACACGTGTTTGAGAATATAGTCGAGCTGCTCGAGTGGTATCAATCTTACGAGGAGATTCCCGAGGTGGACTGGAGTGTCTCTGCCGAGGAAGTATTTCAGCCTTGAAATCTCACTGGCTCGTCCAACTGGATACCAGGTAATATTCCAATTCATCTACATGCTGGTAACTGTAACTATAGGCTATTTACTATTGACGCAACATCACCCGTAATCCATACAGAGCAAGCATCAATTGTACATCATCCCCATGTGGACGAGCAGCTCCCAGAACTGTATAGACTAGGACATGAATCCAACAAAAGAGGGCCGGAAATACAGACCTACCGCCTCCCGGTAAGCGACGGCCGGTCCGCTGCTTCACTAGCAGGAAAAAACTATGATATCCGAGAAACAATAACAACATTAGCCGTTCAACCCAGGCCCCCCATCTTTCTTGAACCCTGGAAAAAGCGAGTGGGGACAGTAAGAGTTCTAACCCCTCGCTGTAATAGCTCTGCCATCTGTAAAGGGACACATGGCCGCGAAGGATGGTGTATCCCTTTTGGAAAATCTCGATTAAGGGCCGAACAGTTCGCGGAAATCTTTTCTGCCAGGAATCTGAATCTATACTCCTAGGGTGCTCAAGTCTGCCTTCAATGGCCCAGAAGGTCGAAGCTGACTTGCTGACAAGGCGCGTGCACGAAGCCTCAAGCGCTCCCTTCATCTCAGCGTACACCGAATCGTCATGACTGGCGCCGTCTTGGCTCAGCCCAGTTGATCGGAATGTCGTGGCCAAGTGACAGTCTCTATGTGGATTATACAGACGAAAGCCATCATCTCTCGTCGGATCATAGTCAAGCACCCAGACTGTAGCGACCGATTTCTCGGCGTGGAAGCCGATGGGGAACCGATGGAATGGCTCTTGCTCATCAGCCCGTCCATCTTGGTCTGCGACATCAAGAGAGGCCGCCGTGCCTAGATACATGTGGTCTATGCGGCTGCGCAGGTAGACCAGAGCCATCAGTGAGAGATGGCTTTGCACGAAAGAGCGCTGCTCCCCGTCCAAATGCTCATCTCCAGGCGCATCGGTCTGTTCAAAGGCCCACGGGTACCGCCTGCCAATCGGATCTGAGAAGCAGGCTTCCATTGGCAGGTTACCTGTCTCTTCCACGGATGATGAGACGGTGCCATCATTTAGGCTGCCCCATAGAAATCCCGCGTTAGGCACGTACAAAGAAAGAGGTAGAAAGGGAATCAGGGCATACTCTGGAATATGCCTAGCATATCGCGCCAGGTCCAAAGCCTCCAGACTGACGGGTTCTTGAGGGCTTAGAGAACGACGGGTAGAAGCGTCTAGAAAGTGCAAGTTATGGTTTATTCCAGCGAATCCAGCTGATGTCTCGGAAAAAGGGCTCAATAAGCCGTACACTGCGACCAACAGCAACAGAGGCAAGCAAACAGTACGGAGAACGGCGAGCGCTAGTTTCCGCGCTAGCTGCGGCCCGTTGGAAGAGATTTTCGTTGAAGATATTGAGTAAAGATCCTGTGCAGTAACTGCAAGATATCCGAGGATCCAGTCAGCGGCATTACATCCTAGCATGCCCGCAAAGATGACCAGGATTTGGCGTGCCCAGCCAACTCGAGCACCACCTTTACCCCTGAAATTTAAGAGGGGCAGCAGGAGAAGACATGCGGCTACGGCCGCTGATGCCTCAAGTGGGTTAGCTTCATCAGTGCACATGTTCACGAGCCGTTGCCAAACCTGGAGGAATAGGACTGCACACGATGCAGTTGGTTCAATCCGCCACCAACCGCCAACATGCAGATTGGCCGTATGATATAGCACCATATATGTCGACGTCAGCCGGGCAGCTACGATAGTGGAGCGCAGCGCCTCATTAGGAACAACTACCGCGAAGAGGTATGATAGTGGAGGGAAGAGTTCCAACGTAAGCTGTCCCCCGGCTAGGAGCTCAGCGTTGACTCGATGCCGTCTTTTAACCTCGTCAATCGTTTTGCTGCCTGAGGTAGCTACTAGAAGGGTAAGGAAGCAGGAAGTGAGCGTTTGGAGGAATTTCCATCGGCGGCTTGGCCTAAGTGCGCGGTAGTCTTTGGGTGCCATCGCGAGGTCGTCGTTGAAACTCTGGTGGATGTCTTGGACTGCCGTTCGATCGAGAGCCATTTGGGGTCTAAAGAAAAGACGGCACAGATTTTCTGAGAGTCGAGACTCAGTCGCATACATGTAATGTTGATGAACTACTCACGCCACATCTTGCAAGATATATTGCTAACTCCCACGTTGTCATACGCCTCTGTTAGTCTGTTTAATCGGATCCGCTTATGACCCTGTATGTCACTACCAACACTTTGTTGGAAGTGCAAACCCATGAAGAAACACCAAAAAGATATGCTCATGTATTCAAATTAGCTAATTTTGATTTTTATCAACCGGGATTATTGGTGCGGGATGGGTAACTGTATGACTCTACAGATATGAACGGCACAGAGTGTTACCCAACATGATTCAATCGGCCATATTGGTAATGTTGGCCGGTGAGAACTGGCGGTTGGGCTGGAAGAAGTTAGTCATATCGACGAAGAAGCACCGATGAGGAGGATATAAAAGCGCTTGGAATAATGAGAGTTGGACGCAACGAAGATTGGAGTTTGCGAGCGACAAGAGACAAGTCAATGTTTGAATCAAGCATCATGAATTGGGTCCTACGGCTATTTGTATATCTTTGGCTTTGCTCCTACAGCCTCGCGCTTCCAGAGTTTCTGGGTGCTCCCGCTTACTTACCCGGTGTCCACAACCTTATCAAGAGAAACGACTGCAAGACCGAGACTGTTATTTCCGGCGATGGCTGTGGATCTCTCGCCAAACGTTGTGGCATTTCAGGGGCCGACTTTACAAAGTACAACCCAGACCCAAATCTCTGCTCGACTTTATAGATTGGGCAACGTGTCTGCTGTGTGAGCAACTTGTATAAAACAGAGCTATATTACAAGAGCTAATCTTGTCAATCAGTCTTCAGGAACACTTCCCGACATCCGGCCAAAGCCGGAGCCCAACGGGACTTGTGCCTCGTATACCGTAAAAGAAAATGATACCTGTTCCAGCATAGCAGCAGCCAACGGCCTCAAATCATCAGAAGTTGAAGATTTCAACAAGGTCAAAACGTGGGGCTTCTACAGCTGCGATAACCTCGGTCTCGGGGTCAAAATCTGTTTGAGCGATGGCGACGCACCGTTGCCGGCTCCCCAAAAAGACGCCATCTGTGGCCCTACGGTGCCTGGCACTAAACAGCCACCAACAGGAACCAATATAAGCGACTTAAACCCCTGTCCTCTCAATGCCTGCTGTAACATCTGGGGACAGTGTGGCATTACAGGCGATTTTTGCGTGCCAACTAAGGGCAAGTTTGGTAACCCCGGTACAGGGCCGACAGGCTCGAATGGCTGCGCATCTAGCTGTGGCCGCGAGATCGTCAACAATGACGGAACTCCAGGTTCTTTCATCTCAGTTGGATATTACGAGTCCTGGAATATGGATAGACCCTGTTTGACCATGAAATCTAAGTCGATCGCCAGCTTGAAGTATACACATGTGCACTGGGGGTTTGGAAAAATTGCACGAGACATGAGCGTCAGTATTGACGACACGCACAAGCAGTGGGACGACTTCAAAAAATTGAACGCCTCCGGAATCAAGGTAATTCTATCTCTTGGCGGCTGGGGAGACTCGACCGATCCCGCCACATATGACATTCTTCGGGCAACCATGAGTACAAATGGCCGGGAAACATTCACCAATAACGTAGCCAAATTTGCAAATGACGAAGGGTTGGATGGAATTGATATCGACTGGGAGTATCCGGGGGTAAGTTGCTAAATTCTCTGTCGACAACCCACGTCCTAACCTGGCCTACTTTCTCCATTTCGTCTTCTAGATTACTTATCTCAGTTAACAGGCACCCGACATTCCAGGAATTCCCCCTGGGCAGAAAGAAGACGGCGAAAATTATCTTGCTATGTTAAAAATGCTCAGGAGCAAGCTGGACAAGAGCAAGACTCTTTCTATCGCAGCGCCCGCTTCTTATTGGTATCTAAGGCCTTTCCCCATTTCTAACATGTCGGAGGTGGTCGATTACATTGTCTACATGACATACGACTTTCACGGCTAATGGGATGCAGGCAATAAATTCTCCCAGGAGAACTGCCCAGGAGGCAACTGCTTAAGAAGTCATGGTAATTCATTTCTACCTCTGTCATAAGCTACATCATGACTAACAAGTTTAAACAAGTCAACCTCACCGAAACTATGGATGCACTCTCCATGATCACAAAAGCCGGCGTTTCTACCAAGAAGGTGGTCGTGGGCGTGGCAAGCTACGCACGCTCCTTCAAGATGGCGGACCCAAACTGCTCGGGACCCATGTGCACATTTCTAGGCACCAACATCAGCTCTGAGGCCAAGCCCGGAAAGTGTACCCTTACTAAGGGCTACATCTCCAACGCAGAAATCAATAGCATCATGAGGGATAAGCCAGAAAGCAAGACTTGGCACGATGACCAGGTTGACGCAGATTTTATTATATATGACTGTGAGTAAAACCTTTGATCCTATATGTGATGTTTTGTTGACGGATATCGTGTACTAGCAACGGAGTGGGCTTCTTATATGACCGACGAAACCAAGCAGTCTCGTAGAGAACGTTGGAAAAACCTTAACTTTGCTGGGACCGTCGGCTGGGCGCTCGATCTGCAGGAATTTTCCGAAGACGAAGGCTGTCCAGCAGGAACATGCGATTCGCCAGACACGCTCTATGTAGGCCCTGAGATTTTTACGGATAAGAACCCGACTATAGAATGTAATCCGCCGTGTCAACTTATCTTACCCCCATTCATCCTCCTAGAACCAACCACAATCACATTTCCGCCCATGACCACATCGCTTGAAGTTGCGTGGACCGAAACGACTGTCGTCACCGGCGAAAATAACGAAGTGACTACGAAGTCTTCCATTTCGCGGATCGTGCAAACTACGACAATAACTATTCCTCCCTTGACTACTACTGCTATCGATTTTTGGAATAAGCCTCTCGAATCGGGAAGCAACTCTACACTAATATGGTTGACGTGGAGCCTTTTACCGCCACCATTCGTTATCACAAACGACCCCAATCCGGAACATCAGTCAAATGTATCACATCCTACGGTGACCAGGACCATTTACCCGCCACCGTGGCCTTACTCTGGTTCGGCCTCTGGCTCACAGACTACATCTACCACACTCATCATCATACATGGCTCTTCAACACTTCACCAATCAGTCGCCGTCGCAACCCAGACGGGAGAACCCGGTCCAAAATGCCATTCGAACTGTGGGAATACGTGCAAAGTGTTTTGTAACGCCCCGTGTCTGCCTATCTTCTGTCCTCCAGGCGGAGGCGACCCCTCACACAACGACTTCCAAGATCCTTCGGACCCCAGCCCCCCTCCCGGTCCGCCTCCCGGCTCGAACCCCAACCCAGTAGGCAGCGGCAGCGATGTTTGCGAGCCGGAGGTCAAAACAAACACAGGGCTATGCTCCAACGGCAACTTTCCCGTTTGGGACCCTTCATCCATGACGGTGCGCTGCGATCTTTCTGGCGAGGACGCCGATGCTCAGAAGACGGAATGCCAGAAAGAGGTTGACAACAATTTGGAAAATTCCAAGGGAAATGCTGATCAGTCGTTTCAATGCTGTTCGAACCCCGCTGCAGCAGGTCTCAAAGGCAACGCAAAAGCCCTGCTGGCGCCCGCATGTCCGCCACCGCGAAATTACCGACAGAACCCGCCGGCAGACAGACGGCAAAGCCACGCAACCTTCACGTGTGACTATGCCAAATGGCCCAACGTATACGCCAACGCGCGGTCTGCCATCATGAAACGCGGCAAGACAGACATACTGACTTACTCGGTCGGAAACAGCGTACACGCCAACGACATATGGTATAATAGCAAGGTGCGATCCGCGACCTTTGGCTGGACGCTCGACGGCTGCGAGGTCGAAGAGTACCCATTCGCCTCTGGTGACCCGATCCGCGACCCGAATCCGAAGCCGAATAGCAAGGCAAAGAACTACAGAAAATGGGATCAAGAGCGCGTCCTCCGTCTCATTCCGGCAACCGAGAACGGCGCTCATGGAAACGCCTTGGCTGAATTTTTCCGCGAGCACGGCGATAGAAACACGAAAAACGCCGACGGCCTTATATTCTCCATGGCGTTTGCAAATCACCCCACTGGCACCAGCGACGACGATTTCTACCTCGGCAGCGACACGACACATAACATATGTGCTGAACCGTACGGCAATGCCTTCCTCCTCGTGAACGGTGCTGCTAACATGGCTCCCGGCGAAAGGTCCTACGATCCCTGGTGGGACAATCATCTCTTCACTAAGACCATTAGCTATTTCACTAACAAAGCGGGAACGGCTACGCACAGCGTAGTGACGGCAACCGTCAGCGAGTACTGTCGGTACCCGTCGCCGGGTCACAAAAAGTACCAGAATGGACGGTGGGAAGTGGCGAATCCGGCTAATGCACAAGACAGGAAGCAAGGAAACAATTATTACAAGTGCGATAATTACCCAGGATACACAGGGCCAGACGGGCTCCCGCCGACCGAGCGTCATCGCGCGGTAGACGCGGAAGTCAAAGAGGAGTCACCTCTGCAGCCCGTCAATATCAACGGCACTAGCTTAAGCGTGTCCAGGAACACCGGCGTCGTCGCCGCCGCCGCCAATACATCATCACCATTATCTCAAGCCCTGGGTTCCAATATCGGAAGGAAAAGCCTGCGTTTCCCCAGGGCGATCGCTCCGGGACTTGGCAGTTTTCTGGACCCGAGTGCGTGGTTCTATCTATGCGACGCCGAGGATGACGCTGTCGACACGTGCGCTAAGTCTTACTCCTGTGGAACGGATCCGTCCGGCGATGGGCTTGACGACGACGGCAGCTGGGGCGACTCGCCACCCGGTTCTTCCGTCCCACCTCTGACTTCCGCTCCGCCTCCTGCGTCATCTTCTCCACCAGTCTGTAAACATTGGCAGGCCATGTTCGCATTTGTAAGTTTGCTCCGATTTCCCGCGAAACTGGTAATAGGGGGCGGCACGGTATGATATGATTACTAACTATCTCTCTCTAATTCGAATAGGACGATGACTGCTCGCTCATGAGCGGTGATATGATCGGCTCCAGGACCCACTCCTGCTGGAAGGAGCCGCAGGACTCGTCGCACCACGAGCCGACGTGCTTTTGGGCTACGGTCGTCTGTCCGGACCTGAAGATCTGCGCATACGCTAAGGACGACTGCACCGGGAATTTTGTCTCGGCCGTCTCGAGCAGCACGGGTCCGTTCACGTTGTCCGGTGGCAAGGCGATTAAATCCGCTCGGGTTGTGAAGGGCACTGATAGTTGTTGAGTTGGGCTCGGGGTAGAGAATAGCATCGCATTTACGGCTTTGGTTTAAGCCGACTGGGTGCGTCCTATATTATAACTTAGTCGAATATTCACATATCGACAATCGCTGATTTATCAACTGCTGAAATATTGATGCTGGTCGTATTGCCTTTCTTCTGCTCTAGCAACCTTTGCAAGGGATTTCATTATCGGTCTTGTATGCTTAAATCCCTCTCGAGTTAAATCAAACCAAAAAGAACCGTACTCCTAGCTAATCTCCATGATAAATCTAACTATGCACCTAACGCTGGTATAAAAGATGCCGTTTAAACCCGTGATCTATCTATCTAGGTAGATACCTAATCTATTGCTACAGTCATAGCTTCCTGTACCTAGGTAAGTTAACTAGCCGCTTCAAACAAGAACGAATTCCCGAGTCTCTATATTCCGATCATGGAGCAGCGCGAACACGTCGAAATCGTAGAGAAAACAGTCCCCGACGAGCTCGTGAGTCCCATCGTTATTAGCCCCCCTGGCTCTCAAGACAAACGGGTACGTGCCGCCGGGGATGAAGACCACCTCGTCACCCTCTCTCGCGCCGCCAGGCGCGAGACCCATCGATCCCTCGTCCGTGGTGAAGAATCTACGTCCGTAGCAAGTCGTTTCCATTCGGCGGGCATACCTGCTCACGCGCCAATCATCAGCGTCATTTCCGTTCTTCTCCGCGGACGTCGCGTCAGCGCCTTCCAACACACCCGCCCCGCGCCGCCCGTACCACGCGTGGAAATGATCCGCCGACATCGGTGGCCTAGGCTTCCGGATATACGGGGCGTCGTCCGTGTCCACCAGCAGATCGGCGCTGTCGTCCCCGACGAGCGTCTCGGCAAAGGCGTCGACGACGGCCTGCGGGAAGCGCTTGTAGCTCAGGCCCAGCGCGAGGGTTTCCCACTGGGCCAGGACGGCGCGGAACTCGTCGCCGCCGGGCGCGGCCGCCGCTCCGAGCTCCTTTCCTATCCTAGCGATCCTCTCCACGGGCCGTCCGCGGACGGCCAGGGCGCCGTCGGGCCGGAACCCGAAGCCCGGGAGCAGCCGCATGGGGTAGTGGATGGAGTACGTGGCCGATTGGCTGAAGACCCGCGGCAACGTACCTACCGGGTCGACGACGCTGTAGTCGGGAACCCACGACGGGAGGCCGTCGACGCGTTTCTCCTGCGATCCGAGCCAGTGCAGGGCTCCGAGGGTCTGGCTCGACGCGATGGCCCTCTGCGTGAAGATCCGGAAGAGATGGGCTGGGTCCTGCGCATAGTCGATGGGAATATCGAAGTGCACTTCCGTGTCTAGCACCAAGGCGCTGAAAACCTTATCCCTGGGATCGTGAGCGCGACAGTGCCGGCTCACGAGAAACACGTGGCTCAGCGGCACCGGATCCACGCTTTTGGAGAGCGCCCAGAGCTGGCGTAAATGCGTCCGGGGATCCGGCCCATGGAGCGGGTGATAGTAATCCCCAGGCCCGAGAAAGCTGTCGCATTTCACGAAGTCCAGCCACTCGCATTCATCGCGACCGCACAGGATAGTGGCGCTATCGGTCAGAGCAAGTTCCTGGGCGGATTGCGCTCGGTAAAACCACGACCGGCGGCACAGGCGACGGTAGGCGTCGAGTGTTTCGCCCCGGTACCGACACCAGTTGATGTGTGTGTGCTCGCGACAGCACTTGTTGAGATGCTCGAACACGAGGTGGGATTCATCCGCAGCGTCTCCGATCCACGCGAGCAGGCCCGTCGCGTTTCGGTATATGCCTCTTAAGTACGAGGGCTGCAGAACGTTGCTCCTCCTCTCCGTCTTCTCATCAGCAGCAGCAGCAGCAGCAACTTCCCGACTTTTCTTATTAAGTTTGTGGTTGTTGATGCAGATAGCATCGAGCCAAAGGAGCCTTGGCCGATCTTCCAGCCTGACCCTCCGAAGCGCGAGGTAGACCTCGGCCGGGACGTCGAAATTCCCGCCGTTTAGAGAGATCTGGACATGCGGCGGCCGGGTCTCGCTCTGCCAGTCGCAGGAGAGAAGCTCATATGGTCGGGGATGGTCGCTGGCGTTCACATGCACGAGCTTGCATCTTATTGGGTCCTGAGGTCGAGACGATTCGAGTTCTAGAAGTGTTATGGCGTCATCTCTTAAGGGATTATCATTATTATTATCATAGTGGAACTGACGAGTCCCCGTCTCCTCGGCCCAGGGTACATTTATTTCATCGGGAAAGCTAGCGGGACCGCTAGTAGAATTTGCTCCCGCCATCCCGCGCTTTTTTTTTTCTTTGAGGCTGAGTTTACTTGATACAGCCGGCGTTAGTGTGAAAATGTAAATGTTGCTAGGTTAAAGTTTTCAGTTCCGATCTCAATGACGAATTTGTCGATTTCGTCGTATTGCCTCGGGAAGTTAATCTTTTTAATTTTTCTTGTGCCAGGTACTTACGTATGCGATAGCTTCTATGTTGGAAATACGACTCATGCGCTGTTATTTTGCCAATACTTATTTGTAACCGTGATGACTTGTCTTGTTTGTGATGTTGTGCGGGGAAAATATGTAGTTTGACCCCTGAAGCCTCGTGAGAAATATTCACGTGACAATTGACATTTGACCTTCAGTGAACTTTCATCTAAATTGTGATTGTGATTGTGATGCCGATGGTGATTACTGGTCTATTGCGTCTTATTGCGATAGTCTCCTGTAAAATTTTATCGTCGCTTATTTTGGCGTTGTCGTTTGGCCATGGTGATGCTGCCCCCAAAACGCCCCCTTTCCTTTAGTGATATATGCTGTAAATGAAAATGTCCGCCAGATTACCACAGCCTCTTTTATGTACCAACGCATCCCATCTATGTATGCAAGCCCCCCGTTCTATCTATTAGCATCTCTATGCTAGAGGTCCTTAGACTATAGGTAGCTGGGTAAAATCATAAAGCTTTTACCAGTACCCAATCTGTCTGAATGCAAGTCCCGGTAGCGAATTCCACTTCGCCTACCTTTGAGTAGCCCAACCTCAGGTACAGTCGCTGCGCGCTCTTGTTATTCTCCCAGACGGTAAGCCACAGCTGCTTGAAGCCTTCCGACCTGGCTTTCTCCTCGACTACGGCGATGAGTTTGCTCCCGATACCCTTGCCGTGGGCTGCGGTATCTACGTAAAGCCTCCGCAGCTCGGCGTGTGAGGAGGGATCTCCCTTTAAAGATGGATCCGTAAGACCACGAACGAGCTGTACGAACCCTAGAATGGCGCCCGTTCCGTCGCGGGCGACCAATGTGCTGATCTTGTTCTCGGGCGCGCTTATAATATCAGCCTCGACAGCTTCAGGCGAGTACGTCTCAGCTAGAAAATCTGCCAAGTCATTTTCTGGGACGGAAAAACCGAATGTTGCCGAGAAAGTGTTGGCGCCGATTAGAGCAATTGCTGCGGCATCAGAGGCGACCGCATCGCCGATGGTTACCTCGTGCGTCTGTTTCAGTTGAATCGTCTGCTTCACTTGGATCTCCGTGGTTGTAACAACTGATTCCGTTTTCGTGGACATGATGCAAATAGGAGGCGTGACAAATGATAGGTAATAATGAACCAAAGGAACGAGAAGAAAAACCGAAACTATCCGACGAGTATTCTATAATGAAACACTTGACAATGATCTGAATTGGGAAGGAAATAGGGTGTCTTGGGGGTATCTTATATTTTACCGATCGAATTTGAATTTAGCTCCGGTTGGTGATGTATCTACCTAACATTGTATGTAGTAGTAATAGTAGTCCGGTTTTCGGGTCTACCGAGGCTCCATCTTCCCTATATTTTTACCATATATAGTATAGTGTAAGGTATAGTTGGCCCATACTAACTAAGAGATAGGTACCTCGTCGCATCGACATGTGCGCGCCCTGCGACTTGTCAACATGACCTAATTCGGAAAAACAAAGTGATAATTTTGGATCCCACGTGTGGGTAATAGACGGGTAGACGTCTTTAAAATAGCGACGAAAAAAAAAAGAAAAAGAAAAAATACTTCGAAATGACTCAACAATGCAACACATCTTATGCTCGCATATCCATCGGCTTATTTTATAATAATAAAAAATATGGTGTCTCGCGCGGAAGACTACCTAGGTACCTACTGTTCATCCATCTTATAGAATACCATCTTGGCGCGCATCGACGTAACTTTGGATAATTGAGCTCTTGTCAGTGGACGACTTTTAGAAAGATAGGTACCTAAGGTAAGTAACGTTAGATTAAAAGGTGCTTAAAATATTAACATGTCGCAATGCAATATTTTTACCGATGAGGCTATTTAAATTTCACCTTTTTTTTTCATTGCGTGAATGGCGGTATTGATGTTGTAGAGTTGAAATTTTAAAATCGACGTCACATTCTAGTGAGATTTCAAACGGAAACACCGGCCACACCACTATCTAATGTACATGGCCCTGATAGGCTAATCAAGTACTTTGTAGAGGCAGGAGGGGCTGAGAGGGGAGTTTTACACGTGATCTCGCGCCTATGCCCCCTAATTTTTTAGGTACAATAGGAGGTACCTACTCTCTTCACTGTCCTAGCGCTCACTAACTTTTTCAACCAATAACCAATACCTCTGTTACGTTCCGTTCGCAACAGCATTCTTCACTAACGGCGCCTTTCCCGTATCGGGGTCAGCGCGGACTTGTCAGCTTCGATATCTGAGCTGATGAACTCCGGGTCAGCTTGTTGAGTTTCATCTGCCAGGTCACATTAACAATCGACCCATCCCTAATGGCAAGTATCGATAGTCAGGTTGAGTAAAGTCCTTGGAAATTGGGAGACTGGGATCCCAGGTCAGAGCAACAGCACTCACGTCTAATTGAGGGAACTTATGATATAGCACGTGGGGCAGTGCAGAAGTAAGAACGCTCCATAGGGCGATTCTGTGAACTCTAACATTAGAGCTTTGCGGATAAGATTCTAGATGTGAGTAACTATTGCGACGAGACCCCGGAACTGCTAGTACTGCCAGGGGCTCCAGGTACAAAAGTAGGATTGTCTGAGATCTAGCAAAGAAATAGAGAATTGGCGTTCAAGAGGTTATACCTGCGAACTATCCACAGGGTATATGGGGATTTTGTTCTGCTTCGAGGTTTACTAGAAACACTCCCAGTCTACAGTGGCCAGGTCTTCGGACTAGTCCTCGGGATCCAGAAGATTCCTACACCCCATATCCATAATCCGGCGATCTTGCACACAGGGTCTTTCTCTAGCCCAAAGGTCCGTTCGACCGCTACTTCGCAGAGTCTTCTTAATGGACCGGCCGGCTAACGAGTTGACCGGAGCGATCCGCTATTCCGTACCAATCGGCTCGCTGTACTCCGAAAGGTCGACCCTACTATACCAGGTAAGCTTCTGTAGATAGTTCTATTCCGGTATGACGAATCATCATGACAAATGCAAAAAGACTGGTCATCTCTCTTCCCATTACCTGCTCACCGGGGTACTACATCTGGTGAAGGCACATGTCAAACCACCATGCCTCAGCAGACTCGAATTCGGAAATGCCACGTTTGAACCAGCTAGCCACTTTTACCTACCTGAATCGATTCAGCTGCAGAAGAATACATATAGGCTAACAACGTTGTGCGATTTGAGAGCGTGCGGACCACTTCAGCAGCGTGTTCTATGTTGGCCTTCGAGGAAGTCCAATCTCGGTGTCTACACCCCAAGAGCCCCCTAAGGCCTTGGCAACGCTTTTCAATACCGGCTTCTTTCCAAGAGTTAAACACGGGAAGATGATTGGGTAAAGTCAATGTTACCGTTCCATTCCTATGAGTTACTCGTAAGTGATTGGATAACGATCGAACAGCTCTCGGATAGTTTACGAACCCCACGGAGTGGTATATGTCTAGAGTCACGTGCGTATTTGCACCTCTAAGTCAACTTTAACATGAAGACTCCATCCTACAGCAAGAGTCTTCTGTACTACGGGGCTCTATTCCTTGAAATTCACATATTGATTGATGGTCTCGAAGTCTAGTGTTAGAGCTATTACCTTAGATACCTAGGTATCTACTTCTAGTGTTCATATCTATCTGAAGACATCTGCTAAGTAAGCGCATTTTTCAGCGCAGCCCATGTTTATTTGATACTATTGACATTTATAGACTATTCAACCGCCGGAGACGCCGCGGAGCAAGCAGGTATTATCTCTATATCTTCCGCGGCCAAGAATAATCCATTGGTATTTGACTCAGCTGGTTCAGGTATCGGAAAGCAAGTGGTGCCGAGATTTGAGGATGAGGAAAATGCAGTGACTCCAAATTTCATGGCACAGCATCAATGGCTTAGGTAACCTTGAGGGATTTCCAAGAAAGAGAATGCTAGTCCGAGATGTTGCCATGATTTTGCATCTAACTTCTAGTTGCTTCGTTTTCCATCTACTACTTCAGCATCAGAGCATTTCCGACCTGTTTAGATCCACGAGAGGATGGCATGTAAATTCGACATACTCCCTTTTCCACACTCGATATGCAGATCTAGGAGATAAATAATGCTTCTAAATTCTGCGCTTCCAAGATAATCTAGACAGGTATCTAGATACTCGCGGTGATAACTCCCCAAGGTTAGGAAAATCTTAAGGTCAGATGTATATTCCCCGTGCTCCCCACGCATGCATCGTTACTTCCAAGTCCACGTGTCAAAGTGATTTCTTACGGCTTAACCGAAATCTTATCTGGCAATACTAAGCGCGGAATTCGCGATATTATGTGCAGCGGGATCTGTTCTTGCTTCTGCAGTCATCTTCTTCGGTCTTGGCTAAAGCTGCCTAAGTAGTTGGGTTACCCAAAGACCTTCTGCTTCGATGGTGGGGTATATGGAGTGTAGATAAATCAATAGAGCGACGAAAGTCAACCATGCAGAAAATAATCTCCTCGGATGCGGCAGAAAAAGTGTTGAGCTTTGGGGATGGGTTTTATTGCCAATGAAGCTTCCCCTTCACGTAGGAAATATGTGTATCTGATAGCTATAAATAGCATAGCTTCTTCTGGTTGGGACCCAACAGCATATATCACCAGGATCTGGATCAATTGCACGCTAGTCCATGCCAGTTTCGACAGCGACCTTCGACAACGTTAATTATTATACCTCAGGCCTGGGTCAGAATCAAAGAAGCGGCTAGTATCACACGGGGTTGATATATCTTCAGACATTATAAGAAACCAATGAGTTTCGCTGTTATCGGAATCGGACTCTAGGTACCAATTTGTGGATAGAACGGTTGGTTGGAAGAGAAAGGGGCACATGGGGAAAAGGTGCGAAGTGAGTTAGAAGGTTTCGATTTTACCATCTTCATCGAAAATAGCACTTTATTATGCGACTAAGTGATGCAGGTAGTGACTGCTGGCATATTATCCTCTTACGGGGGAGCTGGTTACTTTATATAGACAGAAGAGCCCTATTATAGCCAGTATATTGCTGTTATACCTACATCCCGGAAACTGTGATGAAATGTATACTACCTACCTAGGTACCTATATATATTTGTGAATTGTAATTTGAAGATGGGGGTGTATGTAACTACGTTAGACTAAATATGATTGTAAAATGGTTGATAGGTAGGTACCTAGGTAAACAACAGCCGAAGGGTCACTATTGTTAATTTTTCGCCCTACCAGTCACTTCTAAGCTTAAAGTGGGATATGGAAAGTGTCAACAAAAACGACGCCGTAGCTGGGAGTAACGTTCTATTAGTAGTGATGTTCTAAAACCTTGGCTGATGATAATTTATAGATATATATTTCTACAACTCCAACGGTGTTGATATTGGCGGTAATGAGTCTATAGTCAGGCATGACCCTAAAATACGCGTCAAGGTTGATGGACAGTACGTTCAGTCCCTATCCTCTCCAATACTCTTCCCGATCGGTGGTAGAAATCTGGATATTCACTCCAAAGTAGTAAGTAAATCGTATTTGCCTATGTTTGATTTGGGCAATTTTATCGCCGTCAATCCGCCGCTTCACGAGATTGTTCGCAAATTTGGAGAGTTTACGGCGCTATCAAGAACGACTTCTGGAAATCCTTCGTGGTATCGACATTTGCCATACGGAAAACACTGTTTACATGCTAAGGTAAAGAAGCAACTATAGTGTTTGTTTAGTGAGACTATCGAAAACTTCGAGTCCGAGGGGAAAGGTGAGGACCTTCCTATACTGGGAGCTATCATCTAGTCTATGTCAGGAGTTTCACTTGAGACTCTTTCGGAGCAAAGAACATGTTGTATATAGCTTTGGCTTTAAAGCTACCTAGTATCTTAATTAGAGTTCCTCGCGAATAACAAAGTTGTTTCTCTCACCTCATACTCTGCGACGTGACAGTCTACATGCATGACGGACTATCTGAAGCATGTCGTAAACGAGCATGGGAATAAGGTACCGAAAAAGTATTTACTCACGACGATGGTAGTCCTCGGTGGCGCGGCTTTAATTATCACAGCGCTATCGCTTTCCTGACTGATATACCCACGTAATGCCAGACATCAAGAGAGGCTTTTACAAGAGTTTGCCGATAGCGGTACTATGCCCAGCAGGCCAAAGGCATCCGACGAAATCGTAACACTCCCCTTCCTAGGTTGTTTCATAATGGAAGCTTACAGGATGTACAAGGACGTGGTTCTATTAGGGGGCTGGCTGGTATCAGCAGATTCGGTTATTATCCCGACTACCCCAGCTATCCAGCGGAATGGAAACTACGGGGAAAATCCACATGGGTTTTGATCCTAGGTATAGGAGGTAGCCATTGGAAAGATTAAGCGGCAAACAAAAACAACCGCCAACCGACCCATACTCCCTTCCGAGCGGACCTTCCCCAAAACATGATATATTCTTTTTCGAACTTAAATGCACGATCGCCAATCTTGTATGGAGAGATTATTTTTGAAATGACATCCCGAAACCCTCAGCGCATGATCTAGAATCATCCCAGCCAATCATCCGGATTATCATGTTAGAGCATACGGGAGGATTAGTTGGCCCGAGAAGCCAAAGTCGCACAAGGCTGTCAGCATCGTAGACGGCATAGATACTATAAACGGAGATTAAAAATGGTGTAAATTGATATCTCATGATCTTAGATCAGAAAAAAAACTCTCCGTTCAATGCCACTACCTACTTTTTACGTAAACTAGTTGGACAGCCACCTCCTTAACTTAGTAGAGAATTTTTTTTTTCTTCAAAACTTTTTTATACCTATCAGTAAGACAGCAGCGTGGCAAAAAACCCACGTTATAGTAGATCAATCTTTAACTTAAAGCAATGAACAATTCCTATTTGCTAGAGCCTTCTGAGTTTCAGCTCTGAAATGAAACAAGAAGCCTTGCTTACCTAAATCTCGTCTCGTCGTCGGAGACCGGTTCCCTTTTAGGAAATTTCCTAATTGGGACGGATTCGCAAAACGGGGCTCCCCTATTCATCTATGCGAGCATGACTACAGCAATCCAGGCGACAGCCCTTATAAGTTGCCTCAGCGACCGAGATCTGAAATTGTACTGGTCAGATCTGTTTATTAAATTTAGCGCGTAGGCTATATAGTAATATAACTACCTCCTATGATACTAGGTCTCACTCAGACTAGACGCGGTTCGAAAGTTCACAAGCGTTGCCACCCAACGAGCCGCAGCCACTCAGCCTAACTAACGCAGATCAATCTCTCCAGGGCAACAGTTTTCCTGAATTTTTTCACTAAGAGAGCCTTCCTATACGCCGGTTTCGTCCTGTATGCGACCCGGATGCGGCCAAAGATTCTGGGTGCCAGCGTGTAAATGAGAATGACATCAAGATAACTAGGGAGGTTCCAATAGTCTTATTGTAACAGCTCATTTTCATAATCCACCCTTCGGATGAGGGTATGAGTAAGAGCTTAGAGCGCGTCTTCGTGGAAGCGCGAAAGACCAACTAAGTTAAGACTTGCTAGGATATCTCTCGTAGACTTCGCAGGGACTCGAGCACATGATAGTGTCATGGTACTATTTTTACAGGTCGAGATAGCAACGTAAGCCTCTCGAATAGACATCAGTCTAGCCTTTGATTTAACAGTTTAGTACCTAGATAGTTATCATCCGAACCCTAGGTAGTGGATACTTGGCATTATCCCCTGATTGCCTCAGTCTTCTTGTACGAATTTGACACAATTCTATTAGCTATGAATCAGTCAGCAATTCTTGATAACATACCTTTGTGAGCCCTCCGGCTTCGGCAAAGGATCTGACCACGGCATTGATAAGTATCTGCTTATGACTAGCTCAATAATAGGGATATCATCTCCCAAGTAAAATCAGGATTCTTATTTTTTTTAATTTTCGACGAAGCTATTCGCTTTTACTGCTACTTGAATACTACCTATCATTTATAGCTACGTTTCAGCTTGTTCGTGATATGTTAGTTTGAAAATGAGAAGTATCCTTGAGTTAATTAATCGCCGATCAACTCGAGCTTCACCACATAACGAACTGAAGCACAGCAGATATCAAGGCGGCAGATATACAGTCAGTCTTGAAACGAGGCTATAATATCCCCAATTACAACCGTTCATTGGCTCGACTTCGTGTATCATATACATCATTAATTTACCATGCTCACTTGGACGCTGTAGATCATCATAATGCTTGTCGGAATCTCCAGTAGCTTTCTGTTACGCTACATGTCTGTAACTATCAGCCGCAATGGATAGTAGTTGATGTATACGACTTACGAACGCCCGCATGATCGTATTCATTTCTTCCTCTTATTGAAATCTAGACGTTTACCTGAATGTATGCCTACCTAGGTAGTTTATCACGAATGCAAGAGTTATTCGCTGACTGTCATCCCACATGCAACAGGCCTCCTATTAGCCAGGGCCCATCGACTCGTACGAAGTCTACGTGGGGGAGCTAGTGATACCTATCCCCCATCTGGTTGAGCGGCAGGCAAGTTTCGTTACACCGTGATTTCAATATCTGTTAACTTGAATCAGAATGCTACGCCATGAAGCGCTTGATATGCACTGCCACTACGCTTGGGGGCTATTCCCGGGACCACCAAGACAACTAGATCAAACATTTGCTAGCAATATCAGTAGCTTTATCTCGATTAGGTTCATGTTTACCTATCTAGATATGTGGCAGGGAAGCCAGCTTCCTCCCTCTCATCTCATCATGCCACGCAAAACAATACAAGATTCGGATCAGGTACTACAGCGGCTAGTGACCCATCCGGGCTATCGTTTGACGTTAAGAGGAAATGTACAGGGGTCGCGAGAACATCAGCCAGGATAAACTTATTCCCTACTTCGAATCCTGTTTGATGGCTGCAGAAGCGTATTGGTTCTAGAGTGCATAGATCACGCCTGTCGTACGTTAACACTGTGGACGCCGATCATATCATTAGGAACTACACAAGTGACAACAAGCTGCTATGAGCTTGTTGCCCAATAGTGTAGGAAATAAAAATGGAGGCTCGATAGATAGGTCTAGATTGAGTCTAGCCAAGTAGCTGCTGGGTAAGGGTCCTCAGATCTTCAACTATTCAGTTAGGTAGTAATCATAACATAGCTTCTTTGGGGGCTCTAGTCTTAGATCGTAGTTTGTGATCGATGTAGCTCGCGACAAGTCATTTACAACGCAGAACGAGCTTAAACATATATGTCTATTCTCTTAAAGAAGGCTATAAACTCCATTGCTTCAGGTAAAGATACTAGAACGCATCTTATATGCTTATAAATCATCACAACTTAAAGGGATAGTAGAGTAACTTTAGGTTGTCGAGTTACGAAGCCCACGGAGTGGTGCGACAGTTTAATGCACAACAAGACCTATCGCATGAACTTTACCTAGACTATACCCCGGGACTACCAAGAAAGTCTGGCGATGACTGCATTTTATTCCTGCCCAAATATGCAAAACGCCACACAGATAATTACTCAGAAAGAAGCCGATAAGGTTGCTAGTAACCCTAGGTACCTTATTCATTCTAAGCACTCAATAGACCTTACATTAGGTAGGTTAGGTACCTAAGGTACTGGCAGAACCCTTTCGAAACTAATTCTTATATACCTAGGTAGTCTTCACCATAAGTAATTTCTTTATTATATACAAAACCCCCTTTTTGATGCTATTTCTGTTTTCGCCACACCGTAGGACATCTCCGAGGTCGGGATTTTCGGCGATCGCCTTAGGTAGTAATTAAACCGAGCGGCGGCTTGGAGAGGGGGGGGGGCGCACAAGGCCTTCTCCGTTGGGCTGAACTACATGGACGTATCTAAATCCCGGGATTCAGTGTCTGACGTGACCACTAGAGGTACGTAACAACCCCATGGCGTGCGAGATGCCTGGCAACTCACTCGTATAGACGATCATTTTCGTAAACAACATCGATATATGATGAGATTCAAAAATTTCTACTATTATTTTACCTAAATATGAGTAAATAACTTCGTTATAACTACTAGACAACCAACCCTTCTCTATATTTTATTTTATTTTATTTCATATTACTCCTTTGGGCTAGCGACCTCGAGTGGCCATGCATACCTGCCTGCTTACAGATACCTCTCACTCGGTATGCGTGTATTCAGTTGATGAATGTACAGTTCCGAGGTGCAGATCGTGTGCTCCCATCAATGAGACGCGTTGCTTCTTATTTAAGCATGCAGCGCGCTCTATGAAATAGGTATAGATCATGTCTATAGCATCATTAATTCGGCCCTTTTCTAAGAACGTCAGCTTAGATCCGTCTGATAGACATTTGTTTAGGTGTATTCCCGCCTGTGGGCCTTTCGATTAGCTTACCTCCTTAGTTATGTTCGGTGCATTTAGATATAACGAAAAAACGAAAGAACATGATCACTTCAAACTAGCTGATCATCAGTCATCTCCGGTACAGGAGAGGGAGTATACGCGCACAGCTTGCGATTTATGCCGCGCGAAAAAAGCAAGTTGACATATCTACGTCTTACTCTTCGCGATGGCTGGGGTCAGCTAACCAATCACTTTCGTATAGGTCAAATGTAACGGGGACAAAGACGAATGCGACAGATGCATATCTTCTTCTAACAAGTGTACATATACCTTGAGCTCTGGAACAGGCCCTGGAAGAAAGCGATTGCGTAAAGCGTCGATATCCACAAATGCAAAGACAAGTCAAAGTTTAATATCACGAAGTCGGTCTCCACGCCATACTCAACGAAGATCGACAACTAGCGGGTATAAGAGCGGTAGCAATACGCCTATATCGAGCCAACTTATCCAGAACTCAATGGAAGCCATGGTCGTTAGCACAACAACTGAGAGCTCTATCTCGAGTCCATCAGAGTCTCCCGCAACAATGGGATGGCCGGTACACGATTCAGATATGCCTAATCTGCTCAACATACAGGCAGATATGGAGCCGTTTGGGGGAAGTGAATTTGAATTTTCTTCAGGTGAGCGGCTATCAGCTATACTCCCTATTACGGAACTCCCCTGAGATGAGACCACAAATGAAGCTTCCGTACGTAGCTAATATTGTTACCAAAAGCGTACCCAGGACATATGTCCTTGTCGCATGATAATCAGTTGCCAAGTGGGTTACCTCAGGTACAATCGTCGGACAGTTTCTCCCATTTACTCAGCCTACAATCTTCCGGGTCCCTAGATTCAGCTCCCGTTCTTCTACCACCTTCGCCTACGCAAACACTATCTGCACAGGGCCTATCCAACAACGGTCAGAGCTCCGAAGCTTTGAGCACGCCCACGGCATCCACCACTTCAAGTCCGGGTCCAAAATGTGGATGTCTAGGTGCTTTGTTGCATGTTTTCGAAGATACAGGTGCTCAGATAACTTCCAGCCCGGACGTGGCAACTGACACGCTATTCCTGTGCCTGCAACGAGGCACGCAAGAATATCAGGCCATGCTCTCCTGCCAAGAATGTGACACGAGCATCAAAAACCCCATACTCCTCGCTACTCTCGGGAATCAATTAGTTGTTATTGCCCGCGAGCTTGTCACTAGGTTCGTGCGATGCCAAACTCAGGATACAGCCCCTGTCGTTTTCCAATTCGGGCGATACTGTATCCAAGGCTCTGGGATGCGGACTCGGCTGCTACGAGACATGGTCGCATTACACGTTCGAGATTTGTATAGTGTGCTCGACCGTTGTAGGCATACTATTGACTCGGTCCCTGGGCCGTCGTCAATATTGGAGAACGCGAAGCTCGAAGTCAACAAGCTCCACGAAACGTTGTCTCAAAGCTTAGAAAACATAAGCACAACATACAGTTAGCGAAATTTCATGTATATTTATCACCTCTTAGTATAGAACCCCATACACGTCATCCAGCTTCTAAGAACCCGATTCTCTAGTCAAGATTGGTTTCAAAATAATTAGGTACCTACAAGATGAACACGGTAGCATCCCGAAGTAAAGCCACCGGATATTCCACCTGCGTACCCGTCCTTAAATGTGAAGATCGCTAGGACAAGATTCTCGTCTAAGCCTAACGTTGTAGTGATATGGCGGGACTCATCTAGGGCGAGCGCAACAGCTTCCTCTTCTAGAAGCAGTAATGCAGGTCTAGTGACGCCAACGACATGTACGGACGTTAGGCGAGATAGTTCCACCGTATTGAGTTGAAACCACGTGGAGGGCGTAATATGTATTACCTCCCTAGGCTAGGTACTTACTTGCCTGCCAGGTACCCAGCCTTGCGCAGGTAAGCTCATCTATCTGTGCTACGGATAGAAAGGTGTAAAAGTTAATGTTTTCTTTTTTATCTGATCGGCTTCTGGCGGTAAGCCCGAATGCATATCCCTTACAAGGTCACAGCGTCTATCAAAGACTTTCAAAGGCTTGCAGGAGTTCGTTCGATTCGCTAGCTATGTACCGTAATACTAAGCCGCCTTCAAGTCGAGAGCTGAAAACCTGTATGTAGGTGTCAGATCGTCCGACTTTTAAGCTCCCTGCATCCACATCTAAAAATTCTAGTTGGCCTAATACAAGGATCAATAAGGCATATGCCATGAGACGTAACACGACATGAATGAACATTGGGTGAGAACTTCCGTTCAATTCCCTATATAGGTTCACTTTGAAGTTATAAGTAAACCCCAAGAAGTATATAACTGGCAAAAAGGAGTTAAGTCGGCATACTTTACCCCTCCACATTCTTTCACAGGTACTTAAGGTACATAGATTAGATGGCTTGCCTTGAGGCCCATTGCAACGTTCTAGTCGCTATTCTACCGCTCAATCTACCTGCGCATGATACTTGCCTTACAAGACTTGACAGCCGCCACGGACGAGACAGCCTTCTCTGAGATCCATCACGTTTGCCGAGGCTAATGCATGACATCCAGCTTTCAGCTGTACGTTCATTCCGGCGGTCAAATGGGAAAATAAAGCACGGGAACTTAAAGCGATCATCAACCTCTAGGTAAACGTATACACCCCCGTACCTTGACGATAAAGGCAATGAATGTCTCAGGTAATATAACCCCGAATAACGATCTCAACACCTTCCATACTGGTCGCTGCCTACCTGCCTCACTTCCGAAATCGTAAGGCTGACGAATCGGATGTACAGGTGAGCACCCCTTCTGTCCTTCAATTATGAACCTTTTATATGGCACCTCATATGCAGCTCTGGCATACCCCCCCACACAACCGCTTGGAGTTGCCATGCCGACACCATTGCAGGTATACCTACGTAGGTATGTACGTTGCCACCGACTCCATTATCATGCTCTAACAGCTCTTAGGGGTCCAACAGGTGCACACCGCCTTCAAAAAAAAATTTGCTATGCCCTGATAGGCGTGCCACCGCCACCTCGGCCGAGTTTTCTCCTTCGATGACCATCGTGGCCTTAGATTTGCGTGGCCCTAGAAATGGACCACGCTAATGGTGAGTGAGGAGGGTGAATCTATGGCTACCTACCTAGGATCATGATGCTATGCCCCTTAGTAGCGCAAAAGATATCCGACGTGGACTCTACCATCAAATGCATCGATGGTGGGTCCCAGACCTAGAACAAGCCCGGAATACTCAATATGCCTGATCGTGGAAGTCCTGATTGGAAAGCAAGAATAACCGGCCTGGCTTTTGGAGGGGGTCTGTACCACCTATATACCTATCCATATGCCCCTAGGTCCCCTTCGGTCGGACCATCCCCACAACTTCGTGGAACGCCTTCCAGGCAATCCAGTATCTGGATGACCAGGAACATATGAATGTCACCGGATGCATCCGACGAGGATCTGGCACGAACAAACAGCCTGCTCAAAGAGGAGCCGTGCAGTATCTATAATTGGATCCCAACAGAGGTGCGTCGCATGAACAGAGAAAAAGGGCTCGTCACTTCTTTTTCCAACTCCCTGCCGCAAGGCCTCGACCCTGGTGTAATAGGAATATTTTCGGAGTCCGTCGTCTTGTAGCAACCATGGCACCCATTGCGTTTGGTCAAAACCCATTGAAACGACAGCGTATCTCCACTTACGACCACGTAGGCTAGCCCCGTAGCTACATGACGGGGGAAGTGGCTTTCCTCTCCTACTTGGCATTAATATTAATGGCTATGTGCGGCGTCCCATTGATATCAAATATTGCACCTTGGGTACGTACAAAAAATCCGGGGTGGTTATATCTAGATCGTTCCACTGGGCTTCTCTAAAGAAATCCGCTTGGCGTTTTCAACGTAATGTCTCCTTTATCATTAGTATGGCCATAGACGCAAAGCACTCGATATAGCCCACTCCCAGCACGCGCGAGATACTTCCCCCTTCCTCTTCACGTGTAAATCTTTCATTCTTTCTAAGGATGATATCTACAGGAGAGGTGAGCTGCATTAGGTAAATTCGTACTACAAAGCGCTTCTAGTTCATAACTTGATGTGGCTTATGCGAAATTTCATAAGCCACCGTATATATCTCTTCTACCCACGTAGATACGGTGGAAATAGGACGTCCAAGACTCTGGATCTAAGGGACTTTAAAAAGGTATTTAGGTAGCATTGCCTAATCGAGTTTGCAGAGTGAGCCTTGCCTTGGGGGCCAGCCCCTGGCGAGTAAGAGAGTTGGCATAGGTTAGGTAAAATTGAAAATAATGCGGGATCTGCGGTAATCTTCTCTGGGAATGCTTCAAAGCCACCGCCGTCACCGGAGGTTGATTCAAGGTTATAAACTATGGTAAATACTTCACCCATGCAATCTTGTAGGTACCTAAGTTATATCGTAGATAGTATCAAACCTACTAGCTTCATGATTAAGACTCTTGTAACCCCGTCCACGACAAAATAATCACTCTTGTAAAGGGTTTTATGTCATGTGATCACAATTACGTCAAGTCCATGAATCTCATAAAAATGCTGGTATCTATTATTATGTCCGTATCTAGGAAGAAAGGTACCTATAACAACAATATCCGCTACCCGTTGTTGGTAATGGTGAAAATTAAGTCAAGGCTAATTCATGCGCTCATATACGTCGCCCTTGGTAATCCTAGAAAAGGAATAATACCCCTCTTAAACTAATAGTTGGCCATATCAACGTCGGTGACCAGTGTCGCGTTGTCCAGCCTCATGAACACCGCGGTGGGGTAGATGGAGGGGCCTCTGCGTGCGAAGAATTCCCACCAGGAGCCTCCTTCGGGGTGCATCAAGACCTCGTTCTCGAAATCATCAAAATCGGCGTCTTTGATCGCGTCGCTAAAGAGGCCTGAAGTGTAAATCCAAGCATGCAGGACCTCGCCGGCATGGTCCTGCCATTCCTCCGAGTCGTCGAAGTTCGTCATCCGCTGCCGCCGCCACCGGGCAAGCGATTCATGGCGCAGCCACTGCTGGACAGCTTCGACACGGCCGATGAGAGGGTCGAATTGGTTGAGAGTGGGCGCTAGGATAGGCTCGTCACCGAAGAAGTTAGCGACGCCGTAGGAGTTCCAAAAGTCGCTTTCGGACATCTGCTCCGTGGCGATGTAGACGGAACGGAGCGAGCTCGGGATTCCCCCTTCGAAGAGATCCTCGAATATGTCGCAAAGGGTATTGAAGCCGCTATCCCTATAAAAGGGCATGATCAGATTCTGAACTTTGCTAGACAACTGGCCCACTGGTTATGATTGTTAGCCAACATAGGCACTTAAGGTCGGTGCTTTTGAAAAGGGGATATTTTGGTTACAACGGTTGATGAAAGATCCTTAAAATAAAAGCAATGAGTACACTGGCTATTAAACTTACAGTTACGCTCAGAGTCCCAGAAGATAAAGTCCTTCTCGGGGTTGAACCAGGTGGGTGTGCCGTTTCCGAGCCGGAAGATTCCGCCGTTCTGAAAGGCAATCTCTCGTGCAGCCCGGCAGACATGGGCAATTGCCGGAACAGGCTGGCAATGTTTAAAACCATCCTGGAGGATGACGTGGTGAGGCTTGCGTGCTTCCATGATAAGCTAGGTGAAGCAAGATGTGTTAGAATCACGCTGTGAACTATGGACAAGGGTGCCCCTGAGAAACAAAAGTTCGCTTACCTGCCAAATGTGGTCTTGGATATGCTGGGGAAGCAAGCTGAACTGAGGAAAGGCTACAAGCATAGTATTGCCCTGCGGCCAAAAGTTCATCCCAACGAGGCTCATGGTTTCGTCGTCCGTAACGAGGCTAACAGTCTTCTCAAAGTCGACCTTGTCATCCGTGATAGGCAAAGTCAAGGACGCTCTCAAGCAGTTGCAATGCCTTCTCAATAACCCTATTGGATATAAGGATATGGGTGCTGGAGAAGGATGTAAGTGATGGATTACAAGCTGGGAGGTGGAAGAGAAGAGAAGGAAAGAGTGAATTGAGAACCGCTTATAAGGCTTGAGACTTTAAGGAAGAACTTGCTTGGGTTGGGACCTGCAACTGTGAACCTAAAGTTAAGTGAAGTAGAGGCAGACAATTGATGGAAGCCAGGAGGGAAGCACCTCTATTTATATTTTTTTTCTTGAGAGACCCGCGCGTAAAACTATTCTAAATTAATGGCAGGAACTATGGCAGGAGCTGCTTGAAAGAATTGGCATTACTATGGTGACTACCTAGGTAGGTACTGAGCTTTGAATACATTCGGGACAGTTGCAAGGGAAGTTGTAGCTTCCTAGGAAGAGATCAGCGTAAGAAATGTATACTGTACCTGATACAGCCATGCGTTATTTTCGACTGTCAGCCAGTCGAAAAAAAAGAGCAATGCTTTAAAAAAAATCCGCAGTTGCCTATGACATGGAATCCAGTCAGGTATCGTGACTAGGAAGCTACCCGCTTTGGTGTTTTGAAACTTGATGGGCAGGAAGGAAGTATCATCATGTGCACTGCAATGAACAAATTCGATTTGTAAACTAGTCGGCCTATACCTTTATAGGAGGGCAAAGGGTCGACGCCATCTGAACTCTTGTTTTCCCTAGATATGGCCTCACGAATCTGCAGCAGATCTTGGTTGTCACAGGGTTTCTTTCATCCCTTCATGTAGGTTTGAATAGGCAAAACATATAAGCAAAGCATAGTACCATTTAGCGCCTTTAAGCGCCGTATATAGGTAGTTGACACAGTACGAAGCATGAGCAGGTACCTCTACCTATTGCTGCTCAGTTATAGGTTTGCTAAGCCAGAACAAGGATTATGTGAAAGGGTTGATGACTGAGACTGGTATTAACATCTACCTAGCTCAAACTGAGACGATATACTTGCCGAATAGTTAGGTAGCAATCCACCTTCATATGATCAATTTTCGAAAGCTTAATAAAGCAATAAAAGCTCAGTGGAGACTCATCTTGATGAGGTGTGATGGAAGATCATATAGCAAGGAATATAAGCAGAGTAATGCGGACAAGGGCAAACAATGAAGAAAAGGAAAGAAAATTAAAAAAATTCATCATGACAAGTACAGTTTTAGTTGAAACTTCGGCGAGCCATTTAAACTTGAAAAGCACGGTTAGGACTTGGGATATACCTGACTGCCTATTGGCGAGTTTGAATAAGGAGACTAATCTGAGAATATATAAAAGTAGAGAACCAATATATTCCAATAGGAAATATATCCCATGGGTTGCTCTATTATATAGTCGTGACTCATGGCCGTTTCCCGTTCTCGGGGATGGGATCGAATAAGTTTATACTGGGAGGTATGTCCTATGAGGAACATACGGTATACATATCCCTCCACCTGCACTCAATCAAGTTTGGTAGCTTGCTCTATTTCTATGCATATAAGAAATATGCCGAGTCACGAATGTCACCAAAGTGTTACTAACTGCCTGATACCAAAGTATCCGATGACATGATTGGTCCGTACCTGAATGTACCTTAATGCCTGAGTCAGGTTAGGAAACAATTACGACGTGACGTGGAATATGGGACCAAACAAATTCACTGACGTTTTAAGAATATTTTAGCGTCGCCGAATATTGCGGAGGCAACTTCGTATAAGGCACTGTACTATCAATAATTTTTTTTTAAGAAAAAATGATGAAAGAGTATGAATGTGTGCCTTTTCTATCGCAGTTTCCCTGCCCGGATTAAGTCCGAGCTTTCGATGATGGGGATTCTTAGCCTCCAGACATAATTCGGCCAACACGGACATCGAACTTTCCGTACGGATTATATGGCGGCATGGATCATTGGATACCAGGTATGATATGACTAGATTAGGTACCTAAGGGACTGGAAAACCTATTATCGTTAAGATCGATGTTCTTATAAAATCTTTTACATCTAGGATTTAGTTGCCCAGAAAAAAAGAAGAGAAAGAAGAAAAGAAAGGCCAGAAAAAAAAGCCAAAAAGTCGGCTAAGCCCTGTAACCCGGCCGGTAGCTACACTAGACCGTTTTTACTCCCAGGACTCCGGGGCTCTAGGGCCGTCCCGGTTAATTTTTTGAATTGCTACCTTAGAGGCACCTAACCTATATTACCTAAAGACAGGCATCTTATGTTTTTCAATGTCTGCGTTCTATAACGAGATGGATTTTGCGAACCTTTACCAGACACGTCTACATGGGACTTCGATTATCTCACGTGCATTTTAAGATCAAACAGCATACTAACTATGTATGTAAGACGGATAAGGCTGGAAATGTCGATACGCCCGTCTCGGTTATCTCACCTTGCTTTGAATATTTAGGAGCAAAACAGGGGAGAACAAGGGGTTAAGAACTAGCAGGGGTCAGAATCCTACCTCGTGTTTAATTCTGCAGCCTTAATTCCTTAATAACCCAATGGCAGACTTCGATTTGTTCAGTTCGGGTTTTAACCGTCGCCAAGAGCTCAGCCCCCTAAGAGATCCAGTTGTCCTTAGCAACTGGTTTAGTTTTGGCGGTCCAGGGGTTAAGAAGTACGAGATGTACGAAGTCTGTCGTTAATCTCTCTTTTTCTATTGTATGCATTTTTCCCTTGACGTACGACGGGATAGTAGGATGCTATCGGTATAGCATGCGCGCAAACTCGTCTAATGTAGTGATTTGCGCTCTTGTTCTGCAGCAGCGATGCAGAACCATCATCAGGATGCGGCCTTTGACCATAACAAATATTATTTTCCGCCCAATACGCTGACGTCTAGCCAGTCTCAACCATGGCTCGAAGTGGCTCCGGTACGGGATGAGCAAGGTACGCCAGGATTGCAACCGATATCACACGACGAATACAAATACGCAGATACTACTGAGCTAGGCCGAAGATGGGATGGGACGGCGCCGTACAGAACACATGGGACAGCACATGCCGACGAAATAACCTCGCAAGGCCTTCAAGCCGTTCCTACGATCGCGACGGGACAACCGCAACCGCAACCGCAGCCACAATTACAACCGCAGTTCCAATGGTCCAATCCCAACGTGAACCACCATTACGGGCAATCATGCCAGACGTTGCCATCATCTCAGGTTTCCGGAATTTCCAGTGAAAACCTGATGCATGGCCCTCAACCAGTTCCCTCGAGTACTGAACAACAAATTCTTAATCCTTATGCCGCAGGCGGCGCTGGTCCGTCGTGGGTAAAGGATGAGCATCGAACCTTGGATAGCGATAAAGAGGTGAAAGTGAAACGTTGGATATTATGGACTATAGGCGGCGCTATAGTGTTACTCCTTGGAGTCGGTGCAACTCTAGGCGGCGTTTTAGGAAGTCGAGCACGGTGGAGCGATAGCGACAAACAGACGGATTCGGAAACAACTTCTAATATAACTTCCAATACAACTTCCAATCTGACATCGCCCAGCTCTCCGAAATCGACGCCAATACAATCCATCAAGATCGGCTCCAAGTTGGCCGTGACCGGATATAGGACCGGTTCGGGTTACAGCACTCGTCTCTTCTTCCAAGATCAAGACAACCGGATACGATTCACGGATAGGGAGAGCGCTAGTGCTAATTGGACAGCGACGACGGTTTTAGACACCCTGCCATATCAACCGATGGAGAACGGTTCGATAGCGGCGGGGTCCTATTTATTCGCCGATCCGGTGGTAAGTTTCATGCCTTAGTATGGCCGTCTTACCTATTGCTGATTTGAGTAGCCAACTGTTGAATTGTTCTATGAGGATAAAGACGGCGTAGTTCGGGGCCAGAACTTTAATTTCGCGTTTGAAAAGGAGAAATTCCCTCCTAAAGGTAATCCGGGGAGTATAAATTCATATCCTCTACAAACAGCTGGGAAGACGCGAATATCATGCTACTTCCCATACATCGCTTCTCAAGACGGCAACAATGCCATACGATGGACGACATTGCTAGGACAAGACAGCAATAATGTTTCGGCGCCAGGGTGGGTTAACGATACAAGTTGGAACATCAGAGCATCCAAAGGGGGCGGCATGGTCGTGCTTCCGATCGCCCAAACGTACCACAACGCTGGAGGCATTGTGTACCGGAGTAACGAGGGTATGTTATCCCTCAAAATTCACGACGGATTGGAATCTTCCAATGACGAGGTAGCATGGAGGAAAGGGGCGCTATCGAAGAAAATCCCAGCCGACGCTTCTATCGGCGCCTTTTCCGTCGGGCGACCATACGACAATAATAACCAAGTCAACACATACATACTGTACCAAGACGAGAAGGGGGTGATACAAGTGGTATGGCAAGACGACGATACCGGCTGGAAAGGACCTCAAACGTACGATGCGTTAGATGGAGCAGAGAAGGGAACTGATATTGCTTGTTTGACTCCTGCAGCCTATGATCTTGGAAACGTGGGCATATCTAGGGAGCAAAATATGAACCGGTGCTTTTTCCAGGTGGGGGATGGAAATGTTAAAGAGGTATGGTTCAACGGCGACAACTGGATTTCAGTGGGAATTGTGCCGACGGCGTAGAATTGTATATACCTACGACAGCGAGATGTTAGAAGATGCATATTATACCCAATAAGCAATAATTGAAGTTTTAAAATCTGACCTTAGCTTCAACTGCTTAAGTCGTCCGGAGTTTGCAAGAGGTACCTACTAATGCCGACTGCCCCGCCACGGGACTCCCCGAGCACGCGACCCAAGTTAGCCGATAAGATAAGGAAGGGGGGGATGTTTAGGTGCATCAGCACTTATCAGCGGCATAACCTATCAAAGTTGCTTAGCAACTGCGCTGCTCACTCACCTCTAGCGGCAACAACCTCTGATGCTTCTCTTCCTACCTCCTACCAAAAAAGATAAGGGAGTCGCGTTGTCGTCGATTTCCGTAACTTGACATTGAGACATTACCATATTTGATTCACTTTGCTTTCTTAATTCAGCCTCCACCTTTTCGAACTTTTTTTTTTTTTTTCGAAGGCTCGAGCGTCTTCGAAGCCACCCATTTCGCCCCCTTGTAAGTCGTAAGTTTAGTAGGAGGGAAAGTGATGTCCGTGTTAAGTCCTCAAGAGAGTTAAGGCTAGAACCTCAGCCCCTCAACTCGCTCTTCAAAAAAAGAACATCTCTATTGTACGATAATTAACGCCATTGCTAACTTCCCCTCTTCACAGTTTGTTCGACAATTCTTATTCCGCCCCCGGAGGGTTTTGCCACCATACCTAGTGGCTAACAATTATTACCAAATTCGATTAATCAAAGACCTCACCGAAGTCGGCAAAGTTCTCCTCGCGCTTCTATGATTTCCACGTCGATCTCCCTTTATGCGACCTGAGCGTGTCTGGATTACAGGATGTCTGCTAGTAATAATGCGTCTACCACGTCCAGTATTTCCGAAAGGGATCCTCCCCAAATAAGCGATCCCGCACCCGGTGACTTTCATGCTCAGAGCGCGACCTCGGATAGCCCTACCCGTCCTAACCGCGCTGCCGAATCTTTCGACCACGAAAATCAGACACGCGCAGTTGAGAGGACTGTCACGGGGGATCATGATAGGAGTGTAGCAGCTGAGATGAGCCATCATGAATCTAGTCAGAGTGAGGCGACAACGCAAGAAGTTAATGGCGCGTTGGAGCATGGGGTGAATCCAACCGGTTCAAATACGGAATATAATATAGAAAGTGTATCAACGCTTGCGCAAGCTCCAAGCTCCAATTCGCACTCGCCGGAATGCAGGGTTACTACCGATACAATCAGCTCGGAACAGCCAGGGCCGGCACCGCACTCAGCGCCACATGAAGTTGAGGTTACAAATACGCGAGGGCATGATACTCGGAGGCCTTTTCTAGGCTTAAATCCGATAGCACCAGAGTTTACTCCACGGCCGGAGAGACCCCCGCAAGAGATCACACTCCCAAGGTGGCAGCCAGATAACGAAGTAACCTTTTGTCCAATATGCCGGACACAGTTCAGCTTTTTTGTTAGGAAACATCATTGCCGGTGAGCCTCTTTTTTCTAGGTATCTATACCTAGTAACGACGATCAAGATAAGCTAACAAGGAGAAAAGAAAGTGTGGAAGAGTAGTATGTAATGCATGCTCCCCACATAGGATTACTATCCCGCATCAATATATCGTACGGCCACCCGGCGAAAGGGCCTTTCAGCGGTATTCGTTCCTCGGAGACGAGGGCGGTATCGCCGATTTTACTGTGCTTGGAGGTGGCGAGCAGGTCCGGCTCTGTAACCCTTGCGTGCCAGATCCGAATATTACACCACCCCAAACCCAGCAATCAGCAAGCCAGTTCTCGCCGAGATCAGTGCATTATCGCTCCCAGAGTAGTTCTAGTGGCAATTATAATGGCGATAACAATTTCAGCAGACCTCCGCAGTACTTAGTCTTACCTCCATCTCACGATGCTTACCCTAGGAGTCGAAGTGTCACCGTGGTTCGTTTACCTTGTTACCTACCGTTTAGACTTAAAATAGCCCGCTAATGATACCCTCACCTTTACAGAATTCCGGAGCGAGCTCCTCTAGGTCTGCCAATGAATCTTACCTCTCACCTCAGAGAGGAATTTTTTCCAGACATTTGGCGTACTACCCGCAACTGGCCCACCCGAGATATCGCCGGACTTCACTCCTGGACCATCACTTCCAGGGTGGCCATCCCTTCCATGGTTCTTCGTTTATGGACATTGGGGTTGGCTCTTCCTCCTCCTCTTCATCGGCGACTATGGCTAATCGTCCATTACCCCCCGCGCCACAAATTCCCGAAGAAGACGAGTGTCCCATATGCCACCGTGAATTACCCTCAAGAGAACTTCCTAACTTTGAGGCTCTCCGAGAATCGCATATCCAATCATGCATCACTGCACATAGTTCGTATAATCCGAGTCCTAATGCTCCCGGTAGATCAAGCCCAGTTACGCGCAGGACAGGTATGTTTCCGTACTTGGCTACGGAGAAAGACTGCGTCGACTCTGCGGAATGTACCATCTGCCTCGAAGAGTTCGAGGTTGGCGTCGCTATGGCGCGTTTGGAGTGTCTCTGCCGTTTCCACAGGGCTTGTATTACCGCATGGTTCGTCGACCACCCTGGGCGATGTCCTGTACATCAACACGACAGTCTCGGCTATTGACCGGATGCTGTCTCAATATTGTTAAGCAGCTTCGCATGTGTTCTCTCTACTCACTGTACCTCCCTCCCATCATAGAGTTCTTATAGCCTTGCCTTTTGTTGCATCTGTATCAATCTCAATTTCCTCGTGGGCGGTTTAAACCTAGGTATAAAGCTTGGAGAAGGAAGCGGTGGTCGTTTGTAGCATTTGTTCGACACACTCTTTTCACAAATTTGCATTTCTTTTGTGGCTGAGCAGAGGGTTTCCATTTCCCCTTTCCCCCAGATGCATGTGGCTCTACGTCACTACACAACAAGTACGGAGTCTGGCGCAGGGGTTTTTTGTTTTTGTTTTTGTTTTTCGTCGTATTAGCGCTTGGATAGACTTATACCACTCTGCTTTTGTCTTTCTAAGTTGACCTTTGGGGCACGTTTGTCTCCCCGGCTGAAGCCTGACATACATACACAACATCGGTACTCGGTGACGTGGTGAAGGTTGGATGATTAGCAGAATACATAGTTAACTAACTCTCTCATAACCTGTTACCAATAATAGTACCAACCTACCTAAGGTAATTGACTTCGTGACGTCGTACCGCTATGATTTCAACTAGGTATGCTTGCTGCTGCCCCGTCGCTCTTCTAGTAGGTAGTTAGGTAATTTAGAATCCGGCGTGGACTTGAGCTATCAGATTTCGTTTGCAGGAATGATGTAAGCCTCGTTCAGCTTTTTTTTTTTTTTCCCTTTTCACCGACTTTCGTACTACCTCTATACCTAATGTAGCAACCAGTTTAAGAGGTACCTAAACTAGAGGCAATTTAATACTTTAATACTAAGCACCTAGCATAGCAATGCGGCTTCAGGGTCCCCCCCACACCTCTGTGCCGGATTAGTCTAGTGTTGGCGCCGGCGATCAAGATTTCCCCAACCTGGCTTTTTCTTCCAGGGGATAAGAGATTTTATGTTATCTTTTCTTTTTCAACACTATTTCCCCACGCGCTAACGTACCTAAGTTATGTATTGATGTATTGTATTGTATTGTATTGTACCTAACGTAGGTAGGTAGTTCGCTGCTGGGGTTTTCGCTCCGGGGTAGGCTTACGCCTCACTTTTTTTTGCTTGTTTCAACCTTGTCCGGTATGACGTACGTCGCACGCGCTAAGGGAAACCCCTATTTCGTTTTCGACTTTGTCTTCTTAAATTTTTTTATTTTTTTTTCGGTTCTTAATAGCTTTGCAAATTTTTGTTTTCCCCCTTTCTTCCATATGCCGAGGTGAGCTATCATATACGTATGTATCCCTTGGGTCCCCGTGCGAACGGGGAAGTGCCTGCCCCGGCCGGTTTAGCTGCATGTATGTATGTGCTTGCGATTAAATTGGGGCGTGCCTGACGTCGTCCCACGGGGAAAGGAAAGGAAAGGGATGGGGATGGGGATGGGGGCAAGGGGGGGGGCGTCTGGGGCGTGTAATACTATGGCGTACTGTATGTACTATGTATACCTAATGTAGGTATGTATGTATATGTCCTACAACCCTTGTCACCGAGAATGCGGATAAATGCCGTAGTTTAGTTAGTTCTGCAATTGACCTGGTATGTACCTAACCTAACGTACATGCGCGCGTACGCACTTTACCTAGCATCCTGTACTGTGTGAGTTCTGTTTCCGGATCTGAGGGATCGTTAAGCCAATAGGAGGAGGCTATTTAGGAGGCAGTCGCGGCGACTAATCGGAATGCTTAGCCGCTTTTAACATGTACCTACCCAAATGCATAACGCGGGTCGGGGTTATCCCGGCCGGTGGTCCGGTCCCGGGTCGTTGGAAGGTCCCGAGAGCCCCGTTATAATTCTGGTCACGGGTTCCGGAGTCGGCACGTGTTACTCATTATTTGGGTCCCCAGGTTTAGGGTATTTGGCTAGCTCATGTTCATCTAATTATTTTACCTAAGACGGCGGAGAGTTGGTAACATACCTAGGCAGCTTACAAATATTACTTGGGTAGGATACTTTAATGTGTTCACGTGAACTCGAAACAGAGCTTTAACTCCGTATTCCCTGATTTCGTGAGTTAATAGCGCGTCGATAGATGACGCTACTATTCCCGAAATATCAAATACAATTTAACTTCCTAAGTAAAGCGAGCTCACGAGGATTTGGCAGTGGAATTCATACGTCACATATCATCAAGTACAAGGTTCAGTAATAATGTTAGTTCAACGTGGACCTTTCATTTTTGTTTAACTATATTTAGAAAATTTTAGATTCTAAGCCTTTCCAGTTTACTGTAAAGGCTTATATGAGCCGTATGCTTTATTACGTAGCTTTATCCTAGTGCTTGGTTTTAATGGACGAGTTGATCTAATGTTTGAAGACTTTAATGTATATTAGTGACTAAATTTGGCTATGTGTTTTATTGCTCCTGGACTGAGGTATTGTCCCTAGCTAGTTCTGATACAAAACGACGTAATAGGCTCTTGGCTCAGAATTGCTAATGATGCTCACGTAGGATCCCGCTAGTTAAGTTGCGAGCTCCATTGGCGTGCAAAAGAAGAAATTCAAGTATCATGCAACTTTGAAATGACAAGTTGTATCAATGAGGCCAGTTTATGCTTCGATTATCATAGCATTGCCAGTACTAGTCATCCATGTAAGTCTCTCTTATATGAATAAGTATACTTCATCTTCGTGGGCTGCGTGGCTCTTTACTGTGCTTATCATGCTTATATACATCCCCGTTATAACACACCTTGAAATGGAAGACTTCGCGAATTTCCATGCATGAGGCTCTATGATTCGCCACGATATAAAACATCGGCTTCGGGGAATGGGCATTACCCGGACACGCATTAGCGCACCCTATAGGCATGTATATGTAGGTACCTATGTCTTGCTTATCGTACCTTTATGCATACTCGTCGACCAGTACCACAACCTCGGAGTCCAACCGCAGCTAGCCGATAGCTACGCGCTCGCTGAGCTTCCGCAAGCTTAAAACTGCAGTACAATACATAGGAGCAGCAGTTTCAGGTGAGGTAACCAACTAAAATTTACTTATTAGGCAGGTACCTGATTAGACAGGTCGGTATCGAAAATACCTTAGCAGCTTAGGTAGGCTAAGTTAGGTGGTTTTGAAGCTAGAGGAATAGCCAAGCCAAAGGATTGCGAAGAGCGACAAATGAGCGACAGAACAACAGCTTATATCGTTGCATCGACCAATGGCCAGACGGACTGTTACATGCTATCGTCCAACAACGAATGGGAAGGAATTCGGCATCCCTTTCGCTTCGATAGAATACACAATACCTTAGGTAGCGTTTCCGGAATAAAAAAAACTGAACGAAGCGGAAGCGGTGAAAAATACCCATTTGCTTTTTCCATTTTCTCCGTCCCATCCATCCATCCCACGTGCCGCTACGACATGGCGCGGGCGAAAAAGGAAAAGAGAACCTGCAAGGATCAAGTTTGGATGACGGGCGAGGCAACCCCCCACCGACATCCGGTGTGTGGCTTCATCCTAATACCTATACAAATTTCCTGCCAAACATACCACTAAGACGTAGGTCGACACGGTACGTTAAATACCTAAGGGAAGAGAGGGAGAACAAAGCACCAAAGATCGGCAAACTGGATTACCGTCGCTCAGCAGAGTCTACTTCTTTATAGTTCATGCGTACTGTACGCGGGTAGCGGATAAGAAAGGGGGGAAATGTAGGTACTGTACCTACATGAGCACGTACATACAATGATAAAGCCTCTTACCTCATTCGCTTTAATAACTACCTGGCTTAAAATGCCTGCCAAAACAAGAGACAGGGCGCGCCAATTGCGCCAAGGTCCAATAGAGAACGATGACTAAAGAGCCACGCTTTACACGCATGGCAAATTCATGGGATAAAAGACATCATATGATAGGGTAGGTTTTAGATTGCCAAATGTTTGTAGAATAAAAAAGAAAAAGTCATGGGATTTCTCAAAAGCGATAAATAGATGAAGCTAAAAGACCACCCGGTCTGGAAGTCAACTGGACATATGCCGCCCGCCAGCCAAATCCTCGTCGGAAAAAAATAAAAATGAATACAAGGCACGTCTGTTCCCGATCCCAGGTGCCCCCCTCCTCTTCATCGACTAGCCGAATCTCTTCCGTGGGGGTAATACCTACTACTTCTTTCTGTAAGTCGCGGCGTACGAGGTGTGATAGAAGCAGAAAGAAGCCAGGCGCGAACAGGGAAAACCAAAGTAGGCCAGAGGGGTTGTGGTGACGATCATCGTTTCGCTTGGGCGTGGACATCCAAAAGAAAAAAAAAAGTGTGGTTACACAGATATAAATTGATCTTCGCGCTTCGACTCGCCCGGGCGTTGGGCTTTTTCTGATGGGAATCTGGATTTTCCCATGAGATTAAATCCATGGTCCAGAGCTTTCCGATTTCTTCTTCGCTGTCCCGTTCCACCCAATGAAATCGAGCTCGTATATATATACCTATTATCCATGCTTGTAACGCGCCTGCATAAAAAAAATAATAATAGTAACGAATGAATTGAGTAAAAATGACCCAAGTCCGACGAGTGTCGCAACGTCGACTTCGCTATCCGTCCTTTGCAAGTGTCTCGAAATTTTCTCGGCCGACATGATAATAATTCTCGGGAGTTGAATGAAGAACGTTCGCTCGAAGTAGGCAGATCTCCCGTCTGTACCCCTTATTTTCGACCGGCGGACGGCACCCACCTACTCCTCCTCCAAGCTCTGTTTACACAGCATGTGAAAAATACCCATACGGCAACCCCATCTTTTTTTCACGCCAATCCAGCTGTCCCCGCGTCCCCCTTCCACCATGGGAATCACAACATCTGCATTATCGAACCGCCCAATGCGACGACCATGTCGTAGGACATCCCCTCGGTCGCACCCGTAGCAACGTTGACGCTTCTGCCAATCAGGTTGTATCCAGCGTAGCGCGTTATCAATCATGAAGATTGATTGATAAGAAGACGACGTATCGCATTGGTGACGTCCCCTGACGAGAGGGAGGGTGAGTACTCAGTAAAATAGGTAGCCAAGCTGGAAGATTGCTTCCTATCGCCTGACCGGAATCGACGTCTCACTTGACAGTGCGTTCCGACGACTGAAACTGTCGAAACTGTCGCCAACGGTAGATACGGCGTAGACAAGACTGTAAGACATACTAGCCAGGCGTCAGCTTTCCAGCATCGCGAACTATAATGCGTGAACGGATGAGTAGGCACGCCGAAGGGTCCGGATCGAGTGAGACATAAGGGGCCTTGCTGATAGAGCTAAGCTAGACCATTAGATACTTAATCGTCACCAGCGAGAAATCCAGAGTAGCAGTCGAATGAACGGGTAGGCTCTATTCGCGAATCATTGTGCTCGAACCAAGCTATGTTCCCAATGATGAGCAACGCCTACGTACATGTTGCCAACGAGGTCAATCGCCTCCCGGTACACTTGCCGAAATCAAATCGTTATTGCAAACGCCGTTTGTGATGCCAAATTCCGTTCAACCCATCCCCTGATCCAATGGTAGTCCTGATGCTGATGTAAGTCATGAAAACAGCAGTGGTATATATAAGCTCTTTTTCAACACCGGATTCCCCGTCTTGGTATAAAAATCACAGTTCAACTCGTCACCCCCAAATACGTAGCACTGTTAAAACACACTCGGAATCGAAGTCTCCCAAATTAGCCGGGAGGATCGTTCCACTGAGAAGAACTACTAAAATCCAGAAGTAACGAGCGGCCACCGAGCAAATTCCGTTAGTGTATGTATTTGTATAATCCGGTCAGTCCGGTAATTTCGAATTTCGGTGCCAGTAGCGATCTAAAGCCGCGAAATCGGCTTGGGTATCATAGGCGCCACTGCCGCGATACCGCGGCCATTTGTTTGTCTAGCCTCCCCTCTCTCCGCTGTGAGTCCCCGCATGGCGGATGGGTTTACTTCCTGCCTCGGTTGGTAGAGGTAATTTTGCTTGTGCTCATTAGATCGCCAATATATTTCTGCAAAAACTTGTTATGACTGTCAAGCTTGTCGTGTTCTTCCTTGACCGCCTCTATCCTGTTGAAGATCATTAAGAGAGAATCCTGGAGCGCTCTAGCGTGCCTGCAAACCGTCAGCCCCAAACCTCCTCGTGTCTTATCCATCTAAATGCGACTTACTTATGAAGCTCTTCTCTAGCCTCGCGTCCCATAACCTCAATATCCTCGCTCGTTCTTCGTGGGCTCATCGCCCTTACATCATCCGGCTCCAGTTCCGGTTCTAACGGACCAACCTGAGAAGAATCCCGGGGAACGATCAAAGTGCCGCTGCTCTTGCGATTGGGCAACCGCGGTCGAATTGGAACAGGACTATGAATCTCATGTGTTTCTACGGTAGATGAAGACGATGAGTCCGATCGCTCGGGGGGATTGGGTTTCGTGTTTGTGGGTTCACTGCTCATGATGAACGGGTTGCGTATGCGTATATGTATATAATCCTACTACTGGTCCAGCCCGTCGAAAGGTTTTTGTTTTCTCGTTTGCTTTCTTTTTGCTTTCTTTTTGTTTTCCTTTTCTTTTTTTTCCGAAATGAATTATTGATTTTCGTGGAAGCGAACGACGTGATGCCCGCGGCGGTATTAGTGTGGATTAATAATTTTTGGCAGGATGCTGTCAAGGTTTTACGCCCGTATCCTCCCGTCACCCTAGCTTCCGAGAGATCGCCACCATTCAGTTCAGGTGGTATGGTGTGCCGTGATGTCCTTGTGGGTAGAATAGAGTTACGTAGGCGAAGATATTGTCCGTGTGCGACGAGCCTGAGGCGCAGGTAACGAGAGAAAGGTGCGCGAGAGGTTGTCTTGGCTAATTCTAGCAAGAAGGATACATGGCTCTTTTTCTATAATTTCTTCGTGTGAGGGTGTGGGTTGTATAAGTCGGTCAGGCAACAGGTAGTGGAAAAGAGAAAAGGGGAAAGGGTGGGCTTTGGGTAATAAGAGAGGAGAAGCAGGAAGAGGTTAAACGGGCCTGGTCTTTGCGAATCGGGGATGAGCGGGGGGGGGACAAATTCGACATAGGGTTGAAGTGATCGCCAGTGTAGAGCTAAGGACTTCTTGGACGGGGGTGCCGTTGGAAGTGCTTTGGGGGGTGACAGGGTGAGCGTGGTTGGGCTTTTGCGCTGGCCGAGTATGGGAGAGTTTGTGTGGTCCGTAAGCTCGTGGGTCGTGGGCCGTGGGTCGTTGTCGATCGGTACAAAATTGTTCAAAGGACGGCAAAACGACGTTTTTGTTTTAAGCTTCTGATGTGACAGAGAATTTGCGGCACGACACAGGGACGTGGGCGAGTGACATAGCCCACAGTAGAGCTAGCACGGTATTAGCCAGGTGGGTACCTTCTAGGTACCTTCTAGGTATCTTCTAAGTAAACCCGGTGAATGCAAATGCTAGTGTATCAGTGTACCCACCTTGGATACTTTTTGTACACCTGCTTTTTTGTTCCCATCCAATCGTCTTTCAATCCTATCCATGTCTCCATGGACCCGTACCTACCTAGGTACCTACGTTGATGTACATAGTTTATGTATCTAAGTAGGTATCTACATACGTACATAGGTGCCTAACCTATAATACGATAGAGGAGGTAATGCGCCGTTCGGTGCATCCACATACCTACCCTTAACGCGTCTACGGCCTCTAAGGTTCTTGGTAAGACCTTCAATTATGTAGGTACCTACATAATTAAGTGTGAAAAAAGAGGGCTTTTCACAACTTGAGGTCATTATCCTACCTAATCTGTACCTATAGACAACTGCACCTGCGTGGAAGGGCCTCATGCACAATTGAAATTATGCATAGTGTACGAATCGTACCTAGGCAGCCGAAAGCAACTGTAGTGGATTACGTAAGCTACGGGTATTATTGAGTTTTGCTGGGCGAGGCCCACTACTAGAAAACATTTACAACATCAAATTACCCACACTTCACTACCTGCCTCAACTTTAACCTAAAATATAGTTAGCGGGAAAAGCAGGAGGTACCTGACCGTTAAGGATGTGCCTGCCTACCAGGTATGGATTAAGCAATAAGAAAGAAAGAAAAAAAAAGAAAGAAAAGAACAAAGTTCTGTACTTTTCTATGGTATCCATTCCGGTGGGTGCCTTCTAATGTAAAAGTCGGGCAAAATATTCGTTTATAGTTTCTTAGCATGATTTCAAGTTATTATTATTATGACTGAGGCCCGTGTATGAGCCCACCTCAAAAAACTCATCTCATCACATGCTACACTACACTAAATCTAAGGAGGCTCCTCCGGTTCCATTCTAAGAAATTCTCGTGGCTTCTATTTATGCGACGTTTTTACCTTTAAGAGATCCAAACCTGAAACATGACAGCTGTAGGAGGATAGGCTGTATCAAAGAAACCCGAGGGGGAAAGCATTAAATTATATTCTTCGCTGCAAATAGTGCCGGGCCGCTAACTACCTAGGTAGGTATCTAAAGTAAAAGGGCTCCTGTAGGGAAGAAGCACTGAAGTGCACCCACATGGGAGAAGAAAAAAAGAAGAATATCCTTGTCGCGCGGATCGTCCTCGGCTTCCAAGGTTGTACCTAACGACTTCCAACAGACCGCTCATGATTGGGACACTTCGATAAGAAGTGGCCCTTGGAATGGGGAACGAACAGGCGTGGTAACGAGGATTGGGATTGCTACTGGAGTCCACTCGGGCTTGGCTAGAAGCAATCTGCCCAATCACTGCCCTCAAACTCGTGGGCCGGTAAGAGAAGTTGATGGAGCACGGCAATCTTAGGCCGTTTCGAAGGGGTTCCTGTGATGAGCAACTGATCTTAAGAGTCTGCTTCACGAATACGTTTTCAGTAAGTGATAAGCAAAAGGGCTCCGTTTATTAACAGCCCATTATGATGCTTACGAGATTTTCACAATCTGGCGGTCGGAACAGGACCCGAGCTACGTACACTAGTGACTCTGAGTTTACTTGGTACCTGTTGTACCGAGTATGCCTTGTTCTGACGATAAGCTTCACCGTTGGGTTGGTCGCATACCTCACATGGTGTGCCTCAGGACGAACACGTCTCTCAGATCATGGCACCAACACAAAGACGACAGAGTTGAGCTGTCCAAAACGTTCTCATGCGTCAAGAAGAGGCATTTTGGTTGAGGACTAGGAACCCGAGTCGGAGGGCCGGCAGAGAAGGTTACTGGCCTATCACACCCCCTTGGCGCATATTAAAGTTGTTCTTTCCGCTCTGCAAGGCGCTAATTTCAGAAGATGTGAGAAGGACCCCTAAAAATGTGTTCCTCCCTTCGGATTTTAGAGGATGCAGGTTAGGTTAGGTAAAAAGTACTAAAATGCCATCCGTCGAAAACTCCCATAAGGGTATGGCGGGAATACAGGAATAGGTACTCCCGTCGTCGCTAAATTCGCCCAATTCGGTTCAATTGAGCAAGGTCCCTCTTTTGCTTCCCTTGCTCTCAATTCTGGCTTTGGCTTCCAGTTTCGCACTCCTCAATATGATTATGGTTGACCCGAGGGGTGAATGACCAAAATGACAAACTAGAATGACAGATCAGGGAGCGAAACAAGAATATTCGAGACGACGCAGAGATGGCGTAATCGGTACGTCCTCGGGTCTTTTCTAGGCGATTGAATGGCATCTCGGGCTAGGGCAGGCCCCGGAAGATGACGATTTTTTTGAAGGTTGGTAGGTAGACGGGAGCAGGCCAGGCAGATATATCTGGGGCAATTTGAGAGCTGAGGCCAAAGGCGCAGAGCTGGGTCTGCTGGGCTTTGCCTTGGTACAGTCAAGAGGCACTGTATGACCAATTCGGCAACAAGTAACATCAACAAGTACAACCAGCCGTCAGTACCCTAGGTACAATACATAATGTACTGTGATGATGCAGCACTTCTAAATCGGATGCGGGGACCTTTTACGCCCTGGCGTGTGGCTTAAGATACCTTGTGATGTCATGCCAGGGCAACTCGTTGCCGCTTCAGCTTGACCAGCTAATGTGTACCGAACGAGGCGTCCAACGTCCCTTTGAGTTGTTCTGCTTACCCGTAAGTGAACCGTGGCCATCTGTGATAGAGGCTAGAGAGAGGCTGAGCGGCGAACAGAAAGCTGACAAGGCGATAAACATCTTGCTTTCGACTCGAAAAACAGCCCGCAAGGATTCCTAAGAACAAGAATGACGATCCAAACGTAGGTAAGATCTACCTGAAATACCCCCCATGCACGAGGCCGTCCGTCTGATTAGGTATTTGAACAGATTAACGAGACGTTTTCTGCATGCCTTACCCACCGTCGAATCATTACCTTTATAGGAAGGTATACTAGTAAATCCTCATTTGAGCCCAGGCTATTCACGGCAAGTTCGTTACCAGTTCCTATCGCCTGTCACCCTCTTCCTCGATTTGAGTTCGATTTAAGAGGAATGCTTTCCCCCCCTGATGCCTGTCCTTGTCATGTTTAGAAGGCAAATCTATATTCTTTTTTTTTTCGTGTGATTTCCCGCCGTATCGATCGCGGTGACGACATTGCGTACCGAGTTTTGTAAGAGGCTCACTGATCCTCACCGGGGGCCTGCATAGGTATAAGCTGATATTAGGTGCCTACCTAGGTAAGGTAGGTAGGTAATGTATAGAGCTAATCTTATACATTCCCCGCGATTGAACCCTCACGCCTCTTCTCAGGTGTGTCAGCCACTGGCGCCTTGGCCAAACACTGAAATATTTCTGAAACCCCCTAATCTCAAAGCTTCTTTAGACTTTAGAAGAGTCGTTACCCTCTCGGTTCTTAATGCTTCGTCATATTTCGAAATTCCTTTTGCGATCCCCGGCTGCTTGCCGCTGCTCGTGCGTATGTCGTGGAACGGTAATGACATCACCCTCACATTTACCTCCTAGGTCCCCTTTTCTGAGAGGACTGTACTGTGTAGGTAGTAGGTAACCCATTTCCCCTCATCAAACGTTTTAATGCCATCCAGTCCCGAGCCCTTGTTGGAAACTCATGTGAGATTCCCCTTTCTTTATGAAGTATGTTGTATAAATTAATTTATGTATGTGTCTACATTGTGCATTTTTTTTTCCTTGACATGTAAGTTGAACCAAGGTTGTTGGGTACCTAAGGTATCTAGGTATCTAGGTACTTCTCTCTTATTTTTATGGGCCTCATGTAAACCGTCCGGACCGTAAAACGTAAAACGTGAAACGTGATGCATAATGGAATAATAACCTTATTGTTAGGTAGTTATACCTGATTGAATATTTGTACCTGGACCTGCTGCTTGACCTTAGGTAACTTTTGGCCCGCTATGCCAGGTATGCATAGGCAGATATGCACTGTGAGTTTTGTAACTAAGAAAGATGCTTGGTAGATAACGGCCGCCTTTTTTTTTTTTTTTTCTTCCGGTGTCCAAAATTTCGAAGGGCCGAATCCTGCACGTCTCACGTAACTTGGACAACGGCTATCAATTTACATATGCTAGTCCCACCCAGCAATTATATATCGTGGCCCTGCTGTTATCCATCACCACCACGTAACACGGCTGCCCAAGTCTCACCCGGCTTCTAACTAACGAACTGTCTAATGTTAATAGGGTAGAGAGAGCACTTGCTCCATATACCTCCCCACAACGACACAAGTGCCTCCACTTTTCCTAGGTTCTGTCAAGTTCTGTCAGAAGTGTGTATTCCAAAGGTACTGCATCACGGACGCTGAGAATATCTTCGTCGAAACAGGGGGGAGAAGAGGAAGAAGAAAAAGAAGAAGAAGAAGCACTTCACCGACAAGAAGCGACCTCGAAAGTGCCGATCCTCTTGCTCCCGCGATGCTTGTCCAACGTGTCCGACCAATCACACATCGCAAATGTAGACATCGTCTCCCCCAAACCTAATAACCAGAGATCGTCAGTCGTTGGGGACAAGTCTTTTTTTTTCCTTGTTGCCGGAGCATTCTCGCCTCCCAGCTTATCGTATCCCCCCCTCCCCAAAAGGGCATATCACGAGGGACTTCATTTAGTTCGCGCAGCTTGCCACGTGCAGCACCAGCCGTCGCCTCTCATCCGCTACGCATAAGTCCCTCCGGTACTGCCATAGTGGGCGGGGCTCCTCGTGTGGTAAGGCGCATTGGTACACATCTCCCTGGTCAAGCCAGTTTGCCTATCTAAGGCTACCTGGTACCTATTTTTCAGACGGAAGCCTAGCCCAGATAATACCCTCACAGGCGTCGTTATCGAAGCCTAGCTGGCGATTACGCTACAACCATACCAACAGCTGGATTTATGCTTCTCCCTGGAGATCATCAATGGGTTGCAGGCAAACATTACGAGGTTATTATTAGATACACTCTACCTTAGGTACCTAAGGTATGTATGTATGGAATGATAAGAGACAAATCTCGAACTACCTCGCAGTACGCAGCTAGAAATTGGATCAGCATAATCTACCAGGCATACGTAGCCTTTGGATTCTTCTAGCTCGGCTTCGAGAAGCAGGATTTCGTCAGAGCCTCGTCCTCATTCTGGTTCCTATCTTAAACGGTAGCCAACCTGCCATGAGCCTGCCTTGGATAACGTGGTAAGAATCCTCCCTAATATAGTTGTGGGAGGTTGACAAGTGGCCGGGCGTGGGTGATCTATCATGGATCTCTTTCCCCTTGGGAAAGGGAAAGCCAGCGCGTCGTGATCAACAACGGCCACATTCGCCCTGATCAGCGATGCGAGCCCGCGGAACAGATGGATGGAAATTCGCGGGACTTGCTGCGTTTTTACTACGTTAGCCTGCCTACCAGATCGTGCATACAGTAGGGAGTCCCGAAATACCCAACGGAGTAGGTTGGGCTTGAAAGCACGACTCCACCGGGTCTCTAGTACCCTCCTTCACGTGCTAGTACACGAAGCCGTCACATACGTGCGTTGATTTCTAGAAGCAGCAGGGTGCGTACATTAAACCCGAATCGGTCTATGAAATTCAACCAGACTCGTACAGTAGTAACCATATGCACTTCCGTAAATGGGCAAAGCTCGTTTTGCGAGTCGAGGTCTCCATGAGAACGGATGTCCCGAACCTGAGACGTAGCCAGTAGAATGGAAGACAGCAAGGTTTATAGCAATATCCAAATATATGAAGTTGTGTTCTTGAACGCTATTGGCTCCATGCATTTTTCCCCTTGAATTGGAGACATTTATTTATACTTCAAAAACACGATACGTTTCCTACTGTCGCTGTCGCCGACACGCTTAGACATATTATACCCAGCTTTACTTGCGCATCGTGACCAATGCGTGGGCTTCCATTAGAATGGAAAGCCACTCTGCTGGCGTGTCACGTTCGTGTTCTATGACGGCATAGTCAGCTGTCGTCTTTTGTACGTCACGACCTTTACCAGTGTAAGATTCAGCATGTTCAGAAATCCACGTAGGCGGGTGGCCGTCGGATTCTTGCCTCAGATCTGTTTGTGCCTTTACATGATCAAAACAAGCAAAACAAACAAAAAGTAGACCGGTAGAATTGTTAACAAATCGGGTATAATCTAGGGGAAAAAAAAGGCGGATAGCTGCATCGATTTGCATCATGACGATGGCTTCGAGCCAATGGGCAAATTTAGCCCATAGGAAATAATGCCTCCCTTGGGAGGCTGCGAGCGTGGACGTAATCCCGCCTGCGGAAAAGGAAGGACACGAAAGCCGTGATCACACAGATCGGCGAGACGCAAACGGCGCCGGTATAACAAGACACGACATTGTTACGGTGGGACTCACGCCAGGACACAAGGGAGAAAAGTTCGTCGTACCGGGAGGATCTGCCCAGACACCTCAAGCAGTCCGAGCTCTTCAGGGAAGCCGGAGAATACCTGACCCCGTGGCACGTTCGCTGCTGCAGCTCGGAGCCGGGCGACCCGCGGCTTGACGCAGGTGTTTTTCTAAAGCGTGCCGAGCTAGGTACCAGCGGAATTTCTGACACGGCTGAAACAGGAGCGTATCGCCCAGCCGCGAGACTTCGCGATGAAGAATATTCAACAGCGTACCGGCCATCGAACTCGCCGACGCCAAAACGACCGTGGGGATCTTAGGCATCCGTCTGATATACGACAACGACAAGCCGGAGATATACAAGCGCCTACTGCAGCGGCCCGACTACAAGCTCCAGGTGTCGCGCGGGACAAGGCGTCGAGCAAGCACCTCGAGTCGACGAGACGATATTCGCAGACAGCGTACATACCGCTTCAGCGACAGACAGGTCATGAAAATACCGGCTCGTGCCGTCGACGGTAGACGCAGAGGAGCTTGGGCGCGAGAAAAGGTGAAGCCGGAGTACGCCGACGACATCTTGCACCGGTGGCTGCGGAACCTTCCCTTCCACGCGAACCACGACGCCGAGTTCCTGTTCGAGGTGGCATGCTTCTCGAGAACCTGGGCGACCAAAGCCCGTCGAGTACGCCGGCCGCGCCTGGGACAGAGAAGAAATACCCCCTGGCAGCCGGGTCGCCGAGCTCATCATTCCTAAACAGGAAAGTTTCAGCTAGATGCGCGAGGAAAATCGTTCTGGGAGGATCACATGAGGCCTGACCCGGTGGGTATCGCACAATTCTTTTTTTTTCCTTGTTTCCGCTACCAGAGTGAACCATGTTTTCCGTTTTCCCCTCTTCTTTCACCTTGCCGAGTTAGGGAACTCATGGAAAATAACGCAGTCCCTATAAGTCCGATATACGTAATTGCTGATTCCAGATGCAAGTGGCATGGTCTCGTGACGCTTCGGTCTTTGGGCAGCTCGAACCGCTTATGAAGAGTTTGTAAGTGAAACTCTATGGGGACTTGAGTTATGACTCGCATCCCACGATGGCCCTAATAGTATACCCAGCTAGTAGTTCCTTGAGTCGCAGGATGAATGCGACGGAGGAGATTAATGTCAGAAGCATCGACCCAATACCGGGTTGATTCAACACGTCCAGCCAACCGCTCTAAAATACCGCAATTCCTTATTGCGGTATAGCTGAGGTTGCATTGAGAGCTCAAAAAAGGTTTGTAAGAGAAATTCAGGCGTGCAGGTTGGTTAGAGTGATTTCGAGACTGTCCGTTACTAGCACATACGTAAATCTAGAGGACAAGTTCATAGTATACCTACCTACATATAGGTCCTACCATCGTCAGATGGGAAACGTTACGGCAGGTAGGATACCGTATGAGAGCAAGACCTCAGCACACAGGCGAAAAGACGTGGTAAGGAAAGGAAAGGGTATACAGAGAGCTAGCTTATTTTTATTTACCAATGCGAATTTGTAACAGAAAGAAAAGAAAAGAAAAAAGCATAGCGGTAATCATGAGCCGAAGACGACGTTGCCGAATGCGTCCTTCCTGTTCGGCAGATTGACCGCCAACAAGTCGCCGGCGACCGGGAATCGTTTTCCTCCTAGCTTAGGTACATAGAGCCAAGCCAAGCTACGCTAAGCTCAGCGCCGTTTTCTGTGCGCTCGCCCTTTGCAGATTCGGATGCGGCGGGGATCGCTGATGCAGCATCCATCCATCCATCCATCCATCTTCAGCCCTTTCCCGCTACTTGCCTCTAGGGAGGTTAGGATAGGTCTGTGCAACCGAGAAGCTCGCTTTATTACCCGCCAAGCTGCGCGACACGAAAGAAGCATTCTGGTGAATTGCCGTCTTGGGTAGCTCGTAGGGATGCTACCTCCTGGCACGGTAGAACGCCCGGGGTCCAATACTGCGTGCCAAGCCGGCAGAGGAGATGGCGTACGCGGAGAGCCGTTTGGTATGGGAAGCGCAAAACTAATATAAGCACTGCAAAGTACCAAGATATAAGCTCAAGTCTATAGCATCTATCACTATAGGTGCCACAGTTTGGAAGTTTCTAGTCACTTGGAAGTTAATGTGAAGTCTAGCTTCAACTACTGTTGTGTAGAATACTATCAGGAATCATTAGGCTCTACCCTGTTCAATCGCGTTCATCTTCTCGGCCGCTATGGCAGCTACTTCGCGAGCCCGCGCATCAACCCTCTCATGACCCGCAGCGAATTCGAACTGCGCTTTCCAAATCCTCCAATTTTCCATGCTCCACGTGTCTCGAGGGTTCTTCTTGTCCACCCGCCCCTTCTTCTTGCACTGCTCGTAAACGTAGCGTAGCTCGTCGGGCCATATGATCCACTGCGCCGCGCCTTGGATGTGGCCTCCGATGTCTTCGGGCTTGGAGGTTACGCGGACTTTGAAGGTGGGATATTTCTTGCCGTGGGGCATGATATCTCGCAGCGCGCTGTTGAATCCGCAGTCGCTAAAGCCCGTCGTTGCGATGCGCGCCAGAGCAGATTGGTAGTTGCGCCAGCGGGCCTCTGCTTCACTGCCTGGAACATCAACCCCCGAGCCCGGGTGTCTGATAGCTGTGATTATGCGATTTGTTAGAGGCCAAGTCTGGGAGGATAATCTAGTGCCGACGAACCGTCTGCTCTGATACGGAGGTCCTCTGTCGAGTAACCCTTATCTAACCAAAGAGTCATCATATGGACTTCCTTGCGCGCGTCGTCCAGAAAGTAATCGGGAGCCTTGTGCTCGGGTATGGCTACCAGGGCCTCAAGGAACTGAATGATTCTGGTCTGCCCCGCGTGATATGGTGGGAAGACAGAACACACATTGGGGAAATGCTGGAAGAAACGATTAACATATCCGCCAGCATCTGGTGCTTTACGAAGCGGAACACCGTCATCGTCTGTCTCAACGAAGTCTGACCGCTCTTGAAGGGCCTGTAGCTTGCGTGAGGATTCCCGCACAACCCAGTCATCGACCTCGGTGGCGATAGCGGACGGCGTTTGGGAGCCGTCAACCAAGGCCTTTAGCATCCTCATGCAGAACCTGTCGTCGGCATCGTTTTCGTCGTACGTGTCTAGGACGAGGGGCCGCGGCTCGTTTTGTTCAGCAGTAGTCATAGTTCTCTAGTATGGAGAGTTTCAATTGAGGATGACTTCATTTGGAAAGCATAGATTAGACTAGTAGGATAGCTGACCTCCTTTAACTAGAACAGGACAGAAGGGTGGCTGGCGAAGATCTACACGTTCCAGCCTGTGAATATAAATAAACCCTCAGGTGTTGGTATCAAAATTCGAATAATCCACATGTCCTAAGCCAATGAGATCCTCAGGTCAGTGCCGCAATGGATTTCAAAGTCAGACGCCAAATACGGCGATGTCAAAAGGCAAACCCACATTATGGGAATGGCGTATTTATCTTAGGTATATGTCTATAAATAGGCGTCACTCTCAAGCACGATCCAGTTAGTAGGAAAGCGTTCAAAAATGAGGTTCAAAGCACAGATTCTGCGCCTCATTATTCCTCTCGCCAATGAAAATTGCTGATATACTGGATTTATGGTGCCGGTTCAAGAAAGAGGTTAGGGCTAAGAAGAAGCGTTGCGGAATTTGCTAATCTCAACCGTGCAATCGTACATAGTAAAGGGGTTCCCCCGTACCTTCATTAAGAGAGCTTTGTCAAAAAAGATGGGTCCGGAATCGGCAACCATAAGAAAACGATGATATATGTATGTATATGGTGTAAGAGCTCGGAAGATAGCTATCAAACCGCACCAACAGGTAGATCGATGCCAACTCGAAGGGCTGGCGATGCTATCTCCGCCTATAAGGATAGTACCGTGACACATGGATACTTGGTGTTCAGACAACTTCAAAGTCGCGTGCTGGGAGCTTCTCAACCCGTTTCCTCATTTGGTCCTTGCTTTCGTTTACGACGAGAATCCGATGCTGTCGTACATCCCGTGCCTTGCCACCTTGGTGTTCTATCTCTCTGAGGATATAGTACACTGGCGACCTGCTAAATACGCCGAGAATGTCGCCTTCTTCAATATCAGACGTCGTAGCAATCCCTATAAGCCAGTTTTCCGTGATAAAGAACTTCTTTCCGGCGACTTGTCGTAACCCAAAATCGTTATATCTATAATCTTTCTCCATAAAACTTCGGATGCCACTTAACCGAAACATCTCAGGTAGGTTATCACTGCTACTCAAAGTGAGTAGGCCTAAGACTTGAGATTGTATTAGGTTCCCTGGGGGCCTCTCATCGTTTTCCTGGGTTGTTGGATTTTCTGGATATTTCTGAGTTCGTGTGGCAGTGTGCTCGCGATTACCTTGAGCCTCCGAATCGGAACCGAACTCTTTCTCACGTGAATAATAGCTAAGAAATCTTAACATATCCATAAAATATCTCGGGTATCCTTCCGCTGAGTCCTTCATAAAACCCAGGGGTCTATCTCCACTTCAGAGCAAAATAGAGTTGTTGGAGTAGCAAAGCAACAGGGAAGGGGACCTATAGCGAGATCTTCTTGAGCATGGTTATCAATGCTCAATCCTTATCGTCAATCTCCTCAGCTGATCTTCTAACCGTTATCATATCCTGGAGTCTCTCGAGGATTCTGACGAGGTCATATTGGTCAACTATATTCACATGAAGTTTTATGGGAGATGTGAAAGGATTTCGGCTGGGTCGTTAGAAATAGCTACGTGGGAAGAGTTGGCTGGTTGTTCCTCTAGTGTTCGACCGGACAACCAAATGGTTGTCTTTTTCGCCTTGGTGTGGTTATCACGCATAAGGTGGACAGGACTTTTTTTAACAGCTAGGAAAAATAGAAAACCGTTGGGAACTTAGTATTATTTTGGTCTAGTTGCTCTCTCCTGCATCCCGTTAATGGGCCTTTCAAAAAGAACCTGCTATATTTCTCACATGTGCCAGTAGCCTTCGGAGCCACCGTGAATCAGGGGCTAGTGTCAGGACCCGACTTACTCTGAAAATGTTATCAATGACAATTCCAGACATTTCCATAGATTTACATGGCTTAAAACCACCTTCGTAAAAGCATATTAACTTGAAGAGCTCGTCTACGGACTTAAGATTACTGAGAACGCGCATTTTTCGCGATTGCCCAACCTCATAAGATCACCGGGGGTCCAGATGTCAACATCCATCTCGAATATTAAATAAAAAATGCTCCAAGTCTTTAATGCCGGTATATCTCAACGTCCCTGTTCTTTGCATACGATGTTGCGCTTCTCTGGATACCTACCTATGTTCCAAAGCTTGAGGTTTGGACAGGAGAGTGCGGGCTGAGTTACCCAAACTCCAAACTCGCGGACACAAGGAACAAGGACAATTGCGCCGGTAAAACGAATAAATTATGAGCGATGAATTTTCCATCGTATCTCCAAAATTATATTTGCCCCAAATTACGGAAATACCCTGCGTGCATGCAAGGGGCTCCATTAGATATAGTGGCTTAAGTATTCTGTTGCCGATATTGGAAACCCCAGGTTCTTTTCGGAGCAGCCTACGGGACCTGCGGTTCCACAAAGCCGGGAGTCTAGCTCCGCATAAAGGCCCACATGTCCCGACCCTCCAGGAAGTACCTAGTATTAGCTTGCACAGTTCCGAACAACCTACACCAAGAACCTTGCTGATACCTCAGCCAGATTACCTAGCGGTGGGAGTGTAGCGCGTATGCATTGCCCATGGACGGGGTACATGGATGGGGTGGTTAAAACGCAACTATCATACTCGATTGCCCTAGATAGTGCCTTGACGTCGGCTCCTAGGCGCAAGGTAGGGGTAAGTTCGACGACGACAGCTTTCCAAGCTTATATTGCTACGATTCATTAGTTCGCTTAGTTTTCCATGTGACCACAATGCGAGTCTCGAGGCGGTAGAGTTTCATATGTCTAGCCATACCTAGTCGTCTTGAGGGGGCGGGCAACAAACATACTTTACTCCTACGGCCAAATGGGGACATGAGTTGTGCTCCACAATACTTGATTCTCCACCTAGGTACCTAGGAGGTAGACAGTACACTCCGGCGAGTTAATTACCTACCTACCCTAAGCCACATCCTCGGATTTCCCCCGCTGCAGATCCTTCAGTCTCAACTGTCAAGGCGGGCGGATGTTCGAGACTTGTACGAAGAGGTGGGGCACATCCGAGCTCGTCAACGCTGGAAGTTTTACTACCCTAGTTTATCCTCTCAAATATTTACTTCTCCCTTTTCTAACTCCTATTTGTTCCAGACTGTATTTTCGATAAAGGAGCAGTATTGTGGGGGGGGGAGGGGGGAAAGGAGAACAAACGCATCACGGGGAGTGTAGAAACAGATGGTTTCGATACCTATAGGCCTCCTGCGGGCCATACAGGCGACAACGCCACAGTTTATCAATAGGAATGTCGAAATGAAGTGGAAGCAGTCTACGGCTCATCCTGATACTTGTCAGGTTGTTATCTATTTGGGTTTCAGGATTTCGGAGGCGTCCAGAGAACTTCGCCGGAACTGGCGCATCTGGAAGTTTATGACTCGGTGAGCCGGTAAGGGGTTTAACTTGCTAAGGGATCGTAGAGCGCATAAACAACTCTGGCATTACGGCTACGAGGTTTTATGTCCAGCCCGTATATTATGAGTAATGTCTCTGGAAACATGTCGAAGTGCAACGTGTCGAGAGTCCGCCCAACATCTACAAGCATTTCAGACACCACGTCGAGCAGCGGAATTCGAACGGCCTTACACATCTCGAGGCGCTGTGTTATCTACTCGTCTTAATTTATTTGTTGCTAGCCCGTACCCGAGTAAGCATTGTACGTAGTAACCCGGCGGGAAATCTAGTTCTACGTCCCCTAGGCGGCCACCCATCAAGTCACAATAGTCGGGAGCGACAAAAGGGGCAGTACCGCACTAGCCATCCGACACGCCAGGCGACTTCGTAACGTTATGCCAATGAAAAAGGTCAAATGTTTCTCTATACGCATGAGCTAAGGCCACAAATCGTCTTCGATATGGTAGCACCAGGGGAACGCAGGCTATCCGACGTATAATATCATCTTAGCAAAGGGCATTTCCCGCATAAGCAACACGAGACAGAATATTGGATCTAGCTTTGCAACAGCCTGTATGGCTGCCCTCTTCATCTCTCCCAAAGAGTTTCTAATCATCGGGGTTGTAGGTTCTAGCAACGCATAACGTAATGGGGCACAGATTACCATCCTTCGACCGTCAATCGAGTCGAACATCACCACCAATCTCCAGCCACGTAATGACCTGCTGCCATTCTCCAAGTAATGCTGTTATCCTGCAGATTAGTGAGTTGGTAACGATATAGTCGGCCCACTCTGTTCAGGCAGGATGAGAAATACCGTCAAATTCTCCAACTGTAATATTATAATACGAATTATGGCAAATAGATATGTTTCTATTGCCCTTCTGTTTCGATTCGTAAAATAAGCTTACATTCTCGATCCTAGGCCAAGTAGTTGAATCTCTGCGTCATTAGCTCTCGTCCCAAGCAGCCATTCACGACCCTTGCTATATCATTTCCTAATGTTAGCCTCTTGTAGGAATTGACCGCTTCGCAACTAGTATAGGCAAGCAATGTACGTGTTCAAGAAGCTAAATCGTGTTGATAGATGTAACGTACCAGTATTCCGTGTTTATAAACCATTCTGTCCAAGGTATAGATCAGAATACGGGACTAAAAATACAGTAAGGCAGGCGAATAGTACGAGGCGGCTGCTTATGGCTGCGGCTGACGCCCTGTCGTGTTGTGCTAGCGACGTAAAGTCAGCCAATGGGATGGCGACGGGAGTCTCAAAGAGGTAACTTGGCGGCGACGATCCCCAAACTGCGCCTCAACCAGATCTCTTGCCAGCAAGTCTACTGTGAAGATCCTACCTACCAGCTAGTTGAGGCATCGCGAAGTGCTAGAAGTCGATGAGGATAAATTGAAGTTTGTCTGCTATCAAAATGTCGTTTTCATTATCAACAGCACTCACGCAACAACCATCTACTCTACACAACCAACCAATCTCTCATCTCCTCACGCTCTAAGCAACTTCTCATTCCAACCATCAAGATGAAGTCCTTCACCCTCGCCACCGTCGTCGCCGCCCTCGCCTCTTCGGCCTCGGCCGTCCCCAAGCAGCCCAGCCCAGCGCAGGTCAACCTGATCGCGATCAACCACTCGGTCAGCGGCGCGCACACGGACCAGCTAATTGCCATCGACATCGCCACCCTGACGCACAAGGACAACGTGCCGATCACCGGCTTCGCCGTCGACAGCATCTCGGTGACGGTGCCGGCGGCCCCGGGCCAGGCCGCCATCACCAAGGACGACATCGTCTGCCAGCGGTTCCAGGACCGGTGGGGCACCCAGCGCGGCAGCGCCGCCTTCACCAGTGCGAAGAACGCCTCCGTCAGCACCAACTCGGTCGATTTCGGCTACGTCCTCTGCTACGTCACGCCCACCGCTTAATTTGGGCCGAAGCCAAAAAGGGGGAGGGGGAGGGGAGACGAGCGGGCATGGACATGAGCATGAGCATCTCTCGGGGTTTATGGTTGGTAGACGGAAGGGCAATACACTAGATTGACGGGTTATTTATTGTATTGATGGGTCGTTGGCATCTGAATCTTCATCTGCATTTGGTTTTAGCGAAGCACATTCCTTACATTTTGCATTTACATCATACCTACTTTAGGCGCCTACATACCTAGGTAGACAACAGCTGATTATATAGTCAGTCCTCTATAATCACGCCATTCAGCTTTCCTGCGACGTGGTCCTCTCAAAGCTACCTATACACCAACACTATCACGCCGATTATAGAAATTACATCGTGTAGCATGCCCATCTTCAACACTACGAAGCGAAGCTCTTGTTACGATTCAGTAAACTCCGGCACTAACCTAGTCCGCTTACGGCACGCTGAAACATAGGCGGTAATAAGTTGCCAAAAATCATTCAGTCTTGGTGGCGCAGTTGGCTAGCGCGTTGGTCTCATATTATTCCGTAATATGATCCAACCATAGGTTGGGATATCCAGAGGTCGTGAGTTCGAGCCTCACCCAGGACAACTTTTCTTTTTTCTTTTTCTTTCTTTCAATTTCGTCTTAATCTTGTTACTCTTAGTCGCCTTTTAGTTTCTTTTTAATTTTTTCTCTTATTCACAAAGCTTCAACCTGTTTAATCTCAACTGTAGGTAATGCCAATTCTAGCTACAATATGATATTCATCTAAATCAACATCACTTGCGATATCGTAAGGCGTAGGCTACGTAATGGCACCACTTTTGAGCGGCACAAAAGCGTTCCAATTGGGCGGTGATTGCTCAACGATATAGCGTTTGTTGACATTGTAATTGCAATGAGTCGCTCCATGTCGTAGAGCCTCCAAAAGTCCGCAGAAGACTGTGTACTTACACCCTCTTAGTTGCACTCTACGTATAGTTCCCCCTATTCCAAAGACAAGAAGAGTGCCCAGCGACAACACACTAACAACAACCTCACACATCCTTGCTCACTCTTTTCGTCGTGGTGCTAGATGCATTTTCGTAGAGCAAAAAGAATATGTTCATACAAATAGTATATATACACCGCCGCGTCCGCTCTTACGGTCGTGGCGAGCGTCTTCGTCAAACACCGGCAGCTGAGAACAGAGCATACGGAGACGAAGACGGGTATTCCGGAGTTGACGAAGCGGAAGACTTGAGTGCTGAGGTGTAACAGGTAGGTAGCTTATCGGGGCATAAGCCATCTATAATGTGAATTATTAAGCTATGTATTCGTTAGTTGGCTCACTTCCGTCGTCTACAACAAAGTGCCAATCCTGACATATCGGCTCTTGTACATTCCTCTCCAGCATAGTTGTTGGCCTGGTTGAAGCGGTGATGAGCTGTTTTTCGTGTACTCTTAACACTACAAGTAGTCCTAGATGGATACCGCTGACTAGGCACCCATAGCTCATGTCGTATTAATCCATCTATCTTAGTTGTAGGCTTATGTACTCGCCTAGTCTTTAGGGTTCCGATTATAAGCGTTCTACGCCAATGGCCTAAATAACCATCGCCATAACTCGACGGCTTCAAAAACGTCCCGCAAACATAAGACTTTATTCGCTAGGCTAACCCTATTTCCCTCGCTTAACCGAAATGAAGCAAAATGCGAAAAATCGCTCCCAGATTCGTCGGCTTCCTGCTGCTTCGACAGAACTTAAATCTGTCATCAGAACCGTTTCGAGTTAGGAATAATTCTCGCCGTGGTATAATTCACAAACACTTCCAACACTCTTGAACATTTCCGGGCGCTGCATCTCGTCGATGCTACCGACGTCGAAACGAGGGTCAAGCACATGTGACCTCCAAGCAATATCGCCTTCGGTAACAACGTCAGTGATAATAAACTCAAGGCTCGATCAGATCAGATCAGAATTCTATCTATTTGTTTCACTTACCTGGAGAACCCTTAGTTCCCATGTCCTGCCATGTTTGTACAATAATATACTCGGCGTGAAACTTGATAAAGATGTCGGTAGGGCAGTGCCTACAACCACCTGCGTGTGTTGCAAAGACAGCCCCGTTAAAAATAAGCTGTTCTAAATTTAAGTAAAATGATCGGTAAGTCGACGCGACTGTCAAGTTGGCTGAAACTATGTTGTGTGGGCATAGAATGATCTCTCCCACCGTTGGCAACGATATATCGATGGATTTTTTCCGATACTCCCAAGCAGACATTAGCAGGTACCTGAAATTTCCATCGCGATCCTTGATGATTTTAGGAGTAGCGACGTACGAAACATCCAGTACGTTCTCTCGATCGACTGGGAAAGGATGGGTACGAAAGTGGTCGTCCCGATGCACCGCTAGGAGTGCGCTATAATAATATTGGTATCTGAGGCCCGGGTTTTGTAGGCGTATGTACTTGAGCGCGAGCTGGACGTGGCGGTGCTCGATTTGGACGGCACGGTGGTCGTGTCGGGATCGCCGGCCGTACACCTCATTGCACCACCGATCCCATGGTATGGGACACGACATTTTCCATGGGGTTTTGGGCGTATCGTCGAAAGAAACAGGGTGCAGCTTGAAACAGGCTTCGCACACCCACCAGTCTAGAAGGTCGCGAGCGATCCTCGTGAGAAATCTAAGGTATTGCCCGGAAGAAAGCCTGTGTACCTCTAATGTACCCAAGATGGCTCGTAGCGAGCGACATATCGTCGCAAGTACAGCTCTATCGACCCGCGGAAGGTAATTCGATATTTGGAAGATTAATTCAAAGGGCAAATTAAGAAAATAACTACTGGTACGTAGTTGCGGCATCTTCCTGCTTCTCTGGCCAGTGGCCACCTTGTCCAAATATATATTGTTAAGCGAATGTTGCACGAAGTATATGAATCCAAGAAAGCTCAGGTCGCGATAAAGGAAGGGTGTTTCTGCGAGTATAAGAGATTGAGATAGTACCTAACCAGAGATAATATTAGGGGTCAGGATATAATCCGTGTTAACATAAGAGTTAAGTTGAAAGTCCTGCTAGGTACTGCGACATAAGACACCCTTATGTTATACTTCGTTAGCTACCTCTTACGTTCATCGCACCTTCTACACATCTACTCCTCATTGATGTTCGTAGGTAATGGGCTCATGGCATCTGCTCGACATACTTCATCGTGCGGTTTGGCCGTTGCGCTTCACCTGCCATATGAGTCAAATTACCTATGAGGCTTATTCGCCCTCGGCCAGATTTTTGCAATTCACCTTAACGGGGTGGTGAATTGAAAGGTACCTGGTATGTACAAAATAAATTACCCGTCATGTTGCCATGTTGGAATAGCGTCATCGGTCTATAGTTACGAGTGGGTAACAGGGTGTGGCCACGATATTAATAAATTACCAGGTTAATGGTTTTCGTGGGCTGTGAATGCATCTTCTAGAATTAGAGCCCTTACGCAAGTGATATTGACGCCAATGGGATCGCCGTTCCTTGGTATTAAGATGTACTAGTTGAACCATGGCGTGCGGGACGCTGAGGCAGCCCGTGAACCGCCCCGCTAATTTGCTGTGATAATACCTTAGGTGGTAGGTATTTACATGCAAGTTCCAATGCATGTAGTACCTAGGTAGGTAGGTAGATTGAATCTGATGTGACCTTGGCCTTGGTTGACTTTGGATTCCTGACAGGTTTTCGGCGTCCTGCTTATTTTTAGTGCAGCGTGCCGCTTCGTATTCAAAAAGAACTCGGCAAAACTTGATAGAAATCAACTCTTTCGTCAACAATCAAGAACACCATTCAAGTTGATTGAATTAACTTGATTCACGCGTAAGCTTACCTAGTGGGGTTGTCTGTCTTGCAATAACGTAGGTAATGTTGTGACAATACCCGCTCTCATTCGGGTAACATTGCCATATTGTATGCTTCAAATACTGCTATGTTCCACGTGTAAGACTTGGCCGCTTAGGGGTGACCGGTTATTCGGCGCCATAAGAAACAATGAACCGACAGGGGTTTGCCGTGGCGAAGGTCTGTAATACCGCAGAACATCGCGCGTAGTGTATATGTCTAGGTATTTACCTAGGTAGGTACCTAGGGTATGCAATGCAAGCAAAAGTATATGTATAAACGATTCTCTTCGGCACCGAAGACAAACCTTAGGGCTACAGTTGGAAATTCGAGCGGTGACCAGTTCCGCTAACCGAAATGTTGTTTGAGCGGCCCGTGGCGCGGGTACCGACACGCCTATATGCAAAGAAAAGAAAAAGAAGAAAAAAAAGGAAAGAAAGCGTTTGCATCTCGGGCTGCAGTTATTCAACCATTTGACGTAGGTTGATATCGACGTTGGCATTGGTATTGGCATTGGTTGATGGTGGCGGTGGTGCCGCTTATCCCGATCGGTTGGAGCCGTTCCAAGTATTGGGGAGAAGTTCCCGGAGCAGCGTTACTATTTATTATTGCGTTGCTATCCGTACGGTAGCTGCAACGTCGTGTTTGTTTGGGGGATAGTCAAACCGGAAGGGATCAGCTGGAACTTTCAAGTCCCCGGGATAGATCGTTGTGACGATCATCCAACTATCCAACTTCGGAGCTGTAGAATGGGCTGAATGATAGTGTATGTATGAGACTAGCCAACAATTGCATAGTTAGTAGATTCTGCTTCGGTCTAAGTACGGTTCCTGGAGTAAGCTGGCAGGCTGGCAGGCTGGTGAGATGCAGGTTGATACGAGGTCGATATATATGATGTTGATAATCCTGTTGACAATCTTGTCGATAATCCTTGTGAGTACCAAGGTATGGTTGCATACATACATGATGGCTGGACAAGGTCGAAGTTTAAAGAGAGTCAAGTCAACCTAATACTGGAAAAGCTGCATTCACATATTAAAAGCGTATGTAGCTAACCTGCCCTGTCTAGAATTATAGGGATGTATCTCAAGTGTTGTTGAATGGAAAATTACATGTATATTCTGCATTTGTGCAATACAGACAGAGAGGGAACAGGTCGAAATTGTTAATCACCCCCCCATTGGCTTGCTTCAGGCTGGTTCAGGTGGTCCAGGTAGTCTCGCGACACCCCTGTGGGCGCTAGGCGATAAGATCCCTGACGAAATTACGTCGTTTGGGAGCTATTTGGGAGCCACATGGGACCCGATGGGGCCACGAATCTGGGAACATCTAGGAGGTAGCTTGCTGAAGGAGCCAAGCCTGTATCTTCCAATCAGTGCAATTAGTTCCAATCTCGGTACCCATTTAAACTTTTGAGAAACGAGGCGCTGCGTGTCTTTTCTTTAATTGCTACCTACCCTCATATATGTACGAAGTACCTACCTACCACCTAACCTAAGGTAAGCTTATTTCGTGACTATCGCCAACTTCGCCAACTAAACTTCGACTACTTCTTGTTCCGATTACTTTTTCCTCATTTTCCCATTTTCCTCTTTTCTTCTATTTTGTTATCATTTTTTCTCTCTCTCTCCCCCCACCTCCTTTTTTAGGAAGTTAGCAGACAGCGGACTCGTAAACTATTCCTAGCTTACCCGCTTCGCCCTTGCATCTCCTTTACTTACATGCATCACTAATAGCTACCTCTTTAGACTCTAAAGTTTAGAGTCAACTAGTAGCTGTCCTTTAGCTACATTATCGTTACCCACCTCCTGCCAGACGAATTATACACTAATATCAGATCTGCTTATTTCTGTCTCGCCGAACTCTACGTTCATTTACCTCTGCCCGGCCTCCCCTTGTTACCACCTCTGCCGCCCTCTGTAACTTTGACTCTCTGCGATTCCCCTCTATCTCGACCCCCCCTTATGCTCTGTTACACACCCATCGGCTATTTATACTTCCCCCGCGTCTGAGTCGTCCCTCGAACGAGCTGCCATAGCGGCATCCCACCCTCAATATGGCTACCGAACGGGAAGCCAACGAGCTCAAGCAACAAGGGGCTCTTGAAGCTTCACGCGATCCTGAATCCGGTGTCACATCCGATGCCGCTCAGAAAAAGCTAGTCGAGGAGAGCAGAAATGCTGGCGTAGCTGCTTTCACGTTTGATCCAGATGCGAGTCCCGAGGAGAAGAGGGCACAAGCTAGGGCTGTATGTTCTCTACCTTTACGTCTCTTTCCGTTGAATGCATCAGCTAATGAGGCTAATCTAGGCTATACCAAACGATCCCCGCCGCACGCGAAAGCCTAAGGGTGTAGCTATCGCTACCGATGTCGACGACGGTACAAAAGCTAATTACGATCTTCCGAGCCCTTCGAAGGATGGAGCCGTGCAAGTTCTCAAGGACAAGGACGGCAAACCGATCCTGGACGGAAATACCGCCGAAGAGGAGGAAGACCTGGCTGCCAAAGTTGGTTGGACTCAAAGGTTCGGTTGGCCCGTCGAAAGCGTTATGGAAGGTGAAAGTCTATTGGATCACTCTACTTGGTTGGAAGAAAGACTTCCCGATGAGTATTTTGGAGGTTGGTCTATCCGATGACGATGTTCCCTTAGGGTGCGGACTGCTAACGTTGGTCGGATTTACAGAATGGTATCATAATGCCGGAGTAATCATCTTCGCCTGTCTTGCTTCGTGGCTGGTTGCCGTGCTTGGGGGTGGATTAGCCTGGGTTATTATCGTCATGTCGTGTTGCGGAACGTACTATCGAACGTCCATTAGAAGAGTACGAAGGAATTTTCGCGACGACGTTATCAGGGAAATGGCGCTGAAGAAGTTAGAAACCGACCACGAATCTGTCGAGTGGATTAACTCGTTTCTGGCAAAATTCTGGCCCATCTATCAACCTGTTCTGGCTCAGACGGTCATTAGCTCCGTCGATCAGGTGCTAAGCTCCGCGACTCCATCGTTTCTTGATAGTCTACGCCTAAAAACGTTTACATTGGGATCCAAGCCACCCAGGATGGAGCATGTGAAGACTTATCCCAAGGCAGAGGACGATGTCATCCTTATGGACTGGAAATTCAGCTTCACGCCGAACGACGACGAGGATATGACTGCTCGGCAGATTCGCAACAAAATTAACCCCAAGGTAGTCCTTGAGATTCGCATCGGCAAGGCTATGATCAGCAAAGGTCTCGACGTCATCGTAGAGAATATGTCTTTCTCTGGTATTATGCGTCTTAAGATCAAGCTCCAGTTTCCTTTCCCTCACATCGAGAAGATTGAGATGTGTTTCCTTGAACGTCCAGAGATCGGTTACGCTTGCAAGCCCCTCGGTGGTGAAACCTTTGGCTTCGATATCAACTTCATTCCGTTCCTGGAAACTTTCATCCAAGAACAGATTCACGGAAACCTGGCCCCGATGATGTACGCCCCGAACGTCTTCCCTATTGAGGTCGCTAAAATGCTGGCGGGTTCCCCCGTCGACCAGGCTATTGGTGTGGTTGCGGTCACGCTCCACGGGGCCCAAGGCCTCAAGAACCCAGATAACTTTGCTGGAAATCCTGACCCTTACGCCGTGTTCACCTTGAACAAGAGGGCGCCCCTCGCCCAGACCAAGGTTATCAAGGACACTCCGAACCCCAGGTGGAACGAAACGCATTATGTTATCGTTACATCCTTTAACGATTCGCTCGATCTCATCATCTACGACTATAACGATTTCCGCAAAGACAAGGAGCTCGGCGTCGCTTCTTTCCCGCTCGAACGGGTGGAGGAAATTGGTGTGTACGAAAACGAGCGTCTAGAAGTCAACGCTCACGGAAAGGCTAGAGGTGTGGTCATGGCCGATTTCCGCTTCTTCCCCGTTCTCGAGCCTATGGAGCACGACGGCGTGGAGGAGCCCCCACCGGAGACTAACACGGGTATTCTACGATACACTATCGAACAGGCCAAGGATCTTGACGGCACCAAGAGCTTAGTGGGCTTGCTCAATCCATATGCTGTTCTACTTCTCAACGGTAAAGAAGTTCATCAGACCAGAACGCTCAAGCGTACCAACAATCCTATCTGGGACAATGGATCCAAAGAAATTCTTATCACCGACCGGAAGAATGCTAAATTGGGTCTTGCAATCAAGGATGATCGTGACATTGCAGGCGATCAGTTAATCGGCACGTACCAAATCAAGCTCGACGATATGTTGGAGATGATGGAGAAGGGACACGACTGGTACAATTTATCGGGAGTCAAGAGCGGACGAGCGAAGCTGACCGCGCAGTGGAAGCCTGTGGCTCTATCCGGCGTTCTGGCAGGTACTGGAGGTTACCAAACACCCATCGGTGTAATGCGTCTCCATTTCATGAGCGCCCGCGACCTACGGAATTTCGAAACTATGGGTAAATCGGATCCCTATGTCCGCGTGCTGCTCTCCGGTATCGAGAAAGGTCGAACGGTCACCCACCGCAATACGCTGAAGCCCGAGTGGGATGAAGTCATCTACGTGCCAATGCATTCGGCCAGGGATCGTCTTACTCTCGAAGTCATGGACGCCGAGAAGATGGGCAAGGACCGCAGCTTAGGTTTAGTCGAAGTCTTTGCGGGCGACTATATTTCGGAGGATAATAACGGCGAGTATCTTGTTCACGATGCGAAGAAGGTGCAGGAAACCGGACTCCGCCTCCACGGAAAGGGCATCGCAAAGGGAATACTCACATATACCGTTTCTTTCTACCCGTGCATAAATGTCGCAGACCCCGAGGAAGAAGAGGAGAAAGAAAAGCAAAAAGGAAGTGAAGCAGCAAATTCGGAAGTGCCAAAGCCATCCCTCGATGTCCCCCGATCCTCGGAAGCTGGAAAGATTTCCGCCCTCGAGAGGAAAGAAAGCGTCCCAACTACGCCAACCACGCCCAGTGTACCCAAATCGCCGGTTTCTCCTAGATCAACAACGTCGGAGCGCAAGTCACGCGAAGCGCGGGAGCGTCCCAAGGTTCACCTCACCCCGCAGGAACTGCTCAAATACGAATCCGGGTTCCTTATCTTCAAGCTGCTCGAGGGAGAAATGCCAAAGAGTGGAACGCATCTCGAAATTTACGTCGACGACATGCTATACCCCAGCTACATCTCGGGTACGGCTAAGAATAAAGTTTTCAAATTCGACGAGATTGGCGATTGCTTTATTCGCGAACTGGAGTTCTCACGACTGACCCTCAAGGTGAGAGAAAAGCGCGAGAAGCCTGGTGAAGAACGTGATGAGGATCACACAGTAGCGCGCTTGACGGGAAATACTCTGGATACACTTAAGCAATGCCTAGTAAGTTGCTACCATCTGCGGAAATTTCAATGTGTCGCTAACAGCTTCAGAATAATCCTACAGTGTTGAAGCTTAAGGACGAAGAAAATAGAGCGGCCACGATCAAGGTCAGCCTGAAATACATCCCCGTCAAGATGCGCCTAGACCCCAGCGAAAGTATCAACAATATGGGTAATCTCCGCGTCGACGTATTAGATGCGTCAGATCTACCCGCAGCCGACTCGAACGGGAAGAGTGATCCTTACTGCAAATTTGAGCTTAACGGACAGGATGTGTTTAAGACCAAGACGCAGAAGAAGACTCTCAACCCCGTGTGGAACGAGTTTTTCGAGGTTGCCATACCTTCGAGAACCGCCGCTAAGTTCAATGTCAAAGTCTACGATTACGATTTCGCAGACAAGCCCGATTTCTTGGGCGGGGCCGACATCAATCTTGAGCAGCTGGATCCGTTTAGGGCACAGGAGCTCAAGCTGTTACTAGACGGGAAATCCGGTTCCATCAGACTGCGACTGCTTTTCAGGCCCGACTACGTCACACGCGCTCGGCTGGGTACTAGCACGTTTGCGGGCACGTTCGGCGGTGGACCCGGCAGGATCGTGACCGGTGTTGTTGGTGCTCCGGTTAAAGGTGGCGTCGCTGTAGCCGGCGTTGTTGGCCACGGCGTTGGTAAAGGCGCCAGTTTTATCAAGCGCGGCTTCCGGGGAAAGAAGGACGACGAAGGTAACGGCTTGACATTGACATCAAGCAACAACTCCGAGATCCCCACAATCGTGACAAATGAGCCTGAACCGCCTACAGCCGCTATGGGCCTTCAACGGTCCACGGGCCTAAGTGCTACCAACGGCGACGCTGCTCGTCCCATAACGCCCAATGAGAACTCGAAGACGCATGGGCGCAATTCTAGCATGGGCGGTGTCTCCATCTATAGTCTAGCTCCAGGCGCTGCTGGCGCCGGAATAGCTACTTTTACTGTAGTCTCCGCGTCGGGGTACCCAGAGTCGGCAGACATTTACGTCCAGATCAAGCAACTAGCGCCGAAGGAGAGGACCATCGGTAAGACGAAACATCACGAGTCTCACGGGACGGTTCGTTTCGACGAAACATTCAAGCACGCATGTACCGCTGATACTCAGTTCCGTATCGAGGTCAAAAACCACCACACCTTTGGAAGCGATGATGATTTAGGCGAAGGGTTATATTTTGTGGATGAGACCGGCAGCGGCGAAAAAGAAATCAGAGTTGGTACCGGAACGGTTGTCTTGAAGAGCTCATTTGTGGAACCGAGCATAGAAAATGGCAGCCCGGGCTCCAGAAGCGGGAATAGTGGTTTACGAAGGAGTTTCTTGAGCAAGAGAGAGGTCAGACCAAAAAGTCGAGACGGACAGCCTATCTAAATACCAAATATGTGTTCATTAGTCAGGCGTTCGGGAGACTAAAGGTATATCGCGCGAATTGGGTAAGGGGCAATTCCAGCAGCGGAGTTTTTGTAACCAAAAAAAATAGAGATTAGTTGTTAATGAAGATGTTATCTTGAACTGGTATAGATGCAAAGCGTGGGAGCCAACATAATCGTCTAATCCATGGTTACGTTATGTTGGCCTTTACTAGTACTAAAATATTGTTAAGTTAAGGTCAGGGGTGAAGCCATTTCATGAAGCGTGATCATCCAAAATATAGTGAGATTTCAAAAAGGCTACCTTACCTATATAGGAGGTAGTCAGCATATGCGTACATACTTTTCGCTACCATATATCCTACAATGACTGAAAGGGACTCCGATTCTATCGTCTAATTGGTGAACTCCATTATAGGAGCGTTTATAAGACGTCCAACTAGAATTATGCATCCTCGGAGCCATCCACCCCAATCGCAAGCAGCAGAAGGCTACGGCGGCGGCGGCGCAGGCTTGTATAATAGTCTTGCCCATCAGTCCAAGCACACGAGAAGTTGCGGCTTCACCTTCACCTCCCCGGAAACAAGTTCTTTGTGACCTATACGCATCTGCAAATATGATACGTAACACCTGAGCTGTGCCAGAACTTACCCTGCGCTCAAAGCAACTGTGTACAGTTCGACTTACGCGATGATCCGGTAATAGAGCATGGAATTACGATTGTTGTACCACACCGCAGCTGTTCGGCACGGCGGCCGGGCTATTAATGCATGGTGATGCCCGTCATCAGCCTCAATACGTCAATGGCTGTGAACAATCTTATTCAGGAACTCCCACCTAACCTTAGATTCAGTCAGTAAGTGCCTTACTACTCAGACCAAACCAACCAACCAAGCTTAGGTAGTTTTTAGTTTTAGTATCCATTACCGATTGCATTCGCCAACAACAACAATGGCTAATCAGACGCGAGGCGGACTCCCCTTCGCTCCCTTCCGGGACGAGAATGGTAGGAACTCCTACCACCACCCGTTCCCCCGCTACGCCCCCTTCGACCCGTACTTCCGCATCACGCCGCACCGCCGCGCGTACACGCCCCGGGAGCTGCTCAACGGGACCATCAAGGCCTTCTACAACCGTCAGGACGGCGGGCTGAACCCGCTGCAGGTCCGCGCGCGCGAGAGCCTCTGCGTCCGATACGTGCTGCGGAGCACGGCGTACGCGAAGGGCGAGCACGTAGCGGCTGGCCCCGGAGGCGACGAGGCGAGGGAGCTCGTGGACGACGACGTCCGGTTCTTCGCGAAGCAGCTCGACGACTTCTTCTTCTTCGGCCTGCTCGAGCGCTACATCATGATCGAGACCGGGCTCGACGTCGTGGGGCCCGACCCGGCCGGCCTCGAGGACAGGATCGAGGCCGAGACGACCATCGTCAGGGAGGCCAGCGGCAACGAGTATGTGCGCATCAACATCAATACGGGCCGCCGGGACATCGCGAGCGCGGGCGCGAACGCGCCGACCTACGAGCTTAACGACATCATCGGCAGGCTCATGCACGAGATGATCCACGCGTACTTCCTCATCTACGCGTGCGACTGCCCCAAGTGCGAGCGGGGCCTGCTCAACACGACGGGCCTGCCGAACGACGGCCACGGGCCGGTCTTCCTGATGCTGCACCGGCTGATCGTGAGCGAGATCCGGCGCTGGGGCGACGCGGAGCACAACGACCTGGCGGCGCTGCTGGAGCACGACTGCCCGGACCTGTCCATCAGCCTGCACAGCCGGTGGCGGGCGAACGCGGCCATCAACAACCTGACGGTGCTGCAGCGGCGGAACTACACGCGGCTGCTCCCGTACAGCTTCAGCGAGCGGCACCTGGTGCGCATCACCAACACCGACCGCGTCGCCGTGCGCCCGAACATCAAGGAGAACCAGATACGGGCCGAGAACGCGCTGCACGACAGGCGCAGCCGCGCCGAGGCGTACAGGGTCGACCTGCTCGACAACTGGCTCGCGTACGAGGTCGACGAGTTCGACGAGGACGAGGCGGATTACGACCACGCTTTCGACTTTGAAGGGGAAGAGGACATCATCCGCGTGGACACTGATGCGGTCGAGGGGGGCGTGGGGGATCCCAGCGTGGACCCGAGCCGTCAAGGCAGTGGCAACAGAACCTAAAAGCATAATAAGCTATTGCAGAACTGACTGTGGCAAAACGAGGCGGATTAACTTCTTAGAACGTCAAAACGCCCGAGGGGAAAAACTATCCTGACCAAAATATTGGGCTTTTAACTCCTCAAGGTCAAAGCCTCCCCTCTTTCGATAAGTAAGTCCGCAACAGATATCCTCTGCTAGATCAAACACTAAGAGGTCTAATGATATTCCAGCGTAGTGTAGAAAAAATAAAGTTGTATACCTATTATGTGAACACGTAATGACCCCGTATCGTGATACCAAACTCTTCGCCGTTGTCCACGGAGATAGAGTTATAGTTTAGCTGACCCGAGACGGTAATATTATTGCCTTCGTCAGCCTCAGTATTTTGCGGTTGTAACTTTCAATGGTGCTGGTTGACTAGAATGGCTCTAACGGAGGAGAGGTCCAAAGCCATAATCGAAAAGAATATAAGTACTCCCTACTGCCCTCCCCTTTTCTGTGTTCATTTTCATCATCAGTCAAAACAACAACAGCTTTCTTGACATCTCTTTCTTCAAAGACAAAAAAAGCAAACAAACCGTTATTATTCACAATGAAGTTCACTCAAGTCGCTCTAGGCGTAGCTGCCCTCATGGGCGTTACCAGCGCCGCCAAATCTTACATTGACCTTAGCAACGGACGTAAGTGAACTAACCTCTTCCCTCTTCCCTCTTCCCTCTAACTGCAAGGAGACGAAATAGGCATGGAATATACTTTTTTCTTTTCTTTTCTTTTTCTATCTTCTCTTCGAGTCGCTAACCCAACTCTTTCAACAAGTATACACCATCCCCGTTGTCAACGGCAGCCTCGACTTCGAGAGCGCCGTGCGCGACTGGGACGGAGTCACGGAGCTCAACAAGACAGACAAGCTCGCCGCGCGCCGTCCCCCGGGGCCCTGCGAGCCGCAGTTCCCGACGCGCAAGACGCTGTGCCGGTCGCGCATGATCAAGCGCGCCGAGTACCTGAGGGCGTACGCCAAGTTCATCGACTGGATCGAGAGCGGGCCCGACGGGGGCTGGATCCCCAAGGGCAGCTGCAAGTCGCTGCTGTGGGGCAACGCGGTGGTGAGCGCGTGCTCGACTGGCGGCGTCAACCCGACCTGCCGCGCCGAGCTCGAGGAGGCCATGCGCGAGGTCGACTCCATCTGCTCCGCCGAGCAGGGCGGCGACATCGTCATCCGCCACTGGGCCAAGAGCTACGGCCGCCACAACGTCCGCGATGGCGACAACCTCGACGGCGGCGACAACTAAGCTTTCAAGCGTGCGGGGGGAAACACGGGATGTGAGCCCACCGCCGCTGTGAAGAGAGATTAGGTGCAAGGGGGGGTGATTGATTTTGAAGTTTGAGTTTGGGACCCCGCGCACCGCACGGTTTAGCTAGGTAGCTAATCCGTGTCCGTAACAATGTTTGATTGGTTTACGATGGCCAAAGCAAGTTCGCGTTATCTTCATAAATACCTACCTATTAGATAGATTTGATGAATGCTGTAATTCTTATATGTCTCGGTCGTGATGGTGTATCTCATCAAGCAATCAAGCTAAGGGAGCTCGTTCTCGCACGCATGTCTTGAATCTCGAAAACCGTAACCGCGCAATAAAACCCGTGGTCCATGAATTACACAATTGTATACAAAACTATTGCTCTAAGCTCGTATATTCTACTGCAACCCCCTATGTGCATCTACCCCATCTTAAACGCCTTTTATCAGCTCGATAAATCTACCTTAGCCAGTTTCACAACAGGGAGATGCGCCATGTGTATCTTGGCGCTCCCGAACGGCACGAAACGGGCGCTGAAAGGCTTTCCGGTGACCTTGGGCACCAGGGGAGGATCTGCCGCGGTATCGAATGCAAGAGGCCAGTCTATCTCGACAGCGGCTACGCGAAGCTCAACAGGCGGCGCGCCAAGATCCCAGATCGGATCCGCTAAGGTCGACACATCAGCCTGCACAACTTTTATCTGCGATGGGTCGATAGCAATGTTCCATATGCTCGCAGGTTCGATGACGTGGTCGTGCGTATGAGATGTAGTACTTGTACTTGGTACAGTATCACCGCTGAACGCAACCACAGGTACCTCCGATACGTTGGCATCAATGTGAAGACTGTAGAGTAGCGACCCGTAGTATATCGCCGCGGTATTGTTGGCTCTTGTGACTACTCGCGGCTCTGTCTTAAGATTAACGTTGACAAAGCTGATGCCTTTGCTAACTTCGATCTTCTGAAGCCCCTTGTCCGATGGCGAGATCGGCCTAGATTTACCAGAAGGCCCTACGATAGTACTCGATTTATCTGCCCAGCCTGGAATCCGAACGTAGAACGTAAAATCAGATGACGCCGTAATCGAGTATTTTATACCCAGGCCAAAAGGATAGTTAGTGTCGGCCTGTATGCTTACGCGGTTATGGCCCAACGAAGTGCTGATACTTCCGGGAATTAGTAGAACGTGAGCAATTCCCCCGTCCGTAAGCGTAAAGGAATTAGCAAGGAATTTAGGATACGCCTGCGGGTGATTAACCGTACAGCAGGGCTATCAAAAAGTTTAGTAGCGCGTCGCTTTAATGGACAGTAGGAGAAGTAAGACTGACATAGTTGGGCTCCAAGCCGAACACGTTACCGTGAACTCCAACGTTTACCCACATATCGGGATTCACCGATAAAGCACGCGACCATGGCTACAGAACCGTCATTAGTCTTTATCCAAAACTTGCGAGTTTTCATCTTACCTGGTTCTCCTGCTGTACATATTGATGTGACCACCAATCTGGGAAGATCGAGCTTGGCAGAGCATTGAATGCAACCTGCTCTGCCCAATCTGCCAAGTCGTTATCGCCGAGATACTGGTAGATGTATGCCATGGAGAAGGTCATCTCTGCAGCAGTGCAGAGTTCTGCCCCTCTTATTGGGTTGAGATCTGTAATGAATTCGTCGCCGATAATTGTTCCGGCTAAAGACTTGTGATATTGCGCCAATAAATCTACCGCGGTTCTCGTCTGCGTCTTAAGCGCTTCGTCGTGCGTCATTCGGTATATCGCCAATGGGTACCGAAGTCCTAAGCCGTATCAGCCAACCTCTACTTAAGCATCAATGCCGAACTAAAGCTATACCTTCTGCCATATTAACGCCATGGTTGAACAACTCCTTGAAAGGTTCATTCCTAGGAGTATAAGTAACTTCTGGGTACACTCCTTTGACCCAGAAAGTCCTCCAATCGCTACTAGCGTTGGCGCTTCCTTCGATCATAAGCTCCATGGTTTCCCAAATTATCTGCGAATTGTTCCGAGGATGCTGCTCATAGAGCCATTGCAGCGGAATGTGCATCTCATGAGCTCGCATAGCACCGAAACCATCTCCGTCGAAATCCTGGCCATCTCTCTGTATAAGACCGCTAAAATTATCCTTTAGCATGCTGTGAGCAAGCTGGATATAGTGATGCATAGCATCTACAATTCTGTCTGTTTGCTGGGGATCTGCTTGGGCATATTGCTATGATAAATTAGCCGGTCTGCTCCCCAAGAGAGTCGGGACTATAATCCATCCCAGCCAACGCCTACCATGAGCCCTAACAGAAAGTAACAACGCGCCCATAAACCTCGAGACTCGGGAGTGGTCTCGGGTCCGAGCCAGCCGTCTTCCTGCTGATGGTCGAGGACATAATCCAGGTAAGAATAAACTTGTCCCTTGAGCCTCGGATCATCCAGTCCAAAGGCAAGAGGTACGAGACCGTTGAACCAATATGGAGACGACTCGTGAAGCACCGAGTACTCGGTCGAGCCGCCTATCCACATAGAGTCATGAACGAAGCGGTAGAAATCAAACAAGTTACCGGCAAGTCCATTAGCCTCTAATTGCAACTGGTCTCTAAACCATCCTCGCGGCTTGATAGTACCGAGCGGGAACGACTGATGTATTGGCTGCACAACTAGGTAGTTCTTAGTTAGCTTCATGTAGATGGTAAACAGAGAGCCACCTTACGGCTTGACTTGTCTCTGCTCTCTAAGTCATTTTCTATGAGCGAGTCGCGAGGTAGCGCAGAGCTAGGTGCGATGAGAAGAAAAGCGGTAACCGCTTTTGCTATAAACGAGGTAGCCATCTGTATAAGAGCATTCGAGAGGACATGAGCGATCTGAAGGAGACACACAAACAAGGCAGAACGACAAATCTTTTAATTAAGCAACAAGTTAAGGAAGAAGGACTTCTCTATATAGTAAAATGGCCATCGGGGAAGTAAAAACACGATTATGATATTAACGACAATGCAAACTTGCTGATGTAATATAGAGAAAAGCAAGAAGAATGCGGCGCGTACATAGTATATCCACAGAAATGCACGTATACCTATTACTACCTACCTCCTACCTAAGGTACTGTATAATGGATGTTAGGTATGTTGGGTACCTACACGGATTCTCTCATCTGCCCCCGCCCCCGCCCCGGATGGAAGGACTTGGTCATTCCAGTGACGAATCCATTAAGAACAAAGGGAAATCGCGTAGTTGTCCGTCCTACTGCCATGTCTAGTATCGGTAGGCAGTTTCCAGTTTCCAATTTCCAATGTCCAATTTCCGATCTCCAGTCTCCTGCATTATGTCTCCTGCATGTCTCCTGCACTTTCCTCCAAGTCAGGCGCGTGTGCAGGGTTGTAGTTGATAAAGGTTACCTGATGTTGGCAGGTACCTTACATTACATACCTGTAGTATCACGGGGTCGTACCGGCATACAGGGTACCTTTCTCCAAATTCTTTTTAGCAGGTTCTCTTGCCCGTCCCTTGCTGCAGCTTTGTTAGCTTTCCCGTTCGGGTCCTTAGCGTGTACCCGTGACGGAGTCACCAAGTAAAAATTAATTACTTTAAAGGGAAACTTCACGTTTGCGCTTTGGGAAATGGAAATTAGAAGAATTCCGAGTCGCCGTCACCTACCTAATCGCACTTAGGAATAATTCCCCCTGAAGATCAAAAGTTCTCTCAATACACTCTATTAGTATATCTTTGCTACACAACACTTATTCATACTTAAATCACAATACGCGATTACACCGCATCTCATATAAATACATAATTTCCTTTACCACATCCGCGATTGGTGTACATTAATCTCCACAATCTCCACGGATACAAGTCTCCAAGACCCGACGTGTTGGACACTTCATCAATGACGGAAGGACGGTTCATTGTTCAAGACAACAAAGAAAAGTTAACGCTGACCCTGACCCCTCTTCCCCCACACACACAATTAAATCCTCTTCCCCACACGGCTCCACGAGGCGGTCAGGGGGTAAGAGTCCGGGGTGACGGGTGACAGGTGGTTGGTCACAAAAGCTAAAGGTGTAAAGTCGTCTAGCCCCGGCACTGGGATTGGCTGAGATCGCGGGGAACTGACAGGTATGGGGAAAACGAAAAGTTGGGGGAGATTCATTGACCTTGGCCGGGATGCCCAATATGATACCTACCTACCCGACTAGATGGTTTAGATCCTCGAGATCTAGTTATACTAAACGAGCTCGTGAGGTCGACATCCAGCAGAACTAATCTATAAGCTTCTACTCTTTATATTAGACTTGGGAAAAGTGTCCCAGGGAGGATTACCCCATACACAGGTAGGTTAGGAGGTACGTAAAGGTCCGACTAATATCATTCCGTATTACTCCCGAGCTTGGCTTTAAACTTAGGCGCCGTGACGTAGGCTCATTTGATGCCTCCGGTCTACCGACATTAAAAAAAAAACAAAGAAACAAAAAAAACACCGCTTAACTCGACAAATCATTATACAGGACATCACATGCCCACTTACAATCATCTTCTACCTTCCTCCTTAGGAAAAAAGAAACTGATCAAGAATAGGCAATCGGTTTGTCACTTTCTCTTGCTTGCTGCCACGCTGTATGCGCGCTTATCTTGGTCCTCTTTCACCGCTGAGTTCCTTGACTTACACGTGCTATAGCACACCATTCCCGTATCAACCTTGCTTTCTTCGTTCCTTTAATTTAGGGCAGCATCTTTTCTATCTCCCTCTCCGTACAGACCAGACTAAACTAGACGCTGCTGAACATGTTGGCCGCTATACAAACGTTGCAGGCTGAGTCTTGTATTTTCTGCCTGTTATCGAAAAGGAGACCGACACTGAAACCACTGCATACTGCATACTGCACGAACCGTGTCGATACGATATGAGACTACGTCTAATTATATTTTTAGCTGCATGTAATCTTAGATACCGAAATATTGGGGGCTACTCCATAAACCTTATACTTCCCAACCAGCCACATAGTCAAGTTAAGCGCCATCAATCTCGCATGCAAGACAATCTGCTAAGACTCTTACATGTATGTAGTGCGACTAAGACACGATTCCAAGTTACTCAATAGGGCCCGGTGAAACTGAGATATTTAAAAAGGTACTATTGACTCCGCTAGGGTTGACGGCTGTATACAAAGCTCACAAACTACCGATACCACATAACAAGCTTGTGGCATGATAGAGAGCAAACTTATAGTATATGACGTTAGTGAGCACTAATACGACCAAGTATGTTTTGCACAGACACAAGGCAGAAGCCGCGATATGCAAATGCACGTCATTCCCTCTCGCGCAATGACACGTCCTGTCAAATGAGTATGCCCCCTTTAATTGGCATAGGCTAACTCTTCCTTGAATTTGGTGGCAATCTAGAAATACCCAGGAATCTGTTGAGATGGCTCATTCGCATAGGACTTGGTCAATACCCAATGATACTAGGTTTCCTCAATGTCTTTGCTGATTATGAATTGCCATCGAAGACTGTAACGTTAAGGAGCAATGTCAACCAAGCCCGTCGCGTAAGAGCGAAATTTACCGCCGGGCTAAGAAGCATTCTACACCACGAGAGTCCACCAGCCTCGAAATATTGCCAACTTTTAAGACATGAGGTTAATATAATTTAAGACCTCAGTCTGAGCCTACTATCGCGCCCCTGGTCGCATGCGGTGGCAGAAACAACCAGACGACAAATCATACGACCTGTACCCGATTGTAACAAGAGTTGCTCAGCTTGTTCGAATAGTATAGGTCAATGAGACGCACTCATAATTCATAGCAGGTAGTGTCAGCGTCACTTCTTTTGATTTGCTGATACGTTTAGCAGTCCTAAGAATGTCTGAGTCCTGACCTCCACCGCATTGTCAATAAATCCTACGCTTTAGAAATCAGCAGTAATGGAAACCGTTCATAGAGCTCACAAGCGGTCCAAGACTCTAGAAAAGCCTAGAAGTTCCATGAGATAGGAATTTCCATTTTTGAGGGATTAGATAACCAGCAATAAGAAGTAGGAAATCGTCAAACATCCTGAGGTCAAACCACGAGATGATCATTCCCATGCGATTTTATTACATGGGCTTGACGTTGCACTTCGGGACTTATGCTAACAAATATCAGAAGTAACTACCTACCTACCTACCTAACCTAAGGTTAACCAATAAAGACTCAATCGTAGAATATTGGCTAGTTCTCAGCGTGCAACTAAATTCACTTTGCCAACTGACAAAGCTCAGCGTATCCTCGTCCCAACCTAGGGGTCTCAATAACCGCATTACTTAATGTTATCCGTTTGTTGTCACATCATCGCCGTTGTTCAACTTATCTTTGCCCCAAGCTTGCGGAGCTGGGGGATAAGGCCACCATTTATCTTGGCGCTCGCCAGCTACCCCTGCGGGGGTCAACGATGGACCAGTGACAGCTTGCCATCTTATCGATGGATGAGAAGCTGGAATTACGTCAGGTAACTTTTGATAGTCTATGATAGATAGATAGGAACCTATTCTACCAAGATGTCAAGCACAGCTGAAATACCTTACTCAGGGACTGGATGGAGGAGGGGGGGAGGGAAACAGGAACAATTGGTAGTATCTCTCACATAATTGTCACCAAGTGCTCTTCTAGAAAACAATTCGACGGCATATCATTGGTCGGTAATAATCTCCTTCCCCAGCTTAGCTGCTTAGGTGCTTTCCCAGGGCAATGGTGGCTGGATCCGATGATGCTGATACGATTTTTAGGTGTTGATAGGACATGGCATGGGCCAGGGATATAAAAAATACAAGTCAGATGACGGGAAGGGCGAGCCGGAAGGGCTTTACCGGTAAAAAGAAAAGGACATTGCGGCTAGGTATCAGGGAGGGAGCCTCGTTCGCATATGTGTATTGTACAACGTATTATGTACAGCATCTTCTTCCGTCCTTCCCAATTCCAATTGAAAGTTGAAAGTCGTTTCCCCCAACTTCACACTCATAAATAATACATAATACAGGTATGTAATTATTTCCCAACGAAGCGGACATAGGAGAAGAGCGACCTGAGTCATTATAACGTATCAATCGGGCATAACCCCTCATCCATCTTCCCTTCCCTTCCCTGTAATACAAATCTATGTGATTTGCGACGATGGGCTGGAGGGTGATTCTTCAATAAACAAAGACAAAAGACATTGTCATTGTCATCCCGTTTCCCAATCTCTTACCGCTTACCTCTTACCTAACTTCCAATTCCTAAAAATAGCATTAACTAAGGTCAAGTACCTTAGGTTAGGTACTTAGTTACCTAGATAAGAAGACTCGAAAACGTATCGCAAATCCCATTCCATCTAGAATCCAACGATGGCCACGCCCGAAGTATCCCACGGCCGCGGCGGCGCCGGCAACATCACCCCGGACAACACCAAGTACGTGGACGGGGAAATCGTGCGGCAAGGCCCGGAAGGCAGCCACGGGGACGGCGCATTCAGCACCGGTCGAGGAGGTAACCTACTACCTACTACCTACCCTACCTACCTACCTAGGTACTCTATAAGGTCTTTTTTAACTAACAACCCCCCCCAAAAAACAGGAGCAGCCAACATCGCCGACGCCTCCCAGCCCCCCTCCGCGATGCGCGCGGACCGCGAGGTCGTCCCCGAGGAAGCCACGCGGCCCTCGACCGACGGCGAGAGCTTCCACGTGGGGCGGGGCGGCGCCGCCAACGTGCACCTGTCGGAGCAGGACAAGCAGAAGAAGCTGGAAAAGCACCAACACCAGCAGCAGAACCAGCAGCAGCAGCCACAGCAACATGGTAATGCCGCGACCAACAAGGTCACCGATGCCCCGCCCGCGACGACGCCGGGCGCCCCGCCGAATCTGAGCTTGGCGGATAAGCTGAAGCATAAGATCTTTGGGGTTTTTAAGAAATAGGAGAGGAGGAAGGGAAGGAGGAAGGGAAGAGGAGGTAGGAGGCAAGAGGGAGGAGGGAGGAAGGGAAGAGGAGGTAGGAGGCAAGAGGGAGGAGGGAGGAGGTAGAGGGTTTAGATGGATGGGGGAGTTGGGGTGGTTGGCAAGGAATAAGTGAGGCTAGACAGACAAGTACCGTTTACCTTACGCTGGGGATGGTTTGAGGAGAGGAGAGGATAGGGGAGGGGAGGGGAGAGGGACACAGCTCCGTGGTTCTTTGATATTCTAGGCTAGTCCCGATTTTCTACTTGATTTTTAATGATATCCCGTTTTCCCAATACCAGGTCACCTAACCTACCTAGCCTAATACCTTCCATAAGATCTGATCACCTCCTCGTCTCGGTACAATACGCTAGGTGACGACATTCAAATCTCCTAAACGCGTCACGGCAAGTAATATATTACTTCGAGTACGATCACGTCTCTAAAACAGTCTGAGGATATACAATATCTTATATATATATCAGATCTTCCAATAATATATACAATTAAAACCGCTCTGCATTTTCTCCCGAACCTTAATCCTTCTTTCCCATTTCTACCAAAGCTCCACCGGCACACAGAGCCGCTGAGTACCTACCTAGGTACCTAAGGTAGGTTTCAACTCATTTTAGGGCGTTAACGACGGCGTTGTAAGCGGGCTTGGGTTGGAAGCCGCTGTCGAACAGTAGGGGGCTGGTGCTAGCTCTCCAGGAGTCCTATTGGTATCGCATTTCCAGTCAGCCACATGTCCTATTTTACAAGACTCTCGAAGGAAACCCAACTAGCCCAGGAGGTAGATAGATAGGGAGATAGGGAGGTAACTTACGGGATCCCTCACGCCCCAGACGGTGATACCAACACACTTGGGCTCGTCGAGGCAGGCCTTGGTGACGGCGGCGTAGTCGTTGGCGGGCGCGGTCTGGATGTCGAGCTCGGTGATGGCGACCTCGTTGACGCCCGCGGCCGCGAGCGCCTTGATCGTCGCCGCCGCCTGGCCCGCGAGCCCCGTCGACAGGTGCGCCTGCGACCCGATGCCGTCAATCGGCACGCCCGCCGCGATCCACTTCTTGACGTGGTCCACCATGCCCCGGGTGACCTTGGCGCTAGGGAACGTAACGGAGTCAGTTAAAATGTCCTATCGGGCAAGCGAAGAAGCATGCGCTTCAAGAACGGCACATAATAAAGAAGAAGAAGAAGAGGAGGAGGAAGAGGAAGAAAAGGGGGGTGGGGAGCAGGGGTAAACAGAAATGGGATACGACTACGTACTAGCTCGGCTGGTCGAGGTTGTAGTCGTTAATATACAGCTTCGCGTTGGGGTCGGCCTTGCGAGCAGCTTCGAAAGCGATGCGGACGAAGTCCTCGCCCAAGACGTTGGAGAAGACCGACTGGCGCAGAGAGCCGTCCTCGTTGAAGATCTCGTTCACGACGTCCTGCGCAGGAGAAACGAGCGAGTTAGTTCACCATTCGATCCATCATAATAATAACAATAATAATAATAGTATCTCAACAAGAAAGAGGTAGACGAACCCAAGCGTAAATCTTGCCCTTGTACCGCGTCACCAGGGTCGTCACGTGGTTCTGGAGCACCTGGGTGAGCTTCGCCTTGTCGCGGATGTTCTGGACCCAGCCGGGCAGCTGCGAGTGCCAGCAGAGGGTGTGGCCGCGGATGGTCTTGTTGTTGGCCGTCGCCCAGTCGACGAGGTAGTCGGCGCCCTGGAAGTTGAAGCGCCCCTCCTGGGGCTCCGTGGCGTCCCACTTCATGCTGTTCTCCGGCGTCACCTGCCCGAAGTCCGCCTTGATGACATCCGCCGTCTTCCCGGACGACAGCCGGTTCTGGTCCGCGCACGTCCCGTAGTACAGCTTCCCCTTGGCCTTGATCAGCTGGTCGATGCTCTGGGCCGCCTGGCGGCCTGCGAGCTCAGCGGGAGCCGCCAGGGCTGCCAGAGGAGCTAGTAGGCATAAGAGAGCAGACTTCATGATTGTCGGTCTTTGTCGGTATAGCGGAGTGCTGGATTTCTTGTCTGCGTGAAGGTAAAGATCGGCTTTCAGATGGCATAACTAACGACGGCATCCCCTAGGTTTTATATAGTTGGCGATCGAAGCAACTACGGAGGATACCAACCGCGGAAGGGTAAGGCTAGACCCAGCTCCGTAGCCCACCTCGGTCCTCCATCTACGTAATTCTTGGTGATTCCACAGCGGTAAAATAGAATGGGTAACACGACGGTTAATTCCCAAGACGGAAATATCGCCTGTCTAGAGCCCCCTTCCCAATCTTCCCCTGCGCCATCCAGACGAGGTTAACGGGAGATCGGTGACAACGGTCCGCCAATATAACAAGAGGCGTTAGCAAATCAAATGGAACGGGTTGTTACTATGTACGATAGAAGTTTCATACGGCTCCGCAAAAGGGAACCTTGTGGGGTATACATCATGCCATTATAGCCTAAAACCGATGCTGGTATCGAGCTATAGATGTGGTTGTTACCTATATATAGTACATGGAGTGTTTATGGACATACCTAGCTATCTATAGAAGAAGTTCGGTATCACAGCTCCGAAATGAGGCTTGAAAATACCTCGCATGATGAGCTTATGTGGATCTTTGAAGACAGTCTTTTGTTGGAGCTTCCTATTAGCGGTTATGAACAACGTACAAGGACACAGAATAAAAACTAAATCCGGAAGATGTACAATACAATAGTCATTATCTCTTCCTAAGTTATTAACAACTAGGTAGCGAATTCAGCAAGTTGCTTCGAAGCACATGAGTATAACTATACTATATAGTCAAGGCTATAGTATCCGGGGATATGCAAAGGAACCTACATAAATGTCGACTAACACGTGGTATATAGAGTGGCATGTTAAGCGAAACGGTGAAATGTTCCCCGTTCGATATAGGCTAAAGGAGGCTACTTATATCCTTGAGACCGTGCGGGCATTGGTGGAAAAAATGGAAACCGCAAGTGCAACACTGGGCAGTGAGTTTATATATTTGTTGCTTACGCTGTACCGTAGAAGTAGAAATTAGTTGAGGGGCGATGCTATGATGGCGATTAATCTTGTCTGGGCAGAAGGCTAATAGCTTGTACTATGTAATTCATGGAAATTCATGGAGCATGAAGTCCAAGTAAGGTACTTGTATGGCTGAGACGGATAGCCTCGGGTGAGTTCAGACCGATCTGATCGTGTTAGGATATACCAGGCTGCGGTGTGGTTACACGAAAAGCTCACTTTATATATCGACGTCGGGCTCGTTGGGCATTAGACGAATCTTCTTTTTCTTGTACTTGGATCTGAGCATTCAACTTTATCGTATTTCACATACGTTGCTACGCATGTCTGCTTAATTGTTAGGGAATCCTCCCTCGCGGCACAGTATTGTCTTTGAGAAGATGTCATGGTCATGCAAGGCTTACAGAGCCGGTGAAGACTGGTCTGTGGATATTCTTGATAGCTTCGGCGTCATTCAAAATATACCGGGCGGCGCCAATCAAGTTGCGTTCCTCATTACTCCGAGAGATCATTATACCTTCATACGGATGTGGAGTGAGGAAAATGGTCAAGGGGTGCCAACAACCATGAGTTTCGATCCCAATGCTGGAACGAAGTACGGCGGAAGACAGTCTGTCATGGAATTTAAAAGCTGGTCAATATTCATCAATACTCAACACGCATAGTAAAAGGTGATACTATACGGTGTGGGAACAGAAGAGCTTCAGTTGCTTCGGTAAGAAGGTTGAGGTCTGTCAACCCTGGACAGCCCAAGGAACGATCCCGGCAATTCGCGAATACCTGTGATGATCCAAGATGGATATCTTTCTTTTCATGTTAATGAACGGCGATCATTGAAGGGGGAGAGGAACCAAGCTGCCAAGGTAGTACTGATCTGAGAAGGTGGCCCTATCTTGGGTTTAGGCTCGATCTATTTCAGCGTCCATTAGTTTCTTGCTTGCAGCTCTATTTATCTAAAAGGCGCGAATGCACCCGATATGTCCCATAGGGTTAGTGACGATCCCTACCTTCAGCCTTGCTTCACGTTCCCCCTGCGACGTCATGGCTCGTTGGTTGTGAACCATCATCGGACCACGAAACGAGGGGTAGTGTGTTAGAAAGTAGCTTAGCTTTGGGTAGCTAAGGTAAGGTATGATGCACCTAGGGAAGTCCGTACCAAAGATCCCATTGTTTCTTTATGTACGAGAGGAGGGTTGGTCGTTTTGTCCTCTCTCCATTATTCATTCATAGTCCATCTCGCTCAGTTCTGCTCAGTCCTGACCTAACGAGCTTCATCATCATATGATCGCCATTAGAAAGGTCAAATTATACCTGTGCGAAAAGTCAAAGAGCCACTCGGTTTTCCCCAATCCTTGGCGAAAGCTCAAATAACGGTAGACTATGATATTTTGGTCGCTCCGCCTGTAGATCCTCCGCGCGTAACAGGTCAACAGGCGGAGAGAGAAAAGGCGGTGGTTTTGACCTGAAGTTTGGTACGAAGTTGGAAAAACTCAATATATTGCATCGCAAATATCCAATTACTAACTTGATTTTAAGCTCTCTTGTCATAAGGGATAGACACGAGTAAGTACAATACATGTTTTAAAAATGTTCAAATTATTTTTATTATGGGAAAGTTGAAATTTAAGTTTAAAGCAGCCCAAGTTTCCACCGATTGGTACCCTAAAAGATCCCCAAATTGGGGGAAGGGCCACTTATTGTAACAATACAATACCGCTTACGTACCTTCTGCTGACAGCGGGGGCTTTTTAACGTTAGATCATCGGAAGTTTAAAAAGGCACCCCCCTCTAATTGAGACCTGGTACAGCTGATCTGGTAACTAAAGGGTACCTAAACCACCTAAAGGGTAACTGAAGTTCCAGTGAGACAGTGTGTAGCGCGGTCACTCGTCACGTCACGTCACGTCACGTTCGTTTTGAACGGTGAACCAAAATCCAATCTTTACCGCTCTCGTTCTCTTTACCTCCCCCCTTCCTAGTCCAATAATGGTCCCTCGGAATGAAGAACTGCTTCGGCGCCCGGCTCCCAACTCGCGCTTACTCTCAGTCCAATCCGTCGTCTCTAAATATTCCCTTCGTTCTCACTCTTCTTCCTTCGAAGCTGACGATGAGCGATCGACATCCACTGAGTCTGGCAGAATGACACCCACACCTAGCATCGAGAACGGCTCGCCTGCAGGTCGCTATCATGGCGAAGATACTCGTCCGACTAGTAGCAAGGAGCTTGCTGGTTGGTACATGTATGCATTCGCCGCCGAAACCTACGTAATATGCGGTTAGTAATTTCTACAACACTCTTGATCTTTTTTAATCTTAATTCCTCTGCTTTAACTAGCAGCTCTGGAAAAAGCTCTGGAAATAATGCTGACCCGTCACTAGCCATCTGTGAGTAACTAGCCGGAATCCTTCTGTTCAGTATTTACATACGATAACACCTGTTTGGATGTTCATCATATTCGAAACCAACTCCGCATCGTCATCCCAACTACCCGTGCATAATTTGGATATGAACTTACCGAACCCGAATAGCTTCGTTTATTCCGATTCTGTTGGAGAGCTTGGCTAGGGAAAATGGTGTCCTCTTAAAAGACCGGGAAAGCCCCTGCACGAGGACCTCGGACGGTCCCTGCGTCATTACCGTCGTCGGCGTCGAGATCAATACAGCTAGCTTCGCCATGTATACTTTCAGCATAAGCGTGCTACTCCAGGCATTACTAGTAGTCAGCATTAGCTGCGCCGCTGATCACGGCAACTATCGAAAGCGTCTGTTATTGACGTTCGCGTGGATTGGAAGCTTTTGCGTCATGTGCTACATATTCATCTTCAAAGAGATTTACCTCCTCGGCGCGTTGCTAGCCATCGTCTCCAACACGTCTTTCGGCGCATCCTTCGTTCTGCTAAACTCGTTCCTCCCTCTCCTCGTTCGTCATCACCCCAAGCTATTAGAGTCGGTAGCCGGCGTACCTGAAGAAGATGACGACTTAGAATCGGATACCGCGATCGATCCTCAGTCTAGATCGACGACACCTACCCTCGCCGAGCACTCGCTACCTAATTCGACGACCCCCTTACTCTCGCAACACGAGGGCAACTCCGATGTTCATGATCTGCGACGCGTACCTACTCACGAGGAGCTCACTTCCATCGAGCTTCAGCTGTCCAGTGAGATATCCGCAAAGGGGATTGGAATCGGTTACGGCGCTGCGTTGTTCGTGCAATGCGTTTCCATATTGATCTTAGTGAGCATGCATAGTTCTATTTGGTCGCAACGGGTCGTCCTATTTTTTATCGGGGCATGGTGGGCCATTTTCACGATACCGGCTGCTATATGGCTTAGAGCTAGACCTGGACCCCCCTTGGCGCAGAGCCAATACCGAGGTACCCGCGCTTGGATATCTTACATTGCATATTCGTGGAAGAATCTATTTCGGACGATTAAGCTGGCACGCCGCTTGATCGACGTTGTCTTGTTTTTGGCTAGCTGGTTTCTGATTTCCGATGCCATCGCGACGACATCTTCAACCGCCATATTGTTTGCTAAGACGACGCTGCACATGGAACCTTGGGCGCTAGGGATGATTAATGTTATATCTACGACTACGGGTGTCCTAGGCGCTTTCAGTTGGTCGTTCATCTCCAAGTATTTCAAGTTGCGACCCCACCAGACCGTGTTGAGCTGCATCGCTCTCTTCGAGATTATACCGATATACGGTCTTCTGGGTTATTTGCCTGTTGTTAAGAGATGGGGTGTTTTTGGACTTCAACAGCCGTGGGAAATGTACCCGCTAGCTGCGGTCTACGGAATCGTCCTCGGCGGACTTAGTTCCTACTGCCGGTCACTCTACGGAGAGCTAATACCTCCTGGCTCCGAAGCCGCTTTCTATGCATTATACGCCATTACCGATAAGGGGTCGAGCATATTTGGGCCTGTTATAGTAGGAGCTATCATAGATGCATCGGGCGAAATTCGACCGGCGTTCTGGTTCCTGGCGGTGTTGGTCAGCCTCCCCGCGCCGATTATCTATTTCGTAAACGTCGAACGCGGTAAGTTCGAAGGGGAAAAGCTGGCGGAGGTAATTGAAGGTTTTAAGAGCCAAGATAATATTCATGAGGGTAGTAGATTTGGCAACGGCGTCGAGGGACACGGCATACTTTCTGCTTACGACGCACAGAACGACAGCAACGAGGAGGGCGAGGAGGCTGACGATCATGCGAGATCATAATACCCCGGGATTCATTCAAGGGGGCTTTCTTGGGAGGGTCCATTGCATAGCGACGGCGTTGACACTTGTTTCTTCTTCAGCTTATACAGGGCAAGATTGGACAGGCCTAATACTTAGAAGATATATACCTCCTTGCTCAGTTTTCCTTTAAAGGAAAAAAAACAAAAAAAACAAAAAAACCTGGAGACCTAATTTAATCAAAAATATCAGCTCCCTGTCAGTTATGTACGGACCGTTCCTTGTTTGGCAGACGGATCGCGATGTATGTCGTACGAAAACTGACCAATGCCATTACGTGCAACTAGGTAGGTAAACGTCAACGTTAACGCCAATAGAAGCGGGATGAAGCTCTGATGATATATACAACCTTGGCCCCACGGATTAGGTACCAGCAGGATCTAACTATCTACCTCAATTTAATAGGCAGTATACGAAATAGCCTAGCTAGCTACCTCTGAGAAAACAAGATAAGAAACGAAAGAAAGAAATTCGAAGACTTGATACTTCTCTTATTATGAAACTCGGTACGGTACCTATGGAAAAGGTAAAGATGAGATGATGTACGATCGACATTTACCGTTAGATACCGAATAGTGTTTCTGCAGCAACAAACCTAGGTTAGGTTAGGTTAGGTTAGGTAGCTTTGGGGGTGAGGGGGCATGCATGGACGATATGGCCGATTATGCCAAACTAGGCTTAGCCTATGTGGGTAGGCACCTATAGTTAACTCTACCTAGGTAAGCTTCCGTCCCAGGTTTAGTTAGGACTTCTAACTCCACTTTCCATCCAAGCTTTCCATTTTCTCTTCTCCCCCTCCAAAAAACAAATTCAAAACATCAATTCGAAGAAGCGCAAAAACTTCCCCAGCAAAAGAAAGTGGTGGTGGTTGTTGCCTAAGTGTCGGTGGAAGCTCAATCGCAACGCGGAACGCGCTTTTCTTCTTCTTCTTTTTTTTTTCTTTTTTAAGCAATACTTTTATTACGTATAGGGGGAATTGGAGCTTGTTAATACACACTATTATCATATATAAGAGGTAACGAAAAAAAAGGTACTACTATTGTTATCCCTTTTTTTTTGTCTATTAGCTTTTTCTTAACCTAGGTACCTAACTAACAAGCTAACCTAACCTCTCCCCCGTTCTAGACCCCCGAATCGGCAAACCTTGTTCCCGAGTTGTTGTCTAGTCTATATCGCGTGTTCCATTGTCGTTATATTCGCATGTCGGAGCTCCCGTAACTCGATTGGAATAGCTGTTGTTATGATTCGGTCCCCGGCGCATTGTAACACGACGTAGAGTAGGATCTCGACAAGCTAATTGAGAGAGACGCGCCAAGCTACCTAGCTACCCAGATATTTTCCCCCCTTCCCCCGCCACATCCGTTTCCGGCTTACGATCTTCTCAATCGCATCGCTGCCGAATCTCATCCCAACTTCGCGAGAGCTTCGTCCTTGGCATACGCAGGTACGGGGTTGGCTTCGGAATAGTTAGATACGCGCCTATTATTGCCTGATAGCTTCTCGCAAAAAAGAATTTGGCCAGATAATCAGGATCGATTGCGCAAGAGATTAGCGATCTCTTTAGGGCGCAATTTAACCTCTTACCAGCCATCGGCTTCGTAACAGGTACATAAGATAGCCTACCTGGCGCATCCAACCACTTCATATAGATATACATACCCGAATTGTCATTAAACGCCTGCGATAATGGCGACCGCTCGTAAGCGCCAGCGCCCGGAGGTAGAGGAGAGTCAAGCCGAATGTCCTTTCAGCGTTATTCATCCCGATCCGAACGAGAAGGAAAAGAAAGCGAAGCGTAGACGGCAGGAGTCAGAAGAGCATCCTCAACCTAAGATATTACTTCAAGCATCGCCTTTTTCGCCTATGGGAAAGTTTAAAGATCCTAATAATACTATGGACCGACATTATCAAGTTCAGCCGTATCAAAAGTGGATGGATATGACGCGATACAATAGTTTTGTCCGTAAGTCGCTTTAATTCCTTACGCACCTCGTAGTGTACTCACGGCGACTGTAGTGAATGGTGTTAAGTACTGGAGCGAAGGCTTCATCTTTGTTGCCAACAGTTCGACGATCGAGCGCCAGAAAAACCCGGGCGACACCCTGCAGCCGAGAAAGAAGTCAGACGACGATTGGGTTGCAAGAATCTTAGAAATCCGAGCAGCTGATGAGCATCACGTTTATGCCCGCGTATATTGGATGTACTGGCCGGATGAGCTACCCGCTGGCACACAAGACGGGAAGAAGCTCATCCAGGGGCGACAGTGGTACCATGGTGCAAACGAATTGATCGCGTCCAATCACAGTAAGGCTTGATACGCTTTCGAGTTTACAGGCCATCTCTAACAAGGCACAGTGGATGTAATCAACGTAGTCAGTGTTACTGCCCAAGCAACCGTAAACCAATGGGACGAAACAAACGAGGACGAGGTACAACCCGCGCTCTACTGGCGACAAGCTTTCGACGTCCGTAGTATGGAACTTTCCGTGAGTTTAGCTGGCGTCCTTTCGCATACCTCCATTGACTAACACAGTATAGTCCGCAGAATTGCGCTGCAAATGCAACCGACCCGAAAACCCGGATAAGAGGCTATTTGGCTGTTCGAACGAGGAATGTAAAAAGTGGCTTCATGATGAGTGTTTGGTACACGATGCACTTCTGAAGACGTACGAGCGCCTAGGGACCGACAAGCCGCACAAGCCCACACCAGTGAAGGAAGAGGAAGCTAGCGAGGCGGCTAAACGACCACTTAGTCCTAGCGAGACAGGCGCGGCACAAACAGCTGAACAATCGATCGATGTTAAGCCCGAAGAGCAGCAACCGACAATACAACTTGCTGACGTCGAAAACACTCTTCCGACTATTAAAGCCAATAACGCGAGCTCCAAGTCCAAGCAGAGAGGGCGACCTCGCAAGTCGGAATTAAACAATCCAACAGCAGTGAAACCATATGAAGGATTGTTTGCGGGTGTGATTCATAGTGACCGAAGCCCATCGGTCCTCGAAATCACCGATCTGCGAGAGAACGTGACGGGAGGAGATAAATCGTGGACGGAACCACTCCACTGTTTGATCTGTAATTGCGAGATCCAGTAGCGGATGGTATTAATTCGTTATACACACCTTAAAAAGTTGGACGAGTCTATATTGCCGTCGCTTGTGTTTTATCGGAGAGCCTTGTCCTTCCTGTCTGGCGTTTTAGGGAGCTGTTCATGATACCCTGCATTCCTTTGCGGGGTGATTGCTTTTGGATGTTCAGAGGATGTAGTAAGAAATTAGGTTGTGAGTTGCGGTAGCTGGAGTAGACTGTAGACTGCAGCTCCGAGCGAGGATGACGTGATGAGAGAAAGCTGAGAATCGTGGGTATCTCTAGGGGTAAGTAGGTAGGTGAAGCAGACTTGACAAGAGAATTAGGTATTATCGGATACATCTACTTGAAGGATGTAGTTGGCGTGGTCCATGCCAGTCAGTACGGTATAATCGTAGTAGTTCTCGTGGGTTGGCTTTCCGAGTTAAATCCTGTATATAGTACATATTAACCAAAGTCACCCGAAATCTACATTGAACCAGTTAGTTGCTAGGTAAAAGTGACAGGCAAGACATGTAAGCCAAGACTTTCACAGGTTTAATGAGATTAAGATCCGAATATCGTAAAAAAATTAAGACTTGAAAGAAATCCTATAGACTTAGGACTTGACTTATAACTTATATGGAAGGCCCCTCGAACACCAGGCAATTTGTTCAGTGTTAAGCTTAGATTATATTACCGAAGTTGCTAGTTATTTGTTTGCTGCTTTTTCAATGTCTAGTTCGTGAGTAATGTAGTAATACGGGATATATTATTATTAAAGCTGTCGAGGTGTGTATTATAGGTGTATTTGTTGAATGTACCTAAGATAAAATGTGTGTGAGGTTGTAAAGGACCTAACTATAGGGGTTTAGGTACATGTTAATACATGCTAGAGCTTGTAGCTAAACATCCACTAAACCGTATGGACAGCTTCCCCTTACTTGAAGTACTTACCATGTAAGGAAAGGTCCCACTTTTCAAACTAACCCCACCATCGACTTAAACGCCAACTGCGGTCGACTTTCAAATGTTTCCCCTCCAACATTTAAGAAGGATACCTACCAGGTATCTATCCATCTCAGCCACCGCTCCCAAACTCTCTTAGGTTGTCTGAACTGCCCCTGGGATCATTACGTCGTACGGCCCTTTAAAGAAACCGCAAATAGTATCACGAACCCTCCCCTCTAAGAATCACCATGGCCGACCCATTTGACTCGGCTCTGTACGTATTCCTCCCTTCCCCTAAACCGTACTTCTCGATGCCTTACTCTACCTATTTACCCAAAATATCCAAGGAAGACAAAGCTATATATATCTATACACCTCTCTCTCTCTCTCTCTATATATATATATATATACCTATAACAGGTATATGTAAAGTACAGAAAAACTAAAGCTAACCCTTTTCACTACAAAAGCGACCTCCTCCGCCGCCTCAACCCCAAGCACACGACCGCCCACCTCAACTCCCTGATCAACCTGGCGCCGGACCTGACGGAGGACCTGCTCTCGTCGGTCGACCAGCCGCTGTCGGTCCGGCGGTGCAAGCAGACGGGCCGCGACTACCTGCTCTGCGACTACAACCGCGACGGGGACAGCTACCGGTCGCCGTGGAGCAACGAGTTCGACCCGCCGCTCGAGGGCGGCGCCGCCTCCGCCGCCAGCCTGCCCTCCGAGAAGGTCCGCAAGATGGAGGTCCGCGCCAACGAGGCCTTCGACCTCTACCGCGACCTGTACTACGAGGGCGGCGTTAGCAGCGTCTACTTCTGGAACCTCGACGACGGCTTCGCGGGAGTTGTGCTTTTGAAGAAGGGTACGTTTGGTTTAGTAGCCTTTCATTTTTCTATTATTTATTATTTTGCTCTTTACCTGGCATGTGCTGCTGGGGTTCAATCTTTTTCTTTTGCTACACTTCTAGCTCTATATGTGCGAGTTTTAAGAATGGTCCACCGCCTTCGTTGCTGCTTGTCGATAGAATTGGAGCTACTTCAAATACCTAGCGGCTGAGGCAAGGCGAGTACAACACTATCCCTGAATTCTCAGGACACCCGGTGTTTTAAGTTGTCTTGAATTCTGAGACGTCGAGTCTAAGAATTAAGTGAAAAGACTGAACCACTTAATTGGGCCTAGATTCGGAGGTTACAGATCTTGCATCTCATATCTAAGACCACAAAGATGGCAATCGTCACCTACGGGAGGACAACCGACGTAATTGGCGTCGGTTATATATATACTTTCTCATATATCTTGAGTGAGATCTTCGCGGCTAATAAATTGCATCCGTATCAGAGGCGAGACCGGGCAGCGCTAGCGAAGGTGCTTGGGACTCGATTCACGTATTCGAGGCGATCGATCGTGCCCGTTTCACCCAATATAACTTAACATCTACCGTCATCCTATCGTTATCTGCGAACTCGAGCAGCCTCGGAGACATGGATCTGTCAGGAAACATGACCCGCCAGATTGAGATTGAACTACCGGCCGAGAATGACGAACAGCAGATTGCCAATATCGGCAAGCTCGTAGAGGATATGGAGCTCAAGATGCGAAACCTGCTACAGGAGGTCTACTTCGGAAAGGCTAAGGACGTGGTTGGCGATTTAAGAAGCGTGGGAAGCTTGAGCCAGGACGCGAAGGACAGAGAAGTTCACAAGGAGCTCGTCGGAAGCATGATGCGATAATGCGACGACTGGTGACATCGAACCATGGAGATGATGGGTCCTAAGATACGATTATGATACAGCAAAGGTTTACGTCCGGGCGGTGATTAATTCCTACGGGAGTCTCAGGTGATGATGAGTATGACAGCGATGACGAAAAGTTGCACGGCAGGCAGCAGATCGGAATGACGACCAGTCCACAGGGGTTTCGGAAAATATGTCTGACAGTCTGAGACCTGGTAGCTTTCGTGTAAGGTGCAGGGGAAAGAAAGAAAAAACATATCTTAGATTAGACGTGTGAGGCTTTTTGTCTGGGCACACAGTCTCGCCCCAACAGTTTTTGAGAGATTCAAGGTCCCCTGCCTCCCCACAAGAGATCTTTTTTTTATTTTGCTGGCTGGCTTGAGCGCGGAGTAGTAAGGTGATACCTAATAATAACAACTCGTTCGGCATAAGTTCTCTTATTATTATGATTTAACTAGGTATTAATAACTACCGCTGCTACTGCTGCTACTACTAACGTACGTACTCCGTATGAGATCGGTCGATAATACGTAATTATCTATCTACCTAACCTACCTAGGTACCTAGGTTATATACCCGGCAAAGAGAAGCTTCGAAATAAAATCTGGTTTCCTGGGTTCTAGACTTGTTAGACTTGACTTTTTTCGATGCTTGATGTTTCGATGCAAAGAGATGCGGAAACTCGTTATTGATTTAGGTACCTACCCTAACCTATTTATGGAGTCGGACGGACCTGTTTCGAGCGGGACAGAAGGGACTCAGCGAATTTCGAGAAGGGGGATGGATAGGTAGGTAACGTAGCGAGTCGAGTGACCCAGTCGGCCAGTTAAGTTGACCTTTGGGTAGATTTAGAAATTAAATTTTTTTTTCTGAAGGTCCCCCTTGCGTTGTTTTAGGTATCCCGGATGAGATTCCGGGCTGGCTGCGGGAAGGTCCGGCGTAGGTAGGTAGGTAGGTAGGTACCTAGAGAAAGTTTGGTATGTATGTATGCGCGTTCTACGATCGGGGAAAGGAAAGGCTGGGTGGTGGGTGGAGAGCTCGAGCTCAAGCTCAAGGCTGTGGAAGAACGTTTCCGTCTTGGACTCATTTGTTTCAGGGACGATGCAGGGCGAATGCAATGCCTGCAGGACGAAATACCCACGTCCACGGTTTTTTTCCTTCGGTTTCTTTATTTATTTTGTTTCATTTCATTTCATGCATCTTGTTTTTTTAACCGTATTGTTGCAGTAGTATGTGTATGTATGTATGGTATAGCCTGGACTTGAGTGGATATATGGGGGAACTACGTTACCACGGCTGAAAATTAATCAAATGAATGAATGAATGAGCAACTTGCATGGAAAGTAATAAAAGGTGCTTAACCTGGTAGAGACGTGACATGAGAGCCTGGGCAGACCGCGCCGCGATGGTTGCAGATACCACATTGTAACGATTAGTTTTTGGAGACCTTTATGGAATCGTTACTATTACGACTCTGGATAGTATGGATGTATTGTGTGTGTGTATGTATGCGGATAGTGAAAAGGGGGAATGAATAAGGGGGGACGAGATGAATCTTTTCTTCCATTTCTTATTATTAATTTTCTGTTGCATTTTGCTGCATTCATAATATAATCCCTCCCCTAAAGGATTCGTATTGGATGGAATTGGCAACGACGAGATGCAATGGAACATGACCACGTTTTTGCATCATTTCAATATACATATCAGATACCTAACTTAGCATATATGTGTGTTGCCTGTATCTTTCCCCCTTCCCCCTTTTTAAAACTAACAGAAAAAAAAAAGAAGGGGGGGGGGAGGGGGGATCGAGGATAAAAACGAGACAAGAAAAAAAACGAGTAAGGCTGCGTTCCGTTTTTCTAGCCGATGATCTTCGCTTCCAGAAGGAATCCAGATCGCCGATGGAAGAAAAAAGAAGGAATGGGGTTCTGTTCTATGTTCTATGTAAGGTACTGTGGACTTACGGATGGAGCCGTTCGTTGTTGGTTGTCGCGTGGTCCATGACACATCACCGGTTTTTAGTGAGTCCCGTCTTGGATTTACATTGGGTGCGTATGAGACCGTGTGTTGTTGTATCTTGTCTTATATCCATAGTGTTGGGCCTAGCGTGGGAAATGGAACATCGTATAGAACATTTAGAACAATTCGATTTTTTTTCTTTTTTCTTTTCTTCTTCTCTTCCCAGACCGCCATGTACAATAAATAAATACATATGTGACATGTATGAGGTACCTTACCTATGTGTTTATACCTACCTCATATCTCCACTGCCCAACCCAGACAAAATTCCAAGACCGTCATCTATCTGAAATAGCGTCATTAGGGATTTTTGAAAAAGGGAGGTCGATCAGGCACAGTCACAGTCACGGTTACGGGATCCCGTGAAGGCAATTAAAAAAAATCGAGGGAAAAAAATTATATATATTAACAGGCATAATGCTAGTTTCAGCGTTGGGGACGATCCAAAGCCGGCCGTCAGGGAAATTAGAAGTAGCGTATGAAATTTATATTTAGGTTCACGTAGATCTAGAACTCGGGAACATGCAGGTTAAAAGTCTGCGATAGAATAACCCAGTGCAACCAATTATGGTTGTCCATGTTTCGTTACGGGACTAACCTAATGTAATAATACTATACGGAGAACCTAGCAGAGGAGAATACGAGTGCCCTATGGTATGTCCCGCTGAGTTAGATACCTCCAAGTAGGTAGGTAAACTTACTTATCCACCACATGTGGACGTTGTAGGTAGTTCACATTCTCTATACTACCACTGGACTGAACTGAATTTACGCTACCTAACCTAAAAGGAGACCCGGAGGACGTAAGAATTATTCATCCTGCTTGAACTACTACGATCATCCTACGTTCACGCAGCCGGGGAAGGGTATCCGGTGCAGATGGAAGGACGCCCGAGAGAGTTTGGTTAGGTTAGGTAGGTAGGTATTTTATGTACAGTAGTTGCGTTGCGTTTGTTGTTCGACTCTGCCTCTTCTCTGCGCACGCGTCGGAAATTGAAGGTATCAGAGTCCTACGTCAATCAGGGTAAGCAGGTGTTTCTAATGCCTACCCTAGTGTTCCTCAGTGTTTACTTTCCCCTCCTGCACGTCCGTACATCGGTAGATATCTTTCGAGATTTGGGAAAACCCATGTATGAGGTACCTAACCTAGATAATGTATAATGTGAGAGATTTTGATGCGTACCTACATACGTACGCACTTACACAGCGTTCGCGAGTTTCGGTACGTCTCGCCAAGAACGGAAAGGGACGGAGGAAGAAAGGTAAAAGAGAGAGTTGTCGTTGGTCGACGTTTACGCCCTGTGGGAAGATGATGCGCACTGCATGGAATGCTTCTAGAAGGACGCTCCGCTTTCGCCAGGATTCGCTTCGGGTTGCTGGGATTTGTTTTGGGGGAGGGGGAGGGGTGTGTGCGTACGATACCTAAGGTATGATGGTTGCGGTATGTGTGTAGTGTACTTAATACCTTAGGAATGTATGTATTTCCGGGCCATTTCTAATGGGGAACATAAGAAGATCCAGGTAATAAGAAAAAAGAAAAGAAAAAAAGTAGCACAGATATGTCAGAAGATCAGAAGTTGTCTACCTGTTGTTGGATTCCCCTTGTTTGTATGTTCGGCAAGTCGGTAACTATGGGAAGATGTAGAGAAGGTAGGGGGTACACTTACTTCTGCACGGATGGAGATCGAAGTAGAAGTCGAACCAACGCCTCTTTTTCTTTTGCTTTTCTTTCCCCTTGTGTGTACACAGACAAGCAAGCCCCTTGTTTCTAAAGATTCGTATGAGGTTAGTCTAGTAGTTGGTAGACCTGCAGCTGAGGAGAGTTTACGATTGGTCGGGGAGGGTTAATTAATTGCAGCTGAGTTTACACGGCAGGACGGTTTCGGTACCTCTCTGCTAGAACAAACTTGGAATGTATGGACACACATAATTCGGGTCTCAATAGTGCTTACCTACTGGGAGGACCCTGCGAAGGGTGGTGTCATTATGAGGCACCCGCGCGCCGTGGTTATTATTGTTGTTGTTGTTGGTATTACCCACGTATCTACGGTTTAGCAAGACGAGAGAAACGAACGAGAAGGTTGTCCTGTATCCCAAGTACAATACGTACCTACTAGCTTGCGCACATACGATATGTAGGAATATGACACCCATCTATCCATCCATCGTAGGTTTTTAACCATGGGCCCCAGTCCATACCTTTATCTAAAAGTGTGTGGATTCGCAAGTGCCAGGAGGGGACTTTAGAAAAGCGGATATCTGATACAAGCGATCCTAAAAGTCCGGGGACGTTTGATGCTCAGGTGATCATGATATGGAGGCTTCTCTCTTTTCTTTGGGGCCGCACCTCAGGCGAAACCTTTCTCCGTAAAAAAAGAGCCTCTTTTCCTTACGTCGAAGCCGTCCCTGTCGTGGAAAAGTGAGCAGGCGGCCTGAGGTGACCTTGAACTAGGTCTATTAAGGCCTGGACTACGTACGACTGGATGGATGGCTTAGTGATGGTCATCTGATATCTTAATCTTAAGATTTGTCGGAAATACGTGCGCAATTATGTGTGCGATATGTGTAATATATTGTAATATGTGCAATATGTGGGAGTGTTATATACGTCCGAGACCGAATTATCGACCATCTACACGACAAGAACTCTGTGACGCTTCATACGTATCGGGGACTATGTCCGCGAGAATGGAACCCAATTATCGGCCGTGGCGTCATCAAGATCTAGACTACTTAAGGTGCTAGGTTAGAGGTAGCTAGTGTAATGAAGTTGAAGTCAAGATTGAAGTTCAAGACCGGACGAAATGGCTAATTAGGCCGGGGTAAGTATAACATAGTGTTATAACATAGTGTATGTATAGAGCATGGTGTTTGGCTGTTTGGTAGTAGTGCTGATACAAATACCTAATAGTCTGATAATAATGATGGTGATGGTGGGAATAGCCGAAGTTGCCGTTGCTAGTGTTATATACCGATCGTGAGCGCATTAATAACCCGCATTTAATATTGTAATTCGATATCAGATATTATATGTGTGTGTTTCAAGTTTAGCAGCCTTGCTACGTAGCATATACGTACATACATACATGAAGTATGTATGTTTGGATGTAACTTGGTATGTATACATGGGGGTATATATGCAGTGTTAGTAGCCTTGGTGTTTTGCCTCAGCTGGCTGGCTGGCTGACTGGGCTGGCTGGCTGGGTGCTATCTAACTTAGAAAGGGGCGTTTCCTTAATACATCTAACTTCGCACGTACATACCTTAGGTGTGTATGTATGTATGTAATGTACCTACTTAATGTATTTGATTAAGTTTGCTTCCCGGAAGTCTCTAACATCATGTCTCTTTTCTATCCCTACCTAACCTAGTCCCTACTTAGAGAGGTATCAGATCCTCAGCCATCCGGGGCAAGTAGAGAAACCTCGTCTTAAACATGTTATTCTCTTACCTCTAGGTAATATCGTAATTGGTGATGATGAAATTGTCAAACCTTAACCTCTCTCTTCTTCGAGTCTCTCTCTATCTCTTTATTGTTTTATTTTAATTATTTATTTCAATTATATCACTTCCTTCTCGTCATTTCCCTCTTATGGCGTAAGATACCAGGTAGGTAATCTAAGACGCATGGTCTCGTCCGTTTAATAATATCATATCAATCTTTGACACCCTTTGAGTTGCATCGCATAGTTGCTATAATTGTCCACTACGTGCGTTACGAGGCGGTGGCCGTGTTCATCCCATCTGCAATGTTATCTATACAACGCCATGTACGTAGTGTAAAGCGTTGCTCGACAAGTGCTCGGTACATTACACCACCTTCAACTTGTCTTTCCTCCCGTCCCGTCCTTAATAAGAAAGAAACATACATTTAGTCTAGGTTGATAACTTAGGTAAGTACCTAAAGGCATCTTCATCTTTATCAATGGTAGAAATTCTGCTCGTTGCTGACCGGCTACGTAGGAGGTAGGTATTGTACATAATACCTAAACCCGAGCCCGAGCCCCCAAGCGATCCCCATTGAAGAAAGGACAAGGGGGTTCGCAGCCAAGGTGCTCTTTTTAGCGGTTACTGCAATCACTTGGTGCATAAATGAACCATAAGGAGCAACCCGCTGGGACTCCACCAGCTTTCTCCTGATGCTCCATCGGCCATACCCATACCGGCCCAAACCTGGGCTGGCGGCGGTGGCGGCCTCCCCATGCGTACCGATCTACAGGACGTTACATATTGGAATTTCTCTTGCTTTTTTTTGTCTCTTTTCCTTTCCTTCTGTGACATTGAGGTCTGCAGATATCCCATACGTACATACATTAGGGTAGGTATGTATAATAAAACCAAGCCTCCCCTGCGTCACATTGCACATACGACACCATTTTAAATAATTTGTCTTTTTTTTTTTTTTTCTTGTAACTAATATTTCTACCTATCTGTCATTCTTCTCTAGAAAGAAGAAGAAAAAAAAGAAAAGAAGAGAGAGAAAAAATTGGGGTTGCACTAAACCATTAAAAGTATCGAAAAACAAGTGTGAAATAATCTTGATTCCTTCTGCGACCTATTACCTAGCTAGCTCTCTCTATCCCCTCTCGCTATCTCTCTCTCTCCTCTGTTTCCTGTCAGGTATATAGGGCTGGTCTGCTCTCGCTTGGACTGGATCCGCCCTCAACCCCCCTAAACCCGCGAAATGAACCAATATTACTAGCTTCGGGCAGCTGACACAACCTTCGACGGAGTTGGACGGATAGCCCCTTGCTCCACTTGGACAATACAGACAGGCATTCCCTTGGGTCTTTAGTACATAACCGCAGTGTCGGTGCTCAGGTTGTAGCTTGTTCGAGTTCAGCTCTTGAAAGTCCTCCAAGACCGGGAATCTCTTCCCAACAATAGCCTTGTCCACCTTTTTTTTTCTTTTCTTTTTTTTCCTCTTGCCTCTTGCCTCTTAACGATCGCGAACCCCTCGGAAGAAAAAAAAATTTAAGAAAATAAAAATAAAAATAAAGAAGAGTTATATCTGTAGCCCCGCGCCTACGTTGCGCTTCGAAGTCGTCCCTCGTCTCCTCTCCCCCTCTAATAAATACTACGCAACCTATCGAGTTATATCAACAGCGCACACAATGGCCGCAGAGAAGCCGTCGGTACTTATCATCGGCGGGCTTGGTTATATCGGACGGTTCTTGGCCCGATATATACACGAGAACGGCCTTGCATCCGAGATTCGGCTGGTGGATAAGGTACTACCGCAGCTCGCTTGGCTCGCGCCAGAGTTCGAGACTGCGTGCTCCTCAGACAGATTCATACAAGCAGACGCAAGCAAAGAGCGTAGGTCTTGGACAAAACTCTCCCGCCCAGGCTTCTTTCTCCCAGGTCGTACTAATACCAATGCGTAGAGGCTATGGGACGGATATTTGACCGGGCTAACGGTAAGACGTGGGATTTCGTGTTCAACTGCGGCGGCGAGACGAGATATTCCCAGGAGGATGAAGTATACAAAGTACGGTCTCTAGGCCTGTCGTTAGCAGTCGGTAAGGAGGCGGCGAAGAGGGGAGTCAGGTGCTTCGTAGAACTGAGCACGGGTATGGTGTACAAGGCGAATTCGTCGCCGAGCAAAGAAACGGACAAGCTCAAGCCGTGGAGCAAGATCGCCGTATTCAAACTCCAGGCGGAGGAGGAACTCGCCAAGATTGAAGGGTAAGTTTTAACACATCCACACACACATACATATATATACCACGCAAAACCACACACCACATACACGCACCCTTTTATATATATATATATACCCAAAATATTCGAGAAGAAAAGAAACGTCGAGTCTAACCTTAGGCTTTCTTCTTTATTTGCCCCTCGAACAGGTTAAATCTCGTTATCGTCCGATTACCCCACGTCTACGGCCCGTATGCATCCCAATGGGTGGCGACGGCACTGTGCATGGCGCGCGTCTACCAAGCGATGGGCGAGGACATGAAATTCCTGTGGACCAAGGACCTGTACACGAACACGGCGCACATCGACGACGTTACACGGGCGCTGTGGTCGGTGGCCGCGTGGTACGACGCGGGCAAGGCCAACTGGGACGCGAAGAGCATGGGGCCGACGCCGACGTTCAACGTGGTGGACAAGGGGGCGACGAACCAGGGCACGATCGCGGAGATCATCGGGCAGGTGTTCGGAATCGAGACGGGGTTCCAGGGCCAGCTGCTGAGCAACCTCGCGCGGCTCAACATGGACAGCGTGGTGGACGACGTGAACGACGACGTGCTGGGCCCGTGGGCGGACCTTCTCGCCGACGCCGGGATAACGCGGCCCGGCCCGCTGACTCCGTTTATGGAAAAGGAGCTGCTGAAGGATACGGACCTCAGCATGGACGGCAGCCGGCTGGAGGCGGTGGTTGGGTTCCAGTATCAAAAACCGGTCATCACGAAGGAGTTGGTGGAGGAGGTGATCGAGAGCTACAGGAGGATGAAGTGGTGGCCGTGATTGATTTGAGAGAGGGAGAGGGAGAGAGAGCAGCAGCACTACAATAACCATTACCATAACCATATCATACAATACCCAATACCTACCTACCATTGATGGTTTTTTGTTTGAAAGCTCGAACAATAAAGAAAGAGAAGAAGAAGAAGAAAAGAGAGAATATAACCTTACATACCATACCATATCATACCCTCCCCAAAGAAGACATTTCCTAACAAAAGACATAACATATACTTACAGCCACTACCTCTGAGAAGCTCGCCTTCCGAAAAAAGGGAACAGCGAGTAAATCATATATGCATAAGCAGGCCAGACAGCTATGGCGATCCCAAATCCCTCCGAGCCTAGGAAAAGGGGGAAGTTTTTCTGGTTGCCAGTGATGACTCCTATGATAACGGGTCGACGACGGATTTGGAATTGCAGGCGAATGGTAGGCTATAATCGTCCTTACTATTTTATTTTATTTTATTTCATTTTTCTTTAAACGAAAAAAAAAAAAAAAAAAAGGACAAGACAGGACAAGAGAAGACAAGACAGGACGGGACAAGAAAAGAAAAGAATGAACATTTTTTCTGGTGTACAGGAGCAGAAGACGGGGGCGAGACACAGACAATGTTGCTATTGTATGTATGAGTAGGATATCCTCGTGTTTATTTTTCCTGATACGTTTTTTTCTCTCCCTGTTTTTTCTTTCCCCTGTCGACTAAAAAATCACACACAAACATCCTACGCATGTATAAAACCAAAAAATCCTAGGCGTATGGACAAGGGGAGGCTTTTGTTGTCGTTATTGTTCAGCCGTACTTAGACCTAGGAACTTAATTCATTCTAATAAGAAAAAAAGACATTAGAGGCTCAAATCTTTCGAGCAATGCTGCTTGTTGGTTGGTACATGATGGTGATGGTGATGGTGATGATAGGGAGATAGGTATGCCGTACGTGAGCAGGTAACGTTTCCAAGCCGCGCGAGCAGGAGATGTATATTCTTACCTGTTGGTTGCAGATGCGATATCTTTCTGTTACATGGCTTGAAACCCTCAAGAACCTAGATGGGAGGTTGAGTAACGGCTAAGACTTTGAGGAACATTCATTCTACTTAGAGTTACCACCTTAGGAGGTACGTAACTGTGTTTCTTCTTCACTCTTCTACTTTCATCTAACTAGGTAAGTAGGTGCCTACCTCCCAGGTACCTAGGTAGGTATGTTTCCCGTGAAAGCCTTGGGAGTTGTCTCCAATATTCCAGAGAACATAAACATACAGACCTTGGATATCAGCATCGTCCAGGTTGGGGAGGATTAGCAGCGCTAACAGGGTAGAGGAAGATGAAATAATGACGAGGGCCTGTATGTTACGCGTCGCTTGCTTATCGTATCCCGGACTCTGGAGATGATGGGCTGGTGGAACCCTTGATCTAGGTAGCCAATGCAATTTCGATATCCCACATCCCCATCTCCATCCCCATTCTCACCCCCATCTTCTCTTACCGATAAAGCATACCTAGGTGCTTGGTAATATCGAGGTACTAGACTGACTGGGCAAACGGAGCAATTTCCTAGGTTCATTGATGTATTATATGATGTAAACCGTGGATGGCTTCTTTTCCCCTTATGCCCAAAACCCTACCAGGTAATAAAAAAGCTCTAAAAGTCGTTTAGCGCGACCTACCTACCCCGCATACGGTACCTGTATTGTACCATACCTAGCAACCTTTCGCATTGCTCCCCCCAAAATCAGGTAGTTAATCGACCCCTCCAAAATGCAGAGTCGGAAAACAGAAAACGGAAAACGGAAAACGGCCGACTTGTTTAAAACGCAGGCCTGACAGGTAAAACCTTGGAGTTGCGTCATGCCGAGGACAAATACTTACCTAGGTACCTACCTAAGGTAAGGTACCAGAAGCATATGATTGCTTCCAAGGTTGTCAGTCAGCTTGAAAAACCACTACATAATTTAGGTTGGTAGGTAGCCAGGTATTTGTTTGCTTCTTCTCTTTCTCTCTTCGCATTCTTTTTTCCCCTGGTTCCTGTTTAGCTAGTTGTGATAGCTCCCTTTTTTTGGCGGGGGTCTATTTATACATACATACATCTCGCATAGTCTCGCATAGGTATGTATTATTGTATTGTACGATGCGATGCGATTTGATTTCCCAATCCCTGGGCTGTGAAGTCAAATTAAAACTAACTGATTCTCGCAAATCCAGCCTAGCTTGGCGTCGCGAACTGCTTCCCGTGTCTTATCTTTCGTACAGTTAGTTATTTAGTCTTTTATCCCTCCCTAAAGAAAAAAAAAAAGGAAAAAGAAAAAGACAAAGAAAACGCCATGGCGGCCCCGGCATCCAAGACAATTGGTGATCTGAACGGGAAGTGGGTTCTGGTAAGCAAACCACCGCTCCTCTCCTCTCTTTTCCCTCCGACCTACATGTACCTACATAATGTATACCTATACCTATATACATAATAATAAGATCTTCTAACACCCGTCCTCCTCCTCCAGAACAAAACCCTCTCCGACCCCGTCGACCCCGCCCTCTCGCTCCAAGGCGTAAGCTGGCTCGTGCGCAAGGCCGTCGGCGCCGCGACCGTGACCCTCGACACGAAGCAGTACCGCGGCGCGCCGACGCCCCCCAACGCCTCGGCCGAGCCCGTCACGCGCGTCGACATCCAGCAGATCGCGACCGCGGGGCTCAGGGGAACGGCCGAGAACCGGTGTCTGGACTACGTGTTCCGCGAGCACAGCGACTGGCTGTTCGGGAAGGTGCGCGGGCGGAGCCGGTGGGTCGGCGCCGGCGAATTGGCCGCGCTCGTGGAGGCGGAGGACGGGGAGTTTAGGAAGACGGGCGTGGTGGAGGATGCGTTTGTTGCGCGCGATTGGTTGGAAGGGGAAGAAGAGAAGGGCGGGCCCGAGGGCGAGACGCATATCTTGAACCACGTCGAGAGTCTGGATGCCGGGTGGACGGCGCTGCAGGTCTGGGGGTTCCAGAATGTCGGCGGCGAGAGGAGGTATGTCCGGAACGTGGTTGTCGCGAAGGACGGCAAGTTTGTCAATTTCAAGATGGTGTACGACTGGGTCCCTGAGTAAATCTGGGACAGATAGGTATCTTAAATGAGGTGAGGTGAGGTATTGCTGCGGTACTCAGTACCTACCTCCCTTGCGGCGGTCTCGGGTGTTGAAGGGCACTGGAGGTTTTATCTAGTAGCTGGGTGGAACGAGATTATTCGAGTGTGTGATATTTAAACCGGGGGAACGATTCAAATGTCTATATATTACCGAGCATAGCTCTTCACGTTGATTCGCAATATATGTTACGTTGAGTACAATCTTTTGCAATTTGGTCATGCTCGACTTCGTCCTCTATTCCTCTCCGAACGAAAGCCGTATAGCAAAATCCAGCACCCCACCCCCCTTCAGCCTCAACCGTGACATGGCTCTGTAACAATCTCGAGCTCGGGCGCGACAAAATAGCTTCTTCTTCTTCTTCTTCTTCTTCCTATGGTGCCTTCATCCTCATTAGCCCGATCTCAAACGTAATTTACCATACTTCTTTGCGATACCGAATCCCGATCATCCAGGCCCTAATGCAATCGATTAAACCTCCTCACGCCGGCCTCCTCTTCACAAACTCCTCCAAATCGCTACGCGTCGCGACGCCCAGCACGAACCTCCTGTCCTCGTCCGTCACCACGGCGAACTCCTGCTTCTGGCCGGTACCGGTGCCGGCGCCGGCGCCCTCGAAGAACTGCTCGAGCTCCTCGAGCGGCGTGGCCATGGTGATGACCTTGTACTTCCTGCCCTTGCGCTCGAAGTGGGCCATGGCCTTGGACACGGGGTCCTCGGGCCGCACCTTGCCGGACTCGAGCTGCGCCTGCAGCGCCGGTATCGCGACGTACCCCAGGAGCGCGCGCGTGTCCGAGTCCACGACCGTCAGGTGCGTGTAGTCCCGCTCGAACGCGGACATGAGCGCCAGCGAGATCGGGTCCGAAGGGTTGAGTGAGAGGGCCGCGGGCGGCTCGAGGTCTTGGACCGTTGCCTGTCGGGCGCCATGGTTTTGTTAGTATATATGTGCCTCTAACGTACCTAACCTAATATAATAACATTTGTCTGATATTATTAGGACGACAGAGATATAGAGTAGGTTTAGGTAGTGAGTAGAATTGGGCTCGAGTGTTTCCGGGACGACGTTGTAACGTACTCCTCTATACCGTGAAGACCATTTCGAGACGAACGGCGTGCCTCCCAGAGCCGACGGACCGACGTGTGGAGAGCTCTTGATCGTCTGCGCCATATCCGGACGATGCTGTGTATAGACTTGACGATCTGGGTTGGAAGGTTCCTATTCCTGTCCTGATCTTTGGCACAAGAAAAAAAAAGTGCTTATTAAGAGCGGTGTATTCCGATTCGTACAAAAAGGAAACAAGTCCTTATCTTCCCTAGCACAACCTTTTTCTTTTCTCGCCTCGAAGTATGTATATATTCTCCCAATAACGATATTTAGGATTCGTTTCGGAGATAATTTATTAAAAACGGTTGCTAGTAATGGATGTATGAGTAAGAAAATTGGATTTGCTTTAGTTCGTTCTTTCAAGGGTGTGGAGTCTGAGAACGACGGAAGATATCACGAGCTAGCGGTTACTGACTTGGAGATTTCGAGGTGGGGCTGTTTTGGATGCCCCACGGTGATAACGGAAGTTTTAACGCTTAGGCACCTGGAGATCTAGGTGAGTAGGGGAGTGCATTTAGGTACATTATTTCTTTAATAGGTGCAGTATGAAAATCACTCCACAGAATCATAGGGGATTAAGTGCTGGAGAAGTGCCGGACTTCCTAAACGTAATAATTCCAACTGCATGGAGGTAATATACCATTAAACATATCCCACAAGAAAAAAAAAAACAATGGGGTAACAGATAACTCTACTATTCCCAATTAATCAAAAGAGGTAAAAAGGAATCAAAAAAAGGCTCATTTCCATTTCGCCTTGATAACGTTGGATTAGGTACCTTATATATGGATTCACATTAGGTACCTACACGAACTGGCCGAACTTTGCATGTGGTCAGCTTCTGTAAATTCAATGGCTTTAACCCCCACTAAATAGGAAATCCAGTTTAATGATTGGGCGAAGCTAAGAATTAAGGACGTAAGGCAAGTGGGCTTATAGCGGGCTTGTAGCGGGCTGATGGGGTAAAGCTTCCTGCCCTACCGACCTTGCCGACACCCCTCCGACGTCACTAACACCTGAGAGAGATTTCCCTCGATGAGAGAGGTAAGCAATTGTATTGGATGTCTACCTCGACAACCTTGGTAGTTAAGGTAAAAACCATACCTTATCTCCGGTCGCATCCTTTCCTTTCCTTTTTTCTCCCCTTGTTAAAATCTTTTGAGCCTCCGGAAAACATTTCCCTCCCGTACAACTTTATCCTTCTTATAACAACGGCAATTGTATTGTCTTTTCGAATACGCAACACGTCAGGTCCTCTCTTGTCGCAGTAGATAGTACCTTGTTTGGCATTGGGTTACTGAGGTTTCCGACCGACCTCGCATTGGTAGAGATAGAATAATATACCCGCAAGAGAAAACGGTACGTTACCCGTTGGACCCGTCAAATTATCGTGACATCTTGCTTCACTGAAATATTATCCGAGCTTGAAGGTACTGCGTCATAAAGCGACGTGCTTCAAAGCAACTGTCAATATCATCATCACCATCATCAATTGCAAGATATCCCGCACTGACTGATCAATTCTGACTGGACAATCCTAGATATAATCGTCCGTCAAAATGTCGTTCTTGTTTCCTAACCAGCATGTCCTGCACCAGTCCTTCGGCTCGCCGTTGAACACTAAGGCGCGGACTGCTCCTGCTACTACGGCCACTCCGTATCAGGCCCGCCTGGAGCTCTACTCAGCGTACTCCGTCGTTGATGATGCGAAGAACAAGACAAAACAGCTCAGCGCCGAAGCTCAAAAGGAGCTCGATAAAGCTGCTAGTGCTGCCAAGGGCGAGAAGAAGCTGGAGCTCTACAGTCCTACCTTCTACGCCGCTGCCACATTTGGTGGTCTTCTTGCCTGTGTAAGTGAATAGACTCACTAAGAAATTGCCTTCGAAAACAGTATCTCATGCTGAAATTATAGGGTCTGACCCATACTGCTGTTACTCCCCTAGATCTCGTCAAGTGCCGCCGACAAGTAGATCCGAAGCTGTACAAGGGCAACTTTCAGGCCTGGGGCATGATTCTGCGACAGGAGGGTGTCCCGGGTATCTTCACAGGTTGGAGCCCGACGCTTTTCGGATACTCGGCACAAGGCGCGTTCAAGTACGGCTGGTACGAATACTTCAAAAAGAAGTATTCTGATCTCGCGGGCCCCGAGAATTCGTACAAATACAAGACGCTACTCTACCTATCTGCTTCCGCCTCCGCTGAGTTCCTTGCCGACATTGCTCTGTGCCCATTCGAGGCCGTCAAGGTCCGTATGCAGACGACAATTCCGCCGCCGTACAAGGGTACCTTTGACGGCATCAGCAAGATCACGGCGGCCGAGGGCATCGGCGGACTGTACAAGGGTCTATACCCTCTCTGGGGTCGTCAAATCCCCTACACCATGATGAAGTTTGCTTCCTTCGAGACTATCGTTGAGAAGATCTACGAACGCCTCCCAGGCAAGAAGAGCGACTACGGCGCAGGCACCCAGACTGCAGTCTCCTTCACTGGTGGATACCTGGCTGGTATCCTCTGCGCCATTGTCTCGCACCCTGCTGATGTGCTAGTCAGCAAGCTCAACGCGAACCGCAAAGCCGGCGAGGCCTTCGGCGCCGCCGTGGCCCGAAACTACAAGGACATCGGCTTTATGGGTCTATGGAACGGTCTACCTGTCCGAATTGTTATGATTGGTACCCTCACTGGTCTCCAATGGATGATTTACGTAAGTGACGAATCCTCGAGTTTTTTTTCCTTCTGCGGGGACCGGATCCGTTGCGGTCGACTGGGCGGTGAACTAACAATGTAATAGGACTACTTTAAGATGTTCATGGGCTTCCCGACGACAGGTGGAGCCGCACCTCCGGAGAACAAGTAAACTCGAAAAGTCTGAAGAGCGACGCTATATGTGAGCCATACATAGGCGGTGGATGAGTTGGTGCATGCGTTGTCGTGATATTTGCTGATCCGGTCGGTCTCTTTTGCCTCCTTTGCTGTATTGCATCCCATGTTTCGGTAAATCTTAACAGTCGAGTTTGCCTAGGTTCTGGCCGGGGTCTAGGCGCTTGCGTTGACTGCTGGCCTCCCTTACGTACATAGTTATTTTATGTCCTAGAAATGCTTCCTGTTACTATCTGCTAAATATCCCCTTGTCGTAAAATCGCCTTGAACTTATAGATAGTGTAAATTAGTTGTTTCGTTCCTCATAAACAACAATGATGTTTTCAAGTCTCGTATGTCTAGGTACTGTGTCGATATGGTCATCTGCGAATGAAGGATGTCGCGGTTCGTTATAAAAGCGACAGTAGTTAAAAATATCTTGTGGTTAAAAATATCTCTCTTAGGAGAACCAACTGATGAGCGATCCCTTGCAGGAATCTACATCTCATCGACTGCGTGCTAAAGGCTAAAGCGGATATGAGTAGTCAGAACGTTGTGGTAGCCCGGTCTAGACTCCTCAATTATGAGCATGATTGGATCGGGACACTGCTCATGTACGCATATAGTGAGGTCACAACTCGTCGAATGAGAGACATGATATAGCCACCTACCTATGTAATATATATAAATTCAAAACAAATTCATATAACGGTCATGATTTTGGATTGGATTAACGGTGTCGAAGGATTCGCCGCTACATATCTCAATATATAGATTGGCGAATAGGTGTATGTGGTAATATATATGAAAATGCAACGCTGATAGGTCGCCAGCAGTGATGGTGACAATTATCATATCATGGTGGAGCGGGGTACTCAGCTGCTGTAATTTAGGTTGCTTGAATTTCCTGGGAAATACCTACCTGTAGCGCAACGTATCAGTCCAAGGTAAGGTCGTACGGGTACGCATGAGCCATGTAGCCCGGGCTTCTGTATCTGAGCCTTCTAGAAGGAGCCCTACGAAGGGGACAGCAGAGGATATTTTGCAGCTGGCTGGTCAGCCCTTGCAGGCCTGCCACATGGGCTTTGAGCTTAGTATTCAAGCCGCGCTGGGCGGGATTGGCTATAGACGCCCGCGTCGCTGCATTCCGTCATCGTGCGTTTACCACATCTTACGGGCTGCAGCTTTGCTCGTGAGAGGTTTGCTCGTTGGCTGGGTCCTGATGCAAAGCGGCCCTTTCTCGGTTCTGTCGTGCGTGCTGATCGTCCTGGAATCGCGCGAGTGACACAGGAAAGGACAGAAAGCCAAGTGGTCATTAGTGAGAACGGCTACGAGAGCTTAAGCAACCTACGGCATCTCACATTTTTTTCACGTCAGTTGCCCTCCTAGCTGACGCTCGTATTAGTGGTTAGGAATCATCACTTGACAACAACTGCGGAAGGCGGATAAGCACACGGAGGAACATTACGATGTTATTGCGGTGTGTTTGAGTTGTTAGTAGTCTTCGCTTTTTCCGCAATCGAGATGGAGTATGGGCCGAATGCATTCGTCAACCTTGGGGGCTGATCCATCTTTACCTTTCTTGGGCGCTTACAGGACCGCATTTAGGGGTTCAAGGAGCGATTGTCGCCAATTGGTAATTTGGCAAAGTTTGGTAAGTTTGAACCAGGTTTGGGCCAAGCATGACGAATTATCTCTGTTCTTGTCTAGGAGTTTGCCCGCTCGCATACCATACTGTATGTCACGACCGTTGTTGGCGGTTAATAACCCCACAAAGGCAAAGCTCGATATACAGATGGCCCGAGGATATTTGTAGTACCTAGTACCTACATAGTCCTTGAGCTAGGCAGTTAGTATCACACTAAATGAACAGGGAATCGATGCCTGCGGAGAAGAAGCCTGATACGATTTGCGGTAGCAATATGCACGTAACCGTCTTACATGCTGGTGATTAGCTGATGGCGGAAGTCCACCGCATTGCCGTAACAGTTACAGTAGTGGTTGTTACGCCCGTGTATTGATACCGGGTTGTCAGATCGGCGTACTTTCTCTTCGTTTTAACTTTGTCGTCCCTAAATCGGGAAGAAGATTGGAAGCATAATGGAAGTCGTCCGTATCCGAACCATTGGGACCAGTCGTCCATAGTAAGGTAATGTTGATCACCTTCCCCTTCAGGTATAGAGCTTTGGTAGCGGTCGAACCACAAACGACGACGACGCTTGGCTCTTGTTAGAAGCTTGGTGAGTGGAGCGCTGAGACATAAATTGGAAAAGGTTCCATGGCTACCATCGAACTGAGGTCCTGTTCTATGTACGTAGTGTACTCGATCCCCCGGTTCCCCCACGATGAAGTCACCGCTTGGTACATATTAAGTAATAGTAGGTAATAGCAATAATCTGGGCTTGATAGGTTCTGTAGGTCTTAATTTTCAAGGTCGTACTACTAAATAGAAACCTCCGACTGCGACGCGGCAGACATTATCTCTTCAAGAGAGAACTCCCGAGTCGAAGATGAGTAAGTAAATTAGAAATAGTAAACAGGCGATAGAGGTAGTAAGGTAGACGATCCTAATGTCTGATACTCTGGAAGCGAGTAGATGCTCGTAACCAAGCAGCCAAGCTAGGAGAGTCATTATCTTTTTGAAAAGGAGTGCTAAAACGTAAAGCGAAGTCCAGTTATGGAAAAACTGCCGTTTTTGGAACCAACTGGAAAGTCCCGACTGGTCACATCGCAACTAGGTAGTGTAGATTGCATATCTCCATACCTGTAGATGATGTATGCAGGATTGTTAGGTCTGTTACCCATACCAGCCATTAGCATCGAGAGAAGCCGGAAAATGTAGGAATACGTGCATGCGAAGACTATCTTTGTTGGGTTGTTTAGGTTAAGATAGACATCCCACGCCTTAGGGCATACTAGGTTCTTTTAGGGGGAGGGGGCTGATAATGAAGGGGAAAAAAGCATTAAAATGCGCCTTACTCCTGGTACAGGTAGAGAGACTCACCGTTAGTTTGCATGTAGAATTATATTTCGACAACAGTTACACGACGCGCTTAATAATAGAAAATGCGCTTTTAGAAAAACCTGAATAAAGGAAATCACTACCTCTAGGAGGGTAAGTACCTAAAGGTAAGTACCTACATACCTCGAAGAGGTATTATACACCTGGGCAGTACCATCAGTGGAGAAAACAGGGAGAAATGGCTAAGTGTTAACCTGAAGAGTGCTAGTTTCTGGGGGTTACCCCTACCTTAGGTTAGGTTAGGTGCATGTAGGCGTCTCTTTAGGTCAAGGTATTACCCCATCTTTTTAGAATCTCCAGGCTCTTTTTTTACTACTACCTAATATACTAGCAAGGTACCTTTTTATACCACCGTGCCCGGCTTAAATCGTGGCGTTGGTACAGGGTGTTTTCAGTGAGTTGTATTGTACCGTCAGCGGCACGATAACCCGGCCATAACTTCCGGCTCCTTCCAATCCACCATCCCCCGATCCAATCCTCTTCCCATCAAACCAGAACCAGCAACAGTCGCTCGCTTTCTCTCCTTCAATTCTTAGCTGGGAACTTCTTTAAACAACTTAGTCCTCGTATTCTCTCTTACTCAATAACTTATTTGTTTGTCATCATCTTATAAGTTTTTTTGCCGTCGGAATTCTTCTTACTACCTGTCAAGAACACTACTTACAAAGAAAGGTTGTTGGCTTGTCTAAGACGTTGGAACCACTACCACCACTATCACCACTATCACCGTCACCGTCACCAACCCACTTGTGATCGAAGCTCTCCTTAGGTAGTTGGCGATCTCGAATACCTAACCTAATCTAGAAAACTTGGAGTCTAGAACAATAAACACATAATTTCAAAATTTCGGTTCTTCCCTCACGGAACCTACGGCTCAAGAAGCGCAAACGTATATCGTCTTAGTGCATTATTTGATATCCGAGACTTCTCACTGTTTACTACCGAAATATACAAAGTAGTCCTTCGAATGACTACCCCCATCGACTTCGTCCGTCCTCACTAACCCCTCTGCCGCGCTCAGACGCTGGCCTGTCTCGGTCGAGCTCGCGCAATCGCGCAATTCGGTCGCCTAAACGCTCGCGATGGCGAGTTTCCTGAATAAATGGAAGACCAACGGCGCTGTATGTTACCGAACTTAACCTTAACGCCGAGTCGGGTGTGTCGACTTGACTAAGTCCACCTCTGGAGTTTCCAGCTACATATAATATATATACCTTGTATATATATACTGTAATTATCAAACATGCTGACGTATTTTCTAGGCGGCCTCGAGTTCGTCGGCCAAAGACGGGCCAAAGAAGAAAGAGGAGAATGCGGTGGAGGTCACTCCGTTAGAACGAATGCTTCAAAATGCTGGCGCACTTAGACAGGATGGAAGCGACAAGTTCTTCGGCATGGAGAATGTAAGTCCAACTGTATAGACGACCTTTTTTTTACCCGTACTAACTTCGATTACACAGTTCGGAAATACATGGTAAAGATAACACATCTATTTTTTGCATTGTATACCTATGATCTGACCACGACGCAGCTATTGCAACTCAATCGTCCAAGCCCTTTATTATACTGTACCATTTCGAGAGCAGGTGCTTAAATTCCCGCCATTGTCACCATCTGATACCCCTAACGGAAGCCGACCTAGGGTTAACGTCCAAATCCGAGCTCCGGCTGCGAACGGAGGCGCACATGGAGGCGCACATGGAGGCGCAAACGCGAAGAAAGGTTCTGCCGCTGACGCGATGGAGAGGAGGAAACAGATGAACTCGGGACAAATCCAGCCGGTGCGGCCGGAGGACAAACCCGACACCCCCGAATACAAGAAGAAGCAGGCGATGCTAAAAGGTCCTATATTAGAGTTGGCGCAAGAAAGCCACGAAACCTACGGAATGGATGAGTGCACATTCACGGGCCTCCGAGATATCTTTATGGCACTCGTAGATAGCACGGTCCGCACTGGGGTTCTCAGCCCGCAGCGTTTCCTCGAGATATTCAAGCGCGACAACGAGATGTTTCGCAATTCGATGCACCAGGATGCGCACGAATTCTACGGACTCGTTTTGAACGACGTAATATCGAACGTTGAGAGCACAGCAAAGCGCTTACTTGATCAGCAGGCCGCTTATAGTAATGGTAGTGTTGAAGAATCTCTCAAAGCAGCGCTAGGAGCAATTGCTAAGACGTCTTCGAACGGTACGAACTCTCCAGGAACAGGTTGGGTACACGATATCTTCGAGGGTGTATTAACATCAGAGACTAAATGCCTTACTTGCGAGACCGCTTCTCAGCGAGACGAGACCTTTTTGGATTTGTCAATCGACTTGGAGGAACATACCTCTGTGACCGCGTGCTTACAGAAATTTTCGGCCGAGGAGATGCTCTGCGAGAGGAACAAATTTCACTGCGATCATTGCGGAGGTTTACAGGAAGCCGAGAAGCGGATGAAGATCAAGCGACTGCCCAAAGTGCTAGCATTGCACCTGAAAAGGTTTAAGTATACAGAAGACTACAGTCGGTTGCAGAAGCTGTTCCATCGTGTAGTATATCCGTATCAGCTGAGGATGTTTAATACGACAGAGGACGCCGAAGATCCGGATCGACTATACGAACTCTACGCCGTTGTTATCCACATCGGCGGTAACGCGTACCACGGACATTACGTCTCGGTCATCAAGACGGAAGATCGAGGCTGGCTGTTATTCGATGACGAGATGGTCGAACCCGTTGATAAGCACTACGTCCGAAATTTCTTTGGGGATAAGCCGGGTATGGCCTGTGCGTATGTGCTGTTCTATCAAGAAACGACATTTGAGAAGATGCGGGCCGAGCAAGAGGCAGAGGGTCTCGAGGAGGTTAGGATCGCTAGCGAAAAGGCTGGTGTCGCTCAAGAAGATGGTCAGCCGAACGGTTCAGCTACGGGGTTATCAAGGCAGCTAACACAACCGATTCGGCCACCTGAAGACCGTGAAGGACTAACTAATTTAGATCACGCCGCTACAGCACCCGATATGTTTGCCGATTCAGCTGCTGCTCCTTCTCCTGCATTATTACCTCAGCTCGACGGCCCGGCGCCACCCAGTCCCATCATTTCGGAAAGAACAGATACGGCTAAGGGCGAATCGAAGTCGAAAGAAGAAAGGAACCGAGAAAAGAAAGAAGCTAAGGCCCAAGGAAAGGCTCGAAAGATAGCAGAAAAGGGAGAACTCAAAGCTAAAGAAAAGCAGCGCAAAGAGGCCGACGCACGGTTACGCGAAGCTCGCAAAGCCGAACAAGAGGAGCTTAAGAAAGCCCTAGAGGCAAGTAAAAAGATGGCTGAAGAAGATGAGGCCAGTCGTGGGGAACAAGAAGACAGCGTTCCGTCGCTGCAGAAGCCGGATAGGGGTAGTAAGTCTATGTCAAGAAAGAGCTTTGGATTCTTAAATAGAGACAAAGCGAAACGAGATAGCATGGAAGCTTTGCCCGAAAACAAACAGAACGGCGAGAGTGCGGCGCCTCCGCCCGACAAGCCGGAGCAACAGTTCAAACGTAAGAAGAGCTTCAGTTTTAGTCTCGGGAGAAGAAAAAGCCACACTACCCTCACGTAAAAAAATACATATTGGAGTTAAGGGAATTATTTTTTGACGGTATTTTTTATACTCTTCATACCCTAGCGGACCAGCGCGAGGGATGTAAGCATATAAGGGAGTTCTGTAGGGGGCGTGGTTAACTATCAAAAGAAATGAGAAGAAGGGTTCTCGAAAGCATTTATGGGGGACGATGCGCCAAAGCTGAAAATATTCGTTTTGGATAGACTCTGTAGAAGGAGGTTTGCTTCTGCTTCTGTTTTCTTCTCAGGAGCGAGAGAGCACTTATGTGCATTCAGGTGTATGTGCTCGCGTTGGCGAATGGATATCCTGTATAACAAAGCCAGATGCCGGGAGGAGCGTTTATACCCCTGATAGGAGCAGCGAGGTATGAAAGTAAATAATAAAAAAGACAAAATGCTTCATTGCCATCACCATCATCATCACCGCCATCTCGGACCTGATTCGATTCGCGTGTAATGTTATTCAATAGGCTTGATACGGTGGCTACCTAAGGTATAGCTTGAAACCCTTTTCCCTCTTCCCCTTTCCCCTTCGCACGACCGCGCGTCTGACGTTGCCGATCTCATTTTCGACCATATTACACCGAAAGTAATGTGTTATTATTTATGTACACCGGAACGCCTGGTTGAAAACCGAAAAATGCAAGCTCGCCTATACGTCCGCCATTATTCGTTCGTAATACCTGCGTATCCTCTCTCTCTCCTTTTTTTTTCTCTCTGCTCTCTCTCCTCCTCTCTATATCTCCTGTCCCTAACCAAAAGCCAGCTCGTAGATTATTATCATCAGGTTGACTCCTATTAGGGGAACTGCACTCTGCCGTGTTAGCCTAGCCTAGCCTAGCTCTGATCTGACCTGACATCTGGGCCGGGGGTAATTTTATTCTTATAATAATATGGAACAGGTAGTAGAATGGGAAAAGGCGGGAGGGGGGGTTGCGTACTTCTCGTGACCGTCCGCACGCTGGAGATCAGGTTGACGACTTTCGCCTGCATGCTCTGGGCGTCGGGGCCGGCGCCGAAAGCCGGGTCGTAGGAGGAGAGGTTTACTTGAGTTTTTAGATTAGATTAGTTTAGGTTAGGTTAGGTACCTGTCTGGTAAACTGCTGGGTTGGTCGGGGCTGGTCTAGCCGGAGGTGGTAGACGTACGGCGTGCTAGGAAGCGGTCCTGGGACAGGATGGTGATGGCGTTTATGAGGAGGACGGAGACTGGGAGATTGTCGCATTAGCTTTGCTGCTTTTCCTCGCCGAGGCAGGGCAAGGATGGATATATATCTATAGATAGATACCGTAGAATAAGTTCCCGAAGAGAAGCATCTTGACGCGCTGGGGTTTAGGCGGCGTTGGTAGGGAGTTCGGGAGAGCGTAAAGTCCAAGGTTCAGATGTTGTATAGGTAATTAGGTAGGTAGGTTGTATGTAAGTTGTATGTTACGTAGCGCATTATGTTATGTTAGGTTAGGTAGGTACTTACAAGACAGGTGTCGACGGTGCGGCGCCGAGTTGCGGAAACTGTCCAATGGAGATATTAATGTGGCGGTGCTTTGTTGCATCAGCCACATGTGCGTACTTATGTACCTAATGTAGCAGTGCTCCCGTTCAAACAGATTTACTCTTACACGGACCTCAACAGCAGGTCTGTCAACAAGAATGTGTTTCTGAAAATGGGTTTCTGAAAATGTGGTTCAAGTTTTCTATGCGCTCAATACAAATTGGCTTTAATTGAGCTCTATTAGGTCCACCTCAAAAACTGTGTTACTCGTGTGCTTTAAGCATTAAGCACAAAGCTACCGATGGCAGCGATCGGTATGTTATTATTATTAAGTATGACGAGCAAGCAAGACGCTAACTTACAATTGGCATCATCAGATTTACTTCTGTCGCTGGCTATACCAGCTTTAATAATCATACATCTCCTCGTAGCGCCGTATACCAAGGTAGAGGAGTCTTTCAATATACAGGCGACTCACGACATCTTAGTGTACGGGACGCCCACCAAGGACGTATATCAACGGCTCTCGTCTCACTATGATCACTTCGACTTCCCCGGCGCCGTCCCTAGGACCTTCGTTGGCCCAGTTATGCTTGCGGGGATCAGCCAGCCTATCATTACGCTGGTAGGCTTCCAGTACGCTCAACTTATCGTGAGAGGTGTTCTGGGCCTCTTCAATGCCGGCGCGCTGTTGGTGTTTAAGTCCAATGTAGGAAAAGCGTACGGGAAGTCGGTTGCGAGGTGGTATGCGCTGCTTCAACTGAGCCAATTTCATATTATCTTCTATGCTTCCAGAACACTGCCCAATATGTTCGCCTTTGGCTTGAGTAAGTACCTCACCTTCAGGCTTTGAAAGGCTAGGCTTTTATATTGACAACTTCGTAGCCACGTTGGCCTTTTCGCAGTTAATAGGAGATCCAGCTCAGAAGAGCCAGGTCTGGCGCTATAGGTTGGCTATTGCATATCTTACCATAGCCACCGCCGTATTCAGGTCCGAGTTAGCGATCCTCATGGTTACCGTCACCCTTTATGGCCTGGTTCAGTCGCATATCTCCTTGTCTGAAATCATCCCTGCCTTCATCGTCTTCTTTGCCGTGTCTCTATCGCTGACGATACCGATCGACTCATATTTCTGGCAGAAGCCGCTATGGCCAGAACTATGGGGGTTTTACTACAACGCCATTCTTGGATCCTCCTCTGAATGGGGTGTTTCCCCCTGGCACTACTATTTCACATCCGCTTTGCCTAAGATCCTTACCAACCCGTTGAGCTCGACTGTCCTCATCCCCTATGCGCTTTGGAATACAGGGACGAGGAAACAGGCCCAGTCGCTAGTAGTCCCTAGTCTTCTATTTGTGGCGATATATTCTCTTCAGCCGCACAAAGAGGCTCGTTTCATCTTCTATGTTGCGCCATCGTTGACAGCAGCTGCGGCTTTAGGGGCGGATTATATCTTCATGAGACGTAATAAGTCGGTTGCCTTCTTGCTTACTTCTCTCGCAATAGTTGGATCGGTACTTGTTTCGTTTGGTCTCAGTACTGCTATGTTGGTTATATCTTCTCTAAATTATCCCGGCGGTGAAGCGCTCTCGGAACTTCGCAATATTGTTACTTCGTCTTCGTCTTCTGACCTCCAGACTGTCATGGTCCATACGGACGTATTGTCGTGTATGACAGGTGTGACTCTCTTCGGACAACATCCCTACCCTCCTAACGACCCGCACCCGGCAAATGGATTGACGTTCAATTACGACAAGACGGAAGACGAGAATACCTTACGAATCCCGTCGTTCTGGGAGAAGTTTGACTACGTGCTCGCCGAAGATCCGGCTTCAGTTGTCGGCACTTGGGAGACGATTGGCGTGGTGGAGGGTTTTGCCGGAGTCGAACTAACCAAACCGAGTGCACCCTCCGGCGGCGACACTGGAAACGACCAAGACAGGGTATTCGGCAGAGGCGAGCTTGTGAGAAGAGTGAAAGATTCCGTTAGAGCGGTAACCGGTGGTTGGTGGATTGGCCCGAGGATGGAGCCGAAGATACACCTGTTGAGAAAAATGCGCGAGGGTGAGGCTAGACGAGCTGTAACGCAGTAGCGATTTTTTTTCTTTTTCTTTTTCTTTTTTTTCTCCCTGTTAGATAGGCTGAAAAGATCAAAGTCGATTGCCGAACTCGGGATACTATATTCCCCGATATGGCTCTGCGGCCCGTAGATTACCATCGGGTGGAAGAAGACGTGGAAAGGTCCGGTGACGGTGATGGTAACGGTGGTGGTAACGGTGACACCGAATACCGCCCCGCTGGTGTAGGCTTAGAACGGGGCTGACGGGACGTTACGATAATCTGTAGCATAATATGTAGCACATCGCCGCTGGACCTATCTAGATTTACTATAACAGCTTACAGGCCCGCCTCGTAACCAATCTAGCGAGTCAGCCCAACACCATCAGATCGGCCGTCTTACAGCCCCCAATCTATCCCCAATCTACAATGTAACCCAACGTAGCCTTACGCGCATACGGGATTTAGAGCGTTTACGCAGCCTTACTATATACCGGCATTGCATTGGCTGCTTGATAATTACCGTTGTAAATTCCGGCGTGGCAGAGTATAACCTTTTTATATCGACCTTGTGTACTATGTATACTTAATGAAAGGGTAGTTGAGAACTTAGACTCACTTGTAACCGATGTTTTTTTTTCTCGCAATCTAGTGACAAATTAGAAAACTAACCTCGCACCTAGTCAGATCGTATCACGATGTTTTAACCCGTAGTTTCGAAGTACCTACCCAAGTTAACATATCACTTCTTAAAAATAGTTACTACCTACCTAGGCATTACGTAGTCAATACGAACATTATACATAAACGAGAAATATCAGTAAGAGAGGAGGACAAGTAAAATACGCTTAAGCACACGATAAAATATCAGGGGTCTTGATCTGAAGAGAATAGGCTATTGAGGATACGGCAAGCATCCACAATATAAAGAAAGTCAGCGGAAACGCAAAACGAGGAAAACAGACCAATCTTGGACGGGAGGCTATGCGCAGCGTGGAGAAACGACCTGTCTGATAATATACTTACCTCTTATACTCCCTTCCAAGACAGAGCAACTGCAAAGAGGGTTGCATTATATGTACGACACTAGGCTTAGATGTCGTAATGAGCCTCACTGGCTAAAAGTGTATACTAGCAAACTAGGTAGTATATACGTGTAAGATTATAGGAGTACCTCGGTTTAATAGGAACATCAGGTATATCTCATCTCCTTTTTACTACTACCTAGGTAAGTATTATGTACTATAATAGCATGTCTCGTAACGGCAGCGCCAAGAATAGCCCAGGAGGGCGGTCCCCTGAACGAGGATGTGGTAAAATGCACGTACGTGGGCGGGCGCCACACTAGCGCAAGGGTCCACCCAAACGTCAGGGTCCTTCGTCCAATTCGTCCCTAATAAACCGTACATAGATAAGGTCCACGTACCTAGGTAGTATGTTCCTTAAATCCAAGTTGCTTCGCCTTGTGCAACCAAGATGCATGCGACCTAATCCAAACATGCGTATATGTACATGTAGGTATTTACACTAGTTACATCTATCTTAAGTAAGGTATTCATGGATTATTTGGAACTGTTTATACTGCCCAGCTATTTGACGATAAACTTTTCAAAGAGAGTTTGAACATCTACCTAATTTATGAAATTAGCCCGGATCCATGTAGGAACTTTTTATCTAGCTGGGCTACAGCTTACAGGACTTTTATTACAATTTCATTTTACTTACATACATGTAAGTAAAATACCTAAGTAGGTAGTACATAGGTACCTAACCTAATAAAATAACATAAAGCTCCAAGTTAATTCCCTTTCAGCAAAATTGGATTATCAAAGACCTGGAAAGAAAGGACCCAACTTTTTAAGATATACATATGCACGTTGTCGAGGACTGGGACGCCGGACCTTGAAAAGAAGCGGGTTTCGCCTTTAGGTACCTAAGTCCCGGACCCAGTGAGTTGTAATGTGTACCTGAAACTTTGGCCGATCTGTGCCTAGGTAGCGAATGTAGCGCGAAAGACCGTTGTACACTATAAAAATACCTAACCTACCTGGTACTTAACGTAATGACTTCCACTTCTAATTGTTAGGTACATACCTGTATTGTATATGAACTAATGTACTCGAGTTGCACCCACCCCCAATTAACCCAGGAATTACCTACCAGGTAGCGGCAACCTTGAACCCCAAACCCCAAACCAGAAATAAAACGAGAGGATACACGAACGACGGGTGACACACGATATATTATTCATACAATTCCGTCCAACAAAAAAAAAGGTAGATTGAATCCAACTTCCAACTTCCTTTTCTCACCCCTTACTTTTTTCTTGTTCCAATTTCAACCGACATCACTTTGACAGTCTTGTCGCATTCTACCCGCCACCTTCTTTGGCTTCTTTTGGTAGATTTATAGTGGGTAATAAGGACTAACAAGGACTGAAACTTTAGCCTTTCTGGCTGGTCTGGCTGGTCGCCTGCGTGGTATGCTGGTTGTAAGTGGTCTGGTGGTGTGCGCGCCTCTGTATTGTACTACTGTACAACGCTGTATCATTACTCACCCCCTTTGGTCCTTGGTGGACGACGATCACAGCCAAACTAAATAAACATCACAATCTCGCTATCTCGAGCCCGTCGGGTGGAAACTGGGCACACACAAGTAAACAAACAATCCCCTCCACGAAACAACTTGCACGAATATCTCTTACCCGAAACTTGAGCTATTACCTATACCTGGTACAATTTCCCTATCGCATTCGATACATGCCACGAGCACGCGACAGCAACCAAACCCCATCCGTAACCCATTCGTCTCATCAATTAACTTATTTTTCCTTTCCTTTTTTTACCTTTGGCTAGTAAATATTACTCGGCACTTTTTTTCGTTTCGAAATCGCCTATTTAACTTCAACTACTTAACAACAACTTCAACTACAACAACAACAACTACTACAGCAACTACTACTACTACAACGGACTAGAACCACCAACAGGTTGATGGTTTAGCTCGGCACATGTTGGTGTACCCCGCGAAATCACGCCCGACGATGGAGAACGATGCACATAATGAAGGACCCCGACGACGGGATCGTATAATGGGGAAGCTATTCGGTAGTAGCAGCGTGGCTAGGGACAAGAAATTAACCAACGAAGAGAGTGCGAACGAGATATCCGACTTTCTTGGTCACTCAGACCGACTTACCGTCGCTCACCCTGTTCCTCAGCCACCGCCAACTGCTGCTAGGGGTCCACCAGCTCTAGCTCTTGATACGTCCAAAGCTAGTCGCTTCCCCCAGACTCTGGGCGCCGAGGAGTCTCAGCAGTGGGCGAGAGCATATACCTCGTCCCGACCGAAGAAAGCTGGAAAGGGACTTTCTGTTCGGTTCGCCGATACTTACCCCGAGATCATTGGCGAAGGCGGCGACGAGTGCGAGACTATCGTAGCCGAGATCGGTAGGAGGAAGAGATCTAAATCTGCACCACTCCCGGCGCCGATCCCACCCACAAAAGAAGGTCACGAATATGCTAGGCAAGTTGGGGCATTTCAAGAGGTACAAAAGGAGGATGAGTTTATACCTGGCCCTATACGTCGGACCCAGACGGGCTTCTCCACCATCTCAGATTTCCGATCGGACGCGCCTGCGTCTGCCTCTATTTCTAATCCCGAACCGCCTAAGCCTCGTACCGTCCCGGCAGGTGATGCCTCCCGGTCCCGCTTCTTAGGCATTAGCAGTCAGAAGGACGAAAACCGCCGCTCGTTTATCGAGATTCACCAGCAGGAGCAGCGGAAGGCTGAAGGGATGGCGTTTGCAGAAGCAATGAGGTCTGCTAGCGCCAACTCTCACCACCAATGGGACGATCAGAATTCATCCCCCGAGCCGGTACGGGATACGCCACCGCGCCTCAAGTCGATTCCCGTACCAACCATGCAGGAACCGACACCGCCTCCGGAGAGATCCATGTCCCACCGAGAACATTCTTCCGTGTCACCTTCGCTACAAGATTCCATCTCCTCGGTATTGAGAACCCAGTCCACAAGGTCTCCCTTACGGCCATCGCCTATACCACAAACGCAAGTGAACACTGCATCGCCTGCGCCCCCTTACCACGAATCACCACAAGCCTCAAACTCGTCTTTGCCTCCCCTGCCTAGTCACGATGCACTACCAAACTTCGACATGGTACAGACTATGCCGCAACGACCCGTATCACCAGACGAAGTACGCGTCAAAACGGCTCATACTGGTGACAGCCCCACATCTATGTATTCCAACTCCGCCCAATCGACTCCCGATGTCTCTCACAAAGCGACACCGATTACGCGGAATCCTTCGCGCGGATTACCACCTTCGCCAGAGAAGACCGCCCGTAAACTCCAAGAAGTGGTAGTTTCGGCCGATGTCGATGCGCTGGACCTGTTTATAGTTCGCACGAAGCACTTGTATGAGTTGTTCCGTCTCCACGCCGAGCAAAAGAGGCCTCTAGGTACCTCCCACCCTGAAGATATGTGCCGAGCAGCTCTGTGGTGGTTCTTGAAAGGGAGAACAGCTCTGGAGACGATTATTAGAAGTCGTCCAGCTAACCCCGACGAGCCACGCCTTCTCATGGCCAGATATCAGGCCTATACGGATTTAGCAAAGGGATATTGGCTATTGGAACAAGCCCTTCCCGAGATTGCGGATGGCAAGTATAGTCCCGTAGATGGCGAATTGGGCGAAGTTAGGCATGTTTTAAAATCTAACTTGAGAAAACTATCTGGGTCTATGAAACGAAATGGTTTTCTACCACCCGAAGAGCCTTTCCTCCCGCAGACAATGGACAAGTCTATCTGGGTAGAATACCCAGCCGTGAGCCAAGATATAGTTGCCCTTCTCAATGGAATTTGGGGTTCAGTTGTTACCGCTGTAACTCAGCCAACTCGATCTATGGAGGCGCTGGAAGCTCTCCCGATTGGCGATACCACTAAGTATTTTAATTTTGGCCGTGTGATGACCAACGTATACTTTATGGAACAGGGTATAGACTCGAGACAGGCATGTTTCCCCTGCATGTTGACGGTTGTCCGATCGCAGAACGACCCGAATCTAAACTTCGTTATTGCTAGTCAAAACGGTTCTGTTTCGTTGCGCATACAGTCGGACAAGAATTCGGGTCTAACGTGGCAAGATGTTAGATGGAGACCAGACCCTCACGAGATACATATCAAATTGCCCCGAGGGTTCATGCTCATTGTCGAATGCTCGCAGCAGGATTACCGAATGCTATGGAGCATGTACGACTTCAGCTCCAAAGTCCAATCTTACCTATATCCGCGAAAGGACGAGGTCATGAAGCATAGCACCGTCCTCCGTGGCTTTCACTATTTCGATGCTAATCCTCAAGGAAGGACGTTCCCTAAGGAATCTGTAGGACAATGTTCTATAGGGTTATTCGAGAAAATCCTAAAGGAGAATAGTCCGACTGGGCCCAGAACCTTCCACCGAGGGTTTCGACTTGCCGTAGTCACCGGTCCCAGGATAAGGACGCTGAGCGGAGTAACTCATTTGTTCCCGCCGCAGCTCCCGATCCAGTTCGCCATGTTACGGGGTGAGCAGCGAGCACCTGTCCTCCAACTGGAATTCAATGACGGGAAGGACAAAGGCCGGATGGTTTTGACGTTCAACGAAGACCAGGAGCGCGAGAAGGTATTGAAAATGATTACGGGAACGTTTGTTAACCAGGACGAAGAGGTTATCGCGGAAGTTCCTTTGGAGGGTATGAACATGGCGGAAACGGTTAGCGACACAAAAGGAGGGCTTCCGGCCATCCAGCGTCTTCCTTGGCAGCGTGCTCGTATTATCAACGATAAATACTCGGAAGTCCCGCCGACGGTATTGGCGGAGAAGCTCAGAGTTGAGATCGAATCGTTGGGTAAAGACGGAGTTGGCGTGGTCAGCACCATTACGGACCGAGTCAACGTTGCGCCAGGCGAGCTGAAGCTCAGGCTGGGTACCAAGGACATTCTAACATTACAGGTTCTACGGCAGGCACAGGTTGATATGACGGTTTCCATACTAGAGACGCTCGTACCTCGGGAATCGCATCGCGAATTCCAAGGGTTGCAAAATACCATCCAACGTGGGCCAACTGTGCGTACCTACAGGTTTCCGAGCTTCCGGGACTTGCATGCATTCCAAGCGGGATTAACGGGATACTCGGTGCTATTTGACGGTATCGCTACAAGCCTGAACATCTCGCGACGAAGGATGGTGGTACCCATTCATAAGAAATGGGAGGCTGGTACTACGCGAGTCCAAGTGGTGCAGCAAGAAAAAACGGTTCAACTACTAGCCTTTTTTGAAGATTGGCACCACGGGCAGTGCATGGGATTCATACTGAAGGGAACGGACATATTCGAATCGTTCAACCGAAATGGGAAAGCGGGCTTGAAGCTAGCTGACGCCAAGTTCCCGTTGCCGAAGATTCCGCACGAAGGCGGTGATAAGACGGATGATATGGCGTTCCTATGTCTGGATATGCCTGATTTTGCCGGCGAACACGATGACATTACAATAATATTCGAGGATAGTTTTGGTAAGCTCTAACATATTCTGTCGATTTTTGTGCTTTTCTTTTTGGAATGGGTTGGTACTAACAAAAGTTATACAGAGAGGGATAGGCTTTGTTCTGTTCTACCAGCGCCAGTCAAAGGGTCGCGTCTTAGTAGGGGGAAATGAATAAGAGGGGGGGTTCGGGACGATTGAACGAGAAACATGATTGATGCAGACTGGACTGACTATCTGCATAATTTTGCACAAGAAAGGAGGTTGGACCCTTCAGTACCTAATGCTATGTTAAGATACCCCCTTTACGGTCATTCGTGCAAAAAGATGGGGTCGGCTAGGTGGCGTCCCATGAGGCGCAAAATAACACCCACACACACGTAGGGCCTCGCCGACGATGGGGTTTATTTTTGCATCTAGATATTGGTTGTTGAGGATAATTGGAACTGCCTGCATATTTTCTGTTGAAAAACTAAAAGGCTGGGGGGTTCCAAGATTTTTGATAGAAAACCCTCAAATTCGATCCAAGTCAGACCTCTTTCTCTCGTGGCTTTTTGTACTTGCTACATAGGTAGGGAAGAGTGTTATGTAGTCTGTATAAAAATGAAGTTGTAGAAACTTGCTTATTTAGATGGCTACCTACCGTACCGGCAGTTGGTGGTTGTAAATTATCATTGTCAGCCCAACAATCATATTTCTCATAACATCGCTTCCATAGGCGTTTATCATTGCAGATTAAAAAATCATTGTCGTTTCAATTATCATTGTCCGGTAGATAATCATTGTCTGGATCTGTAAGCTCTGATTGGCTGAAATATGTGGGTTTGCGGGAAAGTACGTATTTTTAAGAGCAAAAAAAAAAAAAAAGCTAAAACGCCTTGGATTCGAACCCAGGGATTAGCCTTACCACGTTACTAGTATGTGGAATTTTATTTTTGTACTACACCAAATTTGGAATAGTTTCAAATAGACTATACGCCCTAGTGGGTGGCCAGCCCGCTAGTGCATTTGGTAGTAAAACTCTATTCTTTTTCAACCCTTATAAACTTAACCTTTGTAACGTGATATTTTTAAAAAACCCCACCAATTATCATTGGCCGTACGATTATCATTGGCTGATCAATAATCATTTGCCTGACAACAATCATTTTACCTGAAAATAATCATTGTCTGAAACCATACTTTGCCGGTATGGTAGTCTCGGCCAAAGGAGATAAAAAAATGATGCACGGACTACCTAATTGACGTACGTCATCGCTTCTACCCCCTGAACCTCGTGGCCTGCAAGCTTAGTGGATAGGTACATCAGACTCTGCAGCTGATTCACCACCTGCCTACGCTCTACCTAGTCACTATCCCTTGCTCGTCACCAAATTAGGCACCGCTATTTGTCGACGATATTTGTTCGTTTACTTTCTCCTTCTCCTTCTTTTTCTTCTTTCTCATACATTGTAAAAATTACACTCTTCGTAACTCCTCATTTACTATTAGTTATTCTATTTCAAGGTTAGCTACAGCTTGTCGATTACTTTAGGAACCTTAGGCATTTAGGTACGTAACAACAAAAAAGTCGATCCTTGCTCGGGTTAGTGAGGTCATCGGTTAAGCACCCCTGCGGATTAGGGGTAGGTTTGCTGCGGTGTAAGTTACAAGGATTCCCTAATCGATAACAGCCCGAGAGAGAGACCTTTCCAAGCTTAAGGTTCAAGTGTGGGGAGAAAAGAAGAAGAAGTGAGAGAGGGGTACATCACTGTACTATTACCTATCACACAGCCCGCCGTTAAGGTCCTAGGTTAGGTACTAAAAAAACATAGGACTTTTATTAGTTAATTACTGATTTTACATAAGTTACCCAGCAGTTTTGACAAAAGGGCAAGGAGTTATTAAAACCAACCTTTTGGTTTTTGCGGCCCCTTCAGCCTTCCCAGCCCTTTGTCGATATTGTTTCGACAACCCACTTCCAGCAACAACACACACTCTTCTGCTGCAGCCCTTCTTTCAAGGTTAACTACCTAGACTTAATAATTCTTTTTATTAAACTTCTCCTATTCTTATTAGGCGCAATACCGATATAAAGAGAAAATGCACGCGGGGAAGATCACGTCGGGTTTAGCCCGCCGTCGCCGAACGCAGTCGAATGCTAGTATGTATTAACCATTTCCTTTTTTTTTCTTGCTTGCTTGCTCGCCCTTCTTACAAATGAGATATTGCGACTTTTGACTACATTTAGTTAGTAGTTCGTTGCATACCTCTATTCTTTGGATATTCTACGTTTTTAAAAAAAAGAATTTAAAAAAATAAAAAGAATAAAAATAAAGTAAAACCCTCTCAGGCGTATTAGATCACTAACATATATGCCACCACCCGCAGGTAGCAGATCGTCTGGGGAGGGCGTTGACGAAGATGATACCTCCATTATCGAGCCCGAACAGGGCAGCGGTAAGGCAGCTCGACGACATATGTTGCTATAACTGCAGCTAAACGACTTGGACAGTCTTAACACATATTATCTCGCAGCTACGGCCTGGCGCTGACCTCAGCCGCGTCGTTCTGCCTACGTTTATTCTCGAACCCCGAAGCATGTTGGAGCGGATTACCAAGTGCGTACCTGGCTCTATAGAATTATTTCTATTTAATCTACGACGGGAAAAAAGAAGAAAAAAAAAGGCTAATATTATAAAACTTATAGCTTCATGTGTCATCCGGAAATGCTCCTCCCCATCCCCGATATCGAAGATCCGGTCGACCGTTTTGTCTCCGTCGTCAAATTTTACCTTAGCGGATGGCATTTAAGACCACCGTATGGCTTCCCTCAACTTCTACCCTTATATTTTACCCTATAGAGCCCCACCCAATATCCGCTAACATCTGACAATAGAGGAGTCAAGAAGCCTCTGAACCCTATCCTCGGCGAAGTCTTCTCCTGTTACTGGGATCTACCTGACAAAACGCGCGCATATTACATTTCTGAGCAGACGTCCCATCACCCTCCAAAGTCGAGCTACTTCTACATGGCTCCCGACCACCATATCCGTATCGATGGTACCCTGAAGCCTAGGAGTAAATTCTTGGGCAATTCAGCCGCAAGTCTTATGGAAGGAATCGCCGTACTTTCTCTGTTGAATAGGGGCAAGGATCCTAAGCAAGGGGAAAGATAGTATGTGTGGCGACTCGGAGATTCTTATAAGTCATGTACTAAAAAGTATCTAGCTGGTTAACGCAACCAAACATGTACGCGAGAGGAATCCTGTTTGGCAACATGAAGTACGAATTGGGCGACCACAGTTTTGTGAGGTGTCCCGAGCTGGGCCTTACAGCCGATGTCGACTTTAAAACGAAGGGATGGGTCAGCGGTACATATAACGCGATTGGCGGCACGATAAAGGACGAAAAGACCGGGCAAGTGCTCTTCGAACTGTCTGGATTATGGAGCGAAGAGATGTTTGTGAAAGACCTTAGGGTGAGTAGCACGCGATAAGTGTTGGCTCGTCGCTAGCTGACGCTGTATAGAACGGACATAAGGAGATGTTTTTCGACGCACGAAAGGCGAAACCCTCGAAACCGCGCGTCCGACCGCTCGAGGAACAGGACGAGAGAGAGTCGCAGAAATTATGGCAGAAGACAGCGCAAGCGGTAAAGGACAGGAATCACGAGCTGGCGACGGACGAAAAGACCAAAGTCGAGGACCGACAGCGAGACGAAGCAGCGAGTAGAGCAGCTGCAGGTGTAGAATGGCATCCGAGACTATTCCGGCGGGTAGATAAAGACTACGGCGGTACGGGAGAAGACGTGGATCACTTAGAATGGGTTATCAACGCTCATATGTGCGTGGTGCCCCCTCCCCCCGTCCCCCAGATGATGACCGGCCATCTTTTGAGGCAACATCTACTGACTCTCAGATCTAGCGATGCGACAACACCCGAGAAACAAGCCGAGGAGATCATGGCGATATACCCCGTAATACCCGGGCAAAACTACAGCGATTGGAATAAGATCCCCCCGGGACATACCCACGGTCAGAAACAAGCTTCGGCTCCTCCCCAAGGCGAGACGCAGGACCTAATCGACTTCGGCCAGAACGATACTAATACGCAAGCTCAGACAAACAATAATTTTACTACTACCACTACCACTACCCCCACTACCACGTCGCCGTCGTCATCGTCAGCTCCGCCTCCTCCTTTTCTGCTCCAGAAGACGGACAGTAAGGATATCGCTTCGATGCTGCAGGCTACGGGCCGTAAGGCGGACGACGGGCCCTTGCTCGATTTCACTACCGACCTATCGCCGGCGCCGGCGGCTGCGAAGAAGGAAAAGGAAAGTACCCTGAAGAAGGAGGATACGGATAGCAGTAATAATGTGTTCTTCGACGCCGAGGGATGAGTTGGTGCGATGTGCGGGTGTAGGTGAAGAGTTAATACCTACAGCGCAATACCAGGGGAAGAAAGTCCGGGTCCGGTGATATTTTTGAACCTCCTTGGTCCCCGTCGCTTTGGGATTTGCCGCAGCCTTTGCTACTTTTTTCTCGCCTGGATCGACTTTTATGTCCTTTTTTTTCTTCTTCTTGGGCTCGTGGGGATATAGAGAGAGAGGCATTCATTCATGCATGCGTGAGCTGAATTACATAATTATTCACGATTGGCTGCTGGGATGATTGATTCCCTGTGTTATTTTTGGTTGCTACTGCTAGGTGCTGCTACGTCCTTGGGTTGGGTTCGGGTTTGGCTTGGCTTGGCTCGGCTGGGGAGAGGGATAAAGAGTGGTCTAGAGGTGGTGGGTGCATGCTGCATGTAGTAGGTATCTCCATATTTGCTTTCCGACCATAGGGGGGTAAGGCAGGGTAAGGCAGAAAGAGGGCAGAGGGCAGAGTAAACAGGACAACGGGGAGCTGGCTAACCACTGGGTTTAGAGTCGGTAGACTAGGATAGATATAGTAAAGTAAGGGAGGAAAAGAGAAGAGAAGAGAAGACCCTGTTTAATGAAGTTGATAAACCAACGGAGTCTTTCTTTCGTGGAAACATCATATGATAGCTAGCTACCGTGTAAGGTCAGTAACTGGTATTGATGTTGTGATTATGACTATAGCATTCACTGGCAAGGCTGTCCATACGCCAAAATCAGACAGATGGTATGTAGGTTAGGTATTTACCGTCTTTATTTGGAACCCTCCTTGTTACCTAATACCTAAGGTTAGGGGTCGACTACCTAACCTATCTACCTGTTAATTGAACCGAGTAGTTAGTTAGTACTTGTACATATTATGAATTTGCTCTGAATAAGATCAACTCCCAAATCCCCCCCTTTTCTTAATACCGTCCAGCACTCTTCATAGGTAAGATTATAGGTAAGAGGTACCTAACATTAGGTTAGGACCGAGAGAAGAATCGTATCTTTGCCTATGTGTTTTTTTTCCCTTTCTTTCCTCACTCACTCACTCAGCATTTCCTCTTTCTTTGGTCGTAGTGACATGACGTAAACATACTAACGTAACGGTGTTAACGCAGCAGCAGCAGCAGCAGTAGAGAGAGACGAACCGGTCCAAGGGTATATAATATCATGATAGGTTAGGTAGGTAGGTACCTAGGTATCTAATACCGAATCCTGCGTGTATGCTTTGGTTGCGAGCGCGTCTCTTCTTGCTTCCTCCTCGTATTCGGCGTATTCTTCTCGCTCATCTCATCTCATCCCATCCCTAGTATTAATAGAATCGCGCTGATATGCTTTCCTCTTCTTCCAACCTCCCCCTTCCTCTTGGTACTGGAACTTAATTTTTCTTTCTCTTGTTCTTCTTCCTCTTCTTCTTCTTCTTGTTATTGTATGAATCTCGGCCCAAGTCCTAAATTTCCCTCGGCACTTGAACAACTCCCCCTTCGTTTCTCCCGAGTAACAAAAAAAAAAAAAAAAAAAAAAACCACAACCACCACCACCACCTGCTTAATTCAATACCTCTTCCTCGTCGGCTCCGGGCTCGGGCTCCGACTCACGCTCTTCTCGTCGCGGCCCCTCATCTTCAGCCACTTCTTCGTGGAGAGGGAGAGCTCGCGCTCGAGCTCGGGCGAGGGGTTCTTCCTGTGGATGAAATTACAAAAGCCGCCGCGCACGCACCCTTCGCCGCTGTTGAGGCGGCAGCAAGCCTCGCGGAAGTCGGTGACGGGGCTGAGCTCGCAGTAGACGGGGCGGCCGGCGTACCAGCGGGAGTTGAGCTCGTCGCAGGCGCGCTGGGCCGAGTCCTCGTACTTGAAGCGGGCGTACACGTTGCCGACGAGGTGGTCGTTGGTGTTGTCGCACACGACGAGCTCCTCGAGCTCCCCGTACCGGCACAGCTCGCACCACAGGTCCTCGTAGAAGGCGTCGAAGTGGTTCGCGCACTGCTCCGGCGTCAGCCGCGCCCGCGCGTCGTGCGCCGGGTTCTGGTACAAGGACGGCAGCAGGATCGTCTGCGAGTACGACGGCTTCACGTGCTTCCGGCTGCACCGGTCCCCGTGCCGGCACGCGCCGATCTTGTAGTAGAACGAGCAGTTGACTTTGTCTTGCTCCGTGCCGAAGATGGAGGCGAGGAAGTTGGCCATTTTGGGCGGCGGGGGATTATTATCTCGGTTTTGCTTCTTTTCTTTTCTTTTCCTTTTTCTTTCTTGCTTTTCTCGCGTTTGTCTGTCTGGTCGATTGTCGGATCGATTACTTTATTTACTTGATGTAATAGTAGACCGCTCGGTTATCAAAGATGTCCAGTATTCGACAAATTTAATCGTGAAATATCGCGTTTCCTATTCCCGATGATCGCAGTGATTAGTCGGATTCGTTCGTTTGGTGGTGGTTGTTGTTGTTGTATTTGGGGGGGAAAAAAGCGAAATTTCCAAGATGGAAGTTCTTCTGGTCTGGAAGTGGTAGAATTCAGAAAACGGGCTGGGAAAGATAAAGTTTAGAAGCTTTGGGAGAGCATTAAGTGGAGCCGGGGTGCAGTTACCAAAAAAGCTTGGCGCGGACAAGGCTGACCAATCACAAAAATGATAAACTCTGAGCTCCAACGTCTGGAATGCGCCACTCGCCACATCTAGATACTTCCACCGCCACAACCTTCGAGGTCTAGACATCAATTGAAGCCAGTGATTAATCAGCTTCACCTGTTACAACTTACAGCGTTGGCATAATCAAATATCCATAATTAGGTAGTCAAGGAAAAGAACCATCTCATCCTCTTCACCTACCTCTTCCTTACAAGATACACGATTACTTTAGGCCTACCACGAGCCATATAAAAAAAAATGAATAAATGTATTAAAATGTACTAGTTTAAGTAGTCGCCTAGTTAATCAACGCTTGGGTCGTCCGTCGAACGTTTCTATCCGGTCCGTATCAATATCAAAATGGCGATACCTCATAAATATACACCATATACTACCTCTACCCAATGAATCCGAAAAAAAGGTAATATGTATGTATCCCCAATAAACACCCGCTGTGTTATCCTATCCTATCCTTCCTTATCCCTCCAACTCCTTTCTTAGTTTCCCCCCGTTCTTATTATGACGCTGGTCCCCGATATCCCCGTGTACCTAGAATGAAAAAAAAGCAAGGCTCATGTGTATATGCTCTAAAGCGCTAGATGGGGGAGAAAAATAGATATTAAATAATTTTTCTTTCCGTGGTATAACCAACCACGTGGTGAAAATGATGAATGAAAGCCTGTAGTAAAGAATCTGTTCGATTTGCGAAGCCACCGAGGGGAGAAGAGATTAAGTACCCTGGTGGCCGGATGCCATGGAGCTAGGCATGCAAGCATCCGGCACGATTGTCGAATATGAATGGGCCTTCCCCGCCCACCGTGGCGGAACCAAAGATGCTGCACATGCTCCGAATCGTCTTTGGATGTAGGACAAGGTGTGACATATAAGGTATATATATATACCTAGATACACTATCGAACATCGGCAGTTTTTTCTTTCTTTCTTTCTTTTCGTTTTAGACGATGTTGTATACCCTCTTCGCGATGATAAAGCACGCCAGTCCGAAGGCGAGTAGTCCTGCGGTGATACCGAAGAACCACTTCAGATCGCCTTCGTACTCCTGACCGGGAACCCAGACGTTCATACCCCAGAGGCCGGTGATGATGTTCATGGGCAAGACGATAGTACCCAGGACGGTGAGCTTGCCTAGGACGTCGGCCGTCTTCTCTTGTCGCTCGTTCATGCTGATATTAATCTGCGCGATGTAATTGGCGTGGCAGCGGGCGAGGATCCTGCTCAAGTTAGTTATATTTCTGAGGGAGGACAAGAGAAACTCGAAACTGACACCTCATAGTGACTAAGGTTGGTCGTCATAGTCACGATATGATCTTGGATATCGCCAAGATACAGTCCTATTTCGGATCTCGGGGCAACTTCCCAGTGCTCGTTACAACGCTTTGCAAAGCTTTTGATGACGTCCGCCTTATTTCCCAAGAGTCGATATAGAGTCATGACCTTCTTTCTGCAATCGCCGATGCGGCGAAGCATATTTCCGCCATCATCCGGATTCGCCTCCGTGCCTTTCTCGTCATCCTTCTGCTTCTTCTCGTCGGGGGATATGGATGGATCAGAGGAAGAATGGAACTGTAAGATCTTGTCGTCGATATCGTCCACCTCCTCTTCGATATTCTGGATGAGCGGTAGATAAACGTCCGTGATGTCGTCGATAATTGCGTAACTGATCCAGTCCGCGCTGAGGATCATGAAATCCTTAAGTTGGCGAACCCTGCGCCGGACGTTGGCAGGGTGCGGGGTCTGGCCGAAGTGAAACGAGATAACACCTTCGCGGAACACCACGACGTACATGTTGATCGGCTCTAGGTGGCTCTCTGATTCGGCGTCTTGATCGAATGTTCGATAATTAACAAAGTAGTAGTTTCGGAACAGTTCAACCTTCTCACGCTGTTCTTGGAGCATGATATCTTCCGAGGTCAGAGGATGAATCGCGAATGCCTTGGAAATCACCTTCATCTCTGATTCCGTGGGGTTCAAGACATCCAACCACCATACGGGACGTTCGCCGTATCGCGGTTTCTTCTCTCCATCCAGACGGTTCAGAGGTGATTTGATACCGGAGGATGAGGATTTCGACCTCATTGGACTTGGACTGGGGTTGCCTGAATTATTCCTAGAGCTTGCCGAAGTCGACACCTGCTGTCTAGAAGTGGGACCTAGGTTGTGATCGGACGTTGGATGGTTTGGTATAAAAGATGGCTGACGAGAGGATCCTCTGGTCGTTGCGCCGCCGTTCCTGGTGGCACTAGGGACTTGCGTAAGAGGTTCGTCGTCATCCTCGTCGTCGGACGAATCAGACAGAAGTGGAGGGTCCGGTAGGAAAAGCTCTTTGAAACCTGCGTCTGGTTGGACAAGCTCCGATATGGTCTGACTGTGGATTGTGCTTTGGAATTCCTCGTTGAAGTAGGTGAATCGATACGGGGCCTCTTCCTCTATTCGATACCAGCCTTTATGAACCGGCCGTAGCCGACCGTTTATTAACTGCGGCTCTGTGATTCTCTTCATTCGTCGTTCTTCGCTACGGTCCTCCTTCTCTATCCTAGACCATTCTTCGAGTATGGCCAAATCCGGCCACTTGTTTCGTCTCCTACGCCGGGTCCGAACGTTGCGATCTCCGCGAACTCGCTGAGCGTCCTCGTCGGCCATTTCCGACATTTCCTCTTGAGGGAAGCAGACATCTTCCTCTGCCTGTAATGTGATGGTATGGCGCCTGTCGAAAGGTGACTGATCGCGAATCTGGGTATTGTTTAGTTCGAGTATACTATTACGTCGAGTAGCATCCTCTGCAAGGGGATCCAAAGGGCCCAATGTCGGCGATCCTGGGATGGAAGGTGGATAATTGACGTTATATCGATCGGATGGTGTCATGGGGGCTCTCTGTGACTTCCTGCCTGATCTGCTGGAAGCGGGACTGCTTGCGGATGTGTCGTTTCGTCGTCGTCCGTCTCGTGAGCCGTAGTCTCGCGACCTTGGCAGGTCCTGGCGAGGAGAGGTTGATAATAAAGGTACCGTCTCTCTATTTTCTTCCCGCATGTCCTCGTACCCGTGGCTCTGGCTGGCCTGCATTATGCGCGACCGATTCGATTGCGGCATGTGAAGGGAGGCCGCGAGAGTGGAGGGTCGCCGCGGGCGAGGATAATGATGTTCTCTATATTTGAATCAGTCATTATATTACATTACGAGCGATATGGATTGGCAATCATAAACGCACCTGTGGTCAAGAAGAAGTGCTTCACTGTCGATACTTGTATTGCTTAGGTTCCTCCCACGCATGTAGAAACCAGCTCCGTCTCCGCTGTGGCTGGACGGAGTTGTATCTTCGTCCGGATTGTTATCTGGGGGAGCAGCGAATGACTTCCGTCTTGCTTTCTTGTGCTTTCGTCCTGGGCGATGTTTTTTCTTTGGTGTTTGGTTGGTTGACGCTGTCGCATCGGACGAGACGGAGGGGTCAGCTGGAGCGCGAGAGGAATCGAGGATTAAAAACTGATTACTGGACATGACGAAGAATACGCAATCGCTTGTAGAAGAAGGGGAGAAAAAAAGTATAATAAGGAAGAAACGATATGTTGCTCGGCGACAGAACGCTCGGGGATGAAGTTGAACTAAGGGTGTTTGAAGCTTGAGCTTATTCCTAGGTAGCTTTTCTAAGTTCCTTTTAAACTGTTTAAAGCATGCCTTATCCTTTTAGATCCTTAGCAAAGTCCCTCGGTGGTGATGTCAATACCTACCTAGGTACCTACTAACCTAAGGTAGCAAGTAAGCACGTTAAGGTGGGTACTTTTGATAAGTTGTACCTTTACCTTTACCCTTTACGGGTTACTTATGCAAGGCCGGTTGCTGCCGGTGGAATTCAAGACCCCAGATGAGCTTGAGCCGTTGAGTCTTGACTTCCCGGGAAAACATACGGCCCCCATAAATGTCTCTCTATTCAGGTTCTAATATCCAAAATTCAAAGTATTGGGTTTATTTGTGTTGAAGAAAAAAAAGGTCTGCTTTTATTTACGGATCTATCGGCCTCGAATGAGCGTATGACAATGTACAACTGCAGGACACACAACGTGTACATCATGCCAACCCTGTCTAGTCTAGCCTAAGGTATGCAAGCTTCGGGAAGCCTTGGTAGAAACATTTAAGTGGGTAAGGTAACTTTAAAAGGCTTGCATTAAAATGCTGCAGTACGTATGTCGAAGCCACCAGTGCAGGCACACCCGTACATAATATTTAACACTGGCCTAATGTGAATAGGTATAAGATTTGTGTCACGTTCGGGTCTGTTTGCAGACTAATACGGAGTTTGAAGTCAAAATGTGCGGACAACACCACCTCTCAGTTTATATGTAAACAAATAAATAAACGAATAAATATAGTAAACAGTGCATTGGCTCAGATATTGCTTAGCTGTACTTTCATAAAGAGGCACGGCTTGCTCTCGAAGTTAATGACGGCACCTCATAACCCATGATCTGAGGAGTTAGACTTGGTTGGAGCTATATTAATTGGAGCCTACGAGAACGGTAGGTTGTTTATGTCTTGTAGGCTGTAGCACTCGGTTCTAACACGCAGACACGTAGATGTAGGTACGATAACCTACCTGTGTAGCCCGTCTCGCCGGTAAACAACGTATCTCGTATCTTGTTTATATGAATCAAAATATCCCGCCAATTGATAGTACTGTGTGTTGCTCTGTTGAACTAGTGCTAGTAAAATGATACGACCAATGCTCGGGTGTACGAAGGACTGTGTCCTACCAATTAGGATACGAAGCGACAAATCGTCCGAGAGTAGAGTACCTACCTCTCAGTATATTCCAAGTACGACGTCAAATATACCCGTCTAACTCTCAACCTGATTCCTCCAGTATGAATTACACATACAAGCTTGGGTACTCGAGATGGATAAAAACTCTTGACACTGAAAATAAGTTTATATTGTAAATTTTAATATCCGACGTTGCGTATCGCACGCCGCCCCATCTTATTCTCCTATAGCACGCCAATCATTTTATTATATGCAGTACCTAACGTAGTAATACGAGTCCTGTTCCCCCTCAAACTCGAAATGGAGATTGGGGGAGGGAGCGATGCCTTTGTGTTCCGAATGCCTGTGCCTGAACCGTAACGTAACCTGAACGCCAACTTCCAACTGTCCGTGTGTGTCGGGGGTATGAGAGAAAATTCGACAGGAAAATGAACTATACCACGTGGCTACCAAAGGTCGCTAACTAACGTCTTTGGGCCATCATGCCAGCTCTTAGAGCTAGGATCTGCTGGCGTTCCGTCTCCGGGAGCTGATCGATCATCTCCTGCGATAAGTTCATCACCGCCTGCATCAGGGCTTCCGTGTCTTGCGGCGCCGCGGCTACAGGTGCGCTAGCTGCGGGAGGCGCATAAGCAGCCTGAGGAGCCGCTACTGATGCGGGCGGCGCATAGGCTACTGCAACTGGAGGAGTGACCGTCGTAGCACCCGTATATGCGGGAGGAAAGCCAGGTACTGGCTGCTGAACCGGAGGCGGTGCAGCCGAAGAATCGACAACGGAATGTATAGCTTCGGGAGATACGAGACCCATCAACAACAGAGCTTGAAAGATAGCGTAAGATAGCTGTGGCGCCTGCTGTAATAGTTCCGTCGCGCGGTTCGGGTCTGTCGTCGCAAGCGACTTCATCTGAGAAAGGATATCGAGAAGCTGACTAGGGGGCAGAGTGTTGAGAGTTCTCGAGATAGCATCAGTGGCGCTCACTCCAGCAGGCAGTTCTTTTCCTGGAGGCAGAGAAAGTATTGAGCCCGTGGGAGCAGGTTGAGGAACGATATACGAAGCGCCATTCGCGGGTTGGCCAGTAGTGGTGGATGCGCTGTTAGAGTCATCACCGTCGACCCGACCTTCCGTGCTATAGTCTACACGGAGCTTCCGGCCCATGATCTCGTAGTCGTTCAGGTTTCGAACTGCTGAGGCTGCCGAGTCTAGAAGGGAAGAGAAGCAGTAAGTATACTAGGTATAACTATATATAGTTAATCGTAGTAGAGCGATGATGTCCTTACCTGCATCGGGATATTCCGCAAATCCGAAGCCCTTAGGACGCCCTGTATCCCGATCGTAGACGAGGCGGAAATTCAGGACTTTACCAGCGGTGCTGAAGATATCCGTGATCTGCTCTTCCGATAATCCATAGGGAATGTTTCCGACGAAGACGACACGCGACGGCTGTTTCGTCGACATTGTTGCCGACAAGAGATTCACAAGCTACTTTTTGGGAGAAGAGGGAAGATATACTGCGAATGAGAGGGAATGACAGGGTATTATTGATGAGACCAATTGGCGCAATTGCGGAAGTAAATTGGCCAAGCAAAAATGGTATTATGTACTTAGGTAGTTAATGGTTTAATGGAAGGTAGGTAAGGTCTGCCAGGTCTGCGTCGGTTAGAAGGTAGGTAGCTTTGAGAGGCAAAGAGGATCGACGTTTTTGGTTATCGATAAAGTCCAATGCTAAGTCGAAGTCGCGTTGGGCGTTGGCGGACGCGAAGCACGGGCCGCTTCCATACCTGGAGCGGATGAGCCAGGTTAGGTAGATCAGGTTAGGTACGTACCTTAGCTTGCTCCATTGAGCCTTAAATCCTTGGTAACGGTTAGGTCATTGGGTAAAACTTCAACCTTAACCTTCGGAGGGGAAAAAAAAGGTCGGATCACTATTGGCTGGAGTTAAGAGCTACCTTCTTTTTCAATGTTGTAGTACCACGACTTCACTTTATACTACTACATCACCAACTAAACTGCTATTATTCCCAATTGACATCGCGCAAAGCTGCCCAAGATGTCGCGCAATCCAATGGACGACTATATGCAGAGAATGCGAACCATAGTGCGCCAAAACCGTGGTGCATTCCCCGGTGGTCGCCCTCCCCAAGGTGCGGGTATGGCATTAGCTGCACTCGGTTTAGTCGGTGGTGGCCTTTTTCTCCTGCAGAACTCCATGTTCAACGTCGACGGTGGTCACAGAGCTATCAAGTACCGGAGAATAAGTGGTGTCAGCAAGGAAATCTATAGCGAAGGTCAGTCCGGCCCGTCCGGTGTTTTCCCTAACCTCTATCGCATTATAAAGTAATAATAATACCCTTGCTCATACGCCTTGGTTTTGTAGGAACCCATATTATGATCCCTTGGTTTGAAACTCCGATAACTTACGACGTGCGAGCGAAACCGAGAAACGTTTCGTCTCTTACCGGCACCAAGGATCTACAGATGGTTAACATTACTTGCCGTGTTCTTTCCCGACCTAATATCGAGGCGCTCCCGCAGATCTACAGGACGCTCGGTCAGGACTACGACGAGCGAGTGCTACCGTCCATCGTAAATGAGGTTCTGAAGAGCGTGGTGGCGCAGTTCAATGCTAGCCAGCTGATCACGCAGCGAGAGAGCGTTGCCAAACTTGTTCGGGATAACCTGTCGAGGCGAGCCGCCAGATTTAACATCTTATTAGATGATGTCTCCCTTACGGTATGTTGAATGCGTACCTATCGTCTTAAGAGTATAGGACAGATTAGCTAATATTTGTTTATAGCATCTTGCTTTCTCCCCGGAGTTCACGGCCGCGGTTGAAGCGAAGCAGGTAGCACAGCAGGAGGCCCAGCGAGCAGCTTTCGTCGTCGACAAGGCGAGACAGGAGAAGCAGGCTATGGTTGTGAAGGCCCAGGGTGAGGCACGATCAGCCGAGCTTATCGGAGAAGCGATCAAGAAGAACAAGGCGTATGTCGAGTTGAAGAAGATCGAGAACGCCAGAGCCATTGCCGCTCAGATGCAGGAATCTGGTGGCAGAAACAGATTGCTGCTCGATGCCGAAGGTCTTGGACTGAACGTGTTTAGCGATGACCGTAACGGCAAGTGATGGGGACGAAAGGCTAGGAGCAGCTGGAATCTCCACTGTGTGTTTTTTTAAAAAAAATAATACTTGTAAAATACGAATTTACGACTGGGTTCCCGCGTTCCCCGTTCCTATTAAGGATGGTTTCTCGCTCATTATCGACTTGTTAAGCTGGTGTTTGTTGTAATAACGGCTAGTCTCGGTAGGAAACATGAACAATGCTTTATCCCGTAAAAAAACAAATAGGCATGTAGACAAATCCCGTCTCAGCTTATAAATAGAGGGAAGGCTATTTCATAAAGATATGAATATTTAGTCATCTACGCTGGCATTATACTAAGAATTTTAAGCTGCTTAAGTATACCTAATACCTAGGTGCAATAGTGCAATTCGATATATCTTAGGTAGGTCTACTATATGTACCTGTGATGCGAGCACCTGAAGTGCTTGCTTCAGGCGGGGCTAATAGAGGTATGTAAATACATACTAGCAGGTAACCCCACTTCAGGTAGCACACCAACACCCCACCACGCCCGCCTACCGCCCAGGTACCTCTTGTCCGTACCTCTCTCCCCCGTCACTTATCATAGGTAACCTTAACCAGCCATTACCAAGTCGCAAATTATCGAACATCTTATTCCCATTTTCTTCCGCCATAACACCGCACGCGCCCGCAAGAGCCAACGTCTTCGGAACTCACACCCCAGTCTAGATCACTAACTTTTCTTCTCCCTCTCGTCACCTTAACTTACACAACCGCCAAGATGATGATCAAGTAAGTCGTCCTTCTTCTCATAACCAGGTTCCACTTGACTGTCTCGTCAGATCAGATCGGACGGACGGACGGAGCTAACACCACGACACAGAGTGAGAACCCTTACGGGCAAGCTGATCTCGCTCGACGTTGAGCCTACTTCCAAGGTACGTTCGTTCTACGTCTCTTTTCTATTCGTCTCAAGGAGCGGCGATTAGCTAGGTGGCTAGCTGTCACCTACTGTCCTTGTCGTCGTCTCGTCTTACTTCTATTCCCACCGAGGAGGAGTAAGTAAGCAAGCAAGCAGACAGATAGAATAGACAGACAGACATATGCATACATCTAAAAACTTCAGGGAAGTAAAGCAAAGCTAACTGACGTACCTATCTCCACAGATCGAGGATGTGAAGAAGAAGGTGGAGGAGAAGGAAGGAATCACGCCCGACCAGCAGCGACTTATCTACGGCGGCAAGCAATTGTTCGTCTCTCTCCTCTCTCTGCCTCCCATCCTCTCTCCCTCCGTTTCCACCAAAATAAAACAGTTATAACTAACATCTCATCCCACTCCAGACACGACCAATTAACCATGACCGAAGCCGCCATCGTCGCCGACGCAACCCTACACTTGGTCCTAACGCTGCGCGGCGGCCGAGAATAGAACCTCTATTCTTTCTTCCTTCCTTTTCTCCCTCCCAAACCAAACTCTGGCCTCTGTCCCCCTCCATCTGCCTCTCCAAACTTGACCAGTGCCGCTCTCCCGTCGCATTGCGCAGCCTACTACCTACCCACTTAGGTACCCAAACCTCTACGCATACTTCTTAGACCAACGAACAAGAAAAAAAAAGGACCTATAGTATCACCTCACCTCACCTTATCTTACCTTGCCGACGAGTTCTACCAAGCAGGGAAACAAAAAGAACAGAACAGAACAGAGAAAACCCCGAAAGACCGTTATGGGCCTCCCTCGAGGCCTTAGCAGGTAAAATACAAGGGGAGGTATCAACTACTACATTAGGTTAGATACTTTTACGTAAAAGAGGAACGGGCTCTAAGGTTGTTATGCTTACCTAGGTATCTATTATCTAGAGGTAGTAGACTTTGGGCCAAAGACGTTGGAATGACATTACGTTACATACATGTAGTCACTGCTAATAGACCACACAAGTACAATACAATACAAAACAAAACACACACGGGCCGAACGCGCAGACGCGTGCTTAGAAGATACCTAAGATGATGTGGCGTGGCGTTCTGGGTTCGATATTTAGGTCATTACTAACTTAGAAAACTGACTGTCTACTGTAACTAATCCTCCGAGTGGTGGCCCTCTCATAGCGCCCCTGAGTAGAATATACCAAGACGGGACTTTCATCGCGGCGTAGTAAATAATATGAACAAGTTTCAAATATACCTACCTAACCTAACCTAAGATCTAAGATAACCCACCGTGATTCGCTCCAGTCAGGTAGAAGAAACGCTTACGCTTGTCTTTAAAAAAAAAACTCAATGAATTTCACTCTAATAAGATTGCAAAAACGCAACATGCCTTATCCACCGCACCGCTCTCTCTTCTTGTAGTACATATGTTAGGTAGTGTACAATCTAGCCACCAAGTCCCTGTTGGCGCGTGTCTCTCCGCCTAGCTTGCCACGGCGGCATCGACGAAAGACGGTGAATATTAATAATGCTGTCTATACTTAGGTAGGTAGGTAGGTACCTAAGACAACCAATTCTCTCTGTGCTATGCTGCAAATGCTTTCTAGAGATACATAAAGAAAGCGCATCTGAATCCGTAATGAAAAAAAGAAAAAGAAAAGCACCGTGGGATAATAATAACAATCCTTCCTGCAAATGCCATAGCCCCCAACGCCGTGTGAAAGGATTTCTCATATCCTCCCTATGGAGGCTGAAAAAAAAAAGAAGAAATCGTTGTCCAGAGAAGTTAGGGAGGGGGAGAAACCCCGGTATCATCGTTGTGCTCGTCTGGTAGCAGAGCATCACCCTTTAGATAAAAAAGGGGGATTCTAAAAAGTGGTCGAAAGGAGAGAAAAGAAAAAAAACATCGTAGGATAAAAGTCCATGCAGCCAGTCCCACGTATCTGAGCGACGTTCCGCATTTTGACGATTCCTTAAACGAGTAGGTAGTGTTTGGTTCTGAAATTTGTAGTGCGAGACATAGATTGCCTCCCCTTACGACATTCGTCGGCTTTTCGGCTTGGGCTTCATGAAGATGCTAGGAGGTTCCTTTCGCTTCTGTCCGAGGATAGGCGGCTTGGGTTTGGGTTTAGTAGCGTCGGCGCCTGAGCTACCGGAGGCAGACCCAGTCGCAGGAGGAGGAGGAGGATACGAAGAGGGCGCTTTTGAGGGCGCCGATGGTTTCAGGGGAGGCGAAGCCGCCGTGGCCTTTCTTGGCGGCGGAGAAGATGCTGTTGGTTTAGAAGACGGGTTTTGCGTAGGCGTCGTCACGGGAACAACCTTCATAGGCTTGTTCTTCCAGGAAAGGCCCATCTTCATTTTCGCGAGGCTGGATAAGCCAGAAGTGCGAGAAGGGTTGGGACCCGGCGCCGAATGGTTAGAAGAAGATGGCATGTTCCGAGGAGCTTTGGCAATCTTGGGGGCGCTAGATGTAGAAGGCGCGTCATCGTCGAAGAGGTCCTCAAGCTCGTCGACACTTAATCCTCCTCCTTCCTGAACCTCATCATCATCATCGTCGTCGTCGTCGAATTGATTGTCTTCGTTAAGCTCGTCGTCTGAGAGAATAGTAGCTTTCTTCGTAGTAGTTCCGTTCTTCATCTTTAGTAACCGAGCCTCGCGTTCCTTCTGTTCTCGGTCCTAGCGCTCTCCGGTTCGCGACTGGGGCGCTTGAATTCTCCTTGGGGTAGGCATAGTAGGAAGAGATTTGATCCGATGTTCCTCTCGCATACCAAGCGGAGCTTGAATAATTTGCCCCTGTCGAACGGGTAGTTGGCCGGTGGGGGTCACGAGCTTGTTTCGGCGACTGATTTCGGCGGCTTCTCGTCTAGCTTTCTGCATAATGCTCCGAGCCGATGTTGTCTTGGTCCGCGATCCACCACCCCATCGAAGGCCGCCCGCGCCAGGAACATCTCGCCCGCCCAAACCTTTGCGACGACCTGGGGCGGGGCCAAGGATCTTCGCGTCGTAATTGATCACTGTGCTGGCCTTCTCCTGCTTCTCCTTCTTAATGGTCTTCAGGCTAGAAGTCAGCTTCTCCAATGCGATGCGCTTTTCCTCGACCTCGATCGCCTTGTATTTTTCGTAGACTTTGTGCCATAGTTTAGGGTCGCGGGGTTCGAAATTGTGCTTCTTTACTTGACTAGGGAAATGTCGGTTTATGAGGCGCTGCCAACATTCGGCGTCATCGGGTTGGATGTGGGGAGAATTCTCTTCTATCTCTCGTAGTTGCGCAGCGTTATCAATCTTCATAAGGATGGGGCGAACAAGACCGTAGGGAGTGGATCCCACGTCGAAGATATCTATATTGAGGCCCATTATGTTAGAGTCGGTTGCGAAATTTTGGTACGAGTAACAGGGACGGGACTGCGTGCGGTGTAGAAATTGAGGGGAAGATGCAGTATTAAGAGTGAAAGAGATTGGCACAGTAGAAAAAAGATGAGGGAGGGATGATAGTGAATTGTGAAGCCCGACAGTGATTGGAATAGTGATTAGAACAGTGCCAACGTTGGAACAGTGAATGAGATGAAAGTTAAACTTGCCTCGAACATTTTTAATGCACACAGCGGTACATAAATCAACCAAAGTTTTGACCATTGTTGCTTTGACTTCTAAATGACAAAACAATGAAAGCTTGTAGCCACCTTGTCCTAGCCAAAGTTGCGAATAGCCAGTTCGCGAACTCGATTTGTTTATTCTCCTCGTTTGTCTGTGTTTACTCCAGTTATATTAAGTAATGGAGTCCAAGGAAAAAGTTATGACGCAGGTGTTGAAGTCTTGAATTTAGATCTCAGTTGCGAATATATTTGATCAATATTCACATGATGGGTCAGGGGTCGATGACCCTCTCTGAAGGACAGCCGAGTAAATGTGGAGGGGGAAACTTCGTGGTTTATATATACGACTCAATTATAATTTAAACTTTGGGAACTGGCCAATTCGGTACCGTCTAATGCGCTGTTATTGTTGTCGTTGTTGTTGTCCTCAGTGGGATACTTTCGTGGCTCGGATCATCCAGGCGAATCAAGGTTAGCTAGTAGTGGCGACGGCGCGTTAGAATTATTAGAGTAGTATAAAAGTGAGAAGAAACACGGACTATATAGTAGGGTTGAAATATGATTAAAAGCTGATGGGGTGGCTGTTTTGAAGCTCCAGTACATTGTTTCTATACTCATACAAAGACTTTAAAGGGAAAGATGTAGTAATGAAGTTGGAGTTGAGGCTGATTACGTGGGTCGCTGATCACTGATATGTACATAAACTAGCTCTGTTATGTACGGTACGGATCCGTACAAGCTAACGTAGCATATTACGTTGACGCCACAGCTAAGGTACATCTAAAACCTTCGAAACTGAGCTGAAAGCTTATCCCTTATCTTATGCAGTAATCTACATGGAACTCAAAACATATCGATATCCACACCAGGAGGTATCTTATAACATTCAAAAATCACTAACAATACAGCAACAATATCATTCATACCTCTCATTTGAACCTCCAACTTTTTAAAAAAGAACAACGCTCTTGCGATGCATTATTTCAATACTACCTACCTATCAGACTCTGTCCCCTAGCTACTATCTAAGGCTTGAAGTCATAAAATCAGAATGCAACCAACCAACCCCCAGCCCGAACCGAATGAAAACTCCCATCATGATTTTGACGACCAATACGCCCGCGGCTGGTGGTATCTCCCTAGCCCCCGTATATCCCATGCGCCGTGACACCCCGTAGACTATGTTTGTTTGTTTGTTAGAATCGCTCGGGGAGGAATATCCCAATAAGTGCAGCGAAGTATATACATGAACCATTACTTCATCTTTTATCGCCACGATCACCAATTACCCGGTTGATAAGCGATAAGCAAGCAATCATGCCGCCGCCGCTACAGCTCTAGAAGGCGTCGCCATAGCAGGCTCTGGCTGTTGGTGATCGGGTTGCGCCACTTGTTCTTGGTTAGCAATTTCTCCGCCGGCTTCCGTCTCGGCCCAGGCGCCCCATAGACCACGCTTTCCTCTGATTCGGATAGGGCCACCGAGCGTGCCCTCTTTCTGCTCAACTTTGATGGCATCCTTGGTTGCTAACACTAAACATTCGAAGAACATCTTTGTAGCATCCGCTTTCGACGTCCTTCCTTCGGGGAGAAGCTCTTGGAACACCACTGACTTCTTCCGCTTCTCTTCATTTGTAGCTGCTTCTTCGCCGAACAGATCTCGAAGGACGTGCACTGCATGTTTCGTACCCATCGAGACCGGGCCGCTATCGGCAGGATGTACTAAGGGTGCGGTGGTTTCGTCAAACGCAGGCATCGGACTTCCTTCGCGGGGCTGGTGATTATCATCATCGTCGTATTGTACAATGGTGTTATCGGCAGCGATCTCAAGGATAGTGCCATCAGGGGCAACGCTGCGTTCGCCCAGGCCAGCATCAGCAACGATTAGTCCATCTTCGTCCTCACCCAGTTCCAAACGAGGCGATTTAGAAGCTCCTTGTTCCTCTTCCTCGCCAACATCAGCAACGCCGCTATCTCTTTTTCTCTTGAGATCGTTGATTGGCTTGATGGAATCAAGTGATAATAGTCCCCTCAACTCTAGAGCCCACGCTTTGCCACGTCCGTCACCCATGGTGTTAGATACAAAACTGGCGCTATTCCTTAGCTCAATTAAAGCCAAGAAATAAGGGTCTCGTGAGATAAAGGTGGGTGCCTTCAGGATGTTTTCGTGGCTCTGTTGTTGCTCTTTAATGTGCGCGCTAGTAAGTTGAGTAGACGGGTCCAATCCGAAGACCTTGCGCTTCTTTGACCTCTTCTGGGGAAGGGCTTCGGGCTCCTCAGGTTCTTGACCGGGTTCGTAGATGCTAGTATTATTAAGACGCGTCCACTCCTCTACATCTCGTGCTACGTTCTCGTCGATGTCCGAGAGAGGAGACTCTGAAATGCGAGCTCGGTCAAGGCCGAGGGCGCCGCCCATCTCCGGCGCGACTGACTGATCGCCAATATTGAACTGGAAATCGTCGTCCATTGGGATGTCGCCATCTCCGTCCGCGATTCTCACATTATCATCCCCAAAATCGAGGGCTAGCGATGGCTCACGGTCAGGTCCCTTTGCTAATGGAGCAACATCCAGTTCGCTAAAAATATCGTCCTCAACCGGCCTAGGGGGAGGTGCATCTCTGCCCATCTCAATACTCTTATCGCCTCGGGGTCGCTCATCGATATCCATTCCAAAATCAAGATCTAGCTCCAAGTCGTCCATGGGGGCGAGTGCCACTTCGTCTTCGTCCATGCGATCATCGTGTAGAAACTGGCTGTTGTTGAAGTCCTCTTGCAGGTTAATATCACGGTTGCTGGGTCGGCCACGGCCTCGAGTACCCGCGCTACTTTGGGGAGCGTTGACGTCCTCCATTTGACCAAGCAACCAGTTAGCGTCTGGCGGTGGTAGAATATTTAAGTTATCGGCAGGAGTAATTTGATCAGGAAGCATCAATGCTTCTCGATTAGGCATATTCAAATTCTCTGGTATATCATTGTTTCCAGTTGAACGGAAAGCCTGTCATTCAAGTTAGCAGAAGAGTAAGACGGTCAAGTCATAAAGAAAAGCGACTAACCATTTTAATTTTTAGTAGAGCTTCGTTGCAATCATCGAGGAGATAGCGGGCCTTTCGACTGTAGATTCTGACGACACCGAGCAAAAGCTGACCGCTTAAGCGGAGCGCCATAGGCGCTTGGTTTGGGGTGATGATAGCATCGACACTATCAGGTAGGTTGGACTGCAGAATGTGGGTTTTGGAGAGCTTGCGCTCCAAGTTTGCCGACAGCCAGACTCGGGCCAGAGGCCCCGTCTTCTGGAGCAAGGTCTCGGAGTAGAACATCGCGACAGCGATGACAGGGTACCTCGAAAGAACAGGAGGTTTAAGGCAATGGGGGGGAATGAAAGGTAGCTGAGCGATAATTATGACATTAAAGCAATGTATAAGGACCTTCTACGGGTGCGACAACGCGTCAGAGTCAGGTTTCCGTTGTCTAAGATAATGACGAAAGGCGGGAGGTTATCGGGGTGGGTGTAAACAAGGGAAATAAGGAGCGCGTGTTGTTTTGGGCGCAGACCGCGTTAGAAGCCAGCGCTCGCACCGAGTTTTACTCGTTTTAAAACCGACAATTCAATCAGCGCGAGCGATGCGCAATTGTAAATATTGCGCGCGATTAATAGAATTGGAGTGGTAAGCCTTAGCAAGTATATATCGAGCACTGTTGGTAGATATTTGCAATGTTGGAAAGAGGGCAAATAGGTTGAATGAAAGACTGAAATTAGAAGTGGAGGGGGGAAGCTTTGGGGGGGAACGGGTAGGGAAAAGGTGATTCGAGATTGGGTCCGTCCACTGACCGCAAGCGAAAAGATTGCTGAAGAGAGCGACTAAAAAAAAAAATCATTCGTTTCCATGTTTAAAATCCAAGTGGCTGGAGGTCTACTAGGGTACGTAGTGGGTCAGCTAGAGTGAATAACCCATGTTGATTGGTTTCTCTGTGACTTAAGCTGTGGCTCATAATTGGATAACGTCTAGGTAGGCTGCTACCTGCAGATACAATGTATGTGCTGAATTGATACACCCCCAGAAATCTTGGGGGAAAATTGATTACGAATGTACAGTTAGAACTAAACTCCTTCCGGGTCGAAATCCTGTGGCTGGTAACACATTTATCTCAGGTAGCCTAGGTTATGTACATATGTATATTTTGTATTCTGTACCTTGTACATGTATTTTACGTACATCAGCAAATACCTACCTAGGTACCTAAAGTATCCGCTCGTTTTGGAACTTTAAGACATCTGCCGCTAACGGCTCTCATCAGACTATAGATATTTGCGGAACAACTTGTAAACCGGAAGCCTCCTATATAACTCGGATACCTAATAAGAGGTACCTAAGCTTGAAGCCGAAAACGATATCCTCTACAATACAAGCTACTCGTTGTTCAACTGGAATTTAATATAATTACATATATAGGTACCTATGTAATGATGGCATTAAACTACAACGTCAGTATAAGTCAAATTCCCCTAAAAATAAAGAACCTTGTCCGTCATCAAACTTGGAACAGGTATCCTATGCAAGGTTGGGTATGTATATGCACAACATAAACCCTTTAGATTCTTTAGGTAACCTGTGACGATTCTGTATCCCTATTAAGGTCGCTCGTGGTATGAGGCTGAAGGTCTGCAGCCAACGCAGCCACGCTGCACCGCTGCAACAAGGGGTTTACATCTTGTCTTAGCGTTGTTATAGCGTGCTACTCTGGCGCTGGATGCTACCTAACGTTAGGTACCTACCTCTAACCTACCTGTAAGATATGGGTTAGATACAGGTAAACAGCCCTGGAGATACCAGGTAGGCTCAATTAGAGGTACCTACCTAGCTTGGCAGGTACCTACAAAATCGGTAAGCAACTTTCCAAAGATCCGAGCCTGCCTTACAGGGCACTCCCCCCCCCATAAGTAGCGTATTGGTTCTAGGCTTGTGTGGCCCCAATTTTGGAAAAAATAAGGTCCACGTCTTCCAGATGCGCATTTGGGCCAAAAAGTTCGCCAAGTACGATCTTATTTACATTTACCTACCTACCTCTAGTATAGATATTAGATACCACTACCACTATAACTAGCAGATGTCACTTTTATTCACATTTACTCGTTAATATGCATTTTTCTTTAGCTACCTCTTTATAATTCCGACAAATACACATCTTGCTATATTATCCAACAAACAATCCTCAGTTGCTGGTGCGGTTGTTAATGTAATCCGATCTTCGATCTTCTTTCTCCCCCGATGTAGCACTGCGTTTCTGCGGTTTGCCCATCTTCTTCCTTCACAAGATGCCATGGCCATGGCGCGATCGCGAGACCGATAACGAGTCACTACTTCCTATAGCGGTACCGAACATAAATCGAATAGATGGGGATTATGATCAGAATGGAGATGACTTCAACGAACGGTCACGGTCGACTACTAGGAAACCGGGACATGCCCGTACCACATCTGCTCAGTCACGGGTAGGTTTTCCTTCTCAGGGATATCTCGACGCGCAGAGTAAGAATGAGCTAGCTAACATATCTTATTATCTCGTAGTCCATAGCAGACAACTATTCCTTTCTAACACCCGCCGAAGCAGCAGCGCAGCTTCAAACCTCTCTAACACATGGCCTTTCACCTACGGAGGCTCTCTCGCGACTGGGAGACTTTGGCCCGAATGAGATCCCTCACGACCCCCCTGATCCTCTATGGTTTCGATTCATAATGCAATTCCGAGAGCCTCTCATTATCCTACTCCTAGCCTCTGCCTTCCTTTCGATTTTCGTTGGAAATATGGATGATGCTCTCAGTATAACCATTGCTGTAACGATCGTCGTCACCGTTGGGTTTGTGCAAGAATATCGCTCCGAGAAATCGATCGAAGCTCTCAAGCACCTGGTTCCCAATCATGCTCATCTAGTTAGGGCGCAACCGGCGCGGCCTTCGCAAGGAATTAAGAATTCAACGTGGCCCCCCGCCATAAGCGATCCCGAAGAGAAGCCAATTGGATCCGAATCAGAGACGCCAGGAGAGGAATTATTGGAAGCTACATCGTCCAAGGTAATGGCATCCCAGTTGGTTCCAGGGGATTTGGTGTTTTTCACTACCGGTGACCGTATCCCGGCCGATATCCGGATCACGAGGGCTGCGGATCTGACTATTGATGCGTCGAACCTCACCGGGGAGAATGAGCCGCTAAGGATGACTGCCGACACCCGGTTCCGTACCCCCTCGCCAGCCCCGTTCGGCCAGAGTGCATTACGGCTTCCTAGTCCATCTGCTCTATCTCCCCCTTCGTATAACGGAGAAATCAGACAAGATGCAGGCAATCATGGTATTAACAATATTGCGTACATGGGTACTCTGGTCAAGTCCGGCCACGGGCAAGGCATCGTCTTCGCTACTGGCGGCAACACACATTTCGGGACGATCGCCACGAGCGTATCGGGCACCGAAAGCCCCCGATCCCCCCTTCAACTCAGCATGGACAATTTAGGAAACCAACTTAGCCAAATATCATTCGGCATCATTGCTTTGATATCTCTGGTTGGTCTATTGCAAGGCAAAAATATCCTCGAGATTTTCACTATATCCATCTCGCTTGCCGTAGCCGCAATTCCTGAAGGACTACCTATTATTGTTACGGTCACCCTAGCTCTCGGCGTCCATCGTATGGCAAGACATAATTCTATCGTTCGAAAGATGCCGAGTGTCGAAACGTTGGGCTCTGTCAACGTTGTTTGCTCCGACAAGACAGGGACGCTAACCATGAATCATATGACAACAGCGAAGATGTGGTATTTTGGCTCAGGGCAACCGATTGATGTCGATTCGGATGACGAAGCAGAAAGAACGCCTAATACCGCCGTACGAGGAATCCTACGAATCGGCAACATCGCAAACAATGCGCGCCTTACTCAATCTGCTAAAACGGTACTATCGGATTCTCAAGGGAGAGAATTTGCCCCGTATACGCGATGGGTTGGGCAGCCAACCGACGTTGCAATGCTTGATTTGCTCGATCGATTTAAGGAGCACGACGTGAGGGAGTCGATTGGTCCCCGAACAGCCGAGACCCCTTTTAGCTCCGAAAGGAAGTGGATGGGCGTGGTAATCGGCGCGCAACCTGGGAATAGCGACAAGGAATACGCCTATATGAAGGGCGCTATCGATAGGGTTCTCGATGCTTGCGACACGTTCCTTACTGCAGATGGCCGCGAAGTTATCCTGGACTCTGTCCGGCGCCAAGAGGCATTACAGGCAGCTGAGAAAATGGCGGAAAGGGGACTCAGAGTTTTAGCGTTCGCAAGCGGCCCAGTTACCAAATCTTCACGAAGCAAATCCGGGCATGGTGTTTCTACTCGAAGTACGACACCGCTAAGTCGAAACGATAGTCAGAGTCCGGAATTGCCGTCTCACGAAGAAGTGTACAGGGGGTTGACCTTTGCTGGATTGGTAGGCATGAGCGATCCTCCACGACCCGGAGTTTCTCGTTCCATTCGAAAGTTGATGCGAGGCGGAGTCAAGGTCATCATGATTACTGGGGACGCTCCAACCACAGCGCTAGCCATCGGAAAGGAACTTGGCATGCAAATCGCAGTGAAACCCGTACTCACGGGCGAGGAGCTGGATGCAATGAGCGATGCCGACCTTACGGCGGCGATACAGAACACGACTATTTTTGCACGTACAAATCCGGATCACAAACTGAAAATTATTCGAGCCCTCCAATCGCGCGGCGATATTGTCGCCATGACTGGAGATGGAGTCAACGATGCGCCGGCATTGAAGAAGGCTGACATTGGTATTTCTATGGGATTACATGGAACGGACGTAGCAAAGGAGGCTTCCGACATGATTCTAACGGATGATGACTTCTCGACTATCCTTCGCGCTATTGAAGAAGGCAAGGGCATATTCAACAACATTCAGAACTTCATCACATTCCAGCTTAGTACCAGCGTAGCTAGCTTAGCTTTAGTTTTTATCTGCACCTGCATGGGGTTCAAGACCCCGTTAAATGCCATGCAGATTCTCTGGATCAGTGAGTACCCCCCCTTTTTTTGCTTCATTTTTGATCCTACGATTACTAACCGGATTTAAAGATATCATTATGGACGGACCGCCAGCGCAATCTCTAGGTGTGGAACGAGTAGATCCCGACGTCATGTCTCGACCGCCACGGTCCCGTAGCGAGCCGGTGCTTACGAGGGCCCTCCTCCAGCGTGTTTTGACTTCGGCCGCCATCATCATGGCCGGTACCATGATGGTATATACGCACGAGATGCAAGACGGGGGGGTTTCGCGGCGAGACACGACGATGACGTTCACGTGCTTCGTGCTGTTCGACATGTTCAACGCGCTGACATGCCGGTCGGAGAGCAAGTCGGTCTTCCGCGGGGAGGTGGGCCTGTTCTCCAACAAGCTGTTCAACTGGGCCGTGTCCCTGAGCATAGCCGGCCAGCTGCTCGTCATCTACTTCCCCTGGCTCCAGGAGGTGTTCCAGACGGAGGCCCTGGCGTTTTTTGATCTCGTCAGGTTGGTCGCGCTGGCGAGCTCGGTGTTCTGGGCCGACGAGGCGAGGAAATGGTATAAATACGGTCGGAAAAGGCGGTTGGGCGGATACAGCCAGGCGGTTTAGAATAAAAGTACAGTACAGTATAGTACCTACCTAAACCTTATGTACCTGTTACAATTCCAAGCGATGGTGGTGGTGGTGTTGTTGTTGTTATTTACATTACATTAGATACGCCAGGCACGCCGGATAGATGAAAAACTACGCCGTTTGGATTTATTTATACACACACACACACACACACACACACGAAATAAAGCAAATACATACATACATACCTAATACATAGGTTAGGTACCTAGGTATCCATATGCTAAAATGATTCTTATTTACGCGCATATCTATTATAACCGTACCTAGTAGTAGCAGTAGCAGTAGCAGTAACGGTAGCGGTAGCGGCACCCGTCTTGGCCTCATGCCGGCGGTACTCGGCCTCGTCCCGCGGGCCCCTCATCTGGGCCAAGAGCCACCGCCGGACGTCCCGCCTCCGCCGGCTGTTGGTCGCCTTGCCCAGGCCGTCGTTCAGCGTGCCGTTGCATTGGAACACGCTGCTGCATAGCGCCTCGTAGACTTCCTCGCCTTGTCGCCTGGCGAGGAAGGACGGCTTGGCGGCGGCGGCGGAGGAGGTGGCGGTGGAGGTGGTGATGGTGTTCGAGTTGCCGCTGGCCGAGGTTTTGGCTTGGGTGGCATTTGTCTCCGGATCGGCCTTGCTTTTAGCATCCGTTCCGGGGGTCGTGGGTGCGGGTGCCTGGGCCATGAGCGGTGGTGGTGGTGGTGGAACGGAGCGTTGTAGGGACCCCTGGCTGGCTGTGGATTATACGTGGTACGAGGAGGTTTGAAGGGGTGGGTGCTTCGGGCTTAGGGGCGAAGCAACTTCCCGGGAGACAAATCAATCTTGGTAGATAGCTAGGTAGCTAATTGCAAACGAAGGGGCTTGCTCGACCATGGAATAGTTGGTGATGACGCCGACTGAGCGCCGGAGAGAGGAGATGCTAGCTTAGGTTAGGTACACTTTCCTCCTGTCGTGGTTGTGATGTGATGGTGTGGATTAGGTAGTTTTCGGACGGCCCTTCTGAAGAGTTATCCCATGCTGCTGGCAGCGTGATGCATTTGCGTCAATAGCCACGTATCCGGGGTAGCTAACTGTTCGTGGTAACTATCCTGAATCTCTCCCGGAGGTAGGCAGGTAGGTATACCGTTTTGTCGTAGCACCGGGGAAACGAGGGCAGTTCATAGGAGGTACATATAGAAGAAAGTTGAATAGCCACCACCAACTATCCATTCTCCTCCTTTGACGAGCAGGTTCCAGAGTTTTTCAAGAGCTTGTGTCTATGCGCCAGACGTCATTTTAAGTAAGTATTGCACGGCATTGCCGTTGAGCTTTGGCTGTCGTACCTTCTATCCTCCTGTTGAGAGACATTCTCTTAATAGGCTGCAACAACTCCGTTAAGGGAATCGCTGTTTGGCCTAGGCGGGAGGAGATAAGCCCGCTTAGAAGGTGTTCGGGAGACAATGGGGGTGTTTCTCACAATGTGCTCGTAACGTGGCCCTTTGTGGGCCGTGTTCGTAGGCTTGGTTTGGTTTGGACGGGCTGTTCGGGCTTTCTTTCATTACATTCATTATAGGCGACTTTGTCTTGTTGATGCTGCTGCCTTTGGGGGGTTGCGCTGTTGGTTTCTCCGTAGTCGTGACGAGATTCTATAGAGCGCGTGACGTAGATGTTTCTTCTACCGCTAGAAGGGGAAATTCTTTTCTCCTGATATTGAGTTGCTTGAAGAATATGCTTGATATATTGGGCGATGTCATACCCGGTTCTTATATACAATACAATATACGTTCGTTTATAGGTGGTTGGAAAAGGTTTAGGTAGGTAGCTATATAAACAATGAAGTGGTACCTACCTAGGTAATGAACCTCCTCCCCCTATTACTTACTTGGCTTAGGATTCAAAATATTGAATAATACCAAACGGGACACAACCTAACATTTGTGATTTGTGACTCTATTACCGTTTCAAGGCGCATCAGTAGGATCCCTATGGACTAGTGTCAGTATAGATTTGGAGGCCGTGAGATCGATTACGTGTGACCTACCAATCCGTAACTAGTTTCTCATCCAGACTATCCATTGTCTTCATGTCTTCCGCGGAGATCTCAAAGCCGCCTACTTGGGCGTTTTCAATCATGCGTTCTCGCTTTACGCTCTTCGGCAAAGGGACGAGTCCATGCTGCAGCGACCACCTATGTGCCGTTAATATAGGTTGTCTAACGCAGGAATAGAACTTGCTAATATGTGTGGGGTGCAACTAACCGAATCATGAGCTGCGCAGGCGTGCACGAGTACTTGTTCGAAAGCTTCTGGATGGTTGGATGTCTCATGCGCATAGCTCGAGCGAGCGGAGCGTAGGCCTCGACGACGATGCCGTACTTGGCGCATGCGGCCCTGATCTCCGTCTGCGTGTTGAAGGGGTGGACCTCGATCTGGTTGACCGTCGGGTGGATCCTTGGCTTTGATTCCATGAGTTCCTCTAGCTGAACCGGCCGGGCTAGACGTTAGTTACGTAAAGAAGGCCCTTGCTTAGGCTAAGCCTTCTGTTTGGGAGACGGAAAACTAACGTGCTTGACTCCGTAGTTGCTGACACCACCCGACTTGATCTCCCCTTCGGCAATCGCATCCTCAACGGCCTTCCAGCTCGTCAACCGCGCCTCACGACCGCCGTACGGGCTGTGCAGGAGGAACAAATCGATATATCCGAGCCCGCAAGCTTCGACAGACTGCCGTATAGACTGGCGCACGGCGTTGTAGGAGGTGCTATTGCTCGCCAGCTTCGAAGTGTAGAATACATCCAAGCGCGTGAGGTCCCCCGCCGCGCTGCCGTTGGAGCCGGAGAGATAGTCCCGGATGGCCTGTCCCGCCTCCCTCTCGTTGCGGTACATTTGCGCGCAGTCGAACCCCCGGTAGCCCACGGCCAGAGCACACCGCACGGCTGTTTTGGCCTCCTGGCGGCTCATCATGTACAGGCCGAGCTGGAGCTGGGGCATGAGCTTGCCGTTCGGCAGCTGACCGAAACCAAAACCGAACCAAACGTCAGCTTAGTGAGATGAGAATGGTACGCGTTACTTGTGATATATAGGTATAACCAGGTATATGCCGCTATAAAAGTGATACATCATGTACACGTACCTTGACTTTAGCAGCTAGTGAGAAGTTTCCTGTCGACATGATTATTATCCCGGGCTGTTTTATACGCAAATAATTTTTTTGGAAAAAAATTTATTTGTTTATTTCAGTTGGTGATATGTTTCTATAAAGCTTCGAAAAGTTAAAAAGTTAAAGACCTTTATTATTATTAACTTTGGTGCTGCTGGTGTTAGTTCACACTTACCTCATCACCTTCGACGTCACAACCTGCTGGCCGTAAACTATGCCGAGGGGCGGGGCCCCACCCCCGGAGCACACCGAGAGTGGTAGATTAAAGTCCTCCCGCTCATTTCTCTGTACTGGGTAGGTACTTGTTGGCGTCTGATCCACACTGATAGATACTATGTATTCCTTTATTAAAGCGTTCCCAAGACAAATTGTTCAGGGGTATGCGATACTATTATTATATTTCTTTATTTTATAGCTGGCAATGAATATGTAGTCTTGTCATATTTCATATTTCATATTTCAACGTTCTGTCTATTCCTTCTTTTTTTTCTTGACCAAGTTATAAGAGAGGTGTGCAACCTTTTTTAAACTCAATTAGTACCTCCCTTAACGAGCAAGCAATATCGACGATGGTGGTGTGCTACTACCTACCACCTACTAATGCTTCTTTTATTCTCGTATTCGGATTATGAAATAGTGTACTATAATACTACAACGATGGTCGACGAGCGGGCCTGTCAAAGGCTGTATGCTATAGTTCCTAAAAGACTTCTCTAGGTTACAAGTTACGGTAGTAATGGTGTGGGAGTGCTTCGACAGCGACTTCCGGTCACGGGATGGTTCCTATAGGCCATCCCCAAGCCATCTCCGCTGCTCGGCTTAACCGTTGCGGCCATAAGTCCTGCGTAACACGGCAGTAGCGAGCTCATGTATAGTAGTATATAAAAAAAGGACAAACTTGAGAGAGGTACAATGTTAGTCGGGAGTCAAGCAAAGTAGTCAATTAGTTGGTTGCATGTAATACTGCCAAATGCAAGACACGACATGTCATGACATGACGTGACATGGATGAGGATGAGGAGAACAAGTCTTGGTTTCTTGATTGTTGGACTTTAGAGTTCCGGTGAATAATAAAGAAGAACTCACTAAATATTGTTACTACCTTAGAGGTAGCTACGCTTTTATTCAAACTTGTGGGGATAAAGGAATTAAAGAGTAACAGATGGGCTCTCTATTATAAAAAAGAAGGGTAATTCATAATAAAGCATCAACTGAATTACAACTCAAGATACCTACCTCCTACTTATACTTATCGGTGAACGGGTATATGCATCATTGATACCTACATATACGTACAATACGTATACCTTAGGTACCTATACATACCTACATGTAGGTAGGATGAGGCTACCCCCTGTCCCCGGCTGCGATAGATTCTATTAAATGTGGCTAGTGTCAAAAATTGGAACCTTACCTGAGCAAGCCTGACAAGCCTGACAAGCCTGAGGTTACCTAAGACTTAAGTGCCCAGGTGCTTTGTACCACAACTACCTACATAGTAGATACAGGTAGAGACCTAGTAGGTAAGTCCAAGTCACGCCAAGACGCATTCAGGCAAGAACGCACTGGTCGCTGTTGTTCTGTCCGTCATCCGTACCCGCCTTTCCTTGCCTCGCCTCGACGATTTCCTTTACGCATGAACTCATTCCACCTCTCGCCATTCTTTATACCAACGAACTTTTTTTTTTTTTACTACGCATCGCGTCTCCGCCATTCCCTTTTACACTACATACCATCCTCCCCGTCGCTTTGCGCATATATTCTATACACGCACTACCGAATACCATTCATTTTCTAAAGGGACTAGAGAGGCATTATTATTTTGCTGATCCTCGTATCCCTCGACTTATTTAACTTTTACCAAGAAGAATCCCCTCCCCATGCGAACAGAACAAAGATAATAGAAGAAAAAAAAGAAAGGAAAGGAAAAAAAAAAGGGAAAAAAGGAGCCAGACCGCATCGAAGAGATATCTCGCATCCCTCCTCTCCTCTCCTCGCCGACGAAATCTACACATGCCTCAGAGCATCGTCGCATCTACATCTCCCGCTTGTTTTCCGATCGACAACCCAGAAGCCTTGGTGAGCCCAACTCCAGTCTCGCGCCGCGCCGGCGGAAGGGGGTTCGAGGCATATGATGCCCGGTGTCGTCATGATGGAGAACGGCGTTCGGGCGTCGCTACACACAAATCATGACAGAGACCATAGTCAATTTGTTAACGGTAACGGGAATCATGCAGCTCAATCCGCGCCTGACCGACACAATGGCATTTCTACCGGGGCTGGAGCTGGAAGCAGTAACGGGGCAAGCTCCATGGCAAATGGGAAGGAGAACGGCGACGGCGTAAACGCGGCACTGGTACAGCGAACAAGCTCTAACCCGTCGCGTATGAACGACCTCCCGGACGAAATAAAGCATATTACGGATGGATTCATCCCCTTGAGCGTGCTGCTGTCGCGGCTCGCCCAGAAAACCCATAATCAACTAGCAGACGAGATAATTGCTTTAGCTAAAATGCCAGCACCGACCTCGGCTGCCAACGGCAATTCCTCTCATGCTCCTGTCATTACAGACGATACTTCACCCGAAAATCTCAGCAAGAAAACCAGACTTCTTAATTTCATCCAGGAAAAACATGCCGAATGGGTAAAAGCGATAGTAATTGCGAGATGGAGCCGGAACGCCTCATCTGTCAGCAAACTGATCGATATACATTCTCTTTTTAGAAACGAGCAGAAGAGGTACTTCGATATCATAACCATCCTGGCGGATCAACGATGGTCCCTAGCCTTTGCGCGACTCCCGAATCCTGACCTGCGAACAGCTCTCCACGTACTCTCTACCGGAACGGCCCCCTGGATGCCGGACCTCGGCTACATAGATCCTCCCCCTCTAACTCCAAAGGAGCAGCTACAGTGGATCGAGAATCTCAACACTCTACTTTCGATTCGGCTCAACTTAGAGGACTACGATAACATCCCTTACCATTTTCGAGATTACACCATCGATTCCGGGCGCGTCACCTTCAAGGTTCCTGGCGAGTTCGAGGTAGACCTCACCATAGCCGACGAGGATTTTGAGAAGCAGTTCTGGTTCATTGACTTCCGATTCGACTTCGCCCCGGCACCATCTGAGCTATCCGACTCGCTGAGGATTTTCTTGGAAAGCAAAGTTAACGAAGTTCTAGAGAAAGATGGTCTCAAAGGGTGTTATAAATTCCTACACGAGTTGGTGCTAACTCACAAGATCACGGAATACGTACGCCAGGCTTTCGAGCTGAGCAGGGGCCGGTGGGTGGATACCCTCAAGGTCGAGCGACTCAATCGGGCTTTGGCAATCCAATATTGGGTCGGCCGCTACCCGCCAGAGGGCCCGAAAAGCTGGATCATCCTAGGTGTCAACAGCGGCAGAAAAGCAGGCGCACCCGAGGACCCTAAATCGACGAGTTATCTCACGTTACGTTGGTTCAGGGATAACAAGGAGGTGAAGGACGTGGGGATTCCACTTAACGATGCGATTATTTCGACGGAGGATCTTTTGAACAGCGTGATTGGAAAACACATTGAATATATTCTTGGCTCGATATACGCCAAATTAAAACCGAATGGCCGCTTTGCCAAGCGGGAAGCCGGCCTTGCTCTGGATATACGGAAGGATGACCCGTCACAGTCATCCCTCAAGGTGCAGATAGGATATAAACACTATCTAACCGTGAGAGTCAGCCCGATTACCGGGTTATTCTCGATGAAGCCGCAGTCGAGCATGGCGTGGAAGGAGGAGCAAAGGTTAAACTGGTACTCGAAAGATCCCATTCAAGACGGGGTTACTTGTGTAGAAAATGTGAGATGCCACTACGTCGTCAACGAAATTATCCGACGTGGGAAGAGTATAGGCTGGTTTGTTTGCAAAGCACCCGTGAAAACGGAGGCTGTAAAGGAAGCGTTGAAGTCACGGGAAGTCGGTCAACTCGTATGGCTCAGGCGGCGTGGTTGGACGGACCAGTGGTATTTGATGGTAAATCTGAGCTTAAGCGGGGACACATGGTGTTTGACGGGAGTGTAAGTTTTGGTGGTATTGTCCTTTTTGAGTCTACGACTAACGAATTATTGCGCAGCTATACTCCCTCTACCGGAGACCCGCGAATCTTATCACTTACCAAGTTACCGCTTAGTTCTTACATGCCAAACTTCAAAGACAAGTTCTTCTCTAACTTAACTATCTTTACCGCCGCTATCATATCCCATATAACGGACATAAGGTCCCTCCACCAACGGCGAGTAAAACACTCTATTTACCCTGGAACCAACTATGCACTTCCACCGAGCATAAAGATTCCAGCTATCTTATTACGGCTTTCGGATATATTGCGATCGCCCCAGTCGAACGAATCTGGCCGGCGAATTGCATCCTGGGCGCACGACTACGTGCAGGTAGTATTTAGAGGCGCCAGTGGCCCGTCTACTAAACCGCAGACTTCGGACCGTCATCTGATGGCTGTCGACGGTACCGGAGAAAACGCATCACTGCAAAAAGACTCGTTGCATATATTCCTCGAAGCTCGGATCAAGGTTTCCGATCCTTCTAGGTTTGGCTTACTTAAAGGACACGTTGAACGAGACGTGGCATTCAGCAGGCGGCTGGGGGTATTTGCGCTCCGTTTGGAGGAGAAAATCGGGGATACAATACTAGATACACTTGTCCATCGCCTACGGGCCATCGATAGGCTGGCCGACTGCATCGACGCGATACGTCAAAGCGACAGGGACATCCATTGCGAGGAGATAACCCTTACAAAGATCGTGGTTAGTTATACTGACCGACTAAAATCGGAGACGGGTGCCACGACGCAGCAGAATGGTCACCGTTGGAAGGCGACGTTAGAGTTGGGTCCTAATACAACTAGGTTGTTGTTCGAAAAGGGCAACCCACAGTTGCGCTCTTTAGATCTGTTCCGACATCTGGTCAATTCGGATCTCCGTTGCGAAAAGCTACCGTTTTTCTTGTCGAGCACATTACCAATCCATCGCGCTCTGGATGCAGTCGAAAATTCATGGGGTGCCCTCGAGATGAACAATCAGGGTCGTGTCGAGGTTTTCGTAGCGCATATGGATTGGTTTAATATACGCTACTATCTTCCTCCGACCAGGAATTCGCACGTCCCGCGTCGGTTGACGTTACAGATTCGGCTTCGAAAACGTCGGGCCGGTGTCGAATGGGAAATACTCCGCGAGGAACCTGGTACGATGAAGAATCCCGATGACGAGTTTAAGCAGGTGCTCGACAAGGTTTGGAACGCAGATAATAAATCCTGGCGTTCTCTACTGAACTCGGCTTCGTGCGAGCCAGACCACCGGGTAGCAGATTTGATCAGAGCGGTGGACGAGAGCGTCAGGCGGCTCTTGACGCGCTCGCCGACGCTATTAAAGCAAAACCAGGCTAAGGGCCAGGTACCAGCTAAGAACCAGACCCAGGCTATGTATCATAAGGCGATGGCAGCCGGTAAGGTTCGGATGCAGACGGACCAGGTCGTGATATTGGACGACTAGGGCGACAGGGAGGGGGAGAGAGGAAATGAATAAGTGATGGCATGGCGTAGGGAGCAAGCAAAGCAGGTATACGAGCAAACCAGAAAAAAAAAGTTCTTTTTTCTTTTCTTTTTTTTAGAAAGAAAGAAAGAAGCAGAGAGAAAGAGACTGCGATGTGAATCGGGGATGCTGGCCATACTTGAGATACCCTTAGGAAACAGAGGCACGAGAGGCATAAGGGGGGGGAGAGAGAATAAACTCCTTAAGCTACCCCGAAGGTCACAAATGAAAGTATTATTAATGATTATTTTCCGAAACGGATTGCTTTTATTTTCTCGGTGATAATGTCGTAATGATTTTGATATGTGTTTTGTGCTGTACTGTGCTGCAACTGATACCAGGACAGCATGAGGTCTTATATTCTTAGGTAGGTAGAGGTAGTTAATGCATATTTGTTCACGGGTTTCGCGGAGACGGATTGTGCTATTTAGGGCCCTGTAGGTAAGGTAGTTCGGTATAAGCCAGTATAATCTAGTATAAGTTATACCCGCAATGGAGACGCTACGAAATGCAACGTTGGGGGGATGCACGACAACCATACGATCCATACGATCCGATAGCTCTCTCTCTCTCTCCTCTTTAGCCGTTTATGGTTTATGATGTCAGGGTATCCGAGTTTCCCTGCTCGCTAAGACAGGTACTTACATATAAAGGTGTTACATAAATGTAATGGGTAAATATTGTAAGCTACTTTTAGTAGGGACTTAGGTTAGTCAACTAACCTACCTTTTGTCTGTTTCTTGCCGATATTCGCGTTAGACTTACATACTACCTATTTTGTTCGCGGTCACGGATTTGAGAAACAACACGCACGTTACGGGAATGGGATAACTACCTACCTAACCTAAGCAGCACAAGATAGTTACCTAGGTAGCTATATCCAGGGAAATAATGTCGTGTAAGTCATGCCTTATAGTCTAAATTCCGATTTGTCACTCGCATTTTCCCCTCCGTCTTGTTCCTGTTCCTGTTCTCCCCCGCAGCGCCGCCACCACCCACGAGCGTGATGATCAGTATCGCCATCGTCAGCATGCATTAGTGCTTTCGCTTTCGCTTTTGCTGCCATATGTCCATATTCTCTATACCCCCTTTCTATTTGTATCACACACACATACACACCTATACATGCAAACCCCTATGTCTTAGCTAGCTTCCTACCTTAGGTTGCTAGCCAGGTAATCATGTATTGTACCTCGTTCGAGCAGTTCAAGCAAGACTAGCTAACTAACTCCCCGCTCCTCCCCTCCCCAACTCCAGTCCTCACAGGAACGAGCAAGCTCGTCAACCGGTCTTCGATCCCGGCGGGCGTCAGCAAGGCGGCTGCCATATCGCTGCTGCACGACCACGACTTCTTCTTCCAATGCGAGCCGCACTACGTGTCGCATCGAGCCCTGCCTTCTTCCTCTTCTTCTTCTTTTCCCTCCTCTTCCTCCCCCAATACCACCACTATCAGCGGCGGTTCCGCCACGACCGCGTACCAGATCCCGCGGGACGTGCAACCGGTCGGGGACCCGGCGGTCCGGGTGTACGAGGTGGTGGACCACGTGCCGAACCCGGTGTGGAGCTCGAGCGTCGTGAGCACGGAGGAGTTCGTCGACCTGGCCGACGGGTTGTGGGTGCGGATCCGGAGCCCGCTGGCGGTGGTTATGGAGACTAGGTGGACGATACGGGAGAGGAGGGAGGATGGTAAGGGAAGGGGGGGAGGAGAGGAGGAGAGGGAGGGAGAGGGAGAGCTGGAGTTGGTAGAGGATGTCACGATAAGTTGCTCGAAGCTGCTGATGGGGATCGTGAAGAGCCAGGTCGATTCGAATTGGAGGGAGATACATAGGCGGATTGCGGCGAGGTTGGTGGAGGATGCGAGGAAGGAGAGGGAGGCGGGGAAGGCTGGGAGAGGGGAAGGGGAAGGAAAGGAGTAAAAGGAATGGGATGAGATATTGGGATTCGGAACGCATAGCTAGATGTTGATGGGGGCGTATATATTTTGGTTAGTTTATACGGTTCAGTGATCGTGACTATATGCAAACAGCTACCTAGAATGATTTTATAGAATATGATGATGCAGGCTTACTGGTAGCTAACATTATCCTAGAGGGGTTCTTACATTAGGTACCTATATATATATATATATATATTCTTACATTTTACATGTTGTACTGGACTTAGGCATGCGTGATAAAATATATAAAAGTATAAGAAGACACAATAGAAGCTGCTGATGCTATGTGTATCATAACCTTCCTTACTATATCATTCGCATCATCTAGCGAAACGAAAGCAAATAGATAACAATACCAAAAGGAAAAAAAGGATAGAATATAAAAAAAAGAGCAAAAAAAGAAGTTGCCAGCTGCAGGGTTCGAACCTGCGCATCTCTCGATAATGGTGTTCAAGATCTAATGTAGACTTAAAACCACCGCCTTAGACCACTATTACGGGATTTGTTAGTGCGTGATTTTTTTTCATTTTTGCAAAGGTTCTGGGGAAAACGTACCTCGGCCAAACTGGCTTTGATTGCAGTAATTGCTTTGCGCTGATAGTGCACCTTAAGTGTACGTCTTTGCTGCTGGCCAATCAGCGACCACATGGCACTAGAGATGCATTTTTTATAATGCGCTTAGCGTATAATAACGCATAATGAAACATTATAACGCATAATAGAAGTATTATGCGCATGACGGAATATACACCCTCGATTATCCGGCGCACTAGTACCTAAAAGGGTTAAGTATTGTAACGAAGTATTGTCAGTGAGGGTTTTTCAACAGTGGATTTAGGTGTTGTGTTTGTTCTATTACTAACTTTTGGTGGTTGTAAATTTTTACATGCGTTTACGTAATATTACATTATGCGTCGCGCATTATGTACATAATACGCATTATAAACATAATGCGTCATAATAATTCTATTATGCGCATAATGTGCATCTCTACATGGCACAACCCCCACCCCCTTCTTTGGGGAGGTACTTGGGTACATCCGTACAACCTATTCTCTCCCCTTTTCGATGATAGACGAACCAGTCAACAGGACTTTTTTTAATGCTGTCACTAGTGACTACTTACCTTAGGAGGTATTAATTCGTGCTTATAGATTCTATTCACTTGAATATACTTAGATACCTATCCAGGACTCATCCATGGCCGGCACGAATACATTAGGTAGGAAAACGGCTTAGAACACCGGACTCAGTGCATATCTCACGCGGAACGCCATGCCATGTCAAATCTTGCATCACAGCACATTTTGATTGATATTGTCCGGTCTAAGAAGTGCGTAACACATTATAGATAGGCACATACGCAGCACTGATCGAGATTCACCCGAAGAAAAAAAATAAAGTCCTGATGCCCGATTTCCTATCTCAGTTTTGCCCGATGCGTTGCCTCGCCTGCATTGATGCACTGATAGTGGGGATATCAATAGCTTTACTATATGGAGTCGAAGGCAGGAACTCAAGCGGATACCTGTCAGGAATGCTGCAATGAACAACGGAGTATCAGGATTTCTTCGTGTGAATTATTGACTGCAGCGGAGGGATAGATTGTGTGATGCGGCCCTGCTCATCGCGGGTTTGCGAAGTACAGTCACTACGTAGGTAGTTGGTACGACTTTAGACGTCTCTTACCATCTCAAAACGCAAATTCGTAACTGCAGTTGATTCTTCTCGAGCGATCTCGCCTAACTACGCTCGGCAGAACGATGGATAGCTACCTATACCTAACTAACCTAAGCTCGTAAAGGGCATGGCGCTCGGCTGACTACGTAGCAAGAGAAACATCATCTAGGCGCCTCTAGGTAGCTTTTAATAGCCTGCTTAAGGCTATCGTCATATAGGTTCTTGAGAGACTACCTGCGGTAGTTATTTCGTTAGGTTTTCCATAGAAACGCAAACGCAGGTGTTGACTGATTCATTCATACGATCAAGTTTTTGCACTCAAGGTAGAGAGGGAGGTAACCCGTCAACCTAGTCTAGTTCCTGTTCCCAGTTGTCATCCACGGTTACCGTCACATTGTTAATACAATAATATACCTACTTAGCAGAGCGAGTGCCATCTCGAGAGTCACTGTACATCACATTTACGATTCTCGAAAGTTTCGTGGGCTTTTGATAAGGACAGGCTTGTGTGAGAGGATGGCTGGCGACCAATTCGACAGTATAGAGTAGACTGACTATCTTGTTGTTAGTTGACTGGAACAGGAATTAAAACCTTTACGCATGCGAAGAACTTTGGCAGATTAAGAGAGAGAGAGAGAGAGAGAGAGCAATGTCAAGAGTTTTGAGAGTTGAGTTGAGTTGCCGAGAGGATGACTTTAACAAGGCGGTCCAATGGTCTTGTTTTCCGTGGCCAAGTCTTAAACATGATCGGTTCGGCAGTTGCACTGCAAGATTCCAATAACCTAGACTACTAATGTAACGTGTTGGATGCTAGTAAGCTATCCATCTGCTATGCTCTACCCTGATATCGTCCATTCCCCCCTGACCGTTGAGATACGCCTCCCGTTTCGAAAGTATAAGTGACCACAAGTCTCGGCCAAAGGGATCGTCGAGATCGAACGCACCCCAGCAAGATCCAGGGATCACAACTGGTTTCTGCAAAGACAGAGCGCACATCAGACGACGACCTCGCTGCAAGCCCATATCTCACAGGCTTAGTTACACACTAGTATACGCGCGGCACGATCCCGGGCCGCTTCTCTCAGACGCCCGGTCTAAGGAAATCCATGCAGGGCTTTTCACAAGCGCAGCGGCGGAAGGGAAGCCGGTATCAGGGCTTCTGCAATGCGGGGAGAGAGAGAGATCAAGACAGGCTTGCATATATGTATGCGAGACACGGACCAGGAGGATTAGGACGTCACTATCTATGCCTGAGATCAAAATCGCGAAGTCGAAATAAAGCTGATGCGCCACCTGGAAGAATTACGAAGATCTAGATAGCCTATTTTGCTGTTATTCCGAGTAGGAAGAGGATAGAGATATCTAAAGATATATGAGGTTTACTATCAGGACTACTCTGTTGAAAAGAGCGAATCACGGCTAATCTGTGATTTGCTTCATAGAAATCTACCTAAGGTTAGGCAAGATCTGTCTGCCGTGGGGGTACGAACTGAATTGGATACTTGGCTCGGCCAAGAAACCCATAGGTCTGAGTGTCGTAGACTTCAAAGGTATTGACACAAGACTTGGCAGGATTGCGGCAGTAGTTCGAAACGGTACCTAGTGTTGGTGTAGCTCTTATGCAAGATAGGGCCTAGAAGCGCTTCGGGCATCAGGATCCGGCTCGGCCAATTTCGTAAGAGATATCGAAGTCCTTCTCTGTAGTGGTAAGTGCCTAGGTAGGTATGTAAATAGAAGCTACTTTCTCGCAACTACGTTTCGGATCCCTCCGCGCCGCGCGCTATGGTTTGTAAAGCCTCATTCCGTCAAAGCGGTCACGTACTACTAGCGGTCTAATATCCCTTCGGAGCGACTCGCGTGGGAATATTGCCTATGAAATATCCCGACGCTCCACTCTCCATGGCAGAACGGGGAATAGTTTCTGGCTTAAAGCGGTCTTGCGCCGGTATTATGAGAGTCCAAAGGCGGGCTGGCACGCTAGAACTATGAACTCTACGCCGAATAGTATCGTACTAGCGTACCTAAGGCAAGTCGATCCTACACGAAGCGTGATCCATATTCTACGAGATGATATCCTTCGTTAGCTGTGTCGTGTGGCCGACCGTATATAGTGTATAATAGGAACGGATCATGGTCTGTCTTCGACCAATTCGTTTCCGTGTTGCGGTGTAGCAACGAGCTTGCAGAGCAGAGTTTACCTGTAAGATGACAGGTGAAATAATGCGAGTGCTCTACTTGACGATCTTTCTGCAAAGGGTTCTGCTGTGAAGTTAGACTCTTGGCGTCTTATGAAACTACCTAGGTAGTTGCTCTACGGAATAGGAATAGAGTTTCAGAATGCAACCACAATAAGAGGAGACGCGCAGTAACGTCCACCATAGCATCAATTGCCGCGAACAAGGCGGAATAGGGCTCGGACTAGGATATCATAGTGATGGGGGAGTGGAAATCGTAGGACGTGCACGATCTGTACGTACTCTAGATGAGGCCATCACGATGTCGCCAAGAACGAAATAGTCCACCCCGCATATCTTTTCGAGCAGAAATCGTCAGAATCCCTCATCGCCGGTCACGTATTTCAAGTCTCGTGAAGCTTAAGCCATGTTCACGGCGCAGGAGACGACGCAGGTGTCCAAGATATGGACCATTAGGGGGGTCTCCCGCCGGGCTGGCGAACAGAGCACGCGAGAAAATCCCCTGCCGCTAGAGGCTTGCCGGACATGCAGCGGCAGATAACACTAAGTCTAATGCAGTCTTTACGACGTAATTAATAAGATATGCAAGTCCGGGTTGCATCGCAGCAACAAGTACTGGCTATCGAGGAAATGTTCCTGCAGCAGCGTATCATCGAAGTTACGAGTTTGGACATATCTTTCCGTTTCCTAACATCTGGTCAGGGGGAAGGAAGAGAGACTTTACGCTAAGGATTTTCCTATCGGGCTCGTGAGGGACAGGGACTTTGGAATTAGACTCGGATCACATAGGGTCGGTGTACAGATGCTGATATGCTGATACTACATAGGTAGTACCACCTTTGCAGTTTTGTCGTCCGTGCGCTTCTCGTTGAGAAACAAATGCGAAAGCACGTACACCGGAAAGAAACATATCGGTATGTACGTGTAGGGACCTAAGTGCATGTAAGTAGACCGGTATGGAAACGCCGGTACGTATGTGGAAGAATCGAAGAAGTTCGATTTACACTATTATTGGAAATAGAAAATATAAAGTAGAAAATAGGAGAAATCTCCGTAGACAATCAATTTAGTTAAGTTTGGTACCGTCTCATAAGTTACCGTAGTTATCAGTGTAGTATTGTTGCTTAACGTGTACAAAAGAAATACGTGACAGGGGTACCTCAAGTTAGCCTTTCAGGTCAGGTACCTGTTTCTATTGTGATAGATCCCCTTTCCTCGTTCCCTGAGATTTTCTGCAAGGGGAAAGAACGATAACCATGAACCATGAACCTTGAATCATATTGCCATGCATCTCGGCCAGTTAAAACAAGGATGGAACGGACCTTAAAGTAGCGCTAATGCCACTAATGCCCTGCCTCTTTTCTACCGTTAGGACTGTTTCACTAATTTTGACATTTTTTGACAACTTCTCATGTTATTTTTCCCGTCCGCCACAAATTCTACGGATTCCATCCCTTCTTTTGCGCCATGCCGTTTTCAACTTCTTCCCACCGCTCGGATCTCAACCCCTTTTGGTTCATCGCCAACTCCATTCTCCATCCTCGGTATTCGTAACCTAAGTTCTACTACTAAATAGTACGAGTCTAGTCTCCAAAGAGAAATAAATGGCTCCTGCTTTTAGTCTATTATGTACGACAACATTGCAGCAACGCAGCAAAGAGTCGCAGCTTGTGGTTGAGGAAGAAATCATGTCGACAAAAACGGAATAGCTTCAATGCCCGACTTCATCGTGAACTTGGTTATCAAACATTTTGGACGCTAGGTTCTTGCTGGTCGGGGCTGGGTATTACCGTTGCACACTAGCATCGCGTTCCAGCCTCTAGAGTCTACATAGTAATGAGCCCTCTCGGCCCTAGCCCTCTAGACTTCTCTCTAGCATCTCACAATCCCGGCCTTCGAGGGCCTCTTTTATTCTATGCTGGTGTTGATCACTTTCCTCACACGAACCTAACCAATCCAAGGTCAGTTTAAGGTCCGCCTGAGTATCCTTGTGTTATGCTTGGGCATCTGCAGGCAGATGCTTTGACCTCATCAAAGCAAATTTACACATGATACCCCAGACTTAATCGAGACAGGGCAGTAGACAGGGCATCAATATTCCATCCAAACCGTGGGTACTCGGAAATTGTAAGACTGGGTAAGATTAATAGAGAATAACAACCACTCGGATGTTTTCTTTGAATATCTCTCTTTTCTTTAGCCTCGCTGACGCCGTCTGTTCTTTTTGGCCTTATTTGCTTAGTTGGAAAATACTGTCCCTAAAAAAATACCTTCCTTTGCTTCTGACTGTTTCTGATAGTATTTTTTTGTGTCAACGGGGGACAGCCACCCCTGCTTCGCGTCCGCATCACTTTGCTTCTTCTGTACAGTACGTAAACCTGACCTCGTTGGTTTTCATTTATGTCGTCATCTTAAACTCTCGGACTTTTGCTTTCTCAATCGAATTCATCAACTTGAAAGGCGCTCGAAAATTGTGCGGTTGTTTGTTGTCAGACCCCCAGCCTACGTTTTATCGACTTTGTATTTTCCAGCCGCCTCACAACGGCACGAAAGGGGTTCAGAACCAGCAACGGAAAAAGCATTTCAGTAAAAAGAGGATTAATTCTTCCTACCGACTTTGCAGGATATCAAATTCCCTTGTTGGATTAAAGGGTTGATTAAAAAGCGAAAATACGCTACCAGGACAGCTTTTCGGGATACACCTCACACCTCTTCTAGAACTTAGGTAACTTGAGCGTTGTCGTCGATACAGGTTTGCTTCGGAGTTGCCACAGGGACGGTTAACGCGTCAGGGACCTTCGGGAGTTGTTATGGAAAAAATAACTTAAGGCCACTCCGGTATTATCGAATTGCAACTTTCATTTAGTCCGGACCTTCGACTATCGCTTGTCATACCCGAATATCCATCGTCAGCCGTCAGTCTCACAGATTTCCAGCTTGTTCGATATCTAGGTACACAGTCTCACGCGCTTCGCCACTGTTGGGTGATTCTCCGGTGAAAATCTCGTCGTGCTGCCTCAGTTCTCGGTAGCTTGCATAACCGTCCGACTTTATCTTAGGAATCTCTTAGGTTTTCTGTCTCGCTTGGCTCGCTATCGGAGAACGAAAGGGGGTATATTCACGTGAACCCTCGCTAGGTGCAGGGCGCGCATTTACTGTCGCAACAGGATCGCCATCACCTTTGAAAACTTACCAGGAAAAACGCTTGAGCAATAGGAACCATGAGTGGATTAATACCCTTATTACTACCATCCTCCGCGGGGTGTAAATCAACCATCAGTTCTTCAACAGAACCAGTCCGAAGGACATCGCTGATTCCGTCGTCAACTCCATCTTCGCCGCCATCCCTTATTCATCGTCGACAGCAATCTTTACCAGCAATTCAGACGGCAAGACGGGGTTCTCTCTTCCAACCAGCCTTGTCTATCATTCCGGCCACAACTTTGGAGTGGAAGAACGCTATACATGAGATCAAGCGAAAGTATCTCAACCATAAATACCGAGCCTGCTCAGCAAGGTGCTGCGAGATTATAGATAACCTCAAAGACACATCTGATGTGGAACCGCTTTACCTAATTCACCTACACTTCTATGCTGCGTCTTCTTTTGAACTATGCGCCAGACCACTATCGGGTTCATCCACCTACCGTACCAGGTTACTCCGCGATGCTCAAACTCACTACAGTAAGGCCGAGGCCTTAATACAGAACGCGGAGGAAAACATATCTCGAAAGACAAGATCTGCGTCATCATGCTCTACTACCTCGAGTCTGCATTCCCCGGGTTTCTCGCCTAGCGTACGGTCATCAGTTTCGAGCACCACATTTTCCTCACCCAGGACTTCGGTATGCTCAACAGGAGATGAGGCAGTGATGAAGCCAAATCCAAAATCGGGAGTCAAGGCTAAGAAGAAGGTCTCTTTTTCCGGATTGACCAATCTTATCGAGTTCCAACCCGAGCCCTATATTCGCCCCGATAGTCCTACCTTAGGATGGGAGGATGATATCTTTCCTCACAACTCAGATAGCTCTCTTCCCCTATTTTCATCAGGCAAGGTCAAGTCGGCGCCTTTATCGAACTTCGAGTCCGAAGAACCGGAAAGACCTTCCGAACCCGAACCTACAATACCAGAGCACTCCGCACCTCGCGATACCCAGCCTGCAGAAGAGCACAGTATTGCAGACGACAGATTCGATCTCTATGCATTTTTTCAGACGCGGTCTATGAATAGGATGTGCGCGCAACTTTCTGCTTTACGTTCACAAGTATCCTGGCATCGCGATGCAGTCGAGGCTTTACTAGCTGAGGCCGATGATGCGTCAGAACCACCCACACCATCAGGGGACTGCTCCCCTGCCTCTTCTCTACCACCTCGTAGAATGCCACTCGTTCGCGCGAGCACCCTCCCTATCGAGGTTGAATCGGGTTCAAGATCCAGCCAAGCCACGCCTCCGTGGACGGCCCCCGGCAACCGAGACCGCTTCACCGACTCGCCCGTCCCGGAAGATAACCCCAGAGCGATCGTCCGACCGGCATCCGCGGCCTCGACCATCCGCTGTACCGACGAGGCCTTGAGGCAGCGCATAGAGCGTCTTCGGGCTAACGGGTGGCGGCGGAAGCGGTTCGATAGCCGGCGGTACGAAGCCCTGCGAGAACAGGTCCTCGGCGAACTTGCGTAGGACCCGCTCTCCACTCCGAGAACCTGGTCTGGCAGTGCAAACGCACCCAATCGGCCTCGCCGCTTTCGTACAAACTTACGGGCTTGGCCGCATAGCCCAGACGCAGAACCCCCTGGCTGCCAATGTGCTGGGAAGGGATGGGACCGCGCTTAGTTAGATTTCAATTCTTGCTATGTATATTTGTACGCCAGTAATGCTTTTTTTATTTTCACCCGCATCCATGTATGTACTTATGTTTTGAGGACGCAAAGGGAAAAGGGGGAGGGGGGTAGTAGGGGGACACATGCTTAGGAGTTAGGAGTCAAAATCGCATGCGACGAAAATCGATGGGGAGAAGTATACCACTGTCGTTTTCACTTTTGGCCTTTTTTCTTTTTCATTACATTACACCTTCCACCGGTGGTAACTACCTACCACCTACCTATGTATCTTATTATACCCGGCTACGAGGCCGCCGCCCAGAACAAAAAGCAAAAACAAAAACCAACCTCAACGGGACGGCACAAGATCAGCCAAAACGCAAGGAGAAATGGAGGAGTCGAGTTCAACAAATATATCTAGCTTGCGAGGAGAAGGAGAAGGAGAAGAAGAAGAAGGTGAACTCGCCTAAGGAAAACAAGAAAGAACAAGATCGGAAAAGATGTAATGAAGTTGGCACGAGGAAATGGGGAAAAAAAAAAGAAAAAACCCCTTGTACGTGTATACATGTCAGTTATTCAGATCGGATCAGACGTCAGACGTCGCTGTAACGGAATGGGACGAGCAATTCTAACCTAATCCCCCGCGACATTCAACTTTCCCTCTTTCCCTCTTTCTCCCCCCTTCTTCTCCCTACGGTTTTGTTCCCTGCCGGGGAAAACGCCAAACGGAAGATAGAGAAGAGAGGAGATAGGAAACGACGAGGGAAGAGAGAGAGAGAGAGAGAGAGAGAGAGAGAGAGAGAGAGAAAAGGGAAAAGAATTAGTAGGTTAGGTACATTTAATGATTTACGTTATCACACGTATATATATGCACATACAACCCTACCTAATTAAACAAATAAACAATAATCCTGCCAAACAAACTGCCTAGGTACTTCCCTACCTAGCTTATAAGTCATCTCGTAACTTGTGAAGAATCAACGGAAGTGTCACCGAACTGAAGCTAGCTCATTTGGTCACTTGCACAAAAAAAAAAAAAAAAAAAAAAAAAAGGGAACAATATACTATACTATACGTCCGTGACGCCTTAATAAACCCGCGCCTAACCGCAAGAGTGTGACTGGACGACACGAAACGAAGAATTCAATATTGAAGAAGCCCAACGCTGGACGAGCTCTGATCGAACGCGAAAACGGATATCGGGAAGGAACAGGATATAGAAAAAAAAAAGAACACGAGGGGGAGAATCTCTTATTCCCCGGAACGAATAGCCAACTACTTTTTCTTCTTCCACCTCTATCGATTCCCGCCTGCTATGCACTGTAACGACTCGGTTGTGGTAAATAATGCCCACGCTGTCCTTGATATCCTTTCCCTACTTCTGCCGCTGCCCTTCCGAGTATGAAAGGGGGTATCTAATATATTGCTAAGTTGCGCCAAACACAATTCTGTCTCTGTTTTGCTCAACCGTGGAAACTCCTTCGCTTCGCCTCCTTTTCTACTTCTTCCGTGATCTTGAGAGTCTGTTCTTGCTCCTTCATCTCGCGGACCTTAGCTAAAACTACCTCGCGGAAGATGGCGCCTTTCATAGCGCGCGTAAGCCTGCCCTTGCCGGTCTCCTGTTTCGATGACGTAGATTTGCCGGCTTCTTCGCTGGCTGGAGCCACTGAATCGTCAATGAAGTCTGGGTTTTCCGGATCGTCTTCTTGCAGCTTGAGCGCCTCGATTCGGTTTGCCAATTTGACAAGTTCGATACCGCGGCGGAGTCTTGCTTTGGCCATGTAAGCCCTAATTTCGGGAAGCAAGTTATGGTCCGAAGCGTTTTCGCCGCTGAGCCAGGGGTGCCTGAGTGCTTGCTAAAGAGATAACAATGTCAATATGAGAGTAGTGGGATCAGGACAGAAACTGAGTATCACGTACCTTGCTGGTCCATCTCTTATCCGGATTCGGCTGTAAGAGGTGCATAATAAAGTCCTTTGCATCGTCACTAACATCTCTCCAGTAACGCTCATGGAAGACCACCTTCCCGTTACTGCATTCATCGATTAAATCCTGCAGGTTTTCGGAGCGGAAAGGAGAGTAACCGCAGAGAAGAGTGTAAGTAATGACACCTAATGACCACATGTCTACGGGTTTGCCATGACCTTTCTTCAACATGACTTCCGGTGCCGCATAACCGAAAGACCCCGCCATTGTGGTAAGGACTTCGTCCTTGGTATCAAGCATCTTTGCAATTCCAAAATCCGCCAAGACTAAGTCGGAGTTGGGGTCTTTGCTAAGGTAGAGGAGGTTCTCGGGCTTAAGATCTAATCGCACAGTTAGATGACTGCCGTATCGCTGCTTGCGGTGTCTTTTTTTTTTCTCGCTACATACCTCGGTGCACCACGTTCCTATCGTGGAGATAGTCGACAGCGTCGAGAACCTGTCTGATGGTCTGCGAAGCATCCTTTTCGGTAAATTTACCCTGTTCGCAAATGCGATCGAAAAGCTCGCCGCCAGTAGCGAGCTCAGTAACAATGTACCATTTATCCTATAGACAATTGAGTCAGTTGAAGTCCGTTACAGGATACGTATAAGCTTATTTGGTAGTAGAACGTACTCTCGACTCGAACCAATCGACGAAGCGAACAATATGTGGGTGCTTGAGGCGCTGGAGCATATCTAACTCATCCCAGACCATCTGCTCGTTTCCCTTAACATTCTTCTTGAGGATGATCTTGATAGCGACCTTGCCCTTGGGGCTGTCTGCCTCACGCACAATACCGTATGTACCGGCACCAAGGGTTCGGCCAAATCTGTATTTTGCCTTTTTCTCGTAACTCTCCGGCTGGCCTCGAAAGCTGCTAAACATCGCGTTTACTATAGGGCGTGGTGTAATTAGTACGGAGTGGCTCTGAGACTAGCATTATACACTCAACACTTCGATCAAGGGGTTGAGACCATCAACGAGCGAATCGATGAGGACATAGCCGATATACGTTTGTTGTTCTTCCCTGAATCAAAGAGGGGAGGCACATTGGATTAGGCATTAGGGGGGGGCTAAGATGGCAGGTGAGGATGGTAAGAGATAACTCACAACTCATTGCGACGTGGGGTAAGTTGGATCAGGAAAAGCGATGAACTGCGAGGGGTTTCTAAGGTTGGTCCTTCGCTATGTATTTTGGCCAACAAGTTCGTGGAGTCGAAAGTGGAAAGAAGGATGAAGGGGACGATCTCCCTCTTAAAGAATGAAGAAATAATAAAATTGATGTGAAGTACAAGGGATCGAAATTGCAGAGAGCAAAAAGCACAGGCCGTTAAAAAGACAACGAGGCTTCAGCTCCCAAGATAACGTTCTGTACCTAAATATATGCAGGTCAGAAATAGAAATAGGTATGTTAAGTACACTTCGCAAAGGAAAATTGAAGGAATAGGTAAATGAATGAATGAATGAATGAATGAATTGCTGGTCGCAAGTGGGCTGTAAGATAGAGGTAGCAGGGTTTGGGCCTGGACAAGTTTGAGTTGTGGATGCGGGTACGGGTACGGGTACGGGGGAGTCTGATGTAAAATACCTAAAATACCTAAAATACCCATACAATACGCGTGTACGTATTTGTATTCCTACTTTTCTAAAATGCAATAATTAGTACTTGTACCTACTTTACCTAGCCTAGGTATACCTAAGTGTAGGACTTTGTAGTTGCCAGTTGGGTGTAAGTGGTTAGGGAAGTGACAAGTCAATAGAGTAGCCCCTCTGATGGACCCCTCTCTGATGGACCCCTCCTTTTTCTTATTTCTTAATTTATCAGATTATTTAGCTGTTTTGGGGTAAGAACACCTGAATTTCGATCGACCCTTTATATAAAACTGGAGCGAGGGGCTTTCCGCTTTCTGTCACATGGATAGGTGCCGATGTTTGCCGTGTTAATTATTCGTTAATCACTTGATGCAGAGTATGAAGTAGTTTGGACGACGGGAGAAAGTTGAGAGAACGGGAGGAAATATATCTGATCGGGATGTTACGTACATGGAACTACCTAAGGGTATGACATATACTCCCATACCGCTCCCATGTGGTTTGTAAATAACCTCCCGGTTAGGTAGGCTGAGTTTAGAGGTAACCCTCTGTGTTAGCCATCTCTTTTAGTTTTGCCTTACAGTTACCTCCATGCATGTGTTATGTGCGTATGCTATGTGATATGATGTGATGAGATAAATTAGGAAAAAAAGGAAAGAAAAAAAAGCCTTGCCAGGTACCTTGTCCAACTGGGTGGGGTTGTGAATACTGCGTATTGTATTCCGCCTATCTAGAGGCAGCTCGTGCATCGCAGCCATCATCGTTACTATTGCTGATGGTATTGGATGTTAGGTAAACCTCGATAGTGTGTGTATTAGGGCGGCCGCTCAGCCGCAATACTGGAGCAGTCCTGATCCAATAACTCCCAATAGCTTGCTGCATTCAATGGGTGGTTCGAGTGTGTAATTAAGGTACCTAGGTAGGTAACCAGGTTCATGCTGTCCTCGGAATCCGGCATGTCGGCCTCGACCAGCTCGCGCCATCATTTTTCAAGTAGCAAGTCGTTATTTGGGTTGCCTCAGTGGCTGAGCATCCCTCTTAAGTCACCAATGCCACCCTCTAGTTAGTATAGCTTAGAGATGAAGAGGATAAGAAGAACGCATTATCCACAACTTGGTTCATCTTGATGAACCGCATATGCATCCAAAGTTGTAAGTGAGCGCTCTTAAGAATGAATAATAACGTAAGTGGTGCAGACCACAACGGCCGTATCACATGGTAAAAAATTCATAGTATAGAAACTTGAAGCGGAACATTGACTACCTGGGCGAGGCATTGTACTGTATATAATAAAAATGTGATGTACATATGTACTAAGCAATATTTCATTCTGCGCTTGTCGAGAGGTCTTTCCTTTCCTTCCTGCGGCCCGCCTGCCTTCTGTATCAGTTGTGCAATACCTACTACCTATGCGACATGATGTTTCCTCTTATGCGTCTCAACTAACTGTAACCTATCTCCTGCCTGATACGCTAAAGGGAAGGAGTCATCTGCGAGGCGCTTATTATCGATATCGATAACCAGGATCTATAGGCTACTAGCACCTAGGTACTCATATAAGAAGTAACTTGGTATAAATACTAACGTCAACCTAGCAGTCAGGCCAAACAACTACGCGCCTTCTTCAGGTAGCTCTGTTGACTTTGCGGGGCAACTCTATTTTTAAGCACTTGAGGAACGACCTACACTTCTTACATATCTTACATATTTTAGGTATACATACGTCAATCAATCAATCAGTGTGTTTTCTGTGACAAAAAGTACAAAAAAAAAGGGCATACAGTATCGAACAGATCGGTCATTTTATTCCCTGAAACCTGCCGTCTTTGGCTTCGGAGGCGCTTAAGTTGGACAGACAATGTGCACCTCGATTTGACTTAGCCACTGTATGTAAACCCACAAGGTACCTAACATGATCTGAGCTTAAGCTTTCCAAATCGCCCCCCGTGCATCGTTCTAACTTACCCAGAAGAAATTCCTTTACTACAGCCTCATTCCTTAACCACCCCCGATCGATTAATGCCTGTTCGGGCTACATAGTACTTTCCAAGTCCGCTCAAGTTTGGCAGACAAGTTCAATCGTGGGGGTTAACCTACCTAACCTTAGAGGTACCTATTGACGATAAAATCGAGTACAACTACAACTGTGCCCCTCAACGTCGAACATCAATTCACTTGCGCCGCTCGCGTGCCTATTTCCTTCAGTCGAAATGGCCAACTTGGGACCTAGGAGATTGACGAAGGAGTTGGCTAAGGTATTACTTATTTTTGTAATCATGATTGGTTCTTGCAATATGGCATGCTAACCAGACCCCCGACCTTCAGATATCGAATAGCTTACCTCCCGGTATTGCTTTAGTCTCGGCAGATAACCTTGAAGAGTGGTTTCTGGACATCCAGGTTCTGGACCAGAATCCTATTTATGCAGGCCAGACGTACCGTCTAAAATTCAAGTTCAGCAACTCGTATCCCATTGGTATGGGCTTCCGCTTCCGCTATCCGTCCTACCGGAGATGGTAAACTAATTCGAGCGCAATAGAACCTCCCGAGGTGACTTTCGTCAAGCTAGAAACCCGCCCGATACCCATGCACCCTCACATTTACTCTAACGGAATCATATGCCTCGACTTGCTCGGGACGCAGGGATGGAGCCCTGTCCAGAACGTTGAAAGCGTATGCATGAGCATCCAGAGCATGTTGACAGGAAACACCAAGAACGAACGCCCACCCGGCGACGAGGAATTCGTACGTGGAAACCGCTTGCGACCGAGAGACATCGATTTCTACTACCACGATAACACCGTATAAGAAGATCGCGTCCAATTACTATATTCCCTAGTAGGGTTACCACTGGCCGTTTCACAACTTGGCGACTCGCTAAGACTCGAAGCACCTCGTTTCACTTGCATAACTGTTGCCTGGACTAGATTTACAAAGCATACTTTGTTGGACACCTGAAGGTGTGGGAGATTCATCCAGTGAGGCTGAATTCTCTTAAGTTGATATTAGCAGAGCGTGAAGCTGATAGACATTGCGTGGATAGGTAGCATCGACGGTCAAAGTAAACCATTTATATGGGAGCCAAGATTCCCGCGATTGGTATTTTAACGCTACGACAACAATCATACATTCCGGGTGACTGTGTATCTTAGCTTTAAGATTCGGTTAATACTTGAACAATTCGTGACGCCAGAGCCATCCGTAGCATTTTGAGGAACATGCCCGTACTAGCATCCAAAATAGTAATAGCAAGCTAGATGTTGTTTTCCATCGAATTCAACAATGCTCAATGCTCTTTCTTAGGTATTGAACCAAATTGACACATTTCATACAGCCGCATAGCTTGTGTACCTTATAAGGTGTAGAGAGCGGAGCTGTGACGTCGTGTCCCTCCTTGCTGCTTTTGCATACTACATAGTACCTACCACAATACAAAGGTCGGGCATACAATGGTGTCTCTAACCGTGGGGCTAGCTAAAATGGGCTAAGCGATAAGCTTGTCGAACCCCACCTAACCTTACTTGCCTTACCCAAATATTCTGCAGGCCTGACAAGCCACCCCAGTTCAATTTGTACAGTAATTCCTCCAGCAAACTCCAGCTTCAGGCTCCTAGCTCCTAGCTCATACCTAACTCGCGAACCCGCCAACATTTTACCAACACCTTACATTTTACATAACACGTAACACGTAGCACGTCGGCTCTTCCGCTCAGAAGCACCACCCCCATGAAGAGCTCATAATGGAAATGGCTCCTCATGTGGGGTTCGACGCTGAGCAGATCAGAGATAAGGCTCGAAGGGACCTTCTTTATCTTCTCGAAGGCGTAAGTAAGGCTGCCTTCAACCTCCGCCATTTTGCTTGGTTGGGATTAACATGATCGATCGCATAGGTTCGCGGGAAGAAGAACCTCGTCATCGAACGTAGCTTGGCTGGCCCAATTGGTACCGTAGTAAAGGTATCGACCTTACAAGATTACGGTGTAGACAAGTTCTTCATCCTCGAAAATAAGAATGCCGACACGAGCCAACGCAATGTCGTGTTTATGGCAAGGGGCGAATCTGCTCGCCACGCTCAATCCATAGCAGGTCCGTCTTTTCCTTCTCCCTCGCCCTTACTCTCGCCCTCGCCTTCAATCTTACTTTCATCCTGTGGCGCCTCAAAATTTCAAAAGAATCACGGGCTCTCAGTAGACGTCACGAATTCATTCACCCAACTCATGACGTCAGTCAATATTGCCCAAGATGAAGACTTTATGAGCATGACCTATAGTGTCTCGGCCAAAGTAGATGCTTGAGATACCATCATGACGTGCTAACATTTAGTATAGAACATATTAAGCGGCTACAACGCGAAAGCCAGACCGGACACGAATTCCACATCTTTTGGGTACCCCGCCGTACTCTGGTATCCGATAAACTCTTAGAGGAAGCTGGTGTGCTAGGTGATGTGAATATTGCAGAGCTTCCGTTATATTTCTTTCCGCTTGAGCGAGATGTCCTATCCCTAGAGCTCGATGACTCTTTTCGGGATCTATTTTTGTTTAAAGATACGACACCGACATTTCTCATGGCGAAAGCCTTGATGGGAATCCAGTCGAAACACGGGCTCTTTCCGCGCGTCATTGGCAAGGGCGACAACGCGAAACGTGTAGCCGAACTACTCACCAGAATGCGACAGGAAATACTGGCTGGGGAGGACACAAGTGAAAGTATCCGGTCTGGGCTTACCCCAAGCAACACGATAGAAAGTGTCATATTGATTGACCGCGAAGTCGATTTCGTTACACCATTACTCACGCAGCTGACGTATGAAGGGCTCATTGATGAGGTCTGGGGGATTCGTAACAATCAAGCTGATATTGATTCTACCATCGTGGGAGCTCCGCCACAATCTGCGTCCCAAAGCACGACTAACCCGACAGCTAATGCGCCATCAAGGAAGCGTAAAATACAACTGGATTCCTCAGATAAGCTTTACGAGGGACTTCGCGATGCGAATTTCGCAATTGTCGGTACGCTTCTCAACAAGGTTGCGCGAAGGTTGCAAAGCGACTATGATAGTCGCCACTCATCCAAGACAACCGCGGAGCTCAAGGATTTCGTGAAGAAGTTACCCGGCTATCAAACGGAGCACCAGAGCCTGAAGATACATACCGGACTTGCCGAAGAGATCATGAAACATACACGGACAGACCAATTCAGTCGCATGCTAGAGGTTCAACAAAACCTCGCTGCGGGTGCCGATCCTGGTTCCCAATTTGAGGCTATCGAAGAGTTAATTGCGAGAGACGTACCGCTGCAGGAGGTATTAAGACTCTTATGCATATATTCATGCATATCTGGTGGCATCAAAGCGAAGGATTTCGATCATTTTAGACGCTTAGTATTAGAGGGCTACGGTTATCAACATTTTTTAACCTTAGTTAACTTGGAAAAGCTACAGCTATTCCTATCTCGTACTTCGCCTATGGCAAGCATGATTCCCATACCCGGCTCGGGAACAGCAACTGGGACCAAGACGAACTACGCCTACTTACGCAAGCAGCTCCGCTTAATCGTTGACGAGGTTAATGAGCACGATCCCAACGACATCGCATATGTGTATAGCGGCTACGCGCCCCTCTCGATCCGTCTCGTACAATGTATACTGCAGAAGCAATACCTTCTTTCCATCACACGCGGAAACGGGACGACTGGCGCAAGCACAGCCGCCAGCAGCGGTGCGCAGGGGTGGCGAGGTTTTGACGACGCCGTGAAACATGCGCGAGGCCAGACGTTTGATGAGCTACAAAAGGGCGAAGACAAAGCAGTCAAAGCCCGAGCTCTCTTATCCGGAGGGGGCGACAAGAAGACGGTGTTTGTTGTATTCGTGGGAGGAATAACATTTACCGAGATCGCGGCGCTGCGATTTATCGCAAAAAAGGAAGAAGGTCGGTAGCGAGTTTACCCCTATGATATGTATGCTCTTTCAGTTAAACTGACAAGGCTCTTTTAGCCCGAAGGAATATTGTAATCTGCACGACCTCGATCATTAGCGGGAATAAGATGATGGATGCTGCGGTAGAGAAGAAATCATTTGCAAAGGAGCCACCTAAACCAACGACTGCGGCTTCGTCTACGGCCTAGTAATGCGAATTATTTCCCGCACGGCATATACTGACGACTTGACTTCACCAACAGGACGGTAGCAGCTTCTCTTGACATATGATGATACGAGGGAGGGTAATTGATTTATATGTGTGTATATATATAATTGTTGGCTCCAAGAAGTAGGGGCATAATGAATATGCTTAGCATGATGAATGGGTCCCGGGGGGTGGTTCAAATCTAGAGCCAAGGGATATTAGCGAATGCAAATCAAGGACAGATCTGGCATTAATTATACTTATTCTATTATTCTAACAGTTGGGCGCATTACTTGCTTGATAGATACGATACGACATGAGGTCAACGGAGGTTGAAGAGAAGTGAATGGGTAGATGGCGATTAGACGACTAACTTGTAGGTAGTAACAATTTAGGGATCACGTGCAGTGGCAGCGGGGAGCACGGAGCACACCCACCCTAGAAGACCAAAAATTGAAGTGGGTTTAGCGGCTAGCGCAAGATCAGGAGGAGCAATTCAGTATCGCATTACTTATGCAGATTTGAATACCTAACCTGATGCTAATGTGTACATGCACAATACAAGGCGCTGTCTCTATCCTTCTTACATTGAATCTTACATCCTAACCTACATACTTACACATTTTCTGACTCTCCTCCCCCCCTCGAGATTTGGGGGTTATTTAAAACCGAAAAACAGATCTCTCCCCAAAGCCTTTATTAATGCAAAAGAAAATATTCCTCGAACCCTTGAAACGGGTCTCAATTGTTTAGTCGTCTCGAAACCTACACCAATCGAACCTATCATAATCGAGGTCGAGATCTACCTACCTCTACTAGGTTAACTACCTTTACCTAGATATATTTCATATGGGTGTACAGTACTGAGACCTGGTTATTTTTACTGTGCGTGATCATTCGATACTTTAATAAAACCTCCGAATCAAATGAGGCAAGTCTTGTAAATGTCGACTAACAAGACTCCTTAGAATCCAAAGAAGAAGTCCAAAACAAAATTCAAAAATCCAGACTCTAGATTACCGACAACTTCCGGTAGTCAGTATGACATTCAAGTGTCAATTTTCTACAACCAATCTAGGACGAGATACTTGATCATTCAATGGGGAGGGGAGTATTTGTATTGGCCAAACTCCCAATACACGAATCCCGGACGACCTCGCTCATACCTATATATCGATGCGTGTGTATGTCTCCGGCCAACACGGAATCTGAGCTCGTCGGCTATGAGCAGCACTCAGGAAACCCTGTTGGAGGAGGGTAATTTCATAGGGTCGGGCCCTCTAGTGGATTTGGAGGAATTGGATCATCATCTAGAATCAATTCTTGCCTTTCCGGCTGATATCACGAGAACTCTCCCAGCAGCTCTCCTCACGGACTCCTTCACTTCTTATAAGCCCGAGCTGTCTACGTCCGGAGATACCCCAAGAACAGAATCTGAAATCATTGTTCGAATTGACAATATGGATATGTCTCCGGACGATACTACGGCCTCTGCGCCTGTATCACGACGAGATCCTACGTAAGTCTCTCATGTGACATGATCCGCGATGATATGCTTTCCCATCATAGACTCGAAACTTCAATGTTATCTTTCCATATCCTAAACAGATAATAGGTCTCATCACAGTCAGTCACCATTGATGGATTCCAGATATCCGAGGGTTCAAAGGAACTCTGGAAATTCATTCGAGTCCTCAGTTTCGGCTGTCTCAGACCAGTCGGAATTAACATCTCCGCCCCCATCGTCGCATTCCAGTAAAGCGACGACGCCGGTTGAGGTAGACATATCACAAGAGCCGTTGAAGACATATTTCAATAATAAAACCACCGCTACCACTCCTAAGAACAAAAGACGCCGGTTCGATGTGCGACCACGAGTATCTATCCCGACAGACATCTCTCCACATGATTATGCCAACCAATGCATAGCCGCAGCCGAGTCTTCCAGATTAAATCCTTATGCGCTACATCAGGATGAATACTTGATGTTGAGAAACCATCTCAGCCATGCTCAGGTAACCACATATCTGAACATCCGAAATGGCATCTTACGGTTATGGTTGAATAATCCTCGAATCGGAGTTTCCCGCGAGGAAGCCGTTGGGTGTGCTAAAGATTCAAGGTGGTTTGATGCTGCAAGCGTATGCTACGACTGGCTTGTCCGATCGGGATATATCAACTTTGGCTGTGCCGAAGCTCCCTCGGTTCGGAAGCGGTCCAAAAAAGCCGATTCGAATAAGAAAGGGAAGACCGTAGTTGTGATTGGTGCCGGACTGGCCGGTCTAGGATGTGCGAGGCAATTAGAGAGCCTATTTGGCCAATATGAAGAACAATTTCGGGATCTAGGAGAAGAAGCCCCGAAGGTAATCGTTCTTGAAGGACGAAATCGCCTGGGTGGTCGTGTGTATTCACGCGCACTCGATGGTAGCAAAAGTCAACATCTAATCGGATTCCAAGGTCGGCGGCATAGTGTTGAGTGCGGAGGCATGATTATCACTGGATTCGAGCGAGGTAACCCACTCAATGTTCTGGTGAGAGGGCAGATGGCTTTGCCGTATTACGCTCTACGACCCGACACCACCCTCTACGACGCTAATGGCAAGGCTGTAGACGACGTAAGAGATCGTCTTGTCGAGAAGCTCTACAACGATTGCCTCGAACGAGTAAGCGACTATAAGTTTAAGAACCCACCGTCCAAACTTATTGAAGGCAACAGGGACCTAATGGATGAAGGCCGGGATAGTTCGGCTGAAGGCCAAAAGACCATCGCCCAGGTTGAAGAGGCTACAGCTGCTCTCCCGCAAGCACCGCCAGTCTCAGAGCAGAGCTTAGGGCCCCAAATCAGTCTCGTCCCTGTCTCTACGGATCGAGCAACGGGTAGGACCCACGTTGAGCCGGGCACTCCAGCCACTCTAAAGGCAGGTTTTAAGGCACGTCTGATGGGTTGGGCGCTCAAGGAACATGTGACTGAGGACTATGATTTAAACCTCGAGGCAGCGGCTAAGGCTCCCAACGCTACGCTTGGCTCTGTGATGGACGAAGCCATCACACAATACAAGAATATTGTCGACCTCACGCCCCAAGATTTTCGACTTATGAATTGGCACATAGCGAATCTCGAATACAGCAACGCGATCAATTATAGCCAACTGAGTATAGGAGGTTGGGATATTGACGCCGGTAACGAGTGGGAAGGTAAACACACAATGGTAATCGGGGGTTATCAAGATGTCGCGTGGGGCTTGGCTAATATGCCCTCGCGACTAGACGTTCGAAAGAATACTAGTGTCAAACAAATATTCTACGATCCCGATGGAATAAAGACTGCACGGGTCGAATGTGAGGATGGCTCAACCTTGGAGGCAGACTATGTGGTTTCTACTATACCTCTCGGAGTTCTGAAGCACGGTAGTGTTGAGTTCAATCCTCCTCTGCCTCCCTCTAAAGAGGGTGCCATTAGCCGTTTAGGTTACGGTATCCTTAACAAGATTATTCTCGTCTACGCGGAAGCCTTTTGGGATACGAGTAGAGATATCTTCGGTTGTCTCCGGACTCCAAATTCCCGACACAGCCTCAAGCAGTCTGAGTACACTTCGCAGCGTGGGCGTTGTTTCCAGTGGTTTAATACCTCGAATACAAGCGGCATCCCGGTTCTTATTGGATTGATGGCTGGAGACGCTGGCTTCGACACCGAACATTCTAAGAATGACGAGCTTGTGGCCGAAGCTACAGAGGTCCTGCGAAGCGTATATGGTGCCAAAGTTCCCCAGCCTGTGCATTCAATCGTTACGCGCTGGGGCTCCGACAAATTTGCCCGAGGATCCTATTCTTCTGCCGGCCCGTCAATGCGCCCAGACGACTATCAAACAATGGCTAAATCAGTTGGCAATCTGTTCTTCGCGGGAGAGCACACAACCGATACTCACCCGGCCACGGTACATGGCGCATATCTTTCTGGACTACGCGTAGCGTCGGAGGTAATCGATGCCATGATCGGCCAAATCGAAGTCCCTACTCCATTGATAATACCGAAAGAAACCGCCTTCTTTCCTCAGGGTCTGAAACGCAAAGAACCCAGTGATGCTCCATTAGCCGTCTCTCCTAAATCTAACAAGCAGGCTCGTATCGACGAATATGAAGCCGCCGCTTGGCAGCATGTTATAGCACAAATTGGAGAGCGACCTTGGCGACCTCAGAAAGTTGCAGGAAATGCTTATCTCCTCTACAGTAAAGCTTTCTTCGAGACGGCACGCAAGCGGTGTGCGGAAGGACGCCGGGCTGGTAAGGGCAAGCCGGGTCCGAATGAAGTGCGAGTCATGACAAGTAAGATGTGGAAAGAAGCGGCACCCGAAGACCGAAAGCCGTTTGAAGATCAAGCGGCAGAACAAAAACAGAAATATAACGAGGCATTGAAGACTTGGGAAGCGAAAGTGAAGGAATGGGATCAACGTTACCCCGTGGTACGGGGCGAGTATGAGAAAAATCATAAACTCGTACTCGAGGACGAAGGAAGTCCTGCTAGCGAACGAGGAAGGGAAAGGAGACGAGCGAAAGTCAGTAACTACGCCGAGAGCGAGGGAAGCGATATCGAAATGGAGGAATAAAAAAAAAACTTTGGAATCAGGTTTTCCCTCCCTCCTCCCCCCTTTTTTTTCTCCAATTGCATACATATATATCTACCTACCTACCTACCTAACGTACATAACCAAAGCTCGTGGGATGATGATGATGCTGCCTCGATTTTTAAAGAGGTAAGGAGTTGTACAAAAAGAAAAGCTTTTTTCACTACCTAACCAGGCGTTGGCCCCGACGACTGGCATGTATAGAGAAGAAGCCAGTCACATTTTTTTACGTTTCTCGTTATGGTTGGCGTACGGGCTTTGCATCGAAAGTAGTCAACATAAGGGGAGCGGCGTTGGGTGGGTGGGTGGCGCGTGGTCGTTCTCGAAGTACATACATGTCATTGGTACAATACATACCTCTGCCTCTATCTAGGTACTTACTCGCCAACGGCTAAGGACTCTTCTTCTTCTTCTATAATCAATGATTTAGAAGGAAGGAAGCCCTTGCAAGGCGTGGTGCTTGAAATACGTTTGTTGCGATGAATTTACTATTTAAATAACTACCTATTCTTAGGTACCTACGTAGCTATGCTTTTGAAATACAGCGTGATTGTGGCTTGTATCGTGTCGTACTCTCCACGTAATGAATGGTCTTGATAATTGTGTGTGGTTAGGTATAGCGTAGTGCTAGCTTGCTGCTGGGCTGCCTCGTGCTCAAGGGCTTTGGGGCTGTAGCGTAAGTAAGTAAGGATTGGGATGATGCACCAGAGGCGTGGTGGATCAAGATGATTGATTCTTGGGGTATATACACGTGTGAGGGATCGAAGGGGTTAGGGGATAGGATAGTTGGGTGGTGGTTGCTTCTGACGTAGAAGAGGTGGTTACGGGGAGAGGCGAGGCTTGGGATATATCGATTGGTTGGTAGGTAGCTAGGTAGGTAGGTACTCATATACACAGCTATACGACTAGGGACTGATGTCAATTCCATACTCTGCTGTATCCAGCCGTGTACATTACCTTAGGTAGATAGGTACGTACGTACGTACCACGGTCTGGATAGCATCTCACAGTTAGACTAGATAGACTTTGTAGCTGGCGGACGGGGAGAGGGACTACGATCTATGTGTACCTAACCTAAGGTAGGTAGGGTAAATACCAGGTAGGTAGACATTAGATATCCGATGTAGTAGCCAATGCTAACATGTATGAATGAACACGAGTCGCAAGCCTATCTTACCTTAGGTACCTACCTACCTACCTAACATAACGTAGGTAGTTACAGAGTCCCAAGGCTAGGATTAGAACGTCATCACGCCTTAGGGTTTTCCCCCCTATCTTCTTGTCTCTCGGAGTTAGCGTTAGCGTTCACTATTCTTTAAACCAACGTCTAGGTAGGCAGGTGTATACCAGGTACCTACCGACCTACCTAATCCACATCAGAACGAGCTCCTTTCCTCTCCTAAGGGCTCCTTCTCCTGGTTAGAGCTGGGGTCATAATAATAATAGGTAATGTGTGTTTGTGTGTACATACATACTCGAACATCTGTATAAACTGACGGTATGTAGGTAGGTACATACCTACCTACATAAGGTAGTGCGTTTCCGGACAATGGCAAATAAAAATCTGTAGTTATATGTAAATTAGAGGGCTTGTGATATCTACCAACTGCCCATTCCCCCATCAAGAGATGTAGTTTTTTGTCTTGGAAGATATAGATAGGGAGACGGTGTTTTGTGTGGGAGGCGGAAGGGAGTAAAGTAAAGTAAACCCTGTGTGGCTCATCGCAAACAAAGGGCGAACTTGGACAGACCTTAGAAGCTAGGTACACCTCCTGCTATTCCAGATATCGGGATTGCGGGAGAGACGAATACAGTTTTCACTTGATATGTCAGATGCCCTGTTATCTCAGGGATTAAGTTGGGGGTTGTTTGGTGTTTGAGTCGCATGCAGAAACTTGCGTCACACACGTATGAACAAAGAGGGACAACAGACAAAGAAAGAAGAGGGAACTGAGGATCTAGTTCATCGAATTGATTGATACATCCAAGGCGGCAGAAGCGCCGAGGTATTGCTTAGGGTACTTTGATACAAAGGGAAGATGCGCGCGATTGGATCGATCAACCACCCCCCATCTATTTTTCTATCACCCCCCCTATTTTTTACATGTCCTCCGAGGCGGTAGCACCAGTGATAATTTCGACCAGTTCGCCCGTAATGACGGATTGACGGGTTCGGTTGAACAGAATCTGGTACTTGTTGATCATCTCACCGGCGTTCTTGGAGGCATTCTATAGAAGAAAGAAAGACGGTTAGCGACGGGGGATTATGACATTTTAATTTTGACAGAGTTAAGTTTTTGATGGGGGGGGGGAGAAAGGGGGGGAAGGGGGCTAAACTTACGTCCATAGCCTGCTGTCGGGCAGAGATTTCACAGGCGTGCCCCTCGGCCAAGGCCCAGTAGAGAGAGTTAGCGAGGGTGTATTCGCGGAGATTGGAGAGGAGCTCCTCGTCGACCTCGAAGGCGGAGAAGTTGGGGGAGTTGGCGATGGCCTCCTCGGAGAAAGCTTCGATGATGACGGGCTCGTAGCTGGTGGCGTTGATGAACTTGTTGTACACGATCTTAACAGTGGAGTAGTCGGTGGGCAGCTGGACGACCTGGTCGGCGATGGCCTGGGCGTCGGCGAAGGTCGGGATGTCCTTTCCAATGCCGGCGAAGCTGAGGACGATTTCTTTGGCGTGCGTACGGCTGAGCTGGGCCCTCGACTTCTCGCCGATGAGGATCAGGTCGGAAGGCTGGGGGTCGGAGGCCAGCTGTCGGCGCATGAATCGCGAGAGACCGGAGTGAATACCGCCGCAGAGACCCTTGTCGGAGCTGCACACGATGTACAGGCACTTCTTACCCTCGCCCTCGAGGGGCTTGGTCTCGGCGGATTTGAACACTTCGTTGGAGGTCTGGCCGTACTTTCGGGAGTCGTTCATGACACGTTGGGCGCGGGTCAGCTTGGTGGAGGCCACGATCTTCATGGTGTTGGTGATCTTCTCGATGTTCTTAATGGACTTTAGACGACCTTCGATTTCTCGTAGGGTAGCGTAGCCAGCTGCTGCTCCATTGTTGGCGGCACTGAACCAATTCTAGTATTAGCACGTCTTTTTCTTTTCTTCTTTTTATAACTTTACAATTGACTATTATTTATTTCCGTCCAAGCTTGGATTTGGATTGTGTTTGTAAAGTTATTTTATTTTATTTTATTTTCTTGAGGGACCCTCTTGCGAATTGCCTCATATAATAAAATAATCCCACTTTCGAAGAAATTCAAAAGATCCGACGTACCGAGCAGGAATAGCCGCAGCAGCACCAGCTCTCAGAGCCGGTCTTGCTACCCTTGAAAGCATCTTGGAGAGAAACTGGAGGGTGAGTCGTATCCTGGAGCCCTTTAAGGAAAAGGTTGATTGCGATGCGATGGGGAAGCGCAATCAATTGGGTTGACTCTTCGGATCAATTATTTTGAATGGAGGTTCGATTGATCTTTCGGCACCAAAAGCTTCAAGGTTCTTTTCGTCCCCGTTCCCGACCCGGGGGAGCCATGAGCCACGAGTCACGAGCCACACGCACAGCCATCAATAGGTCCTAATAGATGTACATAGGTACTTCACGTATTGTAGGTACATCCATGGACGTATCTCTTCCTGCGGCCTGCCTGCTTCCATGCCAAGCAAATTGTTTTATTTGAACATGTACTTTGTACTCCCGTAACAACCTTTTTGTTCTTTCAAGTTCCCTACGCCGGTGGTTCTTGCGTCTACTAATTCGGAAGCGACTCATGCATCTCATATAATTATCTAATCATTCTTTCTAGTATCTTTTTATTTTATTTTATATATATATATATATTTCTTACCTAGGTATATTTCCTCCCCTAAGCCGCATTGGGCCTTTTCTTTTCTTTCCTTTTCTTTTTTTTTTATTTACCACATCTGTTCCTTCGTACCTCGTACCTCGTTAGGTAGACTGGGGTTCACTAACAATTTTTTTTTTTCCTTTGCTTTCTATCAATACGCAACCCAGCAACCCAGCACGTAGCAACCAAGACCAGCCAGACCAGGGCCCGGCCGCAGCAAGCAGGACATTCTTGGATTCTTCCTACCCAGTCATTTACCCAGTCCTTACCTATTTCTTCTCCACTCATAAGGACAACACCTGACCAATAGGGATCCTCTACGGACTTTACCTGTGGCTAACGGGCTAGACTTTCATTGAATGAAGCCTTCTTTTTCAAGTCCTCACACTCGTCGTCTCTGACTTTTCCCCTTCCCAAATCTCACCGTTTCTCCCTCTTCTTCACTCCCCGTCGCTTGTCTGTCCTCCTCATTTTATAGAACAGGGTGGTGCACTACGGTGTGATCCACCCTTATTACTTTTCAAAATCTCCAAAATTCACTTTAAATCCGTCTTTCGCGCTCTCTTTCGTCGCACCTTCACTTCTCGAATCCTAAATTCCTATCTGAATCCCCTTCTTGGTCAACAAGCCGCCTTCGCGCCTTGCCGGTCTTACCCGCTCAACATGTCGGACTCTGACGACGACATGCCTCTGGCTCGCACCAACGGTCATCGTAAGTTGGTTTTCTTTTTCTTTTTCTCTTTTTAACTATGATTCGTTTTCTGGCATCTAGCCATCACACTCTCTGTCTTGCACCGTCCTCACATACCAAGTTTATACACTCTTTCATCATACTCGTGGCACTCGATTCTACTTATTTGCGTGCCTTTTAATTTACCTCGATCTCACCTATGCTAATGCGCCTTCCTATGTTTTAGTCTCGAATAATTCGAAAGCCATGAACCATAGTGCTACGAAACCCAAACCCGCCCCTGTGTCCATTCGCAACGGGCCGGTAAATGGCGATTCGTCCCCTCAGGCTAACGGTAACGCAAAGCGCAAGTCACGGTCTTCTACCAACAATGTGAGCTACAAGGACGCGTCGGACTCCGAGGATGGAAGATTGGTACGTTGGAACATGTTTACACTGGAACCGTGATGCAAAGTAGAAGCGTCTATGCTAATCCGCGGAATTAGGTTAAACGTCAAAGAAAGGTTGTTTCCGACGACTCCGACGACGAGGTCCTCAGCAAGAGAAAGACCAAGCTTCCACCTGCTGTTGATGAGACTGCTACGCTCGAAGATTCTGATGATGACCAACCGTTGACTGCGAAACTTGCTGCGAAGAGGAAGGCTATCGAAAAGAATGCCGAAAAGGATGCAAAAGCTATCAAGGCGAGCGAGGCTAAATCGAAAAAGCCGACTCCAAAGAAGGCCGTCAAGGATGAGTCGGATGACGACGTACCCTTAGCAGGCGCCAAGGGGAGAAAGCGACCATCCAACGGTGTCAATGGAAAGGGAAAGACCAACGGCGTCAAGAAGGAGGAGTCTGATTCCGACGCGCCCATTCGCAAGAAGGCAAAGACTGCTCCTAGCAAGGCTAATGTAAAGACGGAGAAGTCCACTCCTGCTAAGAAGGCTCCTGCCAAGAAAGCCAAAAAGGAAGTGAGCGAAGAGCCAGCCGAGGGCGACGAAGAAGAGGAGGAAGAGTACCGTTGGTGGGATGCACCCAAGAAAGAGGACGACAGTATCAAGTGGACTACCCTTGAGCACAACGGTGTCCTCTTCCCCCCGCCTTATGAACCCCTTCCAAAGGACGTGAAACTTATCTACGATGGTACTCCGGTCAATCTTCACGTCGAAGCTGAGGAAGTTGCCGGTTTCTTTGGATCGATGCTCAACTCCACCCACAACGTCGAGAACCCTACATTCCAAAAGAATTTCTTTACTGACTTCAAGGAGGTGCTTAACCGAACAGGTGGAGCAACGGATCGAAAAGGCAACAAGGTTGACATCAAGGAATTTTCCAAGCTAGACTTCAAGCCCATCTTCGAATACTATCATGCCAAGAACGAAGCGAAGAAGGCGCGTCCAGCTGCCGAAAAGAAGGCTGAGAAGGCCGAGAAAGATAAGATTGAAGCCCCGTATATGTACTGCAAATGGGATGGTCGCAAAGAAAAAGTCGGCAACTTCAGAGTCGAACCTCCCGGATTATTCCGTGGTCGTGGCGAGCATCCTAAGACTGGCAAGGTCAAGAAGCGAGTTATGCCTGAACAGATTACCATCAACATCGGAAAGGAAGCAAAGGTCCCAACCCCTCCCGAAGGCCATAAGTGGAAGGCCGTTCAGCATGACAACAAAGCCACATGGTTGGCGATGTGGCAAGAAAATATCAATGGCTCGTACAAGTATGTTATGCTGGGTGCAACAAGTGCTGTCAAGGGTCAGAGCGACTTCAAGAAGTTCGAGAAAGCTCGAGAGTTAAAAAAGCATATCGCAAGGATTCGCAAGGACTATACAAAGGATCTGAAGGCAGAAGCTATGGCTGACCGCCAGCGAGCCACGGCAGTCTACCTGATCGACAAGTTTGCTTTGAGAGCTGGTAACGAAAAGGACACGGAGAACGAAGCCGAGACCGTGGGTTGCTGTTCGCTCAAATATGAACATGTCACCCTCCGAGAGCCTAATACCGTCATTTTCGATTTCCTGGGTAAAGACAGTATCAGATTCTACGACGAGGTCACAGTTGACCGACAGGTGTTCAAGAATCTTCGAGTATTCAAGAAGCCGCCGAAGAAGGAGGGTGACGATATCTTTGATCGTCTGACCACTACCCAGCTGAACAAGCATCTTTCCTCTTATATGCCTGGATTGACCGCGAAGGTGTTCCGTACATATAATGCTTCCTATACCATGGCGAACCTGCTCAAGGGCTTGAAAGTCGAAGACGTTACCATGGCAGAGAAGATAAAGCTTTACAACGATTGCAATCGTGAAGTGGCTATTCTTTGCAATCACAAGCGGACGGTCGGCGCAAGCCATGAAGCACAGATGGAAAAGCTTAGTGACCGTATCAAGGGCCTTAAGTACCAGAAGTGGCGTAACAAGATGATGATCTTAGATGTGGATCCCAAGCAAAAGAAGAAGAAGGGCGCCGAGTTTTTCGAATTGGACGCCGATCTGGACGAAGCTTGGATCCAAGAGCACCAGAACTTCCTAGTCGAAGAGCAGCGAACGAAGATTCAGAAGAAGTTTGAGAAGGACAACCAGAAGCGTGAAGAGGAAGGCGAGAAGCCCTTACCTGATAAGGAGCTCAAGGAGCGTCTCAAAGCTGCGGACGAACTAGCAAAGAAGTTCAAGAAAGAGAATAAGACTAAGAAGGTAGAAGCCGAAGGAAGAGGCCCGACGGTCGAGAAGATTGAAAACAACATCCTGAAGATAGAGGAACGTATTAGGACCCTCGAGCTCCAGGCTGCCGACCGCGACGGAAACAAGGAGGTTGCTCTAGGCACCTCCAAGATCGTAAGTCATCTTGAGAGACATGGTTGTATTGAGGCGAATGCTGACTTGGTGTCTAGAACTACATTGATCCCCGCCTCACTGTTGTCTTTGCTAAGAAGTTTGACGTTCCTATTGAGAAGTTCTTCTCTAAGACTCTACGTGAGAAGTTCAACTGGGCTATTAAGTCTATCGAGGACGACGATCACTGGGAATTTTAAAGCTAAGAGTTGCTTCATTTATTCACTTTACTCTAGCACATATCATTAGTATATTTTATTGTATAGTACACATAGCGCTAAATTGCGTTGGAGGGTTTAGAGAGACCTTAGAAAGAGAAGAGAAATAGGGGCGGGGGGTTTCAAGAGGATAGGAGAAATGGAAGAAAGGGAAGAAAGGCGTTTTCTACAGCATGACCAGCTACGCGATCGACGAGCATGATCGGACGAGCCAGGTACTTTAGCATGGCGCGGTGCATTCCGGAGAGGTGCGAGTTACAGGGGTCGGTTTGTGGACAAACTCGAATTTTTTATGTCGCCTTCTAGAGAGAGCTATTCTACCTAGACAGACAGAAATACGATGCATTATTAATTTTCTCACTTTGGACGTATCTTGCGGAGTACTACCTATATTTGTATAAATATGCTAGGCTATGTAGGTAGGTACGTACCTAACGTTATGCTTGCTGAAGCCATCTGCAACGGTGCCGTTGGTAGCTGTCTAGCCCGACTTACATGCGATGTGGGAGGTAGGCAGAATAGGTAGTGCCTACAACCTTAATAGCCTATCTGCCTCTCTGCCTCTCTGCCTACCTTTTGCCTCTCTTTCCACAGCGAAAGTACTTACTTAGCCTAGGGAGTCTAGAATCCTGGAGAATCGATATAATGTGCTTACCTGTTACACGCCAGCTTACCTACATCTAACCTAGGTAGGTTAGGTACCTAGTTAGCGTTGACCAGCTATGTAGGCAGACAGGGGACCACCGCGCCATACAGATTCGTCCGATATATTGGATCTCACACCGTAGCTGGTACGTCATGCAAGCCGTCTGCGGGTTTGATTCGCCGGAGCGTAAGATCGCGCATGGGGCTAGAGCGTATAGATGTATGTATGTACTGTATGTATGTGCCTAGCCGCGGAGAGAGCGTGAGAGAGGTCTTTTTGGTTTTTACCTTTTATGTTGTGCATAGGTATGTACATACCTTATGTGGCTTAAAAAGAGGTAGAAAGGAGAAAGATTGCCTAGCTGAACTTGTATGTCATGCTGTGCTATGCTATGCCACCGCCCAAGTCTCTAGGTACCTAAGGCTACCTGTAGGCGTAATGCGTGAATGCAATGTACCTAATGTATCATATTTAAGATTTAAAGTACACGGCTCCGGCGAATATCATACAAGACACTGTATCTTAACTCCGATCCCAACTCCCAACTCCGGCGGTTCTTACTTTAGCTAGCATGAATGAATACATGGAATCGACCGAAAATGCGGGTTTTATAGGTATGTATGTATAAGTTAATGACCAGTAGCCGCTAAGCGGTAGCAGCAGCAGCAGCGAAGTTCTTCCGCACGGCGGCGCCGAAGCGCTCGATAGCGGCGTCCATGGCGGCCTCGGAGGCGGCGGCGAAGGTGGTCCGGAAGAAGAGTCCCGAGGAAGACGAAGAGGAGGAAGGTTCTTCCTGGTCGCGCTCGGCGCGGAACCAGGACCCGCGGATGGCGAGGACGCCCTTGTCGATGCAGGAGTCGAAGATGGCCTCTTCGATCTCGAGGATCGATTTGCTGCCGGCTTGCGGGTGTTTCGTGTGGTCGACTTTGAGCCAGAGCTGTAAGGGGGAAGGGGGAGAAAGAAGGCTGGTTAGAAAAGATGATAGTGGTGGGGAAAAAAAAGGGAGGCGGGGGTGGAGGGATGGTTGGGGAAGTAAGGGAGGAGAGGGGAGGGGGGGTTAAGGCTAGGGGATAAAGAGAAAAGGGAAGAGGATGGGCAGATAACTTACAAACATGCCTGCTGCCGGCGGAACCCAACTCACGATATCGCGAGGCAGATGCTTCTCGCACGCGGCGAGCATCGTGTCCCGCCGCCGGGTATACTCGAGCCTTAGGTGCATCAACCACTTCAGATACCCCTCGTGGCCCCACGTCTCGTCCACGAGCTTGTACATAAGCAGCTGGGAGATCCCGCTGGGCCCCTGGCTGCAGCACTCCGAGTGCCGGATGTACCGCTCGACGATCTGCTCGCTGGCCGTGATCCAGCCGACCCGCGCCCCCGGCACGATCACCTTGCTGAACGAGTCCAGCCGCATCACCCGCCCGTCCACGTCCATGCTCAGCAGGCTCGGCACCAGGCCGTTGAGGAATTCCTCTACGGTAGCTGGCGGAGGAGGAGCGGCGGCGGCGGCGGTCCCGTCCGCCCTGCCCGCGTACGGCTGCATCTGCAGGAAGTAGTACGGCTCGTCCTCGAGGATGTACACGTCGTGCTTCCGGCACACGGCGTAGATCTCCCGCCGCCGCGCCTCGCTCTGCGTCGCGCCCGTCGGGTTCTGCCCCGACGGCACCGTGTACAGGACCCGGGGCTTCCTGGCGCCGCCCCGCGCCGCCTCGTCCCACGACGACAGCATCTCGTCCATGTGCGCGGGCAGTAGGCCTTGGCCGTCCATGCGCACGCCGAACACCTTGATGCCCAGCGGGGTCATGGTCTCGAGCGCCGTTGAGAAGCTGTACTCCTCCGTGAGCACGGCGTCGTTCCTCGCCCGGTCGCAGAACATCCTGAGCGCCTGCTCGAGCGCGCCCGTGCTCCCGACGGTCAGCGCGCAGCGCCAGTCGGCGTACGGCGGGCCGCCGCCGTGCACGAGCTCCGTGTTCTCGGTGACCCAGCGCAGGAGCTGGGCGGACCCCACGGACTGCCCGTAGTTCATGGCGATGGAGAGGTCGTAGACGCCGCCGTTCTCGCCCCTCGCCACGTCGTACTTGCCGATGCGGACCTCCTGCCCGGACGCCGCCGTCTCGGCCTCGGTGAACCCGGGAGGCGTCGGCACGTGCATGCTCAGGGCGTCGATGGGGAAGTTCTCCGCCGACGGCAGCCCGCCGCCCAGCGAGATCAGGCCGGGCTTCTTGAGGTGCTTGGCCGCGAGCTTGAGCAGGCAGGGCTCGCGCGCTTGGGATTCTTCCGTGAGGAGGTCTGGTAAGGACGTTAGCTCTCTTTAACGAAATATTATTATTACTACTATTTTTTCACCATATATAAGTGAAAAAAAAAAAGCTTGGCTGCTAGTTTTAGAGGTAGGTTAGTTGGTTGAACTTACGATCCCATCGTTTTGCTTTCGGCTTATTTTCGTATGCTTGCTATACCCCCCACAACATACATGACAAGTGTCAGTAAACAGACAAAAAAGCCACCTCTATGAAAGCTACCAAAGGTAAATACGGCAGAGGGAGAAAAGGGGGAGGGGCTAGTCGGGAGTCGAGGACAGGTAGTAAAAAGATGCTTCTTTCATACGGGAGATTTGAACATATCACTATCGGAGTACGACGCCGTGGGAGCGTATAGCTTCCCGGCCTTCGCCCTGCGCTCCTTGATCCCCTCGATCGTCAGCGGCTTGTGGTGGTGGTGGTGGTGCTGGGCCAGCTGGCCACCACCCGGGTGATAATCCTTCTCCACTAGCATCGCTGCGCTTCTCGCAATAATAATATTCGAAGACGAAGACGGCCGTGGACGCCGGGGGGAACTAAGAGTATTATAAAATGATAACAGCAACAACAACGAAAGTCTAGGTGAAGCCGGGACAAAGCGTCGGGCCGGACGAACAAGCGACAAGGACGGGAGAGCAGCAGCAGCAGGATTTATAGTAGTAGTTATAGTTGTAGTTGTCGTTGTCGTTGTCCGATACGTGTTACAGTTAAACCAGGGCATTTCGGGAAAGCAAACGGGGCTTCCCAATAGTACAAATATAATTAATTACCTTAGGTTAAGTTAAGCAGGTACGGGACCCGCTGCGCTATGGGGCAAAAAAAAAAATAACAATTACATAACGGAAGACCCGAAGGGCGTAAGCTTCTTAGTTGCCATAAACTAAGGTTGTTGCAGCTTTCCCTTTGTTCACCGAATGGGCAACGGGGGAAGGCCTCGGGTCCTGCGATAACGGGGGGGAGAGAGGGACGATATGTGTGGGGCTCCGGCCGCTAATAGCCGGCCTTAGGTAAACCGATACAACCAATACCGTCTCCCAGTTTGTATCATCTATCGACGCTTTAGGTCATGCGTAGATGATTAGTAAGTACTATAGCGTTTTCATCTCGTAACTACATACCTATGTATCTCCCAATACCAATACGAATACGTATCTACATACTACGTTATATTACGCGATATGCTAGTGACGTAGAGGCATGTATTGCTTCGGGACTCGCTAACCTTGATTAGGTAACTCACGTCGGCTTGGGAATCGCACAAGGTGTATATAGGTACATACCAAATATATAGTCATATGTTTATCAGTCACATTCCTGGCCTATCTATAATAAGTAAGCTCCTAATACACGCGCTGCCTCATATACAATACTTGTCATGTCTTATCTACATCGATCCTCCCCCAATGCAGTCTAGATTCTTGCTGCTAACCCCAAATAATTCGATATTCTATGACCCGAGTCGATGTCTAGCTAGTTTATCTTCATAAGGACTTATGCCTATGAATATACATATAGATTGTCAAAGGAAAAAAATATGCTTGTAAATGCTGGAAATCCGTTAGACAAAAATTAGCCGATATGCTGGAACGCTGCAGACTGGTCCGAATTCTGGTATGCTTCGCGAATGATTCCTCTCTTGGATAAATCAACCCATATTAATTTAGCCTCTATAACTCTGGCACGTATCCCGATGCTGGGGCTCTGGTAAGTCCAGGAACGGGGCGGTGAAACTTGGAGTACTCAGGTTGGCACTGCGGTTGTGTTGTCCGGGTAGCAAGTAGTTGTCCTTGCATGCGTACGGCGCTCCCGCCCAGTTTGCCACAATAAGTCCCCGAGTGGATCTCCGTATTCGATGTACTTCCTGCGGTGACCGTTGGGATCAATATCCGTAGGGTGCGTTGGACCGGGGCCAATGCACTTATAGAAACTGGCCAATTGATTTGCTGAAAAACGACCAAGGTAGATGTTTAGTCATTTGCAGGATCCTCCGATTCAGGAGGGCTTTATAACCATCTCAACCATAAACGTAAACTCCCTTATTAACAAGTCATGTACTCATGATAACGCCTCTTATTCCCTTAATCTGCTTCGATAAGATTGCGATGTTGCAGTGCTTCAAGGCCAAAATCTTCGGCCACTTGCGAGAATAGCACAGAGGGTGAATATAAAAACGAAAGGGTATACAGGGCCTAAGTTATATATATGTCAGTTTTATATCTAAGCGATAGGGGAAGAATTATGAACATACGTAAGATGGTCGAACTCGATGGTACTATCTTCCCCTCAGAAGTCATAACCCAACCTTGAGGTAAGTTGTTAGAATTGCTTGAACCTTGGCTACCTGAGCCGCCTATGCCGCCGGCGGGAACATTAGCCGACCCAGTCGCGGTAGAACCGCTAGCAACTGCTGTGGTAGTAAGAACGCCAGCATTGCCCAAGTTACCATTGACCTGGCCGCCGTTCGCCTGGATAGATTGCCACGTGCCGGAATTGCCACCGTAAGTGTATGAGTGACCTGTGCTGTAATCCGTCACTTTGACGCTCTTTACGCTCATGCTGAAAGGTCCCTGGGAATAGTCGGTAGGACCGCGCGCCCAATCGATCGTGCCTTGAGGGTTTCCAGAGTCGCCTCCGGACCATGCGCCGAATTTAACCTGCATCGGCGTTTGGGGATACTGGCCTTCCTCCGCTTCCGAAGCTTGGAGCGTCCGCACTACAGTCCCATCCACAGTCCAAATGATTCGATCACTTGTCCAGTCTATCACATAAGTAAAAAAGCCATCTTGGTTATTTCCCGTCTGATGAAATTGGCCACGGTTGTATGAGCTGGTTATACCCTTTCCGAAATAATTGGATTGTACCTCGGTCGAGTCGGCGCCGAGCCATTCCCAGTCGATCTCGTCAAGGCAATCGGATTGTAGAACGAAGGAAGACACGATACCGGCGCCAGGAGCAGCCTTCAAGCTGATTTCGACTCGACCAAACATGATGTAAAAGACAGAAGTGAGCTGTGGCGCATCGCCGCTCTGCCTAACCGTGAAAGTTACGCCGTCGGAGCCGTACGTGGGTTCGCCGCCTGATTTGGTAAACGAGTTCACCTCTCCTTGTGTAAAGTCGACATCAATGGCCATGCCGAGGGCGGTATCCGCGGGGCAGGCTGAGAGGTGTAAGCCATTGGAGCGCCAGCTTGAAAGACCAGGAAGAACAACTTACTTGAACTGAGGGGGTTACATGATGTGTATGTCTGGGCTACAGTCTGGCTTGACAGCAATGTGGCAGCCAACATGGCACATCTCCAAACAGAAGAGGCCATGATAGCTGGAGCATGCATCTACAAGGATAGATGGATAGTATATTCGGGACAAGAGGAGAAACAGATCTCAGACCTCCGAACTAACACTCGAGATAATTGGTTACACTAGTATGGAAAGCTGATTATAGGTATAGCACGATGCAGAGATCCTCGGAAATGACCCCTCAATAGCAACGATAGTAAGGATAGCAACGGTGTATGTACAGTATTGTACGACACGATGCAGACAGAAAGATTATCTTTTGCCGAAAGGGTAAAAAGAAGAGCTCTATAAATTGCAGAAAATATGCAAGCAACTCATGTGGGTAAGAATAGCAATGGAAAAGCATAGGAAGTTTGCAAAGCGTGGAAGAGAAAAGAGAGGTCCAACCACCCGATATATTCATGGCCCACGTGAGATCATCGCAGCATGGCAGCAGGGCTGCATGGCTGCATGGGTAACGGTACGCCGACGCAATCATCGTCATTCCCGACTACTAAGACGAGAAAAAGCGGAAGGACAGGTGGGACAACAAGGTCCAGACTTGGAATACGAATGTGAATTATGTGTGCATGTGAGTTGGCCAAGATGAGATGATACTTTCATGACATCTGGTAGGTTGACTGCTAGACCGCTGGCGTTGCGACGCTGAGATGCGACCAGCGGTGTCCCCATGGTGTCATGTTAAAAAAGTGAATTGAAATCCAGTCGGTCCAAATCCTGAACTACCTAGTACCTAGCAGGTGGATCCGTTTGTTAGTACGTACCCGGCATAGCTGTGCCGGGACAAATATGTATGAGGCAGGTGGAGATGATCTTTTTTTTTTTTTTTTTTGAGGTGGCTGGAAACTGGCAGCGCCTAACCCGAAATCTTGGATCTTATCGGGAAGGAGCATTTACGTATTCCGTATAATGGTTTTATCGAGATCTGACAATCCATTCTTTTGAAGATTCCAAAATGTAACCAATTCATCATTTTTCGAACCTTTTAACTTCACCTTATTTATCAGGATCCTTTGAAATTTCAATATTATCCAGACAATCGATGTCAAAGCAGCTAGTTATTGTATTTAATTGGATATAGCCCAATTAATCACAGCTGTAACCCAAATAGAACCGAACTTAGCCTACGGATCACCATGACCTATCCTTTTATACCCCCGTCATAAAAGTAACATTCGTCGTGTGGTAGGGACTTAAGTCACTAATGAATCAGAAATGATCGCACTTGATGCCAACCCACACATATCACGTCGTTATTCCTTGCGCTAGAAGAAAGTAGACTATAGTTTCTAGTCGCTAGATATTTAACAGAGCTCGTCGCAGGCCTGGAAACGAAAAAGAAAGTTTATCTTCCACGATCAACCCCCCTTCTAAGAAATAAACGAGGAAATGGAGAGTTGAGGTCATCCTGACATATAAAGATACAGGTTGTCCTTCGCAAAAGAATTTCACGCTGTAACAGGTACCTTAAAACATAAGTATCGGTTGACTGTTATAACCGACTATAACAACAACACCAACAACGGATAATGCAAGAAATGGGAAGAAACGAACTCTCAGGCTGCGCGACTTTGCTTTTGAGTTGAACTCTGTCTCACCAAAACCAGGCACCCTTGTCGGGATTCAGGCTCTCTTCATCATCTCGCTCTTCGCCCCTTTTAAATCTGGCGATGCCTTCAGGCTCGTCGCGCCAGAATATGCGTACCATGCTGTCGCATGATGATGGTAATCGTCCGGGTCCGACATTCGATAGAGATATCTCTGAGGAATGCTGGCTCGACGCATTATACTGCCTCGTCTCGCCACCATACATATGAGAAAGTAGCTCACTATGATGGCTTAGTGTGAGGAAGACTGGCTGCTCATCCATAACAACTCCGGCGTCAGGAGGTATCAGTTTGGGGTCCGGCGCTTTTTTCCTTTGACGACTATTTGGGCCGAAGCGCCTGATTTGTTTAGTATAGGGTGTATTCCTCTCTTTTGGGATTATATACTAACCTTGAACACTCCTCAACAAATAAACTCATTGACGCTATTAAGAGAGGAACGCGGCCGAGCAGGAAAGACACCGAGACGCCGGAATGGAGTAGCGTGATAAGTATCACTCCAATGGTCGTAACTAAAGCCAAGAAAAAGTAATCGACAACCGCCTCCCAAATAAGAGCATTATGGACGATTGTAGAGGCTCCGAAAAGCAAGAAAAGGCTTACGGTGTTAGCATGGCTCAGTCGTAATCAAGAGCTGGGCACCTTACAGGTATCGGTAAACATCGTCCTCGTACTGAATAGCTGGTAAAACTGGTAGGAACATGGCAGTACCAACCATGATCCCTCCAGACAGCACCCTGGCACGATCAAATATTGCCATATATACCTCAGAGGAATCAGGCATCACCAGCCAGCTAGGACGGCTAGCCGTGTTGAAATTAGGGGGCATGGTGTAAAACAAAAGGCGACAATATATTGTCCACCATATAACTTGATTTTTGATAAATAGCTGAACGAGCGGACGGAATAAGAGAACCTCCTACAAGTGGGATGGAGGGAGATTATTACCTACTAAGCGTGGCTGGCGGAGATAACGTCCGTCTATTTGTCTAGCCAGAGGCCTCTCTATTTAAGAAACCAGGCGGTTCTAGGAGATTACTCGTTCGCATATCAATACAGTCAACTGAGGGAGGTAGCTCATCTTATCCGACTGGAATAGGGAACATTGCATTGCAGCCCAATCCCTATACATGTCCTTTTCGCCTATGTGCGAAAAGGAGAATTGCCCATGAGTCATTCCTGACTGACATATAACCAAGGCTTTTCTAGTTAGCGGTTTGCCTAGCTGCAGTTCAACCAACATATATATACCGAATTGATGCTCACCGAAAATCGAATGTGCGATCGTGGACATCTTATTGGAAGACACTGTTATATAGCCTCGCAGTCAGCCTAGTATCAACAGCTGCAGCCCGCAGATATGTGTCTTGCTGCGCCTCTCAAAACCTGGCTAACACCATGCAGAGTAACACAACGCCCTGCTAGATGCGCCATAATGTGAGACGAGGATCGCCAGAGAGTCGGCCAACCCAGCCTGCGTCATCAAGATTTCCAAAGCTGCAACCATGCAAGTCGCCCTAAGTTTAGCAGAGTAATCCGCCAACATGTAAGCACGAGTAGTAGACTTAGGCATCTGTGAACAGAGTATAAGGATGCGGGGAGAGCTGCTGGAATTTTAGCATTGGCCATCTTTAATCGGTGCGCCTACATCGTGTTCTCCGATGTGTCTGGATTGAATATACCGACCTTTACTTCGCATATTCTTCAGATGTACGCAACATGTCATTCATTCGGATCCCCTGGAGACCAGGCCTGTCACCAGCAATACATACTACCACCACCGCGGCAAAAACCTTCGTTGTCAGAACTTGCTGAGCTAGTTCCAGCCATGACTTGTAGTTTTTTTACGACCTGTTATATCGTCAGCGCAGAATCGCTACGAGAAGATCTCCTCATAAACATCGACGTGCGTTTTGTGCCTAACCCCCCCTTTTTTTATGAGACACACCGCTGAAAACCTACATTTCGACTTTATAGTCTCATGGCCAAAACCTCCTCCGCGCAGTGAGGCTCGACCTTCTGCTGAAAAACGTGCCGCCGGGACTGGCGCTTGGCTCCTGCCTGATTCTGGGGTGTTGTCTATCATCATACACCCACCGCCGACGGGATCGGGATCCGTACCAACCCCTCGTGTTCGCCGCCTGGATCATCTGGGCCGTGTTCATCGGCTGGGGCACGGGAATCAGCGCCAACGTGGTCACACTAGGCGTCATACCATGGGCTTCGTGTGCCGCCATGCTTAGTAGCTTCTTCATACACGTAGGGGCGCGCTGGGTCACGAACAGAGAAAGGTGTCAGGGCGTATATGCTCTAAGCGTGGTAGACGAAAAAGAGATCTTCTTATATTCGTGATATCTCGAATTTCTCTGCTACGGAGTTTATAAAAACTACTTCTTCTACGGCGGCTCTTGATTTTCTAACATGAACACCATGCAATAGAGGCATTAGGCGACGCTTTGACAGCAGTTGTCGCGGGGATTAGTACGGCTGGCTCGATATAAGGCAGACACTTTCCCCACGAATTCCGTCTGTTTATTATTTGTTTTTGTTCTTGTTCGGTACTCGACGTTCCGAGTTTCTTCACCCATTTAGCGGCAGGTTCGCCCATGACTGCTAAATACATGACTAGAGATACTCACGAAGAAAGTAATTGGGAGGAGGATAATTTGGGGCTTTTTTTTCATTAAGGAGAGAGATATTTGAAGGAAAGGATACCATCTAGAGTCGAGCTTTATACCTCAAGCTACCCGCCTAACTACCTACCACTCGCTTCAGAATAATAAAAAGGTTAGCGATAATACCAATAGAGACAAAGTCATAATGCTCGCGATGTGAAAGTAGCTAGCACGTCTAAGACCACGTGTAACAGGTAGATATCTTTACAATATACTCGTACGCTACAATGCTATGGAACTGATTCCGAGAATATGACTGCTTCACGACGACGTCGAGGTATCAGCAACATAATATATATAGGTAGGTATCTAACCGTATCATGAAAGATGATACCTACCTCATTTACTCGACGAAAAGCTGCGGAAGGCGAACGATATTGAAGCTTCAAGGGGGGAACAACATGATGAATGAATGGCTGAGATGGAAATAATAACAATAAGCACCTTAGGTATACATTTGCTACCTACCTATGTACCTATCTATCAACTCGCCTCTCCCTTGCGTCGCTTTGATAATCAAAAGGATGAGTAGGGTGAACATGCCATTGTGGAACGTTGACTTACCCTACCCCTTTTCAAAGCTCAACCCCCCTTTTCCCGTGTCATTAACAGTAATCGAGCAAGCGTATCACTACTCCTATATACCTAGGTACTTAGGTAGGCACATACCTAATATACCTAAGAGTAGTATAAAGGTCCAAAGACGCACTCCACAATCCAGTCCCCTCCCCGCATAAGCAGACGAATCCCCAAGTTCAGTAGGTACCTTAGGTACCTACCCATCTAAACAAATGTAGCGGTCAGTGATGTGTAACATACCTGATGAATGTACCCTGCTTAACCTAACCCAAGCAGGGGCTTTGTACGTTAGTTAAGGATTCCCGCCTCTGCCACTTTCCTATAGCCTATAACCAACCTTCTACTCTTCTACTCTTCTTCTTCTTATTCCATCCCTCAAAATAAATCAACCTCCCCCTCCCCCTTTCTTTTTCTCCCTCCTAGCCTCCCACAGCGCAGCCTTGACTCCGTCCCCGGACCTAATCACGACCTCGTCGTTGAGCTTTGGTTCTGGACGCCAGCTGGTGGGGTATAGCTACCTAGGACCTAGGTAGGGTATCTCCAACCGAGAGAGGGCATGGGACGTACTCCCGGGGAGGCCGAGAAGCCGGGTTATTCACGACAAGGACCGGCTGATTCACGATGCCCCCCCTCCTCCCCCACTGAGGCTATTCCGTTGTCGAAGCTATAAACGGCGGGCGTGGCGTATTAGGTTTTCTTCTCACCCCGTTGACCAGACGGGGCCATCGCCGCATGACCCGCAAGAGCATACATACCTACCTAGGTAGATACAGTACCTACCTACGCATTGCATCTCGCCGGTTGAGGTCTTTCGCGAAAAGCCGCCGAGCTATCAATCGGTCACACTTTAACGAACCGGAGACTATAATTAGTTGAGCAGGATAGGTACCTAGGTAAGTACATATATGCTATGCGGCATATTAGTTGGTTGGTCTCTATAGACGTGGGTGAATTCATCGCCCCGGCTCGTCGAGAAGAAGTCTACTTTGACTACTTACCTACCTCTTAGGTACCTACGCAAAGCAGGCATCAATGTGTTGTGTTGTGTTATATCATGTCCTAGCTTCGCTCAAGAGATATGTATGCGCTTACGTATCTAATGCTTCAAATTTATTCGGAGACCCGGTGTTGATTCCCGAGTGGAGGATGGACACCTAACTTGCACTCAATCTTTGTATGAGTTGTTAAAGCAAACTGCAAACGGTAAAGGTGGATGATGCATGTGTGATGGATATAGTAATGTGTTCCAAGTCCCCAATATACCCGTATTTACTTACCTACCATCTTCCGTCTAACGGATAGGAGGGCAGCGACCCCTGAACGTCAGCTTCCAATAACAGACTCATGTCGACATACCAAGTCCACCATTACCACCCCCTCAGACTCATGCCAAAGGGGGTAAATAAGAGGTAAGTAAGTAAAGTAACATGTGCTTGCCGAATAAATTTCAAGTGCCAATCTTACATTATAGGAGGTAGGTATGTATGTACCTAATGTATATACCTGCACACCCCACATTACACATTACATCTCATTCAACGTAGTAAACACTACACTTGCCTTGGGCATCAAATTGTCACACTCTATATTATTAGCCTGGATGTACACCAACCCGTCTGCGTCTGCCCTACTTTCCCTTTTTCTTTCTCTTTCTCTTTCCCTGCCCTAATTTGGAACCAGGTACCTTAGGTAGGTATGCAAAAGTATCAAGTATATTACGAGAAGATTGGTCTTTGACGCGACGAGCGAATTCGCCTTCGGTTAGGTTAGGGTAGGTACCTAGGTATATGAGGTATGTATTGAATGCGTGATGATAATTTTTTTTTTCAACCAGAGGCGACGAGCAAAGCAAGTAAGCAAGCAAACAAACAAAACCCCTTTATTGGAAAAGACACGTGTCGGAGCTCATGCCCTGCGTACAAAACACCATATGGATGGGATCGGCCCTGACGCCACGAGCCACGAGCCGCTCGCGGAACTCGGCCAGACGCGGCCCCGCGTCGAGCTGGGTGCGGTTGTTGCCCTGGGCGTCGAGGCGGCCGGACCAGAGCACCTCGCCGGCGGCGCTGGAGCGCGGCCACAGGATGCTGTCGAGGTTGACCTCGTCGATCATCTCCGCCCACGCCCCGACCTCGCCGCCGATGACGAGCTTCGCCTCCTCGTCCGTCAGCCCCGCGCGCGGGTCGTACGAGTAGATCAGGCGCCAGCCCTTGGTCGGCCCGCACCAGTCGTTGAACGGCCAGTTCTCCGCGAAGGACTCGCCCTCGGCGAAGTTGAGCCACGCCCCGCGGCCGCAGTCGAGGTACTAAATGTATATATATTAGAAAGTATTAACAGACAAACAGACATACGTTCCAAAACTTCCGACTTGAACTTAAAAAGTGGAAATGAAATGAAATGGCTGAATTGAATTTAGGTTAGGTTAGGTACGTACCCAGTAGTTGTAGTTGCTGGTGATGACCTTGTGGCCCTTGGCAGTCAGGCTCTTGATGGCCGCGTCTCCGAGCCAGGATTGCACCACGACGTCTTCGCCGATGGAAACGTTGTAGTTGGCGGGGATCTCTTCCCAGACGATCGGCGTCAAGCCGGCCTTGCGCACTCGCGCGTGGTGCTTGTCGACGAACTTCTGCAGGAGCGGCACGATGACGGAGGTGTCGTTGGTGCCGACCGTGGGGTCCAGGTTGTACTCGTTGAAGTTGACCTCGTCGCCGCCGGTGTGGAAGTAAGCCGAGTAAGGCGCGAGCCGCGGCAGGAGGTCGTCCGTGAGCTTGTCAAGGAAGGGGTCCACCTTGGGCTCGTTGAGCTTCAGCTGGCCGCACGGAGGCTCGGCGCAGTAAGTTGTCCATGGAGAGGCGCCCCAGCCCGTGATCAGGTCGGGGTGCGATAGGGCCACGACGCCCAGGTGGCCGGGAGAGTCGACCTCGATATACGCTTCCACACCGCGCTGGATCGCGTACGTCTGGATGGCTGCTATATCGCTAGGCGAGTACGTCTTTCCGCGAGCGTACGCACCTTTCTGGTGGAGTTCCGGCATCGAGGGGATCTCCAGCGGCCAGGACTGCGAGTCCGTAGCGTGGATGTGGAGTCGGTTCATCTTACTCCACGATAAGGCATCGATAGTTCGGTAGATGGCGTCGAGAGGAAGCCAGTCTCGCGAGACATCCAAGAGGAGACCGCGGTGGTCGTATTGAGGCGCATCGCTGATCTTCACCGGGGCCAACCTGGTGTAGATAGCACCCTTGGAATGCTGGAAGAACAATTGAGAAAAAGACTCCAGGGCTCGGAGAACGCCGGTGGAGGAGACGGCTGTGATCTTGGCCTTGCCGTTGGCGTTAAGTGTCAGCTCGTACGATTCGTCGACTTCGCCAGCAAGGGGTTTGAACGTCTTTTCCGTGTCTTTCTCGGTCTGGACGATATCGAGCCGAGTTATGTAAATTTTATGCTGCCAGGGGCTCGGCTCCGTTTGCTCGAGCGCCATCCGCGGGTACAGCTTCCACGGGACAAAGTTGTTGTCCAGGATATTTTTTGCCGTACGCGCGACTCCTCCCTTGACGATTTCCTTGCTGGAGAATTTGTTGTTGCCTACGAGCGGGACATATTGCTTAATCCAAGGGATCTGTCAACCCGGTCAGCTTCTGTTGATATTTACGGAATAGCTGATTCGATATAGGATTAGACATAGGATTAGACGTAGGTCTCCAAACACATACTTTCTCTCCGTTGTACGTGACTACCACGATGTCACTTATCCATAGCGTCGAGTTGCCCGTGCTAATGGACGTGGGAACCGGCCAAATAGCGTGGACCGACGTGACGGTAAGCAAAAACAATGAGAGAACAGCGTTCGACAACATGGCGCCGGATGTTTGAAGGCTGTGGAACGTGAAACCCAGAAAAAAAAAAGAAATACCAAGGAAATATGGTGTTAATGAATGATTTTAGAAGTGGAGACTAATCTTGAATTCAGATCTTCTCCAATGAATGCGTCCTCCCCGGCTAGACGCGTCCAACGGGCTGTGACGATAAGCCCGATTCGAAGACCAGGGTAGGATTTTTATTTGATTTTGGTTTGTTTCTTGCCGTTTCCAACAAACAGCTCCAGGGTCACGAACCGGATTCTTGGAGCAGGTAAATCCTATATCAAGACTAGGGCACAGCACCTCCTGCAACTATAGGCAATCTGGCCGAAGAAGTCAAGGTCAAACCCACGGCGGCGGGAAGATTATCTATTACCACCAGAATCCCGGGATTCGTCCTCTTTCCCCCCTCCTTCGCTCTATCTCCCCCGCTAGCACACGAGTCGCAACGTTACTTTTTGTTGGTCCGCGCCGTCGTGGAGGTTCTGCGGCGACGACTTACGTGATAAGGTGATATGCACTGATTACCGCTTGAACGGTGTACCTTATTTTTTGGAGGGTAGTTTGTTTTGGACGAGAGGCCCGTTTGGTGGGGGGGACATGGAGGATGAAGAGTTACATTTAGGTGGTGAGGAGGAGAGGGAGGTGATTTTATTAATTTTTTTTTCTTATTCTTAGACATATTTTTTCCCCCTCTATGTATTGTATTGCATTGTATTGTATTGTACAATTACGGAGAATAGGCAAAGCAGATCTCCTACATTATGTACGTATGGTTGACCCGTTCAAAAGTAATGTCTATAGGGAGACCCCTGTTAGTCCCGATACGTACTGACTTAGGTACTTAGGTACCTAAGGTTAGCAACAACTGATAGCTCATGTACTTCAAAATACCTCTTGTATTCGCAACTTGATTATTTACCTAAACTATTAAAAAGCTTAAAACAGGATGATTCGAATTTTGTGCTAATTTGATGTAGGGAATATTTCAATCATTTTTGAATAACTTCTTACTTGAACATCTGGTTATAAGTTTAGAAAGTAAGGTAAGTTTTGAGTGTACCTAGGTACATGTACAATACATAAAGATAATGCGTCGTCAGGCGGCGTACTAATAAAGTTAAGCAGGTGTTAACAACCTGACAGGGGGGTCTTCCCTATGGGATTGATGGATGCGAGATCGTCGAGAATGATTGCTCAATCAATCTCAAATCGGCTAATCTATTGCCTACCTGATAATGGACGCGCTTTTACTCGTCATGGTTTGTATTAGTATATTGTACATATTGTATTGTATTATACCTCCCATATTTTCCCATTTAGGTCTTAAGCTTTTCCGTGTAAGAACGTATCTCGGGAGAATAGGGAAGGGATCTTCATTTCAGTGTTCACGCTATGGATTTTGATCGATCGGACAGTCAGTTGTTTCAATAACACGCGAGAAAAAAACGAAGGGATAGTAAGTACTATGTAGTAGCTAGGTAGGTAGCATCAATATGCCAATGCCACCAACGCTAATATGTACAATACCTAAGGTAGTATCTTATTGACTACCGGTAGCGTAGCATCATATCTGGGGAAAAATGGAGTAAGACAGAAAGAAATGTCAAATGTCAAATGTCAACTGCCAAATATTTTTAGTGTAATACCTAACCCAAGACTTCCTACCGTCAGCCTAGAACACGGACAGGCGCCGGATATTTCTTAGCACACGACAATTCTGCATACCAGATAGCTTGCATACCTTAGGCAGTTAGGTCGCTATTTAAGTTTACCTAACGACTTACCGCGTCAACCTGTCGCAAGCCGTTCAAGTGCCGGACAAGACTGGAGAAGACAACCTTACATTAGATACCTGACAGACTTACCTTAATAGTATCATGGGGAAGAAAACACCCCCCCCTCCCGGGGCGAGACGGGAAAGAATGTCAACCAACAATACCTACCTTTTCTACCTTCATAATACTTATGACGAACCGTGTTTAATTTTACGCGTGCAGCCGCGTGGCATGGCAAGGTTATATAAGGCCACATAACTGAATGTCAATATTTATCAAGGTGCCTCATAATTTACCTAGTTAATACTAGTTGTACTTTTTAGCTTGACTCGTTGACATGACCGAGCGCAAGGTTAAGGTTAGGTATGACAAAAAAAAAAACAAACAAAAACCCCCCGAGCTTTATACGGATTAACAGCAGGACGATCCATTCATCCATTCGTCCTAATACCTACTACCAGGTATGTAAAAGACTTTGACTTTCATCTTTGCAATCATAAAGGGGACCACCGAAGAAGAGCCCCCAGCCCAACCAACATATACACAGTACATGTAATTTACTAATCTACCTAGATAGATAATTAAATATATATTGCAATGCCTACCTACCTAGGTACCTAATCATGCCAGCAACAGCAGACTAAACCACCAGGAACAGGAAGTTCATAGTATTCCATTACCTACCTGTAGTAATGCAAGGTATGCATTCCTTCCATCCTGCTCCCATCGTCGGGTGGAGCCGAACCAAACAAATCCAACTTGAAGCTTTCCAATGCCGCGATCCTTTCGGCTCAATCCTAGGTTAGGTTAGGTAGGTACCTATTCTACCCATAAACTCCGATTCTCTCATATTATCCTGATGAGAAAAGGATCAAATACGTAAAAAGATTCATGTGGCACGGATTAAAAGCCAAAGCCAAAGAAAAAAAAAGCAAGTCAAACTATAAAGTTCAAGCAATTGGTATCATTGCCTACCTGTTATACATAGGTACGTATATTGATACGTCGTGCTTTTTTTTTTTTTTTTTTTTTTTTTCTTTTTAAGCCGGCGAACTGATATGTGAGGTACCTAACCTAACCTAATCTAACCTGACCTGACCTAGCCTAATATTTTACAATTTCTGACCTAGATTTATATGAATGGCCTTAGTCTGCATGTATCCAGCAAGACCCGCCTCACCCAGCTCGCGGCCGATACCGCTCTGCTTCACGCCTCCGAAGGGCACTCTAAAGTCGGAGTCGTTGGACGAGTTGATCCAGACCATTCCCGCCTCGATGCGCGAGGCGACACGGTGCGCGAGCTCGAGGTTCTGCGTGAACAGCGCCGAGCCGAGCCCGTACGTCGTGTCGTTCGCCATAGCGATCGCGTCGCCCTCGGCCTTGAACGGCACGATGACGACGAATGGGCCAAACACCTCCTCCCGGTAGATCTTCATGTTGTCCTTGACGTTTGTGAAGACGGTCGGCGCGATGAAGTAGCCCTTCCCGTTGAGCGGGCAGGGGACGCCTCCGTCCGTCAGCGTAGCCCCTTCCGACTTGCCCGTCTCCACGAAGCTCAGGATCCTCTCATATTGCGCCTTGGTAACCTGAGGGCCCTGGAACGTGCCCTCCTCGAAGGGGTCGCCGACCTTGCTCGTGGTCTTAACCTCCTCCCGGAACTTCTCTACGAACTTGTCGTAGACCTTCTCTTGCACGAGGATACGCGACGTCGCCGTGCAGATCTGACCCATATTACTCATGATTCCGACGTGGGCCCACTTGGCTGCTTGCTCGATATCGGCATCCTCGAAGACTATCAGCGGAGATTTGCCGCCGGTCTCGAGAGTGATGTTTTTCATGTTGACGCTGGCCGCCTTCATGATCTGCTTTCCCGTCATGGTCGAGCCGGTGAAAGCGACTTTGTCGATGTCCAGATGGCTTGCGAGCGCATGGCCGGCTTCTTTACCATACCCGTTGGTAATGTTCACGACTCCGGGAGGGAAGCCGGCCTTGGGGATGAGACTCGCCAAGTATAGGATGGATAGGGGGGTTTGCTCGGCAGGCTTCATTACGACTGTGTTCCCGCAGGCAAGTGCCGGTCCCAATTTCCAGGCCGCCATCGCCAGCGGGTAATTCCAAGGGATGATTTGAGCGCAAACGCCGATAGGCTGTTTTAGTGTGTAGGCAAACTTCTGATTTGTGGTGGGGATGGTTTCGCCGTGGATCTTGTCGGCATAGCCAGCGTAGTATCGAATGGTATTGATGACCTCCAATAAGTCTCCATGGGAATCGCCAAGCGGCTTGCCATTATCCCACGTCTCAAGGGTGGCTAGGATATCTTCTTCTTGTTCGACCAGATCGGCCAACTTGTACATCAACCTGCCGCGGTCGGTTGGAGACATATCTCGCCACGCCTCATGGTTCAATGCTGCTCTCGCAGCAGCCACGGCTTTGTCGATATCTTCGACGCTAGCTGCTTCAACAGAGCATATTTCTTGCTCGTTCCTAGAGTCAACTCAATTAGTATCTAGCTTACCAGTTGCGCTTTATTTATATATTAGGTATATATTTCTTTTCTTGGGTGGGTAAGTTGTACTAACGTCGGGTTGATGCTTGTAATTTTAGCCCCTGAACTCGACTTGACGAATTCATTATTAATAAAGAGACCTGTAGGAAGGGTAATTTTCTTGCCGTTTGGGGCAGTGAGATCAACTTTCAAGTCTGTCATGGTGGATAAGAGCCTGGATAAGAAGTTGTTATTGTTGCTGTTATTGTTTCTGTTTAGATGGGAAGATGTCCCACTAGAACAAGTGATGGCTCTGGTCGTGATCCTGGTGGTGGTGGCTCTGATGATAGATTGAAACATGACGGGAGGGGAGTTGTGAATTCCCGCTTCGCTCTTTTATATAGTTATTATTAATAACCTATTTTATATCTGATACCAAGGTAACACCTAATACCTAATCGCTGTTTCCCCTATCAAGATGGGAAGTACAAATGACACCTATTTTGTGGCAAGAGGTTTCCCCGCATCAACACAGTTATCAGCAACTACGTTTTCTTAACACCAACCAAGCTGCAGGTTATAGATGTGATGCCGCAGGTAGGCGCGCCCGTTAGCGGATGTAGTAAGTGTACTAGACTAACCAAACAAAGTAGTATGTTTAAGCTGAACATACCATGCTTACGTTATTACTCCGATATTGCTTATCTCCTAGCCTGCGATATGAGGATATCATATGATAGATATATGGAGATATGGAGATATGGAGGACCCTTTTTTTTCTACTTTTTTTTTTCTCTCTATCTCTTACGTTGAAAAACTCCATCGCCCCGCCATATATATAAAAATCACCAATCAATCTTGGGTATTCATGATGGAATGTTTATATATAGTTTCGACTATTACTTAAACGGCTCGCCGGATTCACGACTTTGGAGATGAGTTGTCTCTCCCAAAGCTTGGCGAGCACTCCTATCACGAGCAATTTGAGCCTTGAGTTCTGGGGTCGGGGTTACTACCTAAGGTACAGGAGGCTATTCCGGGGGAAAGGATAATGGGGTATATATTTACTTGGTCGTTAGAATAGAATATGACGCTTCGGGTATCAAAATGAATCGGTTATAAAAAGTCAACCAGTAATCTATTACCTATTAGGCAGTTATAAACGACGCCATTGGTGATTAACTCCTATGAAAATCAAATATAGGATTCTCCCTCTTCGACACATCTGACATGAGATGATTCTCCTCCAAATCCAAGGTGCATTACCGGGTTTCCGCTCTCCTCGCTCATAACCTCGGCAAGGTCCCTTGGTAAGGGCGTAGCACCCCATTTGAGTTTTGACCGGGACAGTTTCTTTAACGCTTCCTCTTCCGGTTCACCGGAATCATCCGTTACTAGCATCGAACTGCTATCTTCCGGATATTGGGCGCCCTCGGCCACTAAATTCGTCAGTTCTACTTGCCACTGTTGTTCATATAGGCATACAATTAACTTACCTTCACCCGGGGGCGAATGTGGTTGACTTTCAACCTCAGTCGAGGAAGAGACGAAGCAGTGGCAAGCCGCTGATATGACCAACGAGTCCCAGCCTCCTGCTACCATCTTCCCTTTAGGTTTGCGTAGGCTTAAGAGCAGTGGTAAGGGTACGATGGTACAGCTAACAACGAGTAATGCGAGTAGGGCCGCGGCTGAATATCCCAAAGAGACCAAGGAATTTTCAGAGAGATGGAAATACGCTTGAGTATAGCTAGCATTAACACTTATGCCCCAAAACCCTGTCGTCTCTTAATTAGTTCTTAACAATTCATAATGCAAAATGCCCTTGGAAATTGCATACCTCCTTCGATGCCGAAGAAAAATAATGCATTGGACAGAAGCCAATGACATATTATCATTATGATTATGAGTGGTATGCTATATTTGTATGGTAGCTGTAATCTGTAGCTTGAGATCTGGTCGCCCTCGGGATAAGTGACCCGAAGGGGGTTGTACTTCAGACTATATGAATTCCATTCCTGTTCGACTAGAATCCGGGTAAGGAATGCGTTATAAGAGAAATAACAAGCCGATAATAGAAGCTGGGGGGAATTGGAAACGAGAAGTGTAGTTAGATAGCCGGCACCATCCATACTATGGATTGCTCGAAGTTCGTCTGAATGACCAAAGGAACCCCCGCTACTTTATCATTAGCATCAAAACCCAAGAGTTGGTAGAAAGAGGGGCCAGCCCACAAAGTATTGCCGTTGGATCGGTAAGAAAATCCTGAGCATACGGCAAGTAGCACTATTGACATTGCTAAGAAGACATATGTACGGAGCCGCACGCCCCGTGGTATGATCAATAGATAACGTCGCCTTATTTTCGGCCACCGTCGAGGCTTTATTGTTGCATCCAAGGTATATTCGTTGTAGTGAGAGGGGAGTTGACGATGTGCTGATTCGAGTCGGCAGCTATCAACAACATCTAGTGTCCCAAGTCCTACGGTGTAGGGGTCAGGTTCCGTAATAAAAGATGCTATGGCATCTCCTGGAGTAACAAGCGACTGCCGTGGCAATTTCCAGACGATGATGCTACATTGTATAACTTTGATGATCGTGCAGACAATAACAAGCAGTAGCAATACGTTAGATATACCAACCTTACAAACCCTAGATTGGGGTTCAGCAAGGCAATATTTAACGGCCATCTGACTAAAATTCCCGTTGAAGCCGTAGTCGTACTCTCTTCTGTGAGGGGAAAAATTCCAGAAAAATGTCCAATTAGATGGGGAGGTTTCATGTATACCATACGAGTTAGGCCCGGTAGGAAATAATGGATCCCAGCAGGTATGATCGCAATCATTTTCTACCGTATCGTGAACTCGACTTGTTTGGCAATCGGTAGAGTACCATAAAGAATTAGTTTCATTCCGAGAGATGTATGTGTTCCACCATAGAGATAGATCTTCAGTCAAGTTGAAGACCTCTTCTCGGACCCAACCCTCTTTGTTATTAGTACCACTGTCGATCACTACCACTACGTCCCGGTACCGATTTCTAGGCTGGCAACTCGTATATTCAGCAAAACAAGTAGAAGGATCCATAACAGTCCAGTTGCCCCCAGTTGCTGCTGCCTTCTTGGTATCCTTTGAGAGCATTGGTATACCAGAGATGTTGAGATACGCTGTAGTAGGACTCCAGTACTCTGGTGGTTTATTAAAGGCCAGGCTCGCTCCTGGAGCGGAATAGCCTGCACCTCGCGTAAAAGCCTCGGTGGCCACAGTTGCTTGCCAATCCGAACCCAGATATGTTGTTTCAAAAATGGTACTATTAAAGAAGAGGTGTATGGGAAGGGATGATAACAGTAAAATAATCCAACACGACTTTTTGAACAAGGATATGAATCGAAAATTCCTCGTAGATGGTATCCCAACATCCACGGAGTAGAAGAACATGTGCGCCTTATCGATTTCGTCGCGTGAGGGAGAACTAACGATTTGCATGAAGTAGTTTGATGACGCTAAAATACCAGTTGATAGTATATTGAGAAGCAGATGTAGCAAAGTATTAGTCCTGGATGATTCGCTGCATGACCCCTCGAATATAATAGTGGATGAGTTTAACGAGGCTTCGGGACTCTTGAGACTTATAATAAGGCATACTAATAACATAATTCCACATGCTGATGCCAAAGTGACGTTAAGTAAACCGGTCCGTCGCCAAGCATCCCGGGGGAGTATGTTGGATAATGGCATGTTGACTTATCTACCTAGGTACCCAAGGTAGTGTTATATTGTTTCGGAGTGGCAAGCAATAATGGAGTTTCGATAGGAAGGAGGTGAATAAGATATAAGTACCTAGGTAGGTACCTCCTAAGTAGTTATAATTGGCATCAGACAGACTCTCCCCTACGGTATAAAGAATCCGCCTTGCCGTCCGCCCCAGCCCCTGATTACGACGTTAATGTCGCTGATAGGTCCAAAGTAGATTGCATAAGGGTCGCACAGAGCGCTTGTACTACAGCAAGTCTTGCTTAAAGACAGCCCATTTAAAAATCCTATAATTGATGGGCAACCCGTTACCTATAGGTTACTTAAAATATCCAACAGTAGAGCCACCATGGCTTGACGACAGGAAAACTAGGACATCCGTACCTACCCCCTATGATATCGCCATCAAAATTGTTGTTCTCTTTTAGGATCATAAGATCCAATCCTAGCAATACGGATGTACTTTTATCATTAAGACAACACGAACCATTCGACAGAACAAAAATGGAGGATGGAAATAGATCCCAGGGCTTTAACGAGTCACATCCTATCTTAGCACCTAAATGGAGTTCTGCCCGAAAGAACCGTCTTCTACTCAGCGGTACTCGACTCATTTTTAACTTAATTCGACTAGGCCTCTTATTAGGTTTCAACTCCTATTTTGGGATCGTATTGATACCTGATATTTCCATTGTAGGTTTCCTTGCTTATCCCTATTTCTCATACCAAATACCTAGAACAAAAACCGACGCAAATTAGAATGGATTTCTAGTATTATGGGATATATTAGAACGTTTTTGTTTCAAGAGCGATACCTCTCACGCCACGATATCCACGATATCTGTCGCTACCGAGGCGGTTATACCACCTGGTATAATTGTCTTCATGGGTATTACTCTCTGGCAATTAATTAAACCACAGACAATCAGGGATGTGGATGATGGGGTTGATTATGAGGTTATTGAACCATCTCCAGTGGCCTATGACATAATAACCGAAATATCTATGGCCATCCTATGGGCCCCGGTGGTGTGAGATATCTATTACCTATGAAGATTCATGATTCTCCTTATGCTAATACATACTTGCCGCATAGGTTCCTCAGCGGGATCTTGTTCTACCATCTATTAAGAGGCTACGTCCGGAAATGGCGTGATCACAAGCTTCGCCCTATACTCATGTTTACCCAAACGGGAGACCCGGTTGCTATTATACCAAGAGTTCAACATCCCAACGATCGGGACCGGGAATCGAGAGGCTCTATCGACTCTTTGATACAGACTTCCGGAGAATCTGCGTTATAAGAAGCCCAAACCCCTTCAAGCCTTGCGAGTCGAGTCTATTGATGCTATTGAGTTGACAATTCCATTGGAGCTTTATCTGAGAAGTACCTATGCGGACGGATCTGGGATGTACATTGGGTCCTTTTTAACACCGGGCGAATACCTCCATAGGTGTACCTAATTCTATACTGCTTTCTTTTGGGGATTAGTGGTGTATTGCTTTGGCGTTGACAGGAACTTGGGTGTGTCTGCCTTTAATTCGTAGAGAATTGTGATACAATTTACCTAAGGCACATCTTGTACTACAAGTACGCAGATGTGTCATGTACTGTCACTTGGTGACTCACCAGTTAGTGATTTTGAGCTTTCCAAATTCCACTATCAGGTACTTATGTGCATGTAGGCAGGTACGACACGTGACTTTCTAGCTATACCATGTAACTTGACGATGCACGAGCCAATTCTTCAGATTAGGTATTGTACTTAATTACAGGTACCCCGGTACGTAGCTGCGTAGCGATAATCTTTACATCAGCAGACCAGTGGCTGAAAGCACGACGATACATACATGTACCTAGGTACTTCGTACAATTCTTTATCTAATTTGAGGCGGTGCATGCCATTTTAACAATGGAAATTGCTCTTCCCATATTCCGGCCTCCTCTAGATCTTCTCACCTCCATCAACGTCATTCCTTTTTTTTTTTCCCTCCCCGACATCAGCATTGACATTTGACTGGTAATTCGACACGCACTTCTGTCGATTTATAGCGTTATTGATCACCTCAAGTGCATGTCGAAATAATCGCAGACCTCGGCAACGATCCTACTGAATTGTGTTGTGGTGCTTTGCCACCGCTGTCGCCTCGCGATTTACCTTCACGACGCGCATATTGCTTTCGTATTCTTACCCTGCAATAGCCTGCCTTCACCGACTGTTACCATCTCACACTTTCTGATAACCCACATCGCATCGGTCATAGAAATAAGAATCGAATTCAATCAGAATCAATCAGAATCAGCCCAAGATGTCTATCGAGGTGGCTATGAATACGCCGCTGGCCGATGCGCTTAACCAGGCAATCCAACCCAAACTGGTCGAAGTGGGCTGGGCATCAGGTGGCGCCGACGACAGCGCGCTATCTGAATACATCATCTTGATGCTTGTCAACGGAAAGACCCAGGATCAGATTGCTGCCGAATTAGCTGGCGATCTTCTCAGCCTTGGCCCCGACGACCCTGGCGCCCGAGACTTTGCGAAGTGGCTCTTTGATCAGATCGAGTCTTTGAACGCTCAGTTGAATGGAGCTCCCGCCCAATCGGAGAATAATGGTACTGGAGCTTCCCAAACCGTGCCGACCTCCGCCGATCAAGACGCAGATATGGTTATGATGTCTCTTCAGGTCCCGGAGCTGAATGCGTATGTTTTTACTATCAGATCTTTTATTTCTCTATTTATTTCCTCTTGATGTCAGCTAACAGCTACTAGTCCCACAGGCCCTAGATCTATGAGAAATCCCAACATGCGAGGCAATCGAGAAAAGAGGATGCTTGGACAAATGAGCAAGGCTATGGATCGTAGCCACGATAACGTGTTGCACCGTGTTCGAGCAAATGGTAACGAAAGGATCAACGCCCATCGAGCGCCTCCTACTGGTCCGAGGGGTGGCTTCGGACGCCCCAACAATCGCGTGGCAAACAACCGCGCGGCTGGGTTCGCTGCTCATCTGGGCCAAGTTGGTGGAGCCTTGCCTAGTATGCATGATCCTAACGGGATGCCTAATCTCAACACCGATATGAACTGGATGATGCCCAGCGGTGGTACTCCGGAACAATTATTCCAGCTCATTCAACAGCAAAACCATATGATGGGACAGATGTATCAACAGCTCACTCAACAAACCCAGTCCAACGGGCGAGCTAACGGAAGGTCTCTTTTCGACCGAGTGCAAAATCCTCGAGGCGGTAGGCGAGGAGGCCATACCAACGGTCCCAAATTCCACCAGGGAGATGACGCCAATGCTAATATGACTGGTGCCGACAACGAAGACGTTGAGATGACGCAGGCTAGGCGTGAACTACCCAATCCCGAGACGACGATATGTAAGTTTAACTTGGCATGTACGAACAAGGATTGCAAATTCGCCCATCAGTCTCCGGCAGCACCGCCGAATACCACGGTCGACGTTAACGATGTCTGTTCGTACGGGGCGGCGTGTAAGAACCGGAAATGCGTGGGCCGCCATCCTTCACCGGCAACCAGGCGCGCGCATCAGAACGAGCAAGAGTGCAAGTTCTACCCCAATTGCACCAACCCGAACTGTCCTTTCAAGCATCCGGACATGCCTCCTTGTCGAAACGGAGGCGATTGCGCCGTGGAAGGATGCAAGTTCACTCATCTCCAGACCATGTGCAAATACAAGCCGTGCGCGAATCGGTTTTGCCCATACAAGCACGAGGAAGGCCAAAGGGGAACGTTCCAGGACAAGGTGTGGACTGCCGATGGATCGAAGGAGCACGTGAGCGAGAGGAAATTTGTGGATTCGAACGGCCCCGAGGAGCTTGTTGTGCCCGGCGGCGAGAATGGATCGGGAGAAGAGGCAGCGGCGACGACTGATACGATGATGTGAATTTTAGGGAAAGGCAGAGAGAGACGCTACGCGATGGATAATAGAGTCTACGATTTTATACAGCGGAAGTGAAAAGGGCGAAGGATTGGTTGGCATTCTCGACGAGCAAATGAGGGATAAGGGTCGAAAGGGGAAAGAAAGGGGGATGTGATGAGGAGGGGGGAATTCTCAATTCTAGAATTGCTATTGATACAAAGGCGTTAGGTTGGTGATAGGAAAAGTCAAAAGGGACTTTTTTTTTTTAGCACATTACAATATACCCGAATGCATTTTGTGACTTGATGAATATAAAAAAAAGATTTCCAATTTACTCTTGAGGTTTTATTATTTACCGTGATGGTGACTTGTACCTAAATAGAACTTTTATGCTATAATTGTATTACGAACGGCTAGGTATTAAGTTGACCTAAATATGCAATACCATAGGTAACACATCGGCTGATAATTGAGGTATCGTTTGTAGTGCATGGTAAGTGGGGCTACCTACTTCCAGAACCGCAGGGGGGTAGCTTCGACTTTCGTAGTACTTCAGTACATAATTATTTGTAAAGCAGCTCCAAAAGCAACACGCCACTTTTGTACATTTCCTAAACTCCAACATGCCATCTTCAGTGCTACAGCCATCTACAATTCGTATGCAATGACTTCCAAACGCTCAGAAGACCTTCTCGTAAGTCTTCTGAGGTCTGCATACCGCAATGCACGACATGGCTCCCCCGCCCGAACCTCGACGTCTCTAGCTTCACGACCGCTGAGTTCCCTGGCAGCTCCGAGCAGCCTTCTTCACTCGTCAATCCGAAAGCAGGTCGCTTGCTCTCGGTCCGGGAAGTTCCCCCGATCTCAGACCCGGACGTTCGCGACCGTTAAAGCAGACAATGGCAAGACCCGGGAAATCGCCGTTCTTGGTGGTGGCGTCACTGGCTTGACGGCCGCACACTACTTGGCCCGCTATGCGAAAGACGCACATATCACCCTATATGAAGCGTCTGATAGGCTTGGTGGATGGATACACGGGCAGCTGGTACCGACAGGAAACGGGGATGAGAAAATATTATTTCAGTCTGGTCCGCGCATGCTTCGTCCGGGTGGCGCGAGTCTCAAGTATGATGACCTCGTCTTCTACGATGTAGTGGGTATACCTTTACGCAGCCGGGTCTTTTTTCTTTTTTTTTTCTTTTTTCCTCGACGAAAACGAGAACTTTTCTAACAAGTGCAATCCTCTAACTACCTACAGTTGATCAACTTAGGCATTGAACATAAACTTTTACCCCACGAAGGTCTTCCTAATGCCCGTTACATATATTACCCGGACCACCTAGTCAAGTTACCTGATCCATCTCGTAAGAGCATTCTTGAGATACTCCGGTCCTACCTTACAGAGCCCATCTGGGATGGGGCCTTGAAATCGGCTTTTAATGCCGCACTCGCAGCGATGAATACGCCCCCAGATAGTGACTCTCGCAGTTCCTTGTTGGAACAAGACGAGTCTGTGGGAGAATCTCTAGGCCGGCTTTTCAAAGATGACAGGCATATTAATAATATTATATCGGCCATAGCGCATGGTATCTACGGCGGCGATGTGTACAAATTGAGTGTGAAGCACACCATCTTCGAGCCATGGTGGCGTTCTACTATACTCCCAAGTAATCATGACAACATTTACCTAGAACTTAAGGAACTGGTTCTAGAACTTGGCATGTCGAGAACCCCTAACAGAAACAAGATTGCGACATTAGCCAATAAAGCGGTCCATTGGAAAACTATGGCGTTTGAAGATGGTCTGCTCACCCTCAAAAACAGTTTAATAGAAGATTTGAGGAACCAGAGAAATGTTACGGTCAAGACCAGTACTCCAGTCACTTCTCTGGCGTATAAAGACGACCGAGTGTCGGTAAGCTTTTTTTTTAGACTCGTTTAGAAACTGCTATAGTTACCTTGTATCCAGATACTGAACTTATACAGGTGACCTCGACGGATAAGAAGAAGCAGAAACAAACAAAGCAATACGACCAAGTAATCAGCACCATCTTCTCCAAACACCTCGCCGGGCTGGTTGAGCCTAAGGGCAGCCTCACCTCGCTGAGCCAAACTCATGCCGTGACCATCATGGTCGTCAACATCTGGTTCCCGAACCCGAACCTTCTCGCGAACAACCCGGGCTTCGGCTACCTGGTACCGACGTCGACGCCAGATAACGACGCGTGCATACTGGGCGTGCTCTTCGACTCGGACATGGAGCTGAGCTCCTCGGAACGCCGCGGCACGAAGCTCACCGTCATGATGGGCGGACACTACTGGGACGGCTGGGTCGAGTACCCGACGGAGGAAATGGCGAGCGCGATCGCGCTGGAGGCGGTCCAGCGGCACTTGGGAATCGACCCGGCCGAGGCCGAGCAGGCCGTGACGCACGCGTACCTCGCGCGCGAGTGCCTGCCGCAGCACTTCGTGGGCCACCAACAGCGCATGAAGGACGCACACTACGAGCTGCTGAAGTCTTTCCAGGGCCGCCTCTCCGTCGCCGGCCCCAGCTACACGACAATCGGGGTGATGCCGGCGATGCGGGCGGGCTGCGAGGCCGCCATGCGAGTCGCGCGGGGGCACGGCCCCCCTTGGTTCTACCACGAGAGGCACGGACGACGCCTCGGCGCAGTCGACGACGACGGCAACTACCACGAATTCCCCGACCACGTCGGCGTCACGGGCCTCCTGGGCTTCACGAGGCCGTATGCGAAGACCTTGTGCCAAGTGGAAAGTTCCTCTTTGCGGTATAAGAGGTGGTGGAAGGGTTACGCTGTTAATAATGGTAAGTAGAGTAGGTCCCTAGGTCCCCAGGTAGGTAGGTAGGTACCTAAGGTTAGGTACATAGGGAAATAAATTCCAGGGCTCTGGGGCTGGGGCTGGGGTGTTGAGATGAAAATGTGATGAGACGCGATGTGATGAATGGCTGGGAGTAAGGGTAAAGGCAGGGGTGTAGGTAGGTACTACCTAATATCTATAAGTCGACAGGTTTACGAAAATAAACGGGGATCGGGTCGGAGGGAAGGGCCTAGGATTGATGGGCATGATGGTATTATGGGAGGTGGGAGGTGAGAGGCGGTGATGAGATATTAGCATATCTAAGGTACCTTATCTAAGGTATCTCGATGTTAAAATATAAGCGTACATATGTTGGAAATATAAATAAATACATCTATCTTACTAGCTAGTGGTTTTACGAGGACTAGTTAGAGGAATGAGAAACGCGGTTAAGTTACCTACCTCCTAAAGTAAGGAGTTCGGTTTACATTGGCAACGTCTAACCTAGTCTAGTCCATCTGGCCTTGGATAATTTCCATGATATACTACCTCATACCTCGTACCTCATAAGCTCAAGTTACACCGCGTCACCTTAGACGATGTAAATACTTCATATACTTCCTACTTTATAAGAATGGCTTACAAGAGTTAAGATTAAGAGGAAGGTAGAGTTAGGTACGAATCACACTCACAATTTGCAATTATAGCTCCTGTATCTAAAGATGGAAAAGACGGAATATTAACGGAATTGATTTCTTTAGTTCAATTCGATTCGATTTGAGAAAAAATCGCTCACCCATATATATCCCCAACGCCTGAGCTAATGCTAAATGCTGAATGAATGCATGTATGCCCGTCGCCATCTATGTCTACCGTGTCTATATATGCATGGGGTATCTCTCTTCTTTTCGCTTTAGTACAGGCTCTCTCGCTCTCTCACATATTATATCTTCTCTTCTCTTTCGTCTTTTCCTCGTCTCATCTCTCTCTCCTCCCAATTTCCTTCCCCTTTACCGATGCTGAAAAACAGCGCGACCGATTCTTTCGCTGGTCGACGCGACTACCCGTCCTCTTGTGGGGGGATGCATGCATGCATGCTTTGCGCTCGTATTCTTCTATCTTCAATGATAGACTTGACTCCTATGGTGTTGGCAGTGCACCTTCTCTTGTAATATGTCGCGTTGTATTATCATTATGCCCGTTATTATAATGACATTCCGAATTCGAGATCGTGGTGTATTCTCTCACTTCGAAGGTGGTGTGTAGGTAGTGGTGTGTTAGGTAGTGTTGTATTTTGAGGAACCGGATGAGAGTTCCCCGATTAGAGTTTAAGTAGGCCGTGTTGTATTGCCATGTATCTATAAGGTAAATATCTAGTCGTAACTCATGAAGAAAATTTTGCCCTAAGCAGAAAGTCTAGGCGAGAATACGAAGTGTCTTCCTCGTTTTAATCGATTAATGGCGTCGTGGTGATGTGCCAAAGTTCGTAGAGGAAAAGCAAGGCGAGTTGTGTCCTATATGGTAACCCGGGGTATCCATTCTTTCCCTTCCTTCATTCCTTCCTTTTTATTCTCTTTGTCTGCTGAGGAGATAATTGATATTACAGGACATGATAGTTGTGTACCATGCTGCGTATCTGATCATAGCTCGCCGGGGAAAATAGGCGCCCTACTCCAAGTCCCTAACAACGACAATAGGTAGATCTCGTTGCATGACGGACAACTCGGGTTATACTCGCACAATAATAAGTTAGGCGTAGGTATAGTCCATGCCACTGCGAAGTCTGTTCCCAACTTATTCCCCAATACAGAGAGGAGCGTTGATAAAGTTCAAGTTAATGTAGTTACCAGTTCACGGGGGAGCCGGGATCCCTACGTTGGCAATGACTTCGTCCGGCAACATCACGCCTTCCATGGCCTGACGCGCTTCGGCGAACTCTTCCTCGGCAATTTCCTCTAAGTCAGATGCCGACGTCGTGCCGAGCCCAAGATCTGAATCAAGGGAGTTGATATCTTGAACTTCGCCTTGAGGTTCTGCGTTGTTATCACAAGACGTGTCGCTACTGTACGTAGGATCTTGGCTATTGTCTTGTGGCACATACGAAGCCCGTTCAGCAGATTCTTTACCTGCGTCCTTCATATGGGTCAAGCTTTCCATCAGGGCCAGTGGCACAAATTCGTCTTCGTCGCCCCATGCCTTCCAAAAGTCATCGTCTAGGGTTATGTCATAATAAAGATGGTTGTTCTCTTCCGACCATATGAGAGCTCTTAATAAAATAGATTTGCGTAGCTCTAAGAAGGACTTTAAGGCGTCTTTGTCCGGCTTGTCAGGGCTACACCAGAAAATGGCTGCTGGTCGGTATACTGGATGTAAGTGGCCAAGGTAGCTAGGTTGTCTTCAAGGAGCTTCGATTAAAATAGTGTGTTGTGACGTGTTGAGTGCCTGCCTATCTTTTCTCCAGGAGATAACTGGGGAGAAGCAAAGACTCCTCGGATAAAAATAAGCACAAGCACATACGGCGCTCCTGTAAGATCTATCTCGGATGATCGAGAGGTGGTCAACACAGTTTATATGCTGCGGTGACAGACGGTGGTTAGAAGAAAGATTGCGCTGTGGCAGGGCGCCTAGAACATCGGGTTGTCCTCGTACAGAAGCTCCAGCCGATAGATCCTAGGAAAAAAGCGATGACGTTCTTCGTATACTCGGTAAGACAGGCAACTCAGAATGCTCGTCGTGGTCTTAGCAGGTACATACTGCAGTGACAGACGACGGCTCTGGATGACGGCTCGGGTACCTCGGGTATCGCAGAAGGTAATAGGCTATGAGGAAACAAACACCAAAACTAATGTCACAAAATAGAATATGGAGGTGACGGGTGTATTTGCTTCGTACGGTAAGAGCCATAGGCGGATCGTGCATCGTCGCGGTCGGAATAGGTGTATGATAGAGCGGAAAGAAGATGTGGATGTCGGCGGAAGAGAGAGGTAATATGGTATCATGTTCGAGTATCGAAGCACCCATCCGTAAATTTCATCAGGGAACAGAGCCATCCCTCCCTCCCATCTCGATGAACCCTGATGAAATTTACGGAATGGGCTTCCTTCAGACGTATTCCGCCCGGTCCAAGAAAAAAAAGAAGAAAAATAGAAAAAACTCTCGGCTTGAGAAACAAGAAGGCATGTCGTATGTTATCCTCCCTCTATGAACCTCCCAAGAAAAAAAGAAGAAAAGAAAAGAAAAGGGGACTTTTTTTGGCAATTTTTTGTTTTCCTCGTTTTTTTTTGGTCTTTTTTTTTTTTAATTGAAAAGAAATAAGTTGTCAGATAATAGATAACGATGGGATCTTATAGAGATCCGGTGCCGAAGAAGAAAAGCCGAGCAAATGGTATGTATATGACGCGCCATACTTTTCGACAGAGGCCTTTCTATGAAGGTAGTCTGCCACTCGAATAGGTTTGGTAGAGGGGCCAGGATTACAACTGCTGGTCCTCCTCAGACGCCTCAAGGGCTTCGGATGGGTCGATCGGCTTATATTCGTCGTCGCCCAGGAGCATGCGCTTCTTGCACTGCTCCTCCACCGATTCTTGCTCTTCTACGGCTTCCCCGGTTCGCTCGACGCGGGCTGCGAGAACCAGCTTCTTCACACAGGAGTTGTAGATGAGGCACTCTACAGACTTCTCCGTAATCAGACGGATCACCTCCACTGGCCTCGTCTGCCCGATCCTGTGGGCGCGGTTGGATGCCTGCACGTCTTCCTGCGGGTTGTCTGACTGGTCGAAGAGGATGATCTTGTTCGCTCCGGTGAGGTTCAGACCAGTGCCGCCGGCCGCAGTGGTAATCAGGAAGACCGGGATGTCGTCGTTCTTCATGAAGCGCTGGATCTCCGGATACCGATCTGCTGTGTCGGTGTTTCCTGTGATACAGCAATAGGGGATGTCGGCGTAATGTAGGGCTTCTCGTAGGATATTGACAACGATCTCGAAGCGACTGAATACCAACACGCGGTCCCCTGTCTTCATGTAGCCGCGTACAAGCTCCAACAGCTTCTGAACCTTGGGACTATCCTCCCATGACCGGTCAGGAACATCGTAGTGACGGATTCGCTTGAAGTGACGGCAATCCAGGTGTAGTTCGAAGTCGGTCTTGTCTAACTGCTCCTCGGTGTACCATTTCTTGTGACGTTCATCCTTGACATCGACGCCGATTTCCTTGGCGGAGTAATGCTCCCACACAATCTCTACCATCTCCAAGACCATCTTGTCAGTAAAGTGGTTACGGAACAATTGATGATGGATCGCCGCCTTTCGGAGCGACATCCACTGATGTCCGTCCTTCTTGGTCTTCTTGACGCCGTTCTGTAGTGCATATTTGCCCTTGATCGACTCATAGATCTCCTTTTGCGTTTCATGCATACCCACGATCTCGAGACGCTCCGTCTTCGGAGGAAGATTGAGGACTTCTTCCTTCCGTCTCTGGAGAATAAACGGAGCCATGACCGTGCGGGCACGGTCCACGCGTTCCGATGCAAGCGCTGCAAAATTGAGAACATCTTTGCTAGCGACCTTGGCTTCGAAGATCGTATTGAGCGCATCGAACTTGCTCTTGTCAAACATGTCGGGTTCGATGAAACGCAGAAGGGTCAAGAGCTCCTTCAGGTTGTTCTGGACAGGCGTACCACTAAGGATGAGGCGCCATTCGGTCGGCACCCGCATCATCTGCTTGTAGATGAGCGTCGACTGGTTCTTGAGTTTATGTCCCTCGTCGAATATGGCGGCCTAAACACTAGTTAGTCAAGCTCATGTACATGAGAGGAATGGAATCACATACATATGGCTCTATGGCCTGGAGAAACTTGAGGTCTTCTTTCTGCTTCTCGATTTGCGGATATGTGGTGATGACGACGTGGTGCTTCTTTGCAGCCCTGGGCGAGATATGTCGTCGGTCTGGACCCGTGTATGCCAAGACGGAGATCTCAGGAGCGAAGGTTTCGAACTCTTGCATCCAGTTCTCGTAGGTGCTCGGGGGCACGACTATCAGATTCGGCCAATGAGGCCTGGAACCCGGCTCCCGCTTTAACTTGACTAGGTGAGCTATGAACGAGATGACCTGGCACGTCTTGCCGAGGCCCATGTCGTCAGCGAGAATACCTCCGTAACCCTTTCTGCGCAGCAGGTCCATCCAGTTGAGCCCAACCATCTGGTATGGCTTTAGAGTGATCTCCTCGGCCATTAGTTCGGGCTTCTCTCCAATGGGTAGCCCAACCAGAGTGGCTGTCTCCTCCTTGTCCTTGAACTCGCCATTCCTATTAAGATTCCAGGTAGACATGACACTGTTTATCTCGGCTCCTCGTCTATCACACTCATCGATAACAGCTGCTGCTGCCTCGCAGGCTTCTAGCCACACCTTGAGCCTCTCCACAACATTTTCTCCGACGTTGACCATTCTTATCTTCTTCTTTGATCTAGCCTTGTCTTGTTTCGAGACCTTCTCTGCATCTGCAATGGTCTTGAAAGGACGGGCACTGGTCATCAATTTGGCATCTGCTATAGAACCGATCATACGACCGAGGTTCTCAGCAGTACAGGTGTTCAGATACTCAAGGACATTAGAAAGGTCGTCAACAGCACCATCAGAGTTAGAGCGATCGCTATCGTCGTCGCCATCAGAAATCTCGAAAACTTCATCCTCTTCAAACTCATCGCGCTTAAGTTCTTCATTAGCCTTACGCTTCTTGGGTGTGTCAACCTTTGCCTTCTTGTTAGGGGGAGTTGGAAGGTCGCAATCTTCAGGCTCCAATTCGTCCGAATCTCCCTTTCGCGATTGAACCTCGCTCTTTTCAACTCTAAGCTTCTTTGTAGCCGGTGACTCTTCTGCATCCGATTGTCTCTTGCGAGACTGGGGAAGTGAGACGAACTCAAGATCGGGATCGGGTGTCCTGTTGCGACGACCCTGCATGAGTCGGCGACCGCGACGCATTGCTGTGGACGCGGCCGCCTGGGCAGTAGAAGATCTAGTCCTCATATCGGCAGTGTCGTCTGGCGATGACTCTTTTGATTGTGTTGGACTAGTCAGAATTGAAGAAGGGGAGGAGGATATAGAAAAGATTGTAGAAGGGTTTGAAGATTGATTGCGGCCTTGTACAAGACGGCGTCGAGGTGGATTGTTGTTAGAAGTGTTAGACGCAATTGATTTATTCGAAATAATTGAATTGCTTGAATTTTGTGTGCGCAAAGGTTTTGCAGAAGTTTGGGAAGAAGACTTGGTTGAATTTGCAAAGGAATTAGTAGAAGAATTTGCAGAGGCAGAATCTTTCTTCAAAAAAGTGTGCAAAGTATTTCTAGGGGTATTAGACCCTAAGGCATCCAGTGAGGTTGGGACTGATTCCTGAGAGTCACTGTCACCTCCCGCACTTTTGGCAGTTGCAGTACCACTGGCCAATGCACCTGTACTTTTCGACAACGAGAGAGACTTGGTTGGCCTGCCAGTTAATAAATCCACCGCCTTTGAAACCTGCCAGCCGACGTCCTTCTGCAACGCTTCCTTGCAGGCTCGAATGGTAATTCCGGGCACAGCCTTCTGGACAATTTTGTAGACCTGGCCGGTCAGGTGCCGTAGTCTGATATCACGAATATCATTAAGAGAGATATCCGCATTCTCAAACAACGAACTCCCTGTTCTAGACACCAGGAACGATGTATTCTTTGCAAAAGATGAAGGACGTATATCCCCCCTTGTAGGCGTATCGTCATCTGAGCTATCCTGCTTTTTATAATCCTCTAATAGATCGTCATCCGAGATATCTATATAGTCTCGTCTACCCGTAGGACCGCCGGCTTTGTGCGCCGGCTTCTGCACCGTAGGGGGCCTAAACGACGTTCCCGCCGGCGCCATTAACGATCCTATTCTACTCGCTACGCTAGACTTCTTAGCTAGCACACCCGAGGGCTTCGCCCGGCTCTCTTCCTGGAACGGAGACGAAGCTGGCACTTCAATAGTTGTGCGTGGCGTATCTGGCACTAAAGGCGATGACGGTAACCGCGGCGTTCGGTTTATTATCTGAGTAGGCTGAGTAGCCCTGTTGACTATTTGCGTTGGTTGAGTAAAGTATGGCGAGACCCCATCATTGGCAAGCTCGTCGATGTCATCATCGTCATCTATCTCAATATACACCGCGCCGGAGCTCTGCGCTCTACGGCTGGGCTGGCCTTTCCGACTCAATCCTGGAGTACCAGGGATTGAGGCAGAGCCATTGCCCGAAAGCGGCGCAGATGTTTGCACCATTGTAAAGGTTGGATACCTAGAAAGGATAGATAGTCTAGCGAGTGGAAGTGGTAATCTAATGCAGATATAAGTATTTCTAGACGGAGGGAAGAGAAAGTCGGCTTAATTATTTAGGTATTGTGCATGGATAACCATTAATGGGGGTCTTTTTTTGGCAGGCGAGGGCTCATAGAAGGAGTTATATATCGCAGGATCGCAGGAACGCAGAGACAACAGGAAACCTACGGGGTCCGACAGGCTGGGAAAAGTTGGTGTAGGAGTATAAAAAGTTATCAAGGGAAATGAGTGCAAGGTATTTTTCTTTTTTCTAGGCGTTTAACGCAGAGGAGATAAAGTGGGTGCACGCGCCTCGACGCGGAAAATTATGGGTCCTGAAGGCGCTACCCGGCGCGCTATCAGCTGACGGAAAGGATGTTTAATTGATTGCGTCCGTGGGTAGGAAGAAGGTACAACCAACATGAATATCGAACTAAAACAGTTAAGAATAATATGGGTGGTTTTCCTTTTAAGGTATGAACAATACAAATTGCTGATATATTTCCTTATAAAATCGGGCTTTGTCACTCTCAGTGAACAAAGTGTGAAGTAAATGGGCATGTAAAATAGCGAGATAAAGTATTTGTAAGGTACGGTTTACACCGGTCAATATCTTTGTATGCCCGTCAGGTACATCAGGTACCTCGACCATTAGGTAAACTGCCTAGGGCCATACAGGTCAAAGCTTCTCTGCATCTGGCATCTGGCATCTGGCATCCACCCATCCAACCTGCCAGTTACGTCGTAAGGGCATTGCTTAAAACCTAAACTTTAAAAAATTAAAGTTTATCCCCCCAGCCATTTGATTTTGAATGGCCTGGCATATGTACATTAACTTTTAAGTAAGTGCATTAATGCCCCACTCTTATCCTTCCATTGCTTGAGCCTCATTGAATATCATGACCCGTTGTCTAGATGAGAGAGAGTCTCAATCCTACAAGTTTACAGTAACGAACAACAAATAAGATTGTTGATTTGTAACTGACAGTCCGAGCAGCAGTTTGAACCACCACCAACAGCAGTAGGCTTACTTGTTAAACCAAATTCATAAAAAAAATAAAAAAGGAAAAAGGAAAGAGGAAGAAGAAGACAATGGCTACCCGTCGTATCATTTCCACCGAGAAGACCATCCTCGACAAAGATGACGACGACCTCAAGCCCGGTTCCCCCGGACAGCAGCAGCAGTCAGGCAGCAGTATTGCGCCAGCCGTCCCTCTGTAAGTTATGTCCTGTCCCCAGCATGAAAGTAAAATAGCTACTAATGCCGTCATCAGGGATGTAATCATCAAGCTATTAGCATTCACCTTCGCCATGGTGATCATACCAATCGGATCCTATTTCCTAACCGTAAACACCGTTTTCAAAGGTAAGGTTGAATTTCTCCCTTTCTCTATCTCCCTATTATATATTCCTACCAACCTTACCTACCTACCTCCCTCTCTAAATACACATATCTAACCTATCTCCCCTCCACCATGTTTGCAAAACTTCAAATTACCTTTTACTCATGTAACAACTCCATGACACATCCTTTACTGCTCTACCGCACTACTACAATACTCTACTTGCTCATTCCAAACAAACAAACACACATACATACACACACTAATAACCCACGCCCAGGAAATTCCACATACGCGGGAGCCCTGGCGGCCATCATGGCAAATGTAGTCCTCGTGGGCTACGTGATCGTGGCCATGAATGAGGACCAGTCGGACCAGCTGGCGACTAAGAAGAAAGTGGGGAAGAAAGATTAGTTTAAGTACCTATCAGAGTTGTCTTAAACACTTCAAAGTCTCGCTGTGTTAGGAAATTTACCTTATGTACTCTTCGGGGGGAGGGTGGTTGTGATGTTTGGAAGATGGTAACTTGTTCACTGGCTACATAGAAGAGAGAGTAGCGACGGTATGTTCATATTCAAAAACTTATATCCATCTCATCTTGGGAAGGCATTCGTGCCCCCATATATGTCCTAGGTATACAAAAAATTTACATGTGATAAATATAGCGTGAGAGCACCACTCCTACTGGTGTAAATTTAGAAATGAAAACATTCATCCCAGACTCACCGCTCGGAGTCACGCCTCCATAACTTATTTGTTAAGTGCCCGTCCGTTATTGTCCTAATAAACAGTCGCACGCAAAGCACGCACAATCCACAATTCCGTCATATCAGATTGACATTTGAGTCAAATGTGACGATTCTATTCTAGCAGATGGCCTCTAGTCGGCCACTGCGGGAGTGATGGGGCCCTTGCCTATCCGATCCGTTCTACACACCACTTAGGCCTCGCATATATTCGCCCGTAGTGGAATCGTGAAGAATGGGGCTATTAAGGATAGAACAATACGCGATGAGACGAGGGAAGCTCTCGCCTGGTCCTCCAAATATTCCTAACATCGTGAACATAACTTTCCCACCAACACCCGACTCCCTTTTCTGATGCTACCTTAGTCGTCGTATTTCGCCGCGTCCACGAATGCCATGTGTCAATTATGAAACATCATACGAAATAATGCATGTCGCGAAATTCATCTTTATGGATATCGCCTTCAAACCCTGGTATCGAAGTCTTTCCATGACTTCTGGTCCATTAATGATCGTAAAAATTGTATCATCCGAATCGAAACCCTATCGGGGTGTAAAACATAGAAAATAACTATGGGAATGCCGAATGTCGTAGAGACAGGGGTATCTTAAAGAGGTTTAAAGACGTGCGAATGGTGAAATCGCACAAACAATATCGACTCGTTCGTTAATAGGCCTAGGATTTACTAAATCGCTTAAACCAACTCTTTCGCTTCTCCGCCTTCGTTTGGTCGTCTGAGTACCCGTTAGGTGCTGCAGTTTTTGATGGTTTCCTTAATATTCCGTTCTCTTTACGAGGAACTGGTTGCGCTGCTCCCGGACCACCACCAAGCCCGAGGCTGGGAGTTTGCGTCGCCTGACCAAAGCTGATACCATAATCGTTAATTGGTTCCTGTCGTTTCGGTGGCGAGCGGCGATCAATTGAGCTATTATCACTGCTAGTGGGATCAGTCTGATACCCTGCTGGCTCTCCTAAACTTCCGCTGCCGGAACCGGACGCAACTGTCTCGTATGAACGATGATTATTCGGCATGGGGTAGACGTTCCTATCGGGTACCCCCCGATGGTTTGAATATGGATCAGGCTGCATTCTCGAATACCTATTCCTCGGGCCCGGGTTGCCATAGCCGTATGCACCACCCTCGACCGCTTCGTGATAGCTATCTCGGTGATTCATCACCGCTTGTCTAGAATCATACATCGTACTCTCTGGTCGGAAACCGGAATTCGGCCGGCCGCCGTAGTAGCTATCTTGAGGGAAACGCGGGCCATTGTCTAAAGGTGACTTATGTGAGATTATGTATATAATTGAATGAAGATTGAGAAATACTTACTTCCGTTGTAGCTGCCTCGCCTGCTCCAATTCGCCACTGACGCGGTGTCTGACTGACGACTATATGCACCGTCAATGGCAGCCTCAAAAGCCCGAATTGTATCGAGAGGGCGTTCTAGCCGACTTCGAGTAGGATTCGATCTGTCAGGATCGGCTTTCGTAGCGGTTAGCATAGGAACCAATGCATACATAGGCATGCTATACTAACTAATTAGGTTGCCGTAAATATCCTTGTGCTGAAAAGAGCGCAGGGAAGCAGCATGAACGCCCCCTTTTGCTTGCGCTTCCATAGCTATATCGTCACGTCAGCATGAGCCATTAGGTATCTGGATAAGGAGTTCATGCAAGACAAAACGACGAACCTGGTTCTAATTCAGTCATGGCTAATGTGGGATCGGTTTTGCCGTGAAGTCGTTTGGCTTCTTTTTCGGCGCTGGTCTCATGAAGGTTGGACTTATTATGAGAGTTCGAACTCCTATGAGATTTTTCGGACCGAAAACTAAACGCTCGCGACTTTGGTCGGACCCGCTCTGGTTTCTGCGGCTCGGAAGGCTGTGCCGGTAGCGCTGACTGTTGCCGCTGTTGCTGTCTTTGCTGCTGCTGCTGCTGCTGCTGCTGTTGCTGATAGTAGTAATGAGGAGGAACGGGAGCTTGTTGTTGGTAAGATTCGTCGCGGTATTGCCCCTGCTGCTGCGGCGTGGGCAGAGGATGATGGTTGTAGCTCGTAGACGCCATTGTCTCAGACGTGCAAAGGCCAAATATTTTATCACTCTTGATCCCTGGAAATGATTGTCCTGTGGTGGAGATGGGTAGCTAGAAACGATGGACAAGTGGATCGGCGCTCGATTGTGATATGCAAGGAAGCGATCGTGGGAGAGCGCAATGTTGTAAATTCGATGGTCCTTTTTCTTATCGCAGATGGCGCGAGTGGGTATAGGAAGGTTCGGGAATAGAAAATTATGGGTTGCTGTTGTAGGTATGCGCACTAATTCCTTTTCTTCCTCTTTTCTTAGCGACGATAAGAGAGAGCAGCGACCCTTGCAAGCTCAAGGGACGGTTAACTTTGTGCGGGTCTGCCCGGGTATCTGTCAGTCAAAGACTTAGATGTTCAAAGACTTATTTCAACACTGTGCCAGGAAAAAGTGAAAGCGGCTTGATATCAGTATATCTGAAAAAGACAACCAGGGGGCCGGAATGGCGTATTTGGTCTCGTTTTTCGTCTTATCAGAAAATATTGAATGCAGGACACGCATCTACGCTATGTATGGCGTTGTTTAAATGGCAGTGCGTGGTGTTGTGCAACGTTCCGCACCGACTAGGTAAAATAAAGTCGTGGTATGCAGGATCAGACGGTTTGTTGCTATTTTTCTTCTAGGCGGGTTGGCGGGTTGCTAGCTCTTAACGTTAACGGGTTTAGGTGGTGGAATAAGGTAGGTTGGTAGGTGGTGGGATGTCAGGATGGGATGGTCCGGGATGGTCCAATAGATGGTGGATCAGGTGTACCTCTCTACCTCCTCTAAACCGTACTTCCGAAGCTTATTAGTCGTCTCAGAATGGGCCAAATACAAGGAAATGTGGTTTCGCGTGGCTGGGATACAAAAATCCAGAACAAGGGTGATAAAGGCGTTTCTGGGCGGTGCCAGCGATTACGTTGCCTCGCCAGACGCCTGTATCTTTTTGTTTTTTGCCCAATGAAATAAAATCGGAACCTGACCGAACAAACCACTACGTATCGACGTATCGACGTATCAACTCCGGCGCCTTGGCAATTTCTTTGTGCGGGCTGGTATGTACCGTATAATTGAGAGTATTCAAACGGCCAGGCGTGGTATGTAACCGAATTTAACTGAATCTCCCAATGGCACGACGGCGTCACTAAAATCGATGACGGGTCGAATAATAAGTTGATTGGTTGGTTGGTTTGATCTATTGGACGATTTCAACGAATTGATTTGAATTGAATTTTATAGACTGGGTATTTTGAACAGAGTTTTTTTTTTTTTTTTTTAGCATCCGTTACACCCGTTGTAGAATTCCAAACGAGTTGGATTAGACTGACGGTTAGATCCTTCAAGGTGTAAAGACTATTTCTCTTCTCACGTAGCTTACAAGGGCAGTTGAGATTGACAATGAGGATTTGGTGACGTCAACTTGCGATTTCCCGCTCTCAATTAATATTGAGATGCTCGGTTGTTTCAGAAACGATCGGTGAAGGTAGGGATTTGCTCTGTCCTGGCGCCGGTTCTGCGGCCAGGAGCTGAAAAAGAAAATCGAATAGTGGATCGAGGTATTGTTGTCAAGTCGTCAAGCTGTAACAATTGACGTTTACGAAGTTGACTTTGTTCAACTTTGTCTAGTTTCGTAACTCTGCGAGCTTCGAGTAAGGTAGATCGCCGATTGGGTAATTGGGATATGGTAGGTTAGAGAGGTGTGTATTCATTCATATAAACATTAGGTAGATATACTAGAGTACTTCGCATGACATGTAATGACTTGGAAAGTGAGTGAGTCGATATATGTGTAAAGCGAGTGTAATAGAGAGAAAACACATTTAATAGATTACCATACGCACAACGAGCGAAGGGCGTAATGTCTGAACGTGTGGTAAAAGAAAGAAGAAAAAAAAGAGAAAAAAAAACGCATTTGCAAATTGAAGCGGAACGGGGAAAGGATCACATTAAACAACCGATCTCCCGTCGTCCCAGTCTCACGGAATCTTCCAATGTCTGATGTCTTTCTCGATATGAGTCTTGGAAGAGGCAAAGATGCTTGTCAGCTTTTGGGTGGTCTGACAAGGGTAGGCGGATGTTGTTTCGTAATTCGCTTTCCCCAATTTCCATTTCAGGTGTCGGGTATGTTTAATGGTACGTACCAGTACGTACCTCGTACATAGCACATTTCGAACTTGGACAAGGGTAGGATAAGTTCAATGTAAGTTAGCATAGGCTATCGATAGCAAACTGGGCAGGGTTCATGGCTGGGCAGATATCATCACTTCTTAAATCTTGGTTTTTATTATCTTATTCACACGTAGAAAGTACTTAAAGATTTCATCATCTACCTCATAAGATCTACCTCGCCTTGCAATATAAAACTCTAGTCAGGGATCTCTTTTATGTTATTCGACGTGTTCGAGTGGGATATGGTTTTTTTCCCTCTCGTCATAGCAATCTTCGAGTTGCAGGTGCTTAATTAAGTGCAGATACGGTTTTTACCGCAGTGACGCTACCGGAATAGAAAATGCAACTTATCTGTATCGACACTAGAAGCCAACACATTAACGCTAAAAAGAGCTTGCAGCAAAGAGCTCGTGGCAGAAAGCTTCCGTTTTTTCAAGCATTGGAAATCTTACTTACTACCTAGGTACTTACCAGCTTACCTACCTGGCAGCTAGGCTACAGGTTAGGTAATTGCAGGCACCAATGCTTCTAGCCCTGCCGTGATCGATCGATCCTTAGCTGTCCTTTGCCTAAAAGCGGAGGTGGAGAAATGCTGGCACTGCCCCCATCGCGTCGTCACCATAGGGAATACGAATTATGTACGATTCATTCCACCCTCGTATAAACGACTATGAGAGTTTGTCCTTACATGTCGATTTTTTTTCTTCTAGAAAACCGAGGCTCCCGAAATTATACCATTGCGTTGTGTAATCCAAGCTAATACTTTTTAGAATACCCTTTTCTGTTAAATTTTTTTTTCGCCCAACCATCGCCTGGGCCATGGTCCTTTTAAAAAATCCAAGCATTTAACGGGTGCCTAAACCGTTTTATTTCCGCAAAAAATCAAAATGGTTGACAGATTTATCAAAAAGGCAGGTTAGCTACCGTTAAGACGAACTTGAGAAAAAGACCAGGGTTATATTTTTCGCATTCGGGTATCAGAGAAGGCGACGCCGATTACCTGTCTGTTACCTTATTTCATGTTCTATTGTTTTCCCTTATCCTATCCGAGAAGAAAAGAGACAAAGCAAACCCGCAGCTCTGGCGAGATTCGGCCTAGACTACCACACAGGATTACGAATGAACACCATCAATAGCTCATCATCGTTCCTGAACAAGTTGGGATATCTTCCACCGCCACGCAGAGATCAGCACAGGGCTCAAAAAAAAACACATTGCATGCTGCAGTAGGTACACATCGCCAAGATGCAACCTATGGGAATACGCCGCCAGTATTTATTGACTTGTTCCCAAAGCTTGGTCATATTAATCTGTGCCTGAGGGGGAGCCCTTTGAAATGTCAAGCCTGGAGCCACTTGTAAAGTCGTATCGATGTGATTCGTGACACGGTAACGAATGGTCTAGTCCCCCTGATAGGTGTTGGCGGGATTGAATTGGAACCAAGCCCAAAAGGGTGCAGCTATTCTCCCTTCATACTACATACATGCACCGAGGTAACATAATGCATCCGTCTCTCCCGAACATGGAATCTTCTTGATTGATTTTCTACCCAGGAATTTCTGCCAGACGGACTCGACTCCTAATCATCCTAGCTAATCTCATGCATAGCGGGAAACAGAATACGATCGGGCCCGCATTCAACGTACGCAGGCGCTGGCTCACAGAAGATTGAGACAACGGCATTTACTCAAGCGCCTACGTTTTCTGGACACGCAGGTCATGTTTTCAAGCTGGTATAGAAATAAGTTCGTGTCGAGAGGATTTCAACATGCAGGTCTTTCTCAGCGAGTCCTGATTAGAAGAACCATCTCATCTGCAGCCTAGCCTGCTCAGTTTGGAAACACTGCATACCAATTGAGGAAGTCCTGATGGTGTATCGACCGCGCGGCAAACCCCCAATGCAACTTTGCACTCGCATCTGGTACACACCCACATATATCGGCTTATCCTCACAGACATTGCAGATCGTGTTGAGAGAAGAACGCCCATAATGTAAGACAACAGAAGAAAAACTTGCTCCAGTTATCCGAAGCCACAGACGTATTATATTCTTATATCACTTCTAGACTGAAAGTATTGCAACCCCCCGCCACCCGCAAAGATTTTTTTTTCCAGGCAACAGATGCACCTGAGCAATAGCCTACTTTATTTCCCCCTCGTGAATTGATCATAAGGGGCCATTAACGTTCGGTAGGTGTAGTTGAATCTTGCAGATGCGAAGGCTGTGTCGACCCCTTACGCGGCGGCTACCTAAGCGATAAGAAAAAGCTACAATACCATGCACGCGGTACTCGTCCTACGTGATTGGATGCTGTGATCTCGTGGAACGAATACCGGCCGTTTTATATTGGCTACCACCAACCAATATTCATCCCAAATTTCGACTACGCATTAGGTATTGGATCACGAGCCATGCATGTGTTTTTTTATTACCTCGTTATTTGATTGATAACGGGCATCTCGGAACCACGAGGTTTGAATCTGTATTAACCTGCTGTATAACACGGCTATCTATAGAAGAACGGAATCTCCTGGCGTAATATGGTAAAGATAATACGACACTCGGAGCTCCGAAGCGAACACATTCTTTTTCTCCTCTGGTGGGGAAAGATAGATAATTGTCGGCATGAATACTTCTAGATTAGAGGTTTGGAATTAAGAAAATCGCCATAGCAATTAGAACCTAAGAGAGCTGAATATTGCGTATGCCTTAGACGACTTCACGTCTGAAAAGTCGGCCAGCCAATCTTATATAATATCGCATGTCATACCTTCGAGCGGAATACAAGCATGAAGGGATTATATCCCGAGCTATTTATGAAATATGGTAATACCAGCGGACGAAATCAGCTACAAGAAGCTTGTCTCCAAGCCAGAACGGTATGATTCATTTAAAGGAAACCAGGTACCTAGTGTCTTACGAAACATAAACACCTCCTTCAGCCCGTATAACGATACACCATCACTTTGCCTACTCTTACTTAACCCAGCCCTACCTATCTCATCAGAGCAAGATAAGGCTTTGTTAACGCAAAACCCAGAACCGCAGAACATCACCACGCGTTCCCGGGATGGTAATGTCGGGAACTAGAAAAAAAGAAAAGGAAAAAACTTAGCCAGAACCATCTGTAGCTCTCTCCTACGGGTGTCTATATACCCCATGTACACACCCACACATACCCCTTAAATGTCAGGTAGATACCCAATATATAAGATCAGATAGGGGACGGCGCGGGCGTTCCACTTACCTTACCTACCTCGCCTTGCCTGCCTTGCCTATCTAACGTACACCGAAGAGCGTCATATCCAGCCTACCTAGATACCTAGCAGCTAACTTAGCTAATCTAGGCACCTTACCTTACCTAGGTACCTCCTATATAGATATATGGTACATCACCTATTAATAAACTCCGGGCCCGCGGGTGCGGGTGCCTGCCTGCCTACGTTATGCATGCAGCATGGATATATATATCATGAACGCCCGCCCCCGTCCCCCCCCTTTTTTTTTAATTTTTTTTTTTTTTTTTTTTTTTTTTACCGTCCTCGTTCTGCCCACGCCCGCTGCAGGTATCCAGCCGTAGTTACCTGCCTGGGTGTGCCGTTTCTCTCCCCGCTTGCTTTGCTTTACCTGCTTTGTAGGTACCTAAGTCTACCTAGTTTTCTTGCTTTGCCTCCTTTACCTACTTCCTTACTTCATCTGCTTTACCTAGGTACCTTACTTTACTTTACCTACTTACTTAATCCCACTCACTCCCCTTTTCGTCTACGAGATTTTAAGAAACTTCGCCCCATATACCATTTTTGTTCTAATAGGTAGTACGTCAACTTAGATTTGGTAAATTTGGCCGGTCCGGGGAAGATCGGATGACTTTGTGTGTCTCTAAAAACGCGGTCGCATCTGTGCCAAGCTCTCTTGTCCTAGAGAGGCTACGAGGCCTTCTCTTCTTAGAACGTACTTGAGCCTCATGTGCGTAGATGTATAACGTATATAACCTGCGACTTATGGCATATCACCCGTCTCGTGGTCTCCGTAGCCACTGAGCTGGTGTCTTCCCGCCTATGGCAGGCTTCTTGTAGTCTTAATATAATCTTGATGTCCTTGCGCAAGCGTATAAGTCGATATTACCTGGATATAGTAAGTCATACATAAGAAAGACATAATAATAGGCCCACACACTGTTTCCCTTTCGTAGATTCCATAACCTTTTGGTTCGTTACGTTTCCCTGACAATGGTTTTTCTCGTGGAAGTATTGTATGAAGTAACGCATGTATTAGCTATGCCACTGATATTTGACAATCTGATCCATTTCCGTGAGTTCAATGTTCGATTACCGCCCCCATATGCTGAATCATTCTCGATACATCGTCGGTTTGATCGCAATAACCTAGGGGAGGAAAAAAAAAAGTTCAAAGACCTTTATCCATCCATCCTCTGTCGCGTTTTTTTCCCGTGTCCGGGGGGAAAATCGAATATCATGTTCTCGTTCAAAAAAGGAAACCGATGCCAAATCAGCAATTCACAGACGAGACTCCATGCAGCTTGTTTGCAGGAATTCTTTCTTTTTTAATTGTTGATGCTAGACGCAAGGCTGGAGCCTGATACCTTGCCTAACCCAGATGCAGCCAATCATGAGAACCGTCCACACTACCAACTCCGGCCCTTACCCATCTTATATCGACGAAGGGTAGAGCATGATACGAACTGAAGCACCGAAAGACTTGGAGGGGAGGGGGTTAGCGAACTTCGCTCGGACAACGCCGGAGTTGCCTAGATACAGCCGTCAGCAAAAGATATCTTCTCGGAACATTTAATATAGGTGGAAAGGACATACCGTGAGGTCGGGTGACCTTGCCCCAGATCACGCGGATCTTGGTTCCTCGGATCTCCTTCTGGCCCTTGTAGACGTACGCGACCTTCTTTCCTAGGTAGAAGCTGCGCCAAATGTTAGATATGAATTGGACCTAGCACTAACGGTTCTTGAACCTACTTGGCGGCCTGGGCGTCATCAACACCCTCGATCTTGATCAAGCTCGTCTTGGGGTGGGTGTTGTGTCGGCTACGTTGGTAGCTTAGGTGACGACCCCTAAAGTAGAAAAAAAATCGCAGTCAGTCTTCGGTTCATACATATTTGCTTTGCGTGCGCGCTTGAAAGACTGTCGTCGTGAATTCATATGAAGAAAGTGGTCGGCATTTCGGAGGAAAGATTCGGTCGTTCTCGCGAAGAAAGTGATTCGAGGAAAATTGATTTTGTGGGTTACTCACTTGACGTATACTAATTGACAATATTGTTAGTACGCGTTTTTAATAATTGAATTGCTCCTTAGGAGATCATGGTGATCAAGTCGTGCAGCGCGAAAAAGAATTGCTTTACGCGACGGCGATACCGGATCGACCCGTGGAGATATTATATTCTTCGAGGTTTAACTTACATCTGTGACCTGCTTCAGAAGGCATCTTGACTGAGTTTTTTCCACGGCTCTCAGAAATCCGAAATGGTACTGGAATCCGGGAGAAGTCTTTCGCAGAAAGAAGACCTTTGTACGCTGGGCGAGTTTCTGTCGGCGAATTGTTGTGATGACCAAATCTCAAGGTGGGTTAGGCTTGACGATGGAGGTTGATTGATGGGAGGTGGGATTGGTGCGAAAGGGCTAAGCGAAGCCCTGTTGCAATCACAGAAAAAACAATTTTTTGACTTTAGTGTGGTGGCTGGAGAATTTGATCTGAGGCACATGTACATATGTACCCTAGCTTACTTTCACTATGAGGTATGTACTTTCACTTATCACTGGCCACCTGTGGCTTGAATATAGACCCCCACGTAGATTCAATCTGCTCAACACGCTCAACACAACTTCTTGCCTCTATCTTAATGAAGTCATAACACCGAAGAAACACCTCAAGACGCGTAAATGAAAACGAAAGGCTTTAATAAAATTATTGACAAACAAACACCCCAAAAAATCTAAAAAAGGATCGCCATAAACATAATTCGAACTTGAAAAGGTAAATAATACTAAAACCTCTCCTGGCTATAGCCTCGTGCTCTCGGATCGGAGTTAAACGGTATCACTGCATACCGTAGATAGGTATTATCTCCATTTAATTCCACAAGATCACAATCCTTAATTCTTAGAGTCTTACGCCGGACGCTCTACTGGTTCGACGCCCCGAGTAACAGGTAGAGAGCGCCCTATAGATGGCTGGTTTACTTTAGATACCTACCTAGGTACAACATCGCATACAACTACCCAACTTTACTCCTATAGCGTACAAGAGTGTACACATGCAGTTTGGCCATTTGTGCCACTTGAATTGGAGCAAGCAACCATTGAGTCAAAGTATTGGCAAACACTAATCCAACATCCTTTTCATTCCATGTCAGCCGTACCTTAGGTACCTACCTAACTATGAATCCTCTGTGGCTGTCAACATGCAAGCATTGGTGTACCTGGTGGTTGGTTTAGACACATATCCCATATCCAAATCCCGAGAGACGAAACTACCTCTCTTGGGGGTGAATTTGCATTTATTACAGTAAACCAATCACACCGTCAGACCGTCAAGGTTATGTCGCAGCCTCCCGCGTGATACAGCAGGTACTACACGCCCCTTTCCGCCTCATTACTAGTCTATCAATAATCCCTCACGCATTCGATTGCCAAGTAGGTGTGGCCGGCTGCAAGAGGCTCACTGCACTACCATCCCGTTGCAACCTTTTTTATATAAGGTATATATATGTATATTAAGCTTGGTGATTTCATCTCTGCATTTTGTTGCTGGTAGCCTACTACCTGTTGGAACTGGGAAATAATTACCTAGAAACAAGAATTGTGCCTTAGGGATTGTAGACTGAAATATCTGCCGGGCAGCACAGCGGAGAGCCGCCGAATGCTGAGTGAGGAAGAGAGGTTTACACAAGTCGATAGATCCTACGGGATGCAACAAGAGGCGCTCGCACGCCCCGCGGCCGCAGGACCCTTCCGTCGAGTCTTACATATTAATGTTACCCCGCGGCCGACGCAGCAATTGACCTCTTCTCCACCAATCGACCAGCTCAGCCGATCCCTAGGTAAGGATCTAAGGTGACAACCACCTAGGTAAGAGAGGTAAGCTTTCAAGGGATAGTTTTCAGATAGCTTCAGGTAAGATGACCAAGCCTACCTAACATAATGCTCAAGGAATGAGAAAGTAAGACCCTACTATGTATCTCTCCTCGGTTCCCACCCACCCTACTTTAATAATCCATTATTACTACGGTCGATTTAAGCCGTTCTCGGACATATTCCAGCCCACAGCAAATGGCTATTGGTCAGCAATGGTTGAATGGTTGAGTGATCAAGATAGGTACCGCGGATGCTATTATAAGCAAGTAATACATACGTCAACAACAGCTTCTACTTTCGAACGTACGCGTCTCCGCTTACTCGCGAAGCTTATTAAACACAACGTAGTTGTATTCTAATTAACTAGACCTATAAGTGATTTTTTTATGCGAATATATAAAGTAAGTAATAAGTATCTAAATGAAGAAAATGAGAGATGCTGCCTGTATGATTTTCCAACAGGGTGTGTTGAATTAAAAAAAGAGAAATAAAAGCAACAACTTAAAAGTAAAAATGGTGATAAGGTGAGGTAGTAATAGGTACATCGTCATCCCAAAAGGAGTTTAGAAGTACGGGTGTTATACCTAACCATTTCCAAGGTTCCAAGACTAACTGCCTTAGGTACCTAGGTACTTATTATGTATTCTACCTAAAGGTTAATCAACTTTGCACCTGCTCAAGCTCTCTGCTACATAGGTTTTAATACCGCTCCGATGACATACCCTCTTCTAAAGGACCAACCCACTCTTTAGCCAACGCTTGAAGCTACTAAGAAGTACCTAGGCCACACCCTAGAGACCTAATATCGGCCTTAACAGACATTTACCGCCTGCGACCGACAGCTGTTTCGCCCGTTCCGCCCGGTCAACCCAAGACATTTACTTCCTTCAACACCTTGATTCCCTCTTGCCTTTCTATTTGGCCCTTCCCCCAATTTTCACGACATCCTTTTTTTCCCTTTCCCTTTTCCAACCCACCTAAAATACACCTCTTCTTCTCCCTAGGTATCGTTCCTTGTCAATAGTCATTTCCCTCTCTACCATCACCATCTTGCCCTAACGGCAAACTACTCGCAATGCAAGCTCCAGTAAGGTAAGCTCGCGAATACCCCGCCCCTGCCCCGCCAATTCTATCATCAAATCTATGTGTAGGAGAGCCTCATCTATTGCGCTCGTGAAAGCTTCTAATGCCTGCCTATAACTTTGTCTCTTGCTCAAAATGGATGAAGATACCTGATTTCATGCATAATAAATTATTGTTTTCTTTCATGTATAGGTCGCTAATAATTCCCTTTTCGGTAGTGGTGTGGAGCTGAAGGACAACACGGTCATCGTGGTTCTCGGCGCATCCGGAGATCTTGCAAAGAAGAAGACGGTACGTATATAATAAAAATAAACACCTATTTTTTCACACTTTAAGCTCCCCAGCTAATCGAATTATTATAGTTCCCTGCCCTCTTCGGCCTTGTGAGTATTTACATGAAATCCGATGTGCCCGGCGTGGAGGGATGAGAGCTAACGTAGACGGAAGTACCGCAACCAATTCCTCCCCAGAGATGTCAAGATCGTCGGATATGCGCGAACGAAGATGGACCACGAGGAATACCTCAAGCGAATCAAGTCATACATCAAGACCCCTACCAAGGACTTAGAGAAGCAATTGGCAGAGTTCTGTGAGCACTGCAGCTATGTGTCTGGCCAATATGACCAGGACGAGCCCTTCTTGAAACTCAACGCTCACCTCGAGAAGCTAGAGGATGGCCGACGCGAAACGCATCGTCTCTTCTACATGGCCTTACCCCCTAGCGTATTCACCATCGTCTCCCAACACTTGAAGCGATGTTGCTACCCTAGCAAGGGTATTGCGCGAGTTATCGTAAGAGCATTCATTCTCTTCAATGGAGCATAATCGAGTCGCCTTTCTAATTTTATCATGTCATTAGATCGAGAAGCCCTTCGGAAAGGATCTTGCTAGCTCCCGTGAGCTACAAAGATCGTTGGAGCCTGACTGGAAGGAGGAGGAGATATTCCGCATTGACCACTACCTCGGAAAGGAGATGGTGAAGAACATTCTAATTCTCCGATTTGGTAACGAATTCTTCGGTGCTACCTGGAACCGACACCACATAGACAACGTTCAGATCACGTTCAAGGAGCCTTTCGGTACGGAGGGCCGTGGTGGATATTTCGACGAGTTTGGAATCATCCGAGACGTTATGCAAAACCATCTGCTCCAGGTCTTGACGCTGCTAGCTATGGAGCGACCCATCTCCTTCTCGGCGGAGGATATTCGTGATGAGAAGGTCCGTGTGTTGCGAGGTATTCCTGCTATCGAGCCAAAGAACGTCATTATCGGCCAGTACGGAAGGTCCCTAGACGGCACCAAGCCTGCTTACAAGGAGGATGACACTGTCCCCAAGGACTCACGATGCCCAACTTTCTGCGCCTTGGTTGCTTACATCAAGAATGAGAGATGGGACGGCGTCCCGTTCATTATGAAGGCGGGCAAGGCTTTGAACGAGCAGAAGACGGAGATTCGAATTCAGTTCAAGGACGTTACTAGCGGTATCTTCAAGGACATCCCTCGAAACGAGCTCGTGATGCGAATCCAGCCGAACGAGAGTGTCTACATTAAGATGAACTCGAAGCTTCCTGGATTGAGCATGCAGACGGTCGTGACAGAACTCGACTTGACCTACCGACGACGATTCTCGGACCTAAAGATCCCCGAGGCGTACGAATCGCTAATTTTGGACGCGCTCAAGGGTGACCACTCCAACTTTGTCAGAGACGATGAGCTTGACGCCAGCTGGAGAATCTTCACTCCTCTACTGCACTACCTAGATGACAACCAGGAGATTGTCCCGATGGAGTATCCCTATGGTGAGTTAACAATTTGAGGCCCTTCTTGTAATATTTAATATTGAGCAAGTACTAACCTACGTGACAGGCTCGCGAGGACCGGCAGTCCTTGACGACTTCACATCGTCCTACGGATACAAGTTTAGCGACGCCACGGGTTACCAGTGGCCGACGACATCGGCCGCGCCCCCTAACAAGTTGTAAGTAACTATCGGCATGGCGTTTCAGCGATCGACTTTCAGGCAGTCGTTTAGACTTGCATATATAGAGCGAGCAACCCACTGATATCTTCCCCCGATAGTTAACTTTGGTCTCGCACTGGCATTACCCGCCGCGTGCTTCTGCGTTGACTAGACTACCGACAAGGGGCGCGTGAGAAAATGTCGGGCCTTTGGGGGCGGGCATTGGGACGAAAAAATAAAGAACATTTCGATCTTCTCTTTCAACGTGGGATCTTCGGATAGGGGGCGCGCGGGACTACTAATAAATAAGGGTCTGCCACCGATATTTCCATAGAAAGAAAATGCTATGCTTTGATTTAAACAGCTTTTGTTTTTTTATTTTTTTCGGCTTGCAATTGGGTCGTGTTATATGTTAGTAAAATCAAGACAAGGCTCAGAGCCTTACGAATATTTCGCGGGTTACTTGAGGTAGTAGTAGTTATGCCCATCCCATGTAAGACGGGACTGTTCATCTTTTTTAACGAACGGATTGAGACGGGATATGGTGGTGGAGATGTGCCAAGGTACCATCCATTGACTGACTACCTAACATAATATACCTGTATATATGTCGGCAGGCTGTAGTGCTAACAAACGGTCATTGAGTCATAATATTCTTCACTTGATTATAAAAGATCGAGATATACTATTGTAGGAATAGCGAAAAAGAGTTCAACCAATCGCACTTAGAGACGCGAGATGGACATTAGGTAGTTTGGACTTGGCAGTACTTCGTAATTTTACCTTGTAAACTCATTACGTGTATCGGCTGCCTCCCTGCTAGAGGTAGGTTAGGTATTTACATAGAGGTGTTCGTAGGTTGCATTAGGGTAATGAATAAGGCTGTCATTAAGTTCCATTATTGAGTTTTACTGGGTATAGGTACTGAGTATCTGTAGTAATTCGGAAAATTCCCACAATACAATATCAAACCGCCCATTCAACAAATCTATCATCTTCAAATTTGACGTTTCTTTTTTTATAAAGAGCTTGTTCTAACTAATACGCGTACCTAATGCATCGAAACTTGGCAGGATATATCGACCCCCACTAACTCGCTTACCTTACCTTGGCTCACTTCCCCGGGTTATACGCCGTATTTTATAAACGGTTTTTTTTGTTCTCTAAAAGCCAACTGCTATTGGTCTAGACTTCGGCTAGATCTTGATTGATTGATTCCCTGCCTACCTGGCACCTAACCTTACCAGGGCCTTCGCTTATTAGCGTAACGTGTGGTCTCTTCCCCTGGGGTAAAAGGGGGTGTAAGGCACATGGATGGAAGAACGATAGAAAGACTTCGGATAACTATACGAATGGTGCATGGTATAGTTACTCCTTTTTTGATTCGACACAAGCTCCCATCAAAAGCGGGCTTACCTACTTTGCCTCCCCCCTCCCCTTCTTCTACCCTTCTCCACCCTTGCCTTTTGCCGTGCGTTTTTTTACATAAATCTGGCCAAGGTCGGTCGCGGGCTCGGAATTCAGCCGCGTGTTATAAGGCAAATGGAAGCCTAGTGTTATTATTAGTTGCCTGTTTCATCTCACATTGGGCCCATTAACCATGATCCCTGCTGGCGACGACCCATTATCCCATCGCTTCTAGGCTTACCGTATTTCGCATAGTTGCTATATTGTATACTACATGGTTTTTTCTATCAAAAAAAGGGCGTAGGCAGCGTTCTTTCCTTTCCTTCATAAATAGGTATCTAACGACCAGGCCGTGTATACGCAAGGTCAGATAGTGAGCGAGTGAATTGTATTACTCGCTATATCTATAGTAGACTTCGAACGTTTCGCCATGGGGACCGAAGCCACAGGCCCGAAGGGGGCGGCGACTCCAAACTCGGCCGTTCTTGACGAGAAGATGATGACGGCGCCGCCAACTGCGCCGTCTACCGAGGACGCGACCGCCACGGAAGAAGAGAAAGCGCGGCGCGATGCGAAGTTGCGGCCGGAGAGGGAGGCTACTTTTAGCGATTATACGGTTCGTGGTTTCACTACATATCATATCCTCCGATATGTCTTGTCTAGGTACCTGCCTATATATGGAACTTGAGTTGCTGACGCCAATGTAGAGGATTTTCTCATACGCAACCTTCTGGGATTTCGTCCTCATGGCTGCTGCTGCTGTGGCAGCCGCGGGATCAGGTGTCGTACGTATAAATCATCTCCCCATATATATACTAATCCCTCAGGTCGACTAATGGGTTGTCTGAATTGTAGACCCTTCCGTTGATGAACGTGGTGTTCGGTAAGATCTCTTTCCTACCAAGAAAGACAGAGGTCGAAATTGGCTGTAGATACTTATTGCTTGAATAGGTGCACTTGTTGGCGACTTCAATGGCTACTTTCTTCCAGTTCCTACGAAGACGGAGGCTGAATTCCGGGCCTCTCTTAACAGAAATGCGTAGGTCTATAATTCGACAATGTACACGGATGGGTTCGCTGACACTATACAAGGCTTTATATCTTTATTCTATTTATCGGCAGACTGGTCCTTATATACGTTAGCAAGGTACTATCGCATCTATAACTTCAAAAACTTAGAATATCTACTCATGGCTATAGTTTGCCTACCGGCTAATTGGTATCCGCATGTCTGCAGCCATCAGACTCGATTATCTTCGATGTCTGTTCAGCCAGACGATCCACGTCCTTGACTCGATGCCCTCTGGCGCGGCCGCGGGGACGATCACGACTACGGCGAACACTCTGCAACTTGGTATTTCTGAAAAACTTGGAGTCTTCGTGGAATATGTCGTCATGATCATAGCCGCCACGACCATCGCATTCGTCTACAACTGGTCTCTCGCTCTAGTTACTTGCTCCGTCCTTCTCTTTATCCTTATCGTTGTGGGCATTATCGTTCCTTTCTACCTCAAGGCGACGACCAAAGTCACCAAGGCGGAGACGAAATCCTCTTCGATCGCGAGCGAGGCCTTCTCAGCTATCCGCATGGTAGTCGCGTGCGGTGCCGAATCCCAGATTGCTAAGCGCTTCGCCGTTTGGGCCCAGGAGGCGCAGAAACATGGCCAGAGAATATCTCCCCTCATAGGCACGCAAATGGGCTTGGTTTTCTTCGCATTCAACTCCGCGTTCGGGCTTGCGTTCTGGTACGGATCTAGGTCTTTTGTCGAAGGCCGGCTCGATAACGTGGGTACCATTGTCGTCGTGCTTATGTCGGTCATGATGATGGGCATGTCCATCGAACGAATCTCGACGCCGCTTATGGCGATAGGTAAGGCTACGGTTGCTGCTTGTGAATTTTTCACTGTCATAGATGCTCCTCGCCCGAATACGGGCGAGCTTAAGGAGCCCGACGTCTCAGCGACCAACGACATTATCTTCAAGGACGTAGATTTTGCGTACCCGAGCCGACCGCATGTCAAGGTCTTAGATCAGCTCAATCTCAAGATCGAGGCCGGAAAGCTGACGGCTATTGTTGGACCTTCGGGTTCTGGTAAAAGTACTATAGTCGGGCTGATCGAGAGATGGTATACCTTACATGATCAACACATCATCGCGAAGGCCATTGAAAAGGACCCAGCAAAGGAGGCAGCGAAAAAGAAGAAGGCCAAGGGAAATGAGAACCAAGAAGAAGCTGAGGACGAGACCCTCCCTGCCGAAGTTGAAGATGCCGGTCCGCCCGTGGAGTTGAAGGGATCGATATCCACATGCGATTACGAGTTAAAGGAAATCAACCTGAAATGGTGGCGGTCTCAGATTGGGCTTGTGCAACAAGAGCCATTCCTATTCAACGACACCATCTACAAGAATGTCGCGTATGGCTTAATCGGTTCGGAATTACAGGATGAGCCTGAAGAGCGGAAACGGGAGCTTGTTAAAGAGGCTTGCAAAGAGGCTTTTGCCGACGAGTTCATCGACCGACTTCCTGATGGATACGAGACTATGGTCGGCGAAAGCGGCACGAAGCTATCGGGCGGCCAGCGCCAGAGGATATGTATTGCGCGTGCGGTCATTAAACGGCCCAAGATCCTCATTCTCGACGAAGCCACATCCGCGATCGATGTCCGAGGCGAACGTATCGTGCAGGCAGCGTTAGACAAAGTATCGCAAGGCCGAACCACCATTACCATCGCCCATCGACTCTCGACGATCAAGAAGGCCGACACGATTGTAGTTTTGCAAAAGGGAAAGGTTGTCGAGCGGGGTACTCACGAATCCCTTCTGGAGAACGAAAGCGGTGTTTATTACGGTCTTGTACACGCCCAACAACTTTCTCTAGGACAACAGGACGATGATGAAGATTCCGAGGGCCCGGAGGAAGAGGACTTAGGTACGATACTCAGCCGCGAAAAGAGCGCTGCCTTCTCGGAAACCGCGGATGCGCCCAAGGCAACTCCGTGGGAATCAAAGGGGTTATTTGGAAGCTTTGGACGACTACTTTACGAACAGCGATCTCGTTTCCCCTTATACGCACTCACAGTCGTGGCGGCTATGTGCACGGCTAGTAAGTTGAACAATTGAAGCTCGTTGGAAAGGTGTAGGCTTACATATGTGACACCAGCATCGACTCCTTTACAAGCGTGGCTATTCGGCAAAGTCGTCGTCGTCTTTGCTTACATGGACGACATACCGAAGTTCACGTCGGAAGCCAACTTCTGGTCCTTAATGTTGTTGATCCTCGGTATAGGCACAGGCGTAGCATTCTTCGTCCTCTCGTTTGTGTCGAATCACGTTGCCCATGTATGTATCCATCTCACCGCTGCACTGAAAAAAAAAACAGCAATAGTCCGTATGCTAAACTTGTGGACGCAGCATATCTCTTCTACATACCGACAGCAGTATTTCGAAAGCATCTTGTATCAGAAAACATCGTTCTTTGACGAGGAACAGAATTCAACAGGTTCGCTTACGGCGCGAGTCGGGAGCGACCCGAAACAGCTAGAGGAACTTCTGGGGTTGAATATGGCTATGGTCTATAATTCGTAAGAAAGCTCTCATTCACTTGGACTTTGCATTTGTTCTATTGTCTTGCTTTGCTCATAGGAACTATATAGATTCTTCACCGTCATCGGTTGCTTAGCTATATCCTTTGCCTTTGGCTGGAAGCTCGCCATCGTGGCTACGTGCGTCACGATGCCTATCGGGCTCGCGGCCGGATATCTTCGCCTCAAATACGAGATGGGCTTCGAGCGCATGTACGCGGAGGTCTTCGCCGAGTCGTCCACGTTTGCCGCCGAGGCTATCTCGGCCTTCCGAACCGTCTCCTCTCTCACCCTCGAGGACACCATCGGCGATCGCTACGAGAGGCTGCTTAACCACCATGTCGTCAAGGCTTACAAGAAGGCAAGATTCGCAACGCTGGTATCCGCCTTCTCGGAGAGTGTCGGGTTGGGTTGCCAGGCTCTTATCTTTTGGTATGGAGGCACTCTCCTAGCCTCCAGGGAGTATAATACCTTGGACTTTTTGGTTTGTTTCATGGCCGGTAAGTGAGGGTTGATTTTATCTTCTCGATCTTTTATGTCTCCAGGAAGGGAATACGGATCTCGAATACATCTGATAAACCTCCAAATTACTTGTGAGAAAAGAGCATTACTAACTACTGTTCCTAAACCAGTTATCCAAGGGGCCGAGTCAGCCGGTCAAGGTTTCGGCTTCGGACCTAACGCCGCGCAAGCCGCAGCAGCCGCCAACCGCATTCTAAGCCTGAGGGAAACGCGCAACAAAGACCTCGGCAGCGGCAGCAAGGGCGTCGGGATCCCCGACACGGAAGGCGGGATCAAGATCGAGCTCAAGGACGCGCATTTCAAGTACCCGACGCGGAACGTCTCGGTGTTCAAGGGCCTCAACATCACGATCGAGAAGGGCCAGTTCGCGGCGCTAGTCGGGGCCTCCGGGTGCGGCAAGACGAGCATCATCTCCCTGCTCGAGCGCTTCTACGACCTCCAGCGCGGCCAGATCCTGGCCAACGGCGTCGACATCGCCCGGGTTAACGTGTACGACTACCGCCGGCACCTGTCGCTCGTGGCGCAGGAGCCGACGCTGTTCCAGGGCACGCTGCGGGACAACATCCTGCTGGGGGCGGACGTCGCGGGCGCGAGCGACGCGGAGCTGCACGCGGCGTGCCGCGACGCGAGCATCCACGAGTTCATCATGTCGCTCCCCGAGGGGTACAACACGGAGGTCGGGAGCCGCGGGGTGTCGCTGTCGGGGGGCCAGAAGCAGCGGGTGGCGATCGCGCGGGCGCTTGTCCGGAAGCCCGACGTGCTGCTGCTCGACGAGGCGACGAGCAGCCTGGACTCGGAGAGCGAGAAGCTGGTGCAGGGCGCGTTCGAGAGGGCGGCCCAGGGCCGCACGATGGTCGTCGTCGCGCACCGGCTGGCCACGGTGCAGAACGCCGACGTCATTTTCGTCCTGGGCGAGGGGAAAGTGCTGGAGAAGGGCTCGCATGGCGAGCTGTTGAAGAAGAGGGGCGTGTATTGGAATATGGTGAGTTTATTTTCCTTAGCCTTTCTTACTCTACTTACTCTACCCCCTCCTCCCCCTTTATTTAACCCCCGATCTATGCGGATGATGAGAGAAATATTTTTTACTAATAATCTTTTTTTTTTTCCCGCGGTTTAGTGCCAGAGCCAAGCTCTCGATAGATGAAAGAAGAACGAAGAAAGAAGAAAGAAGAAATAATACGCTAAGGACGATGAGGACGGAGATGAGGATGAGTATATATAATGGATAATATATAATAGGCATATATGTTGGAAATACATTGGTAGGTACCTAATATAAGGTATACTAGATATGCTAGATCATGAGTATCGGGAAGAAAAGGAACAGAAAATAACCTGCTATGTACATAGAAATACCCATTCAACTCTGGCCCTTTTGGATTTATAGGTAGAGTCAACTCAGCACGATCATCATACTACGCGATAAAGATTTTGGATATTCGCTATGAATGTTCCCTTTGGTAGAGCCATAGATACTCGTATTCTGCTCACTACTAAGAGTTTCCTTCTCAACTACCCTTCTCTTATCTAGGTACCTAGATAAGTCCAAAGGGATGGGAAGGATAAAGATGTAAGTTCGTCAGGTCTTTTCTCCATCTTCTCGTACGTACCTAACCTCTAGGTAGCCTAAGACTTAAGCACCTCACCCAGGCAAACAAGACATTCCTCCCAACCAAGCCCACACTCCCAGAGAAAAAATCCGGCAGTGCGTGGTTGGCATTCCCGCAGACGTAACCGACCTAGACAGATAAGTCATCGCAGCAAACAGTCTGCCAGCCGACCCCGCAACATAGGCCCTCTGGCCTGGGTGACAGGAGGCTAGAGAAAACGGACGAGGGGAGTAGGATAATTAATCTCCATGTCCCACGATGCAGTTTTTCGAGTGGTGCTGGGTTCAATCCCAGTTCCGTGCTTTTTTTTTTATCCTTCTTTTCTTGTCCTTTTGTATGGAGTCTTGCCAACAACTACTTTTCAACCATTTATTTACCTTTCCCCACCATCTTGCCTCAAATTGACTTGCCCAGCACTGCGGCTCTCTAGAATCATTCGCCGTTGTGATAGATGCCTATGCGAACTAGTATATCTACCTCCTTTGCCACGTTAGGTAGTTCCGCTTCTTTTAAACTGTGAGGTAGCCAAAATTGGATAACATCTTTTTCGCAATATTTACCTAGAGTGCTAATACTGATATTCGATATAGAAGAATGAGCCCTTGGGGATCCTTATGTCTACTACATAATGAGATCCAGCGAAAATAAATAATTCATAGGTATATTAAGCTTAGGTAGCTACTTGCAGATGTAGTCAAATTACTATATCTGCCCTCGTTCCCCAGTCGCATACACAGCGAAAAGGGTATTTAAATCCTCGATTCATCAAGCTGACTTTCGTGAGAAACTAGATATAGGTGCTTATGGATTGTCAAACTAATGATGTACATTGTGCGATGACACCTAGTTGGTGGGTTGGCTGGGGTTAGCAAGTCTTGCTGATTGGGTGGCAGCTTCTTTGCGGCCGACATATACCGCATTGATCAACATAGCCATGTGGGCGCAGTCTTCTCGGAGAGCGTCGATCCGAGTACTGATCTTTTCCTCGATAGCTGTCCGTTTCTCGAGCGCTGCTATCAGTCGCTGGAGTCGCTGCTGGCTATAGGCGGTCCTGAAGGCATGCGTGTTAGTAGTAGTTGTGGATGAGTATACGCATAGGTGACAAGAAGGGGAACGAATGAGCTTACCTTTTCTGTGTTTCATCATGGTAGTGCTTTTTGATCTTGTTCTTTATGCCGGACAATTTGTTCGTAGAATCCTTGTCAATGCCTTTCTGAATATCCATCCGCTTTGACTTCCACTTGTCCTGTAGGGATTGGCGGCGGAGGTCAGCATATAGTTTTTAGCGGTAGTCCAGATTCAAAAATGGAAGGAATGATAATAAATCACTCGAGTAAGATGTAAGTAGGCGTACAATGCTTTCCATAGCCTGAGTTATATTTGGGCTTGGTTTATAGGTGAAGTTGATGTTTACCTCAACATCGGAGGCCGAATCGACTTCGGTTGGAGTGGGCTCTTTGTGACGAGATGCCATGGCTAAATGAGGGTTCTAATATCACTGATATCACTGAGATATATTATAGATTGGATTTTATTCAGATATATAAGAACAGGTGCTTGCGATGTTGGTTCACTAAATTTCCGTCTTTTTCAAATTGATATGGAAAGTAGAAGTATTGTAAAAGATGAGAGTCGCTTAAGTGGAATTTTACACAAGTTACCTAGGTACATGTAGATAATTGATTACGAACTACAGATAGAATTCCAGGTCATTGGGAAACAGGAGCCATTACATGTTGATTGACACATCGTACCTACCTGCTCTCTTCATGCATACCTTCCATTAGCATGTGGTTATGTGGTCCAAATACCCCTATTCTTACATAATCATAAACCACCACTAGCGTTGAAAGCTTATCCGAAAAACTGCCGCTTATCAGATTTTATCAGCCAAAAAATAATTGAAAGTCAGACCCCACTGAAGTTTGGCCGTTTCAATTGCCTTGTACTTTGTTTGACTTTGCGATCGCGACGAAGTTTGATCTAAGTCACGATAGTCATAATGGGTCTTGCAGGCCCTAGGAAGTACGCAGACCTTTACTCGCTATGTAACCCAAATACATGCTAATAAGTATGACTATAGTCGGCGAAAGCTCCAGCACGATCCAAACAATACGAAATGGAGCCGTGACGAGACGACCTTCGGCCAGAAAATCCTGCGAGCGCAAGGTTGGGAGCCGGGAAAATTCCTGGGAGCACAAAACTCGGCGCATTCTCACCTACATACAGCTGCAAGCGCCGCCCCAATCAATGTCCTTCTCAAAGACGATACCCTGGGTCTAGGAGCGAAGCCTAAACACAAGCAGAACACCGAATGCACCGGCCTCGACGTCTTTAAGGATCTCCTCGGTAGACTGAACGGGAAGTCCGAAGAGTCAATCGAAAAGGAAAGAAAGATCAAGTCGGAGATCAAGACTTGCTTGTACGTAGAGAGAAAGTATGGTTCCATGAGGTTTGTCAGTGGAGGACTCTTGGTTGGAGACCAGATGGAGGGATTGACCAGCACAACCACCAAAACTGAAACTACCGAAAAGGATATCAAAGAAGAGGATATCAAGAATGAAGATATCAAGGAGGAACCTGTCAGCTCATCGGAAGACGTTCCTGATCTCCCTGCGAAGAAGCAGAAGAAGGAAAAGAAATCCAAGAAAAGGAAAGCAGAAGACGTTGAATCTGCAGATGAACCCGACGCAACTCCCGAAAAGAAGCGAAAGAAGAAATCAAAGGATAATATCCCGCAAGACGACTCAACCGACAGCGTAGAAGCTGAAAGCTCCAGCAAGAAGAAGAAATCTAAGAAGTCCAAACGAAAAGACACGGAAGAATCGGATACACTCGAGTCGGAGAGAAAGAAGAGCAAAAAATCAAAGAAGAGTGCTGAGCGCGAAGTTGAAGGCGACAGTGCGCCGACCCCATCAGAAGAGGCCCAAGTGGAAAAGTCTAAATCGAAGAAGGAAAAGAAAGAGAAGAAAGAGAAGCACAAGAAGAAGGATAAAAAGCGAAAATCATCATCAGATACGTCGAATTCGTCAACAGATGCATCTACTTCGGCGGACACTTCAACTCCTGCGTCAGGGCCTACCTCTCAGACAAGTGGTGTGTCGACGCCTAATGGAACAGGCACTTCAACTCCTCAAGCTTTTTCTATACGGAATTATTCTCGATCGCGCCATATCGCATCGAAACGGATGGCCATAGCCGATTTGCAGGCAATGAACCAAGTGAGTACCTACCTAATTTATTTAGGAAGTTGTTTTGTATTGATAAATGCTGATTATTATATAGATTTTTATGGTGAAACCGGTTTGATAGATAAAGTTAAGCGATTGATTAATCGTAACTAGTGTTGTTGGTTGCATAAGAGCGTCTGGGCCATGATACCCATAAATATATGATTCAATACGCCTCGATTTATAGGTATAGAAGAGATGAATAATACTTAAATAAGCCTCAGTCAGAGATAATAGTTGCACAACTAAGTCATAATAGCGTGAACCCCTAAAGAAAAAAGATTACCTACCTTAGGTACCTACCTAGGTAGGTACTCGACTAGATTAGCATCATCTTACACTAGGGCTTACTTTCTAATGAAGATTTTAGTTAAAAGACGGAAGGAAGTAATGGAGCTGAATACCTAGGACTATACTACTATGTATAAGGCAATAGCGACTATTATATCTACGTGGCTGGACCTGCATATAGGTACAGGGTCTGTTGGCAAGGGCTATGTTAGCCCCAATCCATCTTACGGTATCGCGCGACCCTTGCTTCTTTTTAAATATTATTCATCTTCATCTTTTTCTTTCATTCTCTTTTTATATAAGAAAATGAAAATGCCTTTACCCTAACTATATCTCAAAATATTATGTCGTATGTTAAGGATATAATACTGCAGTAAAAGTGTTTTTCATTGAAACATAAATACGTGACGAGTTATATATTTTTTCGTATCTGGAATGTATACCTAAGATATGACGGATCCGCCACCGAATCCTATCCGTCGAACTAGCTCGGTTCCGTTCCCAGACCGGCTGAATTCTTCGCGACAGCCTTCGTTGCAGCAATTCGCTGATGATGCGCGGCATGTTCTGCATCAAGATCGGGATCGCGTTTACTTCGTAGCCGAACCCGAGGAGCTTCGTTCAGTGAGTATCAGTTATTAGACGCTTTAACTAGCTAGGTACGGTCTCAGTTAATACAGCTACCTTATAGTATGAACCTGTTGGGGATGGTCGACATGGACACGTGCCAGTCTTATTGCCAGTTGGACGGGTAGGAACAGGATACGCTCGTTCGCAGTATGCCTATTCTCAATCAATGCCGAGGGACCCGGCCGCATCATCTGAATTTGCTTGGACTGGTCGAGATACGCGTGGGCGTCGTCCAACTAAGGATTCCTCTATCTCAGATCATAACCGGTCCTACGATCCCAATAGGAGTGAAAGAGTGAGGGTTAGGTTCGTGGATCCGTCAGACCGGACGCGCCGCACATATTCTCGTTCTTCATCACGGTCATTTAGTCCCCCAAGCAGGTCATATTCAGGTTCAGATTCGGATCCCGGTTCATATCCTAGGCATAAACCTTATCCCAGCCTTCGGAATTCATATACGAGGGATCCTGACTCGGAATTGGACACAGAAGAAGAAGTAGAAGAAGGGTTCGACGAGCTTATAGGTGGTAAAGTATTCCAGTTTGTCCCATCACGAGCCTCGAGGACGCTAGCAAAAAGTGGCCATAGTACAGAAAGCGACACTTCTCTAGAGAGACCCGAAGATGGGTTCTCTGGTGCGAGGGGCGATCCGAATTTCCCCGGATCTAGTGATGTTCTTCACGTATTTCAATCTCAATATACTGGAGACGCGGTTTCGGACGGAACACATACTGCAAAGTTGACTGTGATACACGATCCTAAGAAGCAACGGCAACCACTTTTCAGATGGGTGTGAGTAGTTCGAAAATGAAGGTTAATTACCCGAAACACCTACTAACACAATGAAGACACCTAGAACAGCGCATGATGAACCTTGACGAGCTTTCTGTATGTAAACTAGCTTAGGCCCCTCGGATTCTTGCTGACAGATTCTTGCTGACACTATGGTTAGACCGAAATTGCACGGATCCCCGCCATTACGGATTCAGAGCGCAACGGATTTGCAAAACTCCTCGCCGAGGTAAAGAAAACCTCGGTCAAAGTGAGGCCAACAGCGAAGGGGAATAATGTGCGACACATGGACCCGAAGCCTATTCGCGTGGCCATTCCTCCCGATGGGCGTACAAAAGGCCAAGCTTCAAGGTTTGTGACTTGGCTATGCGTGCCGTACTTTTCGCTCGAGAAGTATTCGGGACTATTATCGGCTAGCACAGCTTCCTCTTTCCCAATAGAAACTCTACTTCAATCAGATTACGCTCGCACTACGCAGGAGCGTGACATGCAGCAGGCTGTCTGCAAGAATGGCGAAGTCCCCGATGGCTACTGCTTCCATATTGCGCAGCTGTGGTGCATCGTGCTAGATAACAGTAAGTTCTCCACCATTCGGGAGCATACAGAAATATACATAGCTAACTACTGAAAAGCTCTGCTTATCACATGCGGTAGGATGTCAGGCTCGACTTTACGGGGTGACCTTGTACGTATAGTCAATGAACCCCTTAAAGATTCTATTGGTAAAGGGAAGAAAGTCTATATTTCCTATTACGACACTGTTCTCTGGGAGCTCCCATTAGAGTCCTGCCTCACTTGGTTTGTAAGTCCTTATCCCACATGAACTGATAAATTAGAAAGAATATCGCTAAAAATAAATAGGACTTCTCGATACACTTCCGCGAGTTCTGGCCCCAGGCGATAAGGATCTATCACCATGGTCGTGTACTAACAGAGACTGACTGGCCCCGTATCGTGAACTTGGTGAGAAATGTCAACATTAGAGTTATTCTTGACCTTCGCCTATGGTAATGTTAACTTTACACTTATCTATTATTGAGAGAGAAAGGCCCGGCTAATCTAAACGAAGGATACACCCGTCTCCTCCGGCTGTTGGTGTTTTGAAATCACTTGATAAAGAAACCGAATGTACCGAAGATGGCGAATTGGCTAGGAATGGTAAAGCCAAAAACACAAAAGTCCAACCAGTCCACAAAGACGATGGTAAATTCCATGTATTCTCATGGCTGGAGATTGGTGAAAATGAGGGCGATGGTATTATGCCATATAATGTCGAACAACTGACTACAAGTCTCCGAGAGATAGAAGAATACCTAATTACATCTACGGGTATGCGAGATCGTAGCGCATATCGCAACTGTGAAATATCTTCGCGGCGCTCTGTTCATGCCTACCTCAGTCAAGGATCGGGCATCGAAAAGGCCGAAGAATTGGATTGGCAGAAGAACGAATACGAAAAAAGAGTCGATCTCTATAACGCGGCAGATATCATCTTTGATTTCTTTCTACCACAATATGTGGATGAAAGCACACCGACAATAGGGAAATTCTGGGGCGCTATTGACAGCCTAGTCCAGGTATGATCTCTACTTGCTCGAGGCTGGCGAGACACTCACTAAACTTACCGGGGAATAGAACACCGATCAGGACCCGAATAATGAAAGCCGAAAATCATCACGACGGCATGCTATCAAGGCATATAAGGCATATACTAATATGATCCCACTCAGAAGTGCTCTTAGAGGACTAACGAGAGGGATACAATCATTTCGGGATATTCTATCTCACATGTCGACTTCTATGAGGAGTAAGGTAGAGATACCCGATAGTCTCGTCCGTGCTTGGTTACATCTAGTCATGGCACTGATTCAGGCATCACAAAACGAAGAAGCTTGGAACGAAAACATGAATGTCTCAGAGGCTTTGATACGAAGAGGAATGAACCAAATTAGTAAGTCAATCATCATGATCTCATTATTCTTATTCGTCTTCATAGGTATAAGCCTGAATACTATTTCTATACCTATAATAAAACCCGTGCTAAGCTGTTGTCACAGTGGACGAATTACCTACGGAAGACCTGCTCTCCAGTTCCGTCCTCCAACCGATGGAGCTCGTCACATTAATCAGCTCGAATCTACTCAAAGACTCTACAGGGAAGTATTCGAGTATCAATGATACATATTCCGATTATTTGAAAGGTCTAGTAAGTCTCGCTGAACCCCTAAATTACGTAACAAGTTGATACGAGACCCAATATAGGAAAACGAAATTACTGCCAACAACTCCGATCGGTCGCATCAGTTCCGCATCACTCTTTTCAGACAAGAAGTCGCCGTGATTCGCCGAGTGATCGCATCGCAGTTGAACGTTGTCGACGGCATGACTGTGCCTCAGAGACCAAGTTGGGGCGACCAAACCCGCAGGGAGAGGAAGATGCTAGAGGAGGCGCGCGAGAAATTAAAGCCCGAGGCTGCGAGGATTCGATCGGGATCCTCTGAAAAGCAAGGTGCAACATACGTGGACAAGCTCGACGGGTACGATAGTTATAACCATTATTACAATAGCTACCCTAGAAGCGTATTGGATCCCCCTGGCGCTCACTTCATGCCAGTCAGACACCCTGACACCTTCTCCAAGCTGACATCTACCGACCCTGGCGGTTTCAGGGAGCTCCTCGGTCGCGAGTGCAAGTCCTGGTTGGAGCGTAGGAATATGGAATTCTTGGAGCTCGAGGTCGAAGCATCACGGCTCGAGATGATGGTAACGTTATGATGTACTGCCCAATTAGAACGGAGCGAATAGCTAACAGTCTCTCTCTCTTTCTTTTTCCCCTCGCAGAATGCCAACAAAATCGAAGTGACTAAGGATCGACAGGAAGCAGCGGTCTACGCCTTCACCATGGTCACCATTATATTTTTGCCACTCAGCACTATCAGCTCCATCTTCGGGATGAATTCCAGTGACGTGCGTGACATGGAGCTCGGGCAGTGGGCGTATTGGGCGGCTGCCTTACCTACGACCATCGCCGTCATCATCATAGGTCTATGGTGGATGGGCGAATTACATAACTTAGTCGACTGGGTGAGAGGGCTCCCCTCTAGGTCGACGTCGAGCAGGAGCCATGCACGAGTGTCGCGCCCAGCTGCAAACGGCGTCATATATTACCCCCAAGGGGAGTATCCTGGGAGAGACCCGCAGCAGGTGATGAGACCATATAGCCGGGCGGCGCTGGGCCCGCCGGTGCCGCGAACGTCATGGCGGTACTAAAAGGGTAGTACCTACAATATCATAGCAGCTTGGATAAGCTGATAGCTAGGATAGGATAGGTCGGATAGGAGGTAAGTAAGCTTGGATCCGTTTTTCTCCAGTCTTGGAAGATTCTCCTATCTAGATCGGATCCGGAAATGTTAAAAACCATGTAGCCACGTCGCGAAAAATCCGCCTCACTTATGATTCCTGGGGTCAGGTGGCGCTGGTTGGTGGGTGGTTTGCTTCTGATAATGCCGTCGCAGATCCCTTACACCATGCAAGCCCTCACGCAAGCCATCAAGCCCATTTCAAGCCATTCAAGCCATCAAACCCACGCAATATAGAGATAGTATTGGAAGAAGAACATGTGCATACGGCAGCCGTATGCAGGCTTCCTACCAGTCGTACATACATGCATTCATCCCACGTCGGCGCAAAGAAAGAACAGTGAAGTTTTTTTTTTTCAAGTCGAAAGAAAAATAGATAGGTGAAGGTTCCCATGATCGCAAATCCGTCATATAGAATCGTGCCACTCCGGCTCATGGCTCAACCAATATAGAGGGACTTATTTGCCAATGGACCAGTCGCACAACGATTTCATCAGCAACTAATACCATTATAGTGTGCTAATAGTTGATTGGATGAAAGGGAAGGATTCCCCCCCTCCCAGAAAAGGACCCTCCCAAAGTTCTTTAGTTCGAACTTTTATTTTTCTATTTGTTGGAAGGGGTGTGTGTGTCCCGGCTGTGAGCTGTACAACTCAGCCCGCGAAGGCGTCAGTCATGCAGGCTCCTGCCTCGTTCGGGAGCCGACATGTAATCTCAGGGTCCTTTGTATTTGCGTTCTTCTCCTCTTCCTAGGTACCTCATCTTGTTCCTCCTCACCCCCCAAGCTTCCCCCCAAATCTTTTTTTTTTCAGCCTCTCGAGCCGTTCTGCATGAAGCGGGAAGGTTCCACCCGGTTCTAGGGAAAAAATAAAATGGGCTACCCGCGGCTAATGCTGTTGAAAAGACGTCGATGATGCAGCCAGAATGCTTTCAGCAGCTGCAAAGCCGTACCGTAGTTGCTCGAGTATGGGTGCGGGAGGGGGAACGATGCTACTATAGGGTGGTTTACATACGACTACGTCATTAGATCTTGATCCTTTGCGCTGGTAGCGTGATATATTACAACCCTACCTAGTTTTGGTTTTGATTCGTGTGGCCGGTTCGCGTTCAAATGTAGGTAAATCAGTTTTGCAGTCAATATGCAAATAGTTAGATAGGTACCTACCTACGTAGTTACTTGCAGTGCGTTGAAGGGGTGCGTATAGTTGTTAATCGTATAATATACCTATGTAGGTACCTAAGGTACTTTAGTAATTGTGTCAAATAAGAAAAAAAGGTAAAGGGTAAGGCTGTTAGTTGCATTTTGCAACTTTTTCTTTTTAGAGGTATATAGAGAAATGTAAGAACAACACATGGTATAATCGGTTGATAAGTTGATTTTGAAAACTCTCTATACTTGGGCCCGTGTAACACACACATACACACACACAAACGCACGTACATAGCTAAACTATAGTGATGCAGAACATGTGTAACAGTAGATCTCGGAGTATCCAAAACGTAGGGACGGGTGCGTCTTTCTTCTTTTTTTGCGTAGTTAGGTAACCTATTACATAGCTTTGATGATTTAAAACCTGCGTTTCTTGTGCTACTGCATGGCATGACTTAATACAGGGCTGTTATTATTAATAGCCCGTCACGCGTTTTTGCTGTCATCTTACTAAATACTCGACAGGAATGTTTTAGATTAGATGGATCGGTGTTAATCTATACCTAAATGGCTTAACCTTGAGTACTTTCGTACTTGATAGACATACATACCTGATGTTATGCTTAGGTGGTTATACGTACCTAGTAAGCATATTATTGCTCGTTTGGGATAGCTTTACAGATATGATCCAATGATCCACATTGAGCCGTACGAAAGATTATAGGCATTGGTACTGGTGGAGGTAGGTCAGGACGATCTTTGAAAGCTTTCAAAGTTTTAGTAAGTAAAGTATGATTATCGTTGGATAGTCACTTTGGAGAGTATAGGTTGTGCTATACTATTCTACCTACCCGTAGTTAATCTAACTTAATTCTATCAACAATTATCTATATGAGTTAATACCAATGACGTCTATCTTAGGTATATGTAAACAGGAAATAAAAAATATGATAGTACATATTGATAATGAAAAGGCTTTACTTGACTTTGCACAAAGCTCTGCTTATGCCCTTTTGCTCTTGCCCCTTGACCCCTATCTGAATTGAGTAAAATAGGGCAACCAATATACCCTCTTCGATATAGCATCATGGTTATCCCTTGGAATCAATTCTCAAAAGAAATTTCGGTGAGCCGGAGTACAATTTACCCAGAGGGCTCGAAAGCCCCGAATGCCATACATATTATCTGGATTTACACTTACGTGTCGGCGCGACGCGCCAAGCGTGAGGCTTGCCAATTCATTCCAGGTAGCATTAGTCGATAGTATGGACTTGACGTCTTGACACCGTAGTCTCCAGGTACTGTCAATTGCTTCTCTCATTTTGTTTGATGCGAATAAGGCATCTCTTACTACATAAAATCCCGAGACGGCTCTGCCGATCAACTAGGCACTAGGTACGAGGAGTGCCTATACCCGGAATCGCTATCGTCAAGAACCCGGATTTTGCTCCGCCTATGCTAGGTATTATTACCTACCTACCTACTTTGTCCATCTCGCAACGGAAAAGCTGTACGTAAACTTCTAGATAGTTAGACTAGTTATTAGGAATCTTTCCGAAGGGTCCTCTCATACTCCATAATTCATTGCCTAATGCAAAGCTACTGTGGGCTTTTGCTGCGATCGATCAAGAAAAGATATGTCGGCAAGAGGAGACCAGCACCCAACAAGAAAAAAAAGGGATCATCACTCCACGTATCTAGGCTTCTCAGCTGTCATTTATCCACGGGCAAGGAACATCAGATGTTAATATACGGCTTCGAGAAGCCACTTAGCACATCGTCCCGAGAGCAATTTACTATGCTATGCGTACGCGTAAGAATCCCCCGATTGTCAGGAATTGTGGACTGGCTGATATATCCCAAAAAGTAAAATTCTGCAGTATGCATGCATGATTGCATGTATGCATGGCAAAGACACAAGTGTGTGTTGTTGCTGTTGCTGTTGTGTTGTGTACCTGGTCATCATGTCACAAATAAGGTTATACCTATCGTAAATATTGTGTTGTGTGCTGTTGACCCATCTTGTCTCCGTATCCCGTTACGGGTCAAGTATTGAAAAGCAAAAAAACAAAAAGGGGGTCTACCGGGAAAGACGACATGTAGGGTCCGCGGGGTCATGAACAGCGAATAAGGGTTGTATATGGGTTTAATGATTATGTACATATGATACAAATGGTAATTCCGATAAAACAGGAACAAGACAGTTGTGTAGAGTTAATGCGGAAAGTGATGTTGAAGCTGTAAAAGTTGAATGGTCAGGTTTTCTTGGACCAGGTTTGACGAACTCCACCCCCTCTGCCGCCCTGTAACAGAAGAACTAACAGAACAACTAATAGAAAAATAGAAAAGAAAAAAAAAAAAGCAGTCCCACCCCGTAAAAACAGATGCAAGCCAATACAAGCTAATATAGGACGTGCCCATGATACCATGCAGCCCATGATACACCCTTGCAAAAGAAGAAGGAAAAAAAGAAACCCCGTGTAAGACTGATGAGATTTTGCATTCGATGGGAATACAAGATTGGTGGCGAAAGGGGGTGGTTAGGAGGTTTTCGGAGCCCAAGGGGGTCACGCTATCGCCACGGGATGAGCGTTGGGCTCGTGTTATGGTGCTACTGACGCTACTTCGACGCTTCTGACGCTTCTTGACTTGACACACCACACACACACAAATGCGCCGAGAAGGGTGTTTTGGTTTTGGCTTCTTTTGAAGTCACCTCTTGGAATATTTAACGGTCTGTCGGGTCCCCGTTCTCGGTTCGTTTGACTTGCACGCTCTTCTCTACGATTTAGAAGGACGAACCTATTTAAATCTTGAGATAACTTTTTTATTTTATTTTTTTTTATTTTATTTTTTTTTAAAATTTTTTTATATATTATTATTTTATCTGTGGTGGTTCTTGTGGTGAAAGGAACTCGTCGCACACATAACGCAAAAAATCAGATCGCAATATATACGGCGTTATTACATATAATAACCTCCAAAACATCACCTGCATTGCCGTACCGTTATTTTTACAATACCTATTAGGTGCCTACGCTACAAAGTTGTACCTACCTCGGAATTACCGTTTTCCAAGCTTTTCTTTTTCAGCAGCGACCACCTCGGCACCTTGCTTCTGAAAAAAGAAAAAAGCGCAAAAGCAAAGCCACTTGACGCACTGCCCCCACCCCACACTGCCTAAGTGCTAAGTGCCCCTCCATACGCGGGACCTCCCTGGCGTATTAGAGCTCTGAACAATTTGAACCGCGTTCTGGAACCCTGCAGACAACTGCAGAGCCCAGGCAACTGCCTTATCGGCTTTCTTTATCGATAGAAACTAGCTAGCCGCCCGACCTCCCCCCTGTCTCCCTGTCTCCCTGACCTAAGACGATCGAAAATCTGGTTTAGATAACCGTAGAACTTACTTCGTGCCGTGACGTCCCCCTCAGCATTCGAACGTTTTGTGACGTAAGCGGCATCGCGATTCCGGTCCCTCTCCCTCTCTCTATATATCTAGATCCGAATCCCCATCATGTGGTTCTACACTTCAACAGGTTAGCTATTTCTTGTTCTTCTTCTTACTTTACCTTGTTCTCTTGGACCAAACTATAATCACCAATTCGAACTATAACCATTCCTATCTTCTCCATTTGGTTATCCTCCCATCCATCCATCCAATAGTATACCATCAATTCAATTGTCAATTATTATATACATATTATCCACCGTCGCGCGCATTATAACAACAGAAGTCTAACATCATGGCGACTTATTACGCAGCTCCCCGCGAGAAGCGTTATCACAAGTACAAGAAGGTTCTTTACTTGGATCCTCCTACCAACGGTAGCAAGACCGTCCGCACTCGCGTCACTACTATTATTCCTCCTCCTGAGCCGGAGTACGAGCATATCCCGTCTCCACCACCACCCGTCCAAGCGCTCCCGGAACCCATACATCATCATCATCATCATCACACACCACCACCACCATCGGTCGTCGTCGAACCTCTGCCGCCGCCGCCTCCAACGCCAGCGCCCATGCCCGCGCCTGTATACCACTACCCCGAGCCCGTGCACTACTACCCCGAGCCCGCGCGGGAACCCGAACCCGAGCCGGACGTCGGCATCGAGGTCATCGCCGTGGACGTGGATCCCGACCAGTCCAGCACGTCCGGGCGGTCGCGGGCCTCGCGGAGCTCCAAGAGCTCGTCGCGCAGCTCCAAGTCGTCGTCCTCCTCGTCGCGCAGCAGCGGCGGCGGCCGCAGCAGCAGACACGGCCGGGAGCGCGAGGTGTACATCGAGCGCGAGAGGGTGGTGCCCGTCCCCGTGCGCGTGCCCGTTCCTTACCACGTGCACCACGTCGAGATCGAGCAGCCCGAGCAGCATCATCACCAGCACAACCAGCACCAGGACTCGTTCCGCTACATAGAAGCGCCGAGGCGGTACGAGCCTCCCCGCCGTCGGAGCCCCGACCACGAGATCGTTATTGAGGATCATCGCCATCGGAAGTACATCCGTGACGGCTGAATAGCAACAGCAACATCATATCAACGGCAATAATAGCGGCAATAACGGCGCGCTACGATCTATTCTGTATTATATATACATTTATGTGTTTCAAACAAATGTTTTATTTTTCTTTATCCACTTATCATGAGATAGGTATCGGCTAGAGGCCGGATACCTTGGGTACCTATAATGTTACCATATAACACAACATAAGATTGTTACGAGACTACGAGTACGAATCAGTACGAAAGTCATGATCTACGTCCTAGGATTTTTTTTCTTCTTTTTTTTTCTTATATACTAGGAACATGGAGCCACACAGAGAGAGGGACAGAGCAAGAGGAGAGAGTTACGGAATATGGAGTCCGGAAGTACGTTTTGGAGTTTGTCTGTACACATTCGCGGGGGATTACATCGACTGCCGGCCAGGGCAATTTTTCTTTATACTTACTAATATGTGTGTCTGTCTAACTTGCACAAATAATGTATACCTATCATGGGGAGCAGGAGTGGTACTGTCTGGATTGTGTGCTTAACGTTTGGGGGTGGTACTGGTGGTGGTGGCGGTGGTGGGATAACGTTAACATATACAATTACTTAACTAGGAGGACTATGAGACTGAGACTAGAGCAGAGATATCTAGCGGTCTTGAGTAACCTAATTCAAACGTTAAAATGAAATATTATTTAAGCTCATGATGATATATATTCCTTTCATATATGGTCGAAGTGAAATCTAGGGGCCTTAGCTAAAATGCCTAGGTCCTCAAATATTGTATCGGATATATGCTCACCTAGTTCCAGTTGAGATGTTTAGCATAAAAAATATGAAAATTTTCTGTAGAATACCGAACTAATGGAATTACTCCGATAACAGGTACCTAACCTTACCTTACCTTGCCTACTTTCGAGGCCCACCTCACGATACCCAAAGGTGAGCCACTTTGCCCACCTTAGGTGCCGGCGCTATCTACTATTAACGTGGAATATTCCAGCGAACAAGTTGTTCACCGCCATGTCCTACCTCTACCTAGGTACCTTGGGTCAATTAATTTTTTTCTTCTCATTTTTCTTTTCTTCTTTCGAGTTGTACGAAGAAAGGGCCTAGCTCCAGCTGCTGCGTTATACGAACAAAAAGAAATAAAAAATAGAAAAGGGCCTGGGCTAGGCCGTTGGAAATTTCCGATCGTACAACACAATACGTGCGTACGTATCTATAAGTGTGTATGTATGTACTAAGGTAACCTTAACTTAATCTACCTTAGGTACCTACCTACCTGGTATGTAAGGTAAGGTAGCACGGCGCGGTGTTCGTTGTTGTTGATATTGTCGTTGTCGTTGTAGTACCTAGCGGCCAATTACAGAGACCAGACCAGCTTCTTCGGGATCTGTCGAAACCTAAGGCAAAGTAAGGCAAGGTAATCTGTCTCCGTGTATGTTAGGTTAAGTAGGTTAGGTATGTGTAATCCCGTATTTTCTCTTGTGATAGATTCGCCAAGGGAATGTAAGTTCCGAAAGTTACCTAGGTAGGTAGGTAGGTAGGTACCAGGTAGGTAGTAAGTACTAGACCTAGGTGTGAGAAGAAAGAAGAAAAGAAGAAGAAAATGCATCGATACCCAATTCAAATTCAATATCCCGGGGACGGTGACACACTGACACTTACGCCGTTGTGCGTGTTGTTGCCGGTGACAGGTCATGAAGTTGTAATCTTTTTTTTTCTTCTTTTCGGCGTAAACACTAGCGTGTAGATAGGTAGGTAGGTATCTAGGATCTAATACCTAAGGTACCCATGACCTCTGACTGGCCTTATTTTAGATGGTTTTTTTTTGAGATACGTCATAGGATGACGGTACTGCGAAGGGAGGATCTTTTCCCCACGGATGTTTGCTTGGTAGCGCGGCCCGCGGCGGCTAGACTAAAGACTAATAAGAGTTTTACCGACGGTAAGGATATGATATGGCAATTACATAAGCACGGAATAGGGGTTACGACGACGTCCAGTCATACTATAGTCTATATATACCTAACCTTATATGTGTATGTGTGTTAACATCCCATACGTTGCTGTCTGTCTATCTATATACCTGTATTAAAAAGACGGGTGTGTTTTCATTCATATGTTCATTCATTCATTCAAGGTATACAACGCTTGACACATCCATCCACACACATAGCTGCGGCTATCCGCGAATAGACATCATTACCTACCTACCTAAGGTATACTTACACTTGAACCGAAAATGTTATAGTCTTGCCCAAAACAACTCTACCTATATATGTTAGGTACCTAGCTAGCAGTGTTGACAAAGTCATCGAAACCCCATACGCAGCGTCGCTGTCCGTACTATCTGATCTGGACCACTACCTACCTACCGTAAGATATATATACACATACCTAACCTTCCTAACGGAAGTACCTAACCTAATATATAAACCAAAACATCACGTCACACATATTCAACACTTTTCTTTTTTAGCTTCAAATTCCAATCATTACCTCGACACATCACCCATAACACTCAGTGAGCCTTCATTCTTAATGAATATCACGAATAGTTTTAAGGCTTCGTAGACTCGTCATGCTGTATTGGCCTGCCCTGGACTGCTATTTATTGCAGGCTTTCCCGCCCATAAACCAGAGAGATTCTTCTTTATTTTTTATTTTATTTCTCTCATCATCCTATTATTCCGAGCTCTCTCCCTATTGGGCTTTCGGATACAGCGACGCTCTATTTACATAAGCCTCTCTCTGGGGATCTATCTTGGGTATTAACAAAGGTACCTAACCTGGTCATCTCTTCTGCTCTAGGTTTCTCCTTAGGAAGGAGATGCTTTACTTCTGCAATTCCTGCGAGAGGGCAAGAAAAAAAGGAAAAAAAAAAAAAAAACGTTCTCCGCCATGCGAAATATTCCAGGAGAGAAAGGCCTTGGCTGATATGGACAGGTCTAATAACTTATCAGCTACCTAAGGCTTCATACCAAGTTTGATGATTGTTTATACCGGTATCCAATTGACCGTCACCACAATGTTGAGAACACTCTTACTCTTCGGCTAACAGATATCTATATCTGTCTCTACACCGATCGATATCAATTCAAGACAACAACAACGACACCAAATCACCGTCAACAAGTCGCTATCATGCCTCGAGCACAGACAATCACAATCACAATCACAAGTTACGGATATTTATGAGTGAAGTTTATTGTTGTTGGTAAAAGCACACCTCCCTCCCTAACTCCAAATTCCGGCCGAAGAAAGAAATTTTCATATCCCCAAATCAAAGTCCCTTCCCGTCCCTCGCTCCAACGCCTCGCCTTATGAAATCGTCATAGGCTCATCCATGCCATCCGTCTCGTTCATCATCATCAAACTTTTTTTTTTGTGTGTTTTTTATTTTCTATTTTTTATTTCCTTTTTTTTGTGTTTTGCCCCCTGACTAAAAAAAAGAAAAAGACAAGAAACTCCGAGATAGCCGCGCCTAGGAAAGAAATAACACCAAAGCAATGCCAAACTTTTCCGCGAGACGATACTAATAGGAAAAATGTTGTCACAACAACCGGCGACTAGCGCGTTGGTGGCTAGTTCCCACACCCGCCCCTCACTGCTGGCCGTTGAAGAAACTGCTCAGGCTGGGGAAGTCGAAGTCGCTAATCCCCAGCATAGCGCCAGTATCTTCGTCCGGCTGTGTTCGGGTCTGCTCCGAGCCCAGAGCCAAGTCGGCCCCTAGGCCATTGCCGTTGGGGCCTGCGCTTTGTGGCGGACCCTGATTCTGGAGCTCGCCGGGTGCCGCAGTCAGGGTTTGCGCGCTGTCTGGGAGCGGCATCTGAGCCTGCATCCCTCCAGGTCCCTCCTGCCGGTCAGCTCTCGCCTCGGCCTCCGCTATCCGGCCCTCGCGGCGGTTGATCCAGCGATTCAGAGTAGCCTGCCTGGATTCCATGACCGTAATTGTACGGCGGTGCTGCTCGTTCTGATCGTCGAGCTGGCGAATGGTATTTTGGAGATCAGCGAGTTGATGGCGGAGAGCCGCATTCTGATCTCGTAGGAGTTGGGCTGTGCCGCGAGCCTCCTGGAGAGCATCCTCCTTCTTCTGGCGGCTCTTGCGAGCCGAGACCCTGTTTTGCTTCCGAGTATGGTCGGCCTTGCATCTCGCGATCCAGTCGTTCCTGGTGCGAGTTGCCTTCTTCCTCTGCTCCGACCATGAGTCGAGGATCTTTGTCTGCCTCATTCCCGGTCTCCACTGTGGGTGAGAACCGTCTGTCTGGACGGATTCGTCGTCTTGGTCAGAACTGGACCGCGGGTTTCTGGCAGACCGTCCCCGTCTGACTCGGTGATTAGAGTTGCTGGGCCCCGGGCTAGGAGTGTTGTCGCTGGTAGCCGCGGGAGAGGTTGCATGATTAGTAGCCTGGTTCTGGACAATCGGAGGCACCGCATTGGATGGGTGATTGGATACAGGAGTAGGCCTTGAGCCCAAGCTAGGCGTCGGCATGGAAGTAGGAGCCTGGGGATAATTATATTGATGAGGCGGGCCCTGGCTTTGTTGGGGCATGTACATCCCTGGGGTACCCATCCCACCAGCATTCATCCCGGCAGGGGTTTGATCTTTAAAAGAATTAGTAAAGTTATCCCTTCGAGCAACACATACATTTATTACTTGGAGAATAAGAGTTGTAATATGGGTTGGTGTTTGGCCCATATTGATGTTGATAGCCGGAGTTGAATGCCGGCGGCGGCACCAGTCCCGTCAGCTCGGGGGTGGAGATTCCTGTGGAATAATAGGTCATGGGACCTGACATTGCCATAGGGGGCGTTGCCTGGGCCCCAGACGTGAAACCCCGAGAACCATCAGAAGGCCCCGCGCTGAAATTGGCCTGGCCCATAGGAGCAGCATAGTCCTGCTCGGTATTCATGTTGTATCTATATTCTGTTAGGACTTCCTGTACTTATCAAGACTTGAATTGGGATATTATAACTCACGCTTCTCCGCTCTGGTTGGTGGTGTTGCCTTGGTTCATTTTGGCAAAGTCTCCGATGTGATCTTTAGAAGATGCAATCGAGTATTGGCAGGTTGAGTATAGGTACTAGAGGTTATGGTATAATGTTAGATGTGTAATGATGGATGTGGAAAGGGGAAGGGGAAGGGGCTTACCTCGACTTTATGTAAAATATGGGAGACGTCCTGGAAAGAGGAAAGGTTAGTTATTTGTTGCGATAGTGTTGTACCATGAGTCTTCAATGTCACTCAAGGGTAGTCACTATTCAACAATAGTTTGGATGGAAGGGGACTTACTTAATTGATTGATGTGTTGTGTATCCTTCACTCAGTAGAAGGTTGACGCGTGACCAAGGTGTCTATTGAAGAGAAAGGTTAGAGTCCATCCGATGTATGTAATAGTCATTCAAGATGTGGCGCGACCATGAATAGTAAGTAGTAGTGGTAGTAATGGTAGTAGTGGAAGGGAAGTAGTGTTGAGTCTTGATTGGATGGAAGAGGTAGGTGAGAGATGGGAGAGACTTACTTGATAGGTTCGATTGGTCACTATGGATCAATCAGGTTGAGTGAATGATGGGTAGTAAGGCGATGATGTGGTAGGTAGAGGTGTAAGATGAAGGCTACCAAGACCCTGATGTAAGGTTATTGTTATTGGGTTAAGGGTTAAGGGTTAAGTAAAGATGATTGTTGTTAAGGATTGTAGTATGTGTGTGTGTTATTGTTATCCTGTGTAGATGATGGAAGTGGATGAATGGTAAAGACTCAAGACCTGAAGGGGGAGGACGCCTTTATATAGATATTCTGGAAGGCTGCAGCGTTGCTTAGGAACGTTAGGAACTTAGGTGCGCGCCTGAATTCGGGTGGAAAGAACGTGCGAACGAACCTTCGTAACTTCCTTCCGAGCTCGATCGTCTGCAATAATAACAGCAGAAGATAAGAAAAAATACAAACTAAAGCAGTCACGTACCTCAGGTACCCACATTCTTCATCTGCTCTTTTGTGCTTAACGACAGCAAACTTGAAGATAGCCCCACATACGTTTTTAATCGCAACTTGATAGCTTGGGTCGTACCGTAATTGAACAGTCACTTACATTCAACTACATTCAACGACACTTGATTACAGCTATCTACAGCTGCACCCAGGCCGCAGCAGTGCCTAGATACGTACAGTCACTTACTTTTTTTTACCACAGCACTTCAAGAAGAACAGATAAGCATCAAGTGCACAGAAAATTTTTGCTTAGGTACCAGAGATACAGAACTTCAGCTTCAACTTGAGCTGCTCATTGTGGGGCAGACGACCTCTTAGAGCAGAGCATTTTAGAGAACCCTTTAGGGGCACACGTAACGAACAATACAAGTCCGCAAGTTTTAGCACTGTAGAATATTTTTCTTATCTTATGAAAAAAAAGTTTTTACTGCGGCCGTAATTGTGCGCCTGCGCACCTGACCTAGCGTACCTGCTATTTACAATTATTTAGGCACGCGTATTGTGATGTTGTCGTTAAAGATGCGGCTCTTCGGCGACAAGGCTGTCAAAGAGCCTCATGCACAGGGGTACGCGTCGTAGCTAAAATCAACAACCCATGTCCCGAAGATGTTGCTGTATAATTTATTACTACCTAATTATTATGGCTAAAGAACTTGTATTATTTTCTAATAACTATTTATTTTGTACGCGATAATTGTTACGATTCTAGGTTTTGCTCCTTAGGGATATACCCCATGGTGAATTTCCAGCAACACTGGACTCTAACCAAAGGTCCAATCAAATACCAGATCATTCTTAAGTAGGCCTAATATGAATTAACTTGAAAAAAATTGTATCTTAAAAAATAAATACAAGTGACTCAGGATATGTTGTGAATATTCTTTTAGTAAATGTGGGGTCTTGGCACGATTAACCCCTTTTTCCTCCCTTCTTCCCCCCTTTCCCAAAAACGGGTAAGAAGAAAAGGAATGCTTAAAGTAATTTTACATATAACCAAATAATTCAGTGGAAATTTGTTTGGTAATAATATCAAAGTAAATATGAGGCGAAATTAATAGGATTAATGAGTTGTGATATCTTAGTCGATTGTATGCGTCCTAGATCTTAAGCTTGCTTTAAAGAAATTGACATCCAGAAACTCTACAGCAATGGCTAAATGCCTTCTCTATCTGTTCAAAGTCTAATATTGATGTCAAGTTATGAGGAGTTACTTTCATAGCGTGGCCATAACTTCATTCACTTTGGAAGAAACAAGATGAAAAGTTAGAAGATAGCAGTGAGTAGTAGGTATAACTAGTAGCATTAAACTCCTAATGTGCATCCTCAAGCCAAGCATGACGAAATTGACTGGAATATCAGATAAATTCTGTGCGACAACCACTACAGCTAAGTAGGCATGTAAACCATAGACCGCACTCCAAAAATAAGATCATTCTTTTGCGAAAAAAAAAAAAAAAAAAAAAAAAAAGATTCACCAGTCCAATAGCCTCCAGGACACGAAATGCCAACCAGCTACTCAAGTTGCCAACGTAGCAAAGATCATTTCCTCTCCAACTAATTTCTTCCCATCATGCCCTTCATAGAATCCCCATCTCATCCTCTGCTTAGTCCGCGACAAGGTACACGACACTGAAGACCGGTCTATTCGTCGCTCTACATCCCAGACCCCGACTGGCACAAGTACAGTCTTCCTCGTTGAACGGCTTACCGCACTCGATGCAGATGCGTGCGCCGCAGGGACAGCTTTTGACCGGTAAGACACCAATATTAGTTTTTGCTTGTCACGACCTTGAGATGAGAGGTAGGTAGGTAGGTAGATAGTTTAAGTGAAAACGAAAAGACTCACGTTCGGGGGTAGGACTTGCCATCGATAATGATCCCGCCCCGCGCACGCAGCTCCCTCCAGTCCCTTTTCTCAGCCGGTCGGCCGTCCTCGTCGGGCGGGTGCTGGGTGACGTTACCGTCGCGGATGCACTGGCGGCACGTGACCGAGGGGTGGCCGGGGGCGGCGTTACGCTCGGCGCGGGCCTCGAGGAACAGGACGCGGTAGCGGTAGCAGAACTCGTCGGAGAAGATGGCGTGGTACTGCGGCGCTTTGAACATGAGCTCGCCGCAGCAGTAGGGCCTCTGGCGGTAGTGGATGGTCGTGAGGAAGATGTCCTGCGCGCAGGCCACGCAGTACGAGTGTCCGCAGTTGGTCTTGTGCAGCGTTTCCGCGGGCACGTGCCGGAAGCAGCTGTCGCATTTGAGGTCCATGTCGTCGAGGATGCGGGAGGGGACCACGCGAGCGGACATCTTGACGATTGTGGGTTGTCAAAGGTAGGAGGAGTAGAATGATGAATGATGAATGATAACAGGTGACTGACGATAGACGAGAGACGACGACAGACTATGGTCAACCCTAGACGATCGATGAAAGACGCCTGATGTAATGAGAGAGGCAGTTTAGTGTCAAGATACGTAGGCTAAAGACTAAGCGTACTTAAGTAGAGCAATATTTAGAGCAATGTACGAGAATGAAGCCTTGGAGATAAAAAGGTGTGTCGAGAAAAAGGATTTCACATGCGAAGAGAGGAGTAAATGCGTAAATAAATACAAAATGGCCTTTTGGCGGTAAGTAAGGTGGTAAAATGGTCCGGAAAGATATCCAGGTCATGCGTACCCTTCGTACTTGTTCCCACTGTGCTCACAATCTCTCCTGTTGATGTGTTTTGATAACGACTTTTGCGAGACTTAGCAGAATGTTTCTTACGTTGTAGGTAAAGTAAAGTAAAACTGCTGCTGGAAGATTGTGGACCCAGAGCAGCTTTGGCAGGCAGTTATGAGGATCTTGTAAACCAACTTACCCGCTCCAGTTCGCAAGTATGTTTACCTATCTACTTGCAATACAAGGTGCCTGACTCATGATTTATGTCTTACGTAGAGTGAATGATAGAAGCAGTAGCAAATGCGTAGAATAGTGATCTATTACTGCTTGCCCCTCGAAGGAGCCATGAAGGAGCATTGAAGGAGCATCGAGGCAGCAGCGTCGCCATTATATATGTCTATCTTAGTGGGTCTATCTCCTAATGTGGCCTAGTACACCATGCCCCTGACATCGCCGTAGAATGGGTCAAACTTGTTGTGATGCTATCTAGGTTAGGTACCTATCCATCTTACTTTTGATGCCAATATAATATTGCATAATGGTCTCGGGAATCGAATATGGATATATCTTGTCAAGGTCTGTTGGAAAAAACCGTTGTTCGCACGAGGAGAGAAGGAGAAATAGGGCCCACATTGTCATACCTTGAAATATCTTGCTCACGGGTGCTAGAGTATTGTCCTGAGTAAAGCGATAGGTAGAGGTATATAATATACGTCTAGGTAGGCAACTAGCATGATATAATTTGGTGGTATAATGTCACCCCTATCTTGGCAAAAAAAAGGGGTATCCACGTATAGACTCGGTATTTATTAGTTGCCATTTTCAAGGGACGTTTATTATACACTATGGAAGTAGAATCTTAAACTAAATATCGCTATGTCATAATTTGAAATATATTGGAAATTGCAAATGTGGTATTATCTTAGATACCTACCTAGGTAGGTAGCCTTCTAGTAGGTATTCCGAGGAACAGCATAAACATATCCCCCCCACTCTAGGTAAAACAAGTAGACTTTGCAACCAGTTAGTTATCCCTAACAGATCTTATATGTATTAACCAAAGCCTTGTATTTAACTAAGAATAGGTAGTTATAGGGAAACTTGCAGCTATTTCCCTCTTATACCATGTGTGGTAGTAATCTTACAGCCCTATCGTTCTTGGGATGGACTAGGGCTCGCGGATTAATTAGACACGGAGTGGAACGGAGCGAATGGGTCCTTGTACATGTCTGGCAGAAAAGCCGCGTGCACGTGCGGAACGAGATTCGGATCTGGGGGATACGAATCTAGTGTTACCGTGGATATGGGAACGACCCATCCGCGTGATGCCCTGCACGTATCCACATCATGTAACTACTGCTGGTATTATATAGGGCTTTCACATGTCATACCTGTGCCCTGGCTGTCTGGCAAAGCTTGCGCTAACTATTAATATAAAAATTCTCGAAGCCAAAGGACAACTCCCTAAACCGATAAGGTCCTTGGAGCCTAGGTACAAGTGCGCTGTCTGTGTACGCGTCACGTCATATATAACGTCGAGATGATCCTGGTATGTATGAACGGTAATACTAGTTTCCATTTGATCTATCTTACCGGAAATATCATCGGTAGGACCTTTGGTATATCTACCTTTTGTACCGTTTGTCCGACTGCGATCCCAACTCGCACCATTTCCTTAATTCTTTTTTCTACAGAGAATATACATCATGAACGGAAAAAACGTGCCCCATTACGCGAACACCGTGCCCCGCCGATCATTACAAAAAACAAGTGCGGTAGAAGAACGGGATTAAAATGTCGCAACCGCAATGGCTATAGATTGCGTTTCCGAGTGCGAAATGGAGACACTGATTTCCTTAACACCCGCTTCCTTTGCAGCATCTTGGGCATCGCCATGAAGCTATAACTTATTAGTGAACTGGTCGTTATAGGAATTAATCATCTACTTACAGTAACAATAGGGGCGCCGGCTTCGTTGGGCAGGATTTCGATATCTTTCAGAGGGGCTCCTGCACCCTTACTCGGCACGCCTAGACTTTTAAAGACTGCTTCCTTGGCGCTCCAGCGGCCCGCGAAGGAGCTCTGCGGGCTGGGTGTCTTTTGGCAATACGCAATCTCCTTATCTGTGAAATTCCGCTCGATAAAGGTGGGGTTTTCGATATTAACGGCCGCGATGTCTTCTACGTCAACGCCAACCTTATTATTCTTTCCGGTCTGAAGGCTCTGCGCTAGGCTTTCCACCATTTCCTTGGTGCTCTTTGCCTTCATGATATGCGGCTTGGTAGCTCGCTGGGCGAAGTCGGCGGGGAAGATAAGCTCGGCCGTCTTTCCGCTCTCTGCAACTCTGGCATCAGGATTTAGGAGAACTGAGTGAAGCTGATCCTCGGTGTACGGTGCGTGGTCCTTGGCCTGGAAGATGGCGTTGTTGACAATACCGTTGTGCATGTAACGGTATGCCTTCTTTTGACGAGAAAGTACCTTCGCGCTGTATTCTTCGTAGGTGCTCTTGTCCAACGAGGCATACAAGTACCGTGGGTGGACACCGATTACCTGAGCACCCTTTTGACCAAAGCCGAATGAAGTAAGCGAGAAGGCCTTAATACCGTCGGTCTGGAGACTTCGGCTGGGGTAGACAATCAAGTCGAATTTCTCCATTTCCTTGTCTACGTTGTCGGCGTTGCGGTTGCCAGGAACTAAACCAGTGTTCAAAACCTGCAAGCAACCATTGAACATCCAGGCTCCAGCAGCACCCTTGGGATGACCAGTGAGGTACTTTTGGAATATACCGAGAAGAGCATTTCCCTTCTTCCGACCGAGGTGGCGCAATTGCTGGCAGATAACAGATGACTCGTTCTTGTCATTGGCCTTGGTTGATGTACCGTGGAAGGAAGCGACATCCAGATCATCTATCGTCAGACCCCAAGTAGCAAGGGCTCCTCGGAGCGGGGCGATTGTAGTGTCTTGCTTCCAGAAGTTGTTTCCGAGACTTCGTACAGCCTCCTTCTCCTGCCTCTCCGCTTCCTTCTCGATATGGACAGCACGAGCCTGTGTATACTCTTTTTCGTCGAACTCGTGACCTTGTGCCCGCATAGCTGCCACCTCTTCATACAAGTACTCCAGCTCAGATTCTTTCCAGTTACGAATCTGCCTCTTGCGCAGCTCAACTTGTCGACGACGATACTTCAGATCTAGGAGCGGCGATGGGAACTTGCTGGGAGCTTCCCGAGCGGTGGTTAATAGACCTTGCCCGGGAGCTGGAACGGAACGGCCAATCTTGTCGCTTGCAGTAGTGGTAAGAGCAAGGACACCATATATCGGCACACCCATATCAAGTGCTAACTTGGCCGTCATAATGATTTGGATACCACAACCCTGGGATTCCATGAATCCACTTCTGGTCGTGGTGGTTGGACGCGACATTTCCTGCGGCGTGCGCCCGTGCGCAAACTCGTCAACACTGTTGCTTGTCGCCTTCATGTTGGCGAACTCGAACGAGCCCTCTTCGCCGAAATCGTCAAAACCACCGACCAAGCAGATGCGTGCTTTGCCTTCCATGATGGCTTCGTAACCACTATCAACTGATTCCACTGCCGTAGCGCAAGCGCCAACGGGGGTCTTGATAGGGCCGGAGGAAGATAGCAAAAGCATGTTGACCCAGGCAGCCATTGTATTGATGAAAGACTCCTGCAAGATGTCCTTCTGAATGTCGTGGTCCATCTTGCGCTTAGTATACATGCCATTGAGCGCGTTCATACCACCTTGACCCGAGCCGATGCAGTTGCCAACTTCGGATACGTGGACGTACTTGTAGAATTCGTATGGGTCAGTGATACCCGAGGAGAGGAGCGCCTCGGCAACAGAGACGAGCACGTATAATGTCACGCGATCGACCTGAGAGACAATGTCGTCGGGCACACCATACTTCTTAGCATCCCAGCCTGTAGGAATCTGTCCAGCAACGAGGCGGTCGAACTTGAGAGCCTTTGGAATCCAGAGGGTGGCACCCTTCCTGAGACGAATAGTATACTCGCCGGTCTCTGGGATCTCGAAAATTTCACACTTATCGCCGTGCTGTCGCTTGAATTCTTCAGCTGTCTCCTTAGATCCCTCAAATGGTTCTAGGTCTTCTTCAAGCTGGATTTCGTGCAACATCATCTTCTTGTTGGGATCGTACCCGTCGAAGAGCTCTGGCTCGATAAGACGTATACCAGAGTGTTCAAGAATATACTTCTCGTACTTCTGCTTCACATCTTTGTCCTCAACCGGCTCACCGGTCTTGGCGTCAACCCAACCGGAGTAAGGCTGGCCTTTAATGGGGCCGTTGTGATTCTTGATCAGGCCCATGATCCACGCCATCTCGACACACCCCTCTAATGAGAACTCGCCGTAAGCTTCCATCTCCCAGCGTGTTCTCGAGTTACCCCATGGACCTATTTCGGAGAAACCAGTGACGACAACGATCTTCTCCAAGTCCACCATACCCTTCAAACTGTCATTGAGAGGCTGAATTTCCTTTTCCCAGTTTGGAAGCGGCGGGAAATCGAATTTGATGTTGGCACGCGGTTCAATGATCTTCTTTTTGTATAGTGCTTCTGAATTTTCGCCATTCACGATCTTGTTCTCAATTGCCGTCTCTTTAGTGACTGCTCGGCGAATTTCACTGGTTTCCATGATATTCTTACGCAACCGGGTCATGACATCGTTCAAATTAGGAATGAACTGGAGACCTCCGTTCAGATCTGCGAACACAGGCTCATTTTGGCATAGGTCTACGATATCAGGAGACATGAGACCGAGGAGGTTGAATGCCATCTCCTGCTGTGAGAATGTACGCACGCCAAATTGCTCAACACCTTCGGCCACAATATTGTTACCGGACATGAGACCAGTGCCACGGGTCCAACCGATAACGGCACCGCATATGGTAAGATAGTTGGCCCAATCTTCCGAGTGCCAACGGTTGAATAAAGTTTCAAGGCCGAGTTTGGACTCTGAGTATAGACCATCGTTACCAAATGTGCCGTGATTAGGAGATAGAGGGATGACGACCTGGGCGGGTCGAGTTTCAAAACCTCGCTCGGATTTCTGAGTCTTCACGCAACCCAAGAGCCGGATAAGGTTGGTCAGCATGATACGGTGAGCAAGTTCAGACTTTGAATCAATCCCATCGATTTGGCGGCCGTTCTCGGATATGGCAGCAAATGGCACGATGTAATCGAGATCCCATCCGAGACCGTCCTTAGGATCGTAAATGTAGTTGACAAGCGCTTCCACATCCTGCTTGCTACCTTGGTTGAATGGGACAACGACGAGTTGAGAGCCGCGAGCGCCGTACCTGGCGTACATTGCCTGGTAGTACTCGGTCACCTGTCGCGAAAATCGACTGGTTGTGACAATGACTCTGGCACCCCCGCTGATCAGACCCTGGAGGACTTCAGCACCAATTGAGCCAGCACCTGCTCCAGTCATGAGGACATGTTTGTCTTGGTAAGTGACGCCAGACTTGGCAGCTTCCTCTAGACAGTCCAGGTAGATACCAGTCAACTTCTTGCTATATTCCCACCCGTGCAAGTTGTGGCGCTTAAGATGCAAGAAAGGAATAGTCTCCATCTTGCCCTTGCCGTTTTGACCATTGGCTTTCAAGGCGGCCTTCTTGATTAAACTGCTTGCTTTTCCGGTATCCTTAGGTAATATCTGGCTCTCATTCATTGCCAGCGAGCGGAGAACATTACTGTAGAGATTCTTGAATTCAAGCTTCGCGGTTTTTGACATTTTGTGCTGTTCCTTGATGAGCTTCACAAGACGTCCTAGGTCATTCTGCACTTTCGTCCGATTACCGTACTCGGAGATCTTTCCACCTTCAGCCATCTGTTGGACATAATGCTCGAGCTTACGACAGCTCTGTCGAGGAACTTCTTCATAGTTAAGATTTCCACGGGCGTCGATGGTTGTATGGGGGCCGGTAGGTACGGCCACGTCCTTGTAAGCCGGCGGCACATTCAAGACATCTTTGCAGTTTTCGATGAGCTGTTGCCCGAGCTCCTTAGCGAGTTTATAGGTCTCCCCGCGTTCCGTCGGGCAGTTATCGATGTGATATTGCATGAATTCAAGCAGTAAGGGGTTCGATTTGCTCATGATGCGGATACACTGGCTCACAATTTCTCTGTCGACAACTTGCAACCGGCCAAAAATAACGTCATAATACATGCTGAGAGCGTCTTGACGGGCCCAATTCCAAGAAGAATCGTAAGTGCGTGCTTTAAGAGGACTAAAAACGGGTTCGATACCCGCTGCATAGAAATCACCATGCTCAGCACTCCAGAGGTCTAGCTGTGCCTGCAGCACCTGCTGCGATTCTTGCGATGTCTGTGCAGCCTTGTCGCCTGCTCGAAGGTCCATTTTCAGGTATCTCGCGAGTAACTCCAACTGCTGCTTGAACAAAGCTCGCTGGTCTTTGGTAAGCGCATCGATAGCTGCAGGATCCATCATCATACCGCCGGAAGCGCCAGACGCCGGGCCGGCGGCAGCGGCAGTGGATAAGTTGATACCTGCGTTAGCAGCATATTTCTGCGTAACGTCATCTAGATACGTTTTGGCGTCGTTTTCCGAGCCTAGACGTGATGGTGGCTCCATAGTAATAGCTAGGATGAGAGCTCCGTCTTGTCTACCAGGACCGAGGCCCCATCTGGTCTCGAGGTACTTGCGTGCGGTTGTCATATTAAACCCGCCAGGCATCTTGGAAGAAATTAGGCGGGCAATAAGTGACTGAGACTGCTTCCCAAGCTGACCATTGAAGGTCGCCTGCATTAATCCTGACAATTCATCTATAGGGGTATCTTCTGGTTTTTCGGGGGTTGATCCGAATTCTTTTCCTAAGTCTCCGAGAATTTCATTTTGGAGGGTAGATTTTCCTGTAGTCTGGTTAGCTTTTTGAAACCGATACTAGTTGTGGCATAATACGAACCTCCAACTAAATCTTTAATAGCTTTGCTTAAAGGTACTTCTAAGAATGGCTTCTTCAACTTCTGCGCAATCAATGCTCTAACTATTTCAAGGGCGGATACCGGAGCATCATCTACAGCTGCGGCAGGGCCTGCACTAGGTGCGGGAGCAGTAGCAGCTGGGGCAGCCGCCGCGGCGGGTGTTGCCGCAGAGCTTGGTGACGCCTCCGGTGTTGCGGGGCTTGGCTCTTGTTCCTCCTCAATCGGATCTACGTCGTAATAGATCTCTTTTGCGTCTTTATTATAACAGAGGATCTGTCGCTGGATAGATTTGGCAGCATCAAAAGCTTCATACTTGGATGCGATTGTTCTTTTTGCCATTACACCTAATGTATCCGCTGGTCCAACTTCGACGATACGCTCAGCGGTCTTCTCGCCGAGGAAGACATCTTGAGTTTCGATCCACCTCACGGGAGAGGCGAACTGGTAGGCAAGAAGCTCAACTAGTAAGGTATGAGCGAGCTCTTGCTCGACTTCTGGACGCATTTTGGGCGGCGTGAGGTCGAAATACTTAGGTAAATAGGATTAAGGATAGGTCGAAAGCAAGATGAGTTCGAAAGACGGCAATTTCGATAACTCTAATGGGTTCTGCTGGTTTAACCTTTACGTTCGGTAAGGAAGGAACAAAGTTATGGGGGGTAAACTCCTTGTTTCCGTCCAATAAGCTCCCCTTCTTAGTTATCTCCTTCTAATATCTCGCTCGAATCGTCAAGCAGTCCTAGAGAGGATGAAGTAATGCAATGAAAATTCGAGGTAGAAAAGAGCGTATGCCAAGCCCAACTAGAAACAGCGTAGCCGGCAAGTTGTAGAGATAGGTGAGGGAAAAGGAGGAGGAGGAGAAGGGAGGAATTAGCGATGGTATGGATGAATTACCGACCAAACGAGTAATTAGGTTTTTGACATGGGAGATTATGAAGTTGTCGCCGTGGTATGGCTGGCTATCACCTTCGATCAAAAAGTTTGTCAAGGAAAGACAAGCCTGAAAATGTACAAAGTACGAAAGAGGGTAAGGCAACTAGGGTTAAGTTAGGTACAATACATTGGGTATTTACTTCGTACATGTACCTAAAGTATTGTATGAGCCTATGAGGTATGCACGTCTGTACATGGGTCATAGGTCTCTCTCTAGGCGGGAAAAGAATGACAGGTGTAACAATCGAAAGAGTAGAACTTTCCCAAATGTTGAACTGCGGCTATGGAAAATTTTGGCGGGATCGTTAGGCAGAGGGGTCGTCGTTCCCCATTTCCGGGCCAATGGCTGGACTACATGTTAGTGGGATATGGCCTAGAGCATACCCCCATGTCACCTTCATGCAGCATTAGGTATCTGCAGTGCCACCGCAGTTGCTATGCATTCAATTACTCAATTATAGTACTTTAGGTATCTAGGTACTTAACGCAAGGTTTAGGTACCTAGATAGGTAGTAACAAGGACGACGCCGTCAGCATGCAGACAACTTACAGGCGTATGCCCAGGTTGGCAAAGCCTATCTACCTATGTGGAAAGGGAGAAAGACCTCTCTGCAAAACATCAATTTGATTTTACCATGATTACTGATGATTTGCCGTCGAAATATCTTTTACTCCACTATTTCTCAACCATTTATTCTATGGTCTATACCTATCATAGTTAGCTTCCCACGAGACCCCTTCTCCACAAAGACCCAGCCCGCAAAGTTGGGGTCTTATCGATTTGCCTCTGCCTTCCTCGTTGATAATATTGTTCGGTTGTTTTGTTTTATTCCTGGACCTGGATCTAACGGGCAGCTAGAGAACTTTCTTTGCCATTGACTTCCCGAGCAGAGGTTAAATTTAACGGCTAATACTAGAGAACCTCGCGGCCCTACCCACGATTTTAGCTTTTATAAAATATTTGCGCTACGTATATGTGGTTTGATGCTAATCGTCATTCGACTTTAGGTACTATGTTAGTCTCATGCAGACCTGTTCGGTTAAGGACGAGTAGTATCCCCAGGAATCCTATTCCGTAATACCAGGAACCACCCAAGCAGCCCAATGGTGTGCGTCTGAATGGCTTGGCGGTAGTTTGTCTGCCGTACCATCCCAGCGGTCCAACCTGTACTAGAACTCCACAGACAAGGGGTGTCAGGTTTATTGATGCAAGTATATGTACTTGTATGTGAGTTACCACCGTACGCCATCTGTCAGTGATATCTTGCATTACCTACAGGCTACCTCATATCCTGATCGTTCCGAGAAAGGCTCTCTCATTTCCCAAAGTGGGATTTAAAAAACGAGGCTACGAGCGCCATCAATCTGTCTCTGTATCACATCGTATCAGCTCTAGGTGGATCTGGATCTCCAATAACATACCGACTATAGACGCAGTCCCTTTTACATTACGTTGCGAAGTGATTGGTTGTCACCTGTATCGTTTTTTTCATTTTTAAGGAGTAATTAATTATACCGTTCGTGATATTACATCATATCACCATCTCTCCGCATGCTGAAGTCTGCATTAGTAATTTGGATGACACGCATCGAGAGCGGGTTTGGAGATCTCTTTTGTTCTGGATTTTGTTTACGCAAAAGTCATCCTGCCATTCGCGACAAAAACTCGGAAATGCGTCGTAAGAGGGGCAAGCGTACCCGTCTACCCATGCGAGCAGACCACGTTCTAGCGTTTCCTTTAAAGCGAAGATACGATGGCGGCCCGAGGGTTTTCGTTCTGCTTTCGTAATCGTTCAGTCGTTTTGGCTGCCTATGAAAATATCCATCCCCACGTCCCTCCACATCGAGCAAATGTGCTGACTCGAGGCTAGCAACATGCCTCAACCGAATTTGTGAATCTTGAGATAGATATTTGTCTAAGTCGCTTAAGAGTTAGAATCATTAATCACCATTAAAAAAAAAAGCAACAGGCGTAGTTCGAGATGGAAAAGAAGATGATACATTTAGGAAGCAGTTAAGCGATAGAGCCAAGGACACGAACTTGCAGATAATCAAGTACAGATACAAACGACAGTTGTATTACCATTGGAGTGGAGTAAGGCCACAGTTGCAGGGTTAGGTAGTTTTACAATGTGGCACCGCTAAACCTAAGAGATCCCCAACAAGAACTTAAATTTTTTTTCTGGCGAGGGGGGGAAGTCGCTTTGTGAATATTCGCTAGGCCCATTTACACCATTTACATAGATGAAAATAGAGGAAAAAGGTACAACGTTGAGAGGAGAAACTTGACAGGGGCCGTTACTTGGACTTGTAAGGTACCACAAACCTTAACTTCGTGGGCATGCAATTGGATGTCGGTAACGAAGTTCCCTTCAACTGCACCTGACCCACTAAGAGACACAACTGCTTTTTACATATCGAAGCTGCAATACCAGATCTTTTCCAGCTTCAGTCCTACCTTAAAAAAAACTTTTTTTTTCTTCTCATAATTCTGCCCTTGTAACAGGTAATCCTCTTCGTTAGTCAATCTTTCAGCTGTAAGGCTGTTTTTTACCTGGTCAAAATCTGTGGGCGCAATTCCCAACTTTGCCATTTTCACCATCCCATCCGAGCCGCTGTGAATAATTTCCCCTTCCGAAAAATTCCTAACATTACATCTCCTGCTCTTTACTGAGTCCACGGAGATAGACTTAATAGTAAGATACACCATTCGGAAGAGCCTAATATTTTAAACTTCTAACATAAAATGCTTAAGCACCTATATCCTCCTGCCTCGTCCGTTATTCTTCGATACCCTTAAATCATGTATGGGACCGCGGGCACAGGCCCTCAAACGGGCGTATCTACTCCCAGATCAAACTCATCCCTCCGACCTCTTACCATCGCGCATGGGTCTCTTGAGGCGTCGTTCCTCGTACCTACCAGTATCCATTTCCATGCCTCCCAACTCAAAGACCGGTTCACAGCTGGCCTCCCAGCGCCCACCGATGAATTAGCTCTAGACGATGAGCCATCCTCCGTAGCAGAACTTGTTGCGAGGTACATGGGATTTGTAGCGCATGAAGTCGAAGAGGGGGAAGATGATGCCCAGGGTTCGTACGAAGAAGTCTTAAAACTCGTTCTCAACGAGTTCGAGCGAATGTTCCTTCGAGGAAATGACGTCCACACCCTAGCAAAGAACCTACCAGGTATTCTCGCAAAGCAGATAACTGTCGTACGATGCTATTATGCAGCTCGCTCAGTAGCAAATCGTGCTATCAGACCACATGAATCTGCGCTTTTGAGAGCCGCAGATGAGGGCAATGCTGGTATCTATAGCATCTTTGGTGGACAAGGAAACATTATTGAATATTTCGACGAGCTACGTGAAGTATATGATACGTACCCCTCTTTCGTCGGAGAGCTCGTAGCTGCTTCGGCCGACCTGCTTCATACCCTTGCTTTAGACCCGAGGGCAGAAAAACTATACGCCAAGGGACTCGACGTAATGGAATGGCTACGTAACCCAGATGCAACTCCTGATGCTCAGTACCTTATCTCTGCTCCCGTGAGCTTACCTTTGATTGGTTTGGTGCAGTTATGTCACTATCAAGTCCTTGGAAAGGGGCTTGGTGTACACCCTGGAATTCTGCGGGATCGCATTCTCGGCGCAACGGGTCATTCTCAAGGTGTTATTGTCGCGGCAGCTACCGCTGCGGCTGACTCGTGGGAGTCGTACGAGAAGCTGGCGAAAGATGCACTCACAATTCTCTTCTGGATTGGTGCTCGTAGCCAGCAAGTTTTCCCCAAAACTTCGTTGACTCCTGTTATGCTACAGGACTCCATCGATAATGGTGAGGGGGACCCGACCCCTATGTTAAGCATTCGAGACCTGCCGCAGAGCGAGGTGCAGAAGCACATCGATGCCACAAATCAGTACCTTCCTGAAGACCGTCACATCGCGATATCGCTTGTGAATAGCCCCAGAAATATGGTAGTTACTGGCCCGCCAATTTCGCTTTATGGTCTTAATCTTCAGTTGAGAAAGGTTAAGGCGCCAACTGGTCTTGATCAAACTCGAATTCCTCATACGGAACGAAAAGTCAGATTCGTGAATCGTTTCTTACCCATAACTGCACCTTTCCACAGCAAATACCTCTCTAGCGCAACCCAACTAATTGACGAGGACCTTAAAGATGTGAAGATAGATTCTTCGTCTTTGGGAATTGCTGTTTACAACACCTGCACTGGCGCTGATCTGAGAGATGAAGTTCAGGGTAATATTGTACCCGCTTTAGTCCGTATGATTACGCGCGACCCCGTCAACTGGGAAAAGGCAACCGTCTTCCCCGGAGCTACTCACGTTTTGGACTTTGGCCCAGGCGGCATTTCAGGGCTCGGTATCTTGACCAGCCGTAACAAAGAAGGCACAGGTGTACGCGTGATTCTGGCTGGTACGATCGACGGTGCCGCTCAAGAAGTTGGGTACAAGTCTGAGCTCTTTGACCGTGATGAAGAACATGCCGTAGTGTATGCAAACGACTGGGTTAAGGAATACGGCCCGCGACTGGTCAAGACATCAAGCGGGCAAACTTACGTGGATACTAAGATGAGCAGATTGCTGGGTGTGCCTCCAATTATGGTGGCCGGTATGACACCAGCCACCGTCCCGTGGGATTTTGTTGCAGCAACCATGAATGCTGGCTATCATATCGAATTAGCCGGTGGTGGTTACTATAACGGCAAGACCATGACTGAAGCTCTATCCAAGATAGAAAAGGCCATCCCAGCTGGACGCGGAGTTACGATCAATTTAATCTACGTAAACCCCCGTGCTATGGGCTGGCAAATCCCCTTGATCGGCCGGCTCCGTTCTGAGGGTGTTCCTATCGAAGGTTTGACTATCGGTGCGGGTGTCCCCTCTATCGAAGTGGCACAGGAATACATCGAAACCCTCGGTCTTAAGCACATTGCTTTCAAACCAGGCTCTATGGAGGCGATCCAAGCAGTTATCAACATTGCTAAGGCGAACCCAACATTCCCCGTTATCTTACAATGGACTGGTGGCCGAGGAGGGGGTCATCATTCGTTCGAGGACTTCCACCAACCCATCCTACAAATGTACCCGCGCATCCGACGATCAGACAACATCATTCTCGTTGCTGGCAGTGGATTTGGTGGAGCTGAAGACACATATCCGTACCTTACCGGCGAATGGTCGAAGAAGTATGGGTATCCGCCGATGCCATTTGATGGATGCCTGTTTGGCAGTCGTATGATGGTTGCTAAGGAAGCTCATACTAGCAGGGCTGCTAAGCAAGCCATCATAGATGCCGAGGGCCTCGACGATGATGAGTGGGAGAAGACGTACAAAGGTCCGGCTGGTGGTGTCATTACCGTCCGATCGGAGATGGGCGAGCCTATTCACAAGCTCGCAACCAGAGGTGTCAGGTTCTGGGCAGAAATGGATAACAAGATTTTCAGCTTACCAAAGGAAAAACGCGTTGCCGAGCTGAAGAAGAACAGAGACTACATCATCAAGAAGTTGAACGATGACTTCCAAAAGGTGTGGTTTGGCCGAAATAAAGCTGGCCAGACAGTCGATCTTGAGGATATGACCTACGGTGAAGTTGTGCGCCGGATGGTAGATCTTCTCTATGTCAAGCACGAGTCACGATGGATCGACCCGTCATTCGCCAAGCTCACAGGTGATTTCATTCATCGTGTCGAAGAACGGTTCACTCATGGTACTGGACAGCCTTCTTACTTGCAAAGCTACTCCGAACTTAACGAGCCGTTTTCTGCCGTCGAGAGGATTCTTTCGCATTATCCCGAAGCTGAAACTCAGATTATAAATGCTCAGGACGTTCAGCACTTCTTACTTCTATGCCAGCGTCGCGGTCAAAAACCCGTTACCTTTGTTCCATCTCTTGATGAGAATTTTGAGTTTTTCTTCAAGAAAGATTCACTTTGGCAATCGGAAGATCTTGCTGCAGTCATTGATCAAGACGTTGGACGTACTTGTATTCTTCAAGGTCCTACCGCCGTCAAGTACTCAACCGTGATCGATGAACCCATCAAAGACATTCTAGACGGAATTCACAACGCCCATATCGCCAGCTTAACTAGGGATATATACGCCAACAAACCCGAAACCATCCCTGTCATTGAGTACTTTGGTGGTAAGCTCATAGATACCGAAGTACCATTGGATATCGAAGGCCTCACGGTATCATACGACCAACACAAAAACACATACCGTCTGTCATCGTCGCCTGGCGTTGCTTTACCCTCGGTTGACAGTTGGCTTGCGCTATTAGCAGGACCCAACCGTAATTGGCGCCATGCGTTATTCACTTCCGAAGTGTTGGTGCAAGGCCACAAGTACCAGACGAATCCAATGAAGAGAATATTCGCACCAGTCCGTGGTCTTTTCGTTGAGATCCTATATCCTAATGATCCGGCCAAAACATCCATTATCGTCCGCGAGCAACCACGACATGATCACTACGTAGATGTGATTGAAGTCAAGCTGGACGGTAAGAGCGAGATTGTCGTTAGCATGATTAAGGATACCACCGCTCTCGGCCAGCCCGTGTCGCTACCACTTCGGTTTACTTACCATCCCGAAGCTGGATATGCTCCGATTCACGAAGTTATGGAAGGACGAAATGACCGTATCAAAGAATTTTACTGGCGCGCTTGGTTTGGAGACGAGACTCTCGACCTTGACGTTCCCGTCACCAGCAAATTCGATGGAGGACGAGCTACCATTACCAAGGAGGCTATCAACGACTTCGTTCACGCTGTGAGCAACACTGGCGAGGCATTCGTCGATCGTCCTGGCAAGGTTATGTTTGCCCCTATGGATTTCGCTATTGTCGTCGGATGGAAGGCCATCACGAAACCCATCTTCCCCCGAAAGATCGATGGTGACCTTCTTAAGCTTGTGCATCTTTCCAACGGCTTCCGCATGATGCCAGGTGCGGACCCCTTGAAGAAAGGCGATGAAGTCAAGACAACAGCACAGATCAACGCCGTAATCAACGAAGAATCTGGCAAGATGGTTGAAGTATGCGGTACGATTTATAGAGATGGAAAAGCTGTTATGGAAGTCACATCACAGTTCTTGTACCGCGGTGTCTATACAGATTATGAAAACACCTTCCAGCGCAAGATGGAGACGCCAATGCAGGTCCACCTTGCTACCTCCCAGGACGTTGCGGTTCTGAAGTCAAAGGACTGGATCCAGTTCGACAATAATGATATCGAACTACTCGGCCTAACGTTGACATTCCGCCTGCAGAGTTTTTACAAATTCAAGAACAAGACCGTCTACAGCAGTGTCGAGACGCGTGGCCAAGTGCTATTAGAGCTTCCCACCAAGGAGATCATCCAAGTAGCAAGCGTCGACTATGAAGCCGGCGTGTCTCATGGCAATCCTGTTGTCGACTATCTCGAACGACATGGTTCTTCTATTGAACAGCCGATCAACTTTGAAAACCCTATTCCCCTCAGCGGCAAGACACCTCTGCAACTGAAGGCGCCAGCTTCCAACGAGACATACGCTAAAGTATCTGGTGATTATAATCCTATCCACGTTTCTCGTGTATTCTCCAGCTATGCCAACCTCCCCGGCACCATTACCCACGGCATGTACTCAAGTGCTGCCGTGCGAAGTCTAGTGGAGACCTGGGCCGCCGAGAACAATATTGGCCGCGTTCGCAGTTTCCATGCCTCTCTTGTCGGTATGGTACTACCCAACGACGACATTCAAGTCAAGCTTGAGCATGTCGGTATGATAGGCGGCCGCAAGATTATTAAAGTTGAAGCGAGCAATGAGAACGAGGAGAAGGTACTGCTTGGAGAGGCTGAAGTTGAGCAGCCGGTGACGGCATATGTTTTCACTGGCCAGGGATCTCAAGAGCAGGGCATGGGTATGGACTTGTACAATTCCAGCCCTGTTGCCAAGGAAGTCTGGGATAGGGCCGATAAGTATCTCCTAGATACATATGGTAAGTAAAACCCGCACCTATTAAATCGAGATATGATGCTAACACGATCTAGGTTTCTCTATTCTGAATATCGTGAAGAACAATCCGAAGGAATTGACTATTCACTTTGGTGGTCCTCGGGGTAAAGCAATCCGTGAAAATTACATGCAGATGAATTTCGAGACCATCGCCGCGGATGGCTCAGTGAAATCTGAGCGCATATTCAAAGAGATCAACGAGAAGACGACATCTTACACGTACCGATCACCGACGGGTCTTCTATCGGCAACCCAATTTACACAGCCCGCCCTTACCCTCATGGAAAAGGCCAGTTTTGAAGACATGAATGCCAAGGGTCTCGTACCGCGAGACAGCACCTTCGCCGGTCATTCGTTGGGCGAGTACTCAGCCCTCGCCGCGTTAGCAGACGTGCTGCCCATCGAGTCTCTTGTTTCGGTTGTTTTCTACCGTGGATTAACGATGCAAGTCGCCGTCGAGCGAGACGCCCAAGGCCGGTCAAACTACTCTATGTGCGCCGTCAATCCAAGCCGAATTTCGAAGACCTTCAGCGAAGGTGCTCTTCGTTATGTGGTTAGCAATATTGCCGAGGAGACAGGTTGGCTGTTGGAGATTGTCAACTACAACATCGCCAATATGCAGTACGTCTGTGCTGGTGACCTGCGGGCGCTGGACACGCTTACTGGCGTACTAAACTTCTTGAAATCACAGAAGGTGGATATCAATCAGCTCCGCCAAGATTTGAGCATAGAGGAAGTGAAAGGGCACCTTGTCGACATAATCAAGGGTTGCGCTCAGAAGACCTTGGAGAAGCCGACGCCCCTGGAACTCGAAAGAGGCTTCGCCACTATTCCTCTCAAGGGTATCGACGTGCCATTCCACTCGACATTCTTACGGTCAGGCGTCAAGCCTTTCCGAAATATACTCCTGAAGAAGATCAATAAGACATCGATTGATCCCGCCAAGCTGGTCGGAAAGTACATTCCTAATGTCACAGCTCGGCCGTTCGAGCTTACAAAGGAGTATTTCCAAAACGTATATGACCTCACGGGGTCGCCCAAGATCGCACAGATCTTGCAGGATTGGGACAGTTATCAGGACGATACCAACGGTGTTAGCGGTGTGAACTCACCTCCGGCGCAGGTGAACGGTTACTAGAAACCAGGGGATCTAAAACAGGCGAATCGGTGTTAAAAAAACCTAATAGCATATGGGCGGCATTCTTAGACTTTTATTTATCACTTTTGTGTTAGTATATTTATGACGTTCCTCTTGAAACAAACCAACATGCAGAAGGACTTATCCTTGGAGGTGCCATTGCTTGCCTATTTTGACTTGTTTATGTCGTAAGAGGTAATAATCCATACGTGCTAATAGGGGTTATTTCATATTGCATATGTTCTATTGCGCTGCCAGTATTTGCCATTCTTACTATCCCTCCCTGCGGTTTTATAGAGGGAATATTGTTATTAAGACAGGTGGCTAACCTATATTAAATGCATTCCAAGCTCATAATTTCTTATGCATAATATACCTAGGTACCTAGGCAGGTATATTATTTAACTTAGGTACGTTATGTGCCCATTTTATGAGACAATGATGATAATTCCAACTCCCCCCTTTTCATTCATGAGCTGTTATAGTTTGTTCTGCATAGAAAACCTTAGGTACGTTAGGTACCTAACCTAACTTAATGCAAGAGGCAACACGAGGATTTATTTTTATATATGTGGGTTATACCAAACAAACTAATACAGTACGTAAGCAGAGAGCCTGGGTTGGGTAAGTATTAGTATGTATACCTGGTAGGAATGTGTACCTAAGGCTACCTAGGATCAGGTTAGGTACCTGCATAGCTAAACCACAAGCGCTTTCTACCTCTATCTAACTACCTAGTATCTACCTTTCTATCTATCCGGCTATCTACAAAGAAGCTTAGGTATTTATTACATCTACAGCCCACTAGGTAGGTGGGTATCGTATCGTATCGTTCCGTTTCGCTTCACTTAGCCCGCTCGGTCTATCTATCTCTCGCGCTCGTGCACAAGCCGTCCGCGCACCCAGACTTTCTTGACGTTTCTGTCGTCGCCGTTGAACACCCACTTCGCCACGCGGTCCTCCCACCTCTCCCAGCCGAAGATATCCACGTTCCCCGGATCCCTATCCCGCTCCTGTTCCTGTTGTCGGTCGTCTTCCTCGTCGGGTACGAGCCCTAGCCCGATCAGCTGCGCGTCCCACTCCTTGCCCACGTCGAACCCGCCGATCTTCTCTCCTAGCCCGACGACTTCGGCGCCGCCCCGCGTGGCGAGGTGGAGGACTTCTTCCACGCTCAGCCGGGCGAGTGCGCGGTCGTCGTCGTCGTCGTCTGAGGGCGGCTCGTCAGAACTACTCGACGGCTTTTTTGCCCCTCCTCGAGGTGGCATGGCGAGATGATTCGATACGAGAGCGGCCTGCCGCGCGGCGTCCAGTATGCTGGGGCTATAACCGCCGCTGACGTCGGTGCCAAGGCCCACCCCAATCCCCTTGTCCAGCAGCCAGCGCACGCGGGCCACGCCGCTCGTCAGGGCCGAGTTGCTGCACGGGCAATGGGAGACCTTGGCGCCGCGGCGCGCGACGAGGTCTGCCTCGTGCTCGGTCAGGTGGATGGCGTGCGCGAGGATGGTGCGGCGGCCCAGGAGCCCGAAGCGGTCGTACACGTCGGCGTAGCTCCTGCTGTCGGGGAACATGTCCCGGACGAGCTGCAGCTCGTTGACGTTCTCCGAGATGTGCGTCTGGATCGGGAGGTCTGTGGCCCGGTGCAAGGCGCCGAGCTGGGCCATGGCTTCGGCGCTGCACGCGGGCGCGAAGCGGGGGGTTAGGATGGGGCTGACGAGATCGAACGAGGCATCGATGCTCCGGATGTGGTCTATGGTGGCCTGCGTGGCGGCCACGGACTGGCTCGGCGATTCGTCGAGGTAGTAGTCCGGGCCGAGGTTGTCCATGCATACGCGGCCGACGAACGCACGCTGGCCTAGAGACAGGCATAGGTCCGCTAGGAGGTTCGTAGATGGGACGTGGATGGTGGCGTAGTAGGTTGCGGTGGTGGTGCCGTGGGAAAGAGTGCGCTGGATGCAGCGCGTATATACCCTGCGAGCTTTGGGGAGCGAGGAGAGTGAGGCTTCCATAGGAAAGGTATATGTATTCAACCAGTCTAGGAGCGTGGACTTTCCGAATATTCCTACGTTGGGATATTGTGGTGCATGTATGTGCGTGTCTGTACCTAGTAAGTAAAGAAGAAGAAGCTCGTAGTTGAAGGGGAAAATGGTAGGTATTCTTACCAACGAAGCCGGGAAAGAAGAATTGGCCATCTTTTGCTATCGTGACAAGTGTATCGTCTGCTTTCCATCCTAGTTTGGGATATAACGTCTCCTCGGCTTTGGGTTGGTCACACTGCTGCTCGACAGCAACTATCTTGCCGGACTTGTCGACGCAAACTGCGGTGTCATGTAGATATTGCAGCTCGCCAAGGTTGATGCTGTGTATAAATAAACCCAGAAATAGCTGATTCTTCTCGTTCTTCTTGGAAGCCATAGTTGACTTTTGCTTTTCTGTTTTTCTGCTTGACTTATTCCTCTTTTCCCTTTGAGTGTAAACCCGAGTGAAAAGGAAGAAAAAAAAAGGTAGTAAAGGAAAAGGTGTTATTGTTGTACTTGGTTACTTGGTGATAACACGGGACGGGAAGCGCTAGTGGACTTTTGGAAATGGAAATGGCATCTGCATCTGAAGTTACGGGGTACAATAGGAGGTTTAGTATTGTATTGTATAATACCTACCTACCTAGGTACCTCCTAACGTAGTACCTACCACTAAGATAAGGCACTCTTCTAGATTAGGCGAGATCCCACTGTCGTTCCTGCATCAACTAGAGCCGGAGCCTACCAGAGTTTCGGTCAGGTACCGACTCAAAGGATAACGTGCGTACAGCGACTGCAGTGTCGTAATAGTGACCGAAGGTACCCACTGCCCCAGGTGTTGTACAGCGCACCTTAGGCAAGTACAGCGTGAAACCCTCTATGGTGACGTCCGAGAGAAGTCGGTCAACGCCGGCACCCGGAGCTGTATTCCTACTCCTATTGGTGGATCGTCTTGGAGCTATAAGACCTAATAACCTAATACCCCGCCAGCCCGCCTAGAATTAAGCTTCAGCTCCTGATGGAAACAAGATACAAGATATACAAGATAAGATCAAGCATAAAATATATTACTAATGTGTATATATCGCATATGTGTCGATTAGCTAAGGAGATATAATAATTATCTCGCTTTGCATCTTGCAAAAATCCTATTTTCTCTCTCTATTACATTAGGTCCTATCACACGCTTATGTCTTAGATGGTGTTGTACCGTTGGTGGTATCAAGGGTTTTTCTGTGCACCTGGAAAATGACGTCTAATAGCTTAAATTCAAACGACAACGGCAACATTACTCAGTTACCTCGGTATACATAGATCCTCGCTTAGGATTTGCTGATACTTTGTAAATCACACAATGATCGGCCCATCGGACTGTCTTACTCGACATCTGTGTTTAATCTGTTGTTTAACAGCTGGAGAATAAGTAAAACAGGTAGGACTATGTGGTGGTATACGAATACGTATAACCCGACAGCACTATTTCTCTATTTATTCTTTGTAAAGCCGGCCGTCGCATACCGAAGCGGTGTGACTGGAGATAATAGCATAAGTCCCGAATCCTGATTGGCCCGCCCAGGTACCGGGGGGGGAAACACGACGTGGACGAAACTACCGAGGGTCCGGCTAACTTACACCTATTAAAATATGACAATACGTTCCAATTACCAGTACCTAAAAAAGCAGCGCAGAGAGAGAGGAGGGGCAATTATAGAACCTTCCCCGATCACCAAATAAATAAATGCCGTGAAACAGAAACATCTTTCTCCGAAAAGAAAAGAAGGAAAAAAGAATAAGAAGAAAAAAAAGGCCGAAGCCGATCCTCGCTCTCGTCCCTCAAAAGATAGCATACATTACATTGTCGTCAACGCGTTTCGTCTCTTCGAATCTCGTCTTACGTATAGTTATACGTAACCTCTTAACATCTACACAACCCTCTCATTCTCATTCTCATTCTCATTCTCTCCTCACCGTGTCTTAGGACCTATCGAAACGGGGGAGTACCTGATCTACATACCCAAACTACCTTTAAAACGACTAGTTAATAACATATTTCAGTATATTTACTATATTTACCTACAAATACCAAACGGCATCGTAACACCAATTAATATACTTATCCTATATCACACCCTCCAGTTCCAGTCCTTCCATCATCCTAGCAGATCCCTTCCTCTTCCTCTTCCTCTTTTTTTCTTTCTTTTTTTTCTTTTTTCTATACTCCCCTTCCCCCTCCCCCCCCAAAAATAAAATGCCCCTCCACATAGCCAACCTAGGCTCCTCCTTCGCCGCGGGCCCCAGCATCCCGCCGTGCGTCGACGACGCCGCCGGCCGCTCCGGTGCGAACTTCGCGTGCCTGCTGGCGAGCCGCGCCCGCGCCCGCTGCACCGACCTCTCCGTCTCCGGCGCCCAGCTGCCCAACATCACGACGGACCCCCAGGACCGCGCCGGCCGCCTCTTCCCCCCGCAGATCCACGGGCTGCCCCCCGACGCCGACGTCGTGCTCGTGCTCGGCGGCGGCAACGACATCGGCTATATCGGCGGCCTGTTCGAGGACACCCTCAACGCCTCGTGGCTAGGCTCTTTCGTCCTGCGCGTGCGCGGCGGGGTCGGCGCCCCGCTCCCGACCAGCGGCACCGCCGACGCACCGCTAGACGTCGACGCGCTGGCGCATAGGTACGGCGGCGTCCTGGACGCGATCCACGCCAAAGCGCCCAAGGCGCGCGTCTTCGTGGTCGAGTACCTGACAATGCTGGGCACGCACACGCGGCCGGGGACGGACGTGCCGTTCGGGGCGGAGCGCATGGCGCATCACCGGGCGGTGTGCGGGCGGCTGCTGGCGGCGACGGGCAAGGCGGTGGCGGGGCGGGAGGCGTGGGCCGAGGTGGTCCCGGTCGGGGCGGCGAGCGAGGACCACGCCGTGGGGTCGCCGGACCCGTGGGTCTCCGGGTTCACCTGGAAGCTGTTCTACGCCGGGGGCGCGTATCACCCGCGCGCCGAGGGGATGCGGGCCGTGGCTGATATGCTGTATAAGAGGCTGGTGGAATTGGGGATCGTGGATGATGATGGCAACGGCGATAATGATGGTGGCGAGCTATGAGACTCAAATGCGTGTGTGGAAGAATGAAAAGAGTATGTGTGCTACCCCGTATAACTGCGGGACGCGAACGACCTTTGCTACCGGAATTGAACGTCGGGACTCTGGAAGATTACCTCACACTACCTACCTTAGGTACCTAAGGTACTATGGAAGACCATCTAACTAGTGCGCGGTACCAGAGTTTTCTTGCTTTCTATACCATCCAATATCCATGGGGGTTTAGGGTAAGGAACTGGAGCTTTTCGCCTGGTGTCTGGGTCCTGGCAGAATTTGGATCTTAAAGAGTTATTCCTAGTCGAGGAATACTCCCTCTACAACGTCCGTTTTGAGTACAGGTGCCTACCTTGGGTTAGGTACCTAAGGCATGGTATTTAGGACTTATGGATATAGATATAAACAAATGAGTTCATATAAGTCTATATTAGGTACCTACCTAGGTACCCAAGATAATGTAAAATAATATCCAAGGGATTTCAATACGTATGCGAAATACCCCTTATTGCTTTAAGTACCTAGACCTAGGTAGGCTAAGCCAGAAAGACGATTAGAATCCTGCTACAGGCACAGTCACGAGGAGAGAAACCCTGTTTGAAAGCGCAAGCGATGCAGATGGTAAGTATCATTGATAGCTAGCTAGCTACCCTCTCTCCACAACTCAAACAAGCCAGAGCACGTCCACAATGCACGGCGTAGGTCCCTAACCTCATCAGCGTCTGAAGGCCAGCATTTCGACACAGCATCGAAGCTGACTACCTCCTTAGGTAAGAGGTGCCTAACCTATCTCGAGTAACCCATGTGATAAACAAACACAACGTTCCTTTTCTTTTCTTGTTTTGGTCAGGGGAGTTATGATAACCCATTATCACGTATATTCTCAACCTGTACGAAAAATACACACAAATCCTCCCGCCTCGCAACCGTTTTCGTCACATGTAAAAAAGTCGACGTGTACTAATAAAACGAACAAACATCACAGTTCTTCCGAATGATAGTAGTAGTATCGTAGTAATATAACATAACACCGGTAAGGCCACACATCCCACCCTACTTAGTGCGTAGAGCCGCTAACTCTCAGCAGCTCGTACATACTCTGATCATCCGATGCGGACGCGTAGTTATTGTTGTTATTATGCCCGGAGTAATTCGACGCATTCGGCGGCCTGTGGCTGCTATACGCGGCGGTAGACTGGTTCGAGCTCGCGGTGCCGCCGTAGCCGCTGCTTCTGGTATTGTAAGCACTCTGGTGGCTCGTGCTGGCACCGCCGTTATTATTACTATGGGTATTATTATTGTTATTATTATTGGCAGCGAACCTGTACCAGTTCTGCTGGGTCTGCTGGGCTTGTTGGTTCGTGCTCGGCTGCTGCTGTGTCGAGTAGGAATTGTAAGACTGGGGCTGGGATTGGGCGTAAGAAGTGTTCTGATGGGAGTTTCGCAGCTCGGTAGACGTTGCGCCGTAGCCGTTGGAGGTAGATGCGGAAGCTGAGGTCATGGGATAAGCGTTGTTGGATTGTGGTTGGGCGTGCGCCTGGCTACTTCGACTTTGCGAGGTACGCCATTGAGGCGCGGGAGTACCGCTGGTATTATTATATGCAGACGACGTGTTGAGGGCTTGCGAAAGAGGGTTAGACGAGCTTGTTGTCCGAGAATAATCATACGCCGGCGTCGATGAGTAGGACGCGGAAGTCATAGCAGCTGTATGGGCTTGATATGAACCTGGCTCATACGCGATGCGGGTCGAGGTTTGATCGTTATTTAGATTCTCATATTGACTATTGGAAGTGTTGTCATATCGCGGATAAGGGTCGTAACTCGCAATTGAAGCCGAAGAAGTCGTATCATATGATGCACTAACAGCAGCCTGGGGAGCCTGGGGAGCCTGGGGAGGAGGGCGAGATATTGGCGCAACAGGAGTACTGGTTTGTGATCTTTGACCTTGCCGAGACTTTGCTCGAGCTGCGGCTTGGTAGGGCGACCCTCTCGCAGGCGACGGTTGCCTCTGACTTTGGGCTACAACCTGTGATACGGCCGGCAGTTGTCCCATATTGTCATGTGTTTGCTGCCTCGCTCCCATGTCGGACTTACGTGACTTCGATCGTCCGGATGTCTGCTGTTGGGTTAATACCGGCGACGTTGTAGTAGTGTGTCCTGTTGCAGATGATGAATTCCAGTTGGAAGTATATTGCGGTATGGTCGGTGTTGGCACTGGTGTCGGTATTGGCGTTTGTTTATTTTGGGTAGTAGGGAGACTACGTCGGTTAGATCTAGGAGTGTTTTGTCCCTTCTGCCTTGTTGCCGAGACGTTTCGGGGTAGGGTTAAGCCAGAAGAGTTCTCAGTCTGATGGGACGGGGCGGAAAAGGTTAAATTTGGAGACTCGGATTGAGTCTCACGAGCTTGAGATTCCGGGAACGTTAATGCTGGCGTTGCTGCCTGCCCCATCGAGGGCTGCGAGCGCTGAGGAAATGTGAGGCCACTGTGATGATTCTGATAGTATTGTGTTGCTGAAGGTTGTACGGGAGTTTGTGTGGTTACCGGAGGATACTCCACGGGATACTCCACGGGATGTTCAACGGGATGTTCAACGGGATGCTCAACATGATGTTCCATGGGCCCTGACAATATGTTCGGATCCGGGACGAACTCCTCGTTATTGAGATCTGCCACCGGTGGTGACGTAGTAGGTACTTGGTGTTGCACTGACATTTGTGTTGTTGATATTGGTACTGATGCTGGAGCTGGTGCTTGAAGTTGAATTTCGGACTGGAATTCTCCCCTCTCGCCGGGTAACTCAGAGTCTTCATTCTCAACCACTTCACCAGTAATCCCCGATCTCTTTCGACGTGGCTTCGGTGGTAAATAAATGCATTCTATCCCAGCTTCAGTACAGACAGAACAACTAGGATGTTCCTTTGTGCACTAAATCACGTTAGTATTCGAACGTTATTTGACGAACAAGTATAGGTTACCTTGATCATCCTGCCCCTGCAAGTCTCACAACTCCCGCGTGTCTTCTTGGCTTTCGGTTTTAGAGCAGAAGTAGTCGTTCCAACTTCGCCATTTTCTTGTACTGGCACTACCGCACCACCACCAATGGAAGCATCGGCTGCTACACCTTCAGACTTTTTTCTTCGGGCACGCTTCTTCTTCGTTGGCGTCTCGTTTATCGCCAGGGTAGACTGCTGGCCGGATCCGGCGGCAGGGGTTGTACTGGTAGATTGCCCTTCTATGAGAGTGGAATTGGCATCTTCATCACCTGGATGGACGATTCTCAACTTCGCAGCGCCATGCTCGGCCAGCATATCTAATGACATAGCCTGTAGAGCCGGTGCTTGATTTGCGAATATATTAAATTGCTCTTCGGACAGTGTCGCAGGTTCGACGTTTCTTCCCCGGAGAAGATCCATCGCCGTCTGTCTACGGCGTTCCGCTTCATCTGGAGGAATCTCCGCAAAAGATATGATATGTTCATCGTTCTGGCCCGTACTTTGAGACTCTCCGTTATTCTCGCTGGGTTGACCGTTCTCCAGAGTAAGACCACCTCCCATCGATGCTTCCGGAGCTTTATCCTTCTTTCTTGAACGTTTCTTACGGCTCCCTTCTCCACCTTCTGCTGGTGGGGGTCGCTTAGCCCTCGGTGTTCGTTCGCTTCCTGTGATGCCATTTTTGACGGGCGGGGGTGGTAGCAAGGGTACTATAAGATCTATCAACTGCGCGACGGTCTTGTGTATAGGTATATGGCTGTATTTAATGACGACGCCTCTAGAGGATTTCGAAAAGGCGATCGTGAGGGTTCCGCGACAGTCAAAAGCAGGGCGAGCTATAGCGAAGTCAGCAGCTTGACTACTCAAAAGTTTGACAGCCATACTCACAGGCATTAACCGGATCCAGGCTACCTGGCCCGCTATGGCTGCCAATTACATGTTTCTCGGCGTTCTTCGCATTCGCGCGGTTCCAAGCTTGTAGCGAGTCTTTGCAGATGTACGTGAATGTCCAACCTTGCGCATCCCGCGAAACCTTTCGTACCGTCCACGAACTATTATCTACAGTTCCCAGCGCACCAACTATATGCTTCGCGACGGCGCGCTGGAGAACAGGGTCGTCGGTAGGTTGGTTCTGTACGGTTTCAAAGGCGCTAACGGATCTAGTGATCTGTTGCTGCTGAGGCTGTTCGATAGGGTCGACATGGCCATTTTCGGCGTCTGCATTCAGATGGAAAACGACATTATGACGAAGCTCGAATGTGAATGAGACATGTTTCGCGCGCGTATCAGACGCTCTGGAGGCGAGGAGATGGTGGAGTCGGTCTTGTACATCTTGGACAGAACTGCATATCACATTACCTCTTACCGAATCCAAGAGGGCCTCCATTCCACTAATAAGTCGAGGGTTGTTCCTCTATCCCCAGGAATGGACGGCGGAATGGACGGCGGAATGGCGCAGTGTGAAGGGCGCGGTGTGAATGATGCGAAATGCACGAAAATAGATATAAAGTGGAGGTTGACTAAACGCGTTGTTAGCACGTAAAATGCAGCAGGTAGCGTTAAGGTTCCAGGCAGCTGCTAAGTTAAGATGGTTTTTAGAGGCTACAAGGTACTATGAGTAACGAGAACGCGGGGTTGGTACCTGGTACGTCTAATCAATTGGAAATTACGTAAGACTTAAAAAAAATACTTGTAAAATCGAAAGCTTTGCGCTGGACCAGCAAACCAATACCTAATTCACTCCTTTTATCTTTTTATTTATAGAGCCCTATGCGAAGCTCCATTAGAGAATGGCATGAATATAATAAAAACGAAAGGACTATGATTTACATACCATGCCAACTAAAGACCACATCTACCGTCACAGGTAGGTTTATTCCTCTATATACAATAGTAGGTACTAGTAATCACGTCTCTAGGTACTGTAGCTACCTACTTCATACAAGGTAGGTAGCTCTCTGGAAGTGATGTTATCCCCAACGCCGTACTTGTGACCTACACTTATTAACCACCTGGAACGCCAAGCGTTATTGAAATCCATCACTCCCTAAATTACGCATTGTCTTCAATCCACTCCTCAAGTCTCTCGACAAGAGTCTTTTTCAGCCCCTTCGAATCAATCCCTCGAGCGTTCAGGATCGGTCTTAACTCAGTTACAGTCAGCTTGGACAAGGTGTCTTGTTGATAACGCTCCTTCAGTTCTGCATTATTCATTCCGGCATCACCACCGCCTGCTTTTGCCGCAGCCGGTTTGGATTTCTTCGCTGCTGGTCTAGGCTCGTCGTCATCATCGTCTATTTCCATCTCCCGCTTAATAGCTTTAGCATCCCTGACCATGCCTAGAACGTCGTCCGCCATCTGTGACCATTCCTGTATGTACGCTCCACACCGGTTGTGGATCGCCCTGTACTTGGGGACCGTCGCATCTTCTGGTTTGTCAGGTACCTCTTCTTCTAGCGCAAGCGCCTGGAGAATCTTGTAATGCCATTGGAGCGCGGGATTGGGATATCTCGATGGATTATAGGTAGCAGTTGGTAGTTGCAAGTTTCCCACAATCTTATTCATAATGTCGGTCAACTGGTTCGTAGTTCGGACAAAATTAGCCTGGTCCGGGCCCTCGCGTACGTCGTCGGCATACGGAATTGGGTAAAGCCATAAACCAGCCGGTATGAAATTCATGCCCGATTTGCTATCCGTTTGCGCCGTAGAGGGGATGATAGCAACCAGCTGAGGATTTCCATTTGTTCGAGCAATATGCCACGCAACCCCGATCTTTTTGGATTTTAATAACTTCTGCCATAATGCAGTAAAGACACGCGTGGATCCGACGTAGCCTTCTTCGCTTGGAAAGATAAAGACTGAATTTTTGATGGACGCCCAGAACCCCAGTTGAGACCTATCTTTAAAGCCAATTATCCGGATTATTGGACCGCCGAATTGTTTAATTGACTTCAGCTCTTCCTCGCTGAAGTAGACATATTCACCGCCGAATTTATAGGCTTTCTTGACTTCACCCGTCTGTACCGTCCTAGCGCTGTCTTCGGCTATATGTGCAGTTTCCCCAACGGCAATTTGTGCTCTCTCGCCGTCTATCCAAACGTAACAACTACGTGCAGGGGTCTGTCTTTGAGTGATATTGTATCCTTTAACTGATATTTGAAGCCCGGGGCCCAGCTCAAGCGGCATATTGCTGAAGTATGCTCGTTTTGGGGTTTGTCTAGAGTTGATATTGGAAGTTAACGAACTCAAAAGAGTTTGACCGCTGCCGGATTTGGAGGTAGATATTCTTCCTGATTGTACTTCCTCGATGACTGGATCCCGGTATATAATATCCTAGACATTATTAGCAAATGAGAACAGTAGTTAGGTCTGGATGGGGGAATGAATTACATCGTAAAACTTGGTGAAATCAAATTTTTCGTCCTCGCGAGTGATCGCAAAGAGATCTATGGTGACGCCTAGGTCGTACAGGTCTTTGGCAAGGCATGCTGCGTTTTCTCTAAGCTCTTTGCTCTCTTTGTGAGGATCATCATTATCCGTGATGATGAATAGTCTTCGGGATCCAAAATTCGGTGCTTTGGTGGTGAAGAGATTATTCACCAAGAAAAGCAATCTTCCCATAACAACCCCCTCGCTAGATGGCGTCAGAATCTCATCGGCATCTTCCCCGCCTTCTAGAAGATCTCTGAGATTCTTTACGTCTTCGGCCGCGGGTATATCGAGGTCGGTATAGACATAACAATGTGGATAAGGGGGATTCTCTTCATCCCGATACTTCTTCTTTTCGGTGCCAAATAGAACAATTCCCATCATATCCTTCGGGTTAGATATAATGCGCTGTTGCATCACCTGATAGGCACACTTCAACGCAGCAAACACAGGAGGATCCTTGTCTGCCTTCTTGTCATTTGACTCAGGAGGTGGTCGTAGCATCGACTTGCTCACATCGATAGCGAAAATGAGAGCATCCTTCTGAGCTTTAAAGTCCTGATGGGAAGTTAATAGATGAGACTAAAAATATGTATTTATAAATAAGATACCTGTTCGCCAAGCTCATCTTCCTCTTCCTCTTCCTCCCGTTTCTCATAATGGTCTGCCATGGTAAATGGTAAATCGCGAATCCCTTTCCTTATTAAATATAGTATGAGAAAAAGTTCAGAATATGATTTTAGGCAAGCTTAATTCGCGTATGTTTTTTATATGGAAATGCCTACCTAAACTTCTAATGAAACCCGAGGTAACTTAGGCAGACATCGCGCTTAAACGCGTATGATGTAAAAGGGTATTCTTATGAAGTAATCGCGTTATCAGGTGATTTTGTACGGTTTATGAAGACTTGCACTGTACCTTGAAGTACTTGAGTACTTCTGCCTCAGGTTCAACTTTTCAAGCTCTGATGTTGCTAGGCAATTGAACTTGTTTCATTGGTGTTCCAAACACCACTAACGCGAAGAGCCCTGTAATCGGACATTCGGGCCCAGTTCCTCGGAGAGCCGACCCCGAGAATGCTGTCATTGATTGGTGAACTTTTTCAAAAGGCAATTCCACTAATTCATATAGTTATACCTGTTCTATTAGTTATTAGTACCTTTGTCTGTTAAACGACTTTAAGATACCTATATTCCCTGACTCTTTCATTTTCGAGCCGTCCTCAAGCTATAAGCTTACGCAGTATGGCAACACGCCATTCAATTGCGCACCTTGCGCGCAGAGCAGCTGGTACTGCAATTGCAACTGCTAACTCAACGGCGCTATGCCTCCAGCCATTGAAGAAGAGTGCACTCCAGACGAGGTCATTCGCAACGCCGGCGCCACCTGTCACACAAAATGCGGTAGGATCTAAAGGCCCAACGGCCATGGTTTTTCTGAATATGGGTGGCCCATCCACGGTAGATGAAGTCGGCGACTTTCTCAGCCGCTTATTCGTATGCTTCATTCGCACGACGTAGTGTACCTCGGTTCAGTTCTAACGTATAAGTAGGCAGACGCCGATCTGATACCTTTGGGGCGACTGCAAAACTACATCGGGCCCCTCATCTCGAGCCGAAGAACCCCAAAGATTCAGAAGCAATACGCGGAGATTGGAGGTGGTTCTCCGATTCGAAAATGGTCGGAATATCAAAACGAAGAAATGTGCAAGATTCTCGACCGGATATCGCCCGAGACCGCTCCCCACAAACCCTACGTCGCATTTCGCTACGCGAACCCTCTTACGGAAGAGATGTACAACAAGTTGCTAGCAGACGGTTTCGGGAATGGCAAGGGAGGGAGAGCTGTAGCTTTCACACAATATCCCCAATACTCTTGTTCCACAACAGGCAGTAGTCTTAATGAACTATGGAAGTGGCGACAACGATTGGAAGGGAAAGCTGGACCTGGTACCATCCAATGGAGTGTCATTGACAGATGGCCGGTACATCCAGGATTAGTAGAAGCATTCGCTAGCAATATCGAGAAGACGCTGGCGGAATACCCAGAAGACCGAAGAAGCCGAGTCGTCTTATTATTCTCGGCTCACAGCTTGCCGATGACGGTAGTAAATCGAGGTAAGGAGTATTTGTATATGATCAACTTTAGCGAGCTCAACTGACACCTTTCTTTAGGAGACCCTTATCCCGCCGAGGTTGCCGCAACAGTATACGCCGTTATGCAGCGACTCAAGTTCTCCAACCCATACAGATTATGTTGGCAGTCACAAGTCGGTCCTCAACCATGGCTGGGACCTCAGACCCAGACTTCAGTTGAAGAGTACATCGCAAAGGGACAGAAAGACCTCGTTCTTATCCCGATCGCGTTTACCTCGGATCATATCGAAACGCTCTTCGAGCTCGATAAAGAGGTGATAGGGGAGTCTGGCCACGCGGATACGGTTAAGCGGGTAGAAAGCTTAAACGGAAATCCCATATTTATCGATGCCCTCGCAAATCTTGCCAAGAGTCACTTGGATAGCGGCGTTGCATGCTCGCACCAGATGGGGCTCAGGTGTCCTGGTTGCAAGAGCGAACGATGCGCCGAGTCGAAGAAGTTCTTCGCCTCGCCGGAAAATGCATTTGCGGTGTAGGATGATGCGCAAGTGTTTTTTCGAGCATTACTTACCTCTATTTTTTGTATCGTCCATGTCGATACTTTATGCAACTCATCTTTGGGCATTGGAAAAGAGGTAGCTTAAAAAATATTTGATTTGAGCCAGCCAATCTATTTATTCGGGGTTACAATAGATGAAGATAATGGCGCACCTCACTCCATGATTCTATGATGTTGATGTATTTGAGCGGAAAAGCAGCTATGGAATTGTATTGGATAAAACAATTAATTGATATTTACTCTATCAACCGAACGCCTTGCTATTCACGCGTTCACGTATAAATAAACATAAGGGATACTTAAATTTACTTTCTATATTTGATGTCTGATGTCTGATGTCTTGAGAGACCTCATTAAAGCTGCCGGTTGTCGGATCCCGGTTAGACCCCGAATTCCTGCACCCCACGAGCACATGCGTCATCGATTTGTTCAGAAAGTCCGCGATAAAAGATAAGATTACCAAGCATAATTCAGGGACGACATCATTATTTTTATACTTCAAGTACTACCTTAGCTATGTGATATGAATAACTCATAATGAAATAAAATGAAGCATAATCGTTTTGTACGAAGTACACGAAAATTTAAACAAGAATCCCTGTTTATTCAGTCCGCTAGTCACTTATCGAAGTTGTGCTTTCCTCAGGTAGAGCTTAAAAGCAAGGTAAAAGTTAGCTCTTGTATTGTCCATGGAATGAACAGGGTCCCAGGTACGGTTGAGCATAGCTGCCACTCGGCAAATGACGTAAAGTTGAGATACAGACACCCCAAAGCTAATAAAGCAAAAGAATAAAATAAAATATGGATTTATGATACATTATGCATAAAAAAGGGTTGACTTTTTTGAGCCTCCAAGATGCGCACCCTCCTATTGGTTAAACTTTACAGCGCTTACAACATACCTCCCACCTGCAAAAGAATACGCCTTCGTACCTTAGGTAGATAGCCTCAACCTCATCAATTCAATCAATTCAATCAATTCAATCAATTCAATCAAGCGTATTCAATCAAGCGTATTCAATCAAGCGTATTCAATGTAAGCAAAGCAAGTTACCAAGTCTAATAATATTACATAGCACTGTATTAGGCTGGCACTAATCATAAGGGTGGATAGTAGCTCATGCGCTAAAATATAGGTAGCTTGCCACTATAATTACAGGGGAGTTAGCTACTATCAGTACTATAAATACAGTGCTTACCTTTTTAGCTCATACACATAAGCTAAAAACAAATCCCTCGCACCCCCCCAATACTCTTTTTTAATGCATAGAGTACTATTTTAGGCGCAACATGTTTTAAAGCATAGTAAATAATCCCTGTAATTTAAATACACCCCACAATTTTGAGGGGCGCCCCTATTAAAATACTCCAATTTTAGGGCATTTGCCGAGTGGCAGCTATGCTCAACCGTACCCAGGGGGTTCCACCCACTCCCAACATTGAAAGGTACGGGATTCAATAATAGATAGTCCAATATAACCCACACGTAACTTTCGCATCACTTTCTCGAACGTTTTAGCCCTGGCAACTTTTCGGCCCATGAACTTGTCGAGACAACCCGATATCAAAAGCAAAGCCAAGCTCTAATCGGAATCCTCGCCGTACAACATCATCAACGTAGAAACGGCCAATGCTTTTACTGCAATGCGCGCTTTAGTTTATTTATAATCTGCTTTCCGGTATGGAGTTTATCTCCATCTTCTCTCCCTTCCTTTTTCTAAACCGCTCGGGTCGATGACAGGACCTCTGTTAGGTTCTAAATAGCAAATAACTATCGCCGAAGCAGGGGCGTCGCTTTCTAATCAGTTACCCACATTATCCAGGTACTCAGGGCATCCTAGTCAGTATAATAATAATAGCACAACAAGAAAGCTTTCCAGAACTCGTTGGATGTTCCGGCATATCCGCTATATCCAGTCCATTTTGTCACATTTGAGGGTATTAAACACTCTCGTCGTTTACATACAGTCCTGGAACAACCCTATAATCGCGCAGCAACCCCGCGATCAAGATGACGAGCAGTGCGCAGCCCGTGAAGGGGGACAGTAAGCCGATCGTGCTTATAGACCAAGATGACCAAGATGACCAATGGGAGGGAGCAACAGAGACGAGTCCGCTGGTCGGCGAAAGTTCAAGCTCAAGCGGAAGTGACAGTGATAGTGTAACAGAAGACAACAGCAATGTGAAAGGCCAGGGGAGTTGGATAGGCCACGAAGATTTCGTCGGATTCCCATGGTGGAAAAGACCGTCGGTGGGTTGTGCATGAATATAAGGAGATGGCAAAGAAAACACCGGCAGCTAACATGAGCTTATTAGGTGTACTGGCTTTTAGCACCTTATCTCCTATTTTCCCTTGCATTTGGCGGTATCATCGTTCCGAAGCTCAATTTGTAAGTTACACAACTCCGGTCGGTTTTTATTAACAGTATGTTGCTTACACGGGAACGTCGCTCTCCCTCTTAGAATTGTCCATTTGATATGTCGTACTCACTTCACCGACCGCCAACAGCTTGAGCCAAATCCTATAAACCCTTTAGGTCCCTTAGGCGCCGATAATGACTTATGCACAAGCGCTCCTGTCCAGAAGCAGGTTGCTGTTTTCACGCTTGTACTAAGCGCCCTCACCGGCGCTCTAAGCGCGATCACGGCACCAAAGCTAGGCTCACTATCTGACCGGTATGGCCGAAAGCGCCTGATGGTGATGGCTTCATGCGGCGGTGTAATCAACGAGTGTATTACTATCTTGGCCGCAAAGTTCCCAGACGTTGTCGGCTACCATTGGCTGCTCCTGGGTGCATTCTTTGATGGCGTAACGGGCTCCTTCACAGCGGGCAGCCTACTGAGTAACTCTTATACGAGCGACTGCGCCCCTCCATCTAGACGTGGAGTGCATATTGGCTACCTTCATGCCTGTCTATTTACCGGATTAGCATTCGGACCTCTCATTGCTGGTTATTTTGTCAAATGGACAGGTTCGTTAATATTGATATTTTACGTCGTTTTGGGTTGTCATGCGGCCGTCATCTTGTATTTCTGGTTTGTTCTTCCTGAGTCGATATCGAAAAAGCGTCAGATGGCCGCACGCCAAAAACACCGCTCTGAGAACGAAGCCACAGCTGTTCAGCTTAGATCGACCCTTCCGGATTCGCTTCACGTCTTCATTGGGCCGCGGGCTGCGTCATTTATTGACGATCACATGGGAACTTGGCTTCCCGCACTTATGAGCGCCAACCCATTTGCTCCCTTAAAGATCCTCGTCCCCAGTGGGCGGGACAATGGTCCCCTGCGACGCAATCTGATCATCCTTGCTTTCATCGACACGATTCTCCTGTCCGCTGCAATGGGTGCCGGCACTGTCATCGTGCTTTACTCTGAGTTTATGTTTCATTGGGACACCCCAGAAGCCTCGGAATTTGTATCGGCGGTTAGCATGGCGCGGGTTGTAATCCTCATCTGCATACTTCCAGCCATCAACTACGTGTTCCGTGTTCTACCACTACGCCGCCAAAGGCGTGAAAACGGCGGCGTAAATGTGATCGAGACGAATTCTGGGGCTGATAACCTGGATATATGGCTTTTGCGTTTTGCTCTCCTTAGCGATGCTATAGGTACCTTCGGCTTTATATTCGTACGCTCGCAGGAACTATTCGTCCTCTGTGGTCTGGCTACCGCATTTGGCGGCTTAGCTAGTGCTACTATTCAAAGCGCGATCACGAAGCACGTCCCGGCTCACCGTATGGGCTCTCTATTGGGAGCCACAGGCTTGTTACATGCGCTTGGAAGGGTCGTTGCTCCTGCGCTTTTCAACGGCATTTATGCCGGGACGGTCGAGACTTTCCCGCAGGCTTTCTTCGTCTTATTAACTTCGCTGTTCGGGCTGGCAATACTTGGCAGTTTCTTCGTGAGACCCCACTGTAAGCTTCAATCTACGCCACCCAGATCTCTTAAACGAGACATTATAAGCTGACCTTTTGGAAACAGTACATGTGAAAGACGACGGCTATATTGCAGTCCCGGTCCGAGTCCCTCGCGATGCTCAGGATCCGGATGTCATGTCTGATGAAGAGATTCTTAGTGGGGCCTTACCCCGAGTTTAAATAACATACTACGTTTATACATATAATATTGCAGCGGCAACCGCTTATATATGACACGAAATATGTCAGTCAAAGATTTGTTAGTAGGTCGGGTTATATGATTACGACTATTCGTAATGTTTTTGACAATGGAATATGTATCTATATACGTTGGTATATGTTTCTTGGAACTGGCACTTAGCTGGCACATTTTCAGCCGGCAATGCACCGATATACGTAGAAGGTGTGTAATACTGTTCTATTTTAGATTTTTTATAGTAGTATTTCTAGTATTTGCGCCGTTGCTGGTTGACTTGGTGCCTAGGTCATCTACCTACCTAAGGTACCTGTAAACTTAAGCCTTCGAACTAGCAAGGCAGGCAGAGGATTCGAATCTATAGAAATCTTGACGCGCGCGGTGATGCAGTATGCTTGAATATGTTCAATCTCCCAGGTCACACATAGTCTATACCCGGCGCTACTTGATATCGATCTACCTGAAGCGCCACACTTTATATGTACCGCCAAATCCGCTCCTAGTACACTTCTTTCACCCTCCAACTAACGGCCAAGACTCGGGCGCCAAGGAAACAGCTAGTTGAAATGGCATACGATAACGCCGCGAAGAGGATAAGCGCCAGCCAGCCTTGACGCTCGTCGCTACCCATCTCCAGCAATGCGCCGGCGATGGGAACGGCCGTCAGGGTCCCAAAGCTGCCAATCATCACCGCCGTGGAATACACACGACCGTAATCACGGGCGTCGCACAGCTGGCCGATGCAGACGGGGTACAAGCCTAGGTTGCTTCCGGAAGCAAAGCCAAAAGTAACAGCGAAAACGACGATCATGGCGCGCGAGTCACCGGCAGGGAGCCAGAAGGCGAGGATAGTAACGACACACAGCGCGTTCGTTATGGTAATGACGTTGAAGCGGCCGAAGCGGTCCGCTAGGAACCCCGGGAGGAACCGACCGAAGAAGGAGCCGGCGTTTAGAATGGCCAGGAGCGTGTACGCGGCGTTGGCATCCTGGCCGTGGGCGGCGGCGTACGAGACGATGTACGTCAGCGGGGTGAAGATGCCCCACTCCATGAACCAGACGCCGGCGCAGCAGAGGGAGAACTTGAGGTCCCGGAACAGGGACCAGTCCGGCAGGATGCGCACCGGGTGGGTGCTGGGGGGCAGGCGCGAGCGCACGAGCAGGTTGGCCAGGACGGACAGGAACAGCAGGATGAAGCCGATGATCCGCGTGCTCCACGCGAACCCGAGGCGCGGGATCGCCGCCTGCAGGTACAGCGGGAACACGATGCCGCCCACGGACCCGGCCGTCGCCGCGACCCCGACCGCCAGGCCCCGCCGGCGCTTGAAGAAGTGCGCTATCACGCCGTAGGCGGGCACGTTCAGGAGCGCGCCGCCTATGCCTCCTAGGACCGCGTACGTGAGCAGGATCTGGTAGTATTCTATTTATTTTTTTTAATAAAAGTTTAGCATAGGTACATCTCTGTGATACCTAAATTAAATATAAGACAGGGGGAAGGGGGGCTCACCTTCGCACAACCCTAGTATGAGCTGGCTAGCGACAACCAGCAAGCTGCCGGCGGCGACGAGCAGCCTGGGGCCGTGCCTGTCGAAGATGGGGCCGACCTGGACGCCGAAGAAGAAGACGATGAACAGGTACATGCTGAAGATCCAGCCGATGGTGGAGGAGCTGTACCCGGCGAGCTGGTGCGTCGAGAAGTAGGACTCGAACACGGCGACCGAGTTGATCAGGCCGTACAGGCAGATCATGGAGCAGAAGGAGCCGAAGACGACGAGCCAGGCGGCTAGGCCGCCTTCGGGGAAATCTTCATCGTCGTCGTCGTCATCATCACCATCACCTCTATCTGAAGAGGAAGACGACGGCAGATGTGGTGCAGCCGCATCCTCGATGGAGCGGGAACGAGCCTTATTGTGTTTCTCTTCGTCCTCGCGGGAAATGGATTCAGAATTGGGATTGTGGTTGGGATTGGGATTGGAAAGTTGCTTCTTTTCGTCAAGGTACTCCGACGGAGGCGGCGTGACCCCCGTCGGGACAGTTTGATTTATGAGGCAGCTGTCATCTGCATTCTGCGGCGTAATGGTCATGGACGACCTTTCTCGTCTTGTATTATTATACAGTATTTTTTTTTTAAAAAAAAAATAAGTTCAGTACAGACGGTAGTGAATTAGAGTCGACGTGTAAGAGGGACTCGGTGAAAACATAATACCCTATAGATTACTGCCTTAATTACGGGCACTAACCACCTAGGTATATCTGCTAGTCTCTCTCGCGGTCGTTGTCGTTGAAAGAAGGTTAAAATTGGGAACGGGCAAGAATGGGAGAATATCCCCCGTTTATATATAAGGTATTAGGAGGTACCTAGGTAGGTAACCTAGTATAAGTCGGGTTTACCTATAAGTACCGTACTTAAATTATACGACAGGAAAAAAAAAAAAAAAAAACATACTACGTAAGTACGAAGCACGTAAAAAAATAAAGCTGGAGAAGATAACGACGATGGCGCTATAATTTACTAAAATTTCACTAATACGGCAGTCTCGATGTCATACGAACCCACCGGGGACGATAACTGTTACATAAAAGATTCCTCGCGGGTTGGGTAATGTCATACCACCAAACCACCAAACCACCAAACCACCAAACCCACTTATACTCACTTACTCACTCACTTGCTACTCCGCCGGTCTTGCCTTTCAAATTCCTTACCATACACCGGTCTTCCTCCCGCTCTTTCCCGCCCTTGCATTGGTGTAGGTACCTACAATAGTGTATACTACGCTGACTAAAGTGTCACCTTGCGGCTCGCGGGGGAAGGGAGGACCCACGGGCGAGCTGCTGGGTCGATATCGATTTCTCATTTGCCAATGGCAGGTATGAGGTGACCGCTTATAGATAATGGAGCCCCGTGGTCGATGCTATTTCCTACACCCCGTGCCCCGTACTCCGTGCCCCGGGTGCCTACCTGCCTTAGGTACCCAGCCAGCCAAGCAGTACTGCCAGCCAAGATATCTTTTTTTTTTTTCAACGAACTCTCCACAAAACCAGACGAGGGATTGTCCAATTAAAGCCTTTTTTTAAACTGTAAACCTTGATTCGGGAAGCTTACCTTGACTTGGACCGGACCTTGGTGGAACAAAAAGGTGAAGTTGCTAGAGTGCCTATTCTCCGCGCTTGGACAATGTATATTACGGTGAAGCTCTCGTCTTCAGGATTCCCATATTTGGAAAAATACAACATATAGGTACCTCACTCACCTCTGGCAAATAAACACAAAAAGACCACGGGCCAGAACTCCGCAACGTCGGCATCCGGGAAGTCCCGCTGCGCGCTGAAGAAGCATGCTTATTAGGTACGTTAGGTACCTACGTACGTAGTCCTGCGGCGAACTATTACCTTTTTTTTTCTTCTTTGAATACGACCTCGCCAATGGTAACGGTTGGGATTACTTAACTACCTTGCATACACATACGTGCGTACATACATACATTAGGTTAGGCACACATATACATGGCTTATACGGAAGCAGAAAGTATAGGCGATAGGCCTTTAGTTGAGAGGTAAGGGAAAAGGGGATAGAAAAGAAAAAGAGGAGAAATGTTTATTTCCGTGTTCGAGGTTATTGAGTTGGGTTATCTGTTGAGCTTGTTTGAGTGAGTATATTAGCAAGAAGGTGTTCGGGCGGTTGAAACGAGGTTGGGTGGTAAGTGCCCAGGAGCTGAAGATGATGCACCAAGCGTAGGCATCTGTATAAGATATGTTTATTGTGCAAAGGGGTTGACTTGTTATTTTATAATTGAGATAATGATGCGATTAATATCAAAGTCCAAAGGAATATAGATATGAACAGGATATAAACCAAAATGACCATATATATCAATGGTAACTAGTATAAATGTAAATAGTTTTAATGTTGGAGTTGGAGATGGTGCCGTTTTATCGGCTTTAAGAGGTGCGTGCAACACGGACATGATAAGAGTATAAAAATCCCATCTTGATTCCTAGCGCGTATGTAAATGGCTATATTCCGCGTCTAGAAGAAAAGGTAACCCAGTTAGGTTACCCAGTAAGTCAAACTACCTAGAAGCAACGCTATCTAGGTACCTTTGGTACCTGGACCTAGGAGGAGAGAATAACGGGTAGGTAACACCACAAGTAGTAAATTAACGACGTCATAAGGCTTAAGAAAAACAATGTTTACCAAACGACCTTCATTATCGCGATACCGCGTAACTTACATATTAGACTACCGGTTCAAAGGGGGTGTTCATGCATCTACCCGGGCTATTCTCAATCGAAGGTCACGTTTAGTTTAGCCTCAATTCGATTTCCTAGTGTTTGCCAATAACAAACAACCTTTGATTACCAGTAACCAAGTCGAACGTGTTACACATTCGTATAACGATGGCTGCAACCAAGCAATAGCATAACACAACAGCATAGGTACCTATCTCTTATCTATCATTTTCCTTCAAGCTTAGCTTAGCTACCTACCTAGGAGGTATGCGTCGATCCGCCAGCTCGAGAGCCAATCCCTTCTTCATTGCCAACCTCCTCAAGCGTCAGAGTAACCAAGGCATCCAAGTAAGAATCCAGCGCAAGATGAGTTCTAGTAGTAGGAGTAAAATATCTGGGCCGATTCACTTTGGCCCGTTCGAGGTCACGCCCCAGGTAAGTCGGCTTTGTTTATATGTCCGTCCCTAGGTACCTACCTACATATCTCCTAGGTATCTTTATCTCATCTCATAAAAGGTAATTAGTTATATCGCCGCTGAGAAATGAGAAATGAGAAATGAGAATGAGAATGAGAATGAGAATGAGAATGAGATATGAGATATGAGATTCCGATATATGATTGACCTTTTCACTGAACAACAAAGTGTACCTAACCGCACCCCCTAGGTCTTCCTCACAACCCCCCACTCCTTCGCCCTCGTCAACCTCAAACCCCTGCTGCCGGGGCACGTCCTGGTCTGCCCGCGCCGGCCCTACAAGTGGCTCACGGAGCTCAGCGCGCCCGAGATCACGGACCTGTTCTGCGCCGTGCAGCGGGTGCAGCGGATGCTCGCGCGGCACTACTTTTCCTCTTCCCCTCCCTCTTCTTCTTCCTCAAACCATCATTCTTCCTCTTCCCCATCCTCGTCTTCTCGGCAGCAACAGCAGCAGCAGAGACACGACGTCCCGGAAGCAGCCGGTTCGTTCAACATCGCGATCCAGGACGGCCCCGAGGCCGGCCAGACCGTCCCCCACGTCCACGTCCACGTCATCCCGCGCATCCGAGGGTCCACGGCGAAGGAGCAGCCGGGCCCCGGGGACCAGATCTACGAGTCGATGGCGGCGGAGGAGGGTAACGTCGGAGGGGCGTTGTAAGTCTTTTTCTTCTTCTCTTCTTTTTCTTTCTTTCTCTCCATCCTTCCGCCCTTTTTCCCCTAACCGGCTTCCCCTATCCCCCCCTGAAGAGGATTCGAACTTTATAAGCCCCCAGGGAAAAAGTTACGTACTGACAACGACTCCCCCAAAAAGGTGGGATCGGGAACTCAACAACCTGCTCCGGCAACGTCTCGGCAGCCGGCCCGAGCCGGGCGGGAGTTTCCCCAGCATAGAGGACTCGGAGCGGCACCCGCGGACGGCGGAGGAGATGGCGGCCGAGGCGGACGTGTTCCGCAAGGTCTTGGAGGAGATGGGAGAGGAGGATGAAGAGGCCGAAGCTAAGCAATGATTGATTGATTGGTTGGTTGGTTGGTTAGCCTAACGGGAGGGGGGGGCGGGTGGTTGTTGCGATTTCCTTTGCTCTCTAATCGAACCTGGTGCGTTATTGATGAAAATAGGATGCGGAGTTAGTTATGCCTTACGAGACGCAATGTTTTATGTCAAGAGATATGTAATTGAACGATTTCCCCATGAACAGAACACCATACTAATGCGAACGTTACTACTCCCTTGGTCGTTTGCTTTATTATTTACGTCTGGGTAGTCCATGTATATATTTTATCTAGCATCTCTCCCCTTCACCCACTACCTTAGGTACACATGCTCACTATTGCTCCGCATCAAGCAAGATACAATTATAGAAAACACTAATGCGCCTTTACGAAATGGAGAATAGAGTCCTAAACGCAATCAATCATAAAAGGCGCTGGGCTGCATTTGATACATTTGATATGTACCTTAGGTGCCTAGCAGGATAACCATTACGACCTGAACGCCATACGCATGCCCCCTTCCCTCATCCAAAGCCATATCATAAGACCCCCAAAATCATTTACACGTCAACCCCTATCACTATTATTTACCTCTACCTAGGTAGACAAGCCCTTAAGATGTCCACCTACCTATCATAACCCTCTAAGCAGTTCATCCAACGAGATCGGTTTCCTCACGGCATTATTCAGCCCTTCATGAAACGTAACCCAGACCTTAGGCTCGCCCTTCCCAGCCGCCCCGTCTCCGCCGGCCCTGCTCCTCGGCCTACCGTTGACATTGGTCTCCTTCAGAGCGCGGACATCCGCGTTCTCGATGACCCGCCCGAAGAAGTCCTTCTTGACGCCGAGGATGGGAAGCGCCGCCATCTTGGAGCCCTTGTTTTCCTTGTTGTTATTGCCGGCGAAGATCAGAGACGCCTTCTCCTCTGGCGCTGCGGCATGCGGGTCGCCGCCGCCGCCGCCCCGGAAGCGCGCCTGTCGCGCTAGATTTTCTCGCTGCAGTTTGGCTTTTTGTAGTTCTTGATCCAGCACCTGCCGTACGGCGTAGCGCGTCGGGGCTTGCGTGCCGTGGACGACGGCTGCGGACGTTTCAAAGGTAGCGAGGACGTCGAGATCACTAGGTATTAACTTGTCAGTAACCATCTCCAAAAGTTTAACACGAAAGAAATTTCTATACTTACGGTTCCATGCGGTAGACCCACTGAGGGCCTCTACTAAAGGGGGAATCGCTCTCGATCTTCCCCTTTTGAAGCTCAATTCCGACCTCAGCTAGCACGTCAGCGGCCCGCTTTACCATGGCTTTCTCAGTATCTTTCCGGACGCTGGCTGTGCTCCGCTGATCCCCACTACCTCCAACAGCCACGGGTTTCACGTCCGGAGACACCATACGAATAAGATATGGGAGGAAATCAGTGGCAATATCCTCGGGACTGCGGAAAGAGCGCATGAGCGTCGGGGGTAGCTGGGCTTGCATCGCTTGGAGTACTGCGCGATTTTCCTTCTCGGTCTCGCGCGCGACGAAGTCTGCCCTCGGACCCGAGAAAGGCAACGGCGGGGCCTCATCATCTGCATCAGCAGCGCCCCATTTTCTATCGTAAGCTAGATTGGCACGTCGAATGGGCGCTGCGAATAAATGATGACACGCGAGGATAGGTTGGCTAAGATAGGGAACTAACTCCCAGTCTTGGCTTCCGAACAATCTTGACGAACACGTATCGTGGAAATGCATCCATTCGTAGGCGCAGTCCGGTTTAGATAGGAACGAGTCGTCATTGAACTCGTGATTCGGATAGTCTAGGAAGACTTCGGTCATTACTCTGTCCACATCGCCACTGGTTTCGACCATCTGCCTCAGGCGCTCCATTCCATACTTCTTCTGCTGCTCCGAGAAGCCAAGCTGTGCTTGTGGCTGCTCGCTGTGGTGTTTCGACAAAGGAGCTGCGATGAGGACATTATTCTTCGGAAATCCAGCGCCATCTTGGAAGATGCGCGTGACGATATCCCTCACGCTACCACGCCCTATGCCTCTCGCACCACCACCGCCGTGGGACAGATCATGGACAATGTTCCGCTCCACCCATTGCCGTGTTAAACACAGCGGGCCGTTGAGAGATGCGGATCTAACACGACCAGCAACCCATTCACCTACGACCATAATACCTCGTAGATCTCCCTCTGCTGTGCTCTCGGCACCTTTCTTTGCATCTATACCGCTACTCATGCCCCACGCCGCTTCGCATAATTTCCGTGCTGCATCCTTTTCGCAGGGAATGCCCTCCTTTTCAAATACTGTCTTCAGGCGAGTCACAACTGCGTCAATGGTGGGTTTTCCCATGTGAATAATTTCAGCCAGATTCGATTGTCGTAGGGGCCTGAGAGACGGGTGATAGACATCATTGCAAATTAAGATTAGAGGCCGCATTTGACGAAAGTCGTCGCCCTTCTTTTTACGACGCCCCGACTGTTGAGCCGTATTCTCTTGTCCCGATGCATTTTTCTCTCCGATCGTAATCAAGTCCATCAGGGCTTTGATGAAACCACCTTCTCCAGAACCACCAGAGCCGGCCACAACACCGTCAACTTCATCAACCACTACGCACACCGGACGTGCGATCTTCTGTTGTTTTCCACCCTGGAGCTTGTTCTGTTGTATGGTCTTGACGTTTTCCGTCCCTAAACTAGTGCGAATCCGGTTTTTAACAACATCTCGGCTGCGGTCATCACTAGCATTAATCTCCATTACTTCATAGCCTGCCTGCTTGGCGCAGACATGAGCCAGCGTAGTTTTCCCCAGTCCGGGAGGACCAGTCAGCATTAAAATCTTCCGGTGCGGCTTTTCTTCCTCGGCCTCTGCTTTTCCGCCTGGTCTTCTCAGAGTAGACCTCGATTTTGCTGTTCCCGGAAATACTATTGGATCCCATCTCTTTAACCAGCGTAGAACCTGCCTGTTCGTGAGATCGTCGCCAACTAAATCCATAAAGTTCCTCGCACGGTATTTCTCAGTCCATAAAAGCGACTTCTTCGGCTTCTTGACGGCTTCCACGGAAGGCGTCGGTTGGTCCGGTACCGTACTAGAGGCCGGGGGCTTGTTGCTGAGTTCCTTGGAAGCGGCGTCTATTAACTCGTGGATTTCGATGCCGTAGTAACTCCTTTTCGCCCGGCCCTCTTTCGTTTTCGATCGTGCAGCGACTATCCGTTCAAAAGACACACCAGGACCAGCCTTTCGCTGTTTAATGTCGACTATGTTGCCCGAACAGGTAGTGATCTTAAATGTGCTTTGCGCTTGACGAGAGGCAAATCGGTCGAAGATAGAGGATACATTGCTCGACTGAAAAAAAGTGGTCGTTACAGAGGGCTGGCTCCTATTCTCGTACTCTTTCGGCTGCGAAGCTATGACCAAGGATGTCGAACCAACTTCCTCGGTGTTAAAATTTGGAACTGCTAGAGGGGTGGAAGACGGCTCGGTATATCCTATAACTGCTTGATCGCTGGGACTACTAAGCATTCGTTTTTTGGTTGCTGGCTCCTGTAGCAAATCATCGTCGTCGGAGTCATCGTCAACGAGGAAGCCAGTCTTCGCACGAGATCGAGGGTTTGGATCGGGATGAGGTTTCGTGCGCTTTACTGCTGCTGCCACTGGAGAGGAGCTAGCAGGATAAATAACGGGAGACGAGGCGGATATCATATTTGACGACCCAATTGAGTTATCCGCAGGTGATACCTTTAAAGGGAAATGTTGGGTGTGAATGGTGGAATTGAATTGTCAATAAATGTAAGGTACAGTATTGAAGACGCGTGAACGCGTTCCGATGCGCGTTTGGTGGGGCAATTTCAATTTCAGTTTAATCAATTTAATCAATCAAAAGTGCAATACGGTTTACATAAGGTTTAATACCTAACGTATTGTATCACATTGTATCGTATCGTATTGTACAAATACGTATTGTACTGTACTTCAATTGAAAACTAACACAATTTCTCATTCAACGCGCCAAAATGCTCCCGTCTTACCTAGGTAGACAATTGAACTCATAATATCAAGATATCGATATCGACCCAAATAATGGACCTTTACCAGGTATATAACCTAGTAAGATTATTGAAAGTGAAACTGAGGTTAGATGCTATAGTTTCCTATTGGACAAAGTTAGCTAAATACCAGGTACTGAATGTAAACCGTACCTAGGTAGGTAGGTAATAGCTAATAGCTAATAGATAATAGGCAATAGATAATGAGGAATGCTAAGATGTAGAAACGAGATAACATACCGCGTGCCTAATAAACACATCCTGGAACTCTTCCCAGCTCAATCCTTCATTACCCAGTCGCTCAGTCGCGGTCATCAACTCGGTACCATTTTTGCCAAGCATTTGAAGGAGGGTTCGGACCTTTGCGGTCGGAACATGAAGATCGGTTAGATCGTATGGATGATGTGGTAAAAGCGGCAAGGCAAGTTTGTACCCTTCTCGTAACGGGTCCACTCCCCTAAAATGTTCAGGAGCCCAGGGGACGTTACCCGGGGCATACTCCGAAAGGACGTCTTGGATATCTACCGTTCGCTCGCTCTCCTTCTCTACGATAACGACTTGCTGCTCTGCAGTCCTGCGGCCGAAGTCTTCCTCAAAGTCTTCTTCAGGACTCGGCATGTTCGGCCGTTGTTGGGTCATGAAGAAGCGAGGCACCAGAATGGTCGTCTCGTATCCTAATATTGTATCGTTTGGGATCGCGAGACTTCGAAACAACCATCTAATGTAATCGCTGGTATCTCTAAGACGAATTAAAACGAACTGACCGGAATATGGTCCCCAGCTCCCGTCCATACCGTCGTGCTCAACGCGTGGATAGTTGTCTAAACTGAGGTACTGTAAGTGGCTATGCGCCAACACACTTACGGCACGAGTAAAGGCCATTTCGTCTATACAAAGCTCTCCAGAGGAATCATGTATTGGCGGGAAAGGGAAGAAGGCATTCCAGACAAAGATATCAAACAACAACGCTGGAAGTCCTGGGGACCCGACGGGCGATCTTTCCTCGAAGAAATGCATGAACTTGCTCTGCGACAGATCTGTATGACGCTTGACTGTCAGTCGTAAAAATCGAGGAGGCCCCAAATGAAAAAAAAAAAAAAAGGGATTACCCGCATCCAGTTCTGGGATCGCATAGTTGGTAGAAATATTGTCTTATATCCTCTTCATGACCTACAAAGTATCTTGTAACGTGCTTTGTATATCTCCTATATATGGCATCTGAAACGAATTAGAATTCACAAGAATCTTGCCGTAGGGACATATGTCTCACGTACCTTGGGTCATATCGCCATGATTTATGTGAGCTAGGACTCTGAGATTGGTGTCACGCCGTCTGTCGTTGAGTCCGAACTTCTCGTAGCTCTCAGCGCTTACGATGGCATCCGGTTCGATCCACGTGTTCATGAACACTCTAGACATAACGCCAAAATCCAGATCCATTGATGGCGTGGGTATGAAAAGTCACTGAATCACGGTTGGTGTAGTTGGTCTGTTGCAAACGGCATGTTCAATCCCACAGCCTGATCTACGGTGCGGTGTTGGTAAGACGACATGCACCGTATTAAACAAATGCTGCTTAATAGAATATATTTCCGATGCTATATACTGCTATCCATCCTGAATTGATATATGACATATAACTAAAATACCGAATCATGCGTTTTACTTGTTATGGTAGCGAAGCCAGACCTCTTATAATCTCAATGATGGGTGAGAGCTGAGTTAGTATATGCAACATATATACTCGCTTTAGATCACTGATTCGACTACTCAAGGAATCATTTAAACATCCAGAGAACTCATACGAATTAAAGTACAGAATCTTCCGGCAAAAGGCCATTCCTCCATCTCATCGCCGAGCGCTTATTGGCCCAGGCCAACACGGCATCGTAGTCAACGCATTCATGCTTCGAGCCCCAGCCCGGCCCATACTCCGATTCCCCCTCCAAATTAGTATCCGCGGAACACATGATAGACTGGCGCAGGTAGTCGAAGCAATGCGCCGAGTGGTGGGCCACCTCCTCCGTTAATTCGACGCCGGCGTATCCCTGCTGGTAATGCTCGACGATATACGACAGGCAGTGAAGCTGGTGGAAGACGGACATCATGTACGCGGGCCCGTCGGACGTTCGGTTGATGGCTACCGTGTGCGGCTTTCCGAGGATGTCGTAGGCCTCGTAGTCGGGGATCTGGACGTAGCCTCTAGCATCTACGGATTACCAGCGTTAACAAGTCACATCGTGGGGTAACTACCTACATGATCGGCTCATCTACATACCTGCGCTGAGAGGAATCCAGTTATGAAGAGTGTGGAGGGTGTCGTGTTCGTCGAAGAGCATGTCGTCGCGTACGTACTTGGGATCCGGGAGGAACGTGTATATCTTTCGGGGAACTTTGAAATGCCTATAATCAGGGATATGTCGCTACTGCAACATCATGGCTATCGGCGGACACATACAATTTGGCACGGGGGTTTGTTTGCCGTCAATCCGTTGGTAAACCAGATTGCCTAACAACAGTATTATGAGGGCTCCCATTATAACCTCCATCGCAAGCCGCCAGTACCGCGTTTCCCTACGAGAGCCTCGTGCTCCCCGGGACCAAACAGTATCCTCCTGTGGAGCGCCCGGTGTAAGAAACGCCTGCTCTTCCTCGTTATCGTTTTCCTTGGTGGTAGCCATGGTGCAAGCGCCGTGACAATTCGCGACGCGGGCAAGGTAACGATTAGTTAGAACTTAGTTCCAAACGTTCTCAAAGTATGAGTTCATGAAATGAGAACAGGGACGATAACAGTTTACCATGTGAACTCAGCGCCGAGCGATACATTGCTTGGAGCTTATTAGCCAGTGTTGAATTTGCCTAAATAGGAAGTCTTTCTTTCGATGTTCCGTTCCAGGTTGGGTTTAGGAGGTGGCGGGGCTTATAAGTGATCTAGAGTTGCATTGACTTGGATGATTCAGTGTTTACAGAACTGAAAAGGACTTGTTTAGGTAGTTTAGTTATTAGAGGATAATTATAAGCAGATGTCTGGTTTGAAGTAGTTGCTGTATATTGTTTAGAGATAAGTCGTTGACATCTCAATCTTCTCAGTTCTGTCGGCGCAGTTTCTCTGAAATCGCCTGATAGTTCAGTAATGTTGCACCAGCTATAGAAAGGAAGAGATCTGGTCAAGACTTAAATCTCTAATTCGGTAGCCAATATCACTGTTTAATAACTTTAATATTACGGACCGAGACAGGTTATCGAGTGTATGCTGTACTTGGCTTAGCACACTTTTCATGAGCAATGGCTTCACGATGGAATCTCCAATGCATTCCATCATAACTCATTCAATATATATATCTTCTTCTACATGGGCTATGGAAGTTGAAATCTTTCGCAACTGATCATTAGCGCTTTCACCCTATTAAGTCTTATGAAAGTCTGATAGTAATAGGTATCGTATATTTACTCGTATTACATATATCGGCTGTTTCCCAGTACGCAAGCAAGAAGGTCCCAGCATACCAACGACTTGGTTGACCAAGTGAACCCTGAAGACATGGAAACAACTTCGTTGTCCTACGAAAAGCTTTACTCTAAGCTATAAAAGCTTGCGGGTATAAGCCTAGTAAAGACCCTTTGTTCTAAATATACTGCCAGGGTCTCTAATTCATATCCTGCCATTCAACAATTTTCTTCTCCAGAAAATAAAAAGCTCCTAGAGGTTTGAGTATGTCTACTCTCATCACCTAACCAACATCGAGAGAGACTACCAAATAGCAGGCGAGATAAAAGTTAAGTTGAAGAATGCATTATTGGGAAATTAAATCATATGAATCATAAAATATGTATGTATAGCATATATGCGATTATGAGATTTAAAGAGTGGAGACGTCATTTGAATTTCCCGAGATTTTACCGGGGTTCCTGTTTGTTCACCTGCAGCTTTTATCGCAGTTCCCAGGTTCGCGCCAAGACTTTTTATCATCCGTCGCCTTCGCAACAAGGAATTTCCAACAAGGCTGGCCACCTCAAATCATCCACCATCTTACCTGGTAACATCTACAGCCGCAACCTTTTCCAACCTAGAATCTCGAATCTCGAACGTGAACAAAAACACAGGATGCCGGTGGTAAAGGGAGGAGTGTGGACTAATATCGAGGATGAAATCCTCAAAGTTTCCGTTTCCAAATATGGTCTGAACCAATGGGCGCGTGTCTCCTCGTTGTTACCGCGAAAGACACCCAAACAATGCAAAGCTAGGTGGAACGAATGGCTCGACCCCAGCATCAAGAAGATAGAATGGAGCAAGGAGGAGGACGAAAGGCTACTTCACCTGGCCAAGTTGATGCCAACCCAATGGCGAACCATCGCTCCTATCGTCGGCCGCACCGCGAACCAGTGCTTAGAACGTTATCAGAAGCTTCTCGATGAAGCCGAGCAACGAGAAGCCTCCAGCCTTGGCCTAACGGGTCCTGAAGGCGGCGAGACTCAAGCTCCTACAGCCGACGACGTACGAAGACTGCGACCAGGCGAGGTTGACCCGGATCCCGAAAGTAAACCTGCGAAACCCGACACTATCGATCTCGATGAGGACGAGAAGGAGATGCTGAGCGAGGCGCGTGCCCGCTTGGCGAATACACAGGGAAAAAAGGCTAAGCGAAAAGCTCGAGAGCGCCAACAAGAGGAATCGCGTCGACTTGCTGCTCTACAGAAGCGCCGAGAACTCAAGACTGCTGGTATCAACATCAAGGTCGTTACACGCAAGAAGGGCCAGATGGATTACAATGCGGATATCCCATTCGAGAAAGCACCCGCACAAGGTTTCTACGACACTGCGGAAGAGCAGATTCGAAACGAGAAGCAGCGAGCTGCGTTCGACCCTCGGAAGCAGCAGCTTGCGAACAAGCGGAAAGGCGAACAGGATGACGAGGCCGAGAGGAAGAGGCGGAAGAATGATAAAGACGCCCCCTCAGCTTCCATGCAAGCTGCCCTGAAGGCCGGGCAGATGCAGAGGATCCGAGAGGCAGAGCAAAGTAGCAAGAGGCGGGCGCTTGTTCTTCCATCTCCCCAAGTCAGCGATGGCGAACTCGAGGATATAGTTAAGATGGGCATGATGGGCGAGCGAGCGAACCTCCTGGCTCAGGCTAGCGAGAACGACGCGACTAGGGGATTAGTGAACACATACTCTACCCTGAACTCACAAACGCCGATTCGAACGCCCATGGCTCCGCCGCAGGAAGATCGAGTTGCCAACGAGATACGAAATATTCGAGCTCTTACAGAAAACCAGTCAGCATTGCTAGGAGGCGAGAACATCGACCTCCAAGATGGAGCCGGTTCAACGGGCTTCGAAGGTGCTACCCCTCGAAAGCAAGTAATATCGACCCCTAACCCCTTAGCTACACCCCTACGTACTGGCATGAACGAAGTCGGTGCTACACCTAGAAGGCCCGGTCAAACGCCACTACGTACTCCCAGAGACAGCTTCGCGCTCAACGCTGGTGATGGGGACATGGCTATGGTAGGAGGATCGACTAATGACGTGCGACTCCGAGAGCTAGCGATGAAGCACCAGCTTAAGCAGAGCCTTGCTTCCTTACCTAAGCCAAAAGAAACGGAATGGGAGTTGGAGATACCTGAGGATCAACGAGAGGTTATGGCAGTGGAAGAGACTGAGGAAGACGCTGCGGAGCGAGATCGACGAGAGCGAGCTATCCGAGAGGCTCAAGAACAACTAGAGAGGAAGAGGCGGACTCAAGTAATGCAAAGGGAGTTGCCACGGCCGGAATCTGTCAACTTTGAGGCTCTGATCCAGCAAGCATCCTCCATCACCGACCCTATTGAGGCTCAAATCGCCAAGGAGGCCGCTTTGCTTATCGCGAATGACGCTGTGAAATTCCCCGTCCGGGGCTCGAAATCTAGCGCCGGTCCCACTCGAATACAGCAGATTGATGACGCTTCGCTGGCCGAGGCGAGACTCAAGATCCTTATGGAGGTTAACACTAAGCCCAAGCCCGAGGAAATCCAGGCAACCTGGGAGCAGGAGGGCAGCAATGCGCTTCTCCTCGGGCTGGGCTGCTACGAAGATGACGATGACGAAGAGCAGGTGGCGGCTATGAAAACCGCTTTTGATGTGAGTACTCTAGCAACATGACCTTGAATTTTGGGCCCCCTTTGATAACTTCTTATAAACTAACGATTTCCACACACAGGCGGTTCAAGACTCCACGATGGAAATCGTAGAGAAATGCGCTAAGCTCGAGAAGAAACTAACCCTCCACTTGGGAGGTTATCAGCAGCGGGCTAAGACTCTCCGCGCCAAGATGGGCGAAGCGTACGACGCCTACGAGAAGGCCAACTTCGCCCTCAGCGCATTCAAAACGCTAGCCGTGTCGGAGGAGATCGCCGCTAGGAGTCGGCTGGAGGCTTTGAGAGAGCAGGTCGGCTTCGTCAGCCGCAGGGAGCGCGAAGCGCAGGAGGCGTATCGCCAGACTAAGGAGGAGCTTGACGCTTTAATGGACGGCGGCGGCGTCAACGGCTATCATTAATTAATTTTTCACGCGAAAGAATAAGGCGAGGCGGGGCGGGGTCGAACGCATTTCGCATAGATTGTACATTATTTAGGCAACGCATGAGTTGCGTATTAACTATGACTGACTACTGGCTGCGGGATAATGGGATAGCAGAAACGTCGAGGGAAAAAGGGGTCCCCCTCTCCCCAGATTACGTAGATGGCACAGCATTTATTTAGCAACAGGATACCTATAACTAACTCAGTTGACTTATTGTAAACCCGGATTTTCAAGCCAGCTCAGCAGCTAACAGGTAATGAATAAAAGGAACTTGGAAGGGATTTCTTCAAAACGCCCTGTATACCAGGTAGGTAGAATATGAATGATAATAAATGCTGTTGAATAGGTATGAGAGAGACGCTGATAATGCTAACTCCCCTTTTCCTCTATAATAGGTACCTATCTTAACTCTCTTTCTCAATGAATCTATTCGTTTGGGCGTGACAGGTCCGTCCCTCGACAAGAATAATGCTGCTCACTTCGCTTTACTTACCGTACCCAACCCAACAAACCCCAACAAAACCAAGTCAATTAATACCCATCCATCCATTCACTCATTCCATTCCATCCCATCCCACTAACTTACTTCCTCCCCCCCAACCGCGGCAACCGAACCCTGCAAACCAACAAAACGCTCACGAGCGCGAACCCCACGAGGAACAGGAACGTAAGCCGGATAGCGGCCTCGTAGCTCGCGACGACCTGGTCGCGGGCGGGGCCGGGGGGCAACTTGGCGACGGCCTCGACGCTCTCGCGGACCCTCTCGACGAGCGCGCGCTTCCACGCGGGGCCGCCGTCCCCGGGCGGGGTGGCCACGTACAGGGCCAGGTAGGTGCGCAGGGCGTTCTGCATGACGAGCGAGGAGGAGGCGACGCCGAGCACGCTGCCGAGGGCGCGCCAGAGCACGAGGGTCGAGGTGACGACGGCCTGCTCGCGGTGCTCCGAGGCCGCGAGTACGGCGAGGAAGGTCCCCGGGAACTGGAACCCCTGCGCCGCGGACGTCGGCACTAGGCATAGCAGGTAGGCGAAGGTGGGCCAGCCGCGGCGCATGCAGGCGAGCAGCGCCGTGCCCGAGAGGTACAGGGAGGCGCCGAGGACGAGCGGCCACTTGAGGCGGCGGGTATGCGAGATCAGGAACCCGGTCAGGGTGCCGGTCGCGCTGGCCGTGGCGAGGGGGACGACGAGGTAGAGCCCCGACGTGGTGGCGCTGGTGAGGAGGACGGCTTGGAAGAAGAGCGGGCTGCGATTTAAGTTTTTGATTAGACGTTTTTTTCTTTTTTTTCTTTCTTTTCTTTCTCTTGTTTTCTTTCTCTTTTTCCTTTCCATTTGCTTCTCTCTCTTTCACAAATCCACAACTTGCAGGTACTTTTTGGTATCATACAGGTATGAGGTACCTATGTAATTACCTGTGTGATGTACTCGTGACAAGAGGGCTTTGAGATGCGTAACTGGAATCCAAAGCAATATGGGATAAGGAAGAGCTTTTGGGAGATAGGGAAAGACTTACGTATTGAATAAGATGGCGTTGAGTAGGAAGGAGGCGATGAAGTTGGCGAAGATGATATTGGCTCTTGGAGAGCGTCGTAAGAGTTCTAGGGGCATGATAGGTCGTTCGTGCTTCGATTCTACGTATAGGCATGCCGGGAAGGAGACGAGGAAGATGATAAGAGATGCGATAATGAATGGATGTAACCCTTTCACCTGTGTTAGTCGATCTTACTAGGACATTTCCTTTTTTTTACCTTGATAGATAGATAGTAATGTTACTTACAAGGCAATACATTGCCTCCGAGATTCTACACAGTGAGGGTTAGCAGATATACCCTAGGTAATTATACCAGAAGACGCAAATTATTACGTACAATACCCAAGATCAAAAACGTAGTAGACGTGGTTAGTAGGATCGACCCCTTGAAATCGAACGTCTTCATGCCCTCTCTAAAAGTCTGGTGCTTGTCCTCTAGACCGAGATCGCCGGGGATGCCATAAGAAGCCACGACGAAACAGAGGATTATGGGGAAAACCTGGATGCCGAACTCCCAACGCCAACCGAGACTATCCGCCATAAGTCCTCCTAAGGCCGCGCCCAAGGCAGCAGCTAGACCGTAGACAATGTTCACATAGCTCTGGTATGCACCTCGACGTCTTTTGTTCTGGTTAGTTTTCATATACCTCTTACGCTATATTCGTGTCTCCTTTTTTTCTTTTTTCTTTTTCTATAACTGTTCGACTTCAACAATAACATAAAAAAAAGGGGGGACGTACTCGATCGGCACCAAATCACTGATAATAATGCTACCCATGCCCAGCACGCCTCCAGCGCCAAGCCCGCACGCGGCTCGCGCCAGGATGAAGCTCGTCATACTCTGTGCGAGGGCGCACCACAGCGTCGCGACCGCGAAGATGGCCACCGCAGCCAAGTAAGGCGGCCTCCTGCCGATGGTATCGGAGAGCCTGCCAATAACCGGTTGGAAAGCCGTGCTCGTCAGGAGGAAGGCGGTCGACAGCCAGCTGGCGCTATTGGAGCTGCGGAAGTAACTCGTGATGACAGGGTGCGAGGACGCCATCTAGCAATTTCTCGTAGTTAGCTTTTCTGATCCTACCGTTTAAATTGCTTACTTCGCCACCCCTCATCTCGCCTTTCTCTCGAGGGTTAAAATAATGGACTCGTTTCTTGTTCTTAACTTACTACGAACTGTTAGCTATCGCAAGCGAAAAAGAAAAAGAAAAAGAAAAAGAAAAAGAAAAAGAAAAAGAAAAAGAAAAAGAAAAAGAAAAAGAAAAAGAAAAAGAAAAAGAAAAAGAAAAAGGAAAAAAAAAGAGGTATTATGAATAACAACTCAAGGGAAGGAAAGCCAAGGTAATTTTTAAAAATACGCACCAATAGTCCCGTCAAAACACGCAATAAAATGCGTTAGCATAATACTTAGAAACACGATCCCGAACCTCTTCCGGTCCGTATCTATCAAGTACGCCGGCCGGGGCTTACTCGCGAGGCCCTCTACATCAGCAGCCTCGAGGTCAGCGTCGACATCCTCATCATCCTCATCCTCATCCTCGTCCTCGTCCTCGTCTCCGCTAATGACATTCGACAGCGAGCTGTCGTTATCAGCCTGGCCATGGTGACCCGAAAGCAAGGGCCGCGGCGACAACGACAGCGGCGCGCGAACGGCGGCGGCGGCGGCGGCGGCGCTGGTGGTGGTGGTGGTGGAACTCTGAGGAGGATGATGAAGGCGGCGACGACGGCGACGACGACTAGTAGGTCGACGCATGGAGCTCCTGGATCGGCGACGCCCCCGAAGCATGGCTGACTCGAAGGACTCGGGCGCGAGGCCCGACGCCCCCGACGTAAAGCTGCGCGCCACCAGCAGGTCGGACTCGTTCGGGTCCAAGTCATCATCTCCGCTTTCGCTTTCGTCCTCGCTGCCGCCACTATCATTATCATCATCGTCGTTGTAGTAGCCACCCCCGCTTTTAGTTTTCGTTCTTTTCCCATTGCTTCTTCCCTCCCGATGAGGAGGGATCGCAATGGGACTTAGCTGTTCTGTTCTACTATTACCATTATCATTATTGTTGCTATTCCCTAGCAGAGCCGTTCGCTCCGTGATAGGCTCAGGAGCCTCGCCATGGTTACTCATCTTTTTTGGGTTTTTTTTTTCTGAAGAGCAAGTGGATGAGCGAATACCAAACGGTAGGCTCGGGATTTTGATTCCAGTGACTGTTTTCTTCAAAATCGAAGTATAGCAGCTAGTAAAAGGGAATTTCTGGGGCCGTCTTGACTGACCCACACACAGGTAGATCCCAACCGGGGGGGGGGGAGAAGGTCAGATCAGATAATCCCCGAGACCTTCCTAGTCACAACAAGGCTAAGTAGGTATGTTTTGAAGTTAGGGACACTTATATGTACCTAGATATAAGTGAGCTCAGCAACTAGTTGATATTGGACATCAAGAAAAAGACGATATTCTCAAAAAATAAAATAAAGTAAAGTAAAATAAAATAATTAGGTAGTATGCTAGATACCTCTCTTATAGCCAAAAGCGTAAGAGAACCATGGCTTATAGGAGATATATAAGTTGACAATTTCTAAGACAGAGAGAAAGAAAGAGGAGGAGGAGGAAGCGAGTTAGTCGGTGAGAGAAAAGAAAAGAAGAGGAATAAGAAGAGAGGGTGAGAGAAAAAAGTCTATGGCAGGTGGAACTACATAGGTATGTAAATGGATCTCGACGACTACCTCCTCCTCCTATGTAGGACCTGACCTATGTAAGAGGTATGAGGTAGCTTAGCTATCTCGGAGGCAAGCATTATTGTTAGTTATCTATTATGAACACCGTATGTATGTACCTACCTAACCTACATACTAATGATAAGAATAAATACAGACGCAGTCCAGTCCCCCTTAACTGTACCAACTCCAACCCCAAAAAGCAAAACCAAACCAACCCACCTAAACCGTGGGCTTTTTTACACGCGTTGCTACTTATGTAGCACGAAATGCACACAAGGTGGACAGGTGGACAGGTGGGGAGAAAAAAAGGTGGGAAAGACGGTGGAACTTCTCTTGGGGGTGAACGAACGGACAAGTTCGGTTTGGGAGGTGAGAAAAAAAAAAAAAGCAGTTGCAGCAGATCGTTTCCGAAACTATGCGGGGAACCGTTCGAAGCCCGCGCCCGATCCTCGGTCTCTGAGAAGTTATGTGTGTGTTATGTGAGGTTAGATGTGTATGCGTATGTCCATATGCGTATATTTACTTCCTGTGGCCCCCCCAAAAGTACCTAAGGTTAGGGGGTAGTTTTGTCCCGCGTGACTATTATTCTTAGGTATTCCACCCTTCGGCGGTAAGAAGAAACAACCTCCCCCCCCTTTAAAATCCCCTCCAAGGTGTTTTTAGATACTACTTCGTCCAACTATATTATATTTATCAGTTAATCTCCAGATTTTCGAAATTCTCGTACTCGTAATGCCCCTTTTTTTCTGTCAAGTTTTCTTTAGGTGGAAAATATGAAACTGGCGTAACTGAAAGAAAATTGAAACTTCAATTGCCTTTTTGTTGATCACGCCAACTTGGCCAATATTCATGGTAATAAGCCACATCGCGTGCTCTCCGAGACGGATCTTGTCAAAGTATAAATATGAATGTTATCCATATCTAGCGCAAAAGATTACCTTAGGTACCTAATATATCGCAAGTGCGTACCTATGCTGCTTGCCATGATATGCAGCCGTCATATGTATGGTATTCCTTTCCCCATGGTAGTGCGAACATATGCCTCTCCAAACTCCAGGACCTCCAAAATATCCCTAGTCTAGCTATATTATGATTGTTAAGGTCCTAGACATCGATGTCTTTGGACTTTGCCTGAGAGGCACCACACAATACGCCGGCTCCAGTAATGCCGCCGTCGTGACATGGGCTCATAACAACTCTTATAGGAGCATCCTTGCAGAATTCGGCTTCAATTATCGAGTCGAGGAACTTTTGGCAATCTGCTAAGTAGTCCTGGAAATGAACGATGCACCCACCCGTGTATCCAACTACCAGCTCTACCTTTGGCTGTTGCCCTGTCTTGGCGGTATGATTGTTGGGTTGATCTTGGAACGGCTCTCGAAGGGGAATATCTCCTGCGCAAGCAAGCAAGCCAATTACACCTGCCGCAATAATAGCAGCAGCTCTGACTTCGATAGCCTTGGCTATCCTGTGTAAAACATCCGCAATTTCTTCTGTCCACCGAAAGGGTGCCTTTGCAGTCGATGCTGGGAATTCCGCCTCTAGTTTCTCCAGCAGTATTTCTGCAACTGGAGGACGGAAATGACTAAGAAACGTGGTCGTGAGGCCGAATCGTGTTAGAAGCCGCGGCGGCAAAGTATCTGAGGGGATATTGATGTGGTTCTCGAGATAATCTAATAGCATTAGCCGCCCAAGCTCGCCCAGGTATCTACCGGCTGTCATGTATTCAAGGGGTTGAAATCCGGGTGCCTCGCCCTCCGAGTCGAGCTGCGTGTCCCACCGGCTGATCAAACCAAACTTTCGTAGAGCTGGTGCTGTTCCGTTAATACTCCATTCGGTATTAACTGCAATTCTCATATCATCGGTTGAGTCTTCATCTAAAACTTTGACTTTGCCCGGTTGCTTCTCTTTGTGGAGAATGCTCCTCTTAAGGGGTATCGTCGCATTGCTGCCGGTTCCACAGATAAGTCCCATCGCCGCCTTATGGGTTTCATCCTCTTTAGATTGGTAGATGAAGGAGACTAATGTCGCAACCGAGTCGTTTAGGATAGCCGCGACTTCGATAGGAGGCAAATCTGGAGTCTTTGATTTCTCGTAGCCGTTGACTAGATGAGTCCCAAGCTGTAATCTCGAGGTGATAGCGAATCCTTTCCCCATCGCCATCAGTGTAGCGTCGGCTAAAGTCTCCTGTACCATTGGAAAACTGAACGTAACTCCCATGGGAAGCGCTCGATCTCGAGCCAGGCCAAATTCGTGACACCCTTCTCGCACAACCTCTGCAATGCAAGCTCCGATCCATCTGAACAGCGAATCGGCGTTCTCATTTTTGAGCACATCCGAGATTGGCCACGATTTCTCGAGTAATCGACGGATGTTGGACAACGGCTTTCCGTTTGGAGTCACTATATCACCATTGGTACGATCGCCATTAATGGCCCTCTCGTTTCCAAGCAGCTCGATAAAGCCAACCCTTAAGTTACTACCACCGCTACACTAGCCGTTAGTCAAAGCTATCGGGTACGGATAGATTACCTATATAGAAAGTATATATTTAGTAAATACGTACATATCAATAGCTAAGTATCTATACCATGAATTAGCTTGACGGTCGAAGCCAGGTTGAACTTATAAAAAGGTATTGGTGAAAGCATTGGTGGGTAAGATTCAGTGGTAACGTACCGTCCTTTTTCCCTACCTGCGGTGGGCCGTAATATTGACTCAGATATAGGTGTTGGCAGGAATTGGTTTAACGAGTTCGCAGATAGGTTCTGAAATGTTCGGTAGAACTCAAGCGATAACGCGTGCACCTTTGCCTCATCAACGGCTAGGGGAGCGAGGAAGTCTTCAACGTCAGACTTCATATTTGCGATTGGCATACCCATGGTTTTGTTGGTGTTCTGAGCTGTTGAAATGAGGTACCTAATAAACCGCAATTATATGTTTTGTGTTTTGTTTTTGTGTGTTTGTGCTTGTGCTTGTGTTAGTATTAGTATTAAGTAGTAGGGTATCTTCGTGATGACGTCGAGGTCATCTCTACAATAAGTTGTGAAAGTGAGAGTGAGAGTGAGAGTGAGAGTGAGAGTGAGAGTAAGAGCGACAGTGAAAAGACTGGGGTACGCTTAGTCGAATTAAGAGGGAACACAAAGCTATGGTAGAATTTTCCTTGGGATGTACGGAATACGAGAGATACGAGAGCGGGAAACGGAAAGAACGTAGGCTTTAATAGAAAAACAGAGAAATAGAAAAATGGCAAGTTTCAAATGTTCGAAGGAGAGTTTGCGAAGATCGGCTTCACATATTCACGACTAAATAATGATACGAGTATGTGTCTGTATTGTACCTAACCTAGCATTACCTAGATGAGGTAGGTACCTGTAGTAGGCATGTAAGGTAGTAACAGGTAGTAGGCATGTTCGATCTTCCAGTTCGCAGGTGGTTTCAAGTGACTTGATTCCAAGAGGGTAAGAGTCAGAACGAACTACCGAATCAGCGGCTGTAGATTTCTAGAAACGTTACAGTTGCAGGGATATTGATTGGGTACCGCGGTATGTTAGTGGGCTATAATGGGCTATGATGGACTTATAATGGCTGAAAGTGGGTAAGGGACATCTTCTAAAGTACCTCTAATCTAGGTACCCGTGGACCTGACTTGGTTCCATGTATCCAACTTCTAGGTATGCAGGTAAGGGACTGCGAAAATATGTGTACAATACAAAGGATGATAAATTTAGATGAAAAGCAATAATGTCGAAACATGAGACCATCGCTCCCTAAGACATACCGGACAAATCGCATGAAATAGGTAAGTCAGTGGTAACGTTGAACGGCCTTACTCAATCCTGACTGGGATTTCGAATGGTGATGTGTGGGTTAAAAAAGGGTGAGAATTCCCAGGTCTACCTAAGGTAATCAGGTTTCGTGGTCCAGTCCGAACTCGTAATGGGAGATCTACTAGAAGAACTTAACCGGGATAACGTGCATGTACTTTAGGTACCTCCTTCCAGTATGGACCTCTATCATAACATCAAGGAAGACTCGTCAGCCCGTCTGAGGCAGCTGCGCCAACATTACGTAGTACAATACAATACAAGGTACACTACCTCTTATACCCCGGACATTACCTATAGGTCCCTTTAGTTTAAGTCAGGTCAGCTGCTGCTACCTTACAGCTTTTACCTAAGTGTATTACCTATACTTCGTACAAGTAGTAGTAGCTGCTTCCTGTAGCTTTCTTCCTAGGTACTGCAAGTGCTACAGATGGAGGGCTGCTACCGGACATTAGGTGGGTTTCATCAGCCACATCGATGGATGTGACCTGCGCCCCACGTTTCCAGATCTCTTAGTGCAAATCACTTGTCCTCCGACTCGGCCCAGTTAGAGCACCTATGTAGCTCCCAGTTTGTTTGCGCCCGTGCCCACCCGGTTACATGAGACCGCGGGCAAGAGATAGGAGGCTCTTCGGGAACCACACCCCCCAAGAATTTACCTAGGTACCTAACCAGTTAGTAATTCAAAATCGGTCCCATGCCTGGCGGTGGTCAACAATAAACAGGTACCTTAACTAACATTCCTTCCTAAGACCATCGTGACTTGATTTCGCCATTCCCACCGTCTAATAATAGCAACGTCATTATTCACTTTTATTGCTTTTATTGCTTGTTACTATTGTTTATTTTTTTTATACGAAATGCAATCTTTGAGCATTGTAGCATCATAGTAATCACGTTGTTTTGCTAGTCTTGAGATAAATTAATAACAGGCACCCCTATCATAAGAACGAAACTAGAGAAACATGGCTTCTGCCAAGGTCAGCCTTCCGATAATGGAGGAGAAGCCGCCGATGCGAAACCGTTGTCGACGTCAACGCCGACCGATCCTTGCAATCACCCTCATCGCCGCATCCTTCTGTGCATTTTATACGGTATTTTTTAACCATGCCCTATCCGCATACGCCGGCATGTTCGTCCCGGGGACCTCCCGACCGGAGGCACCGACCTGTTCATCGACGACGACAGACTCGGAGCTCATCCCTCTAGAGGCGCACATAATGAGCAAATGCCCCGACGCTAGGGATTGTCTTAGAGACCTAGTGCTGCCAGCTATGATGCGCATAAACGACAAGGTCAACTTCACATTGTCGTACATTGGGACGCCGACGGAAAATGACGGTGTCGACTGTAAACACGGCCCCGCCGAGTGCCTGGGCAATATCATCGAACTCTGCGCGCGTAACCTATACCCAGACCCCAAGATCCACCTCGGCTTCACCATGTGCTTGACAAAGGATTATAAGATGATCCCGCAGCGGGAACTGGTCGAGGACTGCGCGCTAGAACACGCTATTGACTTCGAGAAGTTGAATGATTGCGCCGCAAGAGATGACGGGGCTATTGGCATGGCTATGCTAAGGGAAAGCGTCCAGAGGAGTGCTGATGTACGTTCTAACGTGGCATTATTAGAAATATTATATTGGCTGACTGGTAAATCTATCTAGGCGGGTGTTACAAAGAGCTGTACCGTTCGGCTTAATAACGAAATATATTGTATTCGCGACGATGGGAAGTGGACCGACTGTACCAGCGGACCGGCCGTCAACGACCTTGTCATCGCGATTGAGAAGCTTTACGGGCGTTCTTGAGTGGCTCATAAATCTCAGTCCACAGATCCGACGCCTCCCCTACCGTGTAACCTATCGAGATACTGTCCAACCCAACCTCTCCATCTCCCGACATCGACTCGAGTTGTTCGATGATACTGTCTAACCCAATCGCTTTCCCGACCGACTGGGTAGAAGTCGCCTCAAGCATGACGTGAACGACGTGGATATGGAAATGGTAATAGGTTGGGTGGTAATGAACAAACAATTTCAGCTGGTCCGTATCGATCTGCGGATATGTCTTCACCGTGGCTTCTATCAGCTTGGTTTTCATATGTCTCAGCCAGGATATATGTTTTTTCTTAAGGTCCCTCATACTCCAGATGTCTCGTCGTTCAACTATACCCAGAAGGTGCAAGGCCTCGATCGTCTTGCGGTCCCAATGCAGATTTGGCAGCATTAGGAACCCCTCGTCGCCGTCCCGGCCCAGGGGCGTCCTGTAAATAACGTCTTCGACTTCCTTTCTCCCTTCGATAATGTTGTAGACCCAATTCAACCGGCCCTCTTCTCGATTCACCTGCATGAACGGTCGCACCTTGTCACGGTATATCTCGGGCGTCTCCGTCACGAAACGATAGCCTTGCTTGCTATGTTTCTTGACATGCTTGTCCGTACAAGGGCATATCAGGGATATCTTGAAGTCGGCATACTTGTCGTTCTCGTCTTCTTTCAGGATCGGTCCTCCCGAGCTCAGGAACCACGAGTATATATCATTGTTTCCTAGGTTCGTAATGCTGCGTAGATTAGCAGGCAAGGCGGACAGGTACTCTTCCGCCTCGGGGAAAGGAGCCCGTTCCAGTACGAGGATTGCGGGATCCGCGTCGACGTGTCCATATAGCGTGATGGTTCTCCCTGCTTCGCCTTTTTACGCTTTGTTAGTTTTCGTATTTCATAACTACCCCAATTTCATAGTATCATAGCTGCAAAAATTGCACACATGCAGCACAATATAATATCTTGGCAGTCTTAGGTAGCAAGGTAGCGCTAGCGATAACAGAGATACATTATGCTCATGACATACCTTGGTTGAGCACGCGCTCGAATTGGAACTTGGGAATCAGTGCTTCAGCACGACGTTTGCTTTCTTCGGTTGCCATTTTGGAGTAAGCCTTCTGGAAATTACATAGGTGGGCAATGGTGCGAGTATGACGTATGAACCCTACGTGAGGTAGATTACCTAGGTCTCTTATATACAGATAATGTATTTACCAAGGAATATTTAAAAAAGTATTTAAAGTCAGCTTTGTATACTACGTAACTTAAAGTCGTCGTTTATCGCGTATCACGTATCGCGTACCTGTTATCGACAAAGGCCTTATCGGAGCTACCCCTCTTTCGAGTCGGTGTGTGTCCCGTCCCCGTCTAAGTCATTCGGTGAAACGTAAAACGTGAACGGGCCGTTGCAGACGCTAATAAACCCAACCCCGCGGATCGTATTGGTGGTACCTGGAGAGCCTAGGCCCTAGGGTAGGTACCGCATGTACGTATCCGGGAGCCACTGGATAGGTATTGTACTATAGAAGGTAGGTACAATACAGGGAATAAGTGAAAAGGTATAAGAAACTGGCAACTACAGATTGATTTTTACAATATCTCATAATAGGTAACATTACAGTTAGGTTAGCCCCTTATAGCCCCTTATAGCCCACGTATTAATAGCAGCCTCAACTAACCATGGTACGTACCTAATAGTAAACTTGTTTTCGGAATCAGCCAGGACGAACGGCTTCCCGTCCCAATTTGATTAGGTCTAGGTACCTACCTAGATATCGGATAACATGTAAATACCCACGACCCCGTAAAGGCTTTGTTACTTACAATCTTATCCCAAAACATAATAAGAGGCTGGTACTTGCAGCTGATGCCGTTCTAACCGATATAACCGGAGCTACGGATCCGTACACGAGGTACTTGTTCCGCTATTCACCGGCAACCTATCCCTTTGATACATAGGTACCTAGGTATTTAATTGTATTATGGATATTCGATATTCCGTGTGCCAGTCTTGGACTTTCCAAGTTGCCGGACCTCGTGAGACTCGGAGTTCAGATACCTATTGATAGGAGGTACCTACCTAACTTAAGATAGACAGACTAAGGTTCCGTTATTGATCGATTTTAGGTGCATTACCCCTTTTCCATCACCAAAGACGTGTAAGCCAAGACAATGCATTGTACGGATGAATCGACGCAGTTCTTAGCCACAAACCCCTACTTTATGACTGAAACTTCACGATATTCAAGATGGTGATGATTCTAGTGCGTGTAAGTAGGTACGGAGTCAGATGCTCCCTGTTACCCCAAACTGCCAACCACCTTGCATCACACCCGTACCTACCATACAATGAATGCAAGAGGTCTTTCATTCCGATCAAACAAACTGCTATTATCCATGATGCAAGATGGGTATCAGGTTTGACTTCATAAACTTGATTTCTCTTATATTGACCTGGACTACACTTTCAACTGCGGGCCGGGGCGGAACTTGCAAATTAAGGGGTGAGCGAATGGAGATACGGACTTCGATTTTAAAGTCAATAAGAGGTGGTAAGTGTGGGTGAGGGTGAAACAAGTTAGAATTATCTTAAACCAAGCTAATAGGTATATCTGAAGTCGCGCTTGAGCTTAGCTGTAGAGAGAGCAATGTAGGTAATGATTCCTAAATCGTCATCACAATACCTACTTCGTTGGATTGGGCCTAAGGGCTGGTAAAGATTTCCAGCTAGTAACTATCTGGAACTTGTCAGTTGTGATTCATCACGGACTGTTTGAACTGACAAGAAAATGGATAACTCACTCCTCCATCACGGATTGACAAAGTCGAGAGTGACGATATGTACTAATATTTCATCACCTCTTTAGCGGCACATACGAACATTTTCATACATCTTACCTTGGGGCATCTATTCAAGTTTTTACTTCCCGTCACGTAATGTAATGCTCAAGTGTTATTTGATATTGCGAATCTAACAAAAGTCAATTCGAACACAAGATGAAATGCTAGGTAGCTTCATTCATACAGGTTTCATACAGGTACCTAACCTCGGAATTAACAAATACCCAACTCAATATCCGACAACCTAGGTAGGTAGGTAGTGAGTCTATGTACCTATCTAGCCTTTTCCCACCCTGTAACTAGCATGATCGCCTCATATATCCGATTCACTCATTCTAAAAGCAGCATTATCCAAGAGATATATACCTAGAAAAAACAAAATAGTTTATCTTCGTATCTCTGATAAAACAGGATGTGTTTGAGCCTACCTAAGGTATATTACTTTGTTGTATTTATTCCGGATTGTTATTATATGACTTTATGCTTTCAAAACAGGTAGTCGTAGCAAAAGAGTGAAACCCACGAAGTTCCCGTCTTGGTCACCTCGGTTTATACACACCAGCAGCACTAAACAAACTCTCATACTTGGCCTCGTTAGGTGAAATCAGGTGTGTCGTATTGCCACAAGATATACCATCTCGAGTAAAAGTGAATAAATAATAAGACCTTCATATTGGAAGTGATAGAAGAGGTAAGTTACCTCCCTAAGGTAGTACCTAAATGACTTATCATCTTACTTCAAAGTGATAGGTAATACACAAATGCGAGGAAATGACGATATCCTCACGCACACACGTCGTAGAAACTCACTTATTAATAAAAGAAATGAAAAAAAAAAAAAAAAAAAGAAACTACATTGTGTTAACTAAAGGTAACAGTGCGCTGACACGCCAACCAACTTACCTAGGCACAAATACCGAAGGCTTACTTACCTCTTACCTAGGTATGTTACGAGGTACGGTATGTGTGTCGAAAGCTCCGCGGCAAAATACTAAGGAGGGTCGGTAGGTAGAAAGGTACCTAAGGTAAGCATTCGGCAATCCCGCCCTCCTCCCCCCCCCTCCCCCTTTCTCCGTGGCTACCTAGTGGGCTAGAACCCAATATATCGGCACGGTAAGTAACCCTCCCGATGGAACGTGGCCTTGGTCGCTTACCTACCTACCTCCCAGGAGCCTATGTACATGTGGGTAGGGTATAAGGTAGGAGGTAGGTAGGTTGTTGATTCCACGTGTGCCTCTTCACTGGAGGAGTGACCCCCGTGGTGTAGATAGGCAATGTAGCATGCTCTCTCTGTCTCTGTATTATTTCTTCGTTGCGCGATGTGGATGGCTGTTAATGTTGTGGCACGTTCCACGGCGCACCCGTTTTACTAGCAATGCAGTAGGCATGTCACCATCCGTGGTATTTAATGCGTAAGGTCTGGTACACTATGCTACCTATCTGCCTAGGCGGTGCTAGGTATTGTACAATACATACCTCTTAGAGGTAACTATAGTTGGTCCATCTGAGGTCGAAGACTGGAATAGAATTTGGAAGGCTATGAGTTTGATTCAAGTCTCATCTCTAATAATCGGGTTCGCACGTATACGTAGGTCGTAATTCGACCACCTCCTTTTCAAGACTCCACGCTTCCTAAGCATCTCCTCCCCATGTAAAAAACGCCTTAGACACAGGTCTGCGGAATAGCTTCTAATGATAAGAAGCTCAACCCAAGATTACCCGTCTCTACGACATTGCTCCAATAACTGCTCTATCCGCATTTGACTCCTATCAGAACACCCTGCTCATCATCTCTGAATAGCTTCAACGACCTATCCAAACAAATAATCATTCGCACATTGACCTTTTTTGTCCGAAACAGATTCCTTCGTTAGCTCCCCGGGGATCGTTTTGGCCATCCGTACATCCAGACGCCAGCCGCTCCACTCAGTCCATTTTGTAACGCCGTTAACGAAGCTCCCAACTCCCGCCACCTCATTGTTATCTACAGTAGAAAGAAATGTTATATATATATAGGTAAGGTATATATATGTGTGTATATATGAGGCGGATATATATACTACAAGGCCAGCCCTGTACCGTCGCCGGTCCAACGATACAATGCGAGAAGTTCTCGGCGACGCTGGTGTTGTTCACCAAGGTCTTCAGGTACGCGACCGCGGACTTGTGCGAGGGCACTACGCATCACCTTGCTGAAATTACGCTGAATGGATGTTAGCTGGAGTGAGCATGTGATACCAATGCCTGCTGACGACTCACCTGATATTCAGTGTTTAACGTGACCACGCACGCTTCGTGCGCGCGGATGATTGTTTCACAAGCACGTACTACGCTGGCTGATGCCTCAAGCTGTAGCTTGTCGGCAATGAGTAGTAGCAAGAATGAACCTTGTAACAGATAGATACCGAAGAAGAAAGGCATAAACTCCAAGCCCGGATCATACTCGAGTATGTTGCTTATAGCTTCCGCGGCAGACACGGCGTGTCCCGTAGCGGTGATGAATCCTTGTGATGAGATCCACAGGTCATTGTCGTCAATGAGATTAATGGGATCCCACTTTCCAGTGAGAAGAATATGGAGCACATGCATGACATGCGTGCCGTAAGACATGACGATGCGGGTTTGGATATCGGATTCGGTCATGCGTGAAGAGCTAGTATGAACGGATCGTCCGGATGGCGAGCCAATTTGGTCTAGTTCGGACGGCATCTCTAATGTAGCAGACTGTTCGTTCTTGTCCTCCGAACTCGCGTTGAAATGCCTCTGCTCGAATTTCTTTAGGCTTTCCTCATACGCCTCAAGATGCCGCACAATCTCGGCTTGCTGGTCATCCCATTCCCTAGCCGAGCGGAAGGTAATGCCAAATCGGGGGTGGTTGCGAGCATGGTGAAGATCTACTATTTCGCCTAATATGGTCATCAGGGGCAGGAAGTAGCCAAATATACTGTGACCAGTACACTCGAAATGTGGTCCGCGCACCCGAGCCCCTTCAGACCCAGACTGCTCTGATAGGGCCGGATCAGTGGCGTGAGCGTTAAAGTTTCCATTCTGCCATTCGGTGTCATCCATGGGCTGAAGGAGACCTTCGCATTCGATATCGAGTAAGAATAATGGCCTGTTGTAGCACAATGCTAAGTGGCGGTCTACAATATAGGTAAGCCACCATATGCGCCTTCGCTCTTCTCGTTCCTCTTCACTAACGGTTCCCGGGGCAACGTTATTACCAAGGCCATCCTCGGTTTCTCCATCCGCGTCGACATCTTGGCCATTATTGCCTTGGACCAAGGAGGGTGCGCTTGCTGGGAGTTCTCGGCCTAGCTTTAACTCTCTTGCGAGAGACCACGCAGCATTCCACCATCGAAGGCTAGCACCCTTGTATTCGCTAGCGGAAACCACCGTGGCGAGATGGATGTAAGTGACGACATCATCGAGCGTCCCAGCAGCACCAAATGCTCCTGATTCTCCTGTAAGATTCTCTATGCTCATAGATCCAGGGAGGGCAACGCCTAATCCTCCCAAAGCAACCCCATCTATTACTGGGCTGGAAACTGGCGAGGCCTCTCCAGACGGAGTGTGTATTAATGGCTTTAGCAAGCTAACAGTAAGTTCAAGCAACTTCTGGCAGATCTTGCCCCTTGCAGATGGAACGGTAGTTAAAAATGGGGCATCGCTCGTCTGTGCCGCTACCCAAAGCATGCTTGCCAATAACGCCGGCTGGCATTGACGGGGTTTGCTGGGGTGTAAGAATGATCGTTTTCGAAAGACAAAACCCAGTACGTAGGGAGACATCGGGTGAGCGTGAGCAGATGACGAACTCGCGAAATATAGATCGATTAAGTCGCAGGCAAGAGAAACAGGTATGATATTTCCGAGGTGGGGTATTAGGGGGTTTAGAACCGGGTATCTTAGCTGCTGGTGGTAGTTATTTTGCGGAATGTGGGATTGGAACTGTGGCGGAGGTGAAGATATCGACATCCATCCGGGCGACGTGGGTTCTCCGCCTATGGGATATGCGCTGAGAGGGCTGGTTCCTATACGAAATGTCGGCTGAGCGTTGGCCGAATAGTTAGTAGGGCTTTGGGCCTGCAAACCGTAAGGAATCTCAGGATAGTTCGAGAGGTTGCCTTGGTTTGAGCCATATGTGTTGTGTGCTGACCCGCCCATCAAATGTCCCATTCCTTGCCTGTCATATGGGTTCTGAACATTACCATACCCGTTGAGATCTAACGAGGTAGGACTATCGAGCTGGTCCCGCTCCATACCTCCAGTGTGGCCCGTTAAGTGAGGCTGGTGAGAACTTAACTCCGCTAAGCTATCGAGACTCCCCGTCCTTTGGCTACGCTGTATGGCATCCTCGTTGATATCGTTTAATACCTTATCACTGGAGCCTGTTTGCTGCTCAGGCTTCGCGGAGGAGGTGCTGTCCGTTTGTTGCTCACCAGAGCCTTCGTTATCGTCGTTTTGGTTTGGCGATTTCTGGCCATTTTGAGTGGCGGCGGCCGCAGCAGCCTGGGCCGCAGCTTGCTGGGCAAGATCTTTGCGGGACGCTTTACCTCGCTTCTTTCGTTCTCGAATATACTCACAGCCCAGTCCAAATTCTGATTCTATTAGTAACCTCGTCTTAGTCCTAGGATGCCGCGATATGGTCACCAACCTATGCAATGGGCACAAGGGTGTTGTCCATCACACTTGGTCCTCAGCTGGTTGCACTGGTCGCAAGCCCTGCTTATCCTCCTTCTGATGGGGCCAGCTGCTCCTGTAGCCCTCGTGCTGGGCCCTCCGTAGGGGTGCTGTCGATGTTTTGGCTGCGGTGCCCGAGCCAGATGCGGGGCGTGAACTCCTACATGGTGTTGAAGGTGCTGAAGAGTGTATTGCGATCCATGGCCAAATGTGTCGAGGCCAGCCGCGTGAAGGTGGCTCCCCGGCACATGGCCGTTAGAAAGCAATGTATTAGAAGGTAAGGCATGGTACGGTGAAAACCGCTGGAGTGGGTTAGACAACATATTCGAGTAATCCGTGATTGCGAATTTTGCTCGGTACGTTTAAAGTGAAAACAGTGGTCTGTCGACGATCTGATCTAACTCTGGGTGTCATAAACGATCGGCGACTTCGAACGAATGCAGGCAGTTGGGGTGAAGCATGAATGCGTCTAAAAACTGCAGCGGAGTCCGATTTGTATCGTGGAGGTGCGAGATAGCTTAAGCTATATGCTTGTCCAGGAGTGGTTGCGTCTTGCAGCTCTTGGCAAAGCGTAGCCTTTCTAGACAGCGGCACTTGGACGGACCGAAAACCTTTTCACTGTGGAGATCTAGAGGCATGAGCATGACACTACATTCAACAGGATAAGGGACCCCCGAAATAGTCAGGAGGGATCGCCACGGTAGTATATGAACGGCACTGGTATGTCAAGCACCGATGTCAAGCATGTGGCGGGAGCGGAGAGGCAAGAGGGTAGCGAATCGACGACGGGATATGTACAAGGGTCTAGAAATATCGAAGGTGAACATACATACAGGGCAGGGCAGGATATGGAAGTGTGCCACAGCACTGTGAGTCGGATCGTGTGCCACTCTGTCCCAGTCCCTAGTAATAGCAGCTGTTTTAAGGGAGGTAGTGCTACTAGGGAGAGAATTCGGAAGGACGGTGGACCAAAGGAAGGATAGAAAAGGTCTGGTCTAACCAAGGTAATTAATCTCTGTTTAGGTCTGGAGTACTCTCCTAGAAGAGGGCAAACAAAGTCTGCGTCCTTGGCATGCATACGAGGAGAGAGGTTCCTGCTTGCCTGTGTGTGTTCGATTGGAGAATGGTTACCCCTTCTCGTCGGAGCAATATCGACAAGCGCAGGTAGATTGAAGATGCAATATACAACGGCGGAACAGGTCCAAGGAGATGGAGTGACAGGATGGGGATATGAGGGGTGACTTTTTTAGTCGTTCCAGTACCAACTCTCCCCCAGAGAAGTCCTTCCCTCGGGCATTTCTGTTATATGACCCGCTTTCTTACCTGAGCGCTTGGTTAGGTTACAGCGAGGGAACAGGGGTTCGTACAGACGATGGTACTTGGTAGAGGAGGGACACATACATAGTAGATTCGGACAACCTTAGGTAGTCACTTCACTAGGACCGACTAGGCTATGGGATAGTGGGTGGGAGAAGATTCGGATCAGGAATGGTGACCCCGGGACGGGGCACACTAGCTCAGCGAGGCCCACAACGACCGGTGTGAATCCTTAGAATACGTGAAGAGATTCTTCATCTCCCCAAAAGGACTTTGATATAGTTATAGAGAACCCACTGTAGAGTATATAATGCAGTATGATATCGGCCAGCTTGTGGCAAATATAAGTGGATAAAAATGTATTATCATAAGTGACGAGAGAGGCAGGAACTTAATGCTGTATTGCAGTCTCGTCCCCATGAAGCTATTACTTATGTTCGGCTTGCAGGTGGGCGGCTCGCTTGTGAGAAGCGGACTTGAAGCGTAGTTTCTTTCCCCATTGTCTATTAGGGCCGTTCTGCACCGGAGTACTGACTGGTGATGGAGGGGATGAAGCGCGAGTGGTAGTCAAGGATGTACCATCCCTGATACCCCGTACCCCAGCTGCCCAGTCATTTCTAGTCTTGGCGAGCAGGGAGATCCGCGAATTTTCCTAGATCGGGCGGAGAGTAACTTCATATTCGGCCAGGTGTCGCCGAAAAGTCCTTATTCAGTTTTTTAGCATAGGTGGTTCTGATAGTAATCAAACAGAAACGAAACGCATTTTAACCATGGCAACTTGACATTTTTGCTCTCTCTTCGGAGACGGTATATTGTGAATTGTATAGCTGTGGTAGCTATGTCTACGTTGAGTCTTTGACTGTACTTTCGATTTTAGGTATTGTACCATGCGCCAGATTTGTTCCTATGGGCCCACGATGAGGTGTTCTTAGTGTTGTATAGCATGTTCACTGACTCTTATAGTCTATAGTCGTATCCGAGATCTTGGTAGTCTCCGATATTAGTCTGATCTCACACGGTTTCTACCCAGCGCTTTCGTCTCATGTTGGCAAATGTCTGAAATTGTAGATCACGCAGATGCGTCAACAGACAGATTAACGAACAGGTCAATGGTTCTGGGCTTTTCTTCCCCGCGATTTCTCTGATTAGATGGACGATCATACACCGGGGAGATACAATCATCGTCGGTCAGCCGGTGGTTTGTAGATTAGCTCGCCACGGAACGTAAAGGGTGGCAATGGTAATCAGGGTCCCCGAGGTCCTTGGGGATAATGCGGGAAGGTTAACAACCAGACAACTTAAGACGTCTTCTAATGCCATTGTCGAGAACACGTAGGGTTGCAACAAAGCATAGATGCATAGTGCTTTATGGCATCTTATCTTGATCCGGTGCTTCGAGGAGTGAAATTTATGAAAATGTCATCAGACCAAGATGAAACCGTAGTTGTAGCTTGGGAAATGTTGAGAAATGTTGAAAAGGGCATTAATTTTTTGTATTTTACATCTACGGTACCTAGCGGTAGCGTGTACTTGATACAGTACAGGTACCTAAGGTACCTGTAATGAGCACCTGATTGCCTTGCAACAGCCAACAGGTAGGTATTCGGCTAGCAGCTACCTGTTAAGCACATGACCTAAAAACCCCGTAATTACGTAACTAAGGCACCTAATTCAAAGTCCAAGGTTCGCACTGTATTTTTATCCTGGTTTGGCGTCTGGTAAAAACATCAATCTTCACATAATCTTCAACATTTGTTTGATACGAAGTTAGGGTATGGTACCTGTTACGTGCCAACGATCACGCCAAAACAGGGTTGCAAGTGATGATACCCCAGAGCTAGGGGCTTCCCGCAACCCAATTCTAATGTTCGAAATGCTTATTCCGGACCTGCATCTATGATAGACTGCAGGATGCTTCATATCGCGACCCATCCTAACCTAAATGCTATACGAGCTATACTCTCACTGAGCCGTAGACTGAATACTCATTTCAGGGCGCTAGTATCGACAGGCTTGCTACCGCGTTCTCAGGTAATGCGGCCCTATTCTGTACATTATTCTTAATTGATATTTGTTAATGGCCGAAATAACGACGAGCAATCGATGCGGCACCCTATGACCATCCGTACCTAGGTATGTTCGAGGGATGAGACACGTCTTCAGATTTCTCAACATTAGGTACCTTAGCCAAATCCGTTTCGCTCTGTTATCACTTCCTACGATATGTTAAATGTCTACTCTATCATCTAAGAGGTTGACAGTTTATAGCTTACCTACATACGGAAGCCAGATCTTATATTATAATCCAGCAATAGCGATATCTTAGCTACCTACCTGTATCTAACGAAACACTTTTTTATATAAGCTCGAAGTCCGCATCTGGAGCTAAGAGAAAAAGCGAAAGTTCTACATACCTACTGCAGTTGTCGGCACACTATGCTATCAGAAACTACTTAACACGTCATGATATTCACTCTCAAATTTGTAAAGCAAAGCTACCTTACCTAAAGCCAGTTGGGTACCTTAGGTTAAGGTAGGCAAGCATCGCACCCAAGCTTATTTGATTGCCCTACCATTCTTATCTAAATAATGGTTGTACCTGACATGTCATAACAGGTACATAATAGTATTGGCTTCGGCTACCCGTGCAGCCGTTGTGTACCGGTTACTCACGATGTTACGTAGTGGGATACGGTAGGTAAGTACTAGCTAGGTATACTCATCGTACTGACGTCTCCCCTTTCTATCACCAAGGTTTAGAAGAAGCTTTGACTTGGGGATTACGTTAGGTAGGTAGCTACCTGGGTTAAGTAAGGTACCTACCTATGCCAGAATCAGCTTAAGAAGAATTCATTCCAACTGACGAAGAAACTGACGACGAACAGCCGCAATGTTTTATTCTCACATATCCCGAGGTACAATCGTGGGAATCCACCAAACCTACCGGAGATGCTCACTGGGCCGGCTGGGTTCCAAGCTGGAGCTGGATAGTCGAGCCGGAAATCGGGGCCCTAGTCACCAAGGATAACCGGACCGAACTTCCCATTAGCACAATTGAACTGCACGAAATTTATCGCAGACGTCTCCTATTGGTGGGTTTCACGGGATCCTAGTGGATTACTTCCCATTTTAATTCCACGAACCATCGGTAGACTTCTAAGAAGATATAATAATGTACATAGAAGAGCTTAATCCTACACACCTGAGATTACTTTATGGTAGGGCTGGGCGCTAACATGAGTCCCCCAGAAAGCTACCGAATAATACCCAGGGATGCTATTAAGATGTGGAATACGACCCATGGTATCTTCGACTTACACGATATTGACGTTGAAAGTCCGGGGAAACATCATCGCTGCAAAGAGCGTCATGCTTAGGAGCAAAATGCTTAGCGTCTAGCATTGCATAATGAGACTCGACAACTGCATCTTCTCGACGTCTTATTCGAAAGCTCGAGGATACCGTATCCATAGTGAAGGGTAATTTCGTGGCTTTACAGACTTCACGATTTATGACAAGCCTTTCTAAGATCAACGGAATGCAAAAGAGGTAGCACTAGGAATAAGAAAATTTTCCTAGACTAACTTCTTCGATAGAGATATTGTCTGGAGAACACGCTACCCTAGGAACTCCACTCGCGGTTACTGGTCACTACTGCGATTGGCCTACGACATACGAAACACGAGCGGCTCAAGTGAGGAGGGCTCTTCCTACCACATTGCCCGACATGGAATTAAGATCATGAAGTTTCGGAAGTCCAAAAATGCTAGGCAGGCTTTACTGTTCGGTAGTTGAAAACTCGGCCATCTTACCTCCCCAGCTTGGAAACGCGTGTAAGTGTTCCCGTGCCAAGATACCCAGGGTGCGATCCAACGGACACAGTAATTTGAGATGCTGGAACTCAAAACGGAACAAGGTCCGACTTTCCACAGCAAGTATACATGGTCCGCTCTTATACAGAAAGGTTACTCGAGAACTGTACGGGCATTCATCTGCTTTATTGAGGAAAAGTGAAATTATTTCGCAACGCCATAGCGCTGGTTTCCAATACGTCATTTTGGTAATCATTTTGGGTATCAATACTGTTTGGCGTTTATTCTGCACTAGAACCATTTGTCGATGCATACCTAGAAGGCGCAATGCGTGGGTATTTAGCCAACGCGCTTCACAAGCGCCGCGTCTACAGATTCGAGGTCTAGGCTATTCTGCCGTAACATTTACATATACACAGCCTGGTCTATAGTTTCTGACTACCCCAGGGATCTGAAACTATCAGCTACGACATGCCGGGAAGAAATAAGAACATGTGTATGGAAAATACTATGTTACGTGGAACATAGAGTGGCCCTAAGCTTCATATTTCTGGCACAGGATGAGAAACCAGGTTTTCAGACTGGCTAACACTCCTGATGCTGCATAGTAAATATCAGATAATGGCGATATCCAAGGGTATAATGTACAGACAGCAGCCCTAGGTTCACGTGATGTTGCTTCTCTTATTACCATCACGGCTTCTTTCCCGTGGTGACGAGGCCGGAGGGGAAGAGGAACATAAATTATTACCACGTGCCGTTCTCCGTTTTGGGGATGATTGGGGTTATTATCATCTACCCTGTTGGGTTACAGTAAACATATATGCACCACGTCTAGATGACAGCTGCATTTCGACAATAATGGGCCCCATCAGAGAGGCGTCTGGGGAAGACGTGGTAGACGTGCAGCAATATGTTTTACACTTTGCTGCATCCAACTTTCTCCGGGGGACCGGACAACGAAAGCTCGAGATCTATAGAAGCGGAACTACGCCATCCAAAATCTACTATAGGAAGTGATTGACGGACTGTTAGGTGGAATAGATTAGAAACGGACATATTGTACGTCTTAATGCCACATGCATCGCTAATCCGGTACTATCGCATCCCTTAGATGCAATGAAACGACAAGGCTCGAGACGTTATTAGAAAACACGCTACCAAACGCTACCGTACATACAAGCCGATATTGGTGCCTGCATCACTGCGAGCCGGTCGATATGTCATGTCCAGCTCCCCAGATCATGCAAACTAGGCATGGTACGCTTGCAGATGTCCACAAGGCCTAAGGCTCCCGATGTTCCGTTCGGTATTGGAGACGACGGGAATTTTTGAGAGCCCATGCCAGGCCTTCTGAGAGGTTGACTCTGTGACGGAATGTTACCCCAGGAATGGGCGGGTCTGCTCCTAATTCAGACTGTCCCTCCGAGAGGGTTCATTGGAGGCTACCATTCGGCAGACTGCGATCTGGGGTAGAGCATGCAAGCGCAGAGATTTGCGGTGAAATATACCATAAGCCGTGCACGCGGCGCTAGACCCAGACACCGCGAGTGCCTTGCAGATCGAAGGTGCCAGCACCCATCTAGCGATCCGCTGTTGCTGATCCGGAGGGACCCTTATAACCTCTCCCGGACTCGCCCCTTGCTCCGGCTGGCAAGGTAGCTACCTCCTACGGACATCTCGCTAGACGTCCCGACAGCGAAAGTCCATTTGTAGAAACGATTTGCACTTCGTTGTCGTGACCCAGGCATGGGATAGAGTCTTGGTCGCCCTTCTTTGGAGAGAACGGAGTCACCACCAGAGTCCGGAACCAAACAAAGTCATTAGCTATGGCGTTGCAAGTTCCTAGTATAAGCGAGTTGAGCTATACTATACCTAGGACTAGAATCTTAATAAAATATATTATCAATAAAGATGACTAGGCAGTCGAAGTTACAGGCAGAAGTGAACCGCGGTCTTGGGGGTAGCCCTTCTTTCCTGCCCTAGAGGTTTGAAATCAGAGGTCATGTAAGAGTTAGAGAGCCTCTGTTATCACATCATGACGCCTCCATCTAAATCACACGTGGTTTTCTGTCGTCACCATCACTCCTAGCATTGGTCAAAAGGTGACCATCTATCCAGACTCGAGCATTAAGGTGATGGAGACAACCGTTTAGGTCCTAGCGGTTAGAGTATTAATCATGCTTAACTACCTTACCTTACCTTAGCTTCTAATCTTGTCTTCGAGATAACTACTTGCTTAGCAACGAGATATCTCTCTATGAGTTAGCACCATAACTCGACTATTACTCAAGTGAGCAACGTACGAGATCTACACACCTCTTCTAGGTGCCTGTCTATACATATCTCTTAGGTCAACTCCTCTCGTCTCTAATTGGGGGGGGGGGGGGGGGGGGGGGGGGGGGGGGGGGGGGGGGGGGGGGGGGGGCGCGGCGGGGGGGGGGGGGGGGGGGGGGCGGGGGGGGGGGGGGCGCGGGAG